TTCGCGAAGCTTGTCCGATCTAACCGCTGAAGTGTTTTAAAAGTGCTTTTTTTATCCTTTGATCCAGGATCCTGGTTCATGACCTTTGATCTGCATTATTACTGGTGTGGACGAAATACCCATCAATTTCTTTGAAGTACCCATTGTTACTGGATCCGCAGGGTCTCGGGGAGGACCCGAGTTGCAATCGTGACTGACCGCTCCTCTTTACTCCAACCGTAGGCGTCCTCGTCAGCAAGATCCTATGCAAGCGATTGGTGCCTTTACCTATAGCAGCAATAAAATGAAGATTAAGAGTGTTTTTTTTCCAAGGTTCAGGTCTTGCTTTGAAGAATTTTTCTTCGCCTTACGGTGGGGATTGAGGTACTTGTTTCACCGCAGGTCGGGAATACAGCGTAGGATAAGGAGGATTTTCTTTTTCTTGACCACGCGACTCCCTGATGCATGTGGATTAGGTACCTGGTACATAGGTACCTGAAGTTGAAGTACTTCGCCTCTCAGGATGACGAACTCCCAACATTAGATCAATGCCCTTGAGTTGGGCTCATAATAGATCAACAAAAAACGGTGCTGCCTTTTAGCCTTGGCATGCTTTGGGTAGGCAATGCATTGAGGATCATACACTTGAGCACAGCCGTATACCAAGACCGATCTACCCGGACGTACAGGAGGTACAGCTTGCGATGTGGGGGATGTGCCAGATTGAGGGTCAAGTATGTGCTGTACATCCACCCAAGGATAGTATTACTCTGTAGGGGAAACTAGTCTCCATACGTTCAGATTTGAGATCCACTCTGAACCCGACCACCCGTTTATTTACGTCAGAAGAGAGTCCCAGAGGTGTATCCGCATCGAGAGCGCAAGGACTACCCCGGACAATTGAATATTGAAATCCAAGCATTCCAATGGACCAGAGCAGTTGCCAAGTTGTGGGAGGCAGGGATTTGCAAGACAAAGCGCGCAGAGCGCGTTTATAGTTTGAGAAGTGTTTGGGGGGATTTGGCTTCGGTTCAGGTTCGTTACTATTACCTGGTTGGTTATAGTGGACACGGTAATTGTAGACTAGGGCCACTCTAGGGTTTGGCCAAGAGGGTTCAGGCACAGGTACGAGGACTGCGATACCGGTCGATACGGATCGGCACCGAGAGCGGTAGCTGTGACGTGGGGATACCGATACCGTACGCGATGGATGAAACCGTCGATTTCCAATATTGACTGTTTTGAGATGAATTTGGTATGGAAGGAATTGGTGAATGAGAGAGAATTAAGAAAAGTAATAATAAAGCATAAGACAATATAATATTAGATATTCATTCGTATTAAAGTCTCTTCTATAGGTTGAATGTATGATGTAGTGCTGAGTATGGTACTGTAAGAGCGGCAGGTTTTTTTTTCTTGGAGCGGCAGCCCTGATCTGGTTTAGGAGCAACAAAATCCCTCATAGTGATCCCAGCGGTTGACCAGCGACTCGACACACAATAGTCAGCCGCTCCACCACTCAACGGAAAATCAAAATGAAACCAATTGTGCCACGGATCAAAGAATTAAAGGCGTCCTGTCATGGAAAAGTTGAAACTAGTCCAAGTTATTCTAATTATGAAAAGAATAAAAAACATATCATTAATGTACTAGGTCATCAGTAATGATTCTGTTACCGTGACTACAGTACTATTTCGAGGTGCAGGTACTGTATGCATGTATGCATATTGGTGGGTCTCGTAGAATCAGAGTGGAAGAGTGTACAAGTGGCGGAAAAGGGAAAAAGAAATTTTCTTTTTTCGATTTTTTATTTTAATAAAACCCAAATTTCTCCACGCTAAGCCTAAGCCGATCGTGCCGCCCAGCGTCACTCTCCCACCCTACTTCATTCCCCCCTCTCCACTACTATACTATACTCATTTTCTCTACTCTTCTCTACTCTCCCTTCAGTTTACTCTTCCTTTCCTTTTCATCCAACATTGCTTTCTCCTTTATCCATATCCAAAACGCCATTCGATCTCTTGGCAAGCCAAGAACTATTCCTGCCACCCTACGACATCATTGAAGCCGCTATTCGTGAAAGGCAATTATCGTTCTTGGCAGTCTGAACTTCGTCACCTACTACATTTGACGCCCCTCAAACATGTCCTGTATATCATGACAAGCTGTCCTTTGTGGGACTGAGTGTTCTTCGCCTTCTGGGTCGATCATACTTTGTGATCGATATTGAGAGAGCTATTGGAAGAGCATCTAAACTTTTCAACGATCTGAACTTTTCTGGTGAACCTCGCGCCTCTGCGATCAACACTACTTCGAATGTTTTCTCTGTTTTTGGATTGATACGACATGGCTCAATCTCGTGGAGATCGATTCTCTTTTCACAACCTATTGAAGATGCTCATTGCACCCAGCTCTTCCAACAAACCGGCACATGACGAATCCGACATGGCTGAGGACCTGGACGAACCCCCTGATCACCATATACTGCACGCCACCTCGATGAATGACGATATGATCTTTACCCGGCCGACTATGGTCGACCGGAAGGAATCCCTGCTCACTCGCGCCTTGAAGAGCAGCCCGGAAATGTCGCCAATAGACCAACACCACACCTCCATGCACGATTCCGTCTACTCCTATCGCTCCTACCCGCACAGCAACATCTCTGGAATCTCCACCGCCGAGCTGACCAGCGATGGCGGCCTCACCAGCCCTTCCCTCTCCAACACACCGAGTCCGCCACTCCCACCGCAGATGATGGGCAAAGCTGCCATGGCTGGCAAGAAGGACTTAACTCAGCGCGTAAAGGTTGTTAATACCAATGAGAACTCCGTCGAGGCCAACTTAGGACGCAAGCGTTGTATTAGCTTCGCCTGTGGCAAGGCTCAGGAGTCAGCCCAGCCCAAGGTTCCTTCGCCCGAGAAGACTCAAACGACTACACCTCAACCTCAAAAAGACACCCTCGAACCCCCGAAGCGCAAATCCACCCTTACATTCGCCTGCCCGAGTCGACAGTCTGTAATCCAAAGAGAACGTTCGCCAGGTCGCAAGACTGCATTCCGGACGCGTTGTCGTGGTTCTCCCGCCCCTGCTGTTCGCAAGACTTCTTCCTCCGCCCAGGTCTCTGAAGAGATTAAGGCACCTGTGACTGATTCGCCCAAGGGTGTTCCGACAAGTGGTCTAGGCAAGTTTGAGGAATCCGAGGCGACTCGGTTCCATGAGTTTGCTAGCTCTGTGGATGACGATGACGAGTGGGTGAAGAGGGAGACCGAGTTTACCGAGAAGATTACCTTGAACGACTGCATGAAGAAGGAGAACGCCATTCGCCGCCTCGCCGAAGAAGCCGCTCAGGAAGAGGAGGACGAGGACGATGACATCGAAGATCTCGCCGACGATGACTCAACTGTCCACGACTTCTCTTCCGATGACGGTAACGAGTCGGACAACGAGGCGGGCTTTGCGGATTCGGATGAGAGCGACGATGATGGTTCGGACTACGAATTCTGGGCCCCCTCTGCGGCCGCATCCGAAACCAATGTTATTGCTATTGACATTTTTCCTCCGACCATGGAACGTCGGGCTTCCAATACCTCCTTTGACTCCATGACCGACGATCACCAAAAGTGGCTGCCGGCGCCTGTGCAGAAGATTGCCGGACGCCGTGGCGCAACCAAGCCGATCAAAATGCGACCAGGTACCCCTAATCTGCCTGACAGCACCGATTTCGTCTGTGGAACTTTGGATGAGGATCGTCCTCTCGAGGCGGCCTACAAGTCATGCCTCGAACAGCGCCGTATTTCCAAGCACGTCCCGATCCCGCAAGACATCGACCCCAGCTTCCCCACCAGTGACCCCGAGGCCGAAGAAGATCTCGAGGATCTTTCTGAGGACGAAGAGGGATCCGATGCTGAGCCAGTTCGCGGCCGGACTGAAGCCCCGACCCGCTCTTCTCCACGACACTCGCCCAAGCGCATGATGTCCCCGCCCCCTCCTCGTGCTGGTCGTACCTCTCCCAAGCGTCTCAAATCACCGCCTCCCCGTGCGCGAGCCAAATCTCCCTCACCTAAGAAGTGGAAGGAGATGCCGGCCTTGGAGTCGCCTCGCGGTCTCAACATCAGCCACCTGGTCCAACATCGCCAGCCTTTGGTGCGCACCAAGTCGTTGCCTCGTACACCAAACCCATTCTTTGCTACCGACCAGTCACATCGGTGGCACGGAATCCCACCTCTCTCCGAGTCTCCTGAGGATGAATACTCTCGCGCTCGTGAAGTATTGCACACACGTGGCCCCATCGACATTGTCGAGGGCCTCGAAAAGAAGCGCCAGAAACGAAAAGAAAAGTTCTGGCGCCAACATTGCCGCAAGCAAGCCGCTAAGGAACAAACAACCCAGCGGAAGACTCCCGGCAAGGGAGCCAAACGGATGAAGGAGCTTGGCCTCGAAGTTGCTGAGAGGTGCAGAGCTTATGGTGTCGCTGAAGACACCCAGCTCGTCCTATCTGTTTAGGCTTTCCCATACATTCAAGGACTTAATTGTCTTCCCCATACCCTTTTTTCGAATTGTACATAATTCACCCCCTACGCTTGGTCTGTGATCCAAGTCCTTCGCTGATACATACTTTAAACCAACTTCCAGTCATCCATTTTGACTTTCTTTTCTACTTTTCTTTTCTTTACCTCAGCCTTTTCTAATCATCCTGGGGAGGATCTGTTCTTGCTTTCCTTCTTTACCGATCATATGTTTACCTCCTGGGGGTCTTCTGTCCTTTTGAGTTTGCATGGTTGCGGTGCTTATACCCCTTATCTGAATTTGCTGCATTGTGGATAAAGCGAATTGGATTCAGTGAACAATAGATATATAACAAATAACAAACACTCAATACTTGAAATGTCTCCTGAAATTCTTGTAAATCAAAGCATCACACCACTGGACTCCAGGGGCGCCTTATCTTTGCTTATTCTCCAGTTCTAACTTGTTTTCGTCAAGTCCGCCACTGTCGCTGCCTCAGGCCGCAAGGCACTGAGATTTGGCCGATCCCGAAAACAACATCAACCTGTCTTCTCTTCTCTTCCCCCTCCATCCACCTCGTCACCCTCTCGTCTGCGATATTGTGCATTCGCATTCCTCGATTCGATAAAGTCACACACACACCTCACATTTCTCCAGTTTCGCTATGTGGATTATTAACTGGTGTAAGTGCTTCCCCGAACCCGACCCTCGGCCCAACCACCTATCCGCATGCAAGCATCGGCAAAACAGAACCAGGAGAGAAGGACCGGCTTTACTGGATAGTAATTTAGGCTTGGAGGAGCTGGACGGAGCTCTTTCATATTGATCTGGATAAAACAAAGCCTGGCTTGCTGGATTCGAAATGCCGCGGTCCCTGTGCGGCTTGTGATTCGGGTCCTGTAATCTCAGCTTTACTGATGTGATCTCTCTGTTGTTTATAGTCTACGATGTGCTCGCCTCTCTTGGCCTGCTCAACAAGCACGCTAAGCTTCTTTTCCTCGGTTTGGACAATGCCGGAAAGACCACCCTGCTCCACATGTTGAAGGTGAGTCGGTCGTGTGACAATAGACCTGCGCCGATTGGGAATGAAAGTATTTTGGTCCTGAAGCTTGATATCGGAATTTCGGACAGCATTCGGAATGATTGATTTGGATAAAATGGCTTGGGACATTGAACACTCCTTCGGCGCGGGATCTCGACATATAGCTTGATGGTGACTAACAGGGTTATTTTCCGACGGATAGAACGACCGTGTTGCTGTCCTCTCGCCGACTGCGCACCCCACCTCTGAGGAGCTGGCTATTGGCAACAACCGTTTCACTACCTTCGATCTGGGTGGTCACCAGCAGGGTGAGTTGAGCACCACCGACCCGCGGGACTCTTTCCGGGGGTTTCTCGTCCAGTGGAGCAGCTCCGCTAATCTATACTATCTATCTAGCTCGCCGTCTGTGGAAGGACTACTTCCCCGAGGTCAGCGGTATCGTCTTCCTTGTCGATGCCAAGGATTACGAGCGTTTCCCCGAGTCCAAGGCTGAGCTCGACGCTCTCCTCGCCATGGAGGACCTCGCCAAGGTTCCCTTCCTTGTCCTCGGAAACAAGATCGATCACCCCGATGCTGTGAGCGAGGATGAGCTGCGCCACCAGCTTGGTCTGTACCAGACCACCGGCAAGGGCAAGGTTCCTCTCGAGGGCATCCGGCCCATTGAGCTGTTCATGTGCAGTGTTGTCATGAGACAGGGTGAGTATCATCACGGTTATGACTATATATTGAATTTTCATGTGCTAATATATTTCATTAGGTTACGGCGAGGGTATCCGCTGGCTGTCCCAGTACGTTTAAAGCGCTCCACTTTAAACATATCCTCAAATCCTCCCCCACTCATTTCACCCACTTGATCCCCATCTCCTCCCTTCCTCTTCATTGAATCTGGACTGGAAAGAAGGATAAAGGCCAACTCACTTAACAATCCCTACCTCTCCCCAAATAATCACCTACGCCACAATACCTCTAGATAGCTACCATAATGGTATCTACCACCCTTCAACACGTTTAACGTCTTGATGTCTTTGACTCTGCTTGTACCCCACTCAGTGCATGTCTTTTGGCTCAGTCAGCCTTTATATTGTCCCCATTCGTCTATGTTTTGCTCCCACTTTCGTGTTTACACTGCTGCCAGTTAGCCGGTGACTTTGCTTTTTTCTCTATACGATAGTTCTAAAATAGTGGATGGCTCTTCTATATTATATAACTGACTCGCGTCTTGTATGGAGTAAGGTCACCAGTGTTCTCTCATAACTTGAAAATTCTTGTACCTTTATTTGATAACAGGTAAATTTGCTCCGAGTAGCTTTTCAGATGAGATCTACAACAAAAATCTTGATTCTCAAGGGCCCAACATGAAGATCAGCCTAAAGGTGTAGGTAGATAGTATGCGGTCTACACATACATGTTAGCATAAGCCATTATCATCTAGGATAAAGATAACCCTGAATGCCGAGATTCAGACTAAGAGGTTTTACTTGCATTCGATCAGGGCTCAGCGGAAACATCACGATTCGAGGCAATCTGGAGGATGAGAAGGACTGCAGTATTTTAAACTAGAAAGGTGGGGGAGGGGGGGGGGAGCGCCTTCTGCCTCTAACAACAATGATTGGTCTCACTCCAGTACTACTCCGTAGATGTAAGAGGTCTCACTTGCAGTAGATCATGGCTCAGCAAAGAAAGCCAAAAGTAACCCCAAGAAAGCCAAAAGTAACCCCTATCAGCCTCTCATTCAATTTTGAAACCAGATAACGGGGGGGCTTCATTTTATGTAAGCCTGATTGGCCCTATGAATTAACCAATTAAGACCTCACACCCATTTAGATATGTACAGTACATATACTGCATTTCAGGACTGTGCCTATGTGATGAGTAATAAGTGGCGCCTAATAAGATTATCTTGGATTCAAGGATATGTCTACTTCTCCTATACCTGGAACTGAACTTCATATGGCAAAGAGACACTGTAGACATGAGCATCCAGGAATGTGAATGGTACGAAAGTCCAAAGGACGGAGTATAGTGTGCTTACATAGCCAAGGTTTACCTCCGAGAGACCCCACAGATTATTTGTATCTGGTTTTGTGACTGGAGGGGAAAGGCATGGAAGTCTCTCAATTATGCCTCAATCCCATAGTCGCTCTCAGATCGGCTCGACCAGTATGTACTACACACGATAAGTATACGGAGTATTCTTGACCCAATGCCAAGGCCTTGAGAACAATAATTGAGCGCTACACGTACAGGTAGTTTTGGCGGATCTCTTCTAATTTAGACAATAAAAGGGCACCGTCAATAATACTAGACCCTAGGCATAACATTCGAGGAAACGGCTATCTATGCTATCTTTGCAATGAACCTCTGCTTTGAAATCGCAAACCTGTATAGAGTATGCAAGTCACGTGGCTGTAGCTTGACCTAAAAGGGCTCCATTTCTGACCTATAATACCCTTGACCAGCCCGCGGATAACAGTAATCGACAAATTGGAGGAAGCAAACGCCATTATATCGATATGTACCAATGAAATTCATAGTGATGGGGCCTTGAAAAGTTCCTGGATGCGGTTGAGCTGGCGATGGAGAAGGGTTCCTCAGCTGCCCCACTGTAAGCCTTCTATAATCCTCATATTTAGCTGAGCGCGAGTCGATCAGAATAGTTAGCGAGTAATCATGAAGCAGTCCCGGAATCGCAGTGTGGGGTACAAGAAATAATGGGCAAGAGTTCACAGTTCAGAAGTTTGAATAGGAAATGGATGAACCACTGGGATGAACCACCCAGATCCGACATATCGGTTCTTCCTCTATAGCTTGATTTAATGTAGTGCCACCCTCGTATCGATTGGAGATAACCTTGGGAGACTCAAGTATAAATACCAATAGCGATGCCTGCTCAGGGAGACCAGAATAAGCTTCTGTTTATTTGAATTATCTGGGTAGGAAGTTTCTTTGGGCAATGTGTTGACATATTTGATGAATTACACATTCTCGCTTTCATGACCAGTCCATATGTGCAATTTGAGGCCCCGCAAATGAATCCTCGAGTGACACATCAGGAGGGTGAATGGCCAATACCATATTCAGTCAATCCCCCTTCGAGCACTTCATCAAATTGGAGAATAGCTTCAAATTGCCTTTTCCTAGCCTCTTCGTCTCGAACATTTGTATCTTCCAGGATGGCAATGTTACTAAATTCGTTCGCCATACGGTGTCCTTTTTCATCGATGGTAGCCTTCATCTCCGCCGCGGTGTCTGGGTGATAAGGAAACATGCCGTAAATATCCCTTTTGGTATGACCATGAATTGTACGATGGTGGGCCTCATATTTCCACCATTCTGCGACCGTGTAGTCACAGTCGGGCTGCGAGCGATTGAATTCCTCGCCATTATCATCTGAAGAATGAAGCGCATATGTCTGCTGTATCAGCCATTCCCCACCAATCTGCTGGCGAATGCAGCAATATAGCGACCGTTCGTGGACCAAATAGTTATGAAGGGGGAGGTCATGTGGGATCCTCCTTGCGGGCAGCACGACTCGCATCGGAACCCATGGGTCTTCGACAATAGTCCATAAAGTAGGTTGAACTTCATAAAGTATGTGACCGGGCCAGTCGCTATGCCTCTTCGCAACACGGGCAGTGATACCTAGGGGAGCCGATGCCACGAGCTCATATATGGCAAGGTACTCCTCGGAATTCACTGAGGAGGGAGGAAGATGGGAGGTCCACAAGTAATCATAGATCAAAACAAAAGCTTGTGCCGAGGGAAATCGCTCTTGCAATGTGTTCCAGAACTTTTGGAACGTACGATCAGGTTGCTGCCTAAAGTTCAAGAAGTGTGGAAGTTCAAGTTCCACCTGCTTAACTCGAGAGGCAAACTCTGGGCAGTGATGGATTGGCTTGAGGAATGGGCATGCACGATGGGGCCGATACCATATGTCATTCTTCCAGAAAATGTCCGAGCACTCACACCGGATGAAGGAGGATGTTTGCATAAGACGGAAAATCGTTGGTGGATCACAGAAGTTGAAGATAATTCGCTTGATCTCGAGGGGAAGGTTCATGAAAACAGACAAATCCATATCCAAGTCCTTTTCTTGGAGAGGCAATGATTCAAAAGCAATAAAGTGATGGAAGTACGTCAATGGAACCCCACCGTCGTCCCAGTCGTCCATGCCTAGCATGAGATCTGTCATGGCTGGCGGTATTAGCTTGTGGCGGTAAGATGACATCCTGGGCGATGACATGCTGGGAAGATGGGGAACAGAGGCTGGAAGCATGTATGGTGGATGATGGAGGTGAAGGTGAAGGTGAAGGTGAAAGAATATTCTGGTGAATTCACATTGCATATGCTGGTTAGTACTTACTTATTTGGATATATCAAGAGAAGACCTGATAATGGTCCACGGGTACTGGAATCATCTGACACATAATCTCGACCCCCTGCCGAAGTGGACAGGCGTGAAATATCATATATAACGAGACACCCCCGGCAGCTTGGCTACTTTCTTATGTATTCTCACAGGAAGTAGTATCGACAGCCAAAGCTATACAATAAAGTCAGTATCATTTCAACGTCCCAAGCCCAAAGACTCAAGAGAAGAAACTACCTCTGGCCACAAAATGTATCAATGTCAAAATTCAGGCAATGTAGCATGGTGGTATCAGATATGGGCGTGTACACTCAAGGCGAAAATCAAAATTTGAGAAGAAGGAAAGTCCGCTAGCATGAACCTGTAGCATAACGATCTCTTTGCCAAGAAATATGGATATAATGTGCATATGGAAGAGGGGCACGCTCGAGGCCAGTGGAATATCTGAGAAATAGGGAACACGTCCAGGTTCCTCTACTAAGGGCAGTTAGAGACATAAAGGGAGATCTAGAGGTGGCTTGTGGAAGGAAAGATGGTCTGAGTTGCTTATCTCTGCGCGTAAGCGCTTATAGTTCTACATCATCTCTGCTTACTCACCATACACCGCTAAGTCAGTTACCTCCCACTACAATATGTACATGGGACTTTTCAAATGCTCCCCAATCGGGAGAAACGGGTGTATATTGAGAAAAGAAGAGTGTACTTCATTCTGCCTCTAAAAGTAGTACCGAAGCCAAGCTCATAGAGATACCCAGTATTTTAAGCTAGGTGGTTGGTATGAAGGTATACAAAGCATAGCCATAATTGACGCTCCGGTGAATTCCCCAAGATCGTCAGAAGACGTGAACAATGCATTTGAAGGCTAGATCATGACTCAATTCTATCCAATGTCATTCGTTCTCACAATTCGGGAAATATTGGTTGAACTACAGTAAAGAGGGGAACTGTAGGACCCCACGGCGTGATTGGCTAGGGAGACCAATCACTTCCCAACGTAACTAACCCGGGGACGTAGGTGGCGTCCAATGAAAGGCAATTTGGACCATGACGCGCTTTTGTACCTGACCATTCGACTAGGGCTAATTGTATCGGAACGTGTACGGATTATATACGTTCTCATCAAAGGACCATAATCTCGCGACAAAGATAATGCAGTTCCTATTATCAAACGAGTCTAAGATCTGGGTCTAAGACCTGTCAGATACGCAGTTGCAGGAGACCTAGGTGGAGAACATGGATCAATTGAATTCAGAACACAAGACCAATAAACAGAAACAAGATAAGAATAAGATAGACCAGGTTTCCCAACCCCCTTTCCAGGATGCCGAGATACACATTCCATCCAGATGGTAAGAAACTAAGCGGGAAGCGAAAAGAAAAAGAAGAAAAATGGGGGCAAAGAAAGGGGAAAAAGAACAGGTCAAGAGTTCCGCTCCGGAAGTAACAAAGGTCGCGCGAGTCGGCCAGGAATGATGGAAGACGGGTTTTCGCATATCGCACGGGGCGCGTCCGGGGGTCGAGAGAGAGGGGATTCACAGGGTTATCACGGAGGTTGAGGAGCGGGAGTGGGATGTATTGGTATGGGCTGCCCCGGGGTGAATGAGGGTTCCTCGGTCGTTCATCGCTTCGTGGGTCTGCGGAGGTCGTAGGAAGGGTGATTGAGGGTCATATGGCGAGGGGGTTTTCTGTCAATGCGTTGAAATGGCTTATCTCCGCCCGAACCTGCTGCACACGGGGAAGCTCGTATCGTATTCTTTATTTCTTCTTTTGCTTTCGCTGTGGGGTGTTGGGTCCGCCGGAGCTCATGCTACCGTAAACGTACTTTTGTTTCTTTTCGGCTGGCTTCAGGATCTAGGGTAAAAACAAAATATATCAGTACGGGTGGAATGTTGATTATTGGAGGGAAGGAATTGGCTCACCTGGAACGAGCAGAGCAGGCTCTCGTCAACACTCATCATTGCACCTGCATTGTCGAATTCACCACAGTAGTTGGGTGCGCTGAAAAGCGTAACCAGCTGGCGCTTGGAGAAGAATTCGTAACCGTCCTCAACAACTTGATGCGCACGACATATCAAGTCCATATCGTGTTTCTGGAGGAATCGTGAAACCACATCGGGTCCGAATGTGAACGAAACACCACGGTCGTTTTCGCTCCATCCAGTGATATCCTTGTCGGGATCGGACCACAGGAGATCGCAGAGAAGACCGCAGTCGGGAATCTATTTCAGTCAGCGAATTTGGCTCTCAGCCGGAGGAGCTCTGACACCAATTTCTGGCCACATTTTCGAATCGACACAACCGCACGTGCCAGGAAATCCAAACCAGAATAAAAAGAAGAAAAACTTACATCGGTGGGGCGCATGACACGGCGGATCTGCTCCATCGAGTTCAGGTCGGGGCTCAGACCACCATGCATGGTGAAAATCTTCTCATCAATGATGGCGGCAATAGGCAGACAGTTGAAGCAATCAGTAAAAGTCTTCCACAGCTTAATGTTGTAGCGGCGCTTGCACTCGTCGTAGAATCCATAGATACGGTTGATAGAGGCGCACTCGTGGTTACCACGCAGAATAAAGAAGTTCTCAGGATACTTGATCTTGTAGGCGAGCAGGAGGCAGATGGTCTCGAGCGACTGCTTGCCACGGTCGACATAATCACCGAGGAACAGGTAGTTGGCCTCCGGGGGGAAACCGCCGTATTCGAACAGGCGCAGAAGGTCGTAGTATTGGCCGTGGATATCACCGCAAATCTAAACAAGAGCCCAACGCGTCAGAAACACGGCTTGCCCGTGGGGATGGAATGCTGGGAAAGAAGCTACAAACCTTGATGGGAGCTTCAAGCTCCAGGAGGATGGGCTGAGAGATGAAAATCTCGCGGGCCTTGGTGCAGAGGAAACGAATCTCTGACTCGAGCAGCTGAACCTGCTTGCCCGGCCGACTGCCCCTCACCTCCAGCAGTCGGTCAATAATGGAGTCCAAATCCACTTCCTGGTCGGCCATATCGGGCGGCCCCTAAAGAGACAGAAAAAAAGGAAAAGGGAAAAAAAACACCAAGCGAACCGGAAAAAGCACGCGCGGAAGAAGGGATGGCTTCCGGAGCGGGTGAAGTCTTGATTACGCGGTGATTATGTTCTGCAAATGACACACAGTTTAGCGATCAGTCCAAGAATGACAATGGAGGCAGTTTGATTCTCAAATCCCGAATCAGCGCCAACCGGGACAAGCGCGTTCCCGATGACGAGATTTTTTTTTTTCACCAGGGCAAAGTTTTTTTTCTCAACCCGATGCACCTCTCGGTGAAAGCAGAAACCGCCAGGCAAACAAAGGCAGACGTACTAGAAAAGGCGCTCAATGAGACCAAAGACTCAAGAATCTAAAGGCCCTTGCGGCCGCGAGGTATTGGGAAGACTTGGTCTGGCTGTAATGCCGGGAGACGATGTCGGTAAAACGCTCCAACAGAAAATTTTATGTGTGACTGAACAAAGAAAACCAGGTGGATAAAACCGGTCGTTCGGCGCCTCGAGTCGAGTGGAAAGAAACCACGAGTATTGGATTCGAGGGGATAGGAGGGGGAAGATCCGGAAGCGACGAAGTTTTCCGAAAGAGAAAAGTGAGGAAGAGAGTTCAATCAGGTGAGAAAGAGAATGGAATTCTCTCACAAGAGCAGATGCGAAAACTGTGGACGCGATGGAATCAAGTCTCGACGGGATGAGGAGAGGAGAATCTTGCACAGGGAGAGAAAGCGGGAAGGCAAGTGTGTTTGCAGTTGTTTGGCTTTGCGATCAACGCCATAACTATTTATATACCATTTTTCTTCGTATAACTTCATCATGGATTTAGATTGGAGGGCTTAATTATCTTGTTCATTCATTTACTTGCTAGCTTTCATTTTCGATGTTCTTGATGTTCATGGAAGTTTTTTATAATCCATTTGCCACCATTCCGGTCTCGCCGTGGAGGGGCTGCCTTGCCGCCGGTCGAGACTCATCGTATAAATAGCTAACAAAGTACTGTGTACGTACTGGGCCCCTGCGTCACCCCTCACAGAGATGATAGAAACACACCATGTATACTTGATAATACAATAGTATGACAGTAGAATCACTATAATGTCATTGTTCCCGGCACAGTCCCGGATGTGCTTGAAGCCCATGTTTTCTATTGGAAGCGTCTGGACCCTGACTACCACCAACTAAGGTACTTTACGGTGCTGCAAGCCCTGAGAGTCTAGACTGGAAATGGATGAAGTTTCGAAAAACATTTGATATTGTGAACTGGCTCATAGCATCATGCCACATACCCTTTATGAACAGAGGAATTCGCAAAAACATGCCCACGAGGCACAGAACAGAAACGAGAGGGGAATAAGTATGTGAGACAACCGAAACAACATAAAAAGCAGAATCATGCCACCAACGCCAACGTGAAAAATAAAAGGCAGAAAAAAAGCATAAAGTACACGCGCTCTAGAACTCGGTCTTTCACAATAGCTTCCGAAAAGACGGAACGGAAAAAAGTGCCGCAGGGTCATTTTGATGGGAAACATGCTGCAAATCAAATGGAGGGCGAGGGAAAAAATCGACAAGAACAAAAAAGACGGCCGTAAATGATCATACATCCAACCCACCATATCTCATAAGTCATTTAAACGCCATAAATATGCAAAGGGGAGCTGCTCAGGTGGCATGCTCAGAGGATATCGATCCGAAAAATGTGACAGGTGTCGTTGTTGATTAGTTTGAAGCCCCAAGTCGGATGGTCCAGAGGTCGGTGAAGAAGATCAATGTTTGTAGAGTAATGACAATGGGGGGCCCTCGAGGTCACCTTCGAGGATATGTACTTATCCACCCAAAGTATGGCCGGCGCTCAAAATAGCATGGCTATTAGTTCGGATGGGTGTAGCCGGGAGAGCGTGGTCCAAGCCGGGTCTGGCCAGATGGGCTGCAAGCTCGTGTTGTGGACTGTCCCAAGGGCGGTCCCCCAAGGCTGTAAGCCAGTTTTGACCTACATCCTGGCGAAGAGCTTCCAGCTGTTGGCGACAGAGCTCCTGATCCAGGACCCAGTCTTGAGTGGGGGGAGGTTGCGCTGCAGTCGCTTGCAGCAGAGGAGGACTGGATGAATTACCCTGCTTTGGGAGGCCCAGGAGGCTGGAAGATCCGGACTGTGCGGCACTGTCCTGCTTCCACGGATCATACGGAACCACGAAGGGTGATTGAGTCGGAGCATGGATTTGCTGGGTGGGAGAAATTGGATGGACTGCGGGACCTGGACTACCTAGCCCATCCGTAGTAAAAGGGTTCTCTGTTGATAGATCGACGATTCGGCGTCGCTGAGTCTTCTTTCGACGATTGGTCCCATCCACTTCATGCGGTGTCACGACCTTCGCTGTCAAAGATGGCTCAGCATCCTCACCAGGAGTCTTTGGCAACGGCTTTCCCTGAATGACCGCAGTGGTAGGTTTCTGGACTACAGGCACTTCATCAGCAACGCTGGAGCGCACCACGGGAGCAGCATCAGGCTCTGCGACTCGGTCAACAAGTTGTTTGCGCTCGGTGTAGCCAGGTCCGCGGCCATCAATAATGATGTCTTCGGCATAGCCAGGTGTGCGACGGAAGAGATTCATGATCACGACACGGTAATTGGAGTGGGTCTTGACGAATGGGTTGCCGGACACCCAGATCTCCCGTATCTCAGGGAGACTGGTCAGGCGCGCTATTTCCGTGGGGTCCATAAGGTTGTTATCGCGAAGGTCCAACCTCTCCAGAGACAGAAGTCGCTCAATGCCAGCCAAGGAACGAAGTCTGTTGCCGCGGAGGTTCAGAGCGGTGATGGCCGGAAGGGGGTTTCGGGAAAGAGAATGCATCGACTCGATCATGCAGTGAGACAGATTAAGAGCGCGAAGTGACATAAGGGAAGCCAAGCTATCAGGGATCTCAGTGAGAAGATTGGACGAAAGGTCCAGAGAGTTCAGAGTATTGGCCACCGGGGCCAGGCTCTCCGCAGAGATGGAAGTCAAGGAATTCTCTGGGAGGCCAAGGTGACGCAGGAACCGCCACTTTGTTGGGGGAAGGACACCCGGCAACAGGGTTGAAGAGCTTCCAGCTCGGCCGCCGCCAGATGTTTCACTAGAGTTGGAACTGCCCGAGCCGGTGCGCCGGATGCGGGCCGATTGACCTCGGCGGTGACCGTGCTTGGTCGTCGGACGTTGCGGTGAAATGCTATCCGCCCTCACACGGCGAACCTTTGCACCCTCAGACCCGGCTCGAATCATCGGAACGGACTTGGGGCTGGTGCTGCTTGCAAGTGCCGTGTCAGCGACAGGGGAACCGGGAGCAGACAAGGAAGTATGATTCGAAGCATGGACAGGCTGTGTACTGGAACTGTTGGTCCACCCAAGTGGTGGGGACTGTTGGGTCTTTGCGGAGCGTCGACGACGCTTGTCCATATCGTCCAGCACAATTCTTGTCAGAAGATCCGCCGGGTCATCGAGGTGAGCCCGCTTTATCGACAGGGTGCGTAGCTGCTCCGACAGTCGATCCCAGCCGTAGAAAGAATGATAGTCTATATCAATGATCTCTAAAGCACTCAGGTTTTTAAAGGAATGGAGCGGCACAGCCGTGTCGAAGGGAAACTCTTCATAACCGCGGATCAAACAGGCGCGGTGATCCGGGGCCAAGCGTAGACAGGGAATTTTAGTGAAAGCAGAGTAAAGATACTTCAGATCCCCCTCCAGGGCCAGCTTGGCCCTCTCGGACTTAGAAGCCGTGTCCTTGGACCCGAGGCCGAATGAGGACCAGAGGCCACTCATGCCAGACATAACGCTACGCACGCTGGATACGGAGTGGATAGAAGCTCCATCGCCACCCTTGGACCGCTGAGGCTTGTTCAAGAAGGAAACATAGGACTGGGAGACCTCGGTATGGATGTTCTCCAGCCGGACATTCATTGGCCCCACGGCAATGGATAGGTCTTCGAAGCGGGATAGGAGGTAGAAGAGGTGATGAGGTGTGAGTGTCAGCTTGGCGGGCTTAATGTTCTGCGATGCGAATCTCAATGCCCCAAAGGAGAGGGCGGAAGCTAACGAAGTGGACGAGAAGGCACCGGCTGCGGTCGTCGCGCCGGTGGGCGACTGTGGGGTTCCGGCATTGGACTGGCGCCGAAGTTGCAAAGCGTTGGCGAGCGCCTTTTCGTGGGTGCGGACAAAGCTTGCTAGGTTCTAGAGGTAAAATGATGTCTCAGTAACCACGCGAAACTCTCATGTTGATGTTGTACAAAAGTGGGTCAGAAAAAAAAAGACGTCAAAAAACTCTCACCTTTATGAAGAGTTGTCCATCTTCAGTGTTCAGCTTCTCCATGGTGGGGATGAGGGAGGGTAGGGTTCAAAGGAGATCCTCGCCTGAAGAACACAGAAGATTCAACAGATGCTACAAGGGACGGTCGACATTGTGCTGTTGCGACCAGAGAAGGATTGTCGCCTAGGCGATGCGAGGAGTTAGCGCGGGCGGACCAGCAAGGTGGAGAGGTCAGGGGAAGGGGTTTACCTGTAATGAGTGAACAGACTTGATAGATCAAATTGGAGATCCCAAGTCTAACGGTATTGAATTTTCCCTTGGAGATGGAGGAGAGTAGGGGGAGAAGAAGAAAGGAAATTGGTGACACGGGGTAACCGCTAAATAAAGACTTGTCTGATGATCGCAAAGATAACCATACATGTACCATTATCAAACCAAAAAAAAAAAATGCCCCTAAAACCTTGGAACCGTATAATTAAAAAAATTCTAATTCTAATTCTTATTATGATTTGATTTGATTTGATCCTCATCCCAATTCTTCCCCTCACATCCCTTATGAGTTTTGACTTCCCACCTCAAACACATAACATGACATGGACCTAACATACACGATAACGATGCGAACAATACGAAAGGCAAAAGACCGAAATTACACCAGCCATAAGATACCTCTAAAAGCCCCGGGCAATATTTGTTGCTAATTTCCTGCATCTACTAAACCCAGATAGGAGTAGGTGGCGACCCATGGAGGGGTCAGTCTAGGATTTAGTTTGATTTGCTCTTGGCCGCGTCTATCAGACCCTTCGGTTGGATCGTCCGAATCTCTCCTATGACGGGATACCATTGGGAATGCTCGATGACTGGTGTGAATCCTGCATTCGACTTAACTCGTCGGATTGGTATCATACTTCTGAGTCGATCCCCGAGCAAAGGCCCATCAGTGGGTCTCTCCGAGTGGTGGCCCCCCCTCATGTCCTCCGATCGACATACAAAACTTTGACGAAAAGGCAAGAGAAAAATTTTCAGGAAGTCGCAGGTTGTCTGCACAACAATCTATCTCAGCCAGCACCGATCTAAACTCGAAGCAGCCACCACCTCCAGCCGCCCATGCAGCCCGGGTGGAAATGCCGAGAATCAACGAGCGCAGTGTTTGGCTGACTTGCCCCGTGCTCTTTACTTAGATCCACTTCTTTTGTTATTTTTTTCATTCTTTTATGCACAAGTGAAGCCCGCTTTTCCTTACTCGCTCCCGAGTGGTCCTTGCCGGATCCTGCGGTTGGTCAGCTGCAAGTCTACGACTTTCTCGTGCAGCAGATCAAGCCTCTGTGTCCTTTTTGAGCAGCTGATTGGTTTAAGGCAACCTTCCTCATATCGCAATTTGGCGATGAATGGGAGAAAAAATGTCTAAACCAAAAAAAATTACCCGGGTCACGCAAAACAGAGAATGAAGACGAACGCGGGCCGTTTGTATTGATGGTGACTCCAATGAACCATCCTATCAGCCAATGACGAGGCGGGGCCGACCAATGCGCACGCTATCTGGGATGATCCGAGTCAGCTCGCACTGACATCTGACATTCCACTGGATCAAGAAGTGGAGTCGACCCGATTTTTAGGAGAATCTCCAAATAAAAATACATAACCTCATGAGGAAAGATGACATCAAAAGAAAAATCTACATGGGGAGATGGTGGGATGTGAAGCATTCCACATTTGTCTCCCCCCACTATCAGACTATACACACACACCGCTTCCTACATTCTTGGGGATTCACCCGCTGGGCGTCAGTTGAGCCATGGTTCGACGTGACCCCTTCATCTCGGGTCGAATGAATTCAATTAATGTGACGGGGGCCGCGCAAGTAGATTTGGATACATCGTGCTTCCAACGTTGCCTGCGCCTCACCCCCTTGACCCGGGGCTTCTGAGACGTTTCAAAGTAGAGAGACCTATACATTGTAGAAGTTGTGTTTTGTCTTGGATCATTGAGAGAATCATAGAAGCGCCCCCGGAGGCGGGGGTTTTTATCTAGGAGATAAATGTATGTGCTATACTACATTCCGCACCCCAGATGTTGCAGGCGCTCGGTTCAACATCTGATCCTAACCTTGCCTGCAGTTGCAAGGAGTTCGCATGCAGCTATCCTTGCAGGTTTTAACTCCGCCTGTCCCTCTCTGTGCCGCCCTCAGCTTGCCGCGTTTTTGCGTCTTTTTACGGTCAGCTCCCCCCTTCAACAATGTTTGAAGCACATGGGAATCTGAGAATCAGGAATTGGAGATCAGAATCAAGGAGGGGTTAAGCCACATGAGAATGCGATCGACCAGTTGCCCCGCCCCCTTGAATGCGTACGCAGGGGAACTCTGAACGAATTTGACGTCTCTCGGACGTGGACCGGACTTACTCCACTCCGTCGATCCAGCACGAGGAGACGATAACTCGTCCAAATCGTGGGCGACATCCTCATTGGGTAAGACGCAGAGTCATTTGTTGCAGTGCCAAGACCGGTGGCTTGACTGAACCTGCATCTTTGCTTTTTGACATCGGAGAGTACTCACGCCACAGATACTTCGAGTGTAGCGATCTGCGGAGAGCCAAATAGAGATGGGGGCTACGGGGTCACTTTCTTTTTCCATGGCGGATTATCTTTTACACAACTTCGTCTACACGGGCACTAAAGTAGTGGAGGGTGACACTCGCTTCCGTCTTTAGTGCTGATTGTCAACATGTCTAGCTAGAGTAACCTAAAAGGTGTCGGCGGCTACCGCGCACCACATTCTAATTAAATGCAACGCGTACCACCCATGACCTCTGCCACTCGTAATGGCTGTAGTCGGAATCTGAGATCTGATCGGGGTAGCCGACAAGGTACCTGCAAGAGGCTGGGGGAAAGGAAAGCGAAGCCACGGTGTTTGCTTTTGCCTTCTTTTCTCTCATTCGGTCGATCGGCATGATCAGCAACAAGGGGCCACAAGACGGGGATTGTACATAGAGAGGGAAAGGCTAATTCCTAGTAACCCAGAGGTTAATTAGCCTCTCACCCGCAGATCGGGGTTAACGGTCAGGTGATCATAGCTCGGTTTTATGCCGATGCTGTCCTCTCCCGTGGGCGGCTAAAACAGGAGCCTTGACCAGCCCATAGGGTGCTTTCCTCCCCATGACGGCTCCGATCAAGCCTATAAAAAAAGTTTTTCGGCCTATCACCATCCTTGTTCAGCCCTGTGTTACGAGATCTGAACGCCTCACATCTAGCGGTGAAGCTTTGCCCTGCGCGCCGGACGTTTTAACTTTCTATTTCCATGGTAAATCTTGGTATAGCTTCCTTTTCTATGGTCCGTATGGAGTAGAGATGGAGCAGTTCGGAGGTTCAATGACATGAGATAAGTCAGACCCGTAACACCGCCCGGTGTACTAATTTATTTTAGCGTCGTTCGATCGATCGATAGAAATCTCTTCGGAGATGATAGGAAGACTGGCGCAATACTCCAGTGACTTTGCCCCGCGGTCGGAAGGAAAATAAAAAATTGACTTCGATGGTTTGAATTGAGCTGATAAACCCCGCCATAACAAATTTCAGTGTTGATCATGTAGCTCAACCATGGATCCTTTTCCCTTATCTCTGCGGGGCACTCTAACCAGCCACAACCCAGTTCCCGTCAGCCACATGCCCCACTAACTGTGGCTAGCCGGTCCTGTAACTAGTCATGTGATGCTGACGTCGACGTTGAAAGCTGTCCCAACCGGATTCGGTTGCTTCAACGTAGGAGCTGTACCTGGATTGGGATTTGGACCATTATGCCCTGAACATGTCGGCGGAGAAGGCATCACCTTTTGATCAGTATGATCCGGCAGGATTACCAGACTTTGACCATGATTTTATGGATCCCGACGAGCTTGACCGCTTCGAGAGGGCCTTGAATGCCCCGGAAGCTTCCCCACTGGTAGCCATCAACGACTGGCGCCCGATTAACCAACGAGTACGAAAGACACGCGGTCGGCGGAAAACCCCGAAGCGAAGCAAGGACGAAACCAGAGAAGGAGTCCTATACACGGTACTCAAGTGGCCATTTCTGTTTACCGTGTTCGCATGGATCGCCTTCTTGAGCTGCGGTTACGTACTGGTGCGGGTGTACATCTTCCTATACGAACAATGGGTCACATGGCGGGGCAAGAGAGAGCGGCTCCGCCGAGAGCTGTCTTCGAAGACAAACTATCCTGACTGGCGAAAAGCGGCCCAGGCGTTGGATGCCCATCTTGGGAATGAGGAGTGGAAGCAAGCGGACGCTTACGCTTACTATGACTCTGAGACTATCACCAGGGTTGTATCGGAGCTGAAGAAAGAGAGAAAAAGGGCTGAGGCTGAGCTGCAGCACGAGCGCCCGGGCGCCGCAGAGCCTCCAGCTGTCGAAGATCTTCGCTCCTTGCTGGAGGCCTGTGTCAAGAACAACTTCGCCGGAGTGGAGAACCCTCGCATCTATAGTCAGACCTACTCAGGAACCAAGGACCTAGTTCAGGAATACATCGATGAGGTACATGCCTGTATCCAATTAGTGTTGGATAGCAAGCAGATCGACCGAGACACCAAGAAACAACATTTCAAACAACTTGATACCAACTTTGGACGCACGGCGCTTTGTCTGTCGGGTGGCGCTACATTTGCTTACTATCATTTTGGGGTGGTCAGAGCATTGCTGGACAACGATATCTTACCGGAGATTATCACGGGGACGTCAGGTGGAGCACTAGTGGCAGGATTGGTGGCCACTCGAACCGATGAAGAGCTAAAGCAGCTGCTGGTACCCGCCCTAGCCCATCGCATCCGCGCTTGTCATGAAGGGTGGACCACCTGGGTTCGTCGTTGGTGGAAAACGGGCGCTCGGTTCGATACGCTAGACTGGGCCAAGCAATGCAGCTGGTTCTGTAGAGGTTCCACTACATTTCGAGAAGCATATGAACGAACAGGGCGCATCTTGAATGTGTCTTGCGTTCCCTCAGATCCTCACTCCCCGTCTATTCTGGCGAATTATCTCACTTGTCCGGATTGCGTCATTTGGAGCGCAGTGCTCGCTTCTGCGGCAGTTCCCGGTATTCTGAACCCGGTTGTGCTGATGTACAAGAAGCGCGATGGTACTCTTGCGCCTTACTCCTTCGGGCATAAATGGAAGGACGGTAGTTTGAGGACCGATATACCAATCAAGGCACTGAACTTGCATTTCAACGTGAACTTTACCATTGTCTCGCAGGTATGACCAGTCAGCCAATCCATTTGAGCTCAGCTATTAACATCATTTTTAGGTCAATCCGCATGTAAATTTGTTCTTTTTCAGTTCCCGGGGAACTGTGGGTCGACCAGTCACCCATCGCAAGGGTCGTGGCTGGCGCGGCGGCTTCCTTGGTACGGCGATTGAGCAATATATCAAACTAGACCTCAACAAGTGGCTGCGCGTGCTTCGGCACCTTGAGCTTCTGCCAAGACCTTTGGGCCAAGACTGGAGTGAGATTTGGCTACAGAAATTTAGTGGCACAGTCACGATCTGGCCGAAGACTGTGGCATCGGACTTCTACCACATTCTCTCTGACCCGACGCCGGAGCGGCTTGCGCGCATGATCCACGTTGGTCAGCAAAGCGCTTTCCCAAAAATTCAATTTATTAAAAACCGGCTGAACATCGAAAACACTATTATGAGAGGCCTTCAGCAATGCTCCGCCACTGGACGCTCTTTATCCCCAATTTTATCTCGTCGGTTACCATTTCCGGACAATGAAGACCCCCTGGTCGAGCGATTGGATGACAACTTTCCCGAACGCCATGACTACAAAGGCGATTCGACAGACGATACTATGTCCCAATCAACTTTCTCGCGCTCACATTCCCCAACCTCAAATCCTAGGAGGGGTAGCCTTATGGAGGAAATGCGCCGCCAGTCAGCCGTCTTCTTTGACGATGACCTTTACGGCGATGACTACGCTGCCGTCACCTGAGATTAATCGGCGGCTCATGCGCCCGGATATTATCTAGCAGCCCCCATGACGTCGAGCCGGGTCTTACTCATTCGGGATACTTGCAGCCCCGCTTTCCGTCATGGTACTTCCGCCCGATGTGATATGCGATATGACAGGCGGCTCATGCTGATCTCATCCTAAGCTACGGGTACTCTCGGATTTTCCATTATATTTATCTGATGTCGTGATTTATCCTTTTGCGTCCCCGCTATTCATACCCTCATGGAGTTCTCTCAGCCAAGCCTGTATACACGTTCAGCCTTAAACTTAAAGCTTTGTATTCTCAGACTGTTCCTTACGAAGTTACGACTATCTTCTTTTGGCCTTTAGCTTTTGTTGTGCGGGACGGTGCGGGGAAGTCCCATGTCATATACATATTTTCGGCCATTCTTATCAGCCAGCGTGTACTATTATATTGATATTTCAGGAATGGTCCACTAAGGTCATCCCAGCTGTTAGTCTACGAAATCCATAACTATTATCATAACCCATGCATGATCGACACCCGCAGTAGCGCAGGCGATACCAATATATTCGATATGATACCACTCATAGAAGCAATAATGACATCACTCCAAACTATATAATTTATGCATCCGCGCATCATTCTATTATACAAAATAGCCCCTGAGCGCTAATGTGCTGCGAGATGCTGTCATTTAATTTATTATACTCCTCCAGGACCTCGCTATCTACAGTCGATCTATTGCCAAGGTGAGTATAAATTATGGTAAATTTGTTGATCGTCGGGCTAGGTTGACCTACCCGCATAACCTCGTTGATGGTCGATGTACTTACATGGGCCGTTGCCACGTTCTATCTGCAAGTAGAAAGCGCATGTTGATCTTCCAAGTTAATTCATTCAGCGGAATAGTTTACTTTGTACAGGCTACCTATTACTGACGTTTTCTGGACCCATCAACCTTGGAACCTTGGAACCTTAGAAAGCATCCACCCATGAATGCCACAGCTGCATTACGCATTGTTGCATTCCCCAACCACCTCGACAGCACACGATGATCCAAAAGGCACTAGGAATACGTCACGAGTACGCTGGGCGTGCATTGGAGACCCCGGACCCTAATTGTTTGAGATTGGACTGGATAATATACAAACAAATTTATATATAAAAACACAAGGTGTCCGGAGCCTCCACCACGTGCCTTGATATACCCTAATCCTCACCAGCTACCTAGGTAGCCAATACAGCACAACAGGATAAAGGCTCTTGCACTTTCAGATTTGAGGAAACTAAGGGTCGCCCCCACATTAGGTCTCCGAAGCTACGCCGACGTTTGTTTGCCCGAGTGAATCCAGTGAAAATTTTGTAAATCTACTCATTTCTAGGTGAGCTTCTAGTCGCGGTCTAGGAATAGTATATCGCCACTGCGAGGTCATATTCACAACCGTTGGATTTCACAAGCCCTTTGAAACCTCCTGCACTTGTAAATCCAGCTGAGTAACATCCTCCTCGTCCGAGGAAGACGATACACTTCTACCTTCCTCCCGACGTTGTAACATATGAATCCCCACAACCCACAACACAAGCACAACACTGCATACCAAAGCAGAAGTAAACCCAGGTCGAAAGCGGGGCGACTCAGCTGTCCTCCAGACAGCATCGTCATACCAAATCATCATGATATAGCAGAACATATTAGACACGGCAATGACAAACCCGCGCATTTCATGATCACCTTTCATCAGATCCGGAAACCAGGAGAAGTAGACACCCGGTACACCATAGGCAATCCAGAGTACATAGTAGCCAAAGTATCTCGCACCCAAAGGGACGTTCCACACAAGTAAAATCACAATCCCAATGAAAGTCCCCGCTTGCATGACAGTAATCATCTGCCACCGTCTACCTCGAAAAAGTGGGGAATCGGAAATCATTCCTGCAGCAATCTGCGCGACGACTGCGACGGCCGACTGTCCTGTTGGTAGGACGTTGACTTGTGAGACAGAGTATCCTTCCGCTTTGAGCCATAGTGCAAATGCTGGCTGCTGGTTCGGACATGCGGCTTGCACGAGGAAATATCCAATGGGTAAGACCCAGGCTTGCCAATGGCGTGCGATGCGAAGAATCTTCCACCGATCCCACGAGGATGTCCCCAATTCTGCGAGTCCATCTGAAGCAAGTCGGCGACGCGCAAGCTGGATCTCGTCGGCTGTGAGGTAGAAGGCGCGGGTTGTCTCGGGGAAGTCAGGATTGCAGACGAAGCCCATTAAAGCACAAGGGAGGCCGATGATCCCGCATATAATAAACAGCCATTGCCAGCCCGCATGACCAAGGCGTCCATTCAGACCATCGTAAGCGCCTGCTTGGAGGTATCCGCTGAACATGGTGGCTAGCGAGGTCGTGGAATAGAATATGGTCACGCGTTTTGCCCGTTCGTTCGCCGTGTACCATGAGCCGATGAGGTATACAATACATGGGAAATAGGCTGACTCGAAAAGACCGACCAAGAAACGAAGGGCGTATAGCTGCTGGACTGTACTCACCGTAGCGCAGCAGAATGTGCAAATTGACCAGAGCAATTCACAGCTTGGGATCAGAATCGAGGGACGGACGCGTGTGACGAGGATTACTGCTGGAATTTGGCCGATCACGTAGCCAGCCGTGAAGACATTTGACATGTAAGTCAGCTCACTGCCGCCCATGTCAATGGCCTCTTTCATGCCTGAGACATAGGCATTGTCGATGTTGGCTTGGGCCAGGTTCTTGCAAAAGTATCCTAGGCATGTATAACTCAAGAGGTAACAATCCAATTTGAACAAAAAGTGTTTCTCTTCGCTTGGTTTGTCAGGATCATCCCAAACATATCGCTGGATGCCTCGAAGGGCACGAATGTAGCCACTTCTGGGCTTTACTTCGTGAGTTACGGCCATTGTGAAAGCTGGCCATGAATATGCTAGAGGCAAGCTTGTTTAAATACTGCGCGGGGTTTGATTCGTCATCTATGCATGGTTGCTGACGCCATGGTGCCTCTAGATGGCAAGGCATGGCGATGTACAGCTTTGTACGCAAGTCAAGGAGAATGAATCACTTAAACATATTGTATGCTTTGATTGATAGCCCATACGCTGATGAGGAGGTTGATCATCAACTTTGCTTATTGTACAGAATAGTAATGTCTTATCAAACATAAAGATTTGGATCCGAGGAAGTTTGGATACTTTTGATATGTATGGACCCAGCCCCACAAAGCTTAGTATGCTAACCGAAAGTCCCGGCTGTCAATTTGTTAGCAGCATGATTTGCCCCAAAGCTCGTTCATGAAGCCCCTCATGTCGTGATACCTTAGTGCAAAGAGCCATCCCGCATGATAATTGCGTCAACATTGAGGCTTGCCCACTATTCCGAAATTATGCACATCTGAATCATGTTCTCATAGCACTACCAATCCTTTAGATAAAAAGGGCATTGAATCATTGTGTTTGATAATCAGAAAAAAATAGTAGACCCCGCATGAACGAGACAAAGCACCTTGTCGCTTAATTCCTGTATTCGATGATGCCATCGAGCTTAGCTCTCCCCGCTGACGCGGCAACAAGAAAAGAAATGCTGCTCTTCAACTTGGAACATGAATGCGCTGCATCATTGCAGGAACCTCATAATCATGTCTGTGACTTTGAGCCTTTCGATGGACCAGGATCCTGCCAGGTCTACGGTCATGGCTTTCCGTACGGGCTTCACGTTCAGCCCCAGCCAATGGCGGATGTACAACCCATTTAATCGATGACTTGGCCGCTTCCTTAGCCGAGCTAGCACGATCCGGCCACATATCGAACTATTGCAGGAACACAGTGCGGTGGTATTTAGTAGTCTGGAGCATGCATTAAAGGAAAGGTTTTCATGACTGATAAATGTAATCGAACGAGCTCGCGTTCGGTACCGTATGTGTAGACTGAATTCGCAGGAGAACTGAATATTGTTGATTGTATTAACCAATGGTACTTGGAGGTTTTTACTACGACACCACAAAGTGTTAGTAGGACACCTCACTAACCATCTCTAACCTAGCTTAGGTAATTGGATAAACGCAATCTGATCGTTAACTATCACGTTCGCGTTAGGCAAGGTACAAAACCCAAGCAGTGGCAAGTCTACGAGTGGGAACACTAGGTGCAACCAAACATACATGTGTCTCTCGCTAGCGATATGTAGCAGTAAGGCAGCAGTTTTAGAATAGCTTAACATAAAGTTTGGATAATCGCATGGAACGTCTCTAATTCTTATGATTTATGTCGCTGCGTTAGATCTTATAGCCAGGGTGCTTTTCTTTGATATGGACACTCCGTACATACATTACCTGAGAAGTTGCGTAGTAAATATCCCGAGTTACAAGTGCGAAATCTATTCAAATACGGATAGTAAGGTGCCATAGAAAAGATTTGTGGCATCGCAGTGGCAATGTCCTTGTATTTCATGAGCTGATCCTAAATGAGAATCGCGGTTATCAAGCAGGTGAAGGACTAAGATCACCAAAATGCAGATATTGAAACCGAATGATGATCTTGATTCTTCGCGTGATTGGTCGATCTACGTGAGAGGAACTGAGGAAGTGATCCTGGGATATCAATAGTGATCTTGGGACACCCTCACTCCTCCTTCCAGGGTATAAATACCCCCATTGTTTTCTTCTCTCCCTCTTCCTTCTTCCTTCTTCATCCACCTCCCACCTCCCACCTCCAAGTTCTATCTTCCACTTTCAACTTTGAACTTGCTTCTTCATTCCACTCCGAACTTGCTTCCAACCCTTCCAAGTCCCAACTTCATTCCTCTTCTTCTTCGAACTTGCTCCATCTCTTCCATGTTCCAAATCTCACTTTCAGATTCCATCATGCACCCATGCATGCAATCATTCTTCAAATTGATGCATCATGTCAAGCCTCCTTGACACATTGATCACACGCTCCGATCAACACCCACTCTCAACTTGCCTTGACAAGCTCAGGGTATGTTTACAACCATCATCCTCCATGCTTTGCTAATCTTCCAGATTGTGCGAGTCTTCCCTCCTCCAGATGGCCCACCAAAATTTGCTTGCCCATCAAACGAGTCTACCGAAAAGCCACTCCTCCTCCCCAAGCATTTTTCGTCTCCAAACACACAGCTCGAGCTCGTCACTCGGCTACCATCCGTCATGAAAAATCCAGTGAGGTCGCCGCCTTCTAATTCGAAACTCGACACCGGATACAACATGAACCCCTTCAACGTTTCATTGTGGTGTGAAGGCACAAGCCACAGGTTTACAACGACAGGCAAGCGGTGAAGAAGCACTGGCCAAGAAACAACTTGTTTCTCAAGTCCTGTCTCAACAGACATCAGGTATCTATTCAGTTTATGTGTTAGGATACCCACACTCGACTTCTTCAATTCCCACTTCATGAACAAAACAAACACAGCACAACACAACACAACACAAAACCCCAAAGAAGATGGGTCACCGATTAGCGTTGAATGCACTGTGACCGGTGGAATGTGAAAGGACTGATGCGTGTGTTTATACTTTGATTTGATATGTCGGACAAGATGGGCAGTACTTCCAATCATGTTGATTTTTGTAACAGACTAGCCCCAAGAAACAATGCTCTTCTATTCAATCTTTACATTTTTCTCTGATGCACGTACCCAGAAGTGCTTACAGGATAACTCTTTGGGAATGATGTGTTTGTCCGGAATACTTGCAGGATTGTGGCATTATGACATTGCTCAGGGCCATAGGTAAGAACTAATCTGAGGTCACATTATCGTACACATTGTAAGCACATTGAAGAATCTCTTAGCCAGCGTTGCTAATTATATAACAAGCCATGTATCAGTGACAGCTTTCGCGGCCTGTTCATCGCCACCGAGTGTATGAATACATTGCAAGGCATAGGCAGCTTCACGTGTGAAGTCTTCTACAAACTTCCGTGAGACCTCAGCTTGATGTGAGGATTGGTCAGCCTCACCCATTACCACATCGGCTCCGTCTACTGGGACAGGTGCTTCATCACCCTGTTCCTGGATCTCTTGCCCGAGCTTGAGTACCTTTTCGTATCCCTCAATGGCCAGGTGACCCAACCCAAGACCATGATAGGCTCGTGCAAAATTGAACTCCATTTCTTGTCGCTCCTGGAGCAAGGTTCCAGGCTTCATTCGCACCCGGCGGTATTCATTCAGGAAGGAGATTCCTTGCATAATCAAGTAGTGTCGGTTCTCAGACTGTCGTTTGAGAGAGTGGTGGATGAAGCAAAGCCCGATAGATAGAAGTAAGACTGGGTTCTGATCATCTAGAGCATATGCGCGGAAAAAGTAGTTCAGAGCCGGGTAGAAGCTGCCTCCTGAGTAAAGAATATGTCCGTAAAGGATAAGAAGGGCGATGTCGAGTGACTCTGCGGGTATTCGCTCCCCAGATCGGTCCTTGGTTGTAAGAGAGGCACGTTCCTTCCAGAGAGATGGCCGAACGAGGTTAGGTTTGTTCGGATCGTCTGGAAGGGTGAAGTCCATTGCTTTGATCTGACGGAGCATGAACTTCATGTTTGGGGAATTGAAAAATTGTGGCTTGTGTGCATCACCAGAGATACGACTCAACATGGAGAAAAGACGATATGTGTCAGTGACAAATTGGTATTCCTTGATGAACCATCGCGCTTCATGCGCCAGAGCTTCCTCGTCATTCGCCCGAAGGGCGCAGGTAAACCAGCAGACATGAATCAGACGCGATTTTGGCTTGGAGTGGAACCAGATACTGGCTACAGCCGCAGAATTGAGCGCGTCGTATGCTTCTTCAACTTCTCCCTGTGAGGTCAGGAGGAGCGCATATTGAAGAAATAGATCAAGCCAATCATCAAATGATATGCCATAATATTCGTCGGGTATAGTATCTGACAAGGATTCATCGGGACGATCATCACCTATACAAGGATATTAGCTCGGAGCCATAGCCAACTTGTGAGGAGGGGGGCTTGACTCACCTATACTTTTCTGGAGACGACCAGCTAACTCGTGAGCTTCGTTCAGCAGAGTAGCACCCTTGCCTTTGTCTTTCCTGTGGTATCCCTGGAATTCCATTTGCCGTGTCATGGGATAGAAGATTCGGTTGGATCGGAAATCACGAAGTAGAGCATCAGCAATGTCAAGCCAATCCTCGGTAGCTTCATAAACCCCATCTTTAACTTGTGGTTCCAGCTCCTGCAATTTCTGGTACAAGAATTGAACATCCTCTATTCGCTGACCTTCTTCCCCGGCGGGCGTTTCTCGGTCAGGACTCAAGGGTGCCAGGCCTGTAAATGTCGTAGCTGATTTTGGCGCAATTGGTATAGGAGCCCCGGATTCGGCTTCCCTGAACTCAGCTGCAAGCTGCTCTAGTCTTGCGTCCTGCCTACGCCGGGATCTGCCTTCCTGTCGCCCAAGTACAACTGCCTCGTTGATGTACTTCAATGCCTGGTCGCTCATGCCAAGGCTTTCGTACAGCTTGGCGAGCGCAACTCGTGATTCCATATGTCTCGGGTCATGCTCGGCCACAGTCAGATAGCCTGTTTCAGCCTCTTCCATTTTGCCGAGTTGCATACAGCAATCAGCCATTGCCATGAAATAGCCGATATCTGCATGCTCATCAGTCTCCTGGATCGGGAGATAAAACCGATAAGCTTCTTCGGGCAACCCGCTATCCTTCAGGGCATCTGCGACCTCGCGGAAGAGATCACCAAAATCAAAAATGCGGGCACCTTCCGAAGTGTCATCCGGATTCAGCCATTCAAAGTGATGAAGAGCTTCTTGGTGGTGTTTGTAACCCATTTTGAGTCGAAAGAGCCCCATTTTGATGCGAAGTTCAAGGGGCAACCCAAGTCCATATGAGTCTATGGGCCATTGGCCAGGCACATACCCATTAGTCTTGATACGACGAGGAGCATCGTTGAAGTCCCATTCTCGGTCATCGTCCTCAAAATCATCCCAAAGTGCATCGTCGCCGCGACCCAGCAGCCATCTGGAAACGGACTTTAGGGCACGGAGTCCTTGAACAGGTTGACCGGTAATGCTAAAAAGCTCGACGTAAATGTTGACCTCAGACCAGCTAAGACGAGTATCCTGAGGATCAAGGGACAGGTAGAATTCCATGCTATTTACCCAGTGGTCGATGGCTTTTTGGACTTCGTTAAGGTCGATGTAGATTTCCGCCAAGTGTCGAAGGGCCCTTGCATTGTGCGGCCGATCCCTTAAGATACGCTCATACTCACCAGCTGCCCTGCCGTTGTACATGAGTTCACGGTAGATTGCGGCTCTCTGATATCGAATATTGTAGTTTTTAGGCTCGATTTCAATCACACGGCTGTAGCAGTAGATGACATCATTTAATGCCCTTTTGCGGTCTTGGCCAGCACGCTGCAAAATAAGACGCGCGACCTTGAGCCAGACAGTGGAATCCTTGGGCCGGGTGTGAGCGCCGTTAAAGAGAGCCGCCAAAGCCTTATCCTTTTGGCCTTGGGCCAGGAAGATTTCAGACAATAGGGAATGGGCCGGGAACATTTCAGGGTTGTTCTGGATTGCACGCATCACTCGGTCCATTGCTCGATCGTAGTCGCCATCGATGAATGCTTCGGTAGCTTCTGAGTGCAGCATCTTGAATTCTGGACCAGGCTCTAGAGGTTTACGAGGGCCTCGTTTTATGCCCTTCCCACCACGGGCTCCATAACGACCTGAGAAGCGTCCCCCGCCTCGACGTTGGCGTCGACGTCTTGCATCAGAATCAGAATCATCATCTTCCGGCTCTTCATCATTGCTGGGAATGCCATTAGCTAGTGAGGTTTTCTTTCCCCTCTGGTGAAGAAACATACCTCTCGCTTTGGTCTTCGTATGCAACATAGTCCGAGTCATCATCTCCCTCGTCAACCCCTCGAGGATCCGGTGTGAAATCTTGGCTATCCTCAGAAATATCGCTGTATTCATACTCCTGTTCTTGATACTGAGCTTGATTTTGGGCTTGAGTAACACGTTCTGCGGCCTGAGAGGGCAAGGCGGTTCCAAAGAGTCGAGGATCAATTGCCGCAGCAAAGACATCTTCAGGAACGAATGGTTGATTCTCAACCCCCTGCCATGGATACTGCACCTCTTCATCGATTTCTGGATAGGCAGCATAGTCATTTGGATGATCCATTGGGGTATCCGAGTCTGCCATGGCGACTGATGATGCGACGAAATGACTTATGCATAGAACCAGAGCGTATCAATAAGATAAACCAAGGTCTTTCTTTCCCCTCTAATAAAGCGTAGGGTAAACCGTGTATGGCAAGTCTGGTGCAATCAGGCCTAGGCTAGCGCTGGGACCATGGCCCAGACCGCGTATAGAAGCTCGCACTTGGAGGTCTTGTCGCGGGCGTTTCAAATGCAGGGGCGAATGTCCATAGTAACCCAAGCTCCACCCAAAGCGACTAAATGCAAATTGGAAAGTGAATTAGGAAAAGTGAATAGCTTGGAAGATAGAAAGGAAATCAATTCCAGTTGGTTTTCCCTTTCCATTCCAGAATTCGCGGGAACCCGTGATCGCCTTGAAACCGAGACACACTCGCTTTTTCTGCCGCAATTTCTCTTCTTTCTCCTCTTCTCCACCATCTCTTTCTCGACCTCTCCTCCCCTTTCATCCCCGTTTTTTTCTTTTCTTTTGGTGCCGGGACCGACAGGGCTTGCTGTGTTTGACACACTATTGCCTTCCTGGTCCTGACTTTCCTTCGTTCGGACCTAATACCGATCGCAAATCTCCAGGTGTCTTTCTGGCTTCCGCTTCCTCCTGAGGTGCAGCCCACTGGACTGGTCTGTGCCCCATTACTTGTCGCCTAAAACTCGAGATTTGGGCTTTGCGGATCTCCGTCCAGTCTTTCGGTCCAGAATATTTGATTCTATTTCATTACGCAAACTCAGCAGGTGCTGCAGGTGTTTTGCAGTAATCTTTTCCACCCCACTGTATTTACTATTCAGACCTTTCAACCGAAATCCCGAAACCAGTAGACATGGCCAGCCATATCATTGGAAACCGCAACAGCACCCCGGAAGCCGCTCCGAACTCCACTTTGCGTCCTCCATCGTCCGCTCGAAACCTCGGATCGCATCAGCTGCGAGCGTCGGCCGACATGTCCGGATTCCCCTCGCCGCTGTCCTCCCGCAGTATGCGTCCGTCCTCGGAAGTTTTCTTCAACCAACAGGGTCAGAATTCGACGGAAGATGCGTTGGACCGGGCAGCTCAGCAGTGGTTGGCGGACATTGACCAGAACGAAACCACACTGGAGGAGATGGCAGCCGCTACACTTGATCAGGACTTCAAGGATGAGCTCAGCGCTATCGAGCAGTGGTTCCGCGTTCTGAGTGAGGCGGAGCGGACGGCTGCCCTATATGCTTTGCTACAACAGACTACCCAGGTGCAGATTCGCTTCTTCATCCAGGTTCTGCAGCAGATGTCCCAGGGTCACCCGATGTCTGGGATTCTCTCTCCGGCCAACTTCGGCGAGAAGGGTATGTCCATCTTTTCCGATTTGCGCTTCGAGGAACGATTCAGCTAATATTTGCTCCAATTTCTAGATGCCATGTCTAGTCGCTTAAGTGATGCCATGTCTAAACTCAACATGGATACATCACGAAGTTCCTTGGGCCGGCCCCCACCATCTCCAGGCGCCAAACGTAACTCGGCACTTGATTCCTCTACTATTAATGCCATGTTCCCCGATGCCGCCGCTGCGATTGCGAAGAAGAAGGCGGAATTTACTCAGCAAACAGGAAACGCACCTCCCTCGAACCGCAACAGTCTGGTCTTCGGTGACCGAACCTCGTTTGTTGCCCCCACCATTTCGGCGCCTGACAACAATGACAGCCTGAGCCAGCCTCCGGCGTCTCCTTGGGCCCAGCGTGGTGGTCTTTCGGACACTCAACCCCCCATTGCCCGGCCGAAATCATCTTCCGGTCACCAGCCCATGGGTCAGTTCAGCCAGCCCTCTGCCTCCGGCCTCCGCTCTCCTCTTCCTCAGACCGCCACCATTCCTGCCCCGGATATTGAGCCTCCACTGCTCTCGCCATACAATGTTGGAAACCACAGCTGGGCGTCGATGACCAACACCCCAATGACTGCTACCTTTGGCCAGCAGCAGAACCAGGGCAACTCCCAAGCTGATATGGTGGCAAATGCGACAGCTATGAAGCTGGCCGCTTTGTCCACTGTGAACAACCGTATTGCTCTCGATGATGCCCGCAAATACCGCCGGTCTCGATCGAACGATGGCCAAGGACGGAACTCTGTTAATCAGGGCCTTTCGCAAGGCTTGGCGAGTCCCGGTTTGCCTGGTTCCAATCCCATGGCTGGACAATTCCTGAATGCGCAGCAACTCGCCGCTCTGCAGGCCCAGCAGCAAGCTGCCATGGCGGGTCGCCGGTCTCGTCCGACGTCTCCCGGTATTGCCATGCAGGGTGCTGGAGCACTCGGTGGCATGAGCTTCACCTCGCCCCAGAACAATGGATTCCTCGCGGCCTACGACCCAAACAATCCGTTGATGGGTAATGGATTGAGCTCTCTGGGCATTGGGCAGTTTGGTCTGGGTGGTGAAGGTTATCTGTCTGATCATTCTGAGGTCACCCGTGGACGCTCGCCCCGTGGTCGCCGTGGTAGCTCGAAGCCGCCGGAGGACCCCACGGACCCTACTCTTCTGAAGGACATCCCCAGCTGGCTGCGATCCCTTCGGCTGCACAAGTACACGGACAATTTGAAGGATCTCAAGTGGACAGAATTGGTTGAGCTTGATGAAAAGGCTTTGGAGGACCGTGGAGTCAATGCACTGGGTGCCCGAAACAAGATGCTGAAGGTAAGGCTTTGCTTCTCCAAATTTTTGAAAACAAGAATACTAACCCAATATTTCTAGGTCTTTGAGCAAGTCAGAGAAGCTCAGACTGATGGCAAGCTTGAGAACATCATGTGATGACAGCCTTTTATGCATGAAGCATGGCATGGCAACTATTTTCGAGTTTCCTGTGGAAACCGAACTCGAGCCCATGCCCAGCGATTTCATGGAATTGGCAATTATATTCCATTGTGCTTTTTTTCTTTCTCCTTTTTCATTTTTTTATCACTCGTTCTGTGATCTTTTGGTTCACCCTAATATGATGATGGATGTGGGATTCGGCATGTATCAAACGCAGTGATGTCAAGAAACGGATTCATGAGGGAAATTCGGGCTACTGAACATTGAAAATGGCTGGGGTAATCGTAGATATGAACATGATTTTGTTCCATTGTTCCGTCCAATTGTTTTCCGGTATATAATCTCAATGACTTATTTGATTCGATTCCTCTCTCGTATGTGCCTATTCAAATTAGTAGAAGTGGCCCGTGCACCTTCTAGAAACCCGCGCCAAACCTCCGCTCCGACCTCGTCTCTCCACGTCGACCCCCATCTCTCCCCACCAGCTTTGGACAAACCCATTGCCACTCCATACTGCACTTTTAGCTGGGTTTAATAAGCGGGACGATCTCTTACTATCTCAGACCACATTATCCCGTATCAACGGCCAAGCAAAAGCAACCATATCCCCGAGTCTCAGAACACGACACGGACAAAAAGAACCCAAGAACAATCTCCCACCGGAGACAGACCTAGCTCGCAAATATGGCTCCTACAAAGCAGGAGTTATCGCTGATTATCAACCCTCTTGTTCCAGAGGCTGTTCAGCATAACAACCGAGTACGTTACGCCCCTCTTCCCACTGCCTACAGCTCCAATCCACCTTCATCAGTATTCTTGATTCCAAAGCGACCTCTCCTTCACCTTCAAGTCACACAAAAATACAAAAACTAACAACTCACAGGTCCTCTCCTCCATTCACAGCCTAAGCGCCTTCCTCCTAGGCCTTAGCGCCGGAATCCTTGCCCTCCAATCCGCAGCAGGCTTCGTATTCTATTTCACCGGCACAGTCCTCCTATCCGGCCTCTTCCACCTACTCCTCATCAAGCGCTCCGGCGGCGCAGGAGCAGGCGCTTTCTTCCCCGGCGCCGGTGGCGAGATTGATGGTACCATCGAGATGAACCCTAAGACGGGTGTTGTGAATATGGACCTTGGGGGCAGGAAGGATCAGAGACGGTTTGTGCTTCGTAAGGGGGCTTGGAGAGATGTTTGGTTCGGTGGTGGTGTTGTTTCCGAGGCTTTGAGTGGATTCGTGCTTGGGTGGGCTGGTGTTGGAGGTGTTCTGAGGTGATTTTGGTTTCTTTGGATTAAAATAAGGGATCTTGGGGTTGATATCCATCATTCTAAATGGAATATGGTTCCTCTAGGGCTTTCTGTATATGAGGTGCGGAATAGATACCATTTTCATGTTCGAACCCGCTGTAGTCAAATGGCAGTACATATTGATCAAGATCAAGACCTCGAATTACTAGGCTTAGCTTTGTGGTGGTAAGTTAGAAAGGAACGGTGATATACAAAGATATTACGAGTGGCACAATTTGAAATAATCAACGCGATCTATTGTATTCAAGCTGAAAAGGGTATCCCTAGTAAACATTCGGAGCATCTAGGCAAAAGCCCGTCGTCCCGGAAATCCATCCATGTTTCCAACCAAACAAACGCCGGGGTAGATCATAACCAGAAAATCAAAACCAGACGTAGTTCGGGGAAGACAGCAGATAAGTAGTGGTGAAATGGGTGAGGAAAAAAAAAGATTAACGGGTCATAAATCCGGGCATATCATATGGACTCCAAGCCAGGGATGGTCCATGATTGATGCAATACAATATGCAGTGAAGTCAAATGGAAAAGCGCAAAAAAAGAGATCATCGGGAACATTTAGTGGATCTCCGGGATCACGTCCGACGAGTTCGCAACGGCACTTTGCAGGGCGCTGGTCAAGTCGATGTGGAAGAAGGGTCTGTTCATACCCTGGACCAAAGCGACCTTGCGTCGACCGCGGTAGGCCTTGCTATCCTTCAGGTCGTGCTGCAGCTGCTTGTCCTCGGCGATGATACTACTGTCCTGGGAAGAGGTGGACTCGATAGTCTCTGTCTCGCGCTCGGTAGTCGAGCCGTGCTTGTGGAAGTTGGCTTCGACGTCATGCTTGTGAAGGGCCTGTTCGCGCTGGTTGTTGATCATCTCAGCGTGAGCGGCGGCGGAGGCACTGCCCTCGATCTCGGCGACACTGAAGATGGGTTTCCAGCGGTGGAAACCGTCGCTAGAGGTTGGGGTGGGGAAACCGAAGCCGGCAGCGGCGAGGGCTCGCTTGGTCCAGCGGTTGTTGATGTGGGCGAAGTGCCACTGCACGCTGCGTGGGGAGGCGTACAGATCCAGCTGGTTGCGCACGTCAATCAGGTTCTGGACTGAGGTGGTGTCCACGTTGTTGACAGAGGAGAAGTCCAGAATAACGGCTTGCAGGAGCGGGCGGGTGTCTTCAGTCTCCTCGACTGCCCGACCAGGGCGTGGACCCGGGTCATTCCAGGGACGGTCGCCACGACGAGCATAGGCATGTGGGTTTGTGCGGCGAGTGCTGTTGAAGATGGTTTGCACCAGGGCGTCGGTGTAGTGGTTGGCGTTGGGGTAGTTGAAGCCTTCGGAGAAGCGGTAGATGAAGATACCGGGGTAAGGCTGCTCAAGCTCGATATCCGGGTTGGAACCATCGGCATGGTTGACGGGAAGGAAGATCGAGCGGTGGTGGTGCTCGTCGTGATCAGGAGGGTGCTGGTTTGTTCCGAGGGAGCCGTATTTGCCATCGTTGTCCAACAGATGATCTCCAACCACAGAGTGGATCGTAACCCGGCCGAGGAATTGACCGCGGGCCTTGGCGGCACGGAACAGCAGCACAGCAAGGGACACACATATGGTACAGTAGATACCATCCTCAATGGAAGAGAAAACAGTGACAACAACACCAATGAAGAAGATCAGAACATCAAGCGGAGAAACACGCCAGAACTGGTAGACAGTGTTGGGCGACGTAATCAGATCGCCCACGGCGTGGATAATGACACCGGACAAGGAGGCCTCAGGGATGTAGTAGAAGACCTCAGTCAGGGCGTAGATAGCCAGGAGCACAACGAGGGCGGTAATCAAACCAGCCAACGGGGTCCGGACACCGGCCTTGGACTTGATAGCAGTTCGTGAGAAAGATCCCGTGGATGGGTAGCCGCCCAGGAATGGACCGAGCAAGTTGGTAACACCAATTCCGATGAACTCCTGCGAAGGGTTGATGGTGTAGTTGTTGACACGACCAAAGGACTTGGAGATGGCGATGTGTTCAATCAAGAGAACGATCACGGCAGCTGGGAGCTGGTTGGCGAAGGCGCTGATAATCTTGCGGTCCATCTTCGGTACAGCTGCGCCCTGGAAGCCTCGAGGCACGGAGCCGAGCATGTCGAACAGAGGGTTATCCTTGCGGTGCAAGTTCACGGCTGCGGAAATCATGGTGTAGAACAGAATGACAAACACGGTACGGAGAGTCGAGACGAAAAACCAGATCTTCGCCTTGGCCGGGTATTTCTTAGCCGCGTAAGTGCAGCCAGAGCGGATGATGTACAACATGGCACATGCAGTGACACCCATAGCGGCGTTAATGTCCGCACTGGGGAGGTGTTTCAGACTGTTAATAATAACCAGATAGGTCGCGTCACGAGTGGAGAAGTCGGCGCTCTCTCCGAGCATGGTCTTAACCTGTCCGGAGGCAATGCTAATGGCAGAGCCCGTCATGAACGCAGAGATAGCTGGGAGTGGAATGAAATCCACAATGAAACCCAGACGGATCAAACCCAAGAAGCAAACGATACCACCCAAAATCACAGCAAGAGTGGAAGCAATCATATGAGCGGGATAATCGGGGTATGTGGCCTGGACCTGAAGCACGATGGTACCAGTCAAGGTAGACATGACGGCTACAGGACCAATAGTAATATCCTTGGAAGTTGCAAAGAACCAATAAACCAAGACACCCATGAACGAAGAGTACAGTCCATATTGCACAGGCACTTCAGCCAGTTTAGCGTACGCCATACCCTGGGGCACGACAACAGCACCAACAGTAATGCCTGTAAAAAGTTCGTTAGACGACGATCGAATATGGAAAACAATCAATGGGTCACTTACCAGCTACCAAGTCACCAATGAGCCATTGCATATTGTACCGAGTAATCCAATTTAAGAAGGGGAACAGGTTGACGAAGTAGCTGATGATCTGCTGGCCAGACGGGGCAATCTCGCAAAGCCAATCGATACTGTTGGGCTCCGGTTCATTGTAGGCACAGGTATCGACGGTGCCAACGGAGAAGGTCGACTCGCCTCTGGTGACAGGTTCATTAGAAGGGCCCATGGGGTCTCTGTAGGCGACCTTGATACCAAGGCCCTTGGCCAGGCCATGGCCAATCTTGGTGGCTTGTTCACCCATAATTGAGACCACCGGTGTGTACAAGGGATGAAAGGTATATCAACCGAAGCAAGCAACGGTGACGGGAGTGAGGCCGGTGGAACCGGGGAGATTGAAGGTGAGAAAGTCGAGTGACAGGTCAAACGTGGTGACGGCTTCCAGAATATAAATGTCAAATGTCAGACGATCACGCACTAGCCATGTCGACCACACAGAAGCAAAGTAAAGTTAAAAACGTGGATAAGGGGCAGGTTGTTGGTGGAATCAGATTGTGGAGGTAAAAGGTGTGATTCGGGTGTCGATGGCGTAATATCGAGCTCCCCAGATTTCGATCAATTGCAGTTAGAAACACGCACAGGTCGCTTTTTTAAGAAGAGAATCTTCAGGGATTATACGGGAAAAGAAAAAGCAAAGGGATCGAAGAGAACAGAATGTCCGCAGCGCGTTCCCACCGATGATCTCAAGCCATCCCACACAACCACGAGTGGAACCGGTGGACGGGCCTGGAAGCGATGGTGAATGACGAAGGAGCGTGGAGCCGTTCTCGGTTCTTCATACATCTTTTATTATTCTGGGACATTAGGTACGACAGATTAAGTGATCACGGAACAGGGCTTCCTCTACATGACTCTTTATTTTGTCAAATTCTGGCTCAGATCTACCTAGAAACGTGAAATTCGATCTATAACCACCTCTTCGTGACGCTTCTGCTCACATTGAAAGCGCTGATAATCCTGAATTACATAAGAAACCTGAAAAATCGCATGCAGGGAACATGACATAAGCTTCCCGCCAAGCCTCGGCGGTGACGAATCACCGCATCCACACGGGCGTAGATGATCGGCCATGGAGCCCATCCGCCAATCATATCCTCGGATGATGGTGAAATCACCCGTGCTGATGGTGACAGCAAGAGGAAATTTCGACCAGTTCCACGTTTCGAGTGCCTACGAATTAGACTACGACGTTCCATTTCCCTTATCCCTTCTCCACGGAGAACCGCTCGCCTCTGCTGGGGCATTGCGTTATGAGTGGGTTCACTGTCCAGGGCATTGTCTCTTGGCCTCGCTCGTATACCTTTCTCCATCCGACAGCAGGAACGAAAATACCAATTGTGGGGCCCTGTTGCCGCGTCCCCTGTCCGCGTTAGCTCTTGCCATCAAGGCAGTACCCACCCACACAACTCTCAGTCCGCGCTTGATAGGAGGTGGAGGAAAAAAGGGAGATTGGGTTTGTCGGTGCTTCCTACTCTATTTGTTAGGTCCCTCGGGTGCTGAGGGGTTTCTTCATGACTCTACGATATTCAGCACCCTCCTGCGCCGACTAGCGTATACTGGCCTTGTGCGCACCCGGACTGCCCAAGATTTTGTCCAAGACTTTGTCCAAGACTTTATCCAAGACTTAACGCGCGGTTCCTTGTTATATTCGCGCAGGGTGGACCTAGGAAGCTAAACCCTGATCGGCACACCCTGGAACATACTGGGTTTTCATCTGCGGCGAACTGCGTCAGATATCCCGGGCGGAATGTGAAGATCCTGGTATACTGGACCGAGCTCACGCAACCTGTTTACAAAGCTGTCCGAACGTTAGCTGTTCCACATCGGAGTTAGCCTTGTACTGTAGCTTCCTACTGTAGACCTTTACTCCGCAAGCAATAAGCAATACATATGCAGCCTGCGCCCCCCACTAATCTCGCAATACAGATCCAAATCACGCCATCTAGCTTAATATGCCTGCGGTCCATAACTTAAAAGTAACGAGACGAGCCGCTGAGTCTAGTGCGTGTCAGGCCAAGCTTGAAATTATTAATCTGGTGGCTGTTTCGAGACCTCGATAACGCCCGACTCAGAATACGCCATGGCATGGTTCATACTTTGAGTTCGATCTTACGTTTTGTTTGCTTTTTTTAATCTCGTGTTCATTTTCATGGCATTATTCCTTGGAGACACTCATTTTGACACATTCCAATAACTCAGCTTAAGATACACCGTTATACACCGACCTTGTCTGTAGATCCCGCGTGGCTTACTCACGTGGCAGACATGTACATGTTTCCCGAGATCAATCAACCAATAACACCCCAATACCGATGCTCGAGTGCAACCATGAAGTGCCTTTTGCGGCTTGCCTCGACATACGAATATTTCAGCCATCCGAGACGCCATCAGGTGCCTATCGGTTCGCTTGACCGAAGCGAACTGAACACACCATCTGCCTGCCAAATGGCGTATATCCTGCTGCTATCGCGGCGACCTCGGTTCACCGCATTATCCCCACTACAGAAGATAGGGTTAATGGTCTCGTCCGCTGCCCGGCTAGATTGTATTCTGCTCGCTGTGCTGCTTTTTTCTTCTTCTCACTCACATCGTCCTGGCTTTTATCATCTAGGTCTTTTTTATCCTTAGCACAGATCGACCTAACGTTCGGATCTCATATGCATATTCTACACAGATTCCTCTCCTTTCCAAGGTTCTCGAGATCTAAATCATGGTTGCGCATCATGATGTCAGCCATGGCCGGTTGATCTCGGTTCGGCATAATGCATATGCAGGGCCCGGACGCGCGACTCACTTTTCGCAGGGATGAATAAACTTCTAAGGTTTCCACTGCCGTCACGATACCTCCTACGTTCCCCAAGCGCACTGTTATACTGCGAGTGATGAATCACTCAGAGATCCTCTCTGTCGCGTGAGTTGGACATGGACAGGAAATGGCATGAAGATATTGGGGCTCGTGGCACATACCAAGAATCAAATATGCGGGGTATTTGGTGGGATGATTTCATCCAACATGGGGATGTGCACATATTCTTCCTATATTACGTCGCACAAATCCTACAGTAGCTTAGGTGGCTTCTGGGGTATTTGACCTTGATTGGTTCCTGGCATCGTACTTTCTTGACTTGTAATAGTCCTGGGGTGAAGGTAACAGGTACTTTAATCTATTTGGGCGCTTGCGTGCTAATTGACAAATATCACTCGATCGAGGAAAAAATCGATCCAGGATTCTAGTGGCGAAGAATCTTGCTTCTTCGAGCAAATTTAATGATCTAGATTGGGATTGAGTTCAATAAACCACAGTCGAGGAAGACCCAGGTCGGCCTTGCAATAATCTGCTGCTGGGTTTTTCCATTTAATCTGGGAGGAGGAATGCAGGATTTATCAAAACTCAGAGCAGTTCTTTGGCTTATCAGGTCATCAGGTGGCTGAGTTGACCTGACGACCTGACGAGCTCAGAAATTGCTTCTATTCTTACTGACCAGCCACCTGATGACCTGATGAACCGGATAATCTCTTGAGTTTTGTTAAACTTTGGAGTCTTCTCGCCATCGATCAACACTGACCCGACCAATATCCACGTGCGCCAATCGTGCATTTAACACCATCTCCGCGATGGCATGGTAAGCAAGAATTCCCATATAAAATTCCGTCAAACTCAATTGAATTGGAGTCCGAAATATCTATGTTTCTTCCTTTTTATCCACCAAATCATTGCATTGAAGGGTACAGCTTGGCAATGAAGGTGCCTCGCTGTCCTGGGTGATATTGGAAATACTCGGTCTCCCAATCGCTACCAACTCGCACATAGCTAGGTGGAAACATTATCAGACGACATTTTTTACTGGGGCATCATAATCTATAGGAGCATAATCCGTCTTGGACCAAGTAATGTGGAGTCAATCCATTACTGTCTTCCATTCATGATCAACCACGGCTTGGTCCAAGAGCGCCTGCACAGATTCTATCCACCATCAGTCCCCTTCCTTTATCCTGGCTCTCTCGTCAGCAAGAAAAGTAGCCATGTCATAGTCCCCGTCCAGAAGGGATCCATATAAGGCCGTACCCTGCATAGGGCTCGCTCCATACTCCAACATGTTAATACGATTATGCGCCGGTCCTTCTGCGTCTGAGGGGGTTTCGATGATGCAAAGGGGGGTAATTGGAGCATTTCGCGCAGTATATAAGTCAATGGTCCTCATTTTCATTCTGGTCGATATTCGGGTCGGCATCTGCATCTAGCAGGTTTCGAGTCGATTTTCAATGGCAACGATAGGATAAACATCTCTTCTTTTCCCAAGGGTCTTTGTGATTGACGTCTAGACCGGCTGCGAGCAGGATCTTCATGATATCCTCTCTGAATGGTGCGTTTCTGAGCATATTATAGGCATCATCGGAGTCTTTAGTCGGCCCTAGAGTAGTCTTCCGCTTCTCGAATTCTAAGAGTATCAGCTGAACTAGGTCGTCGTCTCCGGTCTTTACAGCCGGGGTAGCATTCTGTGGTCCCTCAATCTTTTGACCTTGGGGCTAAAGCCTTTGGCAAAGAGCAATAGAACGACATGGATATAACGAACGGCATCCGCAATGAGAAAGACAGGAGACTTCTCATTGAGCTGGCTTTCAATACCGTCCTTATCTAGCGGTAGAAAATGGCCTTTTCTGCTAGCGACCAGGATCCGGTGCTGCCCCACAAGCCTAGGCTCTAGAGGTCTGGGATCGTCAGCCTCTGGCAAAATTGGACCATCCACATCTTAATATGGATTCGGCCCTTGTACGCTTGTTGTAGAAATCTTGCGCCCGCTTCGAAGAGTCTGTCCAACAATTCTAGGTCGTCGTGCTCAGCTGCCCAGGTCAGGGCCGGGGTAAAAGTCTCGGGTCCATCATCTTTTGTGACGTGATACTTGTATAATCAGGCGAAGAGGCGCGGTTGGTCTGAGCTAGTGCGTTGATAGCATGCTCTAGGTGTAGAGACCCCGCTACGATGTGCAACAAGTCAGATGGTAGGCTGTAAAGGCTCATCGCTTTGGTAATTGAAGTTAATTCACCAATGTAAAAACTTTTCAGAAAAAGGGATTGTTAAATCGAAATGCTCAGGTGGGTGGCATGGCAGAATTGTAGGATCCACTGGAGCAAAGATGCCCTGTGTACTCACAGACCTCGGAAGACAACGAGAATCTGTCGTGATGTCAAGTACAGGGCCCAGGGCCTAGAGGAGAAAATACAATCTTGTAATAGCTATGTGGCCGTGGGCCTAAGTGAATGCCCAGATGCCGTAGGTGTGGTTCTTGTACACTCCCGATCCTTAAGGTCTGATGATATATATACCCAGACAGGTATGGATCCAGGTGACGGCGTTCCGACGGACTGCGCGGGAACAGCAAGTCCAACATTTGAAGGTGACGCGGCCCGGTACACTATTGATGGTTAATTGAAGAGGGCTGTTAGGATTTAATGCTACGAAACTATCCTCAAGTGTTTCAAGCTCGCAATCCTGGAGGGTCGGTGGCTTCACCACCAAGGTCAGGTCCCAAGGGTCCTCCAACTTCACCCTTAATAATTAAGGATTGCGAACCTTCCAAGCTTCCAATTTATGTCTACCACAGCTAGTTTAGAACCCGAAGTTCTGGAGCATATACGCTGTGAATGTATCACCAGTGCATGATACATCTGGATTGAATAGCGCAACCTTATCAACACGAGTCGCAATTACACTTTACACTTTCTTACAACGAAAGCAAAATCCATGCTAATGAACAATGCATTTAGGTCAAAATCAACGCGCTGTCTATTCAGGTCGTCATCAGTGCAGGCTAGAAAAAGAAAAAAGAAACCCATCATGAATCACCCCAAGATCCCGTCCGAAACCGAGACCGAAATCATGGAAAGAATGTGGGAGAGAGAGAAGGCAACATTCTTTTTTAGGCTCCCTTCACAATCCGGGGCTGCTGCATCGTGGTCTCATCACGCCTCTTTCTCATTGACATCGCAACTCCTGCCGCCACCCGCCAAAATCCCCGGCAAAAGCAGATATAAGAGTGCGGAAAACGTGGAATCAAAAAGGGAAAATAGTATAACGGTTGAATGGAGTCAAGGTTAAGTGCAAATGGAGAGGTAAGGATTACACACGAAACAAAGAGGAAAGGAGGAGAAAGAAAAACCCGAGAAGATGCAAATGGGCATATGGCATCTTCCAAGTCTTCAGAGCAAACGCCATCGCAAAGCAAAAGGGAGGAAATAAACGAGTCAAAGCAATTCCACATGATCAGAAGAAAGGGAAACTCGTGATCAGGTAAGGATTTACCTGTCCTCAACCCCTTCGCATGGTATCATAAGCAAAGTTTCATCAGAGGACCTGGTATGTTGGCCTTTTCCAATCACGGCGTTTTATGGCCCCACGCTTACTGCGAAGCGCATTGCACCCGCTCAGCACCGCCGGGAACTCCATCCTCATCATCCTCGTCCATGGCGGCACCGTGAGCACGGGCCTGGGAAGGCTCGCTGCCATCAATACTCTCGATCTCGAAGTCCTCAACCATAGCATCGGCCGGGGGCTGGGACTGCTGAATACGGGGAGGAAGAACCTTCTCGAGGAGTTCGAGGTTCTGGAGCTGATCCTTCTGGGGGAACTTGACGTCGAACTTGATGTAAAGGTTGCCGTGATCGTGGTGACGGAAAGAGGGCATACCCTGGCCAGGGATAACCTTGATGGCGTCTGAAAGAAAAGAAAAAAAAGTCAGTAACATACCCCGCAGATATTCTAAGAGCATGAGGAAAACATACCAGGAACGATAACCTCGCCAGCGGCGATGTTGACAGTCATCCATCGGTCGTCCAAGTGCTCAATGTGGATAGTGCCACCGGCAAGTGCGGTGAGCAGATCAATCTCGGCCTGGTAGAACAGGTCGTCGCCCTTGCGCTGGAAGCGGGGGTGGGGCTTCTGCTCGATCTCGAAGACCACATCACCGGGAAGGACACCAGGCATCTGGTCACCCTCACCGCGGAACTCAATCTTGTGGCCATCACGGACACCCTTGTCGACGTGAACGTGGAGCACCTTGCGCTCAACGATGGTCTTCTTTCCGCTGCAGCGCTTGCAGCGGTCCTTGTCGCGAATGATCTCGCCCTCGCCGTTACAGTCGGGGCAGACAGTCTGGAAGCGCTGGATCATGGGACCCATCTGGCGCATCATGGTCTTCATACCGGAACCGTTGCAACCAGTGCACTCCTTGACGGCACCTTCCTTGCCACCGCGGCCATCACAGCCTGCACAGATGACGGACTTCTGCAGAGCCAACTTCGAGACCTTGCCCTTGTAGATGTCCTCCAGGTTGACCTTGTGAACGTGGTGGATTGTGCGGGCCTTCTTTGGGCCAGTGTCACGCATGCCACCGCCGAACATGCCGCCGAAGGAACCACCACCGCCACCGAAGAACTGAGAGAACAGATCCTCGGCGTTCATACCACCGCCACCACCTCCGTGCTCCAGACCCTCCTCACCATATTGATCGTAGACCTGACGCTTCTCAGCGTCGGACAGAATCTCGTAGGCGTGGGACAGCTCCTTGAACTTCTCGGCAGCTTCCGGGTTATCGGCGTTCTTATCTAAACGAGACAGAGAAAACGCTGTTAGTTCGATAATTTCAAGCGCAGTCTTCGGATGACAGTCACGTACCAGGGTGGAACTTGAGAGCACCCTTCTTGTAGGCGGTCTTCAGTTGAGCCTCAGTGGCCGTGGGGGCAACCTATCAAAGAAGATACATCCGATTAGTTTTCTAACGAATCAATCAAGAAACAGTGTTGTCCGACATACCCCCAGGCAGTCATAGAGCTTGGTATCGTGAACCATTGTTAAGCAATATTAAGCGAAAGAGAGGAGAAGGGTCGAGGACGCGTATGGATCAAGAACAATCGAAAAATGACCCAAAGGAGATGACACAACTCAACACAGATGTTGCAGATGTGGGGGGAGAAGGAGGGGATGGGAGATTGATCAAGGAAGAGTGAATATCGCGGGATAAGAAATCAGGAGCCCGAACTTGGCTGAGTAACTTTTTCCAATTCAGGTACTGTACGGCGATCGTAAAATAACCAATAGATTACCAGGGCCAAATGGTCTCGAACCGTAGTAACTTTGACGCGGGAGATTTACGGTCTATATCAACAGCCAGGGTCTTTCTTTCATTGAAATTTTTTAGTTTTTCTAATCTTTTGATGCCTGCTATATTCGCTCTTCTGGCGGTTTCTATACTTCTTTTCTGAAAGAATTAGGCCCGAGCGTCAAATCGACGGAATTCTGCGGGCTTCGACGTGCTTCGCTGGCTTTCTACGACCTTCCGTTGTTTCACAGCTGTAAAATACCGCTGAGTAAGGCACTTTGAAAGACCATGGTTGCCTTACTTGACAAAGGAAAATGGCAGTGAAGGCGAATAATCATTGAAGATCCTGTAGCCGGTTCCAAGGTCGTCCCTCCTTGGAGAAAGAGTTTCGATGGCAAATCAGTATAAACTTTGAAAATACAAAGAAGCTAACTGGTTCATGAAAAAGAACATCGGTTCTGAATTTTCATTTCCCATGTTATCTCCGCCACACTTTATAAGCCACAGGTCTTATCGATAAGCAGGAGGGGAAAAGCGGGACTCGCCAAAAAGGATAATTAGATAGAGAGATAAGCTGTTCTGTTAGTTCCCAATTCACAATTTTCTCTACATATTTCTCCAACCTATTCTATACTCATAATGGAACAGAATCCCGGATTCATTGCTGCTGTGGAGGAGGCAAAATTGGGGGCTGCAGAGGGCGGTGTGCCCATCGGTGCATGCCTTGTCGCGGCCGATGGCAAGATCCTGGGCCGCGGTCACAATATGCGGGTGCAGAAAGGAAGCCCCATCCTGCATGTGAGTACCCTTGTTTTATATGGGATTCCCGTAATTTCATACCAATGCTGACCGGGAAAATCCGCTAGGCCGAGATGTCCGCGCTTGAGAACTCTGGCCGTCTCCCCGCATCCGCCTACGAGGGTGCCACTATGTTCACCACCCTGTCTCCCTGCGACATGTGCACCGGGGCCTGCATTCTCTACAAGATCAACCGCGTGGTAATTGGCGAGAACGTTAACTTCATGGGTGGCGAGGAGCTTCTGCGCAGCCGTGGCAAGGAGGTGGTCGTGCTGGATAACCATGAGTGCAAGACTTTGATGTCCACATTCATGAAGGAGAAGCCGGAGCTCTGGTAAGTTTCTGTACTTCTTGAATTCGTTCTATTTTTGCAGGAGATGTGTCTGCGTAGACTGGTTTCATGAATCATGCTGATTGTCTGCTGTACAGGAACGAGGATATTGCCGTCTAAGAGTTTAGAAGTTGCATATAAGTAGCCCGAATAAGGATTTGGGATCTTCCATTCATCCAACAAGATCATTCCCATATTGCAATTGAACAGGAGATGTCTTGATATATCATGAAACTTTTAATGCCCGTGGAAGTGGGTAAGAAGCCACCGGGAATTATGCGAGAATTGTTTATTTGCAGAGACGGTGGATCTCCTCAAAGAAGAACTTGAGATTCTCGGGGTCCACGAAAGGAGTGACACCTATTCAAATGGTGGTCAGTATTATGACATGGGGCACAATAGGCTCTTTACGTACCGTGTCCGAGGTTGCAGATCCAACCCTGCTTGCCCTTCTTGAATCCTTCGACCATTTTCTCCACAGTAGGAGTGATGGCAGAGGGTCCGCCGTAGAGCATACCGGGGTCAGCATTACCCTGAATGGTGACCCGGCCGTTGGCAATGCGCATGGCCTCAGCAGGATCGTGCAGCCAATCCAGACCCACAACATTATAGCCAGAGTTACAAAGGTCATCCAGGGCGTACCAGGCGCCCTTGGCAAAGACAGTCATAGGGACAGGCTCCAGGCCCATCTCCTGCAGACGCTTGGGGAGATTGGCGGAGATGTGACGCAGGTAAGGAAGCGAGTGTGAGGCGAAAGTAGCAGGCGAAAGTTCACCAGCCCACGAGTCAAAAACTTGGATCATCTGCGCACCAGCCGCAACCTGGAGCGCCAGGTACTCCACACAGATCTCGGCGATCTTCTGCAGCAGTGCTTGGGACTCCTTCGGGTACTTGTAGACCCACTTCTTGGACTGGACGAAGAGCTTGCTGCCACCGCCCTCGACCATGTAGCACAGCAGGGTCCACGGCGCACCGCAGAAGCCAATAAGCGGAACACGGCCCTTGAGCTTGAAGCGCGTAAGCGAAATTGCCTTGTAGACGTAGTCCAGCTCCGCCTTGACGTCGACCTTCTTTGCCATAACCTGCTCGTACTGTCCATCGTCCGGCGATTGAAGGGGCTCGGGGAAGTGAGGGCCCTTCTTATCTATCATTTCCACCGTCATACCCATAGCCTGGGGGATAACCAGAATATCGGAGAAGATGATGGCCGCATCGACGAGGCCATCATATCGGTCAATGGGCTGGAGCGTCAAGGTCGATGCGATTTCAGGCGAGCGGCAGCATTCGAAGAAATCACGGCCACCCTTGGCTTCGTGATACTCAGGGAGATAGCGGCCGGCTATGAAGGAGGTTCGCAGTCAGAGGACAGTTCCTAACCAAATATTGCAAGGGGAAAGACAATGTTCAACTCACCCTGTCGCATCACCCAGATTGGAGGGCGCTCAACCTTCTCGCCTGTGATTGTCAGTAGTCTGTTGGAAAATCAGAATGCAACACTGAAATACCGCGAGCAGCCCTCAACAATAAATCATTCTTCATTGGCTCAAATTGTTCCTGCATGATGGTGGTTGAATGCAGGCTGGAGGAGGGTAAGTGGGATGATTCATCGGAAACCGCGGGGCCGCCGAGAACCTTGTGAGACTCCCGAGCTATCACGCCGCTCGGAGATCATGAAGACTTGGCACAAATTTCAACGTGGATACAACCCAGGATATAAGATGAGATATTCTATGAAATTGGACAGATCTCATGGATTGTTTTTAATGTTCGATTTGGGCTTTTGAAAAATTCCGAGCAATTCTTTTTAACTTTTATTCAATATTTAAAAGGTCGGGCTTTCATCTATACAGCTCGCCCACCCTCCTTTACTCTTCATAGTGTTTCTTCTTCATGTTTCCCAGATTGTACAAGGAGTCGTTAAACTCTTTCTGCTGTTTCTCGTTCAAGCCAGCGGGGAAATCACTGGTACCGACCGAGTTGATGTTGGCCACCATTGTGTCTTCAGTCTGAACGCACTTTAGACCGTCAGGACCGAGATTGATTTGGAATGATTCAAGAAGGGCCCCAGAACTAGACTTCCAGTTGTCAGTTGAGCCAGCGTCGCGGACAGTATCCACGGAGACAACAACAGTTCCCCGTGAATCGATTCCAATTAGACCGAGGACGTTTCCAGAAAACTGAATTGAATCCTGGGCCCGGAGCGCATTGTCCTCGATTGTGTAGCAGAGAAGCTGCGAAGACCTGCTTCATATGTTAGATTAATTCTGATGTTATGCAGGCTGTAAGACATACCCTTCCAAGCTGACCAGAATTGCGTTTACTGGACCCGAAGCACCTGACTGTTCAAGGGACACGTCCCAAATCCCGCGTACCATAGCTTCCGATTGCAGAGATTCTTCAAGGGAGATATTTTGGTGAATCTCCGCGTTCCTCCAGTCCCAAACAAATAGGTTACCGTTAGTGTCACCAGACACAAGAAGATGGGGTGCCCAAGAGGGGACACAGAGCTTGCTAACGAGAGAAGTATGGCCCAGACAAAATTGCTCAATCACATATGCCTGTGGAATACCACGAGAAACACGAATATGCTCATCACGATCTCCAGTTAGGATATAGCTCCGTCCAGACACGGATACGGAGATCAGGTCCGACAGCACTGATACGTGGCCAATAATGTTGTGGTGCTCAAAGTTGAGCGCGGCGGTTCCTTGCTTTGCAGTCTGACCTTGTTTTTCTGCGTGAAGCCTTTGCATCTCCAAGGTTCGCAAATTGCCCTTGGTGTGGACAGTAAGTGAAGTGGCAGAGGGGATGGCCGGTTGCTCTACAATCTTCCTCACATATTCGCCGGGAATCAATGGCAGTGAGTAAACATCACCAAACTTGTCACCACAAAGGACGGTATGACCATCAGGAGTCAAGGCCAGAGCACTTGGTCGCTTGGGCATCATTCTATATATTAATCAGTACTTGCAGTCAGACAGCAATGAAAAAGGCACTCACCTGGAGCTCAATTCCTTTAGCTTTCCATCATGATTCAGTTCGAAGACCCGGATTGTCTTGCCATCGCCAGTCGTAGCAATTACATATTTCCCGTCGGGAGAAGTCACTAAGAGGGGTATGGTGGTACCCGTCAGAGGCTTCTTACCAGCGGGCTTTTGCTCCTGCTGGCCCTCAGAAGCAGGAGACAGCTTTCTTTTTTTTTCAGGGGGTGCATCGCCCTCTGTTGCGGGCACCGTACCAGAAATAGGCTCCACAGTCGACTCTACATCTTGAGGCCAGACGTCCAGGCGCTGACCACTGGTAGCATCATAGGAGTAGAGATGGCGCCCCGCAGCGGCAATCAACAAATTTGAAAGACCATGTGAGTTGCGCTTGGCATATTGCAAGCACTGGAATGGGTGTTGTAGGCTAGCCATGGCGCAGGGCGGGGAGCTATATTTCTTGTATGATCCAAGGCAAAATTTTAAGAAGGCGGACGGATAGTAGATATGCGCGGGTCAACTAGGTGAAAATAGCAAAATCACCACCACTCTATCAAATTAAACTTAAGCTTTATAAAGCTTTTAGAGATACTTAGAGATCCTAGTGAGAAGCAGCTTTCAAAAGCAATAAATAATTCAAAATTTGTATTTTGCGCCCCCAATGCCCTTTCTCCTGTATCACGCTCGCTCCAAGGCGGTGACCCACTTTATATACCACGTGACCCACTAGCGAACGCACCGAAAAAAGAAATTGGAAATCGGAACTTTTCTTCTCCCTTAACCAATCTCAACAACAACCATTTGCCCTTAAATAACCTCTCTTCAGAGACGTAAAAGAAGAAATGGGGGGCAGATCCGATTCCAAGGCCGCTTACTTCGATAAGCTCAAGGCCCTTGTACGTTTCTCTATTCTCGGTTATGCGGCTGCTTTTCTTGACCACGATGCTGATTTTATAATTTTCTTATTAGCTTGACACCTACAAGACCGCCTTCATTGTTGGTATTGACAATGTCGCTTCCCAGCAGATGCACGAGATCCGTATCTCGCTGCGTGGCGAGGGTGTCGTCCTGATGGGAAAGAACACCATGGTTCGCCGTGCCCTCAAGGGTTTCGTTACTGAGAACCCCGAGTACGAGCGTCTGCTGCCCTTCGTCCGCGGTAAGTTCACACAGGAAAAAATTCCTCTGCAAAATTCAGTCACTGATATGAATTTCCAGGCAACGTTGGTTTCATCTTCACCAACGGTGACATGAAGGCTATCAAGGAGAAGATCCTTGCTAACCGTGTCGCTGCTCCCGCTCGTGCCGGTGCTGTTGCCCCCAACGACGTCTGGGTCCCTGCCGGTAACACTGGTATGGAGCCCGGTAAGACCTCGTTCTTCCAGGCTCTTGGTGTCCCCACCAAGATTGCTCGTGGTACCATCGAGATTGTTTCCGACCTCAAGCTCATTGAGGGTGGCAACAAGGTCGGTGCCTCCGAGGCCTCCCTGCTGAACTTGCTGAACATCTCTCCCTTCACCTACGGTATGACCATTGCCCAGGTGTACGATGCCGGTCAGACCTTCAGCGCCGATGTCCTCGACATTGATGACGAGACTCTCCTGAAGACCTTCTCCCAGGCCATTCAGACCGTCACCGCCATCTCTCTGGCTGCCAACTTCCCCACCGTCCCTGCTACCATGCACTCCCTCATCAACGCCTACAAGAAGGTTCTTGCTGTCGCCATCTCCACCGACTACAGCTGGGAGGGTATTGAGGAGCTCAAGGACCGCATCGCTAACCCCGATGCTTACGCCTCCGCTGCTCCCGCTGCCGCTGCTGCCACTTCCGGTGGTGGTGATGCCCCCGCCAAGGAGGAGGCCGCCGCTGACGAGGAGGAGTCCGATGACGACATGGGCTTCGGTCTCTTCGACTAAGCGCCTTTTCTTCGAAAGGCTACGAATGCCATGTATTAGATTGTTCTACCTGACCCAGTCCTGAAACGGATGGGGAATGAAAATGACTATGATGGCTACGAGACATTTGTCTTGCCTCTTTCAGACCGTAATGGACGTAGACCTACGATCCATTACTTGTCCTGACTTCAAAGAGTGAGTTTGATTCTTTTTCTTTTTTCGTTTCCCCTGTTCTTTTTTAGCTTTCCAACCAATCCTGGCGGATGATTAAACATTTTTAACCCCGAGCAAACGGTCTCCGCGACCGCGCTGAAGATTAAAAACGCAACAACAACACTCTAATTTTTTGCTGACGCCATTACCCAATTTTGCTTTTGTCTTTCACTTCACTTTTTTATCCTGTTTTGGAAGCAATTGCTAACATCAAAATGTTTACAGATTCTCCTTTCAGACTCGACAAAGTCCTCGCCGTAGATAATCGCGTAGATGAGGCCTTGAGAACAATGCTAGCCTTGGCATTTCATCCGCTCGTCGGGTAGTGAAGATGTCTCAGTATACTTGTTTTGGAGCAAACGTCTTATTGAGGCGTTGTCCTTGACAAATACTTGGGCACAATCTTGAACTGGCCAGCAAAACGGCTTCGCCATTTGACTCCAGCGATTGACCGCGGGTTTGATATACTAATTTGACAGAAGCTGAAGAGCTGCTTTCTTGACCTGGTGTCGGGTAAGACTTGCATAGTACGCTAGTGAAGCACCATTAAATCTATTTTCTCCCTTTGTCCCTTGTTCTGAGTTACGTCCCGTAAGAGTTCATGCAGTTAGACCGTTCAGTCCCTACACATAGCCCACTCAGGCTATGTGGACTCGCAAGGGTGTGTTCTGTCTACAGTCAAATGGTGTTCATTTACGGAGCTCAGGTTGTATTCGTGGTGACGGGTTGAGTTATCAGTCTGGGCCACTATGCATCCTGTCAATGCACTTTACCCTTTTTGGTGCCGGTTACGTGCTATACAGTCCACCCAGATTGGTAATGCCAGTCTTTCAAAGGTCAATGCCCCTATTTGTACATGTGCAACCAATGGGATATACTGGCTACCACACAGATTCTAATATACTCAGTCTCCTGCCCAAATAGCAGGAGATATGCTTATTCCATATGAATCCAACCGGATTTATTCTTGGTATCCAGCTCAAATCGAAGTAAATAATTATGGACAGACGCTCAGGTATATTCAACATCTACACGTCACTCATCGGCACCACGCCCAAACCGACCCCCAAACCCACCAAGATCACGACGGAAGAACTTTCCAATGTTCTTGAGATTCTCGTTGAGATTGTTCGCAGCACTAGTCTCAGTTGGACTCTGTAAATGGCCGACTTGTTGTCCCGAACTACCTGGTGCAGGCGACGAGGTACCAGATGTACCTACTGCCCCCGTGGATGTTGCTCCAGTAATACCAGCTACACCAGAAGCCAAGCTGGGATTTCCGAAGCGGTCGACGCCATCTTTCGCGGCGGAAATGATGGCCGAGCCGAGCATTGAGGCGTCGAAGCGGGATGGCATCGATGAGGTACTACCCAATCCAAGGCCCTGGGATACGGATCCAGTTGATGTGGTGGTAGCCGGGGTCTGGAGGGCAGTAAGCATAGGGTTGCTTTGCTGGAGATTAGCGGCGTAGCGGTCTGAAGCGCGGTGTAGCTGGAATAGCTCCACGAGATGGTTTTGTTCTTGGCGGCTGCGGATGCCCTTTATATCAAGGATTTTGCGAAAATTGTTGTTGTTGCGGTCCGCGATGTGGATAAGGTATGCTTGGACGAGGGCCTCAGGTGGGGATGGTCGGACTTGGAGGGTTTTGAGGAGCGTTTCGATTTTGTAGAAGCTGGCGTTCACTCGCTTGACAAAGCCTGCCGGGGCTGGGGCGGGGAGGAGGGATGTGAGGCCACTCTTAAGGGTAAAGGAGTCGAGAAGCATCTGATGAATGTTAGAATCGAGGAAACAAGAACGAAGATGTTAGTTGAAATCTTACCTGTTCAGCACCAGTTTCTGCAACCGGTCTGCATTGGAAGACGTTTGTAATGAATAAGCTTGACACCAATTCGACCAGGTGGTCAGAGAAAGCTCGGGCATATTGCTGCTTGTGCAGCAATTGTAAAATTTCGGCTGCTTTGTCTTTTGTTCGAGAGAGCAAATCGCCCACATAGGAACTCTGGTCACTGACAGCCTCGATCTTACTCCAGGGTGTGTTACGCATTTCACGCCAAGATGGCTCCAATTCGACCTCCACCTGGCGGACGAGTCCTCGCACGGCCGCAGAGGCAATGCCCATAAAAGAATCAGCCTGGCTTTGTAGATCGACTGACTGTTTGAGATTCTCATCCAGTCGACCCTTGATCTTCTCTTCCAGCTGGTTACAAGTGGTGTAGCAGTAATCGGCAGTATTAAGGACGGACACCAGGTCTTCGATAGAAGGTGCTTTAGATGGAGTGTGACCAGTAGGGCGTTCACTGATATATGCGAGAAGAACTTGCTGTGCATATTGATCCAAGTATTTTGCGAATACCTTCGCCAGCTCCGCAAGACTAGGCCCTGTGGAGAGCTTAGAGCATTGCTGCAGAGCGTGTCGGTAGAAGGTAAAGAGTTCAGTTGATGAGGAGATCACAATATGGGAATTGAATTCATCGTCCGGCGGTCTGAGCGGTTGTTGGCGGTATTTGGGCAAGAGGGCAGCCAGCTGCTTGTCCTGTGCTTCCACCCAAACACTCAAATATGGCTCAAAGGCTTCAGAGATGGACTGGCCAAACGTGGGGTTCTCTGTTGAAGCAAAGGTATCCGTAGATGGCCGTGACGGAGGAGCAAAGCGACGCTCGAGAGAGTGTTCGAATTCCAGAGTTTCCTGCAGGCAAGATAGTAACATGTTGACATCAATCGTTTGACCGCTGCGCACTGAGCGAGACAAAATGCCTTTGTAATCATCCCGAGTGCCTTCACAAAAGACATTGGCCAGGATTTCATTGACACGCCACGCAGCCGGGAAGATTGCGGCGTTCTCTTCATCGTAAGTCTTCAGAATGCGTCGGAACCACGCGTATCGTCGAGAAATGTTGTCCAAAGACCCTGCCTCTTCATTGTTTCGGAAGATCTGACGGTACTCTCGAAGCTGAGTGTTGCAGTACCAGGTGACTAGCCTAGACCGCGCATTCTCGCCCAACGCATCGATAACCAGACAAGCCTCCGACAGCATTCCCCGCTTCTGAGCCACCTCGCCCTTTGTAAATGTGATCTCGAAGTCCTCACAGACCTGTTCCAGAAGATCCCGCTGGATATCGGCCACATTCCTACTCAGTATCGCAATCTGGTCAATTGACCGGTACGACTTGAAGTGGGCCATGAGCTGGATCACCGCCTGGAGCAGCTGCGCACAATCGCGATACTGTCGTGTCCGGCTGAGGGCCATGAGCTGATCGTAGGCGGTGGTCAGCATCTGGAGCCGCTTGAGCGCCGTCATTGACAAGGTCAAGTTCTTCTTCGCGTTGTCCAATTGCTTGATGTCGGCGGTCATATCGGTGATGGCCTGTTCAGTCTTCATTGCGCGCTCGCGCACGTCATCGATCTTCTTGAACAGCTCCGACAGGTCGGACTTGGCGGTCTGGATACGTTCCACGCTCTCCGCATTGGAGGTGACCTGCTCCTCCACCAGAGTGCCGATATCGTTGTCCAATTCATCTTCGTAGGTGTGGAGGCCGTCGGAGATCTGCGAGACTGAAGCGAGGGTGGAGGGATGAGAAAAAATGGCATTCAGGTGGTCGATCGGGTCGTAGTCCACTGGGAAGTTTTGGAGTCAGTATCCGAGTGTTTGGAGAGCACCGTAGTTGTTTCCCCATACCTGCATCCAAGTCGTCGAGGGGCTCCTCGTCTGGCGGCATTTGGCCGGTCGGGATAGTAATTGCAGTCATCCCATTAGTTCATCAAGGTCATCCTGCGGCCAAGGGCAATTTCGTGCAAGGCGCATTCGAGGGATGTTCACAGGAAGTTGGCGCGGGCCGCATCTCTCGGGGGCTACTCGGGCCAGCTTGGCGTTTTACCCACCGCACTTACAACTTTGTATAGAGCTTCCCAGCATTGTGATTTTGTACCGCAAAATGGTGAAATTACAAATAAAATAGAGCAAAATACCGCTGTAGAATCTCGATAATCATGGTTATCTACCTGGAGCACTTTCAATGCTTTTTCAAGCTCTTGCATGGCCAATTGGTCATTCCCAAATGATATAGCGGAGGCGTAAAGTGGACCCTGGGAAATAGAGAAATATAACAGTTGAGAAAATCCTCAGTCTTGAATACATAGAATAGTAAGTCTCTACGGTCTTACGCAGAGGAGCTTGGACTTCCATTTGAATTCTTTGGAAAGGCATTGCCCTGGCGAAATTACGCTGAGAAGTCTTATTTGGAAATATATTTAGCCGTACCTACATCCATATAGAGCATACGCTCAATGTTATGTCTGATCTTATAATTGTAGCATACCAGAAGCTTTAGGCAGTCAGCTCATCACGACAGAGATTAGATACAACGTAAGATCGTAGCGTTTCAAGATCCATGGATAGTGTTGGACTCTATTAGCTCAGGTATTGGATGCTTGGTACTTCAAAGGGTGGTTTGTAGTGGCGGGTCCAGCCCTCGAGCACGGCGTTCGGTTAATAGGAGGGTGGATGGGTAAACAGGTCAAGAACTGTGGACATTAAAGGTTTGAATATTCTTTTTCTTTTTCAAACTGCGTTGTTTAATGTTCCTTACAATGTTATTCCCTACGCTTACCATTGGATAATTTATAATTTTCAGGACTGAGTCCAAAGATGATTACTCGGGGCAGTACCACGACCAATGGTCGAGTGCTGAAAGTGATGATAGTCTCGGTCTTGAATAATATATGCTCTTGAAAGTGTCCGTGCTGTGCAACAGCAGTGTTGGAATCAACGGTAATCATCCAAGGTACTACGCGATCAGCTCCCTTGCTTTTTTGGTTTTGGAATTCGAAGCGAGGCTGGGAGGATCAATTGACTCTGTCCATTTTATTCGCGGAGGAGAGAGTGAAGGAAAGGCTTGGAGTTCGTAAAAGAGCGTGGGATTTATAGTCGACTACATCGCGCCTTGAATGGTTAATCGTATTCAACATCACTGGCTGCGTGTTACACTAAGGACTGAAATTCTTGCAGGAGAATAAGACCTCTAACCGTTCATAAGTCGAGCTTGTAGATATAAATCAGGTGGATGGCCGCGTATTGCAGATCACTACTCACAGCCCTTACACTTCTTCACAATCAGCAACACCCCCATCGAGCCCCCTCGAATGACTTCCTTTCCCTCCTCCACACCTGCCTCATGCAGAAGTTTCTCCACAGCCCTACGGCACACCCTGACAACATCCATCTCCGTACCAACGGCATCAGGATTTGCCTCCCGCCAGCGCGTGACCGGACTTCCAACACCCATCATCTTCTCCACCTGATCCAAATTCAGAACAGGTTCCCTATCAAAAAACCCCTCGCCCACACCCCATTCTCGACGGAAGAAAGATTCCTTGTCAAACACAGCAATTGGCTCGTCCATATTCCATGGGAGAGGAAAACCAGCATACCGGTTCTGAGTCAAGAAGTTGCCCGGCTCGTAGAATGGGGCGAGATACTCCTCTTGGATTCTTTCCATTGCCGCTTGGATAGCCAATGCGTTCGGCGTGGAGGTGTATACTGCTGGGCCACAGGGTGCCCATATTGCGACTGTTCCGCTGGGCTTGAGGACTCGGGCAGCAGCGGACCAGAAGGCCGGAATATTGAACCAGTGAGCTGCATTTGCGGAGATGATGAGATCCACGCTAGAGTCTTGAATTGGTGGAGACAGATTTGAGCCTAATTCCTCGGCGGTTGAAACCTCGAAGCGCACATTCGTGGTAGGCTTTCCCTCGCTGTGTGCGCGGGCTGTTGCTATCATGCCTTCAGATGGATCGAGGCCGAGGACGTGGGAGAATTTCGGAGCTAGTTCGTGGGTAGCCATTCCTGGCCCACAACCGACATCGAGAAGGATATCAAGTTGACCACCCGTGGTAGTGTGATGATCTATGACCATTTGGTATATACTGGGATGGTATTTGGGGCGAAGATTGGCGTAGGCTTCTCCTTGGGCTTGGTTGTAGTGGCTGTACGTCTTCTCCTGGGTGAAAGTGGTCTTGGTGGGCATAATGGGCAGTTTTCTGATAAGCAAGAATGGTAGTCTGATGAGTTAAATACAGAACCGACTCCAGGGGAAATCGACATCTTTATAGCCTGGAGGCACATGGCGAAGTATATAGACGGAGATAATCCTCGGATTAACCGACCAATTAAGCTTCGTGAGTTCCACCAACGCTAAGCCTAATTGAGGCCACGACTGCGAATCCCGAATCCCGAGCAAGTACGGCATTCAAGAGAATTCGTGAACAACCTCCTTGACTCACTTAGCAGATTCATAAGCTTGTCCTTGAATTATTCCTACAGGTTACGGATGTAGACTCGTGAAATCCGGTGCATTGCGTCTGCGTCGTCATGGTTTATTACGGCAAGATTAGCCTGGGCTGTCAACGCTGCCGTCAGCGAAAAGTCAAGGTATGGCATATCCACTCTGTTCCCAAGCACGAATTTGACCCAGTCTCTAGTGTGACCAGCGGAGACCAGGCTGTGTGAAATGCGAAAATTTAGCCACGAAATGCCCAGGTTACCGCAACTTAACCGAGATCTTATTCCGTGATGAATCGGAGAGAATCATCCGCAAGGCTCACCGGAAACATCACCGGCCTAATATTCCTGCTTCTCATCCGAGAGCCTTGTTGTTATCCGGCAATCATACTCCGTCCATATTTGCCCCACTTTCACTCTCTATAAGCGATCTCGGGGCTAGTTTCTTTTTCACAAAGTACCTGCCTAGAGAAACAGTCGTTTCTAGGAACTTTCATGATTGGCTTAGCGGGGTATATTCCTCCAAAGACTCAAATTATGCACTACATGCTATAATCCAGGCAGTTGGTATCGCGGGCCTCTTTAATGTTTCACCGTCCCAGGTGAAGACAGTGGAATCTCAGAAATTATATTCTCAGGCTGTATCCGCTTTGCAGAGACTATTCAACGACCCGGTCCATGCTACTTCGGACGCTACACTCACGGCTGTGATTCTGCTTGCTCTTTATGAGGTATGGCAAGTCCACCTGCCAGAAATACGTTGCTAAATTCTGTACAGATTGTCACTTTTCAAACACGAGAGGATCAGGGCTCTCTACCTTTAACATCAATGTCTTTAACGCACATCGAAGGAGCCATTGCTATTTTGGAATCCCGGGGCCAGGAACAATTTACTTATGAGCGTGGTGGTCACCTGCTTGGACAAGTATCTACGAGGATGGTATGTCTAAACAACCCTATGACCATGGATAACATACTAAACCGCGCTAACCCGATCCAGCTCCCTATGTGTCTACATCACGGCATTGCCGTCCCTCCAGCTCTCGTTCAAGCGACATACAATTTCCACACAAGCCCTCTATGGTCTCATAGGTCTTCCCACCCAGGCTCCCTAACTGAAATAGCTTTCCGTTTAGTAAATCTACACGCAGCGATCCAAAGCGGGTATATGACACAGCCACTGATCCGCAGCGAGGCACTCGAAATCGATCATGACCTCGAGCTATGGAGAGAAGGTGTCCCGCCAGGATGGAGATATACGATAAACTACAACAAGGGAGATCGAAATATTAATACCTGTCTTGACGGGAAATTTCATGTCTATGCTAGCCACAGGATAGCGGAGACGTGGAATAGTTGGCGGAGCCAGAGGATAGCTATTAACCAGATCATTGTGAGGAATGAGCTTTCATCTGGTCCCGAGACTGCATATGTTGCTGCAATTTCGGCTATTCGACGGTTTTCAGAGGACATTTGCTTGTCGATTGGGTATTTGGTGGATTCTCCTCGTATGTCTTGTCTCCCTGGCCTCTCTCGTTAATGATATTGGGTCTAGCGCTTATGGTTTTACAGGTAGCTTCTCGCTCGTTCAACCACTGTACGTTATCTCGATCGAGGAACTGAATTCGTCTGGACTGCGTCTTCTTGCCATTTCCGAGCTGCGTCGCATGAGCACTTCTATGGGAATTCGACAGGCTGGACTGCTGGCCGAGAACTCTTCGAAAAGAATTGGCTTATTGGGGTGATAGAAAAGATTACTGTTCTCGCAGTACTGACAAATGATCAACGCAGTCTATGCATTTTTACAAAGCATAGCTGATCTACATAAAAACATAATGAACAATTCAACAGTAGCCTTGAATGATTGTAAAGCTACCCATTGCGCCAGACGATCTGTAACTCCAGTTGATGCGCAATGCAATATAAGCGAGAAAAATGTTCAAACCCGAGTAAAATCGGGAGAGGGACTTGTGTAGTCCGCTGTGGGTCTAGATCTAACGGGAACGATGCAGATGTGACGAAAAGTGAGTATCAAAAGAAACGGAAAGACCGAGAGAAGGTATGTAGGGGAAATAGGAAAGGAAACAAAGCAAAAGAGAGATACTAGTGATGCATGACGTTGGGATTGCCGGGGTATACTCCGTGTTGAGCATAGATTTGGCTTTGTTGGTAATTTGAAGGAATAGGTGATGCTGGACCAAGCTGGCCATACCAAGATTGACGGCGAGGTTCTTCAGGTTGATTCATTTGGTGAACAGCATCCCAGGTGCGGTTTGCACCAGCCATGTTGTACATGGCGTTTGGGCGAAATTGTGGCTGAGGCTGAGCCGGGTACATTGAGCCATAATAACGGGCATCAGCTTGCTGGTTATTCATGTGATGCTGGCGCTGATTGATCGCACTCTGGACCATCTGGTTGGAGAATCCCTCTCTCATCTCGCGCCTCTCTCGTTCGCGGGCATCGATAGTTGATACCAGACCTACGGGGTTGGCAGGAACCTGTGGCCGGCGGGTATCTTGTGACATATTGAAAAATGGAGAATTGGTCACTCGTGCAACGTGTTCTTGTTCCCGGGCCGAAAGATGATTCGATATGTCATAGTTCAGCATTGGGCTTGTGCCCCGCGAAGAGGGCCGGTAGTTGTGCTCCTGGCTGGTCACACGGGAACCAGGGCGGGTGTACTGGGTCCAATCTCCGGAAGTTGGACGCTGTGGTGGTGGAGTGTTGTTAGACGGAGACCGATTGTGCATGTGAATTGGGGGGACTAGGCGCTGCGCGTTGCTGGACATACTGCTCCGGGGTAAGACCTCCGCCAGGGGTGGTAGGACGGTTGGAAGCCATTCCAGGCTGCCAAAGCATACTCCGTCTGTGTTCCTCCTGGCCGGAGGACCGGCTATATCCAAGGTCCATGGTATTCGGCACCGAAAGTCTGTATCTTTCAGCTTCTGAATCCTTTCTCTGGTGAGGATCCCTGCGTAAAGCGTCGCCCGTGTTTGGGCGTCCAGTGGTAGGCATGTAAGTCATCGTGGGTCCAAAATCAACAGAAGGGATTTCCGGGTTGGCTTCTTTGGGCTTCTCGGTTGAGTAATGAGCATCGCCAATAACATAATCGCGTTTGGCAGGTTCTCCCACAGTCTTCATGACACCCATCCGCGGTTTGGTTGATTTTTGGGACTTCTTACTATACACCGAGCCATGGGTGCTTGCGTAATCTGGTGATACTGTAGAAGCAGCATCATCATAGACACTCTCTTCCTCCATTGCTTGATTTTCAGTCGGGGTCACAGGAGATGACAGGTGAGGAGCGATGCGATTGAGTGCATCTTCGTCCAGAGTGTGGCGAAGGTCATCCAAACTCGGCTCTCCAGGAGACAGAGGCTCTCCATTGTAAATCTGTCTCTGAGGAAGTGGCTTCCGTTTCAAGGACTTGGACGTATCAATTGGAACCTTACGTTGCGGTGACGAGGACCCTGTAGTGCTAGACGTTGAAGGCCGATCGTTCATATTGAGCGAGGCTCGCATCGCGACAGCAAGACGGAATGCTTCGTCACTGGACTGATGGGCGAGCTGCGGGTTCGGTGAGCTTGTAGGCTCCGCGAATTGCACAGCAGTGGCGGGATATGGCGCTTGGAATTCCTGGTTTTGAGACTGCTGATCGCTGACTGGGGACGAAGCGTCATGTACAGCCAACGCGGTTCCATCCGTCCGACCAATTGATGTTAGTTGCATCAAAGTCGCATTGGACATGCGATTGTTGGCCAATCGCTGCGCCGTAGTTGCATAAGGGCGGTTTGGGGGCATCTCACGAGGGCCGTGTGCGAAGGCAGGAGGGCTTGCGACAGGAGAAGGTGGCGTGCGCGGTGGAAGCTGCTCTTCATTGACCAGGGTAGGGTGTCGTTCCATGTGAGTATTATAGTGCTCCGTGATAGGAGCTGCCAGAGCAGCTTGTCGATCACGTTGCACCAAATCCTGGGCAGACGAGTCCGGTGAGCTAAAATCCAGGGATGAATAACCGGGTCTAGGCCCTGTCTGCATCCCTGTAACGTCTGACATTCCGCGATTATGATAGGCAGGAGGTTCAGCTCTAGGAACTTCGGCAATTACCGCTTCTGTATTGTTGAACTCAGGCTTGCTCTCCGCCAGGAAAGGCCGACGAGGGGACTCGGTCGGAGTGGAGTGGTTTACAGAGATACTCGAGCGGTATCGGGGCCGAGCGCTGTTGACGCTGTTAGTTCTGCTCCGGCCCGTGGAAGCTCTCTTCTGGGTCGCTTCTTTCAGCTGTCGCCTCCATTCAGCTTCACTCCACCCTTGGCTACCTGGGGTCTGAAGAAGGCTGGTGATATCCATGAGATCCAGATATCCAAATCGACGCTCCTGAGGGAAAGCAAACATGATACTTTTGATATGATTGGTGTCGGCCACGAGACGAGTGGGGCGGCCATAGAGATTGAAGGTATCGAACGTCGGGAAAAGGAATCGCAGCATCATTTCAAATCCAGAAATTGCCGCATGCAACTCGGGCATGACATACACAAAGCCCTCCGTGGTGGACTGATTCTGCCCGTGCAAGGTGATCCGACCTTCCAATTTCACCAGAGAGGATTGGTCGATCAAAGCCTTCGACTGTGGATAGATCGCATATGCCGAATACACATGGGTCATTGTCGCAATCGGGATTGCTTTTTTAGTCTTCTGAGTCTCGAAAAACTGAATGTTTCCTGTGACGGGAATGGACAGGCGATCGTATGCTGATTTTTTCAAAGCCTTTCGAGCCTTTGCGACCTGCTTTTCGTCTGGGGGGTTGATCACAAACCAGCATCGTCTCCAAGGGGTCCCTGCGCCAAACCGTACGCGCGCCCAGTCTTCACATCGGAATTTCGCCGGGGCTAAGATTGCTTGAATCCCATTGAGATGCTTTCCTTTGGCTGCAATGAGAGAACCGGTGTATGCTTCGTATAAGGAGGTGTGCTCGAACATGGCAAGACGAACTGCTGCAGTCCATTCGCACATGGAATGGAACGAGCGGAAATGAAGCAGGTATCGGTTTTTCCCTGCGGATGAGATACTTAGAACATTATTAAGCGGTGCTGCCGCTCCATTCCTGATCGGCAACGTTTCGATCTATGACAACCGAGTTAGCGCTCGGCCAATTCAACGTAAATTGGAAATTCCAGTGCAGGTACCATTTTAATTGACGCGTCTGCAATGTTGATAAAGGTCGCCGGGACCTCTTGTCCGCCAGCTCCGTCCAGCGCAGTGGCATCCCATAGTGAAAGGACCGTCCCAACAAGTTGAGCATAACATTCTATCCATTGCCGATCAAGACACGGCCGGCCCTCTGCATGAATCTGATTAGCCCATATTTGTCCCGCACTGCAGCCATCTTTTACATACGGTTATCTTGGTCATTCAATTTCAAGAAGTAGCCTTCGTGATAGACTTTATTGGTGTGAATGTTGAGGAAGGAAAAGATCGGCGACAGCTCCGGTGGGATGCCATCCACCTGGGCCATTAGCGGAGGGTTGTTTGAGAAGATCATCGACGCAGGTCGCGTCTCAATTTCACCACCTCTTGGAGTTGTGCCACCTACTGGGGAAAACTCAGAGGGTGGTGAGGGTGTATCGGGTGACGGGGTCTGCCACCGAGGTGGTGTTTCGACAGGAGAGGCATTATTCGAGGATTTGCGACTCAGCTTTCCGGAAGCGTTGTTTTTGGGACCTCCGAATGTTGATATAAATGAGCGAACTAAAGTAGATGCAAGGGCGAGGTCAATCCACATGTTCCGGTAGGTTCTGTCTGTTCCCGTTCCGGATCGACTTACCACGTGAACCACCCATGACGTCGAAAAGCGATCAATCACCTCACTGCAGCTGTGGAGGAGCTGTGAAACGTCTCTCAGGAAGTCTTCGAGAGACTTGAAGAGACCAGGGGGCACTTAGGGGACAAGGGCCCAAAAGAAAACGGTAGGGCAGTGCACGGTCTGGTCCGCTGTGGAGTAAGTTGAAACGAGGGAATAGGCCACAAGGACTTGGAGAATTGGCGGAGGCAGGTTAACCCATGGAGAGAGAATCAGATATACCCGAGACACCGGGAGAAAAGTGCAAGAATTCTGGTAACGACCGGGCACAACGAAAAGGTTGGCAGGAGCACAGAAGCCGAGTGGGTGGATGACGTTACGGGGTTCTCCAAGTGGAGTCAACTAAGCACTAGGACTAGTTAATTTTAGTTAGACTTGAGGAAGATCTGTAGAATATCGGCAGGAGAGGGAAGGAAAAGAAAGGGAAAATGATAGGAAAGTTCAAAAGAGGCGAGCAAATAGGACCGTGGGTCTGCCATCTGGTCCCATCTTGGAGACTTGGAGAGCATCACCTGCCATTGGATGACGGGGATTTCATTGTCAAATCTAGTTGCCCGAAAAAGGCTAGAGGACTATGTGGGACAAACAGGACAAGTTACGTGTTGCTTATGTGCTACCTAATTGATACAGTAGAGAGAAAAAAAAGAAATGGCAAGTCCAATAAGACTGATACAAACGTCTTGGGCGCCTGCGTCATCCCGGACCCTCCTAAGTACGTGTGATCGGCGGTGGAGAGTTGTGAGTCCTTTGTCTCACCCAAATTTAGCACAGAACTATGTAAGCATATAGAGCGTTCTGTTTCACTTGATCCAGACTTCGTATATATTATAACTCCATATAACATCCCCCCATTTCACGCCACTTTCTAGTCACCTTGCCACTTCATCCAGTGGTTGGGTCAGCGGGACACTTTTCTGCCGGGCCACGTACTTAAATATATGGATTACACCGCTCTCATCATTAATAATTTGAATAGGAGCTAAGAAAAAAAACCCCCCCCCCCAATTTTCATATGCATGGCAGATCAATCTAACCAGTCCAAATTGTGTATATAATTCAAATGCGTGGAAGAACCGGTTTCTGTGCTGCCCAGAGTCTTGCCCAGAGCCTTGGGCTGTGGCGATTCAAAGCATACGTACCCCTCTCCTGCTCGGCAGACTTAGGCGTGCCCCAGTTCCCAGCCACAGGGAACCTGAACCCTTTTTAACTAGTTCTCATCTCGAGCGATGCTTGGCAAGGAACAACTGCAATGAGGGGCAATGGTCCCACCGATGGCTATGGTTGGTATTTCAATATTGGGTGGATCGTAAGGTATGCACTGGTGTGCTGGTAAATAGTGGCGGAGGATTTTTGATACCTGATCAGATCGAGGGCTCAGAATTAAGCAGGGCCGAACAGGGGATAAATCTGGGTATTCAGGGTCAATCCCCGCAACTTGCCAATGGCGCCACGTTCATCCTGTTCCAGTTAGCTTGGCCGATAAGATGGCTACTTAGCATTTCCACCCAATCCAGCTAAGACACCACTGGTCGCGCCTATAAGTGGGGCACGGTATTGTTTTGTCTCCTGAATTAGGGTTAGCATTTGAGGAATATGTATGGAGTAGTAGTGCAATGCATTCTTTCCCCTAACTTTTTTGAGCTAAGTTTAGAAATGCTCAGTATCAAGCTAATCACCATAATAAACTTTGGCATGCGTAAGGCTTGGATCTACACACCCAAAGTTGTTATTTTGGAGGTCTCTCCTAATCATGTCTCCAAGATAATCACTACATGAACAACCGTGGACCTCAAGTGTGACGAAGCAAAACTTGGCCGAAGAGAATGGAAGTACTATTCAACGGAATACTAAGCTAGAGATGAAAAGAAAAGAAGAAGCATTCAAGGCTGGTGATCAGTTATCGTTACCTGAGATTCTTTAGTCTCCTGGCTTCTGTTAACTACACTCCTACTCCCAGTCTAGTTCCCAGTTTTCTTATACCTTAGGTGTATTCATATGGCTCAATATCACTTCATATCTTGTCTTTAATACCTAGTCTACCTTGTGACAAAAGTTTTGGTGAGCATGTACCACTCCACATTCTTCATGTGCTACGTATAACTATCATTCGTTAAGTGAATAACCAACTACAGCCCCTGAGTATCACCATATAAATAATATGAAAGAATCCTCACCACATTGGTGATGGATTCAAAGGATTGTCAAACACTATAATTACTTACCAAATCCACCACGATCACCTTCACCCGAATCAACCCGACCACGGCAGCCACCAGAATGACTACAACCTTGAAACTCTTCTCATGGCATTGCCAAGAAGAACTCGATAGTAGAAGTTCCCAAATACTTCCACTCATGAATATCTGAACGTATGATAGGTATAATTCCAAAATTGAGACTCAAAAATTTCAAGACTATCATAATAATTGATCTTATGTTAAGCCCTAGAGGCTTCTTAATGGTATCCTTATCTTTATAAGATATCCATGATTGTTCGATACAAACTCCTGATTCATAAACATACATTGTTGGTATATTAAATTCTCTACATGGGTTTTAAGAATTAGGCAGCCGAAATCAATCAGTTATCCACACATAACAGGTAGAAGCATGTTTTACGATCCTGCTCCTGTGGCCAGTCAGAGACGGGAGATCAACACGGCCCAGCATCAATGCCGAATTGACGCATGCAAAGACGTGAAGTTCTGGGACAAGAACCGCTCCGAAGGATCATGTATGGAAATATGGCCCATGATGTCCAGGAATACTGTTCCACGGGTACCCCAAAGCTCACTGAGATCGACGGCTTTGAACCGCCTGGGCACCTTCATACGCTCACAAACCTCTTGTCCAATCCTCCGAGCAAAAGGGCTATGACATTAATGATGATACAGCATTGCCTTCAGAAAATAGTCGTCTGTTGAACCTGCTTGTCCAAGTAGCCGAGTGGCTTGTTTGCTCATGGCTTTCCCGCAGTCAATATTTTCACTGATAGTCGTCGCTTGTACGCCGTCTACGGTGTGGATATTGCCAATGCAAACCAAGTTCCGTTGTGCAAGTTCCTGGTTGATATGCGTCTTTCCCACGATAGCAACTACCCAACCCGTGACATGATTCAGTCGCTCTTCCCCGACAAAACTGCCATTAATCCGTAATCTTACCTAGATGCCAGAATCACGAAAGTAAGATGCGTTGTTCTACCAACAAGAATGTCAAAAGCCTCCTGGCTCGGGACAATAACTCCGTTCCGTGGACCTTCCCCCTCCAGATTTTGAAATGGGGGACACGGGGTGAGATGAGGACATACCTGGAGCTGAAGACTCCTTTCCCGAGACGTCGAAATGGAGCGACTAATCCGTCGACAGGAGATGGATGATCATCGTCTTGATTACAGGCCGAAGATCTGAAGTCATCACCCCTCAAGTCTGCTATGTCCCCCAAGCCTCCACGCTCAAAGAATTACCCTCTTCTCGACGACGATGAGCTTACAATTCTTCTGGATTGGCAGGATCTGAATAAATACAAAAAGATCATTCACAACAACATTGCTCGCAAGGCATATTCTCCTGAGGGGAGAATTGAGCTGCTCTTAGACGGCAATTTTGACCAACTAACTCAAAATGTGTGATAGCATCTATTTGTGCAGACATAGCCCCTGTCAGTGAGCACGTCCGCGGTGTTTAATAAGTGATAAGTGTCCAGGAAATTTCATGTGTATTGTTCTTATGTTATGGGTTACTCTCATGTTGTCATCCCGTGGTCTTGTCATTGAACATGCAAGTGATCAAGATGTTTTACAAAAAGAATTGAAAAATAATGATAAAGTTGCGAATTCGGTTGGCACTACCCGTAGATAAGTACACGTAGGGAAGGCTCAAAAAATTAAAAGATCACAAAAATATTACAATCACGCTGGAGGTATCGTAACGGCGTAAGTATTGATATCTAGGCTTTTGCTTCAGCTCTCCATCAGGTGATAAGCCAGAACTGGGTCAATCAACGCCATATCGTTATGGTTGGGTATCATCGTATTGGCACCATGATTGACACCCGGAGGAAATGCATCTTGCATCATAATATCAGAATCTGGACCTGACTGCGAAGCTATATCATGGGACTGGAAAGCAGTTCCCTGCCCAGCAGTCGAATCGTGCGAAAAGCCCATGTTGGCATCATCAAACTCGAGCCCGTAAATTCCAAGTGAGTTTCCTCCAGGGCCAGACTGGTCTCCCAGCAAAGCACGTTGCATGAATAGCCCTTGGACTTCGTCTTCAGAACAGCCATGCTTGGCGGTCATATGCACCCACAAATCATAGTCACGGTGGAATCGATGTTCGCAGGAATCGTAGATACAGGCTATATGTCGCCCGGACTCCTCAACATAGCCCTGACCAGTCAGTGCCGCCAATGTGGACATTTGGTTGTTAACACAGGCCTTCTTCCCGAGGCCAAGTCGCTGGCGCCGCTCTGCCTTGGCATTTTGGAAGCCCAAATGCGCTGTGCGAATGTGTTCTTCAAGCGCCAGTTTGCTTCCGTATCTCTTCCCGCAGCCGATCCCGTCCCAGCCAGTAACTTTCTTCGAGGCTGACAGGTCGGTCTCGCCGCAACCAAATCGCTTCTCTCCTTCGTGTACAGTTCGGATATGGACAGTCAAATTGCCCTTCTTGGTAAAGCTGCGGTTACACTCGGGGAATGCGCAATCAAACACCTTCCTGTCCTCCAGGCTCGCATCTCCGTGAGCGACTTCAAGATGGCGTCGTAGCTCGCGTGAGGTTGAACAGACAATGGGACAGTGGGGACATTTTGGGGGATGAACAGTCCGAATATGTTCTTGAAGGACAGCATATGTCGGGAAGTAAATAGTCGCATTCTCGTAATTCTGCAAATTCTCCGCGCACTCAGCGCAGCTGAATCTCTTCTCGGCATGAACTCTGCTCTGGTGCGATCGAAGATGGCCAGCGGTTTCAAAAGCCATTTGACATTTCTGTCCGGTAGTTTCATCAATGTGTGTGCAAGGGAAGGGTTTCTGGTGCAAATGCACTGTCAGAACATGTTTCTGTAGGGTCGAATGTTTTCGGAATGTCTCCTCGCAGGGTGGATATTCTGTGCAGCGGTATTTGTCGCTTCCATCGTGTGCAGCAATGTGGCGACGAAGGCGAGAGCCCGTCACAAAACTCTTGTCGCAACCTGGTCGCGGACACACATAGTCCCGAGTTCCGGTGTGAGCACTCTTGATATGGTGGTTGAGATGAGAGGCTCGTAGGAAGGTCTTGTCGCAGTCATCGAAGGTACAGCCAAATATTCGTTCATTATTGTGGGACCGAATGTGTTCCTGGAGCCGAGCAGGACGATTGAAAGCCTTATCACATCCGTCGAATGGGCAGCGATGGGTCTTAAGTTCAGATGGGTATCGGGAGGATGTGGTGGAAATTGGTGTTGCTGGAGTATCGTTCATGTCATCACTGGCCATACTGGGAGTTGCTGGAGCCGAGTAGTCCATATCAGAATGGGCTTCTTCGTAAATTGGATCTTTAGAAATCGGTCAGTATGCTTCGATTGGGCTCCCAAGGCCGCATAGTGACGGCTCACCATCGCTGGGCAGATCACTCATGTGATGCCGTTTTGACGACGACTCCACATCGTCAGAAGCCTTCCGCTTTGAGGCCATGATCGAATATCCCCTGAAAAGAAAACATTCACCGAAAAAGCGAAAGTTGCAAGTAAGAGAGGTTGCGCTGACGTGAATTAAAAATATTTTGCCGCAGCCAAAAAGGCGGTCAGGACGAAGACGGACTAGCGTGGTGGAAGATTTTCCGCTTTTTTGCATTCGCGAGTTCAACAACTTCGGTCCCGCGCTCTGGGTTTCTCTCTCCTTGGTTCCTTCGGTCTTTATTTACAGCGATCACACCATGTCTGACTACGGCGGCGACGACCACGAGCCCGAGGCGTAAGCTCCCCAATGGCGATAACGAGGTCGGCGCATGAAAAGCTTGAAGGTCCTTGCAGATCTAGAGCTCGCGCATCATGACCACACTGCTATTGTGATGACAAGCTTTTCTAACATCAAATTTGTTATACAGCTACGACTACGAGCCCCATGAGGAGGTCTTCGATGATGCCGAGCCCGAGGATTTCCTTGACAACGAGGGTCTCGAGGGTGACGATGGTGTTGAAGGAGAATCTTACCAGCCGGCCGTGAACGGCGAGAATGTTATCGTCTCCGGCGACCCCAACGCTGGACAATCAGCCAAGGTGATGGAACAGTCACGCGAGAAGAAGGTCCCCAATGACCAGCGCACCACCACTCCGTACCTTACCAAATACGAGCGCGCCCGTGTGCTGGGCACCCGAGCTCTGCAGATTAGGTGGGTAGCCTCCAGAGATGAATTGCGCACGCGCAACTGAATTTGGAGAGACAATCAAGACAATTGACTGACAATTTGCGTAGTATGAACGCCCCTGTGCTCGTTGACCTTGAGGGTGAAACCGATCCCCTGCAGATCGCTTTGAAGGAATTGAACCAGAAGAAGATTCCCTTGATCGTGCGGCGGTACTTGCCTGATGGATGGTAAGAAAATCTTGCTGATAAATGAGAATTAAACTGCAGACTAACGTCATATAGGTACGAGGACTGGACTTGTGAGGAGCTCCTCTAGGCAGGTCATCATTCATCCTTCTGGATATTTGGGGGTTTATATTTCTGCTTTTGGGTGGATATCAGCATAGCGTTCGGAGTTTTGGGATATTGAAACCGTGGCTCCAAAAGACGAAAAAAGGCGTGAACAACCTTGGAAACATCCATGGACACGATCCAACTGTACATGAATCTAGACAGACCAAAAAAAATAATGACGGTTTCTGCACTAATGCCCGACCTGATGTAAAATGAGTCATGAAATGCATGAGAGCAGAGATTATGTAGCATGGAATTTACGTACATGCATACTTGCGTATAGTTCGCCACGTGAGTTTATCTCCGGGATCAAATTTCCCCCCCCGAAGTCCCACTTTTATGCCCCTAATTAGGGAGTCGGGGAACTTGTTCACTCGCAATCATTCAGGCACCTTAGCGCACAGGTCCATTCCTTGGCCCCTCGCCTGGGTAATCGGCACGGTTCCCAGTGATCTTCATTGGCTGCCCTCTACTCGACATCTTACCGCTACTCAGACGTTCGATACATATGGCTCTCCTCAAGGATGCCAGTGTGTGCCAGTGGGTGCCTGTGGGTGGGTGCCTGTGGGCCCGCCATACCCAAATTGTGACTTAAGATTCGGTCTCTTCCGCCAGAGCTTTTACCAAGGCCCCGCTTGCTCGGCCTTTGGTCGCGGTTTATAATCAAACTGAATTTTTCGCTTTTTTCTTCTGGATGTTGGAGAACTGACCCCAGCCTGTCTGTACTCCACCGTGCCCCGTGTTTTCGGCCATATAGGACTTCCATTCCCACTCGAGAATTTGTCCAGTCTGCCCGCTGCGCGCGCGCGAACGTCAAAGATGGGTTCGACTAATCTAGATGTAGAGCAAAAGGTCTGCGCCGATATTCCTACAGCCGCAGACGAGGAAAACCTGCACGGCTCTGAGACTGAGCCACCGGCTGAGACGCCGGCAGAGAAATCGGTAGATGAGTTCAAATTTGACCAGGGCCTTGTCGCTTGGCTCCAAGTCCTCGGGTCCTTCTTCCTCTTCTTCAATTCATGGTAAGAAATGCGCCTGAAATGCGCGTACAAGAATACTTATGCGCTAACACTATATCTTCGAACAGGGGTGTTATTAACACATGGGGTGCATATCAAACTTATTATGAGTCGAATTTACTTTCCGGAACATCGTCGTCTACCATTGCCTGGATTGGCTCCCTCCAGTCGTTCCTTCTGATGCTTGTCGGAGTCATCACCGGCCCACTGTTCGATGCAGGCTATTTCCGAGTATTGATCGGAGGCGCCAATATCATGCTTCCCTTTGGTCTGATGATGACCAGTCTTGCCACTAAATACTGGCAGTTGATTCTTGCACAGGGTGTTGTCATTGGTATTGCAGCAGGGTGTCTATTTGTGCCCTCCGTGGCCCTCTTACCACAGTATTTCCGAGAAAAGAGAGGCTTCGCCAATGGCTTGGCTGCTAGCGGCAGCAGTATTGGCGGCGTCGTATACCCTATCATGTTCGACCAACTGGAAAAGAAGGTCGGCTTTGCTTGGGCTACCCGAGCCATCGGTTTCCTCACTTTTGGAACCATCTTTATCTCGTTCAGCATCATGCGCGTTCGTATCCCACCCAGAGAGAAGCGCAAGCTGTACCAGCTTTCCGCTTTCAAAGATCTGGGTTACTGCATCTTCTGCGCCGCCATGTTCCTGGGCTTCCTCGGATTCTACAACTTCCTCTTCTATGTCCAGTCTTACGCCATTGACACAGGTATTGTGGACGATAACCTGGGGTTTTATCTGCTGTCCATACTGAACGCGGCCTCGACCTTTGGCCGTATTGGACCGAACTTCATCGCTGACCACACCGGTCCATTAAACATGCTCACCCCGGCGGTGACTATCACTTCAATCCTGGCCTTCGTATGGATCCGCGTCCACACTGTTCCCGGGATCATCATTCTTTCCGTCTTATATGGTTTCTTCTCTGGTGGATTTGTGTCGATGCCGCCGGTTGTCATGGCATACATGACCCCAGATGTGCGTGACCTTGGCACTCGTCTTGGACAAGTCTTTGCCGTGACCTCGATCGGTCTGTTGATCGGTACTCCCATTGGCGGTGCTATTCTTAGTAGCACTGGTAGTTACCTCGGTGTACAGCTCTTTACGGCCTGCTGCCTCATTTCCTCTGCCGTCCTTATGGCGACCCTGAGATTGGTGCGGTCAGGCCCGCACTTGATTGCTAAGACTTGAGTCCATCCACTAGGCCCTGTCTGAGTAATTCCATACTTTGATTTGATATCGAAGAAAGGGACGCGCATGGATTGCGATGCACAGTTTACAAGCGTTCACGCTCCAGTCTAAAGGCACATTGCATGGGATCACTGTTAAAAGTTTCGCATATAGAGGGCGTTTTTATTTGGGCAGAGGTTTTAAACAGCCTCTTCATTCCCAACGCTATACAAGCAGGTTATTAATGTAATAATCAATAGATAATAGAAAAAATGAACGAAATGAATGTAATTCCTCCTTGTCAACCATATATATGAGTGCAACTGTATGTAATGCACCAGATACTCCTTTATCAACAATGCTAAAGACAAAGAATTCCCGGAAGCTTTGTTCCTATTTAATTCATGTCCGGGTATAAGGAAGGGTAAACATAGCTGCGAATATGGGTGCAGATATGGGTGGGGCGTAAATATTGGTGCAGAGAGCATCATACACTTAGTTAGCTCGACACTATGAAACATCTTCGGGGTGAACGCAGAAGTCTTCGCCCTTGTCGCGTACATGCTCCAGCTTTTTGTCGCGACTGCATGGCTTGCGCATATCAAAGGCGTCCTCTCCGGTATCCGACATGCCGGTTGGATCGTCGCTGTAATAGCTGAGCACTCGTCGGAATACCGAATAGCTGTAGGGCAATATATCAGCACGTGACGTACTATTCATCGGGTGTCTATACTTACCCCATGCCTTTGTACATATCTATGGCCACTTTGTTGCCTGCGCGGACATACAGGTCCACGAACCAGGCATTATTGATGTCGGAGCCACTCTCCAGCTGCTCGGTCAACCGGCTTGCATAACCTAGTCGGCGCCAGGCTGGCGCAACGGTCAACACCGTAATGTGGCCATGCCAAGGAGTGTAATGCTCGGACCGTAGCATTGAGTCGGGTTGCTTCTCGAGTTTGCCCATGACTGTGATATTGGATTAGCATCAGACTGTCGATTTCAAAAACATCAATTACTCACTGTACCCAACAACGCCGGCATCGCGATCTTTCACCGCGCTGAACAGCGACGGCCACTTTGTCAGATAGTTGAGATAAAAGCCGAGATCATAGTTCTCGGTCAACGGGTCAAGGTTGGTAAGATTCAAGGAAAGGAGATCGAGCGGGGTCATGCGAGTAATCGCGCTCATCTTGAATCAGCCACCAAACAAGGTATCGAGGGGAAAGAATGTGGGGTTTGGTGATTTCAGTTAAAACGCCTTTTTTCTGCCTAGGCGGTGGCTCCACATGAGCAACATGACCTCGGACTTTTTGGTGTTTCATCTTATTCTACACAACTTGCGGGCTGAGCTGGTTTACATTGGTCCTTGCTTTCTACTTCTCGCGCTGGTCTGCTAATTCACTTTGCATGGGCCATGACGCTATAGACTCTGCATTCCGAGATATCCTTTGGCACTGAAACAACAGCTGCCCCATCACCGCCCCGGGACCCCAATACTGTGTGTTGTTGGTCAACTTCTTTCTTTTGTTTCTCTTATCTTGAAGGACAGGAATTCCTCATCTTTCTCATCCTTCCAAATCTCAACATCTTTCGTTTAATTTGGAGACTCAGAGCTCCTCTCCTTCCGATGCCCCTCCCTCCGTCTCCCCTGAAACTCGTTCACCGCTACCCCTCCAACATGGACGACTCGCCAATCTCACCAGGGGCCCCAGGAGTCAATGTGTTTGCTCCTGAGAGTCCCTTGGAGCCTCAAACCCCCCGACTCTCGGCACCGCCGTCCCCCGTCACACCCCGCCAAAACATGAACGGCATGAATGGGTCCCATCGGGAGTCGGTAGATTACTCTGCTGGCGCAGGTGGCGGTGGTCTGGGGAACCTGGCCGATGAATTAGCAGACGCGTGGGAACAAGAAGAAGATGGTTATGGATATGCTTCCGGGCAAGAGAACACAGCGGGGTCCCAACAAACGGATCAGAGCGACGGCGAGGACGCTTACCTACAGTCTGTTCGCGACATGCGCTCCCAATCACCAACGGACTCCCCAGCCAGAAATAGACTACGAGCCACCCAAATTCGACAACATCGGCGGCAGGAATCCCAATATGATGGCTCGGACTATGGGAATGATTCAGATTTGGAGGAGGCGGCCGATCTATCCCCCGCATTGGAAAGCCAGATGGCGGATATTGAAAGCCTTGCGCGGCGGGGTATCGAAAATAATGGCAGCGAGAACGACCATGTCATTCAAAGGACAGTAGATTCGCTCAAGGATCTAGGTGGACAGAGCGGCATTGAGAACAGTGCCATGAGGTATGTGCTCCTAAATGACAGTGGCTTCAACATCACAGAATCTAATTTTATCTAGGTTGATTACTGCCCATTCCTCTATCACATCTCACCTCACTCATCAAACCCGTATCCTTCAATCCCTCATCCACCCACTTTTATTTTCTCCGTTTCCTCTCCTCTCCGACGACGCCATTGACTCCCTTATGCCCCTGATTGACGAAGGCCTCTTGCCCAATCTCCCCTATCCTTTCCCCGAACAAAACCACCGGGACTCAAGACCGAATACGCCATCACAAACATCCGCCCTCAACCCGCTTGTATCTCTCCAAGCTCTCATTTCTCAAACCGCAGATATTACCCACTCCCTCCGCGGCCTAAGCGACACCCTCTACGAATCGCGCCAGCTGACTTCCACCGCATCTCGTCGATTACGATCCGCACGAGAGCTCGTTTCCGATATTCGGCGGGAGGAAGAAAGCCGAGAGGAGGGTTCACGGTGGATCGAAGTAGGCGAGTGGGATCGCCGACTTCAAGATCGCGAAGCTGGGAAGGAGTGTCGAGACGTCGTTAGTGGCTTTGAAGCTGTTTGCGGCGAATGGCGTGAGAAGCTATTTGGAGCTGCTGAGGTGGCTGCCGCATAATCCTAACATGACATCTTTACTGTTTTGTTTTTAGAATGGCTTTTGGAGTGTACTTCAGACCGCCCTTAGACTGTTATGAAGCTTATCCTTTGGGTTAGCTCTTTTTGCTTGTCAGATATCCACTTGATTCTTTTCTTATGTTTCTCATTTTGTCCGATCCTAGGTGGTTCGTTTATATCCCTGATCCATCTATCAATTGGTCTGCACATAGCCTCAGGACTGTTCGACATCAATCATTGAATTTATTAGGTTGAGTTATCATAACTGAATCTTGAAACAAATATCTTTGGTATTAGGTATAGTTTTATTCTAACTACCTACTGCCCCGGCCCGTCTTATCATGTTCAAATCTGCGAGGGAATATGACTTGAAATATCTAGTTCCAGGCTGTTTTTGGGTAGATTGGGTAGGATGTTCGGAAAGTGATATTCCAATGTTCTAGAACAAGTCCTCCACACAGAAGATTCGTAGATGCGAGTGCCTCATTCCCAGCCAGTCCCCTTTTTTGAAGAAGGTCACTGGTCTTCCAGAGACGCTTTGTAAAACGCTTTCAAACAAGTTCTATCTTCATTTTCCCATACTTTATATCCGCCATTGTTTCAGATTTGAAGTTGATGAATAAGTTTCGAGCTCGATTTGACTTTTCCATGGATCGGACAGAATTCAATGCTTCCATTTGCTTGTTAGGGGCTTGTCCTTAAGATAGGCGACGGTGATTGTTGGCGAGCGTGAGATACCAAGATCACAATGGATTAATATCGCCTTCGAAGAAACATTACACAGCTCATCAGCTGTATGATCAACGGGCAATGAGGATAATGAGCTAAGGGTATCGAATGCCATTTGGCCGACAAAGTCGCAAATCTCATGTGAGCAAGGAGGTCTTGTGTTGCTGAGTCTGCGCACTGGATTCATTTGTGACGGTGCTCTGGGATACCTGCCTCTCTAGTAGCGGTGTCTCACCATACCCATCGGGTATTAGTAAGATAATGGTTTTATTGATACTTGCCTTCAAGCAAGTTCTGTTTGTATGATGCCTCGACATTCCAAGAAAAGGGTAGGGCACAATTTGCCTCATTCGTGCTGTGAACGTCTTCTCCCACTTTTTGCCCCCATCATTTTATGTATGCTTTTTGTTGCGTTTTCACCCATTTTGCTCGCACTGTTCTCCTTTGACACCGAAAATATAGAGTAGTGATAGTTGAGAGATTGTGCGGCTAAGACTGATGCACAGAGGTTCAACCCCGCCTTCCCCTGATATCACAAAGTTTGTTTTATGCTTAAAAGCTCTCAGTTTACGGCCCTAAATCAACTGTCTTCTTAAGACTAGTTATAGTCTTTTGGGTTCAGCGGTATATAGGAAAAGAAAAGTAAGATAGTGCCATGTAAGCTCTTCTAGCTCTATTCCGCAAGAACAACAACCTTCTTTGCAGAAACTCCCTTCTTCAACACATCATAGCCCTCCTGAATACCCTTCAAACCCCTCGTACCCATAATCAGCGGATCCGGCAAAGCATGATATCCTCCATCCTCTAACGCCCTAGGTAAGAACTCCCGCCACAACTCCAGGATAACCTCCTGGTTTCCCCCAAAAAGCATCTTCGCACGCACACCGTCCGGGACCATATTCTCTTGCAATGGCATAGTGGTCACAACAAAAACATCAGACTTGACCAGGCTCGCAATGTCCAGAACAGGACCTAAAGATGCCGCAAATCCAGCTGCTTGGAATATACCCATACAGTTCGAGCGTGCATCCAACTCATGGACAATATGGGACACAACGTCCGGAGCAGTGTAGTCGAAGACCATATCCGCCCCAAGCTTCTTCAAGCCTTCAAAATTCCTCGGCGATGCGGTAGTAAGAACTCCAAGTCCAATCGCAACAGCTAATTGGATAGCATTACTTCCAACCGAAGAACTCCCACCCCAAATCAGCACAGATTTCTTTCCGCTCCCCTTATCCTGATTTATATTTCCAGCAGCAGGTAACCTCCCATAAACAGGGACCCCCAATCCAAAATACTCCTCGCTCACAAGTGCATAAGCAGCAGTTGAGAACCCCAAAGGCAGAACAACACCCTGCTCAAACAACATTGAATCCGGGATCCGGCACACAAAGTCCGATTCCACGACGACGTATTCTTGGAACCCGCCCATAAATGGACCCTTTGTTGCACCCTGCGCAAGTCCAATGACGCGGTCGTTCACTGCGAATCTGGTTGCGTTGCCTTGTGCTACAATCGTGCCGGCGATATCTTCGCCTAGGATGACGGGGTAGCTGACGAAGGCCATTTCGGTGTCTTGGAGGATATGATCTGCCGGGTTTATGGCCCATGCGTGTACTTTTATTAGCAGTTGGGTCGGGGTGAGGGCTTCTTGGTAAGGGGTCCTTTTGATTTCGAGGGGGGTATGGCATTTTAGTTGCCAAGCTGCGTGGTTTGAGGGCATTTTTAAGATCGGTGATTTTTTAAGTGAATTAAAAGAGATTCTTAGGGCATTTGGGTTGGCTTATTGGAATTGAGTCGCTTGGGAGGAAAGTAAAGATGATTTTATAGGGTGAGATGGGATTAGGCTGCGGATAATGTAGGTACTTCGGAATGCTTCACCTCCGTAGTGGTTATGACTATGCTAAATACTGCTTATCCATTGTCTGCATTATTTGCTTTCCAAGGTTTATGGTGGCTAATGCTGTGTATCTTTCTGGTCCGGTTGTAACGCTCGATTTGTGAAGGGCTGCATTAAAGGCCTGTTTGAAGAAGACTAGCCCTAACTTCGTTAAATCCGCTAAATCCGAAACCTTGGAACACCTGGACGTAATCGCCGCTACAAACTCCGCCAGCATGAAGCATTCATATCTAAGAGGAACTTATTGACATGTGCCAGGCATACATGTATGAGATAAGGTAGAGTATATACGTAGTAAGCCAAAGTCTAGAGAAGATTTCAATCCTATTCACTGGATCCCGACAAATTCGGGACCAAAAGCATGGAGCAGAGCATGATATTGGCATCACGGATGACAAGATGATCCGAAGGGATAAAGGAAATTAAACTGGGGAACGCGGAAAAACAATGGAGAAGACCAGGGGCCCGAACAGAGCCACGAATGGCCGATGATACAGGGTCATTGCGAGAAGGGGGTTCGTGAAAAAACATGCGCCGGATATAGGAATGAGAAAAAACATCCGATGCCACTTTTTGATGCCCTCCCTAAAGTTGTAGGTGAAAAGAAGAAAGTAAAGTCATCCACCCGTGAAGCCGCTTATTGCTGCTGCTTCCACTTAGGCACCCAACGGCCACCGCTGGGCTTGGCCTCCTCAGGCTTGGCAGCCGGGGGAGCAGAGCCCTGAGCAGAGGGCTCACGAGCGTGACGGGGCGTCCAGCGCTCAGAGGGGGAATCACGAGGCTCACGGGGGGGGAGGGGCGGATCCAGAGCCAGCGGGGGCTCCGGCACGGAGGTGAGGGGGGGACATATCCACCCTTGCGGGCGGGGGGCTCCTCCCGGGAGGGGGCAGGAGCGGGGGCAGGAGCGGGGGCATCTGCAGAGTCTCCACGGGCAGCCAAGCGGTCTCTCCAGCCAGATCCAGCACTGGGACGAGCAATGTTGAGACGGGGGGCAGTGCGCTCAGCCGATTCGTAGGAAGAACCACCACCAGTCCGGCGGGCAGCCAAGCGGGCCTCGGCCTCTTCCTCGCGCTGCTTTTGGCGAGCAGCAATCTCGTCGAGCTTGGCACGCTCCTCCTCGCGACGAACCTTCTCCTCGGCAAGGACACGACGGCGCTCCTCGTCGCGGGCAGCGCGCTCCTCCTCCTCGCGCTGAGCACGCTCTTCCTCCTCCTTGCGGCGGGCCTCCTCCTCCTCGCGCTCCTGCTTCTCGCGACGGCGGCGGTCCTGGACCTCCTTGATACGCTGCTTCTTCTTGGCCTCGAACTCGCGCTCGGCGGCCTTGCGGCGCTTCTCGAACTCCTCGTGGCGCTTCTCCGAAACCTCCTTGCGGAAGTTGCTGAAAGCGGGCACCAGGCGACCCAGACGGTGCTTGAGGGCAACAGCCTCGGCGTGCTTCTGCTTGGCCTCCTTGAGGGTCTCGGCCTTCTGGGCCTCGTAAAGCTCCAAGTCGAGCTTCTTCTGGGCCTCATAGTCGGCAGGAATGTGCTTCAACTCTTCGCGACGGAAGGCACGCTCCAAGTGGTCGATACGCTTGGCGGTAGTGCGAACGCGGTCGTTCAGCTCGTTCTTCTCCTTCTCCAGCTGAGCGAGCTTGATGGCACGCAGACGGTTTCCATCCAGCTCATCAATGTCGAATTCGCTGATATCGATACCCTTAACACCGGTCTTGAGCTCCTCGAGCTGCTTCTTCAGCTCCTCCTGGCGGATGCGGTCCTGCTCATCCTTGATGCGCTTGCGCTCACGCTCAAGCTGCTCATCGGCCAAACGCTTCTTCTCAGCATCCTGCAGCTGCTGAGTGCGAATACGCTTGCGAGTCTCCTCCTCACGCTGCTTGCGGTTAAGGGCGTCGGTGGCGGCCTCCTTCTTCTTGTCGATGATAACACGACGAGCCAGTGTCTCCTCGTGCTCCTTAGCGGTGCCAGCCAAGGCGCGGGCCTGGGCGGTCTGCTTGGCCTGCAGACGAGCCTCGTTGTAGGAGGGGTCAACATACATGCAAGTAGTGTGCAAGGTCTTAGCCAGGCGAGAAAGCTGGAAGCGGGCAATCTCGGCGGGGGTGTGCTGGAGACGTTGAATGGAGCTAACGTCGGATTCGGCAGAGCCGGCACCACTGCCAGCGTGCATGGCCTTGGAAGAAGAGAACACGTCGGAGTCGAAGGTGAGGACACCAGAGATGTGGTCCACGCGGATGGCAAGGTCACCCTTCTTGCAACCGTTCATGATGAACTTCTCGATCATGGCGGGAGTGATCTGGAAGGGGTCGGGGAACTGGGCGAGCTCGTAGACGAACTTGAGCTCAACGGACTCGTAGACCTGGGACAGCTGCTGGAACAAGCGGGTAAGAATGACCTGCTGGAGAGGCACAACGTACTTCTCCATCTCAGGGTCGGCACCAATCTGCTTCAGGATAGGGGTGATCTTCTTGCAGATGGAGAGCGGGTGGAAGTCGACCTCGAGGATGTTGTAGAGCTCACGGATCTCGGGACGGACACGCTTGAGGAGACCCTTGTTCAGGGCATCACGGAACAGAACGGAACGAGTGGGAGGCTGAGCCATACCAAGCAAGTTGGTGAGGCGAGTGTTCTTGTTCTTGCGAGCCTCATCCACATCGACCAGGGCACCGCGGGAACGGGTAGTGCTGATGACAGGGATGGAAAGAGCAGAAAGGAGCACGAAAGAAGCGGCCTTGGTGACCTCGGGCTCGGTGACGGAGGGGTTCTCCTTCTTGGTGCTCTGGCCGGTAGCCAGAGCCACGGTCGAGAGACGGAGCAAGTTGTAGTAACGGTTCCAGGCGGCAGCGTGGAAGAGGTAGTTCTCGCTGACAAGGAAGATGCGAGCCAACTTCTCGTAGTAGTTAGCCATCATGACATTCTTGGCCGGGCGCTTGCTGAGGTTGAGCAGGGTGTGAATATCCTCAATGCTGCGGAAGGCCTCCTGCCACAGCTCCAGCTCGACGGCAACGTTCAGCTGCTGGAAGCGGGTATCCAAGTGACGCTGCAGAGTGTCGGCATCGCTGAGGTTGATGGCGTGCATCTGGGAGGAGTACTTGGCGGCGTTCTGGACGTGGTTGCGCAGAAGCTCACACAGACGGCGGAACTCGGTCTTGCGGGCGTACTTCAGGCAGAACTGGAAGGCCTGCAGAGCGGTCGACTGGTACATAATCTCGAGACGGGCGTTGTTCTTCAAGATCTCGAGGACGGTACGGTAGGTCTCCCACAGGAACTTGAGCCAGGGAGTAACGACGGCGCGGTCGGTGCGGTCCCGGGACTGCTCGCCGGAGACGGTGGCCAGCAGAATGGTCTCGGGGGTCTCGATAGCCTCCAGATCGTCGACATTGGAGGAGGGAGCGGCGGACTCGAGGGAGGACTGGATCTCGTCGGCCTTGGCCTGGGCCTCGGTGACCTTCTGCTCAGCGAGCTCGATGAAGCGCTTCAGGACAACCTCGATGGTGCCAACGTTGGTGTTCTGGGCGATGTTCTTGTACTGGTACAGGCCATCCTTGGCCGCCTTTCCCTTGCGCAAGTCGACAGACAGCTCGACGAAGAGGAGCATAACCGGTTCGAGGGAAGCAATGGGGCTGCTGCGGGTACGCTTGGAGGTGACATGTTCGTGCAGGACGGTCAAGGCAGCGGGAGCCTGACCGACGGCGATGAGTTCCTGGGCCCTCTGTTCAAGTTAAGAGAAAAGGTAAGTATCAAATTGAAAACCTTAATATCTTATCGGGTCGATCATGATCACCAACCTTGAGGACATTCTCAGGCTTGATATGCGGTGGTGGCGGCATGATGGATAATCCACCCCTTTGAGGGTTTTCCGGGTTTTTAGGTGTTTTTTTGGCGAAATGGAAATGGTGAAAATCGTCCGGCGTCTCACACACGGGCAGGGGTTCAAGAACCGAGTTAAAAAGCTGCCACGCGAAGTCCCGATAGACCTAGAGGGGAAGAAGGGCCTGTTGTGCGTAAACCGAAAATTCGCGGGTGACTGTTCCCACTTAGGACTAAGCGATGGGGCAATCACGTGAATCCCAATCACTGGGGCATGGACACCTCGACACCTGAAGTCCCTGTAAGTTCAATAGCTACAATCCCCAAAAATAGAGCTTATGTATTGTCATTTCGAGGCTTGAAATCTTCAAAATCCAGATATCCATGATCAATTGGTTTCACCAGATCTCTTGAACTTTTATTAAAAGTCCCTAAAATACACTCCATGCCGGGGCCGTCTTACGCCCATTGCCATTAGGACTCCCAGCTGGATGGGTCAGATTTAGATCCGGAAGTATCGGTACATCTGAAACTATTGAGGAGACCCGTTAAATAGTGCGAGTGCAAAGTACCTGTACTGCAACCGATGAATAAGCCACCCACGGACCGCCCCAGTAACAAATCCAAGGTGAAAATAACGGGGAAAATCCCTCTAACAATCCAACGACCCTTCGTTCCTTTGGTCCTATACTCATTCTCTCTTTTCCTTTCCTTTTTCTTTGTTACGCGAAAGCGCTTAAATACGAAATCACCAACTGGACCTTGTGTGGACACTTGGCCCCCCCCCCGTACCCAGGTTACCGGTTTCTAAGTTCAAACCCCCTCTGACCCGAAAAACCCCCCTTTCTCTCTCTCCTTCGCGAACCTCGTCTCCCATACCCACGCCAAAATGCCCGCCTACGAACTGCGATCTGGGGGTGATGTCAAGAACAAGAAGCAGAGTGTTGCCGACTTGAAGTACCGTCGATTGACTGAGCTGAATGCTCGTCTGAAGGAGGACCTGGACCGTCCACGGGTCAAGGTCTCCGAGGCGGCGCTCTCGTGAGTGATGCCCCTTTTGTCGCATCACAGCCACCAAAAACAATTCCCCCCTAACGCTAAATTCTTTGTGTCTTCTAGCCTGATCTCTTACTGCAACAATACTCGCGACTTCATGGTGCCCTCCGTATGGGGTCAGGTATGCGACCGTGCTTTTTCTTCCCCGGGCGCACACGCGCAAATGGCTGACCTTCTACTCTTTCTCTAGGTCGACAAGCGCGAAGATCCTTACGCTCCTCAGCAGCAAGGAAACGGCTGCTGCACTGTTATGTAATGGTCTAATGACGATATCCTCGCATCGCCACGACACGATTTCTCTGTTTTTTTGTCCCTTTTTCACCCCAACCTCTTAATCCCCGGATCTACCGCCCCCTGATGATCGACTTCCCCCAACTCAACACACCCTTTGGATACACCCAAAGCCGCGATCGCTCACTCACCGGGTGTGGATCAGCGACCCGTGGCCTTCCCTGAAGAAATCGTCTGCTGGCCTTGCACGACCACTTCGATTACACCGATTTTCTACGGGCACATCACCAAGGTTGCTTCTTGGTTAAACTTCAATTCCGGCCGCAGTGACGCGTGACGATGCGCACTGTATAGCCCTGTCTCTTTTACTTCTCTTCTTCTGGACCTTTTTCACCATCTACTCTACTTCTACTTTTCGTCTCTTCTACCGCACCATTCCCCCTTTGTTGCCTCTGTTTTGAAGCCAATTTCCTATGTTCCTGGGTTCCTCAAAATCATTTTCGTCTGAAAAGACAATAGCCGGTTGCCATTCGTGTATCATAGATTCGATTTGCATCCAACGACCAATACAATACCGTTCTAATTACCACCGTATGCCCAGTACAGGCACAAGTCCAAAAATTCGAAATTCAAGTAACATACCTTAAATACAGTTTCCAACACATTCTGGACCCCAAATCCATTTCAGCCTCATGTAATCATGTAAGTAGACTATCGTGCATAGCATCAACTCTACAACCCTGTTACTGTCAGGACCCGAGATGCAGTGCAGAGCCGAATCAGGCAATCCCGCTGACATCATCCCACCACCGAATTCATCGCTTGGTATCATCAACTATACCAGTCTTCAAGCAGCGAACCCGAATAAATTCGACTCAAGACTGTTCAAGAGTCCATAATTTCATCCGGACTTTTATACCGCCGCTCCACTCTTCCTCTTCCTCTTATCAATCACACCCTTCTTGAGTCGTCAACTCTGAACCACCATGACTGAACCAACGGCCACAGTCGATAACTCAGCAGCTACAGGAGCTGCTAAGCAGACGAAGCCTGCTGCGGAGGCTGGACTAACAACCCTGGAACGAGTGCATCTTCCTCGTATCTCTATCAAATTCTGTACGCAGTGTCGGTGGATGTTGCGGGCTGCTTATGTATGTACTTACATTCCATCTTCGTTTTCTTCCCTTGCTCTCTTCAAGGTTGATCTTGCTGTATCATTCGAAATCAGGTCTATTTGACTCTGCCGTGTCAGAGCTTGTGTTTCAGCTATATTTTGATGTGTGGCTGGAGATATACGCCTGATATACCTTGAATGATGAACAAACATAGAGAGGCTAACGATGTTATAGTTCGCCCAAGAACTTCTCTCAACTTTTGGTACCGACCTCGGCGAAGTAGCACTTGTTCCTATGACAGGTGGAGTCTTTACAGTGACGATCTGGCATGCTGAAAAAGCGACAGTAGCAGATGGAGGGGAGGTCAAGACGCAAGAACTTATTCTGTGGGATCGGAAGAGGGATGGGGGATTCCCGGGTATGTTCTGCTTACTACCATGCATGCTTATTCTACCCAAGCATATAACATCTGTTTCTAAGCTTCGATGGTTTTGTGCTAATGAATTTTGTTCTGCAGAGGTCAAGGCTCTTAAGTCTCTTGTGAGGAATGTTATTGCCCCCGACAGAGATCTCGGGCACACAGATCGGGCTTTGAAGCAGCAGGCAGAGAAGAAGGAAGGAGAGAAGGAGAAGAATGAAGAGCAGGATGCCGGGGAGAAGAAAGAGAAATGTGAGGACTGCGTGTGACACCTGGGCTGGTCGAATGATCAAGTAGCCTTGAGTCCTCTGAATTGAGCATATATTGTACTTTGTAAAATGGTTCGTCTACAAGCAATCATGAATGAAGGTAGATATTCAGTACAATATAGACATATATTGGGAAAGGATAGAAAGAATACAGGTTACTATCTCAGATCCCATAAGCGTAGAAGGGCCTCAGAACAATCAACGCCACCAGCCCCGGATCCAAGTTCTAAAATGACCACCCAAAAGCCAATTGTAGCCTCCAAACAAAGAAAACCCAAAACGTCGAGCGTGTCCATGATCATCACATAGAGAAGCGGGTTGCAGGGACCCGATGCAAAGTACAAAGTACCAAGAAGTAGAAGGAGAAGCGAAAGCAAAGAGAACGGAAGAGAAAACAAGCCGCCAGCGCCGGATCCATATTTTGGACGGTCGTCCACTTTCATTTGAAAAGAAAATGTGCGGTATAAACATCCACTGGGCTTGTCTGTGACTGTGCATATCAGACAAGCCCATCGAATTCAGCATCTTGTGTCGGAGCCGGAGCCCAACATGGTCGTGCCAACAATTCCATCATTGATATCATTTGGATCGTAGGAGATAGGAGGGAAAGGAAGACCAGAGGAGTCCAATATATGCGTTTGGATATACCACCACAGCATATAACGAAGGATTCTAGGGTCGAGTCGTGAAAATCAGCGCTCATTACAAAAATGCACTGTTCATGAGACCATGATTGCATAATACAGCTGGTAAACAACCAGAAGGAACGAAGGAAGCAGGGATCAGCTCTCGCCGTGGACCTCCTGTTGATGGTGATTGCGACGCTTCCAGAAAGCAAGACGTAGTCGACTGCGTTTCTTCGGAAGCCGGCGTATTCCATGCCCATTCTGGTCACCACCGTTCCCTTGAGGATGCTCGTTCTTGGTACTCTCGCCGGCCGATGTAGACCGGGGATGGCTTGTATTACCATTAAGAGCACCGTTGTAGTCCTTGCCATCCTCTGATCGGGCGATGCCAGAGCTATGGTCGGGACTGTAACTGCTGCTTTCATGATCTCCCGAGTGCGAAGCATAAGAGGTGCTCGGCCTGGTGCTGCTATCATCTGGACCACCAGCATCGCTCTGAGGAGAACTATCATCAGATATACGATGTTTGCTCTCATCGCCGCTGTCCACTGCCAAAAAGCTGGTAGCGTTGGTCGCGGGAGAAATAGGAGTCATATTGTTGCTGTAAGCGCTGATGCTTTGGGTACGCGTACAGCTGTTGCGGTTGGAGCTAGATGGCCCAGAAGTGCGAACGGAAGAGCTGTGGTGTGCGTGGTGTTGGGAACCCTGCGGGCCTTGACGGGAGCTGCTCGGTCGCTCGGCAGCAGAATCAGCAGCATTGTCACGCTCGGTGGGCAACGAGACACTGCCGTGATTAGACGCCGTATTGGCATAATACACGGCAGCCAAAACGGCCGGGTCTGCTGGAGCGGCACTCGATTCTGCAAGCGAAGTCCGAGCCGAGTGAGCCCCCGGGGCAGGACGAGAAAAGTATGAGAGATCTGGCATGGCACTAGAGGACTTTCGCGACGACATATCAGGGCCGATCGGAGTTCCAGTAATCTCAATCTGCGGACCTGGGGTGTCTGGGGATACAACTGGCTCAATGTTGTTCTCGTTGTAGGCTCCATCTTGGATTACCGTCTCTTCTGATGAGCCCGACGGGGGATCGCTGGGCATATCTTCTGATTCCGCCAACGCTCTCACAGTATCGTTAGAGGTGGTTGGTCGGACAGGGCTCGTAGAGCGAGGAGAGACCGCCTCAGAGACGGGACCCTCCACCGACAGACCCCGCCGCCGCAACTCATCGTTGGCATGTTGCTGCCACTGGCTTTGGTTGTCGCGGATATAATCAGCAGTGAATTGCAGCTGCGGCATAAGATCGGAGACACCCTCGAAAAGCGGAAGAGCAAAGATAGACATGAAACCAATCTGACCGGTTGCAAGCTTATAAATGTTGCCCAACTCCGGCGGCCCACCAAACAGCGCAGTCTCCATGCCTACTTCCTTCTCCATCTCGCCTTGATTGGCGAATTCCTCCTGCAGAATCTGAGTCCATTTCTCGGCGACACCCCACGGTCGAGCGACGTTACTGATGTCAGCGCATTTGATCAATAGGCCACAAACAAGTGTTTTATACATCTCGACGTCCTGGGGCTTCCAGAGATCAACAGTCTTGTCGCTTTCGGAATATTTTTCCTGCAAAGAACCCATCCGCTCCATGAACTTTTGGTGCACGCCCATATCCGTCGCCAGAATAGAGCTGATCAGCAGCTTTCGAAGTTGCTTGTCCTTGAAAGCAGCAGGCCAGTGACGGCGAAGGATCTGGGAAAAGGCTGCACAGTGGAATGCTTCGAGAACGGAGTTGTCGTTGTATAATTGTGCCAAGGGGGCGTTGAGTTTGACAAGGAAAAAGTTGTTGACGCCGGGGTGGCCAACGTCATGTCCAATAGCGGATATAAGTAAAGTAAGAGAATCAAAAGGAGAGAGTAGAGTGGCAATAGGAGATTTCTCTTCAACAGACAGGCCAAAAGGCCCGTAGGGAGGCAAAGCCCCGATTCGAAGCAAGAAAGTAAAGACCGACTGCAGCACATCAATGGCGTGCCGGAAGTTGTGATAAAGGACAAAGGAATTGTAGGCCGCACGGCATGCAAGTAGGAATGTCTGGAGTTCACCTGATGTCAAGTACCACTGTTCCAGCCCGGGAAGATTAAAGGCATGTTGAAGCATTTGGCACGCCGCATAGACCAATTCATCCTCGGAGAATTCATGGGCGGAGAAGTTCCACTGGGCTACCTGCTCTTTGATGAAGGCTTCCCGTCCCGGTTTGATATCGAGATCCCGTTCCTGGAATTCATCGACAATCTCCTCGGGATTGCAGATTCCCTTCATCAGCTTTGCCACCATTGCCTCCCGTAGGTATGAATATGGTTCTTCATCATGCACACCCACCCAAGACAACTTGCGTAGCTTCTTTCTGGCCAAAAACCGCGACATATCTTTCTGCGCCGAGCGACGGGTGCGATACGCATGCACTACCAATCCTTGAATGCGGGACCGATCGAGCGGGGTGGTCAGGACGTCGATAGCGCCGGCGTCGAGGCATCGAGCGATCTGCTTGTGTTCCAATGTCACCGGATTCCGAGGTTGCGGGTCGCTCGTCGAATCCGCAGGGGCGTCCGGCTCTGCGCTCGAATCCCGCAGGATGGCGACTGGAATGACCAGGTTGGGGCCGTCCTGGACTTGGATATCGTTCGAAACACCGGAGAGCAGCCCAAGGCCGGCGGCTTCGTCATTGTGGGAGGAGAATGTGAAAGTGCGTTGAATAGAGCCTGGCGAAGGCGGCCCATTATCCATCCATGAGGCCCGACTGGCCTTTCGACGGGCGACATTTAATTCGTCGCCACCAAAGTCGATACCAAAAAAGGCAAATATTGGGGTGCAATCGCTGCCTGAACGGTCGCTGAGTTCAGCCAATTTTGTCGCAAAGGAAGCTCCGCTCTGGCAAAGGTAGACTTAAAGCATGTTAGCCGATTTTCACCCAAGCGACGCGACACGAATTCGAGGGTGGCGGGGGACATACTCTTCTTGCAGACGTCTAGTAATTGTTCTACATCGGCCTGTAGCGCCTCAGGCTCTTCGGGCACGGTAAAGGATGACGCTTCGGAGATGGTCGACGTTGCGATGGAATTCCGGCGCACCCATCGCTCCGACCGAACCCGGTCGTCGATATAGACGCCCGAGCATTCCACACGGTCCACCATCATATTACAGAGAGTTGGTAATGCCACCGGCGTCACAAGAAAGCAACCAGGAAATCAGAGAAAAGGAAAGTGAAGAAACCCGACCTAGTCTGGTTTGCATATGGCTCACCGGACGGGGGAAGAGCACGAGTAAGAAAGGCTGAAGATTGGATGGGATCAAAGAAAATGGACAGGTAATAAAATCGGTGTGAGGAGATCACGGGTCAGGATTGTCGAGTCTCAGGGACGTAGTGTAGGAAGGGGGTGGAGGGGTGGACGAGAAGGGAAAAGAACGAGCGGCGAGAGAGTCGAGGAATTCGATACAGTCGTATGGGTAGAAGGAGCGACCCAAGAAAAGAAGAACCCCCTCCGATTGACAGAAAGAACGACTAGAAGACGACTAGAAGGGCTCTAGAAAGCGAACAATGCAGTTGTGTCCTGCAGCAATCCCGAGTCGCGTTGGCGGACTGCACGTTCCGAGACAACCCCCAACGTCAGATTGCGCGTGTCGTTCAGGGCCGGGGGTGTACGGCGAAGGGAAAATGGACGCCACAGATGACGGCACGTGAGTGGTGAAAGGAGATGAAGTGTATAAGGGGGTAAAGAGGGGAGATTAGGACGACATGATGCCAAGTGGATCAGGAAAGGGAAAGGGAAAAATGGGGAAGAGGGCTTCTTTCCTTCCAGAAGAAACCGGGTCTGAGAGAGCGACCACACAGAAGAGGGGGCGGCACGGGATGATCCTGGTGCAACCTTTGACTTTTTCACGTTATAATCCCTGTGTATATCTTCTATCTTCGTCCTCTATATCATTACGCTATATCTCTATTTTTCATTTTCATTCTCGCCTGTAATTTCCTTTTTTTTTTTTTTTTTTCCCTTTTTTTCGGGCAGAGAATCCCAGAGCCTCGATCACGGTGGATCCCACATGACGCCTCTTCTTTATTTGCGGTGAATTTTTTTTTTTTCTAGAAGGCCCACCGCCCTTAGGTAAGCCTTGTCGCGGGGACTCTACGCTCTCTCATTGGCTTGAAGCCTGCAGGATCCCGTCGAGGCTCCGGGGAGTCCGTCGGGCGCTGAAAGAGAGAGATTGCAGTGCGATCCGATCGGTTCCAAAGTTTCATCATTTCTGATCTCATTGACTCCCTCTTTACCAATCTGGTCTTAGTTTCTTTGATCTCTAGGTTTTTCTTTTTTTGCCTTTCGCCTCTTCAAAGCGGGGAAGACTACCGTTCATGGTCGATCTCGATCATTGGGGGCAATGCTTGTTCATTTCCTTTAACTTCCTAGAACTAACTTCCCGCCCCGTTCTTTTTGTACTTTGGACACCCTGGGAAATTTGACTTTACTCAAATCACACAGATGATCTTTCCCTTAGTGGTGTTGCTCTCCAGCAATTGGTGCGCCTCCATAATTTGCTCAAAAGGCAGCACCTTTTCCACAAATACCTTGAACGTTCCGTCCTCAAATCGGGGCAGCGCATGTGACACCAGGGTATCCCTCAGCTTCTGCTGATATTCAACATCCCGGCTACGCAAGGTACTTCCCTCCACCCGGATCCGCTTAAACAACAAAGGCGCAATGTTCACCCCGTCGGGCAACTTGCCTCCACCCATCAGACCCAACAGCACCACGCGACCATCGCGCGCGGCCACATCCAAATTGCCCTGGAAGTAAGTGGCTCCGATAAAATCAACGGTCAAATTGACACCTGCGCCGTCCGTAGCCTTGAGAATCTCTGCGGCCCAATCCTGGGTCTTGTAGTTAAACGCCTTGGTCACTCCCAGCTCCTTCTCCAGGAAGTCGCACTTCTCCTGTGATCCTGCTGTGGCATAAATGGCTTTGGCGCCCTCGGCCTTGGCGAGCTGAATGCCCGAGATGGAAACCGATGAAGCTCCGGCGTGCCACAGTACGGATTGGCCAGCTTGGAAGTCGCCAATCAGGAAGAGAGCCTGCGAAGCAGTGATCCAGGTCTAGCGGGCGTCAGCACGGTGTTCGGCCATAGTTGTAGGAACAAGCGCCAAAACATACCTCTGGGATACCAGCTGCGACTTCCCATGACAGATGAGCTGGCTTATGGACCAGCATCTTAGTCGACACAACAATGTACTCCGCGTAAGCACCTACTCACAATCAGCAACCAGTCCCCAACAGTGGAATACACAAAAACAAAACAAGCCCATTGGACCTTAGAGAGGATGACGTACCTCCGTATGCAAGTCCAAAGACCTCATCCCCGGCCTTGAAATCACAAGCTCCATCGCCTCCAAGCCCCTCCACAACACCTGAAAACTCAACACCGAGAGTGGAAGGCGCCTGCGGTGGGAGAGGATACAGTCCCTCGCGCTGCAGCAAGTCCATTCGGTTCAATCCGAAGGCCTTGATTTTGACGAGTGCCTGCCCGGGCACAGGGACCGGCTTGGCGATTTCATCTACGAAGAGGGAAGTGGCGGGGCCTTTGCCGCCCTTCACACCTATACACGGATAAGCGTTAGCCTGTAGACTGCGGCGGACTAGCTAAGAATGCAATGGAGACATGGCATGATCATTGTTGACTCTCATTTCGCGTCAGGTTTCCTCAAATTTGATTTCGTGTCTCGCATGATGTGTATGATGTAGATGAGGAGGGGTTGAAGTGGGGCACGTACCGATCGCGCGCATCGTCGACATTTTGAGGAATAAGATATGGTATGATTTTAGGTGTAAGGGGTGAGATTTCTCTTGGCTTGGAAGCAAGGGATGATGCGTTTTTTCTTTTTCTTATAATGCTTGTCCCCGCTTAAGAGTGGGGAGCTTCTTTAAAGCAGGAATTGATTGCGTGCAGAATACGGTGGATTAAGCTTGCATTTGTCAGCTGATGTGATCCACTGGATTACCATTTTCTATGCATCTTGTTCCACTATTGAGGTCTGATGCGGTTAATCGGCATTGGGAAGCTTACCGAGGTTGGTTCTATATCTAAAGGGTGAAAAGAATGATTGATAATCGGATGTCTCACCAACCTTTTTCGTTCGGCTATACGAAATTGTTAATCATCTTGGACTTCCTGATCAACATTAACATTGGATTTGAGGAAATCGGACTTGGAATTCAGCGTGTCAAGATCTTGCTATGTATTTTTTATATATATAAAAAATAAAAAAAGTAAAAAAACAGCTGACGCTGTCGAGCCCCCTGATAACAGGTGTACGCACCACTACCCCCATCACCGAATACCTACTCATTTGACTCTTTACAACTAGATATTACTCGAAGTCCAAGATGGCCTCCTACGCACAAATCATGTCTGATATCTTAGCATTTACCAACTCGCAACAGTGTAATAGTATAGCAATGCAATCAATTCTTCTAACCGTGAACACAGGGGGAATGTAAATCATCAAAGTCCAGCCTACTCCATGCAATCCATCGATACGATTCCTTCCATAGTGCGCAACCATACGACTCCGCAGCTTTTCCGTAATCGAGACGCCGAGATTCCACAAATAAATAAGAGAATAAAGAAAATGAGAAAGGAAAGGAAAATGAAAGAAAGAGGTCAAAGGAAACGAAGTCGTGAGGTAAAGAGAAGCAAACAGCCTAGATACAGCACCCATCCCACCCACTGGAGGGCCTGAACTCGAGACATGCAGTGGAGGCAAATACCTCGAATACGTTTTCATTCCTCGAGACCGCGCATATGCAATGAAACAGGAAGTAAAGAAAGACATAGCTATCATACAATTATGGGACCTCAACCCAATCATTAAGAGGAAGAAAAACGTGATAGAGTCCGTTATCAAGAGAGGAGGTTCTTCAGTGATGGACTTGCGCTTGCGCCTGATCCCGCACTTGTACCGTTTACCCCCGAGTGTCGACTCGCGCTCGTGGGTCCCATGTGCGATGGAGGTGTGTTCTCGGGCCTAATGGGTGGCGTAGGTCCCCGCGGATCAAGACGAGCTTGAGCAACTGGCGGCGAGTGAGATGGTGCACCCATGCCACGGTCGACAGAGTACATACGCGGCGGTGGTCCGCCATTCAGCGCACTCAACGAGGTTTGCGGAGATCGGTTGATCGTTGCCTGCACAATGGGAGGAGATGCAGATGCTGCATATGAGCGTGGAGGAGGTTGTGACAGGTGAGGTGAGCGCGCTGGCATCGGGCCATATGGGCTCTGGTGAGCTGTATAGGCTTGCGTTGGTGGCCCGGGAGGTCCAGGAGGATAATGCGACGGAGACGGAGCTGGAGGGTGATGGTTGGAAGGATGAGCTGGAGGGTAGTTGCCCATGTGATGTGGGGGCGGAGGCTGAGGCGCAGCAGGATAGGCACGAGGTGACATGCCATTGCGTAAGCTAGGATCATTTGATGGTGGACGTTGCTCGTATCGCGGCGGGTATCCTGGATGAGCACCGTGCGGGTGGGAGTGCGCTGGGGGGATAGGCCGCCCCAGAACACTGCTTGGAGGAGGCGGAGGATGGCCATGCTGCACAAACTGATGAGGGGCACCCATGCTCGGGATCATGGGACGCGGAGGTTGAGCTTGAGGCTGAGATGGAGCTGGTGCCGGAGGTGGTGCCGGAACTGGAGCAGGAGCCTGGACGGGAGGATAAGGTGAGGGTCGGGGTTCTGGCACAGGATCTGCGGCCGGGGGGTTCTTCAAATGACATTTGTGACATTCATATGTCGGCTCCGAATCTCCATTGGCATGTGCAAACGGAGAGCCATTTGCAAACATTGGGAAACTCGCGCTTGCTCCATTCGACAAGGGTCCTCGGTGGTTCCGAGCGGTCGGCCACCATCTGGGGCTGAAATCGCTCGCACAGCGAACACACTTCCGGGTAGTTGTTGCGGCCGTCACGCCAGAAATCGATCGGGGTGCAGGACGTTCCTCCGAGTCAATATCCATCTCATCCGGTGCAGGCTCGCTAGGCATCGGCTGTGGCTTCTGGACATCCTTGGGTGTTGGAAGCTGCCCATTACTGGTGGAAGCTCGGCGGTATGCAGTGTTGGTTGCATAAGGCTGTGGAGCCGCAACCGATTGCTGTACGTATGCTGCCTTTCTAGACGTGCCAGTGAGTGTAAGATCGGCCTGCTTATACGTTTGAGCAAACAGTTGGAGGGCATTGAGACCATCCTGTCCAGTCAATTCGCCAAGGTCGTGGAGCGTCGGCGGCACGGTGTGGTTAGGACAGTAGAAAACCGGTGTAGCTGCACCAACCTCAGCACCAAGTTTGATGGTTTGGGCATTGTCCTTCCGTGAGCCCTTGACGGGCGTGACATCAAGACCAAATCGGTACTGCGCTTGGAAAGCACAGCCAACATGGAAATTAGCATTGCATCCGGCAAAGTGACAGCTAACGCAGGCACCCTTAGAGGTCTTGCAGATCTTGCACACCTGCCGCCACCGATCCTTGGGAATGGAGCCGAATCCCTCCGCAGGCTCTAGCTCCTTCGCATCTCCAAACTTGACCTCTGGAGTCCACAGAGAACACAGAACGTGGGCCCAGTTGTTACCAGCGGTTCGCTTCAAAGGCTCCCGAGGTCCGGTAGGCTTGCCGACTGCCTCCTGTCGCTGGCGATATAGCTTGATAGCCTCCACAACCATTTCCTTCTCCAGTCGTTCTTTCTCCTTGTCGCGATCTGACTTCTTACGGCTGGTGTTCTTGGTGGTCTCCATGAGTTCATGCTCGGTCCAGGACACAGGACAGAGCACACATTCGTAGGTGGTTGAGATCGAAGGACTGCGGTCATTAGAACACATATCGCAAAGCCACTTGCTACCGGCCCGGGAGCCTTGCACTCCATAACAATTGCGATGAACAGTCAGACGACAATCACGGCAGGAAAGGTGCTCCTCTCCAATTGGTTCGACCTTGTTACAAACGGCACATGGGAGAGTCTTTGCTCTGGGCGGATCAGGGACAATCGGAGGACCCTCGGAAATCTTCTCGATTCCAGGCTTCTTCTTTGGCGGCATTGGCTCCACTGACGATGTTGCTGTAGAAGTCGCGGTGCTCGGGATATCTGGACGAATTGGCTTCTTCTTGGACGGGTCGAGCTTGTTTTCGTGTTGCAGTTGCGGGTTGCTATCCACAGCAATGCCCATTGAGGTTGCGGTAGCAGCCGTGGTACTGTTAATGGTGAATGGGGTCTCGGTAGCTAAGATTAGCTGAGCCAGCAATTCCTCGTCAATTCGTCGTCTCCAAGACTTGTTTCCACTAGTTGCAATTCTCTTGCCGAGTTCATCGACATCCTCGTATTGAATGCTGTACTTTCGCCACAGGAGGGCGCACCGAAGGCAAAGAGCTACAGTCAGCATAGGTCCTTTGTCCTTCTTCGCTGAGGGGTCGGAAGGAACAACAGTCCCAGGTGGCACAAGAGGAGCGCGTCGCCATTGTCGAGAGTGTCGTGTCGAGCAAAATTTACACTGGAATCCCTTCTTCTGCACCACTGCTTTATCGTTGTCGAAGGCAGAGTCATCGTGATCATCGGCGACATCGTCAACCAGTTTCGATGAGATAACGCTCTGTCTTCTGACCTCCTTTTTACCGCGCCTCCCTTCGTAGCTACCCCAAATCTTTCTTCCCTGAGGAGTCTTCTTCCACATATAATAGAACCGAACAATGTGGAATATATGGACCGTTTTAACATGTTTTGCGATGTTGCGCCACTCGGATCCGTATTTTTGTACACCTTGTTCAAAAGCCTTCAGCTCCTCCGGTCGGAGATGAGGCTCATTGAGATCCTTGTATTTGTTAACCTTCTTCAGCTTGGCGAGTGCTGCCTCGACGTTGAAGCTCTCGGAGTACAGAAGCCCCAGAGCCTTATCCAAGAAGTTGGTGCAATACTTCTCAACTCCGAGTTCAGGAGCCAGCTCCTTCGCTTGACGCATATAATCATCGATGAACTTCTCTCGCTCCATGTCGCTCAAGTGAGCGCCTGGTGCATCATCTTCTCCACGAGAGGGAATTTGTTCAGCTGTCGGCATTATGAATAAAGGCTCGGCGGTGCGCACTTGTTTTCCGTTGACTGTCACAGGTTCATCTTCACCGCGTGTGATATAGCCTGGGGGTTCGTCTTGGACCCATTTCGGTCGGGTGGCGCGGTCGATCTTCGCGGCATCCAGCGCCGCCTGAGATTCCTTAGTAAGCTTCATGACATTCCGTCCACCCGCTACCTTGACGGCCTTCTTTTTCAATAACGGAGGCTTCACATATTCGACAGTGCGTCCGGGCCAAGGGTTCACAACTGCTTGGTGTCGCGGTCCAAGGCGGGAACTTGCACGAGGATAAATCCGATCATCGTAGTCCAAAGCGTCCTCCACTCGGCAATGAATACCCAGGTAGCGGTAAGGCCACATCTTCGCCTGTGCCATCTGTTCCGCTGTTTCGGGCTTCGGCATAGAGTCCTCGGCTGCGCCTGGGGTGCTAGTGCCAGTCCCGTTCGCCACTCCATTGGCATGGTGCTCCTCCTCTTCCTCCTCGATAATCTCATCTTCGCCATCTGGTCGAGCCTCACCCATGTGCGGTGTGTTTCTCGCTTCTAGCTTACGCTCTTGAGCACGGCTACAAGCGGCACAGGCCCAGGCGAATCCTCGAGCCGGTTTCTTGGTCAGGGCAGGTCGAACACAGTGCATGTGATAAGTCGAGTCGCAGACGGCACAGTCGACTGACTCGGAATTTGCCGCGAATTGACGGCATCGCTTGCATGTCTTGACAGCGCCTGTCAGCTCCTTTCCTTTGCCCATTTCGACCAATATAAACTTCCAGCGATCATCAAGGACTTTCTTCACATTTGCAGGCACGTTGATCACATCCTTTGTCGGGATTACATCGTACAGACGGTGGATGTATCGATCAAACATCTTGTCGTACCAGAAGGAGTCGCGAGTCTTCTTGTATGCATTCATATCGTCAATTTCTGAAACGTGGCGGATTTCACATTTCCCACGTAGCGAAGAAAGCGGACAGGTATCCGAATGCATGGACGCAAACACAAATCGCGTGTCAGGGCTGTGTCGTTGAATGTCTCGTGGACGGTAGTACCAGTTCACTCTCAACGCTTCAATAACACCGTCACCCTTGGTCTTGGATGGCAAGAATTCCATGATCCGAGCCAAATAATAAGGCTCGCCCGGAGGCTCACAAATTAAATAAACATGATCTGCATGCTGTTAATGATTTGGCTCCATCTTCGTAGATGAAAATAGAATTGAATGAAAAACATGCACAAGAGCGGGGAAACTAACCATTGACAGCAAACGTAGTGCCATCATCTGCTTTTAATTGACCATCTTTGAGATATGGAGTAGTTGCCTCGAAGCTGACCATATTGGTAAAATAACCGCCGTCAGGATCTCCGGGGGCGGACGTGAAGATCTTTTTCGCGGGATTTCCAGTGGAACCTGAATTGGGAGTGCTTGCGGGTTGCTTCCGCTTCCTCAATGCCGATCCATTCTCTTCTGGTCGTGAGGAAAATGATGAGGTGCCTGGAATTGACTCCTTGGGGATTGCATTGACATTTGGATTTGCATTGCCATTAGCCGCCGTGCCATTGGTCAGAGTCTTGCGTGATTGAGTAGGCGAGGCCTTTTCACTATCTGATTTGGAGCCGTTGGTGATGTTATTCAGGCCCACGCCGCTAGTCCGCTTGGCATTTTTGGGAAGTGCCGGTTCATACTCCATTTCTATGTCTCGGTCTTCCGCGTAGTTGGGCCGAGGGGCGTTGCGGCCTCTCGATCGCGTGCCATAAGGGGCCGCGGCGGAGGCGCTGGCCGGATCGGCCACTTCCTCCGGAGAGTTGCTGGTCATCGAGAACGACCCTTAGTCATCCAAGGCAGGCATGCAACAAATGATGAGAGATGGAAGCCTAGACAGTAGAGTTGAAGACCAGAGACACGTGAAAATAGATTTAAGATGCTGGGTGGTGTCAGTTGGGTGAAAAAAGCTTCAAGGATGAAAAGTGGCGCGATGCATGTACGTGGATAGTGTGGGTTGGTAGTGTGGAAACACTAGGGCCCGCGGGGGGCGAAAATCTCACAGGAACGGGTAAAGTGGGAAAATGGGAAAGTGGACAAATGATATGGAACCCGAAAGGGGTGGGCACGAACACGACAGGTTTGGGGTGGAATGGAAAAAGATATGGGAAAGGAAGAAAAAGAAAGTGTGTCAGATCTGATGCTGATTCACTGCAGGGGTGGAAAAGAAGAAGGGCGGACGGGGCAGCAGATATCAAGGTGGTCCACCCAGTGAAGGCCCAAATTCAATGATAGGGGATTTGATGGGGGGAAAGAGGGACACTAGTCGCTATAAAACCCGTCGAACACGAGAATGGAAACATGAAAATCAAGAAAACGAAAGATACATACCACGGTCTCCAGATTACAAAGTAGAATATAGAAAGAAGAAACAGGATACTGTATTCAATCTTGGAGGGAAGGGAGGGGGAAGAAAGAAGAATGACGAGAGGCGAAAGATCTGGAAGCGCGAAATGGGCGAAGGGGAAATAGAAGAAGCGCTACCGGGCGAAACAAAACAAGCGCGCAGCCACCCGGGAAAAGGAAGGTAGAAAGAAAGACAACCCACGATGTAGGGAAGCTCCCAAGTGGATATTATAGAAGACGTGAAGAGAGAAAATGGGGAAGAAAGGAACTGATGATGTGGAAAGGAAAAAAGCGTCGAGGATCCCGAGCGTGCTGGCCCCTAGTCCCGATATGTTAATATGACGGATCCTCAGGACATTGGAACCAAGGGAAACTCCTCGATCCGATTGCTTCCCAAAATGATGGTCACCTAAATTAAAAATGTTCATCATCATTGGTCCATTTAAACGAGATCCCTGCTGATCGACTTGGAATGATTCACATATGAGGCTTCATCATTTATGCTTCGGTTTCTTGTTTCGATTTGGATTACTATTCTTAAGGGGGGATCATAATATCCATGGATTAATACGGATGAGAGTGAAAACGAGACTGACAAACCCATAAAAAACGGGCCGGCAACGGTCCAGAGTGATGAAACTCTTGTAATGCCGATTAGGAATGTTGTCACGGTACAGCACAAAAGGCGCGTATGGGAAGATAGATGGGGGGAATGGAAGATTATAGTGGGAAATAATAACCCATCCACGTTACCGTATGGCGGGAGAAGAGAAAAAAAGAACTAGCTAATAATGCACGGCTCTTCAAACAGAGACCGCCAGGGCCTCTCCGATCTTGTGTCGATTCCTACATTCGAAATCATGTTGTGCGAGGGTACTTTGCAAGTTCTGTCCGTTACTTTCCCATACCGATTCATATCGGGGTGGAACCTTACAGGAATCTCCAATGAAGACTGGCTCGGATCGAACGGCCAGTATTCATGATATCGGAAAGCGTCAGGTTGTGGTAAACGCAGCGTGGTTGAGGAAAAGGGCACTAGTAGCCGGACTCCACAGCTCCATCCACGATCCCTGCGGAAATATTACTGTACCGGAACGGTACCTTGGGTACACTTCCTCACTTTTCTCCCCAAAATGGGTGACCTGGCCAGAACCGGGGCGTTTTCGCCGTTCTTTGTTACACCTGTCTCTCCCCGTAAGCGAGGGCTCAAGTTCATATTGATCAAATCTTTTAATAGTCGGATGTTCAGCATGACTCGGAGTTTTATATTCTATAGAGATAAAACTGGGAGAACTGATGTGGCCCCGGCGCGTGCATGATAGGACAGAATCCGGGGGGGGCGAAAAAGAGACTATTTAATGAGTATTGCATGCTGCGGCAGATGAGTCGCCAGGATTCTTCTTGCGTCCCAAAATAAAAAGCATATCTATGAATCGACGCAAGGGAAAGTTTGTTAGACCCGAACCCCACGAAAACACGAAAAATGAAAATGATGAAAATGAGAAAACCAGGTAAAAAGCTGGGCTCAAACTCCCTAGGTAATTTAAACTTCTACCGCCCAGTTGGTCCAATGACGATCCAACGCGCCGAGAGCTGCCCGCAGTTGGCCGAGGATGATTTGCTCCCGGCGGCTGTTGCGCGTCGCCACCTTGCATAGGTCTAAGCTCAGAACGTGCCGCACCAACCCTTGAACCTATATCGGAACTTCACTTGAAATACCTGGTTATAGACCAAAATGTCTATCCAGATTTTTATACTCGAATTTTCGTATCTGTAGAAAAATAAAAAATAAAATAAAAAATCAAATTATGATTATTTGCTGTAAGCCTTGGAAATTCTTGAACAACTTGGTAGGATTTTTTCATGGGACCTGCAGTTTATCATTTTTTGACCGCTATCGGATCAGGGGATATATATCCAAGAATATGCTATTCAAATTCTAACACACGACCACTTCTCCACTTGATTTCCTGTAAGTTGCGCACGTTGCTTCCCATAACAAATCCATCGACAAATACAGTAGTTCTGGAGATATCTCAATTCTAAGTATAAACATAAGTCATCACGCTGTACCCCTACTTATCTACACCCTGGTCCCCTGATGGATCTCAAGACCCCCCAGACTGCGGGATGTCCATGGATATCTCACATTCCTGACAAGCACCTGGCACAATTAACCAAATTCCAGTCTGCGGATCTGCATATTAATTACTCGCCTATAGGAGGCCGTGTTCCTAGGTATAGTGGGGACCATCATTTGGTTCCCAAACGCTCTCGGTACTTAACATGTAACGGTCCTGGATAGCTACCTGAGTAGTTGTACACATGGCGAATTTTGTCCTACAATACATAACCGTACTCCTGTGAGAAAGGAGTCAACTTCAACTGTTTTGTATCGGAGAAAAAGTTGGATTCGTCACCATTTTGTTTCTATTACGCACTCTTCAGGACATCTGTATCTGGGGCCTCCACCCGACCGGGATCCAGGCGTGCGCAAGCCCACCACAATTTGTTCCAGAATCTGCCTGTAGGCCTATAGGCAACAGTCTGATGCAAATTTACAGAATATCGTAGTTGTTAAAGGTTCAAATGTGCACTGTTCAAGTTTATCTATCTATTTACCCATTTCACCTAGGCAGCACCGCTTTTCGGAGAGATTGTCAGACGACCCATCACACTACACTCCACTGAACATGACTTGTTGGTCATGCCGGCTTTCCAGTCTATGCACCATGTACCTTTGTACCGTGATTGGGTTTAATTTGGGCAAGGAGTAGCGTCACGTCCCTTTGCCCAGATTCCGCGAATGGGATTGAATTGGTCCTTACATCCGATCAGGAACCAGCTTATTGATTACGTAACACGGATCACGACTGGAGGCCTCAGGTGTCAAGTGCGACCCAAACGCGGTGGTCGCGTAGAAACAACAGTGAAAGAAGGAAGTTAAATTTTGACTCAACAAAGTAGTCTTGTAAGTCATCCTTGAGTGGTTCTTGGACTTCAGCACCCATGACGTCGAAGTCATGTCGATGAAGTCTCACGGGTTTGAGACCTCGATGGACGTTGCGCGCCGACAACAATACCATGCAGCGCAATTGGCAGGTCACAAAAGGCCTTCCACCGAGTTAGAGACTACCAACACAGAATCTGAGGTGAGAGCTCTCCCGATACCTCGGTACCAACCACATGGTGAATTGGATATCGAATCCACCCCGTTGGAGTCCGCTCGAGCCGCCTTGGAGGCCCCTCCAAATAGATTTACCGCCAGCAAGATCCGCACAGGTCCGGGCGCAGACATAACGGGCCAAGAGGATGAGCTACACAAGGCCTCTATCGCACCTCCGAGGTCGACTCAGAACCCTTTGCTTTCGCTATCCAACCCAAAGTACGGACTTCCTGCAGCGCTCACGGCTAATTTTTCGGCTCTGGGCGTCACCAGCATCTATGCTTGGCAGGCATCATGTTTGTTAGCTCGGGGTCTGCTCTCCGGTGAGCGACACTTGGTCTATACTGCCCCCACTGGGGGCGGGAAGTCCATGGTGGCAGATGTATTGTTGTTGAAGCGTATCATTGAGAATCCCGAACGCAAAGCTATTTTAGTCTTGCCGTATGTGGCTTTGGTCCAAGAAAAGCTTAAGTGGATGCGTCGAATCGTCCAAGGTGTGGAGAAGAATGTCCCAGATGAAGATGAAGATGATTCGAGCTTCACTCGTAAGCGATGGAAAAACCCGTCGAAACAAATCCGCGTTACGGGATTCTTTGGTGGTAGTCGGACCACTAATACTTGGGCTGATACTGACATTGCGATATGTACGATTGAGAAGGTATGGCTGACATCTTTGGATTCACAATAGAACTTGTCTGATGCAATTTCAACAGGCAAACTCATTAATCAATACTGCGATCGAGGAGTGCAGCATTGGGAATTTAGCAGTGGTCGTACTCGATGAGTTGCACATGCTTGATGATGAACACCGTGGATATCTGTTGGAGCTCATGGTTACCAAGTTGCTCCTATTGCAGCAAGATATCCAGATTGTGGGAATGAGTGCCACGCTGTCGAATACTGAAATGTTGGCCGAATGGATGAATGCCAGGTTTTTCATCTCAACATACCGACCAGTCCCCATTGATGAATACTTGGTGTATGAAAATACGATTTATCCAGCTGCAACATCCAGGCAACTGTTTCAGACAGCCACGAAATTGGCTTCGACGTCAGTGCCTGAGTCAATCCCGCCCCATAGAATTATTGAGCCCTCAACCTACAAAGAGCTTGGCAATGCCGCGACCAACGCCATGGTAGCACTGGCTGTGGAAACTGCTTCGGCGGGCTACGGAGCTTTGGTTTTCTGTGGAAGCCGCAATGCATGCCAGATTAATGCCGCGACAATCGGCGAAGCTATGCCCCATGCAGAGGACAAGGAAGAGCTGAACAAGCGACTCGATTTGCTTGCCGATCTTAGAAGCCTCACATGTGGGCTAGACCCTGTTCTCGAAAATACAGTCATTAAGGGCACAGGGTTTCATCATGCTGGAATGACAATCGAAGAACGGGAACTGATTGCAGCGGCCTATGATTCAGGTGTGCTCAAGGTACTCATCGCCACATGTAGCCTTGCTGCTGGAGTGAACCTCCCCGCCCGACGGGTCATCATCAATGGAGCCCGGATGGGCCGAGAGTTGGTCGGCCCTGCGATGTTGCGGCAAATGTGTGGACGGGCTGGGCGCAAAGGGAAAGACGATGCTGGTGAGACATACTTGATATGTGTCAAGGCTGACCTAGAAGCCGTATGTGACCTATTGGATGCCGATATGCCTGCCATCGAAAGCTCCCTTGTCCCTGAAAAACGAGGTCTGAAACGAGCCTTGCTAGAAGCCATCGCAACGGGCTTAGTATCCGGTTGCGAGGCAATCAAGGAATACGTACGATGTACGCTGCTGTACCGTACCCTCGACAAGAAACTTGCATATAGCATCATGAATTCGGCTCTAAAAGAATTGATCGACGAAGAGCTCTTGGCTTTGAAAGAAGATGAGGCATATGAAGCAACTCTGCTAGGCCAAGCCATTGTAGCCTCGGCATTCGCTCCCGAGGATGGATTATCTGTACACGAGGAGCTCAAGAAAGCTCTTCAGGCCTTCGTGATGGATGGCGACATGCACATTTTCTACATTTTCACCCCGCTGCAGGTAGCCATGAGCACCCCAATCGACTGGCAAATATTTCGCGATAAACTCGACCAATTGGACGAGAGCGGCATTCGCGCATTGCAATATGTCGGTGTTCAGCCAGGCTTCGTCAATACAATGTGAGTCTTACTACCCGTATCCTTACTTGAACTCCAAATTAACAACCAAAGGGTCAAATCCGGAGCATCATTGAAAGAAGTAACTCCGGAACAGATCCAGAAAGCGCGTATCTACCGACGCGCGTATACAGCCTTTCAGCTCCGCGACCTAAGCAACGAAATCCCCTTAGCAACGATTGCTCAGCGGTACCGCATCCCCCGCGGAACGGTCCAGACATTAGCGCAACAATGTCACGGCTTCGCGGCTGGCATTGTCAAATTTTGCCAGCGCATGAACTGGGGCATGTTAGCCGCTGTGCTGGATCACATGCGCGATCGACTTGAAGCGGGTGCTCGTGCTGACCTACTTGAGATGGCGCAGGTGACTTTTGTCCAGAGTTGGACTGCACGCTTATTAAGGGAAAATGGATTTCGAAATCTGCGTGCCTTAGCTGAGGCTGATCCGAAGGACCTGGTGCCTGTCCTTATGATGGTATGCTGCTCCACCACTATCTTGTCTTCGGTTGTGTCAGAATGCTGACAGGAGATTCGTTTTAGGTAAACGCCCGCAAGACGCAGAAGAACCAACTCTACCCGACAGAGGCAGAGAGATATGCTGCAAAGCTATTGGCGAAGGCTGAGATTATTGTAGCTTCCGCAAATAAGATCTGGGGTATGTATTCCGTCAAACGTGGCTAAAAATGCTTGCTGACAATGCGGTCCGATTTAGAACGAGAGGTGCAGGTGGAAGTAGAAGCATGAGCTTCCCTGTGAAAGACTCAGCACGATGTTCATTTGACATAGACACATGATGCCTACACATTTGTATTAGAGAGTTAATCTCAATTACATAACCGCATACAGTGACATACTTCAGTCACGACTCATTGAAAGATATGCTTGGAAATTGGGCTTTTATTTCATGTTTGCTTCATGTATAACTTAATATATAGGATAAATTGGTTTCTTGTCCTCAGATTGTAGTTTGCAGTAGATGCTCAGGTAGGTACTAGGCCAGGTCGCTACCGGGCCCTTAGCAGACAATCAGATTGAAAATAGGATAGCTTCTCCACTATTCAAACCACATTCTTGCCGAGTGATACAGCAAGTGGTATAGTAGGGTCTATTAGTAACATAAGCAGCGGACTGAAATGAGGGTGGTTCGAATCAAGCTTTTTGAGACATGTTCTTGAAATGAACTGCAGCGCTTCTATGCCGCTGTAATCGCATCCAATTTCCGAATAATTCTCATTGCAATCGTGACTATCTACTTGTCTCACCAGACTGTATGATGCTATACCACCTGCCTAGATGGGTGTACTAAGTAATTTACGAGCTAAACCCATTCAAATCATTCTGTGCCTCAATAACCTCTCCTTTATCCACAAAGTCTGCCAACATTACATTCGGCGCGTGGTCATACAGCGCCTCACACTCTTTTGCCTGTGCTCCAAGACTGCCGCCTCCAGACGCGGCATTCGTAGTGGCTGCTGCATCACGGTCCGGGATATCAATGCCCAGAATATCCCGATCTAGGTAGTGATTAACGAGGTACATACGACCCGAAGCGGAGGCACCGGCAGGTCGATCGATGCTGCAGTTTGAGAAGGTCGCGTCTGTTACATCGTAAGGTGTTTCGAAGTAGTATGCGAATTCATCCAGAATGTAGTCTACCGTACTGGTATCGGCGCCGTAATCTGAACATGTGTTAGGTTTTTGCTGCTCGACTCAAAACAAAGAAAACAAAGGAAGCAAACTAACCCAAAAACGCGATCAGTCTCTTTCCACTGTCAATCAGATCACCTAAAGTAGGCCAATCGGCGTAAGCCAAGGGCTCAGACGAGGGAACGAACGCGTAGCTATCAATTCCGGCGCTGACGAACGTGCTGCCGAAAAGAGAGATATCCAACGAGTCGCCATTCGTCAAAAGAATTGTCACCACTTCATTGGGGTTATCATCAAGCCAGCCCTTGATAGTAGTAAGGTATGCCTTAAGTGTTCCTGCGTCTTCGAGAAGACAGGACGTGTGGCACAGCTCTATGATCTTGTCGTCGAACAGTGACTTGTGTGTTTGAGCCTGTAGATACCGGATACCCATGTCTAGCTGGGCGGTAATATCGATGTCTTGGTTCTGCTGCGGGAGAGACCCAACGAAGGCTGAATCATGCGAGCCTATGAAGGTAATATTTGAGTAGGAGCGCGTGCAGTACTCCGTGCGGCCATTACAGGTGGTTGCCGCGTCGGCCGCTGTGGTGGTTGTCGATGCGGTGTCTCGTCCAAACAAGTGAGAGAAATTTGGCATTCCGAAGACTGGCTCTAGCATCAAAGTGCTGAGCAGAGCCCAAGTTAGACCACGGTTAAGACCCATGATGAGTGTTTGCGATCTCGACGGCAGGCACATATGGGGCTTTGAGGCCAGAATGGGATAAAGACGATAAACCAGGGATTTTGTGCTCTTTCAAGAGGCTGGAGATCACTGCAATCCCGTAGTTCGTCGTGGTCACTCATCCACCTTATTCACGGGGCCCTCCAAACCAATATATATGTGTACCAGCCATGCCCACAGGGCGGACGAACGGCCCTCAGGACCACAGCATTCCACACGCCGACGATCATTTTCCAGAAAGGAGACTATATGACCGATGCAGATGACGGACCTCATGTCTGTATCGCCGACATTGATAGGGTGTGGAATCGCATCCTTGTGACTCGATGTGACCACAGCCCCGCACTAGCACGGCGCAGGATCACCAGGAACCAGGGACATCTTTGCTCTGCAGAAATAAGCTAGAGCTGTGCCGGAGCCGACATCTAATGAATTCACGTCGGCTGTGATAACGCCTACGGCAGGCTGTTCCGTTGTCACATTTGGGCTTGCTGGTCCCCAGCCAATGATAGGCTTTGATGTACGCAGGAGAATCTGTCGGGGGCACTGTACTTCGGACTTGCCGTGACGATCTGACGTATTCGCGAATCCAATGAGCTTCGGGGATTTTACTCTGTTATCCTCTGTCAAGGGTAGTCGGGAGGATGGGTTGTCAGTAGGGCACGTCAACTACATGGTTTGTGCATGGATAAATGGAGATCCATGGATACTGGGCGATCTCGGAGGTAGGATCAACAATATGCAATGAGCAGCAGCCATATGGTGACCACAGCGGTTTTCATACTAGATTATATACAAAATAATTAAGAGAAAATAAATGATGAGTTTCAGTTAAAATTAAATTGTTTTGAAACAAAGAGTTCGAAAAAGAAATATATGAGAGCATACATTGTAACTGCATGTAAATGATGTTGCCACAGTGGCTGGAGGCTCTCCAGCCCCCAAACGGCCCGATCCAGGCAACGGAGCTCAGGAACTCTTCGCTATCTCCACATGTATATCGAGCTCATCTCCAACTCAAGAACCTCACCCGCTTCATCTGATCAATCTTGGGATTATACCGAATACCAGTCGATTGATTCTACTAACTAGATCTGCCAACTCGGAGCACCTCGCTGGTCCGGACACGTCCCCTCCTGACCCGCCGCCAGCAATGATCATTCGAGGACGCTCATGAGCTCGATGGCAGAGGCCAGTGAGGGCTGGGAACGAGAGGATGAGCTTGATCTGGGTCCGGAGGATGACGACTCCCAACTTCCCGAACTTGACGCTCTCCACAATCCCGGACCTTCCCAGGAGCCACTCGACGAATTGGACACAATAGACACAATAGAAGACCATGCGCAGGATCATGCGTCAGAGAAGACCGTTGAAGCGGTCAGGGATAGTCTTCCGCAGACTCCACCAAATCGAAGCACGGAATTCAATGGGACCCCAGGGAGCTTGGACGAGACAGCTTCGACCCCAGATGACTCTCCATCATTACATGTGAGTGATGCGATCGGCGCGCATTGACGAAACAGCTTTCTGATTCATCGCAGGATTCCATAATCTCGTCGCAGGGAAGCAGCGCATTCCTACCCCGAGGCTCCCCGCGAGTCAGTCCCAGCCCAGTCCACCGTCCGTTCGACCTCCGCTTCCAATCCCGGTTATCTTCGTCGCCTCTCAGTGTATCGCGATCCGGCTCGCCATATCTAGCCCATATCCATTCGCGACAGTCATCGATCACAAGCCAGGTATCGCCAACGCCGGAGTCGGAACCAGAATCACCCCCGAGCCCGTGGGATGTAGTGCGGTGGACAAAGCTGCGAAAGATTACTGGACAGGCATTCTCGGAGATTGGGAGGCGCAATTTTGGGCGACCAACCTGTTTGGCGGTATCCACCAGCATTGTGGTTGGAACCTCCAAAGGTATAATACTTGTGTTTGATTACCAGCAAAGTCTGAAAACCATCATCGGAACAGGGACAAAAGCTGTGGAATGCGGTCCAATCACTGCTCTAGCGCTGTCCGCAGACCATTCTACCGTCGCAGGTGGCCATGGATCGGGCGATATCTACACATGGGAGATATCTCGCTCAGCACGACCTTTTCTTCATATCCCTCCGATTCCAGCAAACCAGGTGGAAACTCGAACCTCTGATGGCCATATTGCGGGCTCGGCTGTCATTCATATTGGATTCCTAGGAACACGCCGTACTGCGATAGTGTCGGCGGATACGAGCGGAATGGCATTCTCTCATCTGGCAACACGAGGAATGGGAGCTGTTGCGAGAACTGTGAAAACAACTCGAATTCTTGGCCGATACCCTGCTATCACTTTGCAAGAAGTGAGACCACGGAAACCCAGCTCAGTTTTGGCATTTTCTCCTTTGCCCCTGGGCAATGTAGAGCAACCGTCTGACTCATTAGGCCTAGTTGCCATGTTGACACCTTATCTACTGGTCATTGTGTCTACCACACCTATTGCACAGACACAGCACAAAGCCCCGAGACCAAAGGAAGTCCCGGCTCACAGTGCCATGACTGGCGCTCTGGCTTGGTTCCCTGCAATTCGACTGAAAGGAAAAGACAGCCAGACCTCTAATACCAAGCTCGTTTATTGCTGGTCAAATGTGTTGACTGTGCTGGAAGTGACCGAAGCGGAAACGGACGAACCTGTGGATAGGGACAAGCCGCCAAACCTGGTTTTTAGAGCACGCAGCAGGTGGAAGGCGGATGAGCCCATCGTCGCAGTGCAATGGTTGAGTCGCTCAGTTCTTGCAGTCTTCACCATCACCCAACGACTCCTCATTCTTGAAGACTATTCCATGCATGTAACAGACTCGATCGACCTTGTGAGCCGACATGTCTACCATGCTGATCTGTTTTCAGCCAGACTTCATACTTTGGTCGAGCAGTTAGATGAAGAAGATACTTCGATGCATGGTGTAGTGGCAGATGCATTCTACATGAGCTTCCGTGCTTATAAAGGACGTTTGTTCCTGCTTGGGTATAACGAAGCCCTAGTTGGTAGTCTTTCGAATTGGGCTGATCGCCTTCTTGCACTTATGGAAGCGGGTGATTTCATTGGTGCTATTCGATTGGCCACTTCTTTCTACACGGGTGCTGCAGAGAAGCTAACAGTCGGTCTTCCTGAAGAAGATTCCCTGAGACAGCCCATTGTTCAGGAGAAGCTGCTAGAGATGATTTCGGCTTCTCTCAAGTATGCATTCGGTCGCAATACCGAGGCAGATAGCGGGAGAGTGGACAACCAGCAACTGGAGGAACTGGCTCAGGTGTCCATTACGGCCTGTATCTACATGGCGGATTATGAGTTTCTTTGGGAGGAAATATTTACTTGGTTTGAGGAAAACGACTCCGCAGGGATTTTCTTGGACGTTCTTGAACCACGCATTACCGATGGGACGACTCGTTCTCTGCCTCCGACCGCGGTAAAAGCTCTGATCAACCACTTCGTGGTCACCCACCCACCTGGCCGCCTGGAGGAGATTATCTGTCTTCTTGACACCACTACTATGGACATTGACCAAGTCACGACGTTATGCAAGCAACACAATCTGTACGATGCCTATATATACGTTTGGAATCGCTGTTTACAAGACTACGTTGGCCCTCTAGAGGAGCTTCTACGTATGATGCCATCGCAGCCCGAACCTCTTGTCAATGGAAACCACGCCAACGAGGTGACCCGGCATACGAACGCAATGAAAATCTTCCCCTATCTATCATTCGTCTTGACGAGTCGCATCTACCCAACAGGGGACGAGATGGAAGAAACCGAAGCCTTCCGTGCAAAAACTTCCTTGTACCAATATCTTTTCTCAGGCCAACTGTCTGGCACAGTGCCAAGCAATGACTCCGATGGTGCTGACTCGTTCTCACCACTAAGGGCTATGTTGAAGTATGACGCGTCCAGCTTCATGAGCATGTTTAATGAAGCATTTGAAGACAGTTTCCTGAATGAGCCCGAGTCTGAAGAGGCTCTCACCTCTGGCGTGTCAATCAATCGACAATACCTGATTACCATTTTGCTTCAAGTTATGGATGCATCGTTCTTTTCTCCTTCTGATACCATTTACTTGGACATGTTTGTTGCGCGCAATCTTCCGAAATACCCCCAGTACATTCTTCTTTCGGGCACAACTCTTCATCAAGTTCTCGTCCGGCTATGTCAGTATCCCGAGCCGGACATGGCTGAGGACTGTGAGCTGAGTGCGGAGTACTTGCTTTCTTTCTATCACCCACCAGACATTCAGAGCATGGTGCCCTTGTTCAAAGAAGCTCGGTTTTTTCGCATCCTCAAATCCACCTACCGCTCAGAGAAACAATATCCGGAATGGATATTGGCGTATCTTGATGATCCAAATGATAAAGAAGCCATTTTTACGTCCTTACACGACTGTCTACGTTCGGGTTCTACCCTTGGTAAGAAGCAACGGAAAGATGTCGTGGAAGTGGTGAAGAAGCACGCTACAGAGATCGCCGATATCGATGTCAAACGAGCAGCAGAGACAATGCAAAATCTGGCTCCTGAAGCACATTCTACGTTTTTACAGGTACTGGAGCAGAATCCACACAGCCAGTATGAATATCTTCTGGTGCTCGTGGAGCCCACTGTTCAAAGCGGAGAAAGTCGAGCTCCACCGGCCGTTGACAGCTGGATGATCGAACGCTACGTGCAGCTTCTCTGCAAATACAACCCCTCTCATATCGCGGACTTTGTCGACGGCCTACGCGTCGGCGATTTTCACCTCGATCAATTGCTTCCAGCCATTGAAGAGAGCGGGGCGATTGATGCCGCGGTGATTCTACTTGCACGACAAGGCCAGCTACGACCGGCGTTAGACCGTCTTATTGCTCATCTAAGTACACTCGAGGCTGGTCTAGTTGGGATTCTCCAGAGCATGGTAGAGGCTCCAGACTCATCCAGTGCGACCGAGGCCATTGATGATCTTCTGGAATCGCTAGAGAAGTACTCTGGTGTTGGGACATGGCTCTGCCAAGGCCAAACCAAGACTGCTTTGCAGTCTAGGCCGAGCACCAATGGCCAACGTGGTGTGCCTCCGCTTGAACAACCCCTGACCTTTGACGAGGTTCTCTGGCTCGATCTCATCGAGGCCGTGGTTCGCATCGCGAGCAATGTCTTCACCGTGATGAGGGAGCACCACATCGAGGAGTCGGAGCAATCCCAGTTTGCGCCTAGTCCCATGGGCGGGAACGTCGGCCCGTTGACCATTTCCTTCCGCACTCTGGTCCAGCAGGTGTTTACCTCCTTGCTGGCCAGCACTGTGAAAAATGGTGGTGGATCGAGTAGTGAACGTACCGACATGTCCTTCCTTCGGATCCTCCGCGCATTTCTCACCCAGGCGGCCCGCTGGTCACCTTCCCTACTTGAGTTGCGCGCGGTGCTCGCCTCCGTCTTCTCCGCCTACTCTTACGAGAAGTCTCTCTTGACCCTTGCAAATGGCATGTTAGACCGCGACTTGTTCGTTCATGTGGACGAGGTCACCCGTCTCCGGCAACAAGGGTGGCGCCCCCGCGGACAAGTGTGCGAGATCTGCCGTCGCCGGATCTGGGGCCCCAGTGTTGGCTCATCACACTGGACATCCTGGCAGACCAAGCAGGCAGAGGATCACCAGCGTCGCACGGCTAAACGTGTTGAAGAGAGTTGTGACCCGGCCCTAGAGCGGGGTAAAGGGAAGGCAGCTGCAGTGGGGGCGGGTCAGGCGGTGGTTACCCACCATGCCCCCAATCCTGACGACCATGAGCATGAGCACGAGCAGGACACAGGGGCAGGTGGCCCGGGGGCGGATGGCCCCCCTGAACCAATTGTAGTCTTCTCCTGTCGACACCTCTATCACCGACAGTGTGTTCTAGACGCCATTCCGATCCACGGTCGCTCCGGCCCTACTTTTCGGCATGAACGTGCCGATTGGTCTGCGGATTTGTTCTGCCTGGCTTGTACATAGCTGACGCCAGTCTTTTTTTTGTTGTCTTTTCATGATTTCTTTTATGTTTCTAGTTGTGAGATCGAGTCACCATAAGACGTGTCATATAGTTCAATTCCCTCTCATTTCCGATCGCCGAAATCCTGCAATTTCGAAGTCTTCCCGTCTCCGTCTATGGTAGTATTGTCCTATTCTTGTTCACCCGCCTCCTTCCCCCCGACCCGCTCTCTCTATCTCGTATGATGCTAATGCATGGCCCCCGGTCAATCATTTATTTTGGTATGCCTGTTGTCCCTATTAATTTGGAAAATTGGATACTCCGGTTTGGACCCCATGATAGTTCCCATGCCCGTGCAGCGTGGCGTTCCTGCAGGTACGGGAGGCATGGGTTAGGGAAATGCACCCCGAGGGGTGGCTTTTTATCTGTGACACGTCTGTGGGGTCACATTGAAGGATTTTAGATCGTTTTAGTATGTTCTCAGCCGATCGGCCATAAGATTGACCTAACGAGGAATGTTGCAAGCAGAGGATCACGGAGATGGATCCATCACGAGTCCTGGAAGATGGCCGAGAGAAATGAAGAATCTGCTCATGCGATCGTTTAGGTTACTCTGGTCCATTGGGAAGTATACGTAAACCGTCAGCACGATAAATCCTGCGAACATGGAAAGTACCGGGTATTACTGCCATCCGAATCATAACCCCTGAAACCAACCATGGAAGAGAGCAATGGAAAAGAAACTTCCTTCTAGAATCTGATTCCTCATCCTTCTTACGCACATCCGAACGAACCGAATTGATTTTTTCTAATCCTCGAGTAAGAGATAAGTTGCAAGATTCTTTGGTTCGAGTGGAACTTCTAGGGAAAAGCTTAAAAAAGTATGGGCGCGTAGTACGCGCCCATTGGTTGATCATTCGCCACAATGAAACCAATGGGTCCCGACGATTGGATCGACAGAATCACCAACCAAGTGCATACAGCCAGTGAAGTGCGTCGGTACCATTTCTTGCACATCCGTGGAGTCGTCAACCTGACGAGTCAGCTCTCTCTCCCCTGATCGCCTCGCGGTTCCGAAACACCCAGCAAAACTTTCTTCTTTTACGGTCTGGGCTCGATTGCTGATTCGTGGCTGTTCGATTCGGCTTGCCGTTCTGAAACCGTCTTTGCCAACCTCTTTAAAAGGGATTAACCGCTCCACCATTCAGAGACTGGCATTCGGTGAAGAGAAAGAAGCCTTTAAAATAAAGAATTAAAGAATTATAAAATTAGGACGAATCACAAAGCACAAAGCGCATAGTATGGACAAAGGATAACCCAAATGACAGATACTCCGTGACTAAGTATAGTCTCTCTAGTCAACTTACCCTGGCCAATCCTGCGGTTGTAGACTCCGACGCGAAGATGTATGAGTTGTCGCCGCGTGGACGATCCAGACTCTCTTTTTCTTCAAATCGTGGATTCCTGTCAAAGAACCAGACAAAGCTGAAAGTTGAGTCTGGAACACCGAACCCTTGATCGGTTTGGTTCCGTGTCCCCACCCTGTTTCTTGGTACCTACGGTTATCAATTCCTCCCAGTACTAACAATGTGGTGGATAAGGTCTCATCCTCACTTCGAGGACCCGCCGTTCGCCCCTGATCCTTTCTAACCCCCGTTTCGAATCTCTCACATGGGCGCTGTCATGCCTGGAGTCTCAAGATCGGGTCGGGTGGATGCAGGCCCGCCACCCCGTGGATCACTTTTTTTTTTTGTCAAGCCCCCAGGGATATAAATCATGCATTATGTCTCGCCGTGTCTCTCTTTCTCTCCTTCATCCCCAGTCTTTCCTTCCTGTGCGTTAAATCGCCGTGACTTTCTCTTCATTCTTTTGGCAGGCCAAAGTACAATCCTTCTACAGGCTAGAACATTGTCTTTCCCTGCACTTCATTCCTTTTGATCTTGATTTGATACTTCGAAACTATCAGATCATATCTCAACCGTCTTTGACAGACTTGCAATCCTTTTATCAATCACTATAGAAACCACGGCAATCATGCACGCTTCTACACTCCTTCCGGCTTTGGGTCTTTTCGCCCAGCTTAGCACCGCAGGATACACTCTGCTAGATGACTATGGCACCGACTCGTCGTTTTTCGACAAATTCGAGTTCTACACGGTACGTCTAAGCGCCATACATCCGATTTGGGACGGGGCGCTAATTTAATGTTCCAGGAAACCGACCCCACCAACGGCTACGTGAACTATGTCGATAACTCCACCGCCTCTTCCGACGGTTTGATCGGTGCCGACGGTAGCTCCGTCTACATCGGTGTAGACTACAGCAATGTCGCTAGCGGTAACGGTCGCAACAGCGTCCGTCTGACCAGCAAGAACACCTACACTGAGGGCCTGGTGATCCTGGACCTGGCACACATGCCCGCTAGCACCTGCGGAACTTGGCCCGCATTCTGGATGCTCGGCTCCGACTGGCCTAACCATGGCGAAATTGATATCATTGAGGGTGTCAACCAGGATACCACCAACCAGATGACCCTGCACACCAGCGACGGTTGCTCAATCTCCAACTCGGGCTTCACCGGTACCCTCGACACTGACAACTGCTATGTTGAGGCTTCGGACCAATCCGCCAACTCCGGCTGCGCTATCGTCAATACCGATGATTCGTCCTACGGCGACGGTTTCAACAATGCTGGTGGCGGTGTTTATGCGACTGAGTGGACCAGTGATGCTATTAGCGTCTGGTACTTCGCCAATGCAAGCATCCCCTCTGATATCAGCAGTGGTAGCCCCGATCCTTCGGGCTGGGGTACCCCCGCCGCTAGTTTCTCCGGAGACTGCGACATCAGCTCGCACTTCCAGAACCTCCAGATCGTAAGTTATCTCCAAGAAAATAACACTGCGAAGCAATACTAACATTGCATCATCCAGGTCTTCGACATCACCTTCTGCGGCGACTGGGCCGGCGACAGCTCCGTCTGGTCCAGCAGCACTTGCTCCTCCTACGCTAGCACCTGCGACTCTTACGTCCAGAACAACCCTTCTGTTTTCGAGGGTACCCACTGGAGCATTAACTCCCTCAAGGTCTACCAGGATAGCTCGAGCTCTTCCAAGCGCGATGAAGTTCCCCACGCCCACGCTGCTGCCCATGCCAACTCCCGTCGCACAGCGAACCACATCCGCCCTGCTCCCCGTCCGGCCTGGAAGCACCGCCGTGCGGGATACAAGCACGGATCTAGCTTCTAGATGTTACTATCTGAAAGGCTTGGGATCGATCCGGTTCGGTTCAATTGATTTGAATAGAATCGTAGGATATGAATGACCATCTTGATCGATGGACTGTATCTGATCTGTATCTAAGAGATTGGGATCTGAGATCTTCTTGTTTTATACTTTCTTCTCCGCTGGAATCGGTTTTGCATGGCGCCTCAGAGCGTTCCTTTTGATGTTTGATGAGATCTGGCATGTTTATGTTGATGTTGTGATGTTTGTTTGCGATTTTGGAATATACCCTTTTCACTCGTTTAGTCTTTGCGCCACAGTTTATATTGAATTAAATCCAAATAGAAAAGTCCTGATCACTCTACTGTAACTGTATGGTGTATTCACTGGTATCATTATTACACAGCGCATCCCTATCCAGACTTGAAAGATTGTACTAGACTTGCTTTCATATGACAATATTCACAGTGCAAAGTTAGCAATTGGCGCCATGGCACCTGTGATAGGGTTCGAGGCCTCAAACTCTGGACTGTAAGTGGAGGAGCATCATGGCCAAATCAGCATCTCATGTAAGAAGAAGCCATGCTATATAGAGAGACGTGGACTAGCTTCCTGTCTCAGGAAATGTTTCGGCGGATTCAGCATTCGACACCATTGTTACCTTCCTGTTGCTAGCGTTGTTTTGCGAGTTGCTGACTGACATCCGAAAGAGAAACGTTCGAATCAAGTTGGAAGGAACTCCTTCTGGTCTTGACAGGCTTTATGAGCGAATGTTGAATCAAATTAGCGACTCGGATGATGCCGATCTTTGCAAGTATATCCTCAGTGTTATGATGACCGATTACCTCACCATCACACATGAAGAATTAGCATCTTACATCGACGTATCTTGAGGAATTGAAGACGATCTCGATCTAGCAGACATTATAGGGCATTGTGGCTCTTTCCTGACGCTCTAAGAACGCAAAATTCATCTAGTTCATTGGTAACAATGCCCTTTCTGCATCGACGAGCAACCGATCACATCTTTCCTGACGGAAAAGACAGTGTACAATATGCCATTTTCTCAGAGCCTTTACAGACAATATCGAGGACGCTAAGATGCGATATATACGACTAAGTTCCCTCCGGAAATTCGATCCAAATAGATCCCTAGCCTGATCCAAACCCGCTAGCTGCCATCCAGTACACTAGTGGATTTTGGGCCGATCACCTAGACTCGTGCTATCCTATCAAATCCGAAAACGAAAACCTCTAGGCTAGTGGCTGAGTCGACGTTTCCTTCCGCAACAATTCTTTCCAATGGCTCGAGGCTCTTAGCCTACTGAGAATCTTATCAAATGGCGTCGCTTCAATAGTAAAGCTGGAGAGTTTGTTTAAGGTCTGTATTCACCTATGCAAGTAAAGGTCTGTTTTGATTTTTTTGATTTTAAGATTATTTTAGACAACAGCGGAGAACTAACAACTACTTGATAGTTCGAGATGCATACTGCTTTCTCCTGCGTTTTAGAGCGGCGATCAAGCATTATCTACTTCTAATCTACGCCTTGGGACTAATATCTAGCCCACTGATTCAAATTGAAGCACAAGGGCCAACGTGGACGATTAAAAATCCAATAGATAGTGGAGGGGAAGTAGTGCGCATGTCTACAGACCTCCGAGTGCGATAGTGACGCGGTTTGGTCATTCTTACCCATGACTCCACGCTCCTTGCCTCGGCTTTCTACGATGAATTAATCCTTGTGGAGAATGCCCGCAATGGCCAATGCCTGTCGAGACTCCGGGAATATGGAGGTGGGGATAGCGGCAGGGTTAAATCAATCGCCTTTTCATATGACGCTATACGCCTCGCGTTAGCTTTGCTCGATGGACAATTATGTGGGATACCAGCACTGGCTGACGCTTACAGATCTTCCGTACTGAAAGATCTATTCACGCGAAATTATTCAATATCACCAATTCATTCCTCAACGTTGATGTTGGTAACATTTGCTTACCTTTGATCCCCTGAGGCACCCGATTCCCATTAGGTAGGGCTATAACTTGGAATGACATCTTTCACTTTCCTATTTCTTGAAAATGTTTGTAGAATAAGGACTCGAAGGTCAAAATGGCACGATATCCGACGTGAACTAACATCAATTGAACCTTTTCAACCGTGTTTAATAGATCATTCTCATGAAATAAAATCTATTCAGAGTTTTGTGCGAATCAATGGCTACAAATTTAACAGAAAATACTGTATTTTCATCGAATACAGCTCCAGATGTAGTAATGTATTAAAGTTTCATGTAATTTAGCGATCAATAGCACAAGCAGGAGTTTGTTACGTGAATTACCGTAAGGGGAAAACACCGGGGAACCCCCCTAATTCTTGTACTCTCTCCATGGCTAATTGCCTATAACCCTTATGACCCTTCTGAGAGAATTTATAGAAGCCTTTTATGTTTTAAAACCATCTAACTCGCGAGACAAAGTGTGACATGCCAATGCTCTGTACTCCATTAACCTCGTCCAAGAAGAGCACCGGGACCATGTCCACGGGAGCCAGCTGCGTAGTCCGTGGATCTTTTGTGGGGTATACCACGTACCCATTGACTTTGTACCTAGTTATCCCGTCTCATACCTAGGAATGAGAAGGTATAGGGACTTGGGTTCATGCGAGAATAGATTTTTTGAATGCTAAACGACCCATTAAATATTTCAATCGTATTGGCTCACCCCATCGGCAGCAATCTCTCGATCTCACTTGCGTTAGTTCCTCGGTCCCCCCAAGAGTTTAGCGGCGCACGGGTGAAATCCTGCGTTTGTTATGATTCCCTTGGACCAATGGGAATATTCGTAGACAGGGAACTATCTGGGCAGCCTCTGTGACAGGCCTAGACCCACGGGCTGACCGATAAGGAAGGGCACTAGTGCCGTATTAATTCCAATCGCGATTTTCTTAATTATGGCGCCATTAACAACGTGCGTGGTAACAATCGAAAATCTATAATTCCTTTAGGTTAAAATGTCAGAAATCTTCCAAGGACTCGGACCTCTCTTTCACCGTGTTTTTCGGACGTAACTTTCCTTTACCCTGCAGGGTTGATCTCACTCTTTCCCTTATCTTCGTATCTTCTCCCCCCCCCACACGGTCTATATCAGCTGCATCGTTCCTGCTATCTCTTCACACGAAATCTCATAATGGCGACCAGGATGGATGAAATCGACGAGAAAAAGCAGGGTGGTTACGCTCTGGGGACAGAGGTGGATCCGTCAACCTCGTTTGACAAGATCAATGCACTAGTTGCTGAAGGTGTGCGCCGCACCTTATCCTTGAAAACCACCCAGATGGCCCGCGACGGGACTGACAGCGATAATAGATCATGAACATGACATCAAGCTGCGCACCATGTCCTGGCAGAAAACGGCTGTTCTGCTAGCCGGAGATCAGGTGTGTTTGGCCATCATGGCGCAATCGTGGTCTCTCAGTGTGCTCGGTTGGGTTCCTGGCATCATCACAATGGTCCTCTCCGGCGTTTTGTTCTGGATTACTTCGATCACGATGCACAAGTATATTATGAAAAACCCTCAGATCAAAGACATCTGTAGGTCAAGCGCGCCCACCTCACGCACAGGACACATCCTTATTCATTGACTCTGCGCAGGTGACTTTGGATACTATGTATTCGGACAGAGCAAAGCTGCCTACGTCTTCTCGGCATTCATGCTGCTCGCGAATAACATTCTCCTGATTGGATTTCATGTCCTTACTGGTTCTAAGGTCCTGAATACCTTGTCCGGCCATACTTTGTGCACTGCCGTCTTTTCTGTCATTGTGACCATCATGGGTGTCATCATGTCTACTCCGCGGACTCTGCAGCACGTCAGCTTCATGTCTATGTTCTCCTGTGAGTCCTCTCCAGCTTGATTTTACCTTGTCTAGGCCTTTTGGCTAAACAAATAACGTAGCTGCCTGCATGGGAATCGCAATACTCCTCTTCCTCATTTTCGCCGGCATTGAAACGGCTCCCCTATACGGATACTTTGGTGACTACCCGACGGATGGACCCGTTAAAACATACGCGTTTCCCCTCCCGGGTACCACTTTCGTCAACTGCATGAATGCTGTGTTGAACATCACCTTCCTCTGGGTTCCACAGATTCTCTTTCCAACCTTCATCTCCGAAATGGAACGGCCCCAGGACTTCCCCAAAGCCCTGGCTGTGCTTGCAGCGATCTCAGCCATTTTGTTTATTGTCCCCCCTGCCATCGGATTCCGGTATCTAGGCCAATACGCCACGGCTCCGGCATTTGGCAGTTTGGGCGTTGTGTCGTACAAAAAGGCATCTTTCGGCTTTGTGATCGTCCCGACACTCATCATTGGCGTAATTTATGCTAATGTCTCCGCGAAATTCATCTACCTTCGCTTAATGGGGAAATCCAGACATGCGCACAGCAATACCGCTATCGGCTGGGGTATTTGGGTCCTTGTCATGATTGGCATTTGGCTTATCGCATTCATCTTCTCCGAGGTTGTGCCTAGTATGGGTGATTTCCTGTCCCTGCTGAGCGCGGCATTCGATTCGTTCTTCGGGTTTATATATTTCGCTGTCGCTTATTGGCAGCTGAACCGAGGAAGGCTTTTCGCTGGCGTGAAACAGACGACTATGACTTTGATCAACATCTTCATCATGGCTGTGGGATTGTTCTTGCTGGGACCTGGTCTTTATGCTGCTGTCGAGGCTATCATCGTGGATTACTCGGGGAGCGTGACACCCGCTTTTACATGTGCTAATATGGCCATCTAATACCTAAGGAGAGGCTTTCTGCTACATTTCTGATACACCATAATGCGTGATTTAGCTTCTGAATGATATTAATACGACATTTATGAGAGTTGACAATGATTTGTGTAATCTGCCTTTGGGAAGATCTATGGAGTTTACGCCAAAGGTGCCACCTTTGAAATTTATCCGCAAGGCAATCACTACTACTCCAGGAAATAGAGCCCACAATCATGAGTATGGATTACAAAAGCGAATGAACCCACAGGGTTTTAGGGAGGGTTTCATTCTCAATCCAAGGTTCATACTAAAGAGCTGTCATAGTCGAGGTGCCGCAGGGCTTAAAATCTCGGATTAACAAATCGTCTCATATATATTCGCTACTCTTCATGAGAGTAGTATATTTCGCGCGTCAAGTCCCCCCTTTCCAGCAGATCATCGGATCTTAGTTGGACAATGCATGTTAATAGACCTGGATTTGAACTGGGCCTTCCGCGCCGAAAATTCATAATGAAATTCATAGATCGTCGATTATTTTACAAAACATTATCATATAGGTAGGTAACACCTAAATCATGGTTTAAAACCTAGTTCTTCTCTTTGATCATCGGTCAGACGACCCCATTCGAGTAGAAGGCGGAAGAAATAGATCTCCATGTCTTCTTTGCGGAGGGCAATTCCAGCCCACTTTCGCCCTTGCTCGGCAATCCACCGGCCGTCCTCGTCATGGGCTTTCATTCTCATTGAATTGGCATGGGGATCATGGTCATCAGTGAGAGGGCCTGACACGCCTGCAAAATAAGCCATCGTGCTCCAGAAGCCATGGAGACGGATGTCGATAGGTACAAAATGGAACCACGAGACCATCCGCGAGTCGAACCATTGACGGAAAAGGCCGGTCTTGAATGGTACGCTGCGACTCTGCAGGAACGGCAGGAATCGACCGCTGAAACCGGCACCATCAAGGTCGAAGAGGAATCGATGGGACCAGTGTTCTTGAAAATCGACCTTCTCACTAAGGCCTAATTCTTCTTGTTGCTCATCACAGTCCCCGCAGCGGGTGATTTGATCGGCGATATGGACATCAGCACGGAGACCGAGCTTTTCTGAGGGTTCGTTTCCATTCATGATCTCGTACTTGTAAGATCTTGGACCAGTTTCCAGGAGTACAGAAACTTTATTATCGGTATTGTTGTTGACCAGATGTGCGAACCGCTGTCGTGGCATCCCCTTCCATTCTCCGAAGCGACTCATACCTTCGGACGTGCCACCAATCCAGTACAGGGAGTTGTCTTTGTCATTATACTCCGGATCAGGGTGCTCATGAGTTGGCTCATACTTCACTTTGTCAATATAGTTCCAGGGACTGGGGAAAAGAATGTCGTTGAATCCTTTCAGTGCGCTTTGACTGAAAATCGGCACCAACTCCTGAGACACCTTGAAAGACGCAGGGGAGATCAAAAGCCCATGAAGGAATGCGAGATCAGGCTGGTGACAGATATCCGTTGCAACATCAAAGTGCTTTGGGAATTGACCCATACTATGAGGATCTGTGCAGTCCAAACAAATGTCGTGCCGATTCCAGACTCGACGTGTGCGTGCTTTGGATGAAGCTGGACAAATGGCGCTCACGTATGGATCAAAAACACCCCGCCAAGCCCCATCGGTAAAAACGGTTTCATTCGTTTGGTCAGCTGGCTCAATGGGTCCCCAGCCATCCTTTCGGCTCACAGACCAAGTGCTAATCACATCTGATTCAGGATTGAAATCATATTCCATTTCCTTTGCCGTGCGCTTATGTGGCCATATCCTTTCCCACGGAACTGCGACGCGGGGCTCATCATTCAAGTTGAAAACAAGATCCATATCTGGTAGATGCTCAGAGAAATTTTCGATCATTTGAGCAGCGCCTTGAACCATCCACGCATGCGTTGGCTTGATTCCTTCCTGAACCCTTGGCTTGCCATCACGAATACTTATGCCCCCCAGGTCGTTGAAAGGATTAGTTGCTAATTTCTGGGTTGCTTCGCGCAGCTCTCGGGGCAGGACAGATCGAAAAGGAAGGAGATTTTTGTGAAGTTCATCAAAATCGTCGATGATCACAGATGATCGGTGCGTGGCATACTCGTACCACTTGTCGAAACCACTGAACAAGAATTAGACAAACACGACATAACAAAATGCTAGGCAATTCAATCCTTACGGAGGTGGATGCTGATGGTACCGGTTTCGATATTCGAAAACAGCTTCTTCCAGAGATCTGCTCTTGGCAGCTTGTTCAGAAAAACGATCAAATTGGATCGTCGCTTTGTGAACCAGTAGGTCGATCGGATGGGTATGTGAGAAGTGGTGCTTGGTCGAGGCGAATATGAGGCCGATGCTGCAAAGGGTAATGAACGTAACCTGCAAGGTAATATTGGCACGATACAATGACTTCGACTCTTCCTGTGAGACTATGCGAGCCAAGAGGAAGAGCACTGCCCCTGCCGTAGATGTTGCGAAGGGGAGAACGGCGTGATCCATGGAGATAAAAGGGAAGGGCAACTGCCGGAAAAGCAGGGTCGATACGGCGGGGAAGTAGATAAATATGAACCCTGCTATAATAGAAATTCCCAACACACCGTATGTTGGCAACTGTGGCTGTCAGTAAACATCAATATGTTACGGAAGACTATATAAGTAATACATACCATTTGCCAAGCTGATAGAATAAAGAACAGAGCCAATAGGGCTTGGCCAAAAGCACTTCGTGTGTACTTAGCGTCTAAGAACGGCTGGCCCCTATGCTCAGGGCGGCTCTGTTCAACAAATATGCTGATAATTGTCCAAATAAATGCAATAACCTGGTGAACCATTGTCAGAAAGTCGTTCCCAGCGTTCAAGGGCAAGCCACTTACGAGGAGGCCAGCTCCCAAAGACATGAGCGCTCGCCGATGCCTCCGCGTTTCACTTCTTTCGCTACCAAATTCAAATAGCTCAGCAACTCCAATTAAAATGAGCGAGTCAAAGACCAGACTGGTCAATCCAATAATTCGCATCCAAAATGCAGTCTTCAGAATGATGGGGCAAATATATGTGGATTGACTCCCAGCCAAGAATGACGAGGCCGAGAACCCGCCGATAGAGACCAAGGCAGCGGCGATAATGCCTCTGAGACCGCTCTTCGTCATATAATAGAAGCATCGCCGATAGACCGACTCAGCCACCTGGATAGGTACGCTCTGAAATCGGTGGGAAGAAACATATTCCTGCGTCGGCTGTAATCGCCGATAGCGCCAATAGTCATAGAGGGAAACAATGAATGGAATGGCATACTATTAGGCCAGGTGGTTAATTATAATGGATCTTATCAGAGCAAGGGCGATGTCATACCGAATATCCGGCTGGCACACATTCGCTGTTGAGGCTGACTCGGCGGAACAATTCAACTCGCAGACCACAGATGCTCAACAAGAGACCGAGCTTATACCAATATCCGGATCTAGCTGGCGGCGCTGGTTCATCAAATGCCAATATTGGGGATGAGATAGAAGAGCGCGAAAGTGAGGAGCGGGACGAGGATGGCGATGCAAGTTCAAATTGGTCGGCAAGTGGAATTCTAGATCGTTTCAATATTGGCGACGAGGGTCGCGACACCGACGGAATGAAGCGACCACAAATCAAGAAAACTGCTCCTGTGAGAAAGCAGGTCAAGATAGCCGTGTTTACCGGGCGATCTCAAGATCGAAGTCAGCGCGCGAACCACCCCGCTTGGAAAGACAACCTACCAAAGGCAAAGGTTGTGTTGTAGGTCGCGTGCAGAAAAAAGGAGCACAGAAAGAAGACCCTAGATAAAATGCCGCTGTTAGATTCTCGATTCACCTTTCCACATGAATCGGTATGGGATGCCTCGCGGGATGCCTCGCCAGCTACTTACCCCACCGAAACCTTGAGCCCAGTATCAGCTGAGAGCTGGAGCATCGTGCGTCCGAAACGTTAAATTATACTCGTACAGTACTGCCCATCGCGCCGTTTCGAAAATGTAGGTCGGATCACAGGGGAAGTTTTGCGCGCACAGAAACAGGGACACAGGGAGGAGGGTCCGACCAAGGCAAGGCAAAGGAAAACGCCCCAGGATCCCGGGCCCTGAATCTCCGGTGGAGCTCCGGTGAGTGGAGACACCAGGGGATTGACAGTCCAGCCACGGCCTGAATCAGGCTGAGGCAGGAAGCGCCGGACTCGTGGCCAGTAAGAAACGCGCGGCCAGTCATGATGGAGCTCTTTGGCGATCAAGTTGCGTCAACAGTGGGTGGTTGGATTTTGGTTGAGCACGCAACCATGGACCCCTTCGTGTACGATGTGCATTGCTCTCCTGCCCGACCAATGAGACGAGATATAATCGGAGCAATATCCGCCTTGGGCCTCTGGCGCCCTTGATTGCAGGCCACAGGCATGCCTCCAAGACACAACAAGATATGCCGAGCGATCGGCACCCAGAAGCAGGACTTGGCTCCCGCGCGCTCCACTTAGTGCTGGGCACTGTCATAGCTCTTGCGATTTTACTTGGCTCCAAGCGTAGCTCCATCGTGGTTGATTCTAGTATATTTCACCAACGATTGCATTTTGAGAGCAAATGAGACATCACAACGTAACACCATACCAGATAAACGCTTATCATACTCGGCCAGGTGGAGTCATTTGGCTTCTCGAAGCGGAACCAGGCTCTCCCTTCTTAGTTCCACTTTAGGAAGGAATCGACAGGGCCCATGGTCATGTGACACAGTACTGCCTGTCAGGTCATGTGATATATGGAACACGAGCTTCAGGCGGTGACGGTGGCCAGAAAAAATAAGGTAGGCGGTATAGGCTAGCAATATGATTTTTTTTCTCGTTGCCGTCCGAATTGGGAATGTTAGCGACTTGGAGGGTTCTTTCTGCCTCTGATCAACGTCCCAATATATCGGACCATTCATCGAGGGACTAGAGAATTTGACTCTCAATATAAAGCACACAACTTGTCCATCTTTCCTCCACAGGGAATCAACAACAAAGCCAAACCCCCCACCGTTTCATCGCGGCCAGCTCCGCACCATCATCATGCCGCGCAAGGCGATTGACTCGCGAATTCCTGCCCTGATCCGAAATGGTATCCAGGAGAAGAAGCGCAGCTTCTTCGTGGTGGTCGGTGATCGCGCAAAAGATGTGATCGTGAATCTCCACTACATCATGTCCAGTGTCGATGTGAAGCAGAACAAATCTGTGCTCTGGGCCTACAAGAAGGACTTGCTTGGTTTCACCAGTCACCGCAAGAAGCGTGAAGCAAAGATCAAGAAGGAAGTCAAGTACGGTATTCGTGAAGCCAACCAGGAGGATCCCTTCGAGTTGTTCATCACCCTGAACCAAATCCGCTATGTCTACTACAAGGAAACAGAGAAGATTCTGGGTAACACCTACGGCATGTGTATTCTGCAGGACTTCGAAGCCATGACTCCGAACCTTTTGGCACGCACAGTCGAGACGGTCGAGGGCGGCGGTATAGTGTTGCTGCTGCTCAAAAGCATGACCAGTTTGAAACAGCTGTACACTATGTCCATGGATATTCACTCCCGGTACCGAACAGAGGCACACGATGATGTTGTTGCTCGCTTCAATGAGCGCTTCATTTTGTCTCTGGGAAGCTGTGCTTCCTGCTTGGTTGTGGACGACGAGTTGAACGTGCTGCCTATCTCCGGCGGCAAAAACGTCAAGCCGCTTCCTCCCCCCGGATCCACCGACGAGTCGAGCTTGGACAAAAAGAAGAAGTCGAAGGATGATGGGCCGAGCCTGCCGGAAATCAAAGAGAGCGTGCAGGGCACGGAGCCTCTTTCCTCGTTTGTGAACCTTGCTAAGACGGCGGATCAAGCGAAGGCGCTCTTGGACTTCACCGACACAATCACCGAGAAGACATTAAAGAGCACAGTTGCCATGACTGCCGGTCGTGGACGAGGAAAGTCGGCTGCTCTTGGTCTCGCGATCGCAACAGCCATTTACCACGGATATAGCAACATCTTCATCACCTCACCGAGCCCCGAGAACTTGAAGACACTGTTTGAGTTCGTGTTCAAGGGTTTCGATGCGCTTGGCTACACTGACCATCTCGACTACACCATTCTCCAATCGACCAACCCCGATTTCAACAAGGCCATCGTCAGAGTTAACATTCACCGCAACCACCGTCAGACTATCCAGTACATTCAGCCGCAGGACGCACATGTTCTCGGACAGGCTGAGCTCTTGGTTATCGATGAGGCTGCCGCTATTCCCCTGCCTCTGGTGCGTAAGTTGATGGGGCCTTACTTGATCTTCATGGCCTCCACCATCAACGGTTACGAAGGAACCGGTCGTTCGCTCTCTCTGAAGTTGATTGAACAGCTTCGTGAGCAATCCCGAAATGGTAGCAAGAGCAAAGACACCGATGTGGCAGACCGCAGCACTGGCAAAGCCGCAAAGAACTCGGGCATGAATCTGGGTGGCCGAAAGCTTGTAGAGATTAAGCTCAAGGAGCCTATTCGTTACGCTCCAGAAGATCATGTTGAGGAGTGGTTGAACAACGTCCTGTGCCTGAATATTCCCGAGAAGTCCAGCACAAGATCGCAAAATTTCACCACTCCCGACAAGTGTCAGCTGCTCCAAGTCAACCGGGATACCCTGTTCTCGTTCAACCCTATTTCCGAAGGTTTCTTGCAGCAGATGATGTCGCTTTATTCCGCCAGTCACTATAAGAATACCCCCAACGATCTTCAGCTCATGAGTGACGCACCCGCACACCAGCTTTATGTGCTTCTCCCTCCAATTGACGAGAAAGCCAAGCAGCTGCCCGATCCGCTTTGTGTTATTCAAGTTGCTCTTGAGGGTCGTATCAGCAGACAGAGTGTCCTTAACAGCCTTAGCCGTGGCCAGCGCGCTGGTGGTGATCTGATTCCCTGGTTGGTTAGCCAGCAGTTCCAGGATGAAGACTTCGCCAGTCTCTCTGGAGCCCGGATTGTTCGTATTGCCACAAACCCCGAGCATCAAGGCATGGGATACGGTAAGCATGCCCTGAAGCTCCTGGTCGATTTCTTCGAGGGTAAATTCACAAGCCTGGATGAGGATATGGTTGCTCCTCAGGAGGAAATGGTCCGCGTTACGGACGAAGAGCTCGCCAACGCGAACCTTCTGGACGACGATGTGCGCGTTCGCAATATCCACACCATGCCCCCTCTGTTCAGTAGGCTGACAGAGCGTCGCCCTGATGCTCTCGACTATATTGGTGTCAGCTATGGTCTTACACCCGCTCTCCACAAATTCTGGAAGACTTCTTCCTTCCATCCAGTTTACCTGCGTCAAACGCCTAATGAGCTGACCGGAGAGCACTCATGCGTGATGCTTCGCACTCTGGCTACTGGTGCCAATGATGCCAGTTGGTTGGGATCTTTCTCCCGCGACTTCCACCGCCGATTCCTTGCTCTGCTCTCTTACCAGTTCCGCCAATTCCCCGCGGTCCTTTCTCTGAGCATCTGTGAATCTGCCACCGCTGGTGCTAAGCTCGATACAGCAGCCGTTCTGCGCACCTTGAAGAAGGCCGACCTTGATGCCGATTTCTCGCCCTTCGACTTGAAGCGCCTGGATAGCTACGCAAACAACCTCTTGGACTACCATGTCATTATGGACATGATTCCTCGCATTGCCGATTACTACTTTTCCAACCGTCTGGTTGGCAAGCTTGAACTCAAAAGTTTGCAGCTGCCGATCCTGCTTGCTCTTGGTTTGCAGCACAAGACTATGGATGATCTCGAGAAGGAGCTGGACCTTCCCGCCTCTCAGCTCCTTGCCATCTTCCTCAAGACCATGCGCAAGTTTTCCAAGCAGTTCCGCGGTATCGTTGAGGGTGCAGTTGCCGAGTCCATGCCCGCAGAGCAAAAGCCTGCTGAGCCTGCAGGTGGTGCCCATGATGATGATATCATCGAGGACCGTTTCAAGCCGCTGGATACCGGCCTGGACGAGGAGCTCAAGGAAGGTGGCCAGCAGATCGACGACGAGATGCGCGAGAAGCAGCGTGCGTTGATTGATTCTCTCCCCCTGGACAAGTAAGTCAATATTTGTGTTCATTTCCACCCTTGCGAGGTCCGAATGAACAATAACTGATTTCTAGCCTCCAGATACGCAATTGACAGCGGCTCCGCAGCTTGGGAAGACGCTGAAAAACAAATCCGCAATGGCGGTGCTGCTACTGTCAGCGTGAAGTCTAAGCCGTCAAAGCGGAAGAAGGGCGAGACTGCTCGTGAGATCTTCGACAAGGAGGTTGATGCTAAGAGGCAGAAGATGATCAAGAAGGGCACTGAGGGCCGCAAAAAATAGAGCTGAGACTCTGACTGTTTGGTGGCGTTACTTGGCATTCTATAAGGTGTTTCTGTGGCCTTTCCTAAGGTGGTTTCTTTCTTATTAAAATTCATGTGCAATGCTCGGCCCTTGTATATATTCAGTTGTACCAATATGACCAGCCTGGGTCTTGTGTGCAAAGATATCATGGAGCCCTGGAAACCCCGCTATTAATAAGTACTACCTAGTGTACCGTATTGCTTAAATGTAGACCTTGCTATGAGGAACCCTTTGACCTATTCACGAGGGCTAGTCTTGGATTTCCAAAGGTTTCCATTGCACAGTACAGGTGGACAAATACCTAGTTGGAAGGGTGTCACAGAGCCACAGCCATCCATGGATGGTTGATTCAAATTGAACCTTGGAAGTTCGGGATTTTCGAGCTCATGAGTAGCCCATATATGTTTATGAATGAAATTTGTTCTCACTTCATGTTTGTATATTCGCAATCCCGGAGAATCTATCTATATTGTGTTCAAGATACTCTATCAGTAAATTTAATGCTGCATTTATCCATGGGCTGACAGGTAAGCTGGTCGTTATAATTCGGCACAGGGGGTGCCTCCATCTTTTCAAGTTGCTCATCAACCATTGACAAGTCGAACCTTAGAAGCAGAGAAGCAGTCAAAAGCTTCATCGTCAATATAGCAAGTCTTTGCCCTTTGCAAAGATGACTGCCCATGCCCCACCCTATGGATGGTGTATCTTTCTGAAGTAGTCGAGAGGGATCCCAGCGAGTTGGATCGGCATAGTGCGAAGGATTCAAAGTTGTATCCAAAAATGAATACGCAACAAAGGCCCCCGAGGGGATAGTGAATTCTCCAGCAGAAAAGTCTGGACCTGTGTTTTTGCGAAGGGCTGTGTGTGGTTGGGCGATCCGCATGGTCTCCCGGATGCACAGGTCGAGAGAAGGCAGCTTGGTTTCCCAGGCTGTGAGGGGGACTTGGGATAGTGCTTGGGTGAGATCTTCGTGGCACGGGTTGTCCGGTAAAGTGATGTTGTAGGTTGATAAAAGGCCTTCGACTTCTTGGCGAACAAGCTGAAGCCCAGATTGGGTCAGATGACAGAAACATGATGAGCCATTTTCCTGCAAATGGATTTAGCTGTCATAATTATGGCAATGAAGTGATATGCGGCACGTACCGATTGTTCCTGTGGAACGAGCCCCTGCCAAAGGAAGAGCTATCATAAACTTGAGAAAATTAGTATGGGTGTTTATTCTGTAAAACCCACGCCACCAAAGAGGACGGCCTTACCCTGATCATATATTCTTCAGTCTGGTTGCTGTCTATAAGTTTCTGAAGCGCATCTGGTCTTGCAGTCCCACCATTAATTCTCTTGCGAACAAAGCTTTTGAAGGTTAGATAGAGATTTGTTGCAGCCCAAAGTCTTCGGATTGAAGCAGGGCCATATATCCAAGGAAAATAGACCGATGCTGGCTCTGTGGAGGTATCGAGGACATCGAACCAACCCTGTAGGCGAGACAGAAGGGCTAGATCGTCGGTGATATCGAACGAATTTAGGACCCGCATAACCATAACAAATGTAATCTTTAAGAATTGTGTTAGCTTTATCAATCTCACTACCAATTGAATTCACAGCGAGGTCAAGAAAACCTATCACCCACGTCGTAGATGGCTGAGTTGGGATCCAATAGACCCTGACTGCCCCATGTGTCTATCTTGCGCTGACAATCGGACAAAAGGTAGGGGATCACTAGACATGTATTAATAAAGAGATGTGGATCTTCTTGGAAAGGGTTGTGGACTTACTAGAGCTCAGATTATCGGTTTTCTGGAGATATAGGAGGCGCTTATAAAATGAATTGACTTGATGGTGGTCATAGCCTTTAGGAATCTGACACAATTTAGGGTTTAGAGTCAGTGCTCAAGGCGGGCAGAGCTCAGAAACTTACAGACTCTAGAACAATCTGGAAACCTTCATAAAGATCAAGACCTGGCTCTCGCAAGAGCATCTGTCTCCCTTCTTCTCCAGAAACGGCGACAACACGGTTCTTGAGCAATTCAAATTGAAACGCCCATGACCCTGTCTGTTTGAAGCCGTCTCGTAGGAAGTCGACACGCTTCCCATGAAATGATTTTACAGCTTGTGCTTTTGACAGTTTGAGATTTGGAGCTTGTTTCTCATCTTCATAGGTGCGGGATAACCTCTCGTTCCATAATGAAGCCGGACATGAAACAGCGAGTAGGAAGATGGCTGTAGCGGCCAGGGTAGCGAGTTCCCGGATGTTGATCGAGACACAGGCCGAGGCTATAAACACTGGTATCAAATCAAATGCCATTCTTGTGGAATTATGTAATGGATCTGTAGAAAGGTATTCAGACTCAGATGAATACTAGAAATGAACCTCGAGATGATGAGAGCTCCCGAGTTAGTTGAATTCAAGCGCTATATATACTTGTATCCAGGCAAACTGCCCAGGTGCCCAGGTACCATTCAGGTGCCTATCAAGGTACAACAGCCCAGTGAAGTTTCCGAGCTCAATTGCTGCGCCGACTTCCCAGGCTCCAGACGCCCCGAGCTGTATTCTAGTCTGACACTCAAGACCTCCACACACGCCATATTCCTGCCCATGTGTCATGTTGGCGTCAGCCTTACTTCCATTTCCATGCATAGAAAGCCAGAATAGTATTGGTAGCGTATTGCCAATACTTCCGCAGCAAGGCGTACCGGTTCCTTCACATACATCCATGGATGGATAGATCATACGGAGTAATGGATTCAACATAAGCTGGGCTGTATTGTCCTATAGCGTCCTGAATCATTCATGTTCCGAATACCCGTGGCTATATTGCGCTTCCTGATTCAACTCAGTGCATATTTCTCATGCAGTATCGCTCAAAATTCTTATGTATAGTTGTTGAAGGATTTGGAATCTCAGTATCGAAGCCTTAGGAATCTTCCGGCTGAGATTCATGTGGCTTCTACACCAGCTGCAAGCCAGTGCTTGTTCCATCCTATCATGCTCTCGCTTCCATGCTCCGTTGAGTCATCAGAACCTCTGGGCATGCACCTGGCCTTTTCAGGTGAGCCCACCTACATGTAAGCCCCGGTAGTTTGTTGGGGGTGGGGTCAATAATACTGACCCGGCTAGGCATGCATTGCAAGATGTTGCGTCCTTCCTTATCGGGGCGTCCGGCCCGCTGTCAGATCTCTTTTGCCCCATATGCGGCTCTTCATCAAATTCAAGGATCGAACAGGGTGACGGCTATTCTGCGAATCCCCAAAAAACTTCATTGACATGCAGATAAGGGCTATGTGAATACTCACTAATCTAATGGATGGCTCTGTACTTAGTTTTCCGGCGCCAGGAGCGCCCTGCCACATGGCATTACTAGCGCCATTTTCCATGAAAATCAGCTTCCAAGGTTTACCGAATGCAGGAACCCCGACATCCGCGAGACTGACCTCGGAACGGCCAATCAGGACCCGGGGCCTGAGGACTGCGATTGGCTGCTCGTATACACTTAGTAAAACAATACATTAACTTAGGCACCCATCCCTCGCTTAAGTCCATCCTGAGTGGAGCATTAGACACAATGATACTTTTCATCCAATGGAAAATTTTCTAAATATGATCCTTACTACGGTGCCAAGCTGATGGAGTGGCATCTCAGACCAAACTCGCAGAATAAGAATGCTATTGGCTCCCGATAAGAGACATCAACGACTGGCGCTCGTATCACTTCCAAGTCTCGGTCCTCTAGTGCGGAAACGCCTACCTATAAGATTCTAGGTCATTGTTATCTATTACCTAAAAAGGCTAGGCCAAATAACAAGAAGCCGTGCAAACATTTACGAATATGCAGCCTTGCCGAGCCGATTCCTGCTCTCCAATAACGCCCTGCCAAGGGCCGAGGGAAAGTCCAATAATCTTTCTGGAGGTATGCAGATTTCACATGTGCAACGATCTTTCCGGCCCTGGTAACTTTGAGTCTTGTGCGAAGAACCTTCTGAGCATAATCGTCGTTCTTGAATTTCCACGGGGCGTTGGCCCAAATTATCCCTCAGTCAGAAGTCTCTGTAGTCCCCATGCATCGAAGCCGGTGATGGCTGCCACCTCAATATGTTGGCAACAGCCGTCGATATCGAAAAGACGGCCGGCCGCTTCATGCTCTGTGACCATTTTCGCAACATAATTCGGTGATTCGGCCATTTTAGACCAGGCTTGATATAACGATCGGGCAGCTAGGCCAAAAAGTAATCGTCGCCTTCATGGAAAATGGCCTTTGTGTGCAAGAACCTCGGTCTTTCGCCAAAGTATCAACATTGAAACATGGAATAGCATTTCACTTCGCTCATTCAAAGCTCTGGGATGTTCGAGGAAACGGCCTGGTACGAGCGAGGTGAGATATCCCCGTCAAAATTGTAGTCTCAGCAAGATGAAAGTGTGCTCAGGCTCAGGTCTTGATACACCGTCACAATCCCCGCAGTCTTGATAGCAATGTCTCCTCGGGTTGCACCTGCATGAAGGGCTCAACTTTTGAGTTACGGACCCAAACCGCTGCTTCGCGTCTAGACTATCAAATCCTGTTCAGTATAAAGCGCAATGTTAAGACAAAGAATTCGATATCCACTATCTAGGCAGATCATGTCTGGCACTTGGACTCATTCCCCCGCTATTTGGACCAGAATGAACAAGCATACTGATGATGCCTATCACTTCTGAAAAGGCGATTAGGGCAAATTGAAGTAGGGGGTAGGCAATAATCAGAGAGCAACCAAAGCGCTCTGATCAGCATTAGAGGGGACCAGGCCAGGTACGCAGATCTACTTTTGAGTAAAAAGCGGCGAATGCTTGCACTGCACACTCATCGAAAGGGTGTACAATCAACCTTTTCAAGACTGACGAACAAATTCAATCCAATATATGAAATACATAGCTGCAAGATGCAATGACTATCGGAATAGAAACATGTGATGATCCCGAACCTCCTAATCTCCGAATCTTACAGCTCATCATGTTCGACTTCTTCGGGTTTCTCAGCCTCGGCCTCGGGCTCGGTTCCACCGACAATACCCTCGGGCAGCTTCTCCTTGGCACCCTCGCCAAGTCGGATAGCATCAATCCAAGACTCGACGGCAGTGATGCCGAACTCCCCTTCAGCGCTATAACGACGCCACCAGCCGCGACGAGCATTGACAGCGATGATTTCGACATCCTGGCTAGCCTCGAGACCCAATGCGGTGCGCAAGGTCTTGGACGCGGTGTTTGTTTCGGGGACGGCGTACACGGGGAACATGTTCACACCGCGAAGGGAGTGCTTGTGCGCGATCTCGGCGAGACTGGACAGCGCGTCGGTGGCAGTGGAGGGAAGTGCTTCGTCTGCGCCAGTCCCGGGGAGGAGGGCGAGCACACAGGTATTGGACTTGGGCTCTAGACAGGCAGACTCGAGAGATTCGGGGGTAGCGAGGGTAGGTGCCGGGGGTGCGACAGGTGCCTCGACAGGCTTAGATTCGGGAGTAGCGATGGGCTCCTCTGCCTCCTCGGTGACGGATGTCGGCTTGGTCTTGGACTTAGGCTTAGACTTCGGCTTAGAGTTGGCCGGGGCGGCTTTTCCAGTAGCGTCTGGGTTGGCCTCGGCGAATTGACTCAAGAACTCTAGGATGGGTTGCTTCTTCAGCTCACCACCGTACACCGTAGGCTCTGCGTCGCCGCCAGGAACCACGACCAATGTTGGGAACTCCTCCACGCCGAACTTCTCCACAGAGCTGGTCTCCTTGTTGCGGACCTGCGCGACATCGATCGCGCCGAGGAAGTCAATCGCCAGCGCGCGGATAAGCGAACTGGTTGTGCCCTTCTCTGTGAAGAGGATGGCCTTGGGGCGCTCCTCATTTTGTCCCAGCCAGTTGTCCAAGTCCTTGTCCGTGGCGCGCTTCACGTGGTTGGGGATGCGATCGACCACCGCATCGACAATGCCCTTCGCGGTGCGCGCGCCCTGATAGTCCTCCACGCGTGGCTTTCCGGGTTTCTTCGAGGGGGTCACGATCTTGAGGGTCGGGAAGCCTTGGACACCCATTTGTCCGCAGAATGGCTTGTTCTCGTCTTCATCACAGTTGATCGCGGCAACCTTGGCCAGGCCATTTAGATTTTGTGCGGCCTTCTCGTAGGCGGGTTTGAGATTCTGGCAGTGACCGCACCAGGGAGCATAGAATCTGAGAAGCGTTAAAGGTCAGCGTGACGGTCTTGGAGAAGTTTGTTGACGGTGCGGGGATGGCTTACTCGACGATCTAGAAGAATGTTAGCGCATTCAACAGAAAACATCATTTTAATAGCTTTGCAGGAAACTGTCATCTCACCGAAGTGTGATTTGAGTTCGCAATAAGCGATCCGTAAGTCTTTGCGTTTAGCTGGAGCACCGGTGACTTTCTGGTGTAGATGCCATCGGCGTTGGCTGGCACAGCTGCCAGCAACGAGGCAACAAGCAGGAAGGAGCTCGGAGGCAACATGACGAAGATGATAGGATGTTAAATCGAGGATCAAGGCGCTCAGTAGAGCTTCATCAATTATGTAGGGAGAAAGAAGCCAGATTGATTGAAAGACAATTACGCAAGGTGTCCTGAAGCTCTTGGCATGCGGAGGGAAAAGCTACTCCAATAAGCTTCCGACTCTCTATTCCCTTTCGCCGCAGCACAGTTATGACCCAGCCTTGCACTCGTACTCTACATAATGATGACCTGGCCTTTTTGCCTCGTGACATATTCTGGTTAATTCTAGGCTACTTGGCCCCAAGGGATCTCGTCCGTTGTCGCCGTGTCTCTCGATCATGGAACGAGGCGTTCGACAACCCGGCCATCCTGGTCCCACTCATGAAAAGACACTTCCCTTGGACGGAGGAAGTCAAATCACTATCCTCTGGTCTCATAGATTCAAAGGATTGCGGGGCTCGCCGTCTCTTTGATCAAGTCACGGCGCGATATTACCATCTGGAACACGGGAAGCCCCGCTCTGTAAGAAAGTACCGCCTGTGTGACGGCTTCGGAGGTGCAGGAGACCGAGAATGGTACCAGGTGCGGCCGTGGGAGTCGCACGCAAGCCATGTCCGGCAAACTGTGGATCGCCAGTTCTCCGAGGCGTTATGGACGCACGAAGATGGGCTGCTAGTCTACCCTAGTGCCCATCACCAATGTCTGGTGTTGATGGACCTGAGCAATGACCGGCACTTTATGGTTCCTTTCATTGTTCGCGGCAAGATCGTTCGTAGGGTACGGTTGCAGAAGCGACTACTGGTTGTCGAATGGGCAGAACCGAAAGCTTTTCACTGGCTCAATGATAGCGATGGTGTGCATCGCCATTTTGCTTCATCATTCGACTTGAAGCGAAACCCAGATCATGGATGGAGTGTAGTTCCACGAAACCAATGGAAAATCATGTTTCTAGGACATCCACTCAGTGAACGAGATCGATTCTTCTCCGCACATAGTGACACCTACTATGTGATCTATATCTGGCAACCCAATCGCAGCTTATATACCGCTGACGAAGACGCTCCCATTGAATCGATGTTCGTGTGGGATATTTCCAAGCCATCTTCATATCAACCATCACTAGATCCTACTGGTCGCCAAACAGGCCCAGACGTCGACCAGTCTCCATCCATCGTGGCTCGTTTCGGCTTCCGGGACCTCGAATTCTTCGGCGTGCGCCAACGTGGTTGCCCAAGCATCCAGCGACTCGAAGTTACCGACGACGGTGAATCAATCATAATAACAGAGAACCTCAACACATGGCTGACAGCCCCTGACCCTCTTGGCCTGCCTCTGGCTATAAGCACCAGCATTCCATTACAAGGCCATGGCCCCCATTGGCGACAAGAAAGTAACCTCCTCCTACCGCCTTACCGTGGTAATTGCAGCCTACAGACACCACCAGTGAGCACTAGGGCTCTGTTTGTTGACAGCTGGTACGGTATAATTGCACAGGTGACGGATCCGAATGCTGAGCTCAGTTTCTGCTTGCATTTCGATCCAGTTCAGTGGGATTCAGATGGCCGAGATAACGAACATAAGGACCAGACAATATATTTGTCAATCCAGACCATGGATTCTCAAGTGACAAGGGAGAATCAGGATTTTACAGGCCGAGGGAAGATCAGTGGTTGCGAGAGATATCTAATAGGCGAGAATCGCAACCGTGAACTAGTTATTTATAGATTTGATCGATAAGATGTCCTCGTCAACGCAATCAGAAGATCCATGGCGACACCCTAAGGAAAGGTGTTTTCAGCTCTGAAGAAAGCGTCTTGAAGACCATCATGCTGAGAAAGGCATTACAGGTAAAGATAAATGAAATACTTACAAAGTGTAACAAGGGGACACTTCATTCACCCCAAGACATCGGCTTTTTTTTTTTATCAATAGCTTGGACGTCCTGTTCATCGTCACTGAGATCTATGAAACAGCCAATGCTGCCAGTTGTGGAGCCTGCACCCTGCTCATCGGCTGCAGTAACATTGACCATTTCGGTACACTTAGGGTTAGGGGGTTCATCTTTGATGGTGACAAACTTGAAATACTCGGCAGGCTCGGCTTCGTGCCTCTTAGAGGATAGGGGGTTTGCTTCATAGTCCTGCCTATCATCACTGAGGCCTATAAAGCAGCCAATGGTGCCAGGTACCGAGTCTTCATTCTGCTCATCGATTGCAATGGTATCGGCCAAGTCAGTACCCTTGGAAGAATCTTCATTGTCGGTGGCAGGCTTGGAAATTTCGGTAGGCTCGGCTTTGTTCTCCTTGGAGATGTCGGGTCTAGCTTTGTAATCCTTCGCGTTATCGTCATCACTCAGGTCAATGAGGGGGCCAACATTGCTTGTCGCTGAGTGATACTCTGAGCCTGCCTCACTTTCGGCGTCATAGAGGTAGTCTTTGTATCGCGTGTACCTAAGATCATCTCCCTCGTCATGTTTTCCCCACCCAAGATCGCCTGTATCTCCAGATGAGTCTTCATCATCTGAAGGCACTCCACCTTTCAAACCATACGCATAAAGCCTTTCAATAGACCTTTGCACTTCAGGATCAATATGGCTAAGTTCCCGCCCATCTTCATTGGCCTCTTCGGTTTGTTTCCGCGAGCTCGGTCTTAGGCCGCCGCATTCACCTGCACCGTCGTCTATCATCGCTTCTCCTTCTGATGATACTTGACCTTCGTCAAACTTTTTAAGATACTCATTTTCTGCCTTCTGGACCTCGGGATCGATCCCTGCATAAACCCTCTCCCATTCGTCCATCTCCTTCGCGCGCCGAGCTATCTCTGCCTGTGCCCAGTCGGAGTCCAGGTTCATGTGGACTGACGATCCCCATGTGTACATGTAATCTTCCGGCGGGGGCTTAGAATTCCAAGGTGTATCACTTTTCTGCTCGGGAGCCTCACTTTTATTCGTATTTCGCCGGATATCATATGGCTCGTATCGTTTACGGTAGCCATGTAAAATTGAGGTCGACTGCAGGTCCAATGTCTTGTCATAGAGACGGCGGCATTCTGGATCACGAAGAACTTCACCCGCTTCCTGAATCTGTATATGCCGATCAGTAACAGTGCAATTCTTCAGGTTAGTATAAATTCACAGCTACAGTGAAATGAATACCGTACCTGCTGAAAATGATTGGCGACCGATTTGTCGCCGCTTGTCTTATCAGGATGATGCAGGAGAGCCAACCTCCTATAAGAAGCACTTATCTCTTTCTGCGTGCAGTCGCGCGGAAGCTCGAGGACTCTGTAGTGATCTGTCGTATCTTTCTGAGACGTCATGCTGGCGATTCGACGCGAATATGTCGGCATTCAAGATGATGAGCACAACAAGAGCAGGTTGCCGCAGTTCAAATATTCGAGTTGGCGAAGAGTTGGCGATTGTAAGGGAAGGGCAATTAGATGTCAGGAGTGGAGTGCAGATGGAGGTAAGAAGGGGCTTGTGGACTTCTGTCGTTGGCTAGGGTATTGGGATGCTGAAGTGATTCAGCTTCTTGATCTGTCGAGGAGTCAGTGCATGCGAGGAGAAAAAGGTGAATAGACATAGGAAGTTAAATGTAAACCACGAAAAGAGCAGAAATGAATTATGAGCTTCGGTTGTCGAGAGAAACATTGAGGTGCTGAAGCAATTCAACTTCTTGCCTCATCAAGGATTTGATGAATGAGAAGAAAAACGCATTGACGTAGGAAGTGAATGTAGACCTCGAGAAGAAAGTGAGAACCAAATTCTGACCTTTGGTTGATGGCTGCAATATCGAGATTTCCGAGCAGCTCAGATAGCTTGATAGATAATCAAGCTATCGCGAAGTTGATGATTGCAAGGAAAGATGAAAGATGTGATGTAGGAGATCGAGTGTAGACCTGAAAGGAACTTTATGAAGTGAGTTTTGAGCTTCGGTCGTTGGCTGGGGTATTGGGGTGTTGAACCAACTCAAATAGTCAGTCGAAGAGCTGACTAGGGTGAAAAGTGATAAATGAATCGAGTCAGGAAAGTGAATGTGGATGAAGGTTAAGCGTCATTTCTGGACTTCAGTCGTTGGCTGTGATGTCTGGTTGGGCCGGTGAAGCACAATTGATCCAAGTGAAAAGACAGCTTCACTGTCATGAGATGTTTTCGTCATCAAGCTTGTATTGTTGGTATAGAAGACCAGCTAACATAGAAAGAGCAAGGAGGAAGTCTTTGAAAAAGGCTGAGGGTGGAGTCGGCGAGTTCCTCCGGTGATCACATTCAGGATGAACTACGAGGAACAAAGCAACGATACATAGTAAGTGAAGCCGGTTATACCGGAACCACATAGGAAAATGGAATGGATTGACACTGATTTTACAAAAAACGGAGGTCGATCTAAATATCAACAGAGTCTACGCCGAGGGAGACTTCATCCCGTGAAAGCCCGTGAGAAGGCTCTTACATGTCGGCGGAGGCGGTGGCACCGGTGATAATCTCAACCAGCTCACCGGTAATGGTAGCTTGACGCTGACGGTTGTACAGAATCTGGAACCTGTTGAAAGGGTTAGAATTGAAATAGACGGAAACACGAATGTATCGGAAACACTTACTTGTTGATCATCTCACCAGCGTTCTTGGAGGCGTTCTCCATGGCGTTGCGACGAGCCTGGGAACTGCGTTAGTACAGGAAATCATAAATCTTTGCAAGATGGCGTGGTAATAATCATACAGAAATCTCACAAGCGTGGCCCTCAGCCATGGCCCAGAAGATGTTGTTGGCAAGAGCATACTCGCGGAGACTAGTCAGAGCCTCGTCGTCAATCTCGAAAGCAGAGATGTTGGCTAGATATATCATTAGTATTGTCGGCGCTGAAACTCTTCCTAAGGACGGGTATAATCGTACCGGACTGAGTGATAGCCTCCTCGGAATAGGCCTCAATGACGGTAGCCTCGTAGGTCTGAGCATTGACGAACTTGTTGAAGACGACCTTGATGCTGCTGTAGTCGGTAGGCAGCAGAGCGATCTGGTCGGCAACAGCCTGAGCATCGGCGAAGGTGGGAATGTCCTTGCAGACGTTGGAGAAGGAGAGGAGGATCTTCTCGGGAACGGCACGCGAAAGCTGGGCCTTGCCCTTCTCACCAAGGATGACGAGATCGGCTTCAGGGTCGGCAGCCAACATACGACGAGTAGCCTTGCTCAAGCTGGAGTGGATACCACCGCAAAGACCCTTGTCGGAGCTAGCGACGACGTACAAAGTCTTCTTGTCCTCCAGCGGCTTGGTCTCGGCCTTCTCGAAGACAGTGTTGGAGGTCTCACCGTAGGTGCGAGACTCGTCCATAGCTCTCTGGGCGCGAGTGAGACGGGTGGAGGCAACGACCTTCATGGTGTTGGTGATCTTCTGGATGTTCTTGATGGACTTGAGGCGGCCCTCAATCTCACGCAGAGTCGCGAAGTTGGCGGCATTGGGCGGGGCAGTGCTTGGGTGGGAGTCAGCAATGAACGACGAATTGATTGATTATCGAGGCGATTGAGCTTGGTTCCTCTTTGGGGGCAGGACTAGTATTCGTGGTGGTGATGTTGAAATCGGCGGGTGAAAGGACCGAAACACCTGAGCGGACATCGGAAGAAGACTTACCGGGTGACAGCAGCACTGCCAGCCCTGAGGACCGGGCGGGCGGCACGGGAGAACATTGCGAAAGTAGAATTAGGGGGGTTTACGAACGGAGAAGTTCGAAACGGGAGAGGAGATGCAGAAAGGAGCAGGGTATGCCAGAAGACCTCACTGGTTGCTGGGAGTTGCGATGGTCGGGAAGTGCGAAGTTGAACTCCTGGCCGTGCCATGCGCGCTAAACCGTAATGGGGAAGAATCTACGGCGTGCCATTCCGGCTTCCGGCGCACTTTGATGCCTTGGTGCCTGTATTATGGGGCACAACACAGCCATTCCCAGCCTCAGGCAGTCCATGAGGTAACTAACGAATCTCGTTTTCCATTCCATTCCCTCCATTCCCCCAAACTTACACTCGTGAAGTTAGGTGCCTGTGGTTTCTTGTTCCCACCAATCTTCTTACCTATCCATTTACCCCCATTTTAGCCTCACTTTGTTTCTCGCATCACTGGTGCATCATTTCTCTTAACATTTGCGAGCCCTCAGTTCATTGGTCAGAATTGCTTTGACTTCGTTGTTCTATCAAGCGGCTCGTTTTGTCCGACTCGGCGCACGAGGACACCTGCCCTCGATCATCCCTCGATTCTTTCATTCTCGCTCCCGTTTTCCACTTCCAGTACTTCGGACCACGATGAGCTCCTCGGAGGACGATATGCCTCTGGCTCGCGCAAATGGGCGCGCAAAGGGTAAGTCAGCCCCCGGGTAATTCGGTTCAATGTACTACGCCCTCGGCTCTTATTCTCTCAGTCGAGGACTCTGTACTTTGCTCGGATTATCTTCCTTTCACTTCTCCGTTCACTCTTCAATCCCATCTTTCCATTTCCACAACTTGCGCATTGTGCTTGCCTCTCTCCTTGTCGTCTCTATCTTGCGCTTATCTAACATCGGGCTGTCCTAGCAAACTCCGCTTCGACCACCCCGAATACAAACGGTAACGGTGATCTTGCGCCTGGCATTTCGGTCCGATTCGGTGCAGTGCAGGACAAGGACGTCGAGATGGAGGATGCGGATGCGGCGCACAGCGCGGGGAAGCGCAAATCTCGTGCTAGCATTGACAATAAAAAGTCATATGTCGAGCCGGAAAGCAGTGATGAAGAAGACGAGCCCCTGGTACGCCATACCCTGCTCCGATGAGCACGTTTGGATCGCGACTTTTATCGCATTTGGTTTCAGCGACTGACCACTCGACAGAGCAAACGCCGGCGAACATCAGTGAAACACGAGGACCCCGAGTCCGATGACGATGTTCCTTTGGCTTTGAACGGAAGGAAACTTCCTAAAGCTTCGGAAACCGCCATCGGAGAGGAGTCCGACTCCGATGTCCCGATTGAGAGGAAACTCTCTGCACAGAAGAAGAAGATTGAACAAAAAGCCACCAAAGAGGCTCGCACGGCCCGCAAGCCGGCTTCGAAAAAGGAAACCAAACCTGCAGCAGCAGCCAAGAAGCAGACTAACGGTGTCAAGAAGGAGTCGGCCGATGACAAGTCTGCCGTTAAGAAGGTGAAGGCTGAATCCACCACTCCTAAAAAGGCTAAGGCGGAAAGTGAGGATGCTGAGGAGAAGGGCGAGGACGAGGAAGGATACAAGTGGTGGGAGGACCCTACTAAGGGTGACGGTACTAAAAAATGGACGACATTGGAGCACAATGGCGTTGTTTTCCCGCCACCATATGAGCCCTTGCCAAAGCACGTCAAGCTCAAGTACGATGGAGTACCGGTGACACTACACCCGGATGCTGAGGAAGTTGCCGGGTTCTTTGGTGGTATGCTCAACTCCACTCACAATGTCGAAAACCCTGTTTTCCAGAAAAACTTCTTCACGGACTTCAAGGAAATTCTCAAGAAGACTGGCGGTGCCAAGGATGCTCAAGGCAAGAAGGTAGACATCAAGGACTTCACCAAGTGCGATTTCAAGCCCATCTTTGAATACTACGATGCTCAACGCGAGGAGAAAAAGAGTGCCACCCCCGCCGAGAAGAAGGCGCTAAAGGCCGAGAAAGATGCGCTAGAAGCCCCTTACCAGTACTGCATCTGGGATGGCCGCAAACAGAAAGTCGGCAACTTCCGCGTCGAGCCCCCTTCGCTTTTCCGTGGACGAGGCGAGCATCCTAAGACTGGTCGCGTGAAGACTCGTGTACAACCAGAACAAATCACCATCAACATTGGCAAGGATGCCACCGTACCGCCGCCTCCGCCTGGTCACCAGTGGAAGGAGGTGAAGCATGATCAAGAAGGAACATGGCTTGCCATGTGGCAAGAGAACATTAACGGCAATTACAAGTATGTGATGCTGGCCGCCAATTCCGATGTCAAGGGTCAGAGCGATTACAAGAAGTTTGAAAAGGCTCGTGAGCTCAAGAAGTATATTGAGAAGATCCGTAAGGATTACCAGAAGGCCTTGAAGCACGACCTGATGGTGGAGCGCCAGAAGGCTACAGCCGTCTACCTGATCGATCAGTTCGCTCTGCGTGCTGGAAACGAGAAAGGCGAGGATGAGGCCGAGACTGTCGGATGTTGCTCACTCAAATATGAGAACATCAGTCTGAAGCCCCCGAACACCGTTGTCTTCGATTTCTTGGGTAAAGATAGTATTCGGTTCTACGACGAAGTCAAGGTTGACCCTCAGGTCTTCAAGAATCTGAAGATTTTCAAGAAGGCGCCCAAGAAGAATGGTGATGAGGTTTTCGACCGATTGACTGTATGAATATTCCTCTTATCGTGAAAATCACTTAGCTAACAGCCAACAGACCTCTGCTCTCAACAAACACTTGCAGAACTACATGAACGGTCTTACTGCCAAGGTCTTCCGTACTTACAATGCGTCTTTCACCATGAGCGAGGTGCTTAAGGAAATGAAGGCCACCGGTACAATCCCAGAAAAGATCAAGGCCTACAACGATGCCAACCGCAAGGTGGCTATCCTGTGTAACCATAAGCGAACGGTCACCGCTGGCCATGCTAATCAGATGGAGAAGATGGGTGAACGGGTAGGTTGCATCACATCTTAGTTGGGGTCCACAAAGCTGACCTCGCTTCGTACCACAGATCAAAGGACTTCGCTATCAGAAATGGCGGTTGAGACAGCAGATGCTTGACTTGGATCCCAGCCTGAAAAAGAAGAAGGGTGCCTCTTTCTTTGAGATGGACGAGGACCTTACCATGGAATGGATCAAGGAGCACCAGGCCTATCTACTGGAGGAGCAGACTCAGAAGATCAAGAAGAAGTTCGAGAAGGACAACGAAAAACGAGTTGCCGACGGTGAGAAAGAGATGAAGGTCACTGAGCTCAACGAGCGCCTTGAGCCCGTCAAAGACATGGAAAAGAAGTTTAACAAGGAGAACAAGACTGGCAAGGTTGAAGCTGAAGGAAAAGGTCCAACCGTAGAGAAGATCGAGGCCGCCATTGCGAAACTCGAGCAGCGCGTTGAGACAATGTCCCTCCAGGCTCAGGACAAGGAAGACAACAAGGAGGTGGCTCTTGGGACCTCGAAGATCGTAAGTATTCCACTCAAAAGCACAGTTGTACACATGCTGACAGTAGTTTCCAGAACTACATCGACCCTCGCCTTACTGTTGTCTTCAGTAAGAAGTTCAATGTCCCTATCGAGAAGTTTTTCTCCAAGGCACTGCGTGAGAAGTTTGAGTGGGCTATCAAGTCTGTTGAGGAGGATTGGGAGTTCTGATTGACCTACCGCTCATCAACGTCATCAATCAGCGTACATGTCAGCTTGATACAATTCCGTGCCTTTTCTTTCTGAATCGCCTGAACAGTTGCGCTTTGTACTGTTCCGCTTTGCGTTTTTGGCATTTTTATTTTCAGCTTCTGTTTTCAAGATTTTTATTCTTCTCCCAAGTCAGTGCGGGCTTTCAAGCATCCGTGCATAGGAGATGGCGCGACCCGGGACCCGTAGCTTCTTGCGGGGATCTCATGTACGCTGGTAAGACACGAAAAGCAAGAGAAAGATGCACAAGACGGCGGAAATGATTCATTTTCACCGTTTAGATTTGCGTTAGCGATCTACTCTGTTCACATCTAGTGTTGACATTGTCGATACATAGACGTGAGACAGGAAGTGCAAGATCACACTGTATTCTATTCAGCCAGCTCCGACTACATTTACATTTTAGAGAGAATCGAATTCATAGCTTTCAAGGTTGCTTTCAAGATTTGAAAATTAATCCTAAATAGTAATAATGTACGTTATCTTTCAAGGTGGTTTTTTGCCTAGTGAAGACTTAAGATTTAGGTGACCACTAACGTTTGAAGTTTAATTTGATGCACAATATTAATACTTACAGCTATAGATCCTCCTCCCCTCCAAAATGACCTTCAAGTAAAAACTGACCTACGCTCTCCTATTGTATGACTGATTGACCTCATTAGGTCTTCAAAATCTTGAGCTATGAATAATCTTCCTCGGCGAAACCTGGCGGAAGAAACGTTACTCCGAGTATACATTGTCTGTTCCTCTTCAGATTTTACGGACTGCAAATAGTTCAGATCGGTTTCTCAAGGCTTCGATTACGTTTGCTTCGCTAACACATCTCAGGGCATGGGTTTGCCACATCACTCAACTGGGTATAGATTGGTTACCCTCAATTAGAAAGATGGAGCAGAGCTTCGCCACAAAGGCGTCCCAGATGATAGATCTTCTGCAGCAAGTCTTACTTGCACTGGTGTCAGATCATATTCATCTTCATTGCCTTGTAAATTCATGTGGTTAGTACTCAGGTGGCTTTCGTGACATTTGAGCTATTTGGCCCTACTGTGTAGCTCACTATCAACGAGATATTGTCAGGGCAGGGCTAATCGCTTCGCTCAAAGCTAGAGGTAGTATACACCTAGATAAGCTCCTGTCAGATGATATTCAGCCTTAATCCGCGAGAAAAACTTGACACCGATGGCTATAGTGCGGGGTTACCTCAAGTCCGAAATTCACGCGATGGATATTTACTAAATTAAGGTTTATACCTAATTAGGAAGGTGGCCGCCCATTTAGGCCAGGTTAGGTTGATCATTAGCGCCCAAAACAGTAGACGAAGAAGAATGTTGTGACTTGAAACAAGCAGTAAATGACCCCTTTGGGATACGGACTATTGGGTGATACGGCTTCCTTATGTACTTAAGCGCGCGGTGCTGCATCTCGTCTTTTCCAATTTCGTTGTCATGATGGCCTCTTGTTTACCCCGCCAACCTTCTGACCACCCCCTCTAGTAATCATACTACTAATACACCTCTAGTCTGGTTCCCATTTCTGTCTTCTTTATACCGCTCAGTCCTTCTGGCCACCTCTCCCACTTTCTAACTACTTCTCTCCTCAGCTCCGCACCTCACATCCTTGGGAAGACTCTGAGCTACGGCAGACCATTGAAGCTTTTGTTTAGCTCTGGCTACTGCTCTCTACACATAAGTACCATTGAAAGAAAAATCTAAACAAAGAAAAATGGTATTTCAAGACGAGTTTTGAATGCTAATCATGTACAGTTGAAGGTTCGTTCACACATTTCCCGGTGGGATTTATACCGCAGTCTACCGTGGTAATTCTAACACAACTCCCCCCTTGCCGACGTGGACCAGCCAAATCCAGCTTCTAATTTCATCAAAGATTCTCTAGCCAGGTTGTTGACATCACTAAGTTGCCTTAACCCAATCATCAAATTCTGGACACCATCATGTCTATGACCTGTCGGATTGGCAAGTTGAGACGTGGCGATAGTTAAGAATTTAGCGACCAGGCAGATTGAGTTGGGAAGGAAGGGGTGCATCTTGAAGAATGCAACACGAGGCAGCTTTTGGATGAGATGGACGACGTCATTTGCGGCCTGGTAGGCTGCTTGCTTATATGCCAATGCTAGCATTTGGTCATTAACGTTTTGCCAGAGTCTCTCCTCGGCTGTTTCGCTTAGCGAAATGCATGCGCTGTAGGCGAGGATGTGATTAAAGAAATCCATGGCATCACATTTTATTGAGGCGTCGCGTTTGCTAGACTGTGTTGGGAGAGGTGTCATTGTTGCAGCTGTGGCGGCTGAGGCTAGCCATTCGTGTCTTGTCCAGAAGTCTTGGGATTGCGACTCCGGACCTGGGGTTGGGATTGATTGTTCTAATCGTCGGTGCGATAGACAGTGGCCATATAAATTTGCAAGCACGACGCATTGAGCGAATGATGGGAGTGAGGCATATTCGTTGGTGTTGCTCATTGTTTCAGAAAGGAATCCCATGGGAACGGGGAACTGGCCACTCTGGAAATCCGTCTCGGGCATTGGGAGACGTGTTTGAATCTAGGGGCAGCCAATCAGTGTTGTGTTCAATTTGGTCCTAGGGGGTCAGGAGAACTCACCATTTCTTCGTGCAGCATCGATGGTCGGTCGTTCAGCATGCTGGATAATCGGTCGAAAACGAATGCGGCCCAAAGCGTCCGTCGCTTCTCCTCGGTCTCCATCCAAGATTCATTTGTAATGGCCTTTGAAGTATATGGAGATGTGCCGGGATTTGAACTTGCATAATCACTCGGCGGCGAGGCCTCGATGTTAGGCATGTCAATCTCAATTATGGAGGAGAACTGAAGAAGCGTGAATGCGTGCCCGGCTGTGAGAAGAGCTTCCTGCTCTGACTTGCGCATGAGCTCGCAATGGGCAAGGAGAAGCCATGCTGCAACCACCTCGTGATCCACTCCGCTACTGGAATCCCTGGGTATTGCCATCCAGGGAAGGCCAGTCTCGCCAGGTACCTCCTGCATCTCGAGCATGCGGCGGGTCCGCGCATACAGGGGCTCAGTAAAGGTGCAGAATTGAGAGGACATTGCCGCAGCAATGGTTCGCATAGCTGATCGTAAGCAGATGCGAGAAGGTGAGACATTTTCATTATTGGCCCATGAGAAATACCGCTCCTTGTGGATTATGGGAACAATAGGATGCACTCGCTCAAAATATAGTAGGTCCCTATTGGCATGGGCTGTTAGCTATCATTTTGCTCCTGTTCGGTCTTGGTGGGATCTATCATACAGATCGGCAAGCATAAGATCTGACATGTTCAAATCTTCTCCGAGAGTCATCTGGTTTATAGGCGTCTGAGCAGGTGACATTGGTGAGAGAACGCCTAAACCGAGGCCGTGCATATTTTGTGAGTTGGGCGTAAAGCTTCCATTTGCAGTCCATGAATTAGCCCGACAGGACGCCAGCGTCCAATCTGTCGGTCGTTTTAATTCGGTTAAGTCGATGGAAACGGACCGTGGCGGCATTTGATACGCATCCATGTCAATCCCGATTGGGCCATCGTAGGAGAGCTCACTCGGATCTTCGAGTTCTGGAGTCGACATGCCATCATCGAGAGGTCGGTCCTGGCTGATCAATCGTTGTTCGATTTCCGCTGCATTAGACGCTATATGTCAGCGGATGCTCCCTTGGCATAGAGGTGAGAGCCTGACTTACCAACTCGAGACCGCAAATCCTTCAACTGACCCTTCTTAGGCCCTCTGGGGGCTCTCTTGTCCACAAAAACACATTCCCGACCCGCATCCGCGCAGATCCCACATTGAGGGCGCCCGCGATCACATCGTGCCTTCCGTCGGCGACATTCCTCGCAGGCCAGCCCCGGTTGCTGCCTTGCCATGGCGAATGTGAAATAGAAGGATGCTTATTCGATAGAGCAGTAAGCAACAGTAGAACGAAGTTCGTTTTTCGTTATTCGTATTTGTGTGAGGGTGCGTTTAGGTGCGTATCAGCGTATTTGGAGATCGGCGAGGTAGATGGGGAGATCTTATATTCCAGCAATAATTAGAAACAAACCGCAAATCTACCGCGTGGGAGCAGGTGGATCGGAGATCGCCAGTACCAACCCCTTTCCTGCCCGTATATTCTAAGCCTCTGGGGCGCTAGCATTGGACTACTACGACTACTTAGGGGCCGAATGCATTGACTGTAGATCCACTCAGACCCCCACATGAGGATTCCAACAGTTGAATTTGTCGGAGTTTTCTTTCTAAAATAGTACTGGAAACAATGTTAAACATGTTTAGCTCATACGTGGATTTAGTCGAGCATGTTCATGATGCCAATCTTTGTTTGTTCCGACCTTTTACCGTCAGGAGGTTGGAGATTCCCCTCTGTGGAATTCCGCTGACTTAGTTTGGAATAACCTAAATTAATCTTGATTTCTTTTGTCTATGATCATGACGTATCTATACCGGATACCGATGGAGTCCCACGATAGCCCCTACATGATGATATTGTAGCTATGTCATATGTGCAAGGGTTTGAAATCATGTACATGGACCCTTGGAAGCTTCCACCCCCATTCTCAGCCCATGAGCTATTGCCATGTAACTGCAGAAAGTGGCAAAATCCAGGCTCCTTAATGTGGGGCAAGAATCCTGTTGTTACAGTATGGCTCATCCTTGGGGCCAGAAATGCATCAGCAGCACCACACTCCACCCCCACAATCCGGCCCCCCTAAAAAAACGGCCCAGTGGAAATTTTAACGAGTGTTTGTCACCATTGGCCGCTCTAAAGGAACCTTGGTGATTCGGCTTTAACCTCTGATTAACCCGAATTTGCTTACATTATACCACATAAGCAAATCCCGAGGCGCAGGTTAAAACTCTCTATAAGGTAGACACGATGATAAAACCGTATCCTGAAACATCCCTATGATTTGAAATCCTACTAGTAATTGCATCTCAGTCAGCCGAATCTCAGCCTCTTATGTGAGGAAGACCCAGCTAGTACGAATTAAGGCACATAAGAAAGCGCAATTAAGCCACTGCGTAATGAGATTTCGATATGACATGCTTGAGTGGCTTGTCTTTTCTCATAGACTAGGCCAGAAAGGGCATATTGTCCAGGAGACGTCGTTATCATAAATAGCAATGCACAGCTGGGATCTTGTTGGCTAGATACGCCCGGAAATGAATTGCATTTGTAAAGTTGCATCCCGCTCAGCTTTCTGCAATCTTCTAGTCCGGCCAAGGTAGAACGGTTGAACGGTAGAAAGGTAGAACGGTGCCGTCCGCTGGTGAGGCTGATAGGAGAATTATAATTATTGATATACTAGCAGGGGTAGTAATGCAGGATCTCAGAACCATAATTAGAAGAACAGGGGTGCTTAGAACCAGGGGTGCATTGTAAAGGCGAAATGCTCGGGCTTACCCGATAACACGTGGTAGTGCATACCTTTTGCTTCACCATTTTTGACCGGAGTTTATCATGTCAGAACCCTGTGAGATAACCCATGCAAATGCTTTCCCACAGTTTTCATTATGTGAATACTACAAAGATTCAATTCTAAACCAGCAAAAACATCCAGTACAAAAAAATTTAAAGAAACCAAGGAAATCAGAGAAGAAAGAGGGGAATGGTCGGTTCGCTGTTAACGTTCTTCAAAACACATCTTCCAGCCCCCAACTCTCTGCAGATTTAACGTTCATCTAGTTGTAAACGAAACATGCAAGTGCTTCCAAAAATACCTGACCCAAAGCGCGTCTTGGCAACTGATCAACCAATCAGCGTGTCCGAACCTAGCTCCTCCCCGATATGAATATTTGTTCGTGATTTTACAATTTCTCCTCATTTGGGGGCGAAAGGATGCAACAATCGAACCCGGTTCATGCATTCAACCAGTTATAGAAGCTGTACTCGAGCTTCTATCGTCGGTCCAAAAGATGAAACAGCCACCGACGTTTGAACTTGGCTCCAACTCTTAGTTACGCTTAATTTCTCGGCGATGGATTGGCAAATTCCATAGTCAAGCATCCTGCACGCACCGCTGCTTGCAACCTACCCCATCTAAGCACCACCATGCGACAATGGCGTTAGCCCAAAGATGAAACAGCCACAGGGATCCGAGGCATTCTGCCCGAACTATTTTCATCAAGGGTCGGCGATGCCGTGAACGCCACGGGTACCCACCCTGCAGACCTTCAAGTTACAACGTATACTATAATGGGAACTAGTCAATAGTTCTTGTCGCGTTTTCTTTAATGCCAAAGTGACTATGGAGAATGTACGTACAGTGTTACTGTGAAGAGCGGGAATTGGTCTCTGACCCGTGGGTGAGTATCTTCTGCCCGCCGTGGGTCAACTAAGAATTTAGTCAACAAATGGCCCCTCTTTCAACTCCACCAACAACACATCAACACACCGCAGACTTGGACTAGGATTTCAGAAGACAGGACATAGAGATCACAGTTACATTGTGATCCAAGGTCTGATCTGATCCCTGTAAGCGGGGGTCTTTTGTGTGAGTAACAAGAGAACTCAAATTAGATATGTAAATTTAACTCATGCGATGGGCTCCACCAGGGGGGTATGAGGTGTGTTTTGGTCGCATTCCGAGTGTTCATCTTGACCTATCCTTGTGTAACCCCCATCCAACCAGAATTCAAACTTGACTGGCCCCTGCTGCGGGTATGATGGCTCTGAATTAGCTTTTCTGTTGTACGAGTCTTATATTTAGAACAAGCCATTTGCTATTGCACGTTTTGTGGGGAATTTGCTGGGGGCCAATGTTTATGCTGGCTTGTGAAACATAACTGATGCTACCGACTCTACCAGGGGCTGTTCAAATCGATGAAATGGTCAATTGGAAATAAGTGCGAACTTGAAGATTATATCTAGAGGGCATTGGCATGAGCTCTGGGTTAAGAGTGACTTTTTGGTCTGTGATTACACAAAGGCTTCGGTACGTAGTCAATGCTGTCAGAGGACGATTTATATTTGGAAGTCGCCATGGCTTCAAAACTCCTACCTTTCGAGCAAAGTTATATCTTTGGAGTAATAATGCGAGGAGTCCACTCATTATCTAGTAAACGAGTCAATTAATGCTATCTAACGTCCTATTCCATATTTTCCAAGGTCTCACTAGCCTTTAGGGCTGTGTATGTATCAACCTTGGAAGTAATTAGTACCATCGGGACGTTGAGTATTGGAATAATATTGGAATCTTTGAAGTTCAAATCACGAAACAACCTGAGCCAGAAGAGAGGCTCGTGGTTTTTGCGGTATTGGTGTTGACCCTTGAGCGGTAACTTGTCTAGTACATCCAGGTCCTTAGGCTAAGTATAAATTAGGCCCTGAGATTGATTGATGCTGCTACGGGCGACAATATATCTTGAACACACCTGGGCACGGGTGGGTGACTTGAGCTGTGCCCATGTTAGGTGAACATAATTCCGGCAAGCAGATGTGCCTACAGGTATTGGGCACGTATGTACTAGGTAGGATAATATACTACGCATAAAATATCCGTAGCCCGGAAAAAAAAAATCTCTAAGGGTCTATCATCTTGTGGCACGTCTCAAAAACTACGATCGAGTTGAACGATAACAAAACAAGAATTAAGAATGGGCATAGAACAAGATTTCTGGAATTGATCTCATGCAAAAGACATGAATCATTCCCTTAATTAAGTTCCTAGTAACACGCAGAATGCTCGCTTCGAAACTGGGAAGCAACAACCTTGGAATCTTAAAGCTTCAGAATGGCTGGTGGCGGTACACCGCCCTCGACAACGAAATCAAGGATGTGTTAGATGAATGTCCCAACAAAACTCAATCAAAACAGGGATAGAGGTTGAATAATCCCTTGGTCAATATTTGGACCCTTGAATGAGGACCAGGGGCATGGAGTCATTATCAATCAGTGTCGCGGCTGTATCGGGTACATCGGCCTCTGCTGCCCTGCTTCGCGCGATGAGGAATCGATCTACAGAGATGGCTTCTCCATGCCAAAATGCACCAAGTTTCCAATCAGAACATCCCTACGTAGATCCGTGATCAAACATGCATCATCGTCAAGCCCGGTTTCCTAGCGATCCCAATTATAAGCTCCTGTCCTGTTGACGTCATAGCAAAATAATCTCTTTGCTCCACCGGTTTCTCAGATGATTCGGCTTGTAAGTCATCCGAAGGTTTGTGTATGCAACATACCTGTATTTTTGGGAATTAGATATGTCTGATCACTACAGGAAAGGAAACAATCGTCCCATTGGGGGGAGTTGATCCGTAGTCAAGCATTACAACTCGCGGGATCTACCAGAACAAAAATGGGAGGGGAAAGCAGGATGACATCTGCATGACAATCATTTCTCCTCAATTAACTTGCTGTTTTGTCATCCCGTTGGTTCCAGGCTAAGGCGAACGGCACTTGATAATCGATCACTCCTGTTGACTGCCGGACACCTTCCAGTGATGGAAATTGCATAGTTGATCTGTCACAGCTTCATTGACCTCATAATCCACTCTCATAGCCAGGTGTGTCTATTTGACTGATTACTGATGCCGCGCTATGCCGTACCTGCATCACGCACCAATGACTGGACGATCAGCAGCCAGCTGTGCAAGCAGGGCAGGCAATGGAGGAGACGCACTTATATAAACCAGCTCTCATTCCATGGGGAAAATGCTACACTTCAGGTTTCCAAGTTTCCAAGTTTCAAAGTCAAATCCCACTTGTGATACGCAATGGCGAATTGGAATTCTGCACTCTGGTTAGGAGTCTTGGGCATTATGCCCTTGGCTTCTGCATCGCCACTTGGTCTATCCGAGCCTTCAGCTCCTCCAACTGCCAGCCACCCGGCCTCTCTTCCACATACCCCGTTCACCGGAACACCAACAACCACTGGTGCTCTGACGGCTTCCTCGATCGGAACGGGTATCGTCGAATCCGCCAGCGTAGCCCCGGCTGAAACAACCTACGTAAGCAACGGAGAGCTTCAGAATGCCGAGCCAGCACCGTACGTCCCAGCTGGAGGTGTCGGGACCGAAGGTCAGATTCCCGTATACAACGCCAAAAGCGACTTCGACTATGAGTCCCTGGTAAGTCTCTCCTCTTCCATCCACGGCCACAACAAACGCTAACTAAGTCTAGGCACTAGCCCTCTACCAAGAATGGATCGAACTCGATTTATTCCAAGATGGTCTCCGCCGTTTCTCAGCCAAAGACTTTGAAGACGCAGGTCTCAATGCCGCAGACCGCGACTTGATCGCCTTCATGGCGGAGCAGGAAGTTGGCCACGCAACTCTAATCAGCAACATGCTCGGTGCAGACGCGCCTAAGCAGTGCCAATACGACTACCCTTACACCAATGTCCAGGAATACCTTGACTTCTGTCAGAAACTTACTCGCTTCGGCGAGTCGGGTGTGTACGGGTTCCTCGGGCATCTCGATTCCCGTGAGGCTGCTACGCTGCTCACGCAGTCTATTACCACTGAGGCGCGCCAGCAGATGATCTTCAGACAGTTCGAGGGATTATTCCCCATGCCTGTTTGGTTTGAGGTTGGCGTTCCACAGTCGTGGGCTTGGACTCTCCTCGCGCCTTACATCAGTTCTTGTCCAGCTGACCAGACTCGACTGGTCTGGCAGAACTTCCCTGCATTGTGGATTGAGAATCAACCGACTTTGGCTAATGCTGGGAAGCATAACAATGGAACTGCGTTTAACAATACGTTGAGTCCTGGTACGAATGTTGCGAAGTCTTCCAGTAAGGAGAACCCTAACTCGAAGAATGGTGCTTCTGGAGCGAGTGTCACGCCTGAGAAATACTCGCCTCTTTCTTTCCCTGGCAGACGGGTTGATTTGAGGTGGGAAGAGCCTGGGAAGGCTGTTGGTCCTAACAACAGCTATGTCACTTCGACGCAGGCTGGGGAGGCCAAGTTTGTTGCTTGGGCTTCGCAGTTGAATCTCACCTATACGCCGTTGCTTGGTATTAATGGTTCAAGTGGATACACTATTCAGCCTGATATGGAGACTTATGAGGGGGATCCGGCTGTCAATGGCACCATGTTTATTGCTATCACTGACTCGGATACCTTCTTGACTCCTTTCAATTTGAGTATGATCAATACTCATGTTGTTGCTGGTCCGGCTTTGTACCAGGCTGATTAAATTGGGTCAAAGTCGGATGCTGGATATATCGAGGGTTTTTTTATCTATTTTTGTATCTAATGGACCTCTTGATATTATGTATCACTTGAGCTTCCCCTAAATTTCATCAGGTTTACTAATGCTACAAATTGGCATGCTCATGGAAACAGGTACGTGGCTGGTACCGTCTTTGCCACCGTAGACTGATTCCGCAGCCAATTGAACCTACATTTCTCCCAGTTAATGAGTGATCGGCTACAAAGTACAAGTATAATCCAGAACTTGAAGTCTAAAATACATATCCATTAATACGTGCCAGCATAAGCCGATGCCATTCAACGAAAGGTTAGAAAGAAAGAAAGAATAAAAATTGCTCATAATGCAAGATCAGATGCAGAATCAATTGAACGAAGGAAATGGTGGGAATATATGCATAAGAATAGGAAGAGAGAAAAAAGAAGCCCAAGACCAGAGGATTATCACAGTACAGAAACAGATCCAGCATGCTGGACTGGTCTGCCAAACCTCAAGAGAGATGGCGAGATAGAAAGGAAGGGGAGAAGTTCGGAGGAAGGTATAGAGGAGACTCAAGGAATCATCAGAGGTCGTTGGGTTTTGAAGCAGGTAATGTAATGCAATGGAATGTCGAGAATGGAGCAGAGAAGCGGCGCTCCAAAGAAACCGCGGACAATCAGTTGAGAGAGAAATGAATAAGAAGAAATTGGGACTGATTCCCTTTTATGCTGTGAAAGGTCGAGTTCACGGCCACCAGCCCATCCGCTTATAGCTCTCCACCATCTCACGTACGCTGTCAGCGTCAAACTTCTCGTACTTAGGCTTCCAGCCTGTTGTCTTCTCGAAGAACGTGCCGTCGATAGACATATCCTGGTCCTTAAGAACATCGAGCTCAAGGAAAGGACCGATAGGACCGGGGCGCTCAATCTTGCTCTTCTCGATCAGATCCGCCCACTCTTGCAGACTAACCTCGTTCATGTCGTCAACCGCATCATCCAGGCTCATCTTGGCTAGAGTCGAGACGATCGAACCAAGGAACTTGACCTTCAAGTTGAAGACCTCAGCCAAGGCATTGGCCAAATGCTCTTGTTGTGTATCGTTGTGGTCCACCACGTTGAATGCGACCGGCATCTTGGGGTCCCGGAACAATTCTGGTACCTTAGGGTCGCTCCTGTCCAGCTTGCCCAGTTGCGCGCGCCATTCCGCCGCCTGCCACAGCGCGCTGGCGGCATCGCGCACATGCAGTGTGTTAACCTTCAGATCCTTAGAGTATAGCAGCTCGAGGTCCTGTCCCAATTCCAAATGCACGCGGGCCAAGCAAATTGCCATGCCGAAGTAGCCCGCATTGTATTCACCATAGACGTGGGGCATCCGCAGCGCGCAGTACTGCAGGTCCGGAATCTTGAGCAATTCCTCCGCGGCCTTCAACTTCCATTTGGCCAGTTTGTGCCACGGTTGCATCTTATCGGTCTCCTTACGCGGAGACGAGCCGCTCTTGTAGACATGCGCGGTGGAGGTTTCAACGAAAGCGCGGATACCGCGTCGGGCGCACTCTTTGCCGAGGGCAATACTAAGGCCGCAGCTGCGTGCTTCGTACACGTCGTCGGGCTGGGAGTGACGGGTCTCGCCGCCACAGTTGATCACATAGTCGAATTGTTCACCATTGGGTCGATCGAAGATTCGCGGCAAGTGCTCTGTTCAAGTTTATGGTAAATAAGAAACCGGTTTTACTTGCTTTGATTTGTTGTTTTGAACTGCTATTTCCGGAGTGAGGGAGAGCGCCACTTACGTTCACGACTGGCGTCGGCTTGCACGAATTTGTCTTGAGAGCATGCCTGTTCGAATTCGGGAGCCAGGCGAGCCAGCTGGGGGAGGACTTTGTCGACCAAGCGGACCTCGGAGGCCAGGTTATTTTGATGGATGTAGAGCGCCAAGTGGCGGCCGATGAAGCCTAGGATGGTTAGAGCGGGTGTAGGGATTGGGGGGGGGTGTTTCACGAACCGAGACCACCAATAATCAGCACGGTGGGCTTAGCGTCGGCCATAGTGACAAAAGCAAGAAGAAAGTACCTGCTTTGTTCAATAGGGGGAGGGGGAAAGATGAGAAAAGGGAAAGGTTAAAAAAGGAGGGGGGGAAAGGTCCTCTCCACTGTAGAAAATTCGCGAATGCAGTTCCTTTTCTCCCCTGCCAAGCCATAGCGCCCTAGTGACGCCGTTGATCTATAGTTCCTTAAGTGGATTGATTCTAGTGGAGTTTGATATCCTAGCAAACGAAAAAAGATGAAAATCGCTGACGTCGTGGAACTGCTGGTGTCGGAGGTCCACGGATGCGCCATGGTACTGGGAACTGATCGCCCCGAGACCCATTGTTCCGATCTGAGGGTCTTTCTTTGGTGCATCAAAACATATTATTATTCCTATGATCGATCTATCCTTCCCTAATTACTTTTCAATTAGCGACCGGAGTATTTCTAACTGATCGTCCTTCTCTTCTGCGGGGCTCGCTTATGATCTAAGCATGGATCGGCCACAGAAAACGGGGATTATGAGACAACGCCCTCCAATGAGATGTTTTACTACTTGATTGGCGAAAATTATACACTCACATTGTTGGCAGATGGCATGGTATGTTCAAGGGTCTCGAGAAATTCTCCATTTACTTCCGCTCCCGCTCCCCGCAACCCGCGAATTAATCTCAATTATCAGTGTCTATACTAGAAACAAGAGTTTCACGACTCACGCAATCTTGCCTTGGCGTATCGGCAGGTATCCACATTGGCAGAGTACCCGGTTTGCTACCCGGTGGTTCATTAAGACCTACTCAGATAGCCCTAAATACTCCGCTATCCTTTATATTTTTTAATATGTCTTGACTGGATTCGGATTAGTAAGTTAAGGGCATGTATTTCAAAATGAGCAGGGGTCAAATTATAATGTCTCTGGATGCTAATGCCTCCACTTCATATCGTATACAACTTTAGGAAGCATGAACCTACAGTAAGGTTGAAAGGCAATGGTTTAAAGATTAGAGCTTCGTACCTATTGAGTACTAGACACCTGGAATTTCACATAAAAAAAAATATTTTCACGCTATTGGGAATAACTTAATCATGTAAAAGCAATTGATATCCACATTGGAGTTTATTACTCTGCCCCGAGGTATTTGAGAGAGTTCTTCAATTCCTTAATCGCTGTGTGAACGTCGTCAAATGTCAGCGCCGAGACTGCCCATCTGGCATGTTTCTGAGCAAGGGTAATGGCATTATCATCCACCGAGTGGGACGGTTGGCTCGAAGCGGCCGGCGCTGGAGCTACAGGGGGAGTAAATGCAGGCGGTCCAGCGGGGACAGCTGCTGGAGCCGGAATATGAGCACTGGCAGTTGATGCATCGTAGAATGAAGCTGGGTCGGGTCCGGCGACTGGTGGACTCGAGGGAGGGGGAAGGATTGGAAGGCATTTGGTGGAGCCCTGTTCGTGCTAGCAAATCCAGGTGTGTCTGGTAACTGCGGGATAGAGCCTGAGTTCCCAATTGTGCTCGGGGTTGAGGGAAGCTCAAGGCCGCTGGACTGGTTATCAAGGTCCATTTTCTGTAGCGGAGAACCTGGGGCATTCTGTGGAACCGAAGGGATCTCAGGTGGTGTTGCAGTAGCAGATGGTGGCAAGGACGATGTTCGAGAAGGGTGAAGGGACTCGTCAAGCGATGATTGATGGGCCATATGCCGCCCAAGACGATCGGACTCATCGGGGATCTCCTCCACGGATGCTTGTCTCGGTTTGGCTGCTTGTTCTGCCACGGAGTCGTCAAAGGCCTGAATATCCGAGCTCTCAACTTGAGCTTCCTCCTCTTCCTCTTTTGGTGCAGGATTCGAAGCATTGGGGTCTTCTCCCGCTTTAATAGCTTTCGTGATGCGGATTGCATGGTATTTGGAAAATTTGATGCGCCCGGCGATCTCTGGGTCCATATCTCCCCATATCTGGCACAGCTCGAGGAACGTAGCCGCTGCTAGGAATGTATCACCTGTTTGTCTGACAAGAGAAGTATGAGTGCCGTTCAAGTCGGTAGGGCACCATAGAAGCTCACCTGGTGACTTTATTAGCAGTCATGGCTGCCTGGGCGCGATCGAAAACTTCCACTCCAAACTGCTCCACATATGCATTCGCAGCGACACTATCCGTAATGGTTTCATTTTCTGGGTTCTCGTTCTTGAACTATTCTCAATATCCAGAGTCAGCATGTAGAATTTACTGGCGGGGAGCGGGGAGCGGGGAGGGCGGCGGCGCGACGGACCTGTTCCAATTTGTCCATCAGATCAACGGTGTATAATTTGACTTCATCGCTGGAGTTGTGAAGCCCTCGGGCGATTATTTGGTTCACGATATGGTAATTACCTGTATTGGCAACCAGGGTTAGCTCAGTGTCTTCGGCGCGGGGGGCCAATACTCACACCAGTAGGCAATGACTGGCTTCGCCTTCTCAATCTGCGCCGCGCGCAGAGCGAAGCGCCCAATATCAGCGGATCGCACACTTGCTGGGATGCTGCTTGCCATTATCGAGGTTGCTGAAGAAAGGGGGTGGGAGTGGGGAAAGCAGCCTAAACCAGATGACGTTTGAAGCTCGGGATAATCCCACCGCCCACGGTACTCGTGCGGAGATAAAGCAGCTTATCTACTTCGGGCGATCTATAGGTGAAATAGAACAACTTGTTTACTCTAAAATGCTTGGTTGCAAATGTCTTCTCATTGAAAATGTGGATTTATTTTACTTGAATTAAGCATCTTCTACCACCCATTCGCCAATCTCCACTCGCTCCTCAGCAAGCGCCTCGACCTCAAATTGGTCTTCCACCTGGCCTCCGGGTCCTCCGACCCTCTCAATGACAATCCACACCCTGGTCGGGGAGTCGGGTAAATCAAAGTCATCAATACGAACGCCTGAAGCAGCGTCGCAATGAGTACCGTCTTCTGAGGCGGCAAGGATTTCTTTATAAGGTCCTTGTCCACGTTCCACGGTCATCAATACAGGCGAAGGCGCAACTGACCTAGACTCGATCGTAGATTTTTTGTTCCTTGCAATGAGCTTGATCCGCGTCAGACGAGAGACTTGTAGTGACGCCATCATCCGGTCTTTTCCCGGAAGGAGCACCCCGACCTTAGACAATGTGACCCGGCGACCGGCAGATTCCGAAGCCAGTGGTTGTACCACGCAAGGAATATCAGACGATATCCAGAGTGTGAAGCGACCGAGCTGGTCTGGGGCGAAGGTTGAGCAAACAACTGTGTATATACCCCTTTCGAGAGATCTTGTTGCAGCCAAAGCGCATCCTCGGCGGTAGTCACCGCTATCAGCGATCATGTCTCGGCTGCGAACTCTTGAGATACGCTGGCCATTGGACCAGAAGATTTTGACGTGGGTTGCAAGTTCGGAACTATTGGATTCGAGGACGATGGAGACATCCGTCCTTTCCGAAATCTGGAGACTGAACTGTGGATTTGACGAGTACCGAGCCGACTCTGCGTTGCCGCCAGCAGTCAAGGCAGTCCAGCAGCCACTTGCTTTATTGAGACACGTATACTTGTCCCTTGAGGGTGCGAGTGACACAGGAGAATTTGATAGCGCAGAGAGTGTGAAGTTTTGACTGGAGGATGGTAGCGATTGTTCCGAGACGACCACCGTATAGATTGTCCTCGGAGGCATGTCTAATCTCATGAGGGTATTCGGGGAGTCCACATATGGTCCACGATGAAGTGCTCCATCGCTGAGGGAGACTCTCTTGCCATCTGCCTTGAATATGTAGATGCTGATGAATCCCTGTTCATGTTGCGACTCCTTGCCCTCGAAGGTATGGTGATCGGCGTTCTTGAAATGCTTTCCTAGGAGAAGCCAGACTTTACCTCCAGTTTCACTGTATATTGAAAATTGCGGGTTCTTGACGAAGCATCCAGCAATAACGCGGCCCTGTGATAGATCCCAGGTGAAATGTATATCCTCACGATGCTTGAACAGGCCAGGATTCCAATTAAGGTAGAGATGCTCGAAATTCTGCAACACCTGTTCGCAGTCCATCCAGAACGTTCCTGGTGATAGAGGCGAGGGTGGACTTGATGATTCCGACGGATCAGGGCTTCTACTCTGCACGGTCGGCTCAGCCCCCGCCCATGGGTTTTTCAATAAGAACTGGCGACGTCCATTTGCTTCTTTCATATGTAGAATTGCATAATCATGCTCACTGACCAAGCCCAGACCTTGTTGTTCTAACTCGGTCAGCTTGCCTGTTCCGATCGTCAACACGACGTCGCCATTGGAAAACGACGGGTACACCCGCCCCCAAATCTCATCAGAGGTAGCATCATCATGGTGCAGGAAAACTTGCTCGGGAATCCATCCTGTCAGTACCCAAAGATCTGTCCCTGAGTTGCTTCCAGGAAAGTCATAACCGCCACGAATCTTGAGATAGGCCTTCTCTACCAGGGCTGGCCACAAAAAATTGGGGTTGTTGCGGTCAATGACGTGCAATGATCTTGCAGTATTGGAGGATGGCAGTCGGTCGTCGATGACCACTTTCCGAAAGCATCCGTTGAAGTAGAAAGAAAAAATGTATTTTCCGGATGGCGAAAGCTTCGGTACAGTGGAGTCATTTTCGCATGGATACACCACTGGGGAGGCGTGCTAGTTTCGTCAGTCTAGACCTGGCAAATTTGAAAGGTAGTACACACCATACCCAGACCACGCTCGGATCGTGAAGTCGTTGCGCAAAGACTGGCGACCACGGAGCAATCGGTCAGGACGTCTTGTACCAGATCGGTTGTTTTCGTCACTGCCATAACCGGTTCAACTGGATGGGATTGGTCTGCTTTGTGTCTTGTACGAAGCAAATCTGCTGGCCTCCTCCATCCTGCGAAAATATCATGCTGGCACTCGGAGAGGTGCAGATCAGGCGAATCCCTTTAAAGAGTCAGGATTGATCATGACACGGCATTGTCAGTACTTACGTGAACGGCCCACCATCGATCACAAATTCTTGTGGGGATGGCGAACTTTTCCATGGTGGGAAAATGAAGCCATTGAGCTTCGCGCCCTCTAAAATAATGATTTCCTCACGGGTGGTGAGTTTCCGCTTGGACGCGGGGGCCCGCAGACCGGTAATGCTTCTTGCGCGGGCAGCCGATTGCCAGTCCTCCGCGGCTTTGATCTTTTCAGCCCGCGTGAGGAGCTCCTTACATTTAGAATCGAGGATTTTTTTGTCCTCCAGCGAGGCAAGGTTCAAAGCTCGCATATAATGTTCAGCGGCATCGATGGCGGCCTCGAGTGCCGCCTTTTGAGAGGTCGCGGTAGCTATGGCTCCTTCGGCTCTCTAAATGCCGGTTAGCCGCTCCGTGGGGCTACAAACGATCGAGGGGCTTGCTTACCCGCGCTTTCGAGACATGCGATCCCTGCGTCGGGACACTGGGTCTGGACATGCTGGATCTTCGGATCGAGATCGAAAGAGCTGTTGCGCGACCTTGGGTGGTGGTTGGGGGCAGACGCGCCCCGCATAATCGGGTCCGGCAACGGTCCACTCCGTCCAAGTCTTGTGTCAACGCTACAGAACTTTCAATACAACATTTTCCAGGGTTCCATGGGCTATTATGTACCTTTGCCGTATCTAATTTCCCGGATACTGGTAAATGCATCTATGTTGCACTAAGTAATCTTCATCATTCAAGAATTGGTTGTCAAGCAACCTCTGAGTGTGTGACTTATATTGTAAGGATCCAAGATTCTACTTTGTCTATCCAATGTCACCAGATCTGAACTAAAATAGGTATGAAAGGCCCAGATTTAGGTATGAATCTTAAGATTTTTCAAAGTTTTTGCAACCAAAGGCAATTTAGCTGTTAGCTGTTAGTCGAAAACAACCTTATAATCCTTTCACTTTGATCATGAAGATATGGATCCACGGTTCTAAGGTGATATACTAAACATTGTCTTTCGAGATATCGCAAGGCTACCTGGCAAGTGGCTTCGTAGTCAACCGAATATCAAGAAACACAGTCTTTGGAACAGTATATGTACTCATTACTGTGATACGACCTTAAGTAAGTCAATTGATATATGAGACGACAGACCTGATCATGAAAGCGGTGGGAGCTGGCAGAAATTAAAGTCACCAAGCCCCACCGGCAAAGAACTTCGGCTATAAGATAGGCGCTGTCTTCACTGTAGATAGTCTACACTTGCTTCAACCAATCTTGTCTGTCTAATAAAGGTGCGATCTACAAGAGAATTGCTTCCTGTACTCCTTACCAGTGTATCCAAGGCACTCCGTCCCAGTCCCGTGGCCCACCAACCAAGATCAGATAATTCTGTCCGCATCCACAAGGCAATCTAGTGCCCGCTGACTAAGGAGCCGAGTGGACCTCGGCTCGTTTCGTCACCTCCAAAGCACCTCGGCGCTGCATGATGATCTTGTGGTCCGGTTACCAGGGTCTTGCACTTCGGGTGTCGTCGGTTACTATGTGCTAAACTCTGAAGATTCCGAGATAGTCCTGTAAATTTCCGATCCTCCGAATCCTCGTCTATCTCAACTCGCCTACATTCGATCTTACCGGTATTCGGACGGAACAAGCGTGGTCTTAGGTCCATAGGCCCCGCCCGGTCTCCCCTTTCATTCGCTTCGAGCTCGACCGTTTTTTACCCGTCTCCAACTCAGGCATCGCCTTAATCCGCTACATAAACACACTCCATGGCTGGTCAATCGAAACTTTCCCCATGGGGCAGCGCTGTTGCAGGCGCAACGGGCGCAGTGTTGGCGAATTCTATTGTATACCCATTGGACTTGTACGGACGGACCCCCGACTTCAGTGATTTCATTAACTGACCCCGCAATTTAAAAAACAGGATCAAGACGAAGTTACAAGTCCAAGTCAAAGCGAAGGATGGCGAGGAAGACGACAGCGAACACTATGAGTCGACTCTGGATGCTATCACCAAGATTGCGGAGAAGGAGGGTATCAGTGGCCTATACTCTGGAATCGCGGGCTCACTTCTAGGTGTGGCATCTACCAATTTTGCCTATTTCTACTGGTACAGCGTCGTCCGTACTTTGTACATGGCCTCCAGCAAGGCATCGAAGACCCCTGGAACGGCCGTCGAATTGAGTCTTGGCGCCGTCGCGGGCGCTGTAGCTCAGATCTTCACTATCCCCGTTTCTGTCATTACCACTCGGCAGCAGACACAACCCAACAATGAGAAGAAGAGTCTGTATGAGACCGGTCGGGAGGTGGTAGAGAGCGAGGATGGCTGGTCTGGTCTGTGGCGTGGCCTGAAGGCTAGCTTGATCCTGGTCGTCAACCCTGCTATCACCTATGGTGCTTACCAGCGACTGAAGGAGATTATCTTCCCCGGCAAGAACAACCTGAAGCCCTGGGAGGCATTTCGTGAGTTACGCCGGTTGGTTTTACCCTTTGACTGTGCACACTAACAATTGCAGTACTCGGTGCCATGTCCAAGGCTCTGGCGACTATTGCTACTCAGCCTTTGATTGTTGCCAAGGTTGGCCTGCAGTCTCGTCCGCCACCCGCTCGCAAGGGTAAGCCCTTCAAGACCTTCGGAGAGGTCATGAAGTACATTGTCGAGAATGAGGGTGTGCTTTCCCTTTTCAAGGGTATTGGGCCGCAGATCACAAAGGGCCTTTTGGTGCAAGGTCTGTTGATGATGACCAAGGAGAGGTATGTAATGGCTTGATTTGTCTGTCATGCAATGTTGCTAACAATGCTCCAGGATGGAACTGGCCTTCATCGTTCTTTTCGCCTACCTCCAGAAGATCAAGAGGGAGAAGTTGAAGAAGGCAGCCGAGGCTGTTGCAGAGACGGCCAAGACAAGCATGCCTGCAACTCTGAAATAATCTGTTTACTTACGTCTTTACTATACGCCCATTTACCCTTTTGTTTGTTTCTCCATACGGCGTGATGGCCTTTTTTCCTTACTGCAATGTACACGGATAGTCTAGACATTTCTCACCAAACTGTCCTTCGGGGGCTTTCTCTTGTATTGGACTTTAAAGATAGACTTGATTGTAAATAAACGCATAGTTTTAATCTTTGTTTTTTTCCGGCTTGGTCTATAATGCTTGGCACCAGAAGCAGTCTTGAGTAATTTCGAGGTTGTATTTCTCTTGCCCACTTCTTTGGCTTTGGAATATTTCTTCAAGAATCTGCACATATCTTTCAGTTCCAATACGTTCATACCCGACTGCCTAATTTATCAGGCCACAAGGCCTTTCCATGCTGGTTGTTATACTGGTAAGCCCTGGTACTCAATACAATACTATCTAGTCTTGCTGCACGATATTACGCATATGACAAGACAAGGACCACCAAGATGATATGTACATATTACACAAGGGTGACCTATATTGCCATGAAATCAAATGAGCGTATCAAGGTTGAGCGGCATCACTTGACGCCAAAGCTCGCTCGTGCGACTTCTGCTCAGCCTCAACGAAGCTAATAAAAGACCTCTGGTTGCGGTCTGCTTCTTTGCCGGCTGCTTAGTCAACCAGTCGGAGGGCGCGTCGATGGACCATCAAATAGGTAGGTAGGTAGCTGGTGGAATCTCATCAAGAGCCTCAGACTGTCGCGCTTTTACCGAATACAATACCGCTTTGGATAGTACTTTGCTAAAGCTGACCGCAGTCTAACACGAAAATTGAAGAGATAGCTTTTTCAATGAGGTTGAAGCATAGAAGGAAAGTCTCAAATACAACATTTTTTGCCATGGTGAGCATGCAGTTCTTGTTCTGCTAGATCAAACCATGGGTCGTTTTAGGAGGCAACCTTGGCAGAACACGGCACTCGAAGCCTACCCAGAGTAGATTGCTCAGATGTGAAAGATCATCGAATCATATTGAATTCCGACTTTACCCCCACGGAACCATAAGATTGCCTGGCCAGAACCATATCGAGGCCGAAGATGCCATTTCAAAGTTTGGCGCTGCTTGGACTATCGCAATGAACCAGCTGTTGGCAGAGGGGCTCATCACGCCTCATTTCTAATGGTGGACTTGGCAAGTGACTCGAAGCCGTCCATAATAGTCGAGGAAAGGTAAAAAATTCCGGGAAAAAGGGTCGTGCATGAAAGTGTATCTGTGCGAATTATCGAGTTGTCAATCCCATAGCTCTCAGTTCGAAAAAAATATTCTGCCTTGTACCATGTTTTACGATTCCTGAGAGTATGCAGCATGTCATGTTCTGGTCTCTGTCATCTGGAATTTGTAATTGGGATAGTATGGCAGAGTGATACATAATCAAAAGTGGGTGTCGCCTTAACGTGGGGCTAAATGGCTGAATTAGCTTGCATTTAGGGCCACGAGGATCCAAGGTTCACGAGGGTTCTCAGGCACGTGACCGAGCACGGAGCAGGGACCGCCTTCCGATATTACAAGAGACGGTTGGCGCACATTAACGCTGTGTGGCGCTTAATGGTGAACGCTAAACCACCTCATCTGCTACTATTGCCGACGAGCCGTAGAGGTCTCAGCTCGGCACAAGAATTCAATACCGAATTCAAGTGTGTGCAGAGACGCCACAGTTCAAATCTGCACGCTAGTGGTTCTAGACTGACTGCATTTTTGCGATTTTTCTTGCTTGGCATCTCGTATTGTGCTAGGGCCAAGCCACCTGCTGGGCTAGTGGACAATGGTCGTGGGGCACCTGCAGGTGAAATAAAACTTTGTCGATCGATGTCACCACTTCCTCGTTCCAGGTTTAGCTTGAAGTGGAGGCTCTATCCACTCTTCGTGATTCGCCACGGCGGACTTCCGTCCCGCGGCAGCAAATCAACCAACAGCTCCAACAAGCTGTAGTCTAGGCTAAACCAATCAAGTCATGGTAAGCGAGGCAGATTTCTGGAAAATTATTGGGTTCAGAGATGGCGGGCGGATTTCAGAATACCATATCTCCACGACTCCATCCGCGTCTCAACAGTGTTTTCCGTCCACTGCTGTTTCCTGAAACAGAACTAGTGCTTAACGCTAGCTGCAGCTAGAATCAGGGGAAGCAGACCCTCCTGAATTACAACAAAAAGTCCACAATCCCCCCTCTCCACGGTGACTCAGGTTAATGTTCTGAAACATCGACGTCGGCTTCGGCAGTTGACTTCGCTCTCAACCTTCACACCATGGCCATTTACACCGATAATGCCCCGTCTTTGGCGGGTAGCGCGATAATGTTAACTGTATTGGCTTTACTGACCTATGGCTTGCGAGTCTACTGCAGACTGACCCGCAAGTCATGGGGCGTGGAAGATTGGATCATGACCGTAGCATTGGTTGGTACCACCCCAGAAATTTTGCAAACTGCGGCTAACACACGATCGATAGATACCATTCGCCGTGCTAGTGGCAGGATCTGTTGGAGGCGCTTTCAATGGAATTGGAATTCGTAACTCGACCTTTGCAGAGCCTGGAAATGAAAAGTACGAGGCACAGGGAAAGAAGGTGAGCGTAGCTTTCATCAGATTGACCGACAATAGCACTGATCATTCAACTAGTTCTTCCTGATCTTTGAAGTTGGCTACTGCGCGGCCATCATTCCGATCAAGCTCAGCATCAGTTGGATGTTGATTCGAGTGGCAGGTGGCCGTAAAATGTACCTCTACGTACAATACGTTGTCATTGCCATATTCGTGATCATGAACATTATCGCTTTGATTTTCATTCTGATCAACTGCATCCCTGTGGAGTAGGTCTTCCTAGAATGTCTATCACAAGCAAATCGGGTGCTAACCTAGTCACAGAGCTGCTTGGAGCGATGAAGCTCTCGCGAATGGAGGCCACTGCCAACCAAGCTACGTCCTCGCCGATGTGTACTATGCGTGCACCGCTGTCAATATCCTTACCGATTGGGTGACAGCTTTCCTGTATGCATCCATTATCCGTCTACAAAATGTGGAAGATAAGAATCTGACATCAGCAACAGACCGGTACCTCTACTTTGGAACGTGCAACTCAATCGCAACACAAAAATTTCCATTATTGCCTTGATGGGCCTCGGTATCTTGTACGTGGTCATGCAGCCCCCTCTTCTTTTTATTCATTACTAACATCATGTCTTGTAGTGCATCGCTTTCAGCTTGTGTCCGACTCAAGTACACTGTCGCTCTCACCAATCAGAACGATTATCTCTTCGCGGTCGCAGATGTCGTTATCTGGGGATTCGCAGAGAACGGTATCGGTATGATTGTCGGAAACGTGGCAACCCTCCGCCCGCTATTCCGCATCCTTCGCGATGGCAGAAGTTCAGACTACAAGAGCTATCAACAGACTCCCCGATTCAAAAGCTCCCATCGCAGCGAGGGGGCTATCTTCTCCGGAAACTACGAGCTCAACGACCACGAGAAGAACCATATCACCACAACCTCCGTTGCAGACCACACAAGACGTGGTGGTAGTCTGAGCGACGGAGATAGTCAGAAGGACATTCTCGAGAACGGTCAACGACCTGGCCAAGCCGACATTGTCGTAAGCCGACAGGTTGTCGTGGCCTATGACTAAACTTACCCAAACTGGGCGGATGCCCGAAGGTCTCCGGGAGTATATACATTCCTTAATAATATCCAGGGTCCCATTTGCATCATTCTTTTGTACTTTTACTTTCTTGTTTATATCATTTTGCGCGAAGCTTCTGCATATGCGTGGGCATTATGCTAATCTCCCATGCTGATCAAAAGATTCGCGCACACGGCCTTTACGAATCTAGAATCTACATCTTCTTGCTAAGAGACAATACAATTAGCCATACATGTGCCAATAAAATGGAATCGACTTAAATGGTCAAAATGACTGGGATCTATCGATGTGCAGCAAAATTTACTTCATGGTGCCAAATATAGAAAAATTGAGCCAAGAATTCTCGAAGTCTGATCACCATGACAGGGTGGATACGTGTAATTTAATTTCCGACGAGCGGAAATGAAAATTGGGTTTTATGATAACCCCCGGGGGGGAACCTTATTAACGCCCTACAATTCAGTAAAAGTCACGTGCGCTGCAGCTTATCGGAGAAGCCGGCCTCGCTTCGGGGCTATGGCTACATAGACAACCTTGGAGCGGATCAACACTGAAAAAGGGGGGGGACCCACTAAGAGATCGTCATCTGCGTCTAGTATTATGGAGCTACGAGTACCTGAAAAGGAAAATTACCAGGTGCGGAGTTGCTCGTCTTATCCGGCAGTGCTTTATGTACTCGCCGCTCAAGAAAGATGACGAGGCCTTGGAGTCGTCATTAACGCAACGTACAGGAGCGGTCCAAGCCCGTGTGCATAATACTTCGCTTCCAAGAGGCATTTCTAGGCTCCCTTAGGATACCAACTGTATATTACGGGAGCATCTATACAACAAAAATGGCATTGTGGAAATAAGAAAATATCAGCTAAGTAACTTAGTTACTGACACTTGTTGACAAATCCAATCAATACACCACCGGCCAATCGCTTGGTACCCGAGGTCAATCTCTGCAATGCCACAGAGGTCTTGAAGTTCTCCACACCAGGGCACGCGGAGCACAAACCCCTATCAAAGACGTTCCAGGGGCCATTGTCTCCACTTCTATCCACATGTTTTAAATTTCCTCATGAATTATGTCGGTCGTTGCGGAGTGGCCGGCACACTTTGGGCTGAATAGGAAAATGGAGCCACATAATTTTTAATTGGATGCTCTGTAGCTTCGCCGTGGACAACTGGGATAAATTTTCCCATGAGGTGCAGGGGCTCATGCTGGAGTGAACGAAATTTTTCAGTAGTGCGATGGCCCTTCCTTTGAAAACATGCCTATAACGGGGTTCTTGTATGATTTCCCGTGGATCGGGAGCCACTCCAAGGACGGGCTCAATAGGCCGTGCACGCATCGTGCACGTTGGCAGCAGCAAGGGGCGGGACAGAAAGAACGCCCCATCTTAGACGAAAGCCTACGCTCCCCGCGTCATGCTGTCACAAAAAAACTCGAAAAATTAGGCAATTACCTCCCATGACTGAGTCTGCGTCATCGATAATGAGACACCTGTCGTTGGGACCGTTGTTCTTGTAGTCTCGGTGTGCTGCATCGATGGTATATGCGACTGTAAATCCAGTCCTCACAGGGGACGTGCATTGAGACAAAATTGACACTGCTCTAATGATAATTTGTCACCGGCTGTACTTGTGTCGTGAGAAGGACCCAGATGAACTGCCGAGCTGGCATCTGTGGAAAATCGCCTATTTGGCGCTGTAGGACTTCCTACTCGCTATAATGCCTCTGTAATGGACGTCGCTGGCGAGCCAGTCTGGAGTCCGGCTTCTCTTCTGTAATGTGTTTAGATCTGAACAGTAGACGTCCTATAGCTTTGCTTAGTACGATCGAGTTTTCTGATTGCCGAGATGAAAAACATAGATAAGTGCTCGACATTTTGAAGGTCGTGCTGGACCGGGTGGAAAGGAACGGTTCAACAACCTCTGCGGAACATCCTGCCTGTTTCGACACGTCTTTTAATGGGCTTTTGGGTATTACTCCTCGAATCCGATGTTCTTGAGACCACGCTATGATTGCCGCACCATTTGGATTCACATTACTTCTAAAACTTGATGAGCCGTCCACCGGCTCTGAGCTCGTGGCCCCGCCGGATTTAAGTTCATGATTTATTACGCTTCCCTCGCAAAGCTGTAAATGATGGTACATCTGCAGATCCGCAACCATCTCAGACGATTGCCATGGTCTACTTCTCTTCACTGCACACCAGTCAACCCTCAAGCTGAATGAGAGCTTGAACCAGAGCTATCCCCCTCACAAATGAATATTACAGCAGGATTTATATAGTGGTACAAATGCTTCTCGATGAACAAGCAATGGAGCATCTTCTTTGTCATTCCAATCCTCATGACTCTGTCGGTTGACAAGCGGATAGAGAGAACAACCACCCGGAAGAAGGACAGCAGCAACTCGAGCCGGGTATCAGGTTTGACTCTGGTTGGTTTGCTGACCAACTGGAAGTGATCAGAGCACTGCTGAATCAAGGCGCAAGTCAGACACTTGTTAATAGCGGTCAGGGCTTGGGCGAAGTACTACAACGATGCCACCATATTTAGGCGTTTATCAGTCAGAAGATGAGTTTGTAGTGACTCAACTGGCCTGCAGGCCTTCATTTAGTGGTGGAGCTTCTTTTTTGTTTTAAAATCGTATTCACGTACATTTTTTTTCTCATGACTCGCTGTCTTTGAAGGCTAGACTATATATCTCATTTATACTGTATTATGACCGAAACTTTTGAGATGGCATTCAGACTCTCTCGTTTAGGGCTATTTTCATCTTTTGTGTAAGTCCACACAAGTCCACACAAATCGACACTTCTAGCTTCATTAAGGGAAGCCATTGAGAGTAGCTACTCTTCACTATAAATACGGTGACGATGAGGATATATATATTGCGATATCACAACATTGGATAAGGAGCTCAGTGCTTCGTAACAGAGGTCACTGTTGTCGTCTAGCCAGGAAAAAGTCGGTGCATTTCGAGCACATACTTAAACTGGCCATGCAGGATATTATCTGCTCATAGTTCGCATGTTAGATATTTTATCTCACGTTTATTTGAATGGCCCTCTTAAAGAGGCGGCACCCCGGGCAGGAAAATCGCGGGCAGCAACATTCAATTTATGACTGATTCCCCGTTCGGTCCCAATAATTTGAATTTTATATTCTGCCATGACTTGAAATGTGATGCCGTGATTGATACCTTGATGCTCAATTTGCGTATCATCGTTCTTTACGTCTCACGGCCCAAAACGCATGGGTAGCTCATAGAAAGACCCAGGGAAATGCGGCTTGTAAGGACAGAAGAGAAGTCAAGAATCAGGAATAACTAGAAGAGAAGGGTTGACATTCGAAAAAGACCAGGGGGGTTAGTCGACTGCATCGCGCCTTTCGAATAAACGCTACGGAAAAACGCAAGACCTAGTAGATTGTTGCTGTGTAATTCAATACTACCTCGATGCAAATTTGCGAAACACTTTCTGTTGGAAAATTGTAACTATTTAGAAGAGAAAAAGAGCAATTCGAGGGAGATTGGTACTCCATACATAGAAGTCTCGTATCTGCGGCAACGATCGACGGCCCTCTCCTAAGCTCCCCCTCGGCGATCATTTCATCCCATTAACACCCACCACCTCCCCTCAACTCACTCCTCTCTCTGCGACAAGCAGGGGTATGGGCCGATATGCGATGGCCTCCATGGAGTTTCAAGTCAAGCAACGATGACCCACAAAACACCGCTTCCGAAAGCCCATCCTCCCATCCTACGCCCACACCACGATCACCCAGCTCTTTTCTCGATTGGACAGACTTCTTAGAACCCAGAACCATCATTCCTACCATCCTCCTCACAAGCGGTATCCTATTCAGCGTTCGCCTGCACCGCAGCTACCTCCGCCGCGTCCCTGACGCACCTAGCATCTCGCCAGGTTGGCTGCGTCGCCGCACGCTATTCGGGAAGGTAACCAGCGTTGGCGATGGAGATAATTTCAGGATTTATCACACCCCTGGTGGTCGCCTAGCTGGCTGGGGCTGGCTACCGTGGAAGAGGGTACCTACTACTAAAAAGGAGCTGAAGGATAAAACGGTTCGTTTGTTTACACATTGCGCCATGAGGCGTCAAACTTTGCTTTTACTAACAGAAACTTCTCGGCTCAGATCCACATTCGTCTAGCTGGTATAGACGCCCCCGAACTCGCCCACTTTGGTCGTCCTGAACAACCCTTTGCACGCGATGCCCACGCCTGGCTTACCTCGTACCTACTTGGCCGCCGCATACGCGCATCTATCTACCGACAGGATCAATACAATCGTGTTGTTGGAAGTGTCTCTGTGCGACGCGCATTTGATTTCCCGCCTTTTCGACGCCGGGATGTCTCTTATGAGATGCTGAAACATGGACTCGCGACTGTTTATGAGGCAAAAGTTGGGGCCGAATTTGGAGGTCCGGCGAATGAGAAGAAGTACCGCAGGGCTGAATGGTGGGCAAAGAAGAGATCTAAGGGCCTCTGGAAGGATTACAAACGAATTGGGTCTGACTGGGAGAGTCCAAGAGCATATAAGACTCGCATGGGGATGGGAGATGTGGATAACGCAGGTAAATTGAAGTGAGTTATCCATGCCGGTAAGGTTTTGTATTATGTATACGCATGACGAGATATGACCAGAGTGTATGTATAGATACTTCTGGTTCAGGGAATGTGACCCTTGAACCTAATTTGGGTGTATGTAGTATATAGTACACGAAGTCATGAATGACTATCCAAAGTGCTCCAGTCGGGCCCGGGAGCATAACAGGGTATATCAAAGCCCGAGATAAACCACGAAACACGCGCAGAAGATTTAAAACGGTTTAAGAAGATAGGATAGTTCTTAGAAGGGTATTGGTGTGCGTCTTAGCAGAAACGCCTTTCGATCTCTGCGAAGAGCTTTGGGGAAATCTCATCACTGCTGTTTCCTTCGACACGCCACACGCAGTCACGACCTTCGTAGTGCTCGATCAAGGCGCGGCTTGTCTCCTCAAATTTGCGCAGTCGCTGCTTCCATGTATCGATCGAGTCATCTTGTCTTTGGGTCAGCGGTTCCCCAGTGATATCGTCTTTGCCTGGAACTTTGGGAGGATGGAAGTCCGTGTTGTATACTCGGCCGGAAGGTTCATGCACCCAGCGAGAGGCGATTCGAGAGAGAATGACAGAGGGGGGTGTGATAAGTTGCACGACAAAATTGACGGGGACCAATGTATCCAAGCTGGTTGCTTGCGAAGCGGTACGGGGGAATCCATCGAGGATAAATGAAGCAGTGGGTGATAGTGTGTGGGATTCATTGGTAGGTTGTGTAGAGGACGAGGTAGACTGCGGTGAGGGAGTGAGCCAGCCCTTGGATTTCAGTTCGGAGGAGATGAGGTTGAGGATCATCGAGTCTGGAACCAGGTTGCCGGACTGCATTGCAGCCTCGGCTTCAATGCCTATTTGAAAGCGGTTAGCACTCATTGATCTATTGCGCATGCAGTTCAGACACAAAGAGGCTCGCGCTCACCCAGCGATGTCCTTCGGCGAACATTTTCTCGTAGAAGATCTCCGGAGCTAATGGAGGCCAGCTGCGGGAAGCGAGACAACAAGCGCTCTGACTGTGTGCCTTTTCCTACTCCAGGTGCTCCAATCAGAATAATCCTAGCAGGCTTCTGAAGCCGCCTAGTAGCTTGCGACATTCCGAGACGTATTGTGTGTAAAGTGAGCTGTTGGTGTTGTGATTTCTCGTCTATGAAATTGTACCGAGCGTGCCAGGAACTGCCGCGTAGATGACAGGATGCCGAGGAATGTTGAGCACAAAAGTAATTCAACCCCAGATGCGCTATCGCGGGTGCATGACAGAAAGACAGTGTATAATCAACTGAAATATGAGCACAATTATCTAGCGCTGATACCAACTCCTGACTTCCCCAATTTCCCAGTTCTCCGGTGAGGGGGCGCGGTTGCACGCGGGTTTACTGTCTTTGGTAACCGGTGAGATCCCGAGGGAAGAACAGTTGACCTCAAATCGAAGATAGAGCAATAAAATGTATGAGATCATGAATAATCCGGTGGATTGATGTCGTCTCGGTGTTTCGGCTCAAGCTCTAACTCTCACATGCATTCTCTTGCGCAAAGGCTTTTGGCCTATGAAAGCCTGAATCCTGAGGCTGCGAATAGAGCACCAAGTCACGTGCATTTGAGTCGCGTGGACCGCGTCGCGTCGCACCAATTTAGTGATCGCGATAAGCTTGAAGTCCCATCATTACCACCAGGACATACACACTGAACCTGTGTATAGTCGACACAATGATTCGTCAAGACGCTCATCGGATCGACTCAAAGCGCCGGGCTATCATTGATCCCAAGAAGAGACAGTTTGCCACACCAGTCTACAAGCAACAGGAGTACCCGCACCGTCTGAATCTGTACGACACGCCGCCCACGGCCGAGATCACGCTTGAGCAATTTGAGCAATGGGCTATTGACCGGTTGAAGGGTAGGCTTGCTCTATTCATGTATATCTATTTCTCTCACTAATACCCTCATGCAGTCCTCGCCGAGATTGAAGCATGCTCCTACCGCAACAAGACCCCCGCGGAGACCGCAACACACATCACACCCCTTCTAGACAAATATCTTCCCCTTGGCTCCAACACTTCGGCTTCCAACGGTACTGTGGACCAGCGTTTGAAAAATGAGCGGCAAAAGGACCACTACTCCCACTTTATCCTTCGGTTGGCATTCTCGGCCACCGAGGACCTCCGTCGACGATTTGCACGCGCCGAAACAATGCTCTTCCGATTCCGTTTCCAAAAGGATGACTCGCGAGAACGACGAGCATTCATTGAGAGCTTGAATTTGGACTGGGAATCCGTGAGTGAGGAGGAACGGAATGAGTTGGCGGACCACCTGATCAGCTCGACACCAGGACTACGTAGACTGGATGAGGAGACATGGTATAAGGTGGACTGGGAAAAGGTCCCCGAGCTGGTCGAACGGCGCTCGGTGTTCCTGAAGAAGGGTAAGGCCTATGTTCCGGGGAGAGAGCAGCTTGCCATGATCATGGCCGAATTCACTGCGCGCCTAGAAAGGTCCCTTGAGGTATGTTCGAGATTTTCGAACCCTAAGATCCCAATGGCATTAGACTGACAAGATCACAAAGCTTACGAGCCGAGCCCTGCCTCGTTTAGATGAGGATGACCGTCTAACCCCAATCTTGAATCACCTTTCCAAAAACTTCGGTAGCGCCGACTCTACGTTCACTGAGGGCGAGGGACATGTTGATGGGACGGCGATTACAGCCAGCTCCATCGATCAACTCTCCCAGCACTTCCCACTCTGCATGCGAAGCTTGCACATGAACTTACGCAAGAATCACCACCTGAAGCACTTTGGACGACTTCAGTATACACTCTTCCTCAAGGGCATCGGTCTCTCATTAGAAGAGTGCATTTTGTTCTGGCGCCAGTCTTTCCGGGGCAAGACAGATGATGAGTTCAACTCTCAATATAAGTACAATATCCGCCACGCCTATGGTGATGTCGGTGGTGATGCCCGTCGGGGTCGTGGATATCCACCCTATTCTTGCCAGAAAGTCTTGGGTGATAACAACGTCGGTATTGGTCAATCGCACGGATGCCCATACCGTCATTATTCAGTCGATAACCTGGTTGGACTGCTTCAGACAACAGGCGTTAATGATAAAGGCATCTTGCGTGAGGTACGAGAGGATGTGGGCAAACAACGATATCACATTGCCTGCAATCGCGTTTTCGAATTTTCGCACAAGAACGAGATTAAAAAGGTTAAGGAAGATGGGACATGGAGCCAAGCTGACCTGGATACCATTGTGCATCCCAATGTCTATTTCAAGCGCAGCTACTTGCTGAAGCAGCTGGCCAAGGCTCCTGGTCGAGACTAGCTTCCTTTGCGCTTCTTGCTTCTTTTATGACGTTATGTCGGCCTGCTATCGCGTCCAAGGCTGTTCAACGGGCGTTGTGGGTGTCGGAAATTGTACACTTTTTTCATCGCGCAATGCAATTAGGTTTGATTGTTCTTAGTTGAAAGAAGAATAGCATATAATTTATGTGGTTTCATTGTAGTAAAGTCAAATAATTTCAATATATTACGGCAGAGGGATGTGACCACAGCTGATTCCCAATAAATCCGAAAGGATCAGAATGACCTTTCAAAACCAGGTGCCCAGCAACGGGTCAAGTCGATCTCCGCTCGACGCGATGACAGCTTCGTCATAGAGAGACAGAAGCCGTCGGATGGCATAAATGCCATATTTTGTCGGCGTGGAAATTTTATGGAAAAGGAAAGGAAAAGAGCGGAAGCTCGAGAATTTAAGGATTTTGTTCCTCAACGTTACTAAGCCAGATTAGGTGCCATTCCTGCCTGAGGTTTAGCTCAATTGCGGCCCTCGTGTTTGTACGGGTGAGGACAGCAACCAGTAGCGCTGCAACCTGGCCTTAGTCGGGGAACAACCACTCCCTCACACAACTCCCTCCACCCGTTCGATCATCTCCCCGAAAGCTGACGTCGGGGTCTTTGTTATTGGGATCTGGGTTAAGCTCCGGTGTGGTCTATTGATCTAAAATTTTCTAGTATTGTCCCATACCGAGGTTCTGTGCGCCTTGGTTTACTCTATCTACAACAACCCCCCTCTCCCCTTGGTCAACACCGGACCCCCGAATCCACCAACCTCTCTCCAACATGGATTTCGAAGCCCTGAAAGATCAATGGAGTGATGTGGAGGACCGCGATGGTATTCGGCTCAGCTGGAACACTTTCCCGAGCTCTCGCATGGTGTGTGATGGATTGGACCCTGCTCGCCCCTCAATGTCGCGCCTCTCCCACTAAACCCCGGATTTAGGAAGCTTCCCGCTTGGTCGTCCCCATTGCTGCCGTCTATACACCTCTCAAGGAGAAGCCCGATTCCCCATTGCTTCAATATGAGCCAGTCACTTGCAAACAGCCCTGCCGGGCTGTTCTCAACCCATATGCGTATGTGCCCGTATTGTTGATTCCCGCATCGTGTGTGGATGAACTGACCCAATACTTAGCACCGTTGATATCCGCGCACGAATCTGGATTTGCCCCTTCTGTCTGATGCGCAACCCTCTTCCGCCTCACTATAAGGATATCACGGAAAACACAATACCCCCGGAGCTCCACCCCTCGAGCACCACGATCGAGTACCAATTGGCACGTCCGGCGCCGGCTCCCCCGATCTTTCTTTACGTTGTCGATACCTGCCAGGAAGATGACAGCCTGCAGGCGCTCAAGGATGCGCTCATCATGAGCTTGTCTCTGCTGCCGCCCAATGCGCTCGTTGGTCTGGTTACCTATGGAACCATGGTAGGACGGAACACCTCTCATGTAGAAGCATGTGTATATTGACTTGAATTTCACAGGCTCAAGTGCATGAACTTGGCTACACCGAGTGCGCCAAGTCTTATGTCTTCCGAGGAAACAAAGACTACACCGCCAAGCAAGTACAGGAAATGCTAGGCCTTGCCCACGGTGTCCGCCCTGGTGCCCCTCAACAACAACCAGCTCGCCCTCCTCTTCCTCCTGCTGCGCGCTTCCTTCTGCCTGTTCAGCAGGCTGAGTTCCAGATCACCAATGTCCTCGAACAACTACAGCACGACCCCTGGCCTGTTGCCAACGATAAGCGTCCCCTGCGCTGCACCGGTGTGGCTCTGAGCGTTGCGACTAGCTTGTTGGAGAGCTCTTTCCAGAATGCCGGCGCTCGTATCATGAACTTTGTCAGTGGTGCCGCTACTGAAGGTCCCGGCCATGTTGTTTCGCCCGAGTTGAAGGAGCCTATCCGTTCTCACCACGACATTGATCGCGATAACATCAAATACTACAAGAAGGCTGTAAAGGTGGGTCAAACTGGTTCTCAATGCCTCATACAATCACTAACCAGCTCAGTTCTACGACAACCTTGCCAAGCGTGCCGCCAACAACGGCCACATTGTTGATATTTTCGCTGGATGTCTTGACCAAGTCGGTCTTTTGGAAATGAAGAACCTGTCCAATTACACTGGCGGACACATGCTGTTGACGGACAGCTTCACCTCATCTCAGTTCAAGCAATCCTTTATTCGGGTATTTGACAAGGACGCAAACGACAACCTTCTTATGGGTTTTAATGCCTCACTGGAGGTCCTCACGACCAAGGAGCTCAAGGTCACTGGTCTCATTGGTCACGCTATCTCCTTGAACAAGAAGTCCAGCTCTGTGGGTGAAACTGAGTGTGGTATTGGAAATACCTGCGCTTGGAAGATGTGCGGTATCGACCCGTCTTCAAGTTACGGTATTTACTTCGAGATTGCCAACCAGGGCGGTCCCACTGCTGTGCAGCCTGGTCCCCAAAGGGGCATGATGCAGTTCTTGACATACTACCAGCACTCTTCCGGGCATTACCACCTGCGCGTGACTACCACCGCTCGGCCTCTGAGTGGCCCCGCTGGTGACCCGACACTAGCACAGTCGTTCGATCAGGAGGCTGCTGCAGTGCTGATGGCTAGAATTGCTGTCTTCAAGGCGGAGGTGGATGATGGTCCTGATGTGCTCCGCTGGGTGGACCGCATGCTGATCAGGCTCTGCTCACGCTTCGCTGATTACCGGAAGGATGACCCAACATCATTCCGGCTGGAGAAGAACTTCACCCTCTACCCTCAGTTCATGTTCCACTTACGACGAAGCCAGTTCTTGCAAGTGTTCAACAACTCTCCCGATGAGACTGCATTCTACCGTCACGTTTTGAACCACGAGGATGCCGGTGATTCACTTGTCATGATCCAGCCTACTCTGGACTCATATTCTCTGGAAGAGGAAGGCTCCAATCCCGTGTTGCTGGACTCAGCATCCATTCAACCCCAGCACATCCTTCTCCTCGACACCTTCTTCCACATCCTTATCTTCCACGGTGAGACTATTGCCGAGTGGCGGAAAGCTGGTTACCATGAGCAGGAGGGATACGAGAACCTCAAGGCACTTTTGCAGCAACCAAAGGAGGACGCCAGGGTTCGTTTTCCTTTTCCTCGATTTCTGCTACCATCACGAATAATCAAGCTGACCAACTTTGCAGGAACTTATTGCCGAGCGATTCCCTCTTCCCCGCTTCATTGTCTGTGATGCCGGTGGTTCCCAGGCCCGTTTCCTTTTGTCTAAGCTGAACCCGTCGACTACCCACACTACTGGAGGCTACGGCGGTGGTGTGTCGTCGCAAACCATCTTCACCGATGATGTCTCTTTGCAGACGTTTATGGATCACCTGATGAAGTGAGTTTTTCCCTTTGCACGATCAGATGCCCAGGCCGTTCTAGAACCCATACTGACTGCATATTAGACTCGCGGTATCTGGCACCAGCTAGTCATTTATACATGATAGCCATGAGAGCAAAGGGCGGTCTTTGACCCCTCGGGTCTTGTGTATCTTTAGCGGTGATTTAAATTCTCAAGTGCTTGCCTCGATATAGTAGTAGATTGAATGGATTGATACCAATGTTCAGTTTACATAAAACCCTTTCCTAGTGGATAACCTTGGAAACCATCATTTCAACCCGATACGGCTAAGCAATCAACACGATACCCGAAATGGCTAGAACCTGCGGGTCTCTGAATCAGGTCACGTGATAAAGCGCTAAGCAGCCGCAGGGTTTGCCCTACCTTCTCCATTGGGTCACTCGCTTACTAGCCTATGTGGGTCCCCAGCTGCCGCGATAGACTTCTCTCGTCCGTTCCTCAAATTTTCCTTTCTTCTTCTCCATCCACCCCTTCGACAACCCAAGGCAGATCGACTACCTTTCGCACTAGCCATGCGTAAGTATCATCACCTGGGTCAGCTATTTAATAGCGGCTAACGTAAATCTCTACTTACAGCTCCCAAGTTCGACCCCAATGAGGTGAAGATCATCCACCTGCGTGTGACTGGTGGTGAAGTCGGTGCTCAGTCTGCGCTGGCTCCCAAGATCGGTCCTCTCGGTCTGTCTCCCAAGAAGATTGGTGAAGATATTGCCAAGAACACTGGTGACTGGAAGGGTCTCCGTGTGACTGTTCGTCTCACCATCCAGAACCGTCAGGCCGCCGTCTCGGTTGTGCCCTCCGCCTCTTCCCTGGTCATCAAGGCCCTCAAGGAGCCCCCTCGTGACCGCAAGAAGGAGAAGAACATCAAGCACTCCAAGTCTATCCCTCTTGACGACATCATCGAGATTGCCCGCCAGATGCGTGCTCGCTCCATGGCCAAGGCTCTCCAGGGTACCGTCCTCGAGATTCTCGGTACTGCTTTCTCCGTCGGCTGCCAGGTCGATGGCCGCAGCCCCAAGGATATCTCCGACGACATCAAGGCTGGCGAGATTGACAGTATGTTCATCCGTTCTTTTTCACGCATTGGCTACAGTTCGCTGACAATTTGCTAGTTCCCGAGGAATAAATCATCCTCTCGAATGGAGGGAGGTAGCTGCCTTTTTTTGTGACGGTGTGGATTTTTGCGTAACAGCGGTCCTAGTTGCAGAATATGATTGTTGCCTCAATCAAAAAACAAAAATTGTTCATGAGTCATGACTTGATACCATTTTCTTTTGCGCTCGTGCGAGTGTCCGAAATGAACAATTGGATTACTCGCATTCCGTTTCCTTTCCGTTTGTATTTGTTCCAACCACCCTTTTTCCCAATCTTGCATTCATTTCCTCTCGCTGCATTCCAATGGCGACGTGGTTGTTTGAAGATTTCTAGATCATCTTGGCGCAAGCCCCATTTTCCAGAACCCTCTGATACACTCTGGCCCTTACCGTTCTTTCCTTACGAGGTCTGAATATTACTGCGTGGTATAGGCTTATTTTAAGCAGAGGAGAGCAATTGGCCCATTACTCACCGCGGTATTCTCGGGAGTTGACCTTGTGTTAGCTCCTTGTGGATACCATGGTCCATTTCTTGGGCCTACATCTCGAGATTCAGACTTGTCTGTTCTTGATGTAGGTTGTAGACCATTTTTATGTAGATTGTAGATGTCTTTCAGGTGTTAAATGAAAAATATGAAATCCAAATTTGAAATAGAAAAAACTCTTCACTCTACTCCAACTCCATTACTCAGGGTTCTGGCCTTGTCTAGCCTGACCGCGTATATTAATTGTGGCTGGTCGCATTGCCTGTTTCGCGCCTACTTGCGTGTGATATGCCAGTCAGTTGTACGACTTGCAGAATCTCAAATCAGATACGGCTGCATGGCTGTTGATGCTGCTACACCCATGTCGCCTCTCATTATAAATGTCGATCATCCTGAATCCGTTGGTCTGGTCCCAGGGTCTGCCCCCGCAGAGTCAACCTTGGAAAGTATTTGCATTCAAGAATTTCTCCTGCAAGCGTAGATATATATATATCTCTGCATACTCTACGGCGCAATATTGCACGCCTGAATGATCACTGAATATTCCAATTTTATTGGAGGGGGGTTTCTATTTTTGTCTAGCCCCCAAAGTATATGTGTACATCCTTCGGTAGACATGTACTCAGCAACATCCCTAACACCCAACCGTCGCTATCCACACCGTAATCACGGTCGTAACGATGCATGGACAAACCACAGCCTCGTACCTTAAGACTTAGACTTAGCCCTGGGCCTTGAACCTTGAAATAACTGGACCACTTGAACCACAGCAAACCATTCCAGGGCTACGATATCAACCTCGATAGTGAATTTTGAAATAATAGTACAACGCAATATAATAAAACCTCATCGTACGTGTCCTAGTGGACCTGTCAGCACTGCACACCGAAGGACTGGAGCGCACACGGGCTTCCCAGGCACTGGCCCCAGCAGGAGTCCACTGTCTCCACCACCCCGACGATCATTGCTGGTTGGCCTTGCTAGCACATAGCGGGTGATGTTCGTTGGTCCACCTAGGGGGAGTTTGGTGGAGACCAAAAAAGCAAGAAATTCCATTTAATTTGTTTTCCATGTTTTTGTCTGATTCTCTACACCCAAAGGTGACTTTCGCACGGGCACCTACATGCAAATGGGCCATGGTCCTTGTGCTGTTAAGGTGGCTATTTCGGGGAATATCGATCGTTGGACAAATGAACTGTCGGCCCCCGACTAGATGAGCGTTTTTGATGTATGTTTTTGCTTCTATCCGGTGTGTGGTTCCGCTTCTGTATCACCCGACCCGCATGCCAGTTGTTGAAGCAGTGGAGTTGATGGGGAATTTGAAGGTATGTGTAGAAACCTGGATCTTGATTTTAATTATTCCCCAGTGCGACCGTATAACTCTGTGGAGCATTAACCTTAAGGCACATACGAACTTCCCGAGACATGGACGGTTTCATAGGGAAATCAGCAGATCGGGGATATCCTGGTTAACCCCAGAATCTCAGATAGGAAAGGATCAGGCGCGAGGCAAACAGGGGGTGATTTTGCCCCTATAATTTATCATTGGGTTTTTTATTATTTATTTAGGCATTTCATACAACGATAATAGCAGCGCGTACCAAAGGGCTCGACTCGATCATCACAGCGGGGCGTCACCGATCCATGACTAGTTCGAGCGGAACCAATGGTCCACTGACGTTGGCCGCTCGATGGAGACTGAAGGTTCAGCCGTTGGATCAAGTGGGTCAGTGGAGCTAGAGTGCGATAGAAAGAAGTGGAAAGGGGGCTATTAGGAAGATGGGAGTCTGAGAAACTTGTAGAGACGATGAAAAGCCGAAGATCGAAGGAATCGCGCGTACATTGGTTGTGGTGAACGTGAAAGAAAATCATCAAACAGGGACCGAGTGTCCAGGATCCGCATCCTTCATATCCCCCACTCGGCTTGGCTCAAAGGCCCCAGGTCCACTCTACTATACATGTGGACTCGTTTTCTCTCCCCTCTTTACCTTTCAATCTCCTCAACATCTTCCATTCACGCTACTTCCAACGCACAATACCTGCCAAGATCGCCCTTCATTGGCCCCGGATCCCGCACAGAAGCTGAACCCCCTTCTCCCTTGCGTCCGCCCGGGATCGATCATCTTTAAAACCACTTGGCCCTTTATCACCGCGTGGATCCAAATCCCTCGATGACGATATTACGAGCCTGCTGAATCTCTATTCAGCCCTGCTCTCGCTCGCTCTGTGCCCCATAATGCGGTGTCGGAAACGATACAAGGAGGATGCTTGTTGATTGCCCACGAGTTTGAATTCGCTGCTTCTTTTTTCATGTTGAATTCATCTTGGTAACCGATACCCTTGTTAATTTTTTTTTTTTTATTCTTCTTTGACGCTCCTTCGACCGCTTCGACGAGAGAGATAGAGGGGGATTGTGGTGGTCGAGGAGGTGAATCAGCATCGCAAAGAAAAGTCTCAACAGGATCGGAAACATCACGAAAGAATAAGCAGAAAACGCCCCAAAAATTACAAGATGTTTCCGACCGTCGCGCCATTCCCTCCGGTTCAGCCGCACCACCTCCACCACTATCCTACCCATGATGCCCTTCACCAGCCCCCGTACGACCTGAATGACCCGGCCTTCCCCGCCCGCAACGACCCCTCCAGACCTTTCTTCAACCCATCCCGTTCACGCCTTCAACTGCCACATCCCGTACAACGCCTAGATGCTCGCGATGCCTCCGGGTCTAGCTCAAACGGCCCGGGAGAACATGCGCTACGAAGGAAGACCCCGAACGGCACCTTGGCCGCCGGCTACGATGGAACTCTAGGTGAATCGACTCTCCAACCCGCGACAAAGCACATTTTGGTCTCGCCCATGGACTCGGGACAATTCTTCTCGCCGCAGGGCATGCCGACCGATACCTGGCAGCAGCAGATCATCGACCCATCCGCCTCGAAACACATGAACTTCCCCCCGGTCTTCAAGAATGAGGCAGGTAACCCTATTGCTCCCGGAGAAGTAGTTCAAGATGTGAACGGCACAAGCTGGGTCCGCCCAGTGAATTACCCGCCCGGGATCGACTCAATGCTTAACCAAAGCTTGCCTTTGCAGGCCTCGCAGCGGTTCCTACTACAGAATGGCTCCTATATCCCGACCGTCCTTCCAGCGACCCTCCAGCCTTGCGTGGGGCCGACCGCGTCAGCAGGCACGGGCCCTTTTGGCCCGTATTGGCCTGATGGGGCCTATATACCATATCGCCCAGTGGCTTTTCGGGAGCCGCGCTTTGGAACGCCCGACCCGAACGCCCAGCCCTTTTATGATCTCAGTCAGCCAACGTTCAATCAGCCTCAAGTCCCACTGGCCAGTCGGGCGGACGCAGGCTTTGCATGGGGCCAACCTCAGCCTGGGATGCCGACCCAGGACCCGATGATTAAAGCCCATTTTCCTCCTCGTCACTCCGAACAATTACCATATCACACCCGAGTCAGTCGACCCGTATCATCATACTCATCAAATCCTTTGCATAATGAACAAATGTCATGGAACAATACTCGTCCGGCACCATTTCAAGCTCCAGGGCCCACCGTCCCGGCCAATGTGGAGTTCAAGGAGAAGATCTTGTCGTGGGCCCATGGGGTATATGTCGACCTCCTTGCAACCATTCACCACGCTCGTCGCAATAGTATGTCAAATGGGGGTGCCGATGGCCAGAACCCACGTTTCTTGAAACCAAGCATCTATCCCAAGCCACCTCGTCAGCCGGGGCTTGATTTTTCACAGACTACTCCTCCCGAAATTACTCGTCATAACAGCTACCCATCTAGTCAACATGATATACAACGACAGAAATTTGGCTTCCCGAGAATTAACGATCCCTACTCCAATACTGTACTACCAAGTCATGGCCATAATCGACGGCCGTCATTAAATCAATTTACCCAACACTCTCGTGCATCGGACACACGAATGCATGATGTCGGACGAATTACTGGAGCACCACGATTTTCAACCTCTCTCTTTAATGAGGGCTCTCCAGTCGCCAACGCCAAATCAGCATTGGAAATGCTATCTCACCTCTGCCATGAAAGTCATTGGGAGTGGATCGATGGCATGCTGCTTGGAGGCTGTCTAGCTTATGGGTTGGGAGATTATCACAAAGCCATGCGGTGGTATTCGCGGATTATTGCACGAGACTCTTCGTAAGTATACTTTATATCTCTTCTAGAGATGATGCTAATTTAGAGCCAGACATGTGGAGGCTATATCTAACCTAGCAGCAACTTTGTTCGCCCTCGACCGACGCGACGAAGCTGAGCAACATTGGTTGCGTGCTGTCAAATTGCGTCCGAGCTTCTTTGAAGCCGTGGAGCATTTGATAGGGCTCTTCTGCAGTAGCCATCGTGGTCGAGAGGCGGTCAATATCATTGACTTTGTACAAAACTCGCTGCGCCATCCAAAGGATGGAGATTGCTTCAAAACGGATGAGCATGCCAGTGAGCCGGAGAGTGACGCGGAAAGTAGCGTATCAGATGTCTGCATGTACGATAAAGTATCTTTCGACTACGATGATGACATGGGACGTGTCCAGAGTTTGAATTTGGACTCTACCGATGCGACTCCAATTGGCTTCGCAACCAGTGGCTATGCTATCCCTGGCTCAGATAATGGGCGGATGCTCGCACTGGTCCATGCCAAGGGCAATATGCTTTATGCCCTCGGTGACAACGCTGAGGCTGCTGGAGCCTTTGAGGATGCCGTTTTGATCGCCGCCGGCAGAAGGCGACATGGCATCCAGAGCCTCATCAAGCAAATCTTTGCTGCTTTCTCCCATGGCGCAGGCACTGCATACCAACCTGAGGAGGCCAATGAGAGTGTCCTCTTGTATCCGGATAGAGCTCTGCAAACGTCGAAACTTGTGTTTTCTAGCAATGGGACCCCGCCCGGTCTGAAGTATGTGGCAGAAGGCATTTCACGAAATGCGGCGGTCTCGACCACTAGCAACTCTTTACTTTCATTGGCAAAGATCTATCAAGATGGCATGGCGACTGTGTCATCTGGAGCGCTGAGGTCCACGCCTGGCGTTAGAGATATTTTGGCTCTTTACTACCTTTCACTTTCCCTCCAGCCAAGTCCATCTACAGCGAACAATGTTGGTATCTTGCTCGCTGGTATTCAGAACAATACCCCAGCCCGTGGACTTGTGCGTCCCAATGGGGAGAGTCAACACCCAGAGATCCCTGGCGTGCTCCCTGGAAGCGGTATCTCACTGGCATTGGCTTACTACAATTACGGACTGCATCTTGACTCTCGTCATGCGCATCTGTACACCAACCTTGGTAGTCTTCTGAAGGATATTGGTCAACTCCATGCTGCTATCAAGATGTATGAGCAAGCAGTTCAGTGTGATGGCAACTTCGATATCGCATTGGCCAACCTGGCAAATGCCGTCAAGGATTCCGGCCGAGTCAACGACGCCATTATCTATTACAAGCGTGCTGTCAAGGTGAATCCAGAGTTCGCCGAAGCAGCTTGTGGCTTGGCTAACGCGTTGAACTCGGTGTGTAACTGGGTTGGTCGTGGTGGCATTGTGAATGGACGTGGCTTCCATGATCGATGGCATGTGGATGAAAAAGGCATGCTTCGGGACGCCCAGGCTAATGACACGGGCGCTGGTTGGATCAAGCGTGTTGTGGACATTGTTGACCGGCAACTTCGCGAAGGCGAATACTGGGGTCGGGGCTTATTGACTCAGAGCACGACTGAACAGCTGTGTGCGCAATTGGTGACCGCCTTGGAATCAAGTCCCACAGGGAGTCGGAGATCAGCTCTGGCTAAGGTCCTCAAGTCATGGGCAGGACAGAAATGGGAGGGTTCCCGCATTGTTCGGCTTATTGAACGTGCTATCCGAGCTATTACGTGGCAATGGTACCAAGATCGCTATGTCTATGGCAAAGACTATCCTGCATCTAAGTACCGCCGGCCTCAACTCCCTGCTGCTTTGAGTGCGCCAAATGCGCCTACCGTTTTGCCCTTTCACACTTTCACCTGTCCGCTGTCCGCGAAACAGATCCGTCAGATCTCACAGCGTAATGGTCTCCGGATCTCAACCTCGACGCTGCGATTGCCCTGGCTGCCGACTACAGTATACCGTCCTCCCGCACCCCCGAACCCAGCTCTTCGAGTTGGCTATGTGTCGTCTGACTTCAATAACCACCCTCTGGCCCACCTCATGCAGTCAGTGTTTGGGCTGCACAACCCCAAAAAGGTGACGGCGTATTGCTACGCCACCACTGCCAGTGACAAGTCTATTCACCGCCAACAAATCGAAAAAGAGGCACCAGTCTTCCATGATGCCAGCGCGTGGCCAGTGGACCGCTTGGTTCAGCAGATCGTTGACGATGGGATTCACATTTTGATCAACCTGAATGGGTATACTCGCGGTGCTCGTAATGAGGTGTTTGCCGCTCGGCCTGCACCAATTCACATGTCTTTCATGGGCTTTGCGGGAACCCTGGGCGCGGAGTGGTGTGACTACATCCTTGCAGATCAGATTTCGATTCCTAGAGAGACTTTGAGTCCTGCACGGCGCACCACGCGCATTGAAGATCGTATTCTTGACGAAGACAATGGGGAGGATCTTGAGAACTGGGTTTACGGGGAAAAGATCGTCTTTACACGGGACACTTTCTTTTGCTGTGATCACCGACAGAGTGCCCCTGATGCGGGAGAACGACATCTCTCGTGGGATGATGAGCAGATGCGACGGTGGCGAATGCGGAAGGAATTGTTTCCCAATCTGAGCGATGATACTATCATCCTTGGGAATTTCAATCAGCTGTACAAGGTAGGACTTTTCTACCAATCAAAATACTGACCCCCCTTGCTAACGAGTCCAGATTGAACCCACCACATTTCGAACGTGGTTACGAATTTTGGCGCGCATTCCTAACGCCGTCCTGTGGCTGCTGCGATTCCCGGAAACAGGTGAACAGAATCTACGGGACATCGCTAAAGCATGGGCGGGCGAGGCAACAGCATCGCGAATTATCTTCACGGATGTGGCACCGAAGAATACACACATTGCACGGGCAAAGGTTTTGGATCTATTTCTCGACACACCTGAGTGTAACGCACACACTACGGCTACGGATGTCCTGTGGAGCGGGACGCCGATGCTCACGTACCCGCGATACAAGTATAAGATGTGCTCCCGCATGGCAAGCAGTATTCTCACGAGCGCGCTTCCGAACACAGAGGACGGGAGGCGAGCCCGGGAGGAACTGATTGCCTCTTCTGATGATGACTATGAGAGTAAGGCCATTCAGCTTTGCATGGATTTGCAGTACGTGGTTGGTGGGGGAGGCCGAGCGACCGGTCGGCTGGCGAATATGCGACAGATGCTGTTTTTGCAGCGATACACGAACAAGCTCTTTGATACGGCGCGCTGGGTGCGTGACCTTGAACTTGCGTATGAGGCTGTATGGGCGAAATGGGTGAATGGCGAAGAAGGCGATATCTGGTTATGATGTGCACAGCGATATACCCCTTGAGCGATTTTTTCTTGATTCTTGGTTTTGTATCACATCTACATTGTCTTGCTATTTCATTACATGAGCTTTGGGTTTTCATTTTATTTCTACACTATATTCATTCTCTTCTCTTGATTCTCGGCTTTTTTCTTTTTCTTCTTTTTTTTTTTTTTTCCTCCTCGTGCGTGGAGCTAGACATGTACACGTATGCGTTGGAATACGCAGGAGTTGGCGATTCAGATAGATTAGGACTCAGCCGTGAATACATTCGCTCTGTCTTTGCGTGGAATCTAGGCAACTGGTCATCCCAAGTTGTGACCAACACGTTCACCGCGCTCCCGATAACTCAAATCAGTAGTCGGGATATCCGATCGTATTCAACGTATCCCTTACCAAATTTGAACAGCTTTCTCCACGGTTCCACAGTTGAACGGACTGAGATTCAACATTTGAATTCCATGATTTCCCCAGAACCAAAAATAAGGCGTTCGCACTCACCTTCTCGATCAAGACAAAGGCCGCATCCAGCCCGAGAACCTTAAGATCGGGGATCTACAAATAGTCTATTCGGGCAGGTTGCTAACAACCTTTCTCACTAGTGGCACCACGTTTCAACTGTAAAAAGCTTCTTGGACTCAATTTTTCGACGCTGGTGGGGAATAGCCATGTGGACTCGGACAACCCCCAATCTAGTATATCCTGCTTACTGTGGCACTGTGGCACCGCAAAAAACCTTGGAAAACCTCTCCAACATATAGTTGATCCATGGTCCAAAGGTGTAGTTTACGCCACATTGAAATATACATCGTGTAGAGATTCGCATTGGGAAAATGGTCGATCCTTGTATTAGCAATAACAAAGAGCATAGACAAGGTGAACTATAGGGATCTAGTGCGAACTATTCATATTCTAGATCGTAGCCGCCAGGACCAGGACGTCATGGCTGACCCAGTCCCAAGGTTCATAGCTTCCATAGCTAAAGGGGAAACAAAGAAAGAATCCCACCACCATGGTTCTTTGAGTCGAGTGGGAACCGAATTCCGTAGGGCGAAAAAAAGAAATTATGAAAGGCTATTTTTCTTTGTTACAGTGATGATCATATATTCGATCTGAACTCGATGTTCGTATCCCGACAGGCGGGTAACTTACATACGCTAAACCGGGATAGTAATAGCGCTCAGATTGCACCGAGATTTGCCGTGGGCCAATCATAAGCTCCATATGATGTATTTTTGCAGCGTATGTTACGTACCTGCACTCTTAGTGATTTGAGTTTGGTGCATTGAGTTAATCCTGGGAGCTTGTTTGATGTGGTCTTGGATGAGAGGTATCAGGTTCATAGTACCTAAAGGTTATAATTGTTTTTTTCTTTTTTTCTACATGGTATTCTACTGTGCCGTAGATAAGAGTTTACATCCAGTTTTGGCATTATTCACTAGTAGGTATGGTGGGTATGCTTATTTACGTCACCTGGAACTAGGCTGTCTCCAGCTCAAAAATGGGGCTCGCGTCAAATACTGCCAGGTCAGGCGAGAGGAGACGTCGATCGCAGAATCCGGTGGCTTGGGACAACGGGAGAACCGCTGTAGAATAATACCAATACCGTATGGATCGTTTACATAGGAATTATTTATCCAGATCGATTCGTTTCGCCCCTGATCCTCTCGTAAGCGACCCATGGTTACGTTACTACACGTTGTATAGGGGAGAACTCCACATATCAGCCGTTGCCTGACCGTTTTTTTTCCTACACCCCCTTTTTGGTGGCGTTGCCTCCTGAATAGGTTTCCGTATTTGAGTAGCCATTTTGGTATGGAAAGTACCCAGATCTGTCTCGCATCTTGGCACCCGTTTTTCCGTCAGCGCCAGTGCCGGCTGTTGGCCCTGGCAGGCGCACTAGTCTCTTTTACGAGCTCTGGTAACTGTCATCCAGTAGACACCGTGCACTATTGAAAGTAGATGCAACCATGGCCCTGGGGTTTACAACCTGAATCTTTTTTTTGTTCTCGTTTAAACCCAGGGGTTGGGTTCGAATCGATTCTCTCTCCCGGGTCCACCGTTCTGGATTTTTCCTACATCTGATGTGCCGCTTTTCTTTCCCCCGTGGACAGGTATAGTGGGGACTTGATCCCACCACAGTGGTACGTATTATATACCGGGCATTTACGGACAATACGCAGATTCCCCGTTATTCCAAATCACTTGCAACCTCGCTAACGCTTTTGAGTAACTCCTGTAAGCACTCTAGTGCACGGTTCAAGGTTATGAGAATTTGTGAGGTCCGATCTGTTCTTACACTATTGATTGCTGTGCCCCCGATGATCAGCTATGCAACGGGTCTTGCTCTTTGCGAATCTGATTCGATCATGGTGTATATCGTTGCTTCTCGGGGCGGGTCTGGTGTCCAGATGGCTGACATACTTGGTGGCGGTTATCACCGTCAGCTGAAAAAAGGGCCTGTTGATTGAATTGCTATCAGTATTATTTATTTTATTTATTTTCTATTTCCTTGTTGCATATCTTATTCCAAGGTTTGCGTTGCTATTGATTGTACTCTAGAAGTTCGAACGGAACTACTCCGTAGACAATCCGGTTTTTACAGTATTATTTCAGCTCACCACCTATGCTCCTAACTTTGGTCAGATATTACACTCCCGAGATCGTGGATGTTGTAAATCAGGGGTTCAACAGATTTCAGATTGATTAAGATCCACTATAAACATTGTAAACGGCACAGTAGACCCATGGTACGTATTTCGTATAGAGACTCCAAGCCTCGGAAGAACATATTCGTACCTAATGTGGGTGGATCCCGCACCAAAAACACACATTCCAAAACACTTGAAAATAACTGTGACGTCGGCTACAGAATACATGCACCTAGTCATACTATAATGTTAGCGACAGAGTCCTACTGTACAAGGAAGGAAATGACTGCTCCGGCCCCCGGAACCCTCGCCCCGGGCTTGCATGCACGAACACCCTCCACGATCCTAAAAGCCCCGCCGTTCATTCCGTCAGACATGACCAGTCCGATCGATGCATCAGGCTATTGGCTGGGGTGGCGGGAGGGGGGGGAAGAGGGGCGCCACTCACGCGCAGATGGTGTCACATCGGTCAGCGATCGGGGGCTTGTGGTTGGTGACGGGACCGTTGGGGGGGGATTCTCCTGCAAGAACGGACGAACCTGTTATTAGAGTTTCCAACTTGCAAATTATTATTTGGTGTTTCTTATGTGATCTCATTTGGATCTCCTGTGGATGATGGTTCATGTGTTCATGTGTTCATTTACAGTTCTGTTCTCGAGTAGACTTGTTCAGGTATGCTGGACTGTACATGGGTGATCTCACCCTAGAACCGTGGTTGACCAAGTACCTATGCTCCAAACCACCCGCGATCGTCGTCACTGTGCAGCCGAGACCAAGAACGATTTGTATGAAAAAGGCGCCGTGCAGATACAGTGGGTCCTGTGCCTCACTCTCGACTTTGGCAAGGCGTTTTACAGTCCCTTGCGTATTGTCCTCGTGAGTCGTTTTTTTCAGTGGCGCATTCCTCGGAAAAATAATCCAAGGCTCGAGGAATACATGAAACAAATGGTGGTTACTAAAGTAGGCAAATCTGACAGATGAGATTAGGATTGTATGACCTGAACCAAACTAAACCGTGGAGAAAAGTGTACAACTGGAGTAGATCGAGGTACATGTACCATGGTTAGTATTATTGGGCGGAGCTGATGTACGACCTAGGGCTTAATCTATTCAACATCCCTGTACCTGTGGCCCAGATGCAAGTCCGATCTGTACATGTACAGTTCTAGTGTAATTCTTCTGGCTCTCGATTAAATCATAAAATTGAACATTTGAATTCCTATAGCAGCAGGGGTATTGTAAAAGATAAGATAAAAAAATGCTAACCCAGAGAATATGCCCATTCATTTTTGTGGTTCTTTCTCACGTAAAATAAAACTCCCCGGGACTTTTCCAGCGTCCCTGAAACGAAATTAGGAGACTCGCAGAAATTGTGAGAAAAACCCCCACATTGACCCGAAAACACCCAGGGTTTTGAAGATCCAGATCGAACCGTGGTAATACACATTAGGAACAAAGGAGAGAATTGTCGCCAGCGAAGAAACGAGCGAGGGGGATTTTTGACACATGTACAACCTTGCAGGGGAACTGCCCGGACAAGGCATGGGAATAAAGTATAGAACAGAGAAAGCAAATTCAAGGAGAAGGTCGTACAATCATCACAAAGAGAAAGGAAAATGAGGACACAAAAAAAAATAATGGAACTCAAATCGCGGTCGTTGCGATTTTAGTTCAAGAGGTTGTTGACTCCCATGCGAGTATCGCGGGGAGCTTCGGGCGTATATGCCTTGGGTAGATCGACGGGCTGGTGCCACGATGCTAGTGTAGGCTGGTGTTCCATCCACCGCCGTTTTGAGGCAATGTCGGAGAGTGATTCCAATGATCTGGCGGGGTAGCTTGGGGAATCCTCAATCACTTGTACGGATGCCACGCTGGGACGGCGGGTATCGTACTGTGCACGCAAGTCGACCGGCAACGGAAGTAGCTGCGGGGAAGGAATAGTACGCGGAGAAGAAGAGCAGACCGAGTTGTGATCCGAGACCATGGAAGGAGGCTCGATGGAAAGGGCATTGGAAACATCGGAGAAAGCAGGCGAAGTCAAGGGGGTTTCGATGGGTCGGTTGATGGAGGGGAGAGTGTAAATGGGAGAAAGTTGACGAGCGGCGGTAGTAGACATGGATTCCCGGCGGGAAGAGTATGCATCGGAGGAGGCTGTAGACTCGGTGTCCCATGGGCGAGTGCTAAAGCGAGGGCGAGTTGGGCTCACCACTGAGGCCCGAGCATATGGTGCCTCGACCCGGCCGCTGTAGGTCCGGGAGACTGTCGGTGTTGATGAGAGACCACGGCGTTTCCGGTTCATGCTTCCATTCCACCAGTTCTTCACGGCGTTGTCGCTGCGGTTTCCCAGTCGGCGGGCAATCTCGGCCCAGCGCTTGCCCATTTCGTTGACCATGCGCTCGATCATGAGCCCCTCATCTGAGGAGATGGGCTCACGGTTCAACGAAGGCTTGAGATTTTGGTGGAAGCGTTCCCGACATTGTTTTGGTGAGCGGTAGTGCATGTGTTGGGAGATGCGCACCCAGTTGTTTGGGCCTTGTTCACGGACTAGCTGCAACAACAGTTGATCTTCTTCGGGGACCCAAGGTCCACGGCGGTGAGAAGGAGCCATGAGGGGATGTGTTGAGTAGGTATATAGATTTGTAGGTTGGGTGAAGTGTTGAAGTGTTTTGAGTTTTGAAGTTCAAGTTGGAAGGGGGACTTGTTATAAATGGATGGGAGAATCAAAGTCAAGCCACAAGAGCAGCACAGCGAGAATTATATCTGCACCCAGGGGGACGGGTCCAACGAAAAATGACCAGCTCCACCCGCACACGCTATGGGAAGAAGATCACGATCCAAGATCTCGGAGCTGACAGTTCGGAACAATACAGGTATTGGTATTAATACAAAATAATAATAAAAATAATTGGAAAAAAAAAATTAAAAAAATATGGTACACGTTGTGACTCCACTTGCATTACCCGTTTGGGTCGACGAAACCGTGGTTTTAGGTAAAATAAACATATAATACTATTTGCCATTGACTACCAAGTATCATTTCGACAAGAAAAAAAATAAATACAAAATTCTACAAGTATTCAATCTCAAGCACTATGATTTTAAATCAAAGGAAAAACAATGAAAGAAAAAAATAAAAGCAATAAATGCTCCGGCGATCGTCAGTACGACCCGGGAATCCGGGCTGAGGAAATACCGTAATGATCGGAGGGATCGACCCTGAGCCCCGTTGCTGGAATTCCAAATCACTGCTCGCGCTAAAGGAAGCTATTTTTTAAAATCGTCTGAGCACTGCGCATAGACCCAAAACACCGGTCCCAAAGAAAGCATTCATATTTCTTTTTTCAGACCCCAATATGATAAGCGTTTACATTGGACGAAGCTCAGCCAGCCTTCGATTAAATCCTACAGTAAAGGGCAAAGTCAATGCCATGGAATTGCCACTTAAGCAGCCGTGGAATGATAAACGGTTTAACCCCCCTGACAGCACCCAAATTCTCTCATTCCCCACCAAAGATAGAAAGGGGCCAGGGGCAGATCGGTGTCAAGCGAACAGAGACGCGGTAGGGTCACTGATTCCCCAATCCTCAGCCAGCCATGCACGACACTCGCTCGATCATGACCGATCCATGAGCAATCGTTCGGCGATGTCCGTTCATTGGCTCGATCGGCGGCTCTGCACTCATAGCCAGGCTTGCGGTCTCCACTATTCCAGTGGGTCTTAGCATGAAGTGGAGTTCGATCGTGACAAATTCCCTAGAACCGGGTCAGTTGAAGAAAGACCATTGGAATATGGGGAAATTCAGATATTCTCATTAATGAAAAAACGGGAGTCAGATCTGACAACCGCCACTCCGTGCTAGCTTTCCCCCTTTTTCAAACAGTTTCGACCCCGAACAAATCCGACGGCGTGGTGCCTGACGGGAGGAATGTGGATCACCGGTTATAGTGCTGAGGGTAAAGTAACAGTCAGCCTGAGGTGCCTTGCAGTCAGAGCCCCTTCAAGGGTAATTTGTATGTTCTACGAAGCACATGTAGTAGGGGTATAGTGACTTGGCTAGATAGCAAAATCCCATCCTTCTAATTGACTATAGATTATCCAGACTTGCGTACCGTCTACGATAACATGAGTACCAACTCCGGACCATGCAAGTCCATTGCTCGTCAAAAAAAGTCCCACGCATGGACCACCTGCCACCTGTCACGGACTGCTGGGGCGATCCCGGGGGAGTCTGTGACGTGATGGAAGTTCTGGTCGTTACGGCAGATCGGGGACGATCACTTGGCTGCAGGCTGCGCGCAAGCAGAAACAACCCCTGGTAACCAATCTATTTCCCGTGTTGTTTCCCACTATTTCCACCCTAACGCTTTGGTGTACCAAAGTTGAACCGCCATGAGGTATCACATCTTTCCAATCTTCGATCGGGGCTAGCGGGGATCGCCCGTTTACTTTTCCTGGGTATTACCCAGTCTGGCGTCTTGCAGGTGGATCCCTCCCCACAGTGGAAACCGTTGAACATGCCGTCGCAAGCCACACCTACTTTGCTGAGTTCTGTTTGGGTGTCTTACTGGCCCACTGTGACGAACCTCTTCCTGCCGCGATGATTGGTCCCTCCAGGTATTTGTCATTGTTGTGCGGGTCTGCTGATTTGGGCAAGGATGCGCTGGGCGGTTATCGACATCGAGAGTAATCTTAACGATACCTTAATCTATTCCAGACGGCCTATCCGACTCCATACGCAAACTATGACACTTAGCCCGTGGTTTAGACAGAACAACACTTCTACTCTGTCAAGGTCTGTAAATAGCATGTGGAGCTGACTCTCCCGATATTAATGTCGCCCCCTTTTTTGGGGAGGATTTTGACTTTATCGAAACGAGAAACAAGGAACAAGGAACAAGGAACTTGGATAGGCGTCAATGTGACTGGAAGAAAAACGCCTTCTTCAACTGTGTATACGTATTCTCTAAAAAGCCACGAGATCCTCGTGTGGACCGATCGGGGACCATACTCCTGGGAAACAAGAAAGCCGTTGTCGACCGGATGAACCCGTTCTGGGATGCAACATCGACTAGGGTAGACCCGAGATATGACCTGTCATTCTACCTTTCATCTACCCACCAATCAAGAGGGCGGCAAGTATTTGAGATAAATCCCTGCTGGTCTGCAGGGATCACCGCTGATCGCGCCCGTGCACGTCCAGACCAAAATCCTCCCCTGCCGTCCCCCTGTCAAGTCCGTCATAATGGAAACCGAAAATAAACCCCCGTCAAATTCACTAGTCTAGACGATGTAACCAGGAACCTGGGAATTTCGATGAAAGTGACCCCCCTTTTTACCCCGGTTCCCGTCTCACAAAGAATAAGCGTTTGTTTAGGGATCTAGAATACATAGACTTTGGTGGATTCCACAAAAAAAAGAAAAGAAAAAAAGAAAGAAAAAAAAAAGGAACAATGAGACATAACCAAGGACTAACTTCAAATCTTGTCATTCTATAGTCAAAGGACCCAGAAAACACATCCCGATCCAACGGTCCTGGCTGTCGGGTAGATCACGTGTCGGTGTATAACATCAGGAAATTAATCAATAAATCCCGAAAATCAGGATAAACTACAGTCACAAACGGATTAACCTTTTTACTGGTCCGTGCTTTCTCGGGCTTTAGAATTAGAATTCGGGGACCATATGGTGCCCGATCTGTGGGAAACCGTTTTGGCACGCGCTCCGGGCTTTTAGGGCTTGGGCCATGGAACTTGGGGTCTTGGGGGTTTGGGAAGTATGGGGCTTTAGTGAATCCCGGGTTAACCCCCTGTCCATGCTAGAATTCAAAACTGTGTGGTAGCAAGGATCCACCTTTTGCAGCCGTTATGACGGTTTTACGGTACGCCTGCACCATAAGGTAGAAAATAAAAATAAAAATAAAAATAAAACAAAACAGGATAATATGGAAACAAACCAAAATACGTTCCAGATGTTGACTTCTTTTGAAATCGTCATCCGACCTGCCGTTACTTACCAATCTAGGACCATCTCTCCGTTCTCTTTCCCCTCATCCCCCTCTCGACCCTTCCGGCGTACAGGAGTAACAAAAGGATTCAATTCGACCCAGGTCCATTAGTGTACCGTACAACGGCCAACCCGTACCAAATCGGGCGAATAATGGATTCTTATCCCGTGTGTGTGATGTGATGTTCATGAAAAAAACCAATGAAAAAAAAAGAGGGGGCGAGCGGGATGAGTTCTACCGTTCTGGACCTCGACGATGGAGAACGGGCCAGAATCGCCCCGCTTCAAGGCCGTCACCGTATCCCAGGACGGACGATGACTGGCTAGCTTTCGCTAAACGGATGAGTTTGACAGCGGTCCCACGAACCATTTCGCTTCAAAGCCCGATCCCTGTGGCGGTTTTTTGTATCCCACTATGCCACAAACAAGGTTTCATGCCTGACGGGTGGGATTAGTGAAGTTTAAACCCCATGTCAAGGCCTTGCTGTGGTATATTGTGGCTTTTTTCCATATACCAAGCGAGAGCGAGAGCGAGAAGTCGGGTTTAATTTGGTTTTAATTAATATAGCATGAAAGAATCTGACAGGGAGGCGAACTTGTCAATGTGTCGGCTGGGCACACTTGACCCTTCTGGGTATTTCATGGTGTCTATCAACGGGGTCAAGTCATGCTTTTGTCCAACCACGTTGACTTTTCTGCTGTCCGGCTCAACCCTATCTACCCGGTCCAAATTCAATCGGACTTTCTCTTACGAACTTTCCAGCACAAAAATACCCAGATATTCTCTATGATGCATTTGAACCATGATTCTAGATTTTCTTGGGTCAAATGGACACAGACAAGGTTCAGGATTACACCTTCAACCGTTGCAATACTGTTTAGCAAAAACCTTTCACCGTTTGCCGCCAGGATCAAAGGGGGCTGGCCATCTGGCTGTTTTTGTTTATTTTTGGTTGTCCACCTGAGGCAAAAAGAAGCTCGTACAAGGGGCGATGGAGTGGTGGAGGACAAGGCGGGCGAACAGGTGAAGGTGGAGAGTAAGTGCGGAGATGCACGGCAAATGTCATAGCAATTCCAACCGGTCTGCTCCATTCAGACCCTTTTCCCTATTAGTATGGGTACATGATGTATGCGCATATACAAGTGTATATCCCCTTTTTCTTAATCTATTTACTATTTCCTAACAATTTCTCTTTTTTTTTTTTTTTTTCTATTTTTGTATACAGTAGGTCTTATTATACCGTATCATACGGAACGGAGGTCAGCCGAATTCTCACACCCTGGTCTATCCACGCTAGGTAGGTCCGTAAGATGGCCCCTCTTCTCATCCGCTATATTGGAGCCGCAGTCAGGGGTGCACCCCGGCGCTTCAAATTCCAGCAATGCCTCGTGTGGGGACAGTGTGAAGACGCCATGTGATCCGTGCCTTGAATTAACCGAGTCGGGGAGAGGATTGCGAGGCTATGATACCGAATTGACTTGCGCTCTGACCGGAGTTGCCGCAGCCTTGTTACAGGTTTCGATAGTCGCAGTGACAAAGTACTTAAAGCCGCTCAACGGGCTCCACATTAGGCCCCGTCTCTGTACCGTCTCCTTGGGTCCACGGGTGGAAGCGACCGCTATGATGATGTAACCGATCAGCTGTTGTTTTCTATCTATTTGTTCTAGTACACACGTGATATAGCGATCCAAATGCAGTCTAGTGAGTTCAATATTAGGGCTCGGTTCTAGGGTTTAATTCCATACTGAGGGCTTTGAGACAGTATTGTAAGCCCTGGAGGTTGTATCGTAGCTATCCGGACTGGCAGTGGGTTTATTTCCAAGATTGGAGATAACTAGGTAGCGTTAATGTCCAAATCCTCTTGTCTCGTGTCCTATTTCTGTATCATAGCCCTGGAAGGTATTTACCCATTTCGATCAAATTTATATTAAATCTCGTGTTTTCCCGTTGTCTCACCACAGAATATATTTCTCGACCCGACAGACCAGAACAATCAGGTCCACCAATAATTAAAACAAATAAGTCAGAATTCTTCAGGTCTGAAAAAGCCCCTCGGATAACTAAACTCTTTATAAGAGACTATTTATGCAAAGACCGATAAACCGAGCGCCATCCATCCAGGTGCCACTGGTGGCGCTCAGCCCTGCACGCCACACCAGTGAGATCACAGCACAGCCGAAAATCATGCTGCCACCCTCCACCATGACTTCAGCCATGCCGTGCATCTGCAAAATGACACCGCACATGGTAAACTAATTCCCCCTAGCTCGTGGAAAACCCGACAGCTGAAAACGGAGAAACGAGGGCGTTAATCTTTAATGCAAGGGATGCATGAATTGACAGGGGCGTCGATCAGGAGATCAGGAGATCAGGAGATCCAGTCTATGCAAGGCTTGGACATTAGGTTTGCGTTTTGACGTTATTGCTTTTTTTTTCCTATTTGATTTACGTACCATGTCTACTCATTTTGTGATACTCTGGTTCTGGTTCCATAGTTGGTTCGGCTATCTGGGAAGATCCTTGATCAAGCGCCTGAGTTGACACTCTTACCCCTCTCATATGCAGATCCAGATCAGTCTTTTCAGATGCCAAACCGGAAATACAGGATGTTTTTGAGATTCAAGTTTTTCCCGACTTCCAGGTCCACGGATTACCGTGGTTGCACCATGTGGCCCGAAACAGGGAACTTGCAATTGGTTCAAGGACGACGGGATTCGGATGCTGGCATGTCTCAAACAGATCTACCCCTTACCACACATGCCCGGGTGTTCATGTATGTAATAGTACTGTCTCGTGCAGGCACCCCGGAGATACCCCGTCTTTGTGCAGAATAACTGGTTGAATGGGTCATTCCGAAGGCTTGGAAACAAGACGTCGAGTGCAGATACTAGTCACCCCTGCCGGCAGTTGTCTAAGCGTATGAGCGATTATTGAATAATTTTTAATGCGTGTAATCAAGACCGGGGGTATCGTCTACGCATTTCCGTCTTCGTCTGTAATGGACACTTCTAACATTGGAAAGATGATTGGTCGGAACTCTCGTTTGCACTACACACCATGAGACGGAGTAGACATGGCTTGGAAGCAAATATTGAAATATACAGAACATTTCATTACAGATATTGAACCAAACAGAATGTACCTCGCCTAGGCATTCCATCCTAGGAAAGTTCAGCTGAAGCCATCTTCTGGGTCGGTCTCGCCGTGACTTATCAAGCCATACATTCATTCCTTGAGTGGCTGTCGCCCGAATATCCAATTCTTTTCCTGTTCAACCACTTCCGGCCCGTGTATCATCTCACATCTTCAACATGATACGACCTGAACATGGGCTCAGATACAATCAGCCCTAATGAGATCTCGTTTACTGCCTTACATGAACGGCGATGTTATCAGGGCAGAACAGAAGGTGTCTCAGCTCAGACTTTTGCTCTATCCGTTTGCTTATTGTCTCACTCACGGGCGGGGCCCTTACCGAGCTCGTGGACTGGTGACGTGCGTAGCACGTCGTATTACGGCCTCCTTCTACGGGTGTCTCAAGCTGATGCTGGGGTCGATGCATGGTACTCTAGACATTGAGCTCGTTCGCGGCACAGAATGCCGTGCTCAACTTGTAAATGCCTTTCTGTATTTTTGAGAGTTCATCCCTCGCCTTTGTCGGTTTACTGTAAAATGAATCTCCGTTCCAAGGTCATACATATCGGAAGCGTTCTGGAAGGATGGCAGTGACAAGAACTAAGATCACTATTGGTAGATAGAGAGTCTGCAGCCAAGGTATCTGCTATGGCCGTGTTCTCTTACCCGGTCATGACTGAGCCACATGTCGCATAAGAGGCCCATTGTCTTGATTTTCGGTTGTTATACAAGCCTTGACGACCTGCAAATATTTGGACACTGAAAATTCTTCGGGGTTCAATCTGATACTGGCCAAGCCGGGGAAATGAACTTGAAGAGGAAAAAGAAAAAAAGAAAAAAACCGAAGAAAAACCAACAAAAACAACAACAACGAAGTAGACAGTAACTGTAAATTAGAAAGATAATAATGAAGAGAATGGTTCCCTGACTCTGTAAAGACTTCCAGCAGAAATATAGTCGCGTTAAAGACGCTCATCCGGATTAACTTCATCCGAATCAAAGTACGTTTCACCTATGTTTCAACCCATCTTTAGGCAAAACATGGACCTTGAACCCTACAAGCAAAAATAGGACAAGCTTCTCAAAGTCTTCTATTGGAAGAGTTTAATGTGTAGTTTATGGGTCTGCGGAGGGTCTCCGAGGCGCTCCACGGGGTAAGCATGAAGCTTTCCAAGGTAGAAGGTCTGTGACACTAGTAAAAATCCACACAAAATTGAGGGCATTCCTTCACATGACTATGTCTCATCTACCCAAACTCTTGATTTACATCTATTATATTAAACATCTGCTATAGCTGTTCAAAAATGTGCTAGTGCATCGACCGTTGTTTCGAAGTGCTACTGAGGGGCACGGAGCAGCTGCCGATTTGCGCTAATCACGGCGACCCTTCATTTTTGTGGATTTCCAATGCCCACATTCTGGATTCTAGAACATGCTAATTGAAACATGCAATTTTTACCTTGGCAGAACTCTCTCCACCAGGGGGAGTCAGGAGGTAGTCAGGTACTCGAACAGCATGTTTAAGAGGATAGCATCTCCACGAGGGCGAAAGCAACCTCTTCAACTAGTTCGTCTCTCACTCACAGCATGCCTTCTGTACGCCAAAACATTCTCCTCCTCGCGGCCACAGCGGTTGGATCCGTGAATGCCGCCTTTGGTCCTGCATTCAGCACTGGCCCTACTTCTGCGAACTCTTACATCTCCGAGGCAATCTCCACACTCGTCCTGCCTCGCGCTCCTAGCAATAACAATGGCGATCTCGCCCTGTGGGTTGGAATGGGTACATCAGCTGGCGACCTGATCCAATCTATTGCCGATAACTACCAGTCCAATAGCTGGAATGTGTTTGCCTATACATTGAAAGAGACAAGCTGTTAGTTTCTGCTGCGAACAATGGTCTTTGAGGAGGATGCTAATTCAAGACTCTACTTAGCGGACTCACAAGAGGTTATTCAGGGACCCGCCGAGGTTGCTACACCAGGAAATCGAGTGACTATGCACTGTATGAAACGAAACATACCTTCAATCTTCGAGAATACACATCTAATTATTTACAGACAAGTTCGACGAGTCCACGGGTAACTACACTCAGACAGTCCTTGTAAACAACAAGAGCGTTTCAACACTATCAACCAGCGACGGCTGGGCCGAGGGCTGGGGTAGTGCGGTGGAATGCGCGACAACAGACTGTGGCACTGTTGATGCTCATTGTACGTTGACGACTCTCTAATGTCTCGCGAATTATGACTAATATATTTCAGACTGGATCAACACCAAGATTACCCTCTCCGCTGCTGATCCCGGTTACATTGATACCTTGGCTCTGGGTGAAGGTGTCAGCGGTAACATGACCACCGCCGACGGTGGCAAGACATGGATCGTTCCCCGAATCAACATTCCCGAGTACAGCTTCTCGTCATAGACGCATGCCAGGACGACATATTTGACAGGCTTCGATGACAAAGGAATCTGGAATTCTTATGGCTTGTTGAGCTCGCCAATATCTTGCTTGTTATATCAGACTGTACAAATACGATTTTATACCATGTCAATACTACCAATAGACCATTTCATTTGCCTTCCTAAGACGGAATAGAACAAATGCATGATAATTGTAATTCCTGACAGGAGAAAGACGGCAGAAGGGCTTGCTCTTGAGCTTTGGGGCTGCTATCCTGGATTTCCATCAATACTTTCTCAACTCGGTCCTCGACGCACTTTGTCAAAGCATAAAGTAAAAAAAGGGACTTTTTCCAGGCTCGCAACTGATATTCTGTGACACATGGCAAACCGCTGGAATAGCTCAAGAATTTACGCGGTAAAATACTGGCATAGATTCAATTGGACAATCGACTTCCACCGTGATACCACCCTGGAAAATTCTGGGAATTTCTTCATGATTGAGATTCACCTTACCCCAAGGTGCCCAGTAGGCTCCAGCAGGAAGGTAGACAGAGATTTTGCGTTGGCCTGGTTCAAAGATTGGGGTAACTAGGTACTTCGACCCAAACATGTAAGCTGTCTCAACATCCCATGCCTGCTTGTCTTGAGGAAACTCATAGAACAGCGTACGCATCACAGGCGTCCCTTTCTCATGAGCTTCCTTCATCAGGCTTCGGGTGTAGTTGCGAAGCTCTTCCCGGATCCCGATGAATCTCTTGCAGATTTCGTAAACCTCATCACCATACGACCAGATCTCATTGTCGGCTCCGCTGCTTGTTGACCCTGCGAGCTTTGGCTCGCGGTCACCATGGAGTCGCATTACAGGGCAAAATGCACCCCATTGGAACCATCTGGTGAATAACTCTCGAAACTCGGGGTCGTCTGGATTACCTCCATGGAATCCACCTATATCAGTAGTCCACCAGGGGATACCGGCGAGACCCATGTTCAAGCCGGCTGCCAGCTGGTTTCGGAATGAGCTCCACGAGGAAGCAATATCACCACTCCAGACGAGGGCTCCGTATTTCTGGCTGCCTGCCCACGCACAGCGCAGAAGATTCACGATGTTTGTTTGTCCTTCTTCCTTCATGCCATCGTAGAATCCACGCGCGTATTCCTTCGGAAAGATGTTGCCAATCTGTAGGTTACTACCGGCGTGGTATCGGTAAATATCAAAGTCGTAGATCGAATACTCTGGCTCAGCCTCATCGAGCCAGAATACTTTGATACCGAGGTCATAATAGTGCTTCTTTGCTTGGCTCCAGACGAATCTTCGTGCTTCGGGGTTCGTGGCGTCGAAGTAGGTGATATCGCCATCGCATTGCATTGCCACGCGCATTCCGCGATCATGCCGGATCAATAGTCCGCGCTCTAGCATCTCTGAATAATTCTCGGATGCATTTTCGACGGTCGGCCAGATCGAGACCATAAGCTCCACCTTGAGCTCTTTGAGTTCTTTAATCATGGCACCTAAAACAATCATTTGTTAGTCTCTGTCTGAAATCCTCGGGGAAAGGGAAAAGGGTCGATACTCACTAATATCAGGCCAGAACTTCGGATCAAAACTCCATTCACCCTGATGCTTCCAGTGGAAGAAATCAATTACAATCAGATCAAGAGGAACCTCACGGCGACGATATTCCCGAGCGACATTGAGTAGCTGTTCCTGGTTCCAGTAGCGGAGCTTGCATTGCCAGAATCCAAGCCCGTACTCTGGCATCATTGGAACGTAGCCTGTGGCTTTCGCATATGCTTCTGCAATTTCTGCGGGTGTATCCCCGGCTACAACCCAGTAGTCGAGCGAGCGTGTTGAGTACGCCTCGAAGCTCATCACATTTGTTCCGAACACCGCTCGCCCGATGCCAGGGTTGTTCCATAGAAGGCCATAACCGCGCGACGACACTGCAAATGGAACACTGGCTTGGGAATTGCGGTGTGCCAGCTCCAAGTCTGCTCCTTTGAGATTCAAGTACGGTTGTTGATACTGGCCCATTCCGAAGATTTTCTCCTTGGGATCCAACGACTCGAATCTTGTTGTTAGGTGAAAATCACCACCGAGTATGGGACGCAGCTCCCGTGCTTCAATTTCCAACGCGCTGCATTTTGCATCTTGGGGGTCGCGTCGATTCCGAGCATATTCTTCGAGTAGCTTAGTTCCTTTCGAGTCGTAGATGATGATCTTGCCCCGCTGAGAGACGGTAGCTTTGATCTTGCCATTAATGATAGTTGCATCTTCATCTTCGGGTGTTGCGATGTTGACAGAAGAGCTCGCAGGGTTAGAGGTAAGGGCCCAGTCCTCTGTAGGCATGGACGCTAACTTAGTTGCTCGCACCCGGAGTGCATTCTCGCCCCATGGCTGGATCCAGAGGAGGTGGTCATCAAAGCGAAAATGAAGCTCATTACCTTCGGCATAAAGCATCTTGGAATATTATCTCAACTATTGAAAGTGGAAGGTTTACCTTGCTTCACGTGGTGAGGAGTGATGTGAAGAGGGGCAGCCTCGGCCAGTTCAAAATTCGCAGGTATGACGAGAGTGACGAAGACCAAGGAAAGCTTTAACTCTGGGTACCTTTGTCAACTCTCCGAAATATCACAGAGTCTGTTGGTGGGGGTTTACTGGTACGATGTCATTAGGTTGAAACCTTCCTAAATAAACACGGCCCGATCTCCGGATCTCTTTTGCTTTATCATAGAACAAATCAACTGATCTATAGATTCTATAATATAAAGTTTTGATTTCTTCGATTATAGATGCTCGGAATTTTGATCTAATAATGACTATTATTACCATTGGTCTACTTTGCATATGGCATATGACCTCTCCAAGAGAATAGAGGGACTGATGTGTCTCAAGATGAATGAATAATGTGGGACTTGGTCTTCCGAAATGACTTAATATTGATGTGTTTGAGTCCCTAGGCACTTCTATGCAGGACATTGCCTCTGCCAGTGCTCTCCTACCATCGCTGTACCGATGAGGGGTCAGAGCCTTGCTAAGCGAATACCAGTGCTTAGTCAAGGCCTTACATTCGGGTCCTCAGTTGCTACAATCCTGGCAGATTATATCAGCTAGTTTGTCCCATATAAGTTCTAGGCAGCCCCATAACTTATAAGTGAAGATCTATTAAAAGCAAAAGTGAGAACGTGGATCGCATTTGTCCCCCACACGCTAAACTCGATCAGGCAACGAATGCGGGAAGCTCAAACCCGGGTTTTCCTCCCTCTTTACCAACCTCACCTTTACTCCCATCTCTGCTCTTGTCAATCCATTATGGCCATGACTTCAGATGCGGCCAACCAGGCACCAATTGCCGCAACCATGGATATCGACATGGATATCGACCTGGGGCTGGAGCCTGAACCCGAACTCGAACCCATTCAGACTGTGAGTGCTCCCGAATACCTCTGCGAGGACCAATGCTGATGTATCCTGTTTATGGATTAGGAGACCACCCAAGACACTACAATCGAGCCTCTTACCGAGGAAGCCGTATACGAAAAGGTTCACGTACGCGGCGTTGATGAATTATCCACCGATGACATCAAGCAATTCGCGACTAGTCACTTCGAGCACGAGGCACCTGCACGCGTTGAATGGATCGATGACACCTCGGCTAATCTCATTTACTCTTCCACCGATGTGGGCCTTCAGGCTCTCCTAGCTCTGACTCAAGTCAACGAGGAAGAAGATGCCTCCGCCCTCCCACCTCTGCGTCTCCGGTCGGCGAAGCTCCTCGCAAGTCACCCAGACTCCGTTTTGCAAGTGCGATCTGCGGTCAAGTCAGACCGCAAGCAAGCGCGCTCGTACGAAAAGAGTCGCTTTTACCTCATGCACCCCGAACACGACCCTCGAGAGCGCCTGCGGGAGGAGCTTGCGGAGAGGAGACAACGTGGAGACACAAATGAAGGGGAGTACAGACGTCGTCGGTTCGATGATCGAGAATTGCGTCGACGTCGCGATCGCGACGATGACGACAACTTCAACGCCAATATGTACGACGATCAGCCTGAGAGCGTCTCGGACCCGGAGCGTGACCGCTCCGGCCGCAGACAGCGAGGAACGCGAGAGTTGTTCCCATCTGATGACCGGGCATCTGGACGGCTGCGCAATCGCAGTGCCTCCCCCGGCAGAGATACCCTTGAGGAGGGAAGTCATGTCGACCGAAACCCCGACACTCGCAGAAGATTTCGTGAACGATCGCCCCAGCTTGGGCGTCAAAACAGAGGCAAGGAGCTTTTTGCAGCCGAAGCTGGCGCCCGCGAACTGTTTCCCAACAAGCCTGCATCGAGTTATATCAAGAAAGAGCTGTTCCCCGCCAAAGCGAGCGGCCACCGCCGGTCTGATGCGTTTGATGCTGCAGACGAGACTCCAGATCTTCTAGGACGAAGAATCTCCGTTCCCGTTGCCGATGGTGGTTCTGACCAGCGGATCCGTGGCATCGCCAAAGATGTGGATCAAGGTTTTGCGATTCGAGGTGCCGGTGGCATTTCGATCAAAGGACGTGGCGCGTCAGTACGGGAGCTGTTCCCATCCAAGTACGATAACAAGGCGGGACAGTCGGCCAATGCAGGAAAGGAGCTTTTCTCTGATACTTTAGAGGGACGCGGAGGACGCCGGCGAAGGGCAGAGGATATGATGAGTTAAAAGGGATATCTCAAACACAGATATCTGCACCAGGGAGGTTGGGCGTTTTCAATTTCATCTCGAAGCATACTTTTCAATGGCGTTGTTTGTTATCCAAATGGACTGGATGTTCGTCTAGTGATTGCATATAATTATACCAGATACCCCTAGTGCACTTGTGGATAGCAATTGTTGCCGACTAAACCTAACGTGGTAAATGGAGGTAACAGTCCCCGTGACTCTTATCTAATATCTAGTGAGCGCCACTATAGATCATTCAATGTCATATCTAGATGAATAAACGGTATTCAAGATGCCGAGGTCCACGCGATTATCAGACTCAAAATCCAGGGACCGACATTCTCATTCGCCGGCGCCCTTTAAATTCTCCCAACGACCCACATTGCCATGACCGTGTCAGCACCAGTTCCCAACAGAACCTCTAAATAATGCTGTAGAATCTTCGGAGCCGGATGAATTACCAGATCGGGGGTCTTCCCTGTACCCTACCACTCATTGAAACTTTCATTTAAAATCCTGTAGCGGAAGCACGGGAAGCAGGAAACATCGCGGAAGTTTTTTCTCAGGGGAATACCCGCGTCTGCCACAATCACTGCAAGACCCGATCAACTCCATATTTCGATAATCAATTGTACCACAATGGCCCCACAGCCAGTGCCATTTCCCGGCTTCACCCCGATATCAGATCGGGTCTATCTTCGCAATGGGCCCGAAAATGCCGCGCCTGGCTCAGCAGACGAGCCAACAACAATCGTCCTTTTCGGCTGGGGTGACGGGATGCCTAAGCATGTCTCCAAGTACAGCGATGGATTCCATGAATTGTATCCCTCTGCCCGAATTGTGGTCATCCTATCAGGCACTTTCCAAGCCTCAAACCAGCCCCTGGATGCCAGGATTGAAGCCATGATGCCTGTTATCGACACCATCTTCCCAACACCCACAGGCGATGGAGCCGAGGAAGAGCGCGTCTTGTTACATGCCATGTCGAACACTGGTGGCATCTTCTTAGCCGCCGCCTTCGTCGCATACCAAAAACGACACGGCGCAGATAAGAAACTCCCGCATCAACTTCTGGTCTGCGATTCTACTCCCGGCGGTCTAGACTTTGCATCCCAGGTTGGCCGTTGGTCTCGAGCAATGGCCGTGGGCTCGGCGAAGTACTTCCCCTGGCCGTTCATTGTTACCCAGGGACTATGGTATGGTTTCCTCTGGGGTAACTGGGCCTGGGAGCGTCTGCGTGGTTCCGAGCCGTCGGGTGTCTGGGCTACGCGGATTTGTATGGATCATAATATCTGTCCGGTCGAACCTACTAGACTTTATCTTTACTCTAAAGAGGATGAGATTATTTGGTGGAAAGACTTGGAGGAGAGTGTTGCGAACGTTAAGGCTGCCGGCTTCCCCATTGAACTTGAGATGTTCGAGGGCTCGCCGCATGTTGGGCACATGAGGATGCATCCGGAGCAATATTGGAACAGAATTTCCTCTTGCTGGAAGGCGACACAGGAGAATAAATAATGTGATATCCATGGATTATGTATAGAAGGTTTATAGATAGATTTGTACTTAATTTGACCTATTCTCAATAATTGATCATGTCTTGGAAGCTATTCTACGCTTATTTTTGTGGGACCTTTGTTTTCTCAGGTGATCTCACAATACTATGAACAATCCAAGCCAAACAAGAGAATGGAAGCTCTAGTTTCCAAGATGATTGTACCCCCAAATTGAGGTGGTTGTTGGATTTATGTAGCGTGCTATCGCCACAATGTTCCGCTGCCAGATTCATGCATATCTGGCGCCCCACCCACTTCATTTTGACATTTCTCAACTGATTGTCCATGGCCTCCTCCACATCCATAGATGCGCTCGCAAGCGCCATAGTCGCGCGATTTCTGCGGACTTATAGCTATACAGAGACTCTACAAGCCTTCATTCGCGAGGCAGACCTTCCACTGGACGTGGGGCAAGCTTCTGGTGACGACACCCACAATCTGACCATCCAGAGCTTGCTGGAAGAGAAGAAGACCTTTGACCACACTGTTAACTTTGAGCGATATGGAAAAGATGATAAAGAGCATGAGGGATGGAGTGTTCCTGGTGAGTCCATCTTGTGCTGTTTGCGAGATGGTCACTGATGCCGTCTAGCACCGTCAAAGCCGACAGTGATTCAGACACCGACATCATCGAACATCCTGTCTGCATCTGTAGAGCTTTGGAATCAATCAAGCCACGATGCAGGCTCACCCGGCTCTGTGCAGCCGTTAATTCTTTCTACAGGTGCCGATCGACAAGCGCATTTGTTCGAGACAGCGTCAGATCATGCTTCTCTTGCCTCCTTATCTGGCTTGTATGATTCACCTGTGCTCTCTTATGTATCAATTCTCCATGGCCGATACATCCTCATGGGCAACATGTCTGGCAAGCTTCTGCTGCAACAAGGCAGTCGTGTCCTAGACAGCAGAAAAGACCACGCTAAATACGTGGTCAAGGTTATCGCCCATGAGGACAAGAGCTTATCCGGCTCATCCCGCAGATTTTGGGTTGCCACCGCTGGCTGGGATGCAACTGTCTACTTATACCGACTCGACATCCCAGCTGAGGAGGAGCCAAACTCGTCGTTGGTCATCGGAGAGCCCGTGACGCATATCAAGCTGACCACGAATCCCGAGTCACTGCTTTTCGTCCCGCATGTTGACACCGGCGAGTTACTTCTCCTCGTTTCGCGCCGGGACTCGACACATATCTACTACTACGAAGTCGCATCGTGCACCTCCGAGTCCCGCCTTCTTGGAAAGCAGAATCTAGCTCCTCACTCCAATGCCTGGGTTGCATTCTCTCCAGCCTATATGGCGCTCAGTCCACACGACCCTGGTCTACTAGCTGTTGCCACTTCAACACTACCACATTTAAAAGTGATGATTGTGCGTCTTTTGTTCCCATCTACCGAGCCTCTTGGTGATACAGAATCTGGAGATGCAGCAGTGACACAGGCATCTCAAGCCCTTGCATCTTTGGCGCTGCAGAACCGTGAGGATGCGGCTATATTGCTCCAGGCGAATACGTTTGCGCCGCAGACGGCGTACTCGACTCCACAGATTGTGTGGAGACCTGATGGGTCGGGAGTTTGGGTCAACGGGGACGACGGGTTGGTGCGGGGAATTGAGACGAAGACGGGCAAGGTGGTGGCTACCTTGAAAAACGGCCATGAGTTTGGCTCCAAGGTGCGGACTATCTGGGCGGGTTATGTTGATGTCCCAGGTGAAGATGAGAACCAGACCCAGCAGGAATGGGTGATCAGTGGTGGATTTGACAAGAGATTGATTGTGTGGAAAGTATGAGATTGTGGTTATACTATGTATAAATAACTAGATCTCAACAATTCTCGCAACATGGTTCACAATAGAGTGACCGGATACTACTGCAATATACTAGATTACGAAGTTTGTAGCCGTCCATCCTCGCACCCTTTCGACCACCGAGAAGTTCGAAAGGGTGATAGAGAAAGACAGGGGCTTGTGGGGTTTTGTCTTGGCACGTTTGATAAAATCCTTCAGCAGTCGCGCATAGAAGAGCACGTTGCTGTACACACATATGCCGTGTAACGAAAAATCGAGAGAATACTCGATGTCAAAAAAAAGCAGGTCAGCCAAAGACTGACGTACGAAGTGGCAGCGGTCAACCACAATAAGCAAGATGGAGGATGGAGGAATTGCTGTCCCGCTTTGGGACTGGCACCGCTGCGTGGATATCGAATTTAAGCCTGTTGATTCTTGTTTATCAAACAACCCAGGACGCTAGCGCGCAAGGAACAAGCAGAAACCAGGCCTATTCGACACAGCGAATGTTCTTTGATCATCGCACGTTATTGTAATCCCCATGTCCTTGCGCGCACTGGTTTCCTCTCCAGTTTTCATTTTTTCCCATTCAGAAAGACATTTACGCGACCTCACGCTTGCCCTCCTTGCGCTCCTTCTGTATGGTTATTAGTAATCTGGACTTTGGCCGTGGCTGTGGCGAGTTCAACGTACCAGGGCCTTGGCGGTGCCGTGCAGGGCGTGACGGTGGTTGCGGCGGAACTTGGCGTCAACACCACGGAGGGAGGGGTAACGGTTGGTCTTGGGCTTCTTGATACTGCATAGGAGGTGATATGTCAGTCGTTCGGTTCTCTCTGGAATGTATAATGCGGCGCAGAGTGAAGGAAATTCAAGAAGTTTCCGGTTGACTTGAACATATGGCTAAGATGTTCGTTTCGTCTCAAATTGTCATGTTCAAGTCGGACCAGTCGGCCTTGATTCCCTCCACCCTTCAATCGTAAAAAAGACTTGTCGGTTTGCAGCATGATTGTTCGAGGAGAGATGTTCAAAATCGGTTGTTCAGGGGGGTACGCACCCGTTACGGTGAGCCTTCTGGCTGCGGTGGTGCTGGGACGCGTTCTTGGACTCTGTGGAGCGCAGGTCAGGTTAGTGATCGGGTTTTTTCAAGACAATATGGATGGCGTTGTTCCGGCGATAAGGTTGGGGTTCACATACTGGCCATCTTGACGAATGTTGTCGCTGATTGACGTGGACGGGATAAGGAGAGTAGAGGAGAGCACTGGAGTTGGACCCAAATGAGACTTCGGCTAGGGCTTGCTTCTGTGTGGGATCTCGCTTACCGCCATGGGTGCACGGACCTTCTATACTTAGCAGCTATACTCCGTACTCCAGCTACGTCAGTACAATCCACATAATAAGCTTAATGAATTCGGAGTCATTATCCAAAACAATTCTATATTTTGCTTGACTACGATGTTTCCCCTACACATATTCATCAAGTTGTGGCTTGGGGTTAAGGGTTGCTTACAGAACAGTAGAAACGGGCAAAAAAAAAATCACACATCACGTGAAATGACATAATCACATATAACACGTGATCACGAAGTATGGATCTTTGTGCTTTAGTGAAGATGCTCCATATCTGCATCAATTCAAGATCGGATGCTAAACAGGTCAGTGGAGTGATTCTTCTCATGCAGGCAATTGCACTAGCTTTCTTGTTAGCAAGCAATTGACTGGCTGAAAAAAAACCCGACGATGACCTGTCCGATATCGCACCACTGCATGGGCGATATTGGGCTATGAGAGTGATTGAAAAACAGCATGGACTAGACTCATATGAGCGACTTTGGCCGGGTACCTTAATTGGTGCCCAAATATCCAGCATAATTATGCAATATCAATAAATAGTAGACTTGGCTGGCATGCCGGGTGGGATCACCACGTGACCCGCACTAGGGAACAACCGGCGTTCCGACTTCGACCTTTGCACGGCAACTTCAAGAGGGATCACCCCCAGTCTTTGCATCCTCCCACCCCATTGCGATAATGAACTCCTTCCGCTTTGCTCGTTCCGCCCTGCGGGCTCGCCCCTCCGCTTTCAGCGCTCCCATCCAGCGCCGTGGATACGCCGAGGCTGTCGCTGACAAGATCAAGCTGTCCCTGACGCTCCCTCACAAGGTATGTCGAACCGACACCGGCCAAACCTCCCTAGCTTGATAGACCTCGGACTAACAACCTGTCTCTTTAATAGACCATCTACCGCTCTACTGGCGTGTGCGTTGCCTCTCCTCTTGCGCTTGTGTTATCCGCGCCCTGAATACTGACGAACCTTCGACCACAGCACCCAGGTCAACATCCCCGCCGCCTCCGGTGAGATGGGTGTCCTCGCCAACCACGTTCCCTCCATTGAGCAGCTCAAGCCCGGTCTTGTCGAGATTGTTGAGGAGGGTGGTGCCACCAAGCAGTACTTCCGTATGTCCGATCCTCGCTCCCGAGCTGCATATCGAAAAAGCGCCTTCCGACAAACACGAGAATATTCGCTAACATACCTTTTTCCTTTGCGACAGTGTCCGGTGGCTTCGCCGTTGTCCAGCCCGACTCTCAGTTGAGCATCAACGCCGTCGAGGGCTTTGCCCTTGAGGACTTCAGTGCCGAGGTAGGTCGCGTCACTTTTTTCTGCGACAGCGCGTGGGATACTAACATTCAATGCTTTAACTTTAGGCTATCCGCAACCAGGTTGCTGAGGCCCAGAAGATCGCCAACGGCAGTGGCAGCGAGCAGGACATTGCTGAGGCCAAGATTGAGCTTGAGGTATGCATCTCCTAGTTTTTCTTATCTTGAAGTCGTAACCGCCAACTAACCATCTACTCAATGAACAGGTTCTCGAGACCCTCCAGGCCCATGTCAAATAGATGTACATATTCACTCGCGCACCGTTTTGAACCTGTAGAATTATAGCAATTCTTCCTTTTGTCGATTGACACTTCAAATTCGCGCTCCTTCCATTTTCATTTACTTTGGTAGACCACGGCCATGTCTCCCTCTTTTGGCACTTTTTAGTTCCAGTGACACTTAAACCGCAACTCTCCGCAACTTTAGCCATGCACTCCATGAAATCGCCCATGGGCAATCTCGACCCTCGTGTGACGATGACTGATCCGGTAGATGTCTTACTTTCCCCTTCCTTTGCATCAGTGCTCGCTTTTGATGAGCCGAATGAACCGGGCCTCCAGGATCTCATAGCACTCGACGATGAAAATCACTGCGAGCACGCTATGGGTTGGCACGGCCAACCTGGACCCAGTGGCACGCGTGACTCGTCTCTCAAACAGGGCACTTTCAAGCGGCCTCCATACCCCCGACTCGAATTGGATGTTGCCATGGACAGATACCATGCTCTCGATGGGCCTGCAGAACTATTGATCCCACAAAACACCCCCGACTCAGCGAATGGTAGCCCCAGCGAAGGGCATCGAGGGTACAAAACCGATAATCTACGAACTCGTTCCGCTCCACAGGCACCTGTATTGACGCTAGATTGGCTTGGAGACGCGGAGTCGATAAATCCACGAAGTGAGGGAAAGGGAAAACGCCAGCCACCGAAGCGTTTGTTTTCGGTCTCAGATGAACCACGTTCTCCTTCACCAACTGCTCAAGGAAATCACGAATACTCGACCGTGAATTTCTCCCCCATCAAAGGCCTTGCTGAAACTATAGCTACGAGATGTGTTCGGTTCTCTCCACCTGAATCTCCTCAATGTCGGTCCCCTCGTTCAGGCTCACGTCCTCTCCCATCAGTGGAGCGCAAGCAGGACTACATCTCTCTTTACCGGCAGCAAAAGCAGCAGGAGAAGTGGAAAGGCGCTTCCCGTGCTTTTGCTCCACGAGTTTCTCCACGTCGCAGCCCTGTCAAGGCGCAGCCATCGGCGAGTTTGAATCCACGACCGGAAATTCGCTTTTCGTCCCTATCCAAGGTGCTCTTCCGCCAGGATGACCTTGCAACTCGCCTCCACGGCACGCAGCGGGCACAAAGCCCAAAGGCAGATCCCATGCTCGAAGACGCCAACTCCGACAAAGATTTCCTGCCACAGGAACGAGTGTACGACCTTGTTGTTCTGAATCTCGGCCTGTACCGACCTCGGCACCCCGAGCATCTTCCGCGCGATTCAAAATGGGCATTTGTGCGAGTTCGAATGAGCCCTACTTTCATACCAGCCGGCAGCTTAGTCGAGGAGGCACAGGGGACGAAGCAGATCGTATGCCGCCTACCAGCCGAAGACTTGCTTCTTCATTTCATTGTCGTTGTGCCCTATTATTTTATGCGTATCCCTCTCAGTGCGCTCGTTAAGGCCGGTCGACTGGCAAACTCTCGAGCAAGCCTTACAGTCCTCGATATCTTCAGAATTGCCTGGGCCCTTATAGTCGCCTTCGCCAAATTTGTGGCATATCGAGTTTGGGGCATGAAAGTCGGTCATGATGCGAAGGTCAAGGCTCAGTACCCGGAAAAAGCTCACCGATCTTGAAATCAACCTTGACGGTCTGTGTCCGTCTTGTCGCGAAAAAGAAACACGAACTATTTTTACATGTCTAACCTGATAATTTGAAACCCGCTTTTCACCTGTTTGCCTGCAGAAGCCACCATTGTATGCCGAAGATTCGGAAAACCGTTCACCTGGGCAGCTTTTATGATCCATGATCAGTCTTGTATTTGTTTGAAACTTGGTGGGATGCTATTATTGTCTTATCTTGACGATGGAACTATGGAGGTTTATGAAGTTTCGCTATTCAGCACAGTAGGTTATCGTTTTTTCTTCCCTTTGCAGTTTCACCCAAGCAAAATGCATGAGTTACGTACGTTGAACCATCGACAGGCTCTAGCAGCACATGATATTAACAGGTTGCCCGCCCCTGCCTCAGGCCAAAAAGACCTCTACCCGGTTAGACCAGAGCCAAACGTCTCAAACCTTAAATCGCGCTAAAGTCCGTTCTTAGTCCGCCTTTCTCTACAATACATCCACGTCAATTCAGGTCATGTAACCCCTCAGTCGTCGACTTGACTTTGTTGTTTTCTTCCTGGGTGCTGCTTAAGTACGGCATCTTCTACAACATAATCCCCATGAGACCACCTCTGGCTTGTCAGAACTGTAGGGCGCGCAAGAAGAAATGTGATCGTGCGTACCCCAAATGCTCACATTGCTTAAGGTTAATATCACTGCCGTTCTCATACAAGAGCAATACTGAAACCCCACAGGATCCATGATCGCTGCCAGTATCGGGGGCTGGGCCAATCAGCTCAGCCTGCTAGCAGGGCAGTCCCTTTGGAACAATTTCATTGTACCGATAACTTACCTGTCACAAATGTCCAGACGGCCGCTGCATTCCTGGGCTATCCATACATCCAAGGAAACATCTCACAAGGTTTTGTGAAGAGGATCCTGATATCGAAAGACTTGCAAGAGTTTGTCGCCGATACAAACAATGATGACTACCTTGCCCAATTCTTGCAGACCGTAAACTATTGGATGCCAGTTATTCCTGTGCAATACATGCAAAGTAACCTGTCACAGCCAGTCAACTTAATGACCAATGAAGAGACTCTTCTTCTGGCATGTATCAAGCTTTTGACTCACCACAATCCCGGAGATCATCAGTCTAATCGATATTACTTGGCCGTGAAAACAAGTATTGTAGCTTTTGAAGTCAATGGCCAATTGTCTGTCCATCTCTTACAGGCCCAGATCTTGGTACTTATATACGAATACGGTCATGCCATATACCCTTCTGGCTATCTAACACTGGGGTCCTGCTCGCGATATCTCACTGCCCTCGGAATTTATGGGCCCAAGCTACCTAAAGCTTCTACAGAATGGATAGACTTCGAGGCCCAAAGACGTCTATGGTGGTCGATATATGTTATTGAGAGGTTTGTTTGTCCTTTTTATTCCCGTTGACACGGTTAGAATACTGATCAATTGTATCAATCCAGAACGATGGCGATTAGTCGCCCATGTGAGCCCTTACTACTGGCAGAGCCCGATGAGAATGACCCTTTACCTTGCGATGATACCTTATGGATACAGCAAGAAAATCCCATGTGTACCGAGAGTTCTAAAGACTGGGTGATGCCAATGGAAAGACAGACCTCAATTCAATTGACACTGTTGTCACCTGTGACTTCTCGCATGGGTGGCTTCCAGCTTCTAGTACATGCAACATATCTTCTATCAAAGGCCATCCAGTGCGCGTCTGAACGCCAACAAGGTCTCCAGATCTCCGACGAAAGATACGTACAGCTGATTCGTACTGTGGAAGCCTTGATGACTGTTCTTGAAATTGAAAGACAATCCGCAATTGTAGCTGTGGGAATGCCGCGCAATATTCTTAATAGGTTTGTGTCTTTTAATCTTTTGTGGAGAGTTGAGTAGCTAACCGACAGCAGTACTATCTTCTTGATTTATTCGCTCTTACGCGATGCTGAAAATCCCCTTGTCGCACAACTTGAGCATCCACGCGAGCTATCAGCTACCTTTTATCTCGAACGCACTCGAGCCTTCCTAGATGGCAATCTTGGAGATGTACGCATAGCACCACCTTTCATTTTGCAGTGGGGCTTTCGAGTGATCCAGTATTACTCTGATAAATACAAACTGGAAGGGCACTATGAATCCTTGAAAGCAACTCAGGATATCGAGAGATTTTTTGAAATATTTGACCAGAGGTGGAAAATTGCTGGTAGGTTAGCTTATACTTCCCTCGTGAGATCTACTGACGCCTCTGCACAGGTATTTACATGTCACTTTTGAAGGATATACTATGAGTAAAATCTGTTCACTAAAAGGCCAGCCTAGGAAAGGAATTGCAAGGACTGTGGTCCTCAGCTGGTATGGCCTGTAAAACCCAACGCATTGTAAAGGTTGCAAGCAGACAAGACCTCACGCACTGAGCGCAAAACTGACTCAACAAATGTTATAATTTTAAATTTCGACTCCCACATATCAAAAGCGTCCGACAAGTTTGAACCTTTCTTTGAACCTTTCTCCCATTAAAAGAAGCTCATGCAAAGAGCAGCCCTGCCAGTGCCTCGCTTAGTAGGGCCGGTGGTCTGTGCACTTTCAAATCCGTATGGCTTTTTGAGGCTTCGAACACGAGACTCAGCCCCTGACTAGACAGTCTAGCGCACAACGATTAATTTCATTGGCCTCTAGATATATTAACCTTTGGAGCTATCATGGGAGACTCCACTGTTGTTAAGTAGTATAGGGCAAGAGGGGTCTTAGCTTTGTCTCGCTTCTCATATATCTTAGCGCAGGAGCAGCCACACCTACTTCTCTGAAGCAATTGAGTGTAATATTCCCTTTCTCTCACGAGGATGAATCAATCAACTACCCGCAATGGAAGCCCAAAAGGAAGCTCCCCAATATACCAATGAGTGGTCTAATTCCTTCTGGGATTGCTTCTCCCCGACAAAGACATGTAAATCATCTTGCTGGTTCTTGCCCATATTTTCATGAAGCTTGACTAACAGATCAACCAGGCGCTCTGGCATGGTGCTGTCCGTGTGCCCTTTTAGGAAGGACCTCCTCCCGTCTCGAGGACCCTGCACTGAAAGAATACAGCTATATGAACGGTGATGTACGTATTTGCCTCTACACCTCACCTGTCCAGATCCCACATTAACAAAAGACCCCTTAAAGTGCTGTATATATGCTGCAACCCACTACTGCTATTTGTGCTGGGTTCATTTAATGATGAAACGCCGCCAAATCCGCAGACACTTCGGTATTGGTGGCTCCAGTTGCAACGACTGTATATTGGCATGCGCTTGCCCGTGCTGTTTGCTTATGCAACAAGAGAAAGAGGTGGAAGCGCAATATATTCGTCTCCAGTCGGGGTACCAGGCCCCTGCTGGGATGGAGTATCCTCAGTAAACTCTGGAGGGCGTACCTATATTTAATCTGCTTTTGCCCCCCTCTTGTGGAGCCCTGTATACAATATTCACCCGTTTCTATTCTCTTCTGCATACAATAGAAAATTCTAATTAGCCTGGCGGACCAGTGAGACACTCCTCCACCCTCCTCTCTAATCCCTTAAGCCCTGCGGACCAACTGAATTTTTAGGGACCCTAATTCCTGTCCGTCAGCGCTAGTAACACTTCCGGAACGGCAACAGGCACTAATAAGAACACTATCGCTCAAATTGGTTCTAAGGCGTACGCTAGAAGAGAGGGTGCTAGCGGCGCAATCCCGAAGTGCTTGGTCTTCTCTTAGTTTGGACAAGCAATTTGCCATGGCGTGCCAAGCCTCGTGTCAAATCGCGTACCAAGTCCTACCGAAAATTCAAATAATTCTGGTTTTAGACGCTAAAAGTGTACGAGGCGCTCTGAACCAGGCATGTGATAGCATGAGCCTTTAGGGTAGTTTGAGTAAAAGTCTTCAGCGCTATACTGAGTCAAAGGGCAGAATGATGGTCAGGGTCCGTCGAAAACCCCTGATTTAGGAATGAATAGGGCCGGGCACGGAGCTTGTGGGGTGGAAATTGGTCAGACCAGAAGCTAATTGACCCTGAAAGACTAATGACTGAATCTTTCCCGGCAATTTTAACCGATGGACTTCAGTGTTTATCTACTTATTCCAGTGAGGCATCTGGCTTTTCTGTTCTCAGCGTTATGATTATTTCATTGTTTTTCTTTGTCACTCGTTCATGAAAGCTCAACGCGATATCTCTATATTTCAATTCTTCAAAATGCAGTCCAAAGCTCTCGCTGCTCTTCTTCTTCTGGCTCCGGCCCTGGCCATGCCCCAAGCTAGTTCCGTGGCCTCCTCCAACTCTTCTGGCTTCGAATCTTCTGGCTTCGAATCTTCTGGCTCTGAATCTTCAGGCTCTTCTGAGTCCTCCGGCTCTTCGGATACTACGGACACCGTTTCGGTCCCCTCACTTCCCACTGATTTCGTCAGTGTCCTAGAAACGGCTGTCCCAACTGCTTGGGAGTATGAGATGATGAACTCTGCCTCTATGGCTGCAGTTGTCAGTGCCGCTGCAGAAGGGATCTACCCAGCCTGGTACAATGACCTGCCAGGCAGTATCAAAGCTATTGTTACTTCCCTTGGCGGGTTTGACGAGGTCATGGTTGGTGAGACTGGCTCGATGACTGTGGCTATGAGCACCAGCTCTTCCGGGCCTTCTTTTGAACCTACAGTGACTACCACTGCTGCCAGCTCATCTGGTTCAGTTGTTATGGAGACTCAGGCTCCCGCTACTTCGAGCATGGCTTCCAGCTCCAAGTCGAGTGCTCCTGCATCTGCGAGCTCGACTGGTGGTGCACCAATGGCTACTGGCGCCATCACTATGGGTGTCGCTGGTGCCGCTGGTCTGTTGGGTCTTGCTCTTGCCCTATAGATCACTATTGGAAATCAAGGTTGCATAAATGTCCATGTGAATGAATCCAACACTATCATACATCTTTTCTATAATATAAATCTGCACTCATAACTCCTCCGTATACGTTTTGAACAACATGAGCCCTGAAAAGAAGCATTGCCAAGAGGAGTCCACTACCCATACAAGCCCAACCCTGAGACAAGTGGTCCTTTTATCACACCCGATCCACCTGGATACCCACTTATACCAGGAAATGTAAAATTTAGCCAGCAGGCTACGAAAATTGTCTGGTGATCGTGGGACAATATAAAATGTAAAACTGACAGTTCCACAGCGAGCTGATAGAGACCTTGGGGTATAAGTGCACATGTGTTGTCTCTCGTAGACAGGGCAAACCACCACTTCACGTGCTCCCGTGTTCCCCTTCAGTGACACAGACTTGTATTAAAATAAAAACAAAGTCTCGTTTAGGAAGTGCTTAGGCCCTGAACTAAGAGGGTCTGAGGCTGAATGAATCGTGGGGAGAGTTGTCGCCATTTTACTCGTTGAATTTGGCGAGTGGCACTCGCTAGTCTCGCCACGGGGGTCTGATCGTCAAGTGACCAAAAAAATCTTTAAGTAGGAGCTACCTGGCCTCAGTAGGCATCTATATGTGGAATCACTAAAGACATTTCGTTATAGTGTGGCTATCAAGGGAAAGGTTACTTAATCTGTTCCCCGGATGTAGTACAAAGTCTCCTGCCGGGCAGAGAACCCCTCACATATGCATCTTCGAACTTCTGACTCAATCAATTTTCAAAATATTTTGTCCCATTCCAAGGTTACTTCTTCCACTTTCCAATCAATTGAAATGCCTCTCTGCGAAGACTGTAACACGTGGGATATGGAGATGGATAGCGCGTTCGGTATCGAATTGGTTGAATACAATGATCTACTCGCCAAAGCAGAGAATAGCTGCGAATCATGCAACTTCTCCTGTGCGATTTTGCAAAATTCATTCCGCTACACAGATTAACATGATACTTTGTCCGAAAATTTTATTAAAGATGATTTGAACAGCTCCGGTGCATAATAGATTTAGTAATCGTCGGCACATTATGCTACCTTTCAATTGAACAAACCTAATACATGATGTGTTTCCCCTAATGTGCACTGTCCTTATGTATCAACAGATTCGTTATTCAAATTGATCACATGAAATTCTTTTATGCATGGCTGCAGTCGTTAAGTACATGTGGGAATCAGGAAAAAATGAGTAAGTCAGCAGCGACTTGAACCAACCAAACCCATCCGATAATCAAAGCCATAAACTCGCTTGCCCTTAACAAAAGAGATAAACAAAGAGACAAAAAAACACATAGCCTACCTATTCAGTTCATTCCCAGGACCTTGAAATTCGTGCGTAAATGAGAAAACATCAATCGGACATGAGACACATCAACAGAGGCAGACATTTTGTACAGGTCGTAGAAATCCATAATGAACCAGAAAGCACAAAGGAAAAAGGAAAGACGGGGATTAGCGGGATTAGTATTACTCAAACTCCACTCCGTGCTGCTGCTGCCTCTCTTGTCGTGTTCTGGCTCGCTCTGCCCGTCTGCGGCGACGATTATTTGCATATGACCCACTGGCTTCGGTACCTGTCCATGTACCAGGTGAAGTCACACTACCATAGGCCAACCCGGAAGGTGCAGGGCCTGGGATAGGAGGTGGAGGCGGCATATGGCTAACTTGGGATGCGGGCGGCATAGAAGATGCAGGGATACTGCCTGACGGTGCCATGGACATAGGGACCCCCGCAGCGGCGGCTGCAGCGGCAGCATGGCGCTGCTGCTCCTCTTGTTGTCGCTCCAGTTCCTCGACGCGACGCCAGCGATCGTGACTTCGTTCGTCACCAGAAAGAGAACTTGCACTTCCTGCACGACGTCGCGAGTTTCGTCGCTCTCGGCGTCTTGCCTCACGGCTTGCGGCAGCTTCTTCTTCTGTGAGACGACGGAGGGTGACATGGCGACCATCGTTGTGCATCTTCACTTTCACGGAGACAGGCGGGGATTCAACGTGGTCGTCGCGGCGTCGATTTCGGCTTTGGCTGCGGCTGTGGCTACGGCTGTTACGACGGCGGCTGGAAGCTGCTGCAGCGGCGGCCGCTCCACCTGCAAATCCGGCTGCGAGCTCAGATCCAGTCTCCGAAGGTGGTAGCTCTGATCTCGAGTCACCGGAAAGTTCGTGATGAATTGGAGGCCTGGGAGGAGGCAGATCTGAGGGAACAGGGTCGTGAACAGCCCCAGATGCCATGGGCTCAGCTGAGAGGAGCGACCCATGAGATGGCTGTCGAGGAGGTCGGGGAGTCAGCTCGGTTGGTGTGAGGTCACTCTCGGTGTATGAGCTCGGCCTGCGTCGCGACGGGTAGGGGCCTGGCCCGGGGGGATTATTTTGTCGTCGCTTGCTATTGACACGTTGGATCCGCTCATCTTCTTCCTCTTGGCGACGGATATCATCTAATCGCCTCTTTTCTTCGTCATCCTTGTTGCGGCGTCCGCCAAAAATCTTCTTCAGCCCAGCAAAAGCGCCAGCGCCAAGCAAAGCATCTCTAATGCCATGTGATGGGCGCCTCTCGGGCTCAGTGAAATATGTGCTGTTGTAATAGTATGATGAGCCAGGGCTCTGGGGTCGGCTTGGTGGCCGACTTGGGGGGCGGTTGAGGGGTGTTTGGTGACTGGGCTCTGGTCTTCCGTCTTCAAGTCGACTGAGAGACTCCTCGGAGAAACTATCAGTGCGCGAATGGGCTGGGCTATACCGCCCTGACTCGGCATCATCTTTGCGCTCCTTTCGACGATCCCACCATTTCTTCGCCAGAATACCAGCACCGGCAAGAGCCCCAATTTCTAAAAACTTTCTACCCCAGCCGCCGCTCTCCTTCCGGGAAACCTCATCAGAGTACTTCTCGTCCGAATAAGATGTGCGTGAATCTTCATATGCGCCGCTTGAATGGCGACTTTTGGGGCGGCGTTTAAACATCGCAGCCAGTGCTGCAGTCGCTCCACCGGCAGCAAGAGCCTGTCCCAGCCCGCCATGGTGTTGCTCTTCAACGACCGACGGTCCTGTGTAATGACTGTGACTCAAGCGACTACCACCATGCTCACTCGGAACATGATAACCTTCATCGTCATACAGATAGGATAAAATGAAAAATGCCACCAAGTATGCGAAAGCAGCCAGCGAAAATAGAATGAATAGCACCTTGGGGGAGCCATATAATGTCAGGCCCAACGGGATTTGCACAATTCCTAGAATAGCGAGCGCGCGACCGAGCCATCGGTGAAGCTATATTCCTAGTCAGCACAATTATCAAACTGAATCCATCAGGCCACAACGAACCACTAGCTTCAATGGAACGCGATGTCGCATCTTGTTCCTTTCCACCTTATGGACAAACCAGCCCCATAGCGCTTGGAAAATGACCATGACATAGATTGCCAGACCAATTCCATGGTGCGGGTTGGTCAGACTTCTCTCTGGACCGACAGCAAACCAACCCAACACGAAAACGACTGTTGTCAAAAGTAATGTCAAAACCTGGAACCATGCATGAAGCTTAAAAGCCCAATATGGATTCCACCGGGAGTAATATCGGATAATGAGGGATGCCATTGGAACAAGGCCCAGGAAAACGATAGCCGCAATAACACCGTGCGCGATAATCATCGATTGGTACCCAGTCATGTTCTTGAATCGATTTCCCATGCCTATTGAGATACTTGTCAGCTAACTTCGTCATGCCACTATCGTATCTGCATGTCGGACGCACCATTGTATCGCATCGTCTCAAAATTCACTCCCATGAGATTGGGCAGCAAGAATGTGTCGCGCTCACTGTCCCATGTTCCATCTCCTACATGCAGCGTATTCGAGGAATACGTGCTGCTCCCCGGGGCTGCGAGCCCGGAGACCGTCATTTCGTTGGCTCGTGTGTATCTGTCTCTGGAATGTTCGAATTTATTGACGGAGATCTATTGAGATCCCCCGTTCCGAGGAATGCACCATGCGACGGGATCGGCGACTCGAGTGGAATGTTGAGTGACAGGCGTTCGAATGCTGTCCTAACTCAGTTACGAAGCAATTGTCTTGAAGAGTGTGGTGAGTTTCAGAGTGTTCAATGTCGTAGCGGTGAGAGTGGAAGAGGTCGTTCGAGGTCGTAGTCGTTAACAGTAAGGTAGTGAAGGAAGGGAACGAATTGCGCAAAGGTCCGAATAAATCCAACCAAGTTCCAGCCTGGAAAGATTGGGAAAACAGCCACGATAATAGCAGATAATAGGGAGAGCGACAGAGAGGAGTCGTACAGGACCAGACAACAAGCGGGCTGCGTCCAACGAATCCATGTCAACTTTCTTCCTAAAACGGTTTAGTGTGCCAGCTCATAACCAGGACAACCAGGAAGTCACGTGGTGTACTGGATCGATAACACGTCACCTGACCTTATCGGTCTATCAGTGACACGATCCAGCGCGAGAATGATGCCTTGATTCCCAAAGACCCCTATCCATTTCGCTTTCTCTTTCTCACTGTGTAGACATAGCAGGTCACGGAACTCTATAGATTGGGATCATCCAGACTTTCAGCTGGATTATCCATGCGCGATGACTCCATCTCAGCTGGAGGTCTTTGTTCGGGCTCTGTCCCGGTAGGTGTCCCCACTGGGCAGAATATTGGAATGGAAACTGATAAGAGGCAGGCTTTTGGGCTGGATATAGTATGTTACATCCGTTCATCGGGCTCGTATAGGGCTGACGTACCCGCACAGCATGGCCTGCTGGTCAGCATCTTTCTATCCTCAGCCCATCTATAATTTTCGGCGGGGCTCGACAGCAGGAACGTCGATCGATTTCCCCACGGTCAACTGGCTAGGTTTCCTGTATTATGCCATATATAATGGTGCTTTTTTATACTCACCAGTGATTCGCTCCCAGTACGCGGCTCGGCATCCACTCTCAGAAGAGCCTACGGTCCGCTTCAACGACTTGGCGTTCGCGGTTCACGCGGTGATTCTGAGTCTTATTGTCTATTCCCAATTCTGGCCAATGATCTGGGGTCTACAGGTTTCCCGCTTCCAAAGGATCAGCAAGCCCATAGCGGGCCTATTTTGGGGGTCTGTCTTGGCACCACTAATCGTGATTTGGATCGTTTTGTCAAAGAGCCCTGACGGGGGTTATGATCCTTCGATCTGGGCGTGGATCGATGTGGTAAGTTCAACCTGCAAGGCATTTTTGAAACCTCCGTGTGGCAATCTAACGCAGGAACCATCTTCAGATCTATACATTTTCCTACATCAAGCTCGTCATTACGATTGTGAAATATATGCCACAGGCCTGGATGAACTACAGGCGTCAGTCGACCTTGGGCTGGGACATCAACCAAATTTTGCTGGACTTAGCCGGCGGTGTGCTGTCGCTACTTCAGCTGGTCATGGACTCGAGCCTCCAGAGTGACTGGAGCGGCATTACCGGAAACCCGGTTAAGCTTTTCCTGGGGAATATTTCGATTATCTTTGATCTGATTTTTATAACTCAGCACTATATTCTATATCGAGGGGCTGAGTCCAAGCCAGTGGATCCTCATTCGGATTCCGACTTGACCACGCCTCTGCTGGCCGATGAGTCCACGCAAGCTAGATGATGTGGAGGGGATCATCTATAGCTCATCTCAAGCAGATATGAAACCGCGGGGCGGAATTAAAGACATTGTGGAGAAGGAACTACTATTTTTGCGTAAACAAATCCGGGCTCGGCAGTTGCGGTCACCGTGCGTTGAGACATTGGGGGCGGAAAGCTAGCAAACCTTCTACCATCCAATCTTGGACACTGTCTCGCGTAAATCCGGCTTTACTGGTTTAACAACTCGAAGTCTTGTTTGGGATACTCTTCACATGTGCGGACATTTTGAAACTCTTGGAAGCTAGGAGACTTTGCGTCAGCCCTACCCAGCTCGCAAAGATGAAACTCAAATGAAGAATAGCACGTCAGTAGGCTACATCTCACTTGCCTATTACATTATCTAGTGCGTCAGCGTCGATGACTTGGCAGCTCTGAAAGCGTGGCCCAATATCAACGGGTGCTTGGCTGGCAAATTCCCCACCAAGGTTGCAGGACGGCAGAGGAATCGATGAATCGATGGCTTGATAATGTAATGCAGCCACATTTTGCGGCTCGTGGGACACCGCTTCTCGCGTTTGGGGACCTTGCCCCACTCGACCGGAGATTTGGAATGTGAGTGGTGGAAGGGGCTACTAAGCACTAATATTTTTGCGAACAGACCAATGACAAGACATCCAGGGGTGGTGACGAGGGTCTAAGTGGAGCCCCACCGGGTTTTATCCGTCGGTGTCGGGTTCAGCGGCCCCTCAGCTGACCCTCGCATATTCTTAACACATCGCTCTAATCCCTGCTTGTTTCAGGGATTGTAATATGCTGTTTCGTCAGTTCTCGACACCTGAGCTGGCCTATGCCACCTTTACAGGTTGGTTCGGAAATCCGATGCTACCTTTATGCTGCCGTTGCGTCGAGGCGCCCAGAGAGGAAAGTTCCTTTTTTTAGAGAGAGAGGGAAAGGGAGAAAGAGGCAGAGAGAGGAGAGAGAAGAATTATACGACAGAAGTACATGACAAAGGGAATCAACATATCTTCCAAATAGGTATCCTGTTCGTACATAGATTCGTCATAGAAACAACTACAGCATACTTACTATATCTGGGCTAGGAGGCAATCTTCACAGAGAAGATTCTGGAGCCCTTGGAAATCAGGAATTATAATCAGAATGTCAAATTAATCAAATCCCGGCAGAGTGGGAAGACGTTCTGACCGTGGCTTTGTCCCAAGTGGGACCCCGCAGCGACCATAAGCCGCATGTCTACAAAGGGTTTAACTCCGCGACGCATTCCCATATGGGATTTCCGTATCTAAACTCGAGCGTACCGAGGACCTATCATCGTCATGGAATGCAATATGTCTTGGCTCATATTTTCAGCCCCGTACCGCTCTATTCGATGGCCGGATTGCTCAGCCCTACTCGACCAGACCAATAAGCGTCCCCCCAAACCTATTCTTTGCTGCGCATCTCCCCTCTTACGTCGATCACCTTGGCTGCCAAAAACCGTGCATAATGTGCCATGCTCCGGGCCCCGGGGTCAGGATTGATCTGATTCATCGTGATTCATGGTTCTGGGAGTCCCATGGGGCGGGTCGATCTCAATCGTCCCTCCAATCCCTACTGCCCCCTGCCCTTTTATTTTTATTATTGAACTTGCGAACTGCATGTTTCTTCCTTCCTTCTGAGTCAACATTTATTGCAGATCCCTTCTCGGTAATCATTGGTTTTTAAATCACATTTATTTTACGGGTTACACCTGAACCAAGAAAGCACTGCCTCGAACATTCTTTCTTATACACAGCTCAGGCTTCCAATCCAGAACTAAATTTACGGTTCCTGAATGCAACAGCCACCATAATTCTGGTGCACTTCAATTCTCCACTGGACGGGAAAATAAATCAAAGCTTATAACACCCGCTAACTCCCGCCTGGATCGGGAATCCACTTCGTTATCCATCTATTCACGGGCCTTCATCTGCTCTTACTGTCTCGGACTCGGACTTATCGGACCACGAAACATTACGCACACCTTGTGTTGATTGCTATGCGTGTTGATTATTCACCGTCAACTACCTTATTCGACTTTGATCGAGAGATTGACCTAGCATCTTCACAGTCGGACTGTGCCTTGTTCAATCAACGTACAAACTCGCTGCCCGACATGTCCAACAAGCGCAATAGTTACCCTGTTGCCACCTCTAACGGCCTGATAGCACCTGTGAATACGCCGTGTAGTTTGCCTCCACATCTGGTAGGCCTGACGAAGATCCCTGTCAGCTCATCGTCATCGCCCGCACACTCGTCTGGACTGCAGCCTTCCTTGGGCTACGCACCCGTCCGCCCTGAGTCTACAGGGTCTTTCTTAGCCCCAGAAGGCTATCTATCAGATCAAAGGGCCTCCCCTGCTAGCGACGCCATGGGATCCCTCTACACCTGGTCTAGTGCCTCTGATGTAGAGATGCTTCCACCTTCAGCTTCGGTAGACTCTGCCATCTGCTCTACCTCTTCTTCGCCCTTCATGCCACCCTACTTCGCTTTTGACTCCAACCAGGCCTCGATGGGTCAGCTGCTTCCAGAAACTGGCTACACCCATCAAGAAATCGGCCAGTGGTGCATGAACAGCCTTTCCACTGGCACCTTTCAGTCTACTACATCCTACCCAGCCGTCGGCCCACAATATCAGGCCGAGACAGCGGAAATGCATCAAGCAGACTACGCATCACTCCACGAGAATATGAACACATCTGCACCATGGTTTAACATCCCATCCGACGGCTACCTCTCCCCACCCACAGTCCCCGCAGTCTCAATGTCTACCCTCGACACAACCTCAGTAATGAGCACCTCCCCAACCCCAACTACAGCGTCCGACCTCGACATCCCAATGCCAACCCTCCCACCTAATTCCCCATCGAGAAGTCGAGCCGATCTAACCCACTACGGGATTCCAACTGGTGATGGTGAATGGCGCTGCGCCCACCCAGGCTGCACATCCCAGTCCTCATTCAAACGAGGCTGTGATCTGCGTAAGCATTTTAACCGTCATCAGAAACATCTATTCTGTCGATATGAGGGATGTCCACAGTCCAGACATGGTGGGTTCTCTAGTAAGAAAGACCGTACTCGCCATGAGGCGAGACACAATCCTGGTGTTGTCTGCGAGTGGGAGGGATGTGGACGTGTGTTTAGTCGGGTGGACAACATGCGAGATCATTTGCGGAGAATTCATCGTCGTGGGGCTAGCAGTTGAGCGTGGGCTGGTCCCCACTTTTAGCGGTTCACTGCTTTTGTTTTACTTTCTTTGGTTTCTCTGTTTCGGATCTGTATACGATACGCATGGGACAGCGGGTTATGGTGACACTGGCGAATTGGAAGATGGTTAGATTGGTATTGGAAAAGGAGTCAAAAAAGGCAAGGGGAATCACATCTGGGAATGAATATGGGGCTTGCAGGGTCGGAGCTATATTTTGTGAAGTATAACAGCTGGACGGTTACTATTTCCACTTATCTAGATTGAATCTCCAGATCGATTTGTTTAAATTACTTTACTACATGATGTTTTTGTGCTTTGACAGTTTATCTTCATGTTTCAAACAAATTTGTGTAAAGTACATACATCTTACCTACAGTCATGTCAGGTACAGAACTAGACAATATGCATACGCAAGCGAACTGCAGGAGATCAAAAAGGTTACAGCCAACGCTTTTTTCCTTCAACATAAATATGGGCATCTAGTTTGGTTTCCAATCTCACTACAATACATAGAGCCCCTAGCGCTACGCCCAGTCCGTTTCTATACAATACCGGAGAGACTATTTTTACTCCTGGCCCCCAGTATCTCGAGTCTTCACAGCGAAAATAGTCCATGAGTCCATGCATCCTACCTTACATTCCAATTACGCCTGCTGAGTCGAGCAGAATGCGACTTGACTGCCTCCAATTTGGATGCTTGAATCTAGCCAGGACATTGAGATTACATGCTCAGATAATTTAAATGGTATGTAGACTCAGGCGCCATAGCATTCATGACTTTGCTCATCACTCCGCATGACTATTTCCCTCATGGGGTTAGTCTCATATGTGAAACCGGCAGAATGTATACTTTGCGACCCAATGCCTTGGGCCCCTCCCCGAGCAAATCCGTGGAATGTTGGAATGAAGGTACCGGATCAGCGGTGACATTCATGAGTTAATCAGAAGCGCGGATTTGGGATTCCCGGAGTTATCTATTCTGTATGATTTGTTTTTGGCTTTTAGTTGGCTCTTGAAATCCACTTCAGCCGCTACAATCCTCCATTTTCTCTATTCCATTCCGTCATTTGATTTTAACTTTGGTAGCTTATCGATCGGGCGTGGACACGTTTGGTGTAGCCTGTTCGTGAGACCACGTTCTTCAAACTTTCTTTCCTCCAGATAACATCTAGTGGCTGAAGTCAATGTTGCATGTGCTGTTCCTATTAGTAATTCCTCCTACCAAGGCTAGTAGGTGCCTAATACTTTCAGGACCCCTACTCAAACAGTCAGTCCTTTTCAAGTCTTCAACATATAGAACAAACGTGGAAGCCTTAAAACCTTCTCTAGCGCGGCCCGTGAAACCCACACCTTATCCATGATGAGTATGTTTGACACTTTGGGCGTACAAAGCCAAAGGCCCTGAACCGTCAATGGTAGTTTACACCAGGCATCTACGCCGAAGGGGAACTGTTTTAAAATACTTGCCTCAGGCTTGGCTCCAAGGTCAGGCTGTTAAGGGCTTGTCGGTCTGAGCTAGGACTTTCGAGCGAAAGAATGCAACATCACACGAACGTCAAGGATCATGGCCATCTTTCAATGTTCCAGAGTTTGAATAATGGCATGGATCCGTACTATTCCTGGATCCCTTCCAGATGATGACGTTGTCAAGCGGCTCCTGCCTTCCAAGGTTGGTGTAAATGCTGGCAACCCCTTGCGAGCCCTTCGGGTCGTATAGCCCTGTGATATGTATCACAGCATATCTCCGAGGCTGCTCCACCAGGCAAGACTTCAAGGCTCCTGGGTTCTTCCCATGTCGATTCTAGGGTAGACCTTGTCTCTCAGAGTAGCATTGCAGCGTTGAAATGAGATCGCTATGAGCTTCCAGTTTATTTAAGTTCTGCTTACCCCTTGCTCAGGTGGGCAACCTTGGAGTTTATCCCAATATTGGAAGCCTTGTTTATGTCCGGGCTGCGGGGTGCATTGGCGAGATACCGAGATATATTTACCGAACTTTCGTGTTACGTCGATTTGGAGGCGGCTCAAATCACCTGGAATTCCAACAAAATTTGACTTGGACAATTCAAGGACATCTATATAGTTACAGATATATTGTTTCTTATTTTAGAAAAAAATTAGAATCACGCAATGTGGTCATGGTGGCGGTGTTGGAACGTTGACCCGATTTCCCCCACTTGTACGTAAGTGGCGGGGACAGATCGACCCGATCATATCACCGAGAAAGGAGATTGCCTTACCGCTACTGCATGCAAGGCAAATCAATTTTGATCTATAGCCCTACCATGCATCCCTATGATAACATTAACGTACGTTGTCGGAATGGAAACGAACAATTGTTCAAATGTTTACTTTAGACCCATTCTACAATACACGGACTTTGTTAAAATTGTTCATTCAGATTCGTAACTGGAACATTCTAGGCACAGCCTATTTGTATATTATTCACATGGAATGTTTACCAGCCGGTGCGCTCGCGGGGAACGTTTTCGATGTGCTGACGAGCCTGGTACTTGGCTTTCTCACTATCGACGAAGTCAAGACCCTTGGTCTCAACCTCACGGTCGATGAAGGCACCAGCAAAACCGGCCATGATCTCCTTGGCCTTCTCGTGGCTAGGGGCCTTGCCTATATCCATTGTTAGCCTCCCAAGGTCTCATTTTTGGTCTTGCTTCGTGTTGAGGGGCAATTGGTTGAGAAAGGATGGGTCGGGTGGGTCTTACCCTCGCGCTCCTCGTGCTGCTCGTAGGCCTTAGCGGCCTCGTAGCTGGCGGCACCGGCGAGCAGCTCGTGGACGAAGCTGGGGTCGTGCTCACGGGGCTCGGTGTTGTTCCACTGCTCGTGGTGAGAAGCCTGCTCGGAGTCGCCTGGAGAAGCCAAGATGTTAGCTAATGCTTGGAAGCTTAGATTGCTTGGCGAAACGGGGTCCATGCAGTCTGGGATGTAGATCTCAACAACTTACCGTCGAACCAACCCATTTTGATAGATTTATTTGGATATTGTGAGTTAAAGATAAGAGAGATGTCGATGAGAGAGGAAGAGAAAGAAAAGAGGAAGTGGTAGGGGGTGAGGAGGGGTTCATATAGGTACTGATTTGGGGGGCTCCACTGGAGCTGCTGATCATTGATTTCGGTTTTGCCCCTCTACCTTGAGCGGGGGTCACGCCACTGAGCGGGTCAAACAGGGGAGAAAGAGACGGGAAACGTGTTCAGAGTACGAGGATTGGATTGCTATGTATTCCCAAGGTCCTTTTCAGAATCCCAAAACGATTGACCAACTCCCGGTCGTGATCCTATCATGGACCCTGTTCAATGCCACATAGGGAAGAGAGATAGAGAGAGAAATCAAAGCCCAACAAATTGGGAAAGAGGTAAATAGAAGACAGAAGAATAACGAGTGGATCATGTTACAATAGCGGTGACAAGCACCCACTATAACCAACGCATAACGAATGTCCTGTGTATCATCATGCTTCTAACAGTGATATGTGGTATCATCGAATCGAGTAATAAATAAAGATAGAAAGAGCTGCTCAGAACGAATCAAAAGAAAGGTATCGCGGATGAGAAAGTCATTAACTCGTAAAAGGGTCGGATTCGCAAATGTGCCGAGGTGGGCAGTCGTGATATGATTTCATATCCCCTCGGTGGGTCGCAACGCTAAGAAGGTCACAGAAACGCAGATCAACAATAGAAGTCATCATCCATTTAGCCGCCTCCGACGGCCTCGTGTACTGCCGATAGGGCGCTGTGCAAGAACTCCACGGAGTATTGGGTCATCTTTGCTTTTATCAACATGATGGACTCGAACGTGTCTATCAAGAAACCTCCCAGATTAGCCAGGTGGTATTATAAGAGCCTAAGATTCCTTTTACATACCGTTGAAGATTGTCTGGTCTGGGATATTTATGTTGCTGATCCGGGCAGAACGGACAGACGTAGCCAGGCGAGTTATGCACGAGGCCATGCCGCATCATCTCATTTTTACGTTTAAACCCTTTCCCACCTACACCACGAGGACAGCCTTCTACAGGACAGAAATGTGGTCGATCTGAAGAGTGCACATTTGCATGGGAACTATTCCTGGATTAGGGACTGGTTGGTTGGCATGGCGGGCAGGCTTACTTGAGCAAATATTGGGTTTGAAACGGGGCCGCGGTACACCCAGGATGTGTGCATTTGTAGACACCTATATTCGTGATTGCCGATCCATCCTCAGGCGAAGGATGCGAGCTAAACGACGTTCGCTCCCCGACAGTAGGGGCCACTGGCTCCGTAGGGGTGGGATAGCTAGTGGCCGGGCTTTTCGCAATCATCGAGGAGGCATGATGATTGGGTTCTGATGGGGGTGGCGGCGGAGGTGGTGGCGGCGGAGGAGGAAGTTGCGGCTCGGTCGACACGGCCGAGGTTGGTGTGCGCCAGAAAGATGGCTGTGAGGCTGGAGAAGCATTGGTGGATATATCTTTAATGCTGATAGGGGAGAGATGAGAGAGCGGACTGGGAGGGATCTGCGGTAAAAGACTAGGTAATTGACGCTCGTGGGGGGAATCATTACGCGATGTAGCAGACGGTGGGTAGGAGTAAGGAGGGGGAGGAGCAAAGCCGTTGATCCGAGCTGAAGAGAACTCGGACTGTGACAATCCTAAGGCGGAATGAATGGAAGGTAGGCTTTGCGTGTTGCTGCCCGTGTCTGGGGAAGCTGCAACACAAGAACTGGGAGGGGAAGCCAGCAACTGGAGCGATGGGAGAGAGATGCGGGAGTGCAGGTCTGGCTGCTTGGAATCGGGGGAGAGTCCTTCTGCGGTTGAGGTTCTGCGATGCGGCGCTAAGTGTATTGGCGGACCTGTCGATGGAGCGGTGAGGGACAAGAGACGAGGACGTTGCGGCGGAAATGTCGATTTGGGATCCTGGGAGGGGACGAGCGGAGGGAGGATACGCTGGGGCGATTGAGGGGATTCCTCCTTGTATTCTTTCTCCGGGGATGGTGGTATTGTTGGCGGACGAGCAGCAGGTTTGGACTCGAACTTCGGAGGCAGCAAGTCCTTGGGGAATCGATCCAGATCTTGGGCCCTGCCCTGCTTAGGGGACCAGTCCAACGAATGTTGCTCAGCATGAGTCGCGACTTCCAGATGGTCTGGTCCCATGGTCCTCATCAGCACACCATCGCCCAAATGTGTTTGCGGCAGGGACTCCGGCTGGTGCGGCTTACGGGAACGGTCATGCGTTCCCTTGTCGCACTCGGCCTTGGAGGCGAACGGCGGCGGCTCCTCCCCCACCCCATAATTGATCTTCTGGGGGACCAGTTGTGGGGAGCGATTGTTCGCTTCTTCCGAGACGTAGATGTCGCACGTCATAGAGGCGGGGGTGCATGGGCATATAGGGTGATGTGATGTGTAAGATGGCTAGGAAGCGAGCAAATCCATCCGGAATATTGATCTAAGGGAGGGACCGTTAGCTTTTGAAACCCATACCACTCACAATGTATGCCCAATAAGAGTTTCGGAACAGAGAGAATTGAATCCGAAACACGAAATCATGCAAAACACCTGTACTCGGCGCCTAGAAGGAATGCGACCACAGTTGCAAAACCAAGTAGTAGTCACAGGGGCAAAATGCCACCCACCTAAATCAAAGGAGAGAAGGTATAAAGAAAATACAAAAAGAGGAGGCTCCAACGGAGAAAGAGGGGAAGAGAGGGGGAAAGCTAGGAGAGAATGAGGCTGAAAAAAGGAAGAAAGAACAAACTTACCGAGAAAGAACCAAAATGGAACCTTGAACGGGTCGGATGAGGCTCAACGCAGCGGCTCCATCGGATAAGGTCATTAAAGGAGGGAAAGAGGAGAGAAGAGAAATGAAAAAAAGAGGGGAAGACCGGATTATGAGCTAGCAAATCATCCACGTCAACACACGGGGAGAAAACGAGGATGCGGCTCTGGCAGTTGTAATTCTCATTTTAAGTGGGTCGAGGCTCCAAGGAAATTCCCCGCAGAGACTCCATTTTCTTTCTATAATGTCTAGAGGATTTGGATGAATTCTATTCTTTATGATGATCTATGGGCTATCATCTGCTGACGAGTGCAGATGATCGGAGGATTAGGGGATGGGAAAAAGGAGTGGGAAAGAGGGGGGGAATCGATGAGCCCAAGTTGTACACACCTTTTTTTTTTCTAATTTTTTTTTTCCCTTATTTATTTTCCTTTTTTCTTTTCTTTTTTATCTTTTTCTTTGGAGTTCAGTAAGCCCCACTCCTCTTTTTGTCTCAATAATTTCGGATTCAACAACCGGGGAAGGTATGAGTGGTGGTCAAGTCCGCGAATCCCCTCTTTTCCTCTCCCCACTTTCTTCCCCCATACACCTTGGACCTCTGGGCTGCACAAAGCGAGGACTCCACCCTGGTAATTAAGCCCAAGTTATACGTCGTACGTATGTCAGATGTGATGTGAATCTGACTTTCTGACCTTCCCCCCGAGCCTTGCGGAGTACGGAGTATCATTTTGGATGATGAGATAAGGAATGGGATGATTCCCTCTATGCCAACGCACCACGTTTCAAAGAGCCTTTGTGCCGGCGCAATTCAAAAGGCCAAATCACGCGGCCCGCGCCGAGATGCTCTAACTGGATGATTCTGGCTAGCGAGTCGCGTACTAACCGGGGACGGTGTAGGAAGTGGGTTCTTCACCCCTTTTCGGGTTTTAGTGTTCTATTTATTCTGACATGCGTACGGAGTATATGCACGGGAAGTAATGTCGCATTTTAGATTATTTGCCCACTTTTCCACTTTTCCCATTTTCCTCCCGACACTCTGGGTCTCAAGGTTTTTTTTTTTTTTTTTTTTTTTCGCCCCCTCAGCCTCACTCACGTTTACGTAGAGCCGCAGGGCCAACGCAGCCTCATTCCTGCCGCCCCGCTTTCTCTGCACCAATCATCCACACTGACCAGATCATCCTCTCTCACTCGTCCAAGGCATGAGCTATATATATATTGTGATATAATTTCTCGTTATCGAGCTCAGATTGGAACTCTTGGAGAGAAACTAATTCTAAATCTCATGAGAGAGTTCTCAGGACACTGACGTGACGAGTACTGCCGCAGACTTACGGGCCAGAATCAACGTGGTTTAGTGCTGACACTGCACGGACTTTCCCGTCATTGCGCCTAGAACTAATGAAGTAGGGGGAAGGTCAATCATTCTCATGTACCTGGTACTTCAAATCATCATTCCCAAAGATCTACAATCCGTAAAATTCAGGTTCCCTATGTACAGTGAAATTTCAAGACCAACTGACTAGTAATGCTATTTATCATGGTCAAACACATAGTAATCTTGGGGGCATGGAACAGCCCATGTGGAAGAAAAACCCGAAAATCTCATCTTCCCTACCGAGGTCCTCCTTAATCCTGGCTCTTTTACAACTTACCTTTCTGCGACTGTCGTTGCACCCGCTGCACCCGTTCCCACGCTCCCAACGCAAAAGGTTTAGCCCGTTTAGCATACTCTCCCGCCCGGGCACTACTGGCCTGACGCCCTGCAAACCGGGCCGCAATGCCCTGCATGATGACGGAGCCTCGGAACGCAAAGAACGCATCTCCCCAAAGAACATCCTCTGCAGGATTGTACCCGGCCACCTCACTGTACCAACGCATGCAGTCCTCACGCGTCGGCAGCCCTGGCACCCGCCCAGTCTGGAACGTCTCCAGTTGGGAATCCGCACCCTCCATGATCCACGGACTGCTGAGATTGCAAAAGTCCGACAATGGGTGCCCGACCGTCGCCATCTCCCAGTCTAGAATTCCTATCACTCGCGGCTCAGTTTTGTGGAAGATCATATTGTCTATTTTGTAATCTCCATGTACGAGAGTTCCACGGTCGCGTGGCTGCGTGGACTTTTGCGCGAAGAACCGAACCATGTCGTCGAAGTAGGGAAGTTCGCCGACGGGCTCTTTGGTGTCGGCATCCACTACCGCTGCTTGCGCTTTCGAGATAGTGTTGAACGTGGCGATCTGGCGGTCGAAGAAGTTCGTTGGCTTGCCGAATCCTTCAAGGCCCACGGATGAGGGCACCACCGAGTGAAACTTGGCGAGTGTTTGCACCGCATTCTTCCATCTAAAACAGGGTAAGTCGGACTTGGACATTCAGCATGGAGTTTCTATTTGTCACGTACAGTGCGTTCCTCTCCTCTGCACTGACGCCAGGCATTGCTGGGTCAGTAAAATGCCGTCCATCCAGGAACTCCATAATGTAGAACGGTGTCCCAATCACATTGTTATCCTCACACAAGCAGAACACCTCTGGCACTGGTACATCGGTCCCACCCAATGCCTTGATAATCTGATATTCTCGCTCCACGCGGTGTGCCGTCTTCGAGAGCAGCTTTCCAGGAGGCTTCTTCCGCAGCACAACCTTCTTACCATCGGCGGTGGTAAGCTGGTAGGTGGGGTTGGATTGACCAAAACCGAACTGCAGTGTCTCAGCAAAGGCATTAATGCCTCTATATACCCAGTGGCCAACTCACCTGTTTGATATCCAGTGGGGTCTTGAGTGCTGGTACGTTCTGGTCAATATACCGCTCCAACGAGGGCAGGTCTATGGGCTGGCGCACAGCTCCCGCCATGATTGTAGATGTGGTTATATGTTTTCGAGAGAAAAGACAAAGACAAATGCAGGAAAGACTTTCAATAACAGCCAGGTTTGAATTCAAGGGATATATACAAGTGGCAAGTTCAAGGCATTGAGTAGAACAGCCGTGAACCTCGGCAGTAACCAATCCCCTAGACCCTCGGCGTTCCCAGCTGAGCGGGGAGAGCTGCCCACACCGCCTACGTTAATGGTATTGCTACAATGGTTGCTAAAGTCCGTACTACCACCACGCGTGTAAAACGCGTCCCAGCGGTGAAAGTGGAAGCGCAAGGGACAGAGGATCCCCACACCGACACCGCAATTTCTAGACTCAATTAAATCATTGGACTCATACCTGCTCCAGTTTTTTTCTTTCTTCGTCTTCTTCCCTATCCTTTCCCCATTTATCCCATTTGTTTGCCATGACCAGAGAGACCTCTCCACCTACGGATACTACCACCCACCAACCCCCCTCCCTCCCGACCTCTCCACTCCCCAAGCGCACTAAGATTGCCGCCATGACTACCGATGCCCCCGCTGTTACTTCTATCCAGCAGCCCATGCCCCCGCTGCTGGTGAAGAAGCTCGTTGCTTCTGCTCGCGCCCCGACGCGGGGCTCTGCTTTCGCTGCGGGGTACGATATGTACAGCGCTAAGGAGACCGTTATCCCTGCCAAGGGCAAGGCTATGGTCGATACTGGTATTGCTATTGCTGTGCCTGAGGGAACTTGTATGTGAATTGACCGAGTCCTAAGGTGGAGCGGTTCCAATTGAGTGGGAAGAAGTAATGGCTGATTTTTTTTTTCTGCATAGATGGCCGTGTTGCTCCTCGTAGTGGTCTCGCTTCCAAGCACTTTATTGATACCGGTGCTGGTGTTATTGACGCCGACTACCGTGGCGAGGTGAAGGTTTTGCTGTTTAACCACTCTGATGTCGACTTTCCCGGTATGTTCCCTACTAGAGCTGCTTTTTGCAAGGCCAATCGCTGATTCAGGGTTCTGCTATCAGTCAAGGAGGGTGATCGCATTGCTCAGCTGGTTCTTGAGAGGGTGAGTCGAGCTTTTTTTTTCTCCCCCTAGCTTGTTGGACCGTGTTCTAACTTGTTTCGTTCTGCAGATCTACACTCCCGAGGTGACTGTCGTTGAGGAGCTGGAGGAGAGCGTTCGTGGTGCCGGTGGATTTGGCAGCACTGGCATCTAAGTTGCCAATATTGATACCTGATACAATGGGCTATAAAAGCAACGGAGTACATCTAGTGGGAAAGAGTATCCGGGAAGATTTAATGATTCATATGTCGACAACGACCCAATCAACAAAGAAATTCATCACTTCAATTTTGAAATTATGCATGCGCTGGTCTAATGGAATCTATATACAGACCCTGGTCGTCCCGTCATGATATTAATTCCGATCGCATTATGTCCTATTGTAGATGAGTGGGCATGTCTTCCTTGCGCCACTCTTGCACAGCGAACTGAACCAAAGGGTCGCGCAAGAATCGTGCGTTCCGTACCAACCGCACTTCAGCTGCTTTTGTGCGACGCAGGTAATCTTGCTTTTCCTGCTCCTCGGCTGTCAAGCCACCATTCAGTGAAGAAGCCACCGCAAGTTCCGCATCACGGGCTTCCATCGTCCGCTCCAAAATACTGTGCATGCTGGAGAGGACCTTAATAGTGGCCCGTGCTAATGGGAGGTTACTAGATTCAACGTCATCTGGTGAAACCCAGGAGGCGGTGTTTCGCAAGTCTGGGTTAGCGGCATCGACTGCTTCCCGGAGTCGGGCGACAGTCAATGCGGCGAACATGTCGCCCGTGCCGCTGAAGAAGCAGTCTAGTGCGGGAACATCAATGCGGAAAAGACGTGGGGACCCGTCAGATCGGGTCGTGGAGCCGATGACCGTGAGGTAGTTCTCTGGTGGGCTTGGAGTGGAGCCTGACTGGGACAACTTCAATAGTTGTACTGAAGTGATGATGACGTGGGGAACGGAGTAAATGCGGTGGATGGCGGTAATGGCCTCTGCTAATGTGGATAAAGAGGTGATCTTAACGCCGGACAGAACTCTGTGAGAGGTTAGATTGGTGTGCGTTTGTATGATATAGCACCAGTACTGGGTGAACTGACTCGGCTTCAAATTGATTGGGCAAAATCAAGTCTGCATGGTGGATGGTCTTTTTATAGGCTGGAACGACGTCGTCATTGACGTATAGTCGGCCCTGATCTCCCATTACTGGGTCCAATACTATACTGGAAATTAGATTGAATTCCAAGCTTACGATTGCATGACTCCACCGAAGTTGCAAAACTCACCCCAAAAGAAGGAACCAGGCTTATTTTCAGCCTTCTTCTGCAAATCAATTCCAATTGCACCGACGGCTTCCACGGCCGCCGCACTTGGAGCATAGCCTGACAGCATGACGTCAAAGTCCGTAAGGTTACTCTGACATAGACCCTGGTATAGTTCTGTGATTTCCTGAGCAGTCGCGCGAGTGCCCTTGAACTGCCGGTATCCAGTATGATTGCCTACCAGAGCTAGTTAGCTCTGAATCAAATATCCCACCGGGATGCTCCGATGAGTGAGACCCAATGGCATGAGATGAGAGAAACGCACTGAAATGCACAGTATTCAAGGCAGCCACTTCACAGCCCAAGGACTGCATGACAAACTCGGCCATTGTGTTGCCCACGTGGCTAGGAAGATCAGCTTGATGTCGCATGACTCTTATCATCCGAATGGGATGTTAAACGTACCCATAAACGACCTGATCCGGGTTAGTTTTCAAAAAGATTTAACCTGGAAATCGAACTTACATGGCTGGCAACTGCCAGTACCCGGGTTTCAGGTACGAGCAATTCGGACATTGTGAGATTGATGAGAGGGAAGGTGGTTGTAAATTGTGGGGGTTTTGGACGGGGAAGTCACTGACATTCCTATTACCTAATTCTCATTGGCTTCCGTCTTGACTGTATGGAGCCGATAAGAGAGATACAGATGTACGGAGAATGCGTAGGAAATAAAAGGATCATGGTTTTATGTTTGAATTCTCGACATGTCTCTTTTTTGGTCAGGAGTTGTAACCTGTGTTTGGACTCCTTGCATTGTGTACGATACCTTTAATCTCAAACCCGCATATTGTATTCGCAATCCGGTCGCGATGAGTGGCAAGTTAATAACGATGGATTCATTGATATGTTGGAATTGCAGGTCAAGAAGACAAAGATTATTCAGCCTTTTTAGGATCAGCACCAGGTACCCTGAATTTGTACTTAGTCTGCATACATACGGGGCGTTCTATAGTTAGCTGCCGCCGCTTTTTGTGAGGTGACGCTTATGCTTAGTAAATCTCGTTCAAGTGACCATGGCGATGTCACGTGACCATCCGTAACGATCCAATGGAAAGGACTATATGGAGTAAACCACTTTTAGGTCCTAGTCAACAGCTAACTAGGGGGCATTGAACGGAAGTGTACAAACGATGTGCCTGTTGTGTCGTTAGCGGTGCTCTTATATACACATGATTGGTGGATCAGCGCAATGGCATCGATTGAGAAAACATACTGCAATTTTTGCCGACGCGAAATCACCACCATCAATGAATGGATATAGAGTCAGCTTATGAATTGGTTTAGTGGCATGCTTGTTTCCTGTCAAGAGCGGCGGTGTTAGAAGGGAATTGGAAACAGTCGTGGATTCGTCACGGAATGGTCTCGACCAAAGCTGAACACCTCCGTTAAGTGATCAACCCCGATCATCCCTACTCCGTCTTATACTTTTTGTTCCAACTAGTCCTTTCTGAGCATTTGGTCCTGACAATTGGTCCTTGCACCCATGCAAGTTCCCCTGAACCAGACTCTTCCCCTCGGGCTGCGGGATCCACAGACCGATCTAGTCCTTGCGGCCATGTCTTTTCTTGGTCTTGGCTCGACTGGCTTGAGTTTTTTAAGATTAAAAAACCAAACAGGATCAGTGCGGTGCTCCGTGCTTTTGCCGATTTCCCGCTTATACATGACCTGTTTCCCTCGTGGGCAGCCGGCTTTGGTCTACAAGCCTTGAGCCTCTCGTGCTGTTGGGGGCCGACAACCGTGAATGGCCATGTCAAGTTGTTAATAGTGCGTGGTCGCGTCTTTCCCTCTTTCTTTTGCCCGTTCGTGGCTTGTCACTCGTTTCTAGCTTCCTCATGGAAGCAATTCCTGGTCCTTCGCGCAATAGCCGGAGTATAGACCGTTCGCTCTCTATGAATTCCACACGACCTCGCCGGTCGCAACTCGGCCAAAACAAAAGCCTCGGGTCTCTCTACCATGGCCTAATAATTTTAATTCTTATTGTCTGTTTTTCGCCATCGACGTTGGCTTATCCTTCCGCAATCACGGCAGATCTGGTGAACGTCCCGCGATCGGCCTCCAACCCAAGTGGAGATGTCATCGTAGATCTCCAGGATTCGCCCCTCCAGCGCCGTGAATACATATCTTTGGACACACAGGATCGGGATGCTGTGGCAGAGTCTCTCGAACGCGATGCCAAACACGGCTTACAACGGCGAATTCTCAATGCTAGCACCGACTCCTCAACATCGATGCCCGAGCCCTTCGACACGAGCTCCAACAACTTTGCAAACTCCAGCTGCGTCAGCTTCTTCGATAAGTTCCTCGCCAACTCTACGGTAACAAAATGTCACGCCGTTTCACTCCTTCTCGAAAACTCGAATGCGTTCTTCCATGATTTGAGCTCGGCGACAGAAACATCGCGCGTGCTGGATACTACCTGCTCCGAGAACCCAACCAAATGCCAGTCGATCATGACCTCGCTAGCGGCCCAGATGCTGGACGAGGATAATTGTGGGCCCGACTATGAGGCTGGCAACTCGGTCGTCACAGACACTTATCAACAACTGATGGCCTACGAGCCTGTATACCGAGCCACCTGCCTGACCAACCCCACTACCAATGACTATTGTTTCGTCGACGCCGTTACCAATTCTACAGCTCCGAATGATTACAATGTCTACTTTATTCCGATTGGAAACCAGCTTACCAAGGGAAAGCTCACCTGCAACGAGTGTCTTCAGTCGACGATGGATATATACGCTGAATGGGCCAGGGTGGATGGCCAAGCACTTGACACGACCTATCTACCCTCGGCAAAGATTGTTAATGAATACTGTGGCTCCGGCTTTGCGACCACTAATGTCACAATCGGCTCCGACAATGTCACGGCCGGTGCCGGGCTCACGGTTCCATTACCTGGCTCGCGATTGGCATTGTGTATAATCACTGTCACGATCGGAGTTTTATCGCTGGGGATGTTTTAGATCAGAGAGTCTGTACCTTTGGCTGATATTTTAGATTTTATATATGGGATCTCTCCTTTTGCCCTATTTTTTGTTTGGAGTTACGGTCACGTTTGATGACAGCGAATTTCCATTTTGTTAATATTTACTTCACCTTGTTTATTTTTAATAAGACTACATATCAACGGCTTAGGCGACTTTGAAATCCGTGAAGATCTGCATCTCTATAAATAGCACTCGCTATCCCCTTTGACCAAATTCCCCTGATTAAAGCGTACAGACACCAATATTCTGACTGCATTTCCAAATTAAAGAAATCAAGTTCAAAAATGAGAATTACATGTGGACTGCAGTATCCCAACCTCTTGTCGTCACATGCACATAACTTTTGGCCCCCACCCATGATGTGAAGCATTGCGGGGGCCATACTCCAATCAAAGTAAAAACACAAGCCACTGGAGTCGACCCCAAAAAGGCAAGTCAGCGGAAATCCCAAAAATGGAATTCACCACATAACGTTCGCAATCGCGGCGAAGGAAACCCCAGCTTACTCTACCCCTCACCTGCATTAGACCTCATGATGGGTTCACTTGGGCCCCGCGACCCAACAGCTCAGCTGGCTACTGTTTGCCCATTGGCTGACTCGCTTTACAAATCCACTCGTCTATCGACCTCACACGTGAGCCAGGCAGCCAGTGAACTGGATCTACTGCTCACAGTGTTGGCTTCTACGAGGACGTATGCGGTGCTGTGTACGGATACGCCGTTGACAACTGGCTTACCCGAGATTTTGGAGCAGTGTCGTGCGATTTTACTGGATTTGCAGACTGCCTCGTCGTGTCCTGGTGGAGCAAGGTCTCAGCATCAGATCAACGAGATTCGATCGAGGCTTGGGTCGATTACTTTTGAGCTCAATATGTTTAATGCTAATATGGCTATGTGAGTCTATTTTCATATTGATAAAGGCCGCGTCGGCTAACCTTGTGGTAGATCGTCGCAAAATAATGTTAATCTGGCAATGAGGAGCTTTATTGATGATGTTCTTGCTGGCAAGCGAGATGCGCTGATCATTTCTAATGCTCTTCATGTTGGACCATCTGATTCTCAGAAAATTGAAGCATGGCAGAAACTGCAACATGAATTAACTGATGTTGGTATTGCTCCGGAATTATCACATCAAGATCACGACTTTATCATCAATGTCCTTCACAAGGCTGTCAAAGAGGAAAATCTCTTACAGAGCATCAGGCAAGCATCACAAACCAAGGACACACCACAGCTACCAAGGACTCAATCTCCAAGAAATGTATCACCCACAAATAATTATCCAGAGGTACGGTATATGGATGACACAGACAAAATAGCTCTACCACGGGGCCTCTCAGACCTACCGATCTCTATCGCAACAGAAATGCAAGCGGACACCGATAAACAAGTCCTACCAAAAGAAGACTTTCCCAAGCCAGTACTGTCAGCGACATACAGTCCAGGCGAAGATACAGATAAAGAGGTCTTTTGCGAAAATTTTCCTATGCCCCTAGAAGCTGAGCCAGGAAGCTCAACTACCCTCTCAGGAACCTACTCAGATGCCAGTTCTTCCAGAGGAAGCGCCTCATATCCGAAAATCGTGCGAAGCAAGAAGCCTGGTATCATGCGGAAAATGAAATTCAAGCTCACGACTAGCAAGGATGACTTCATCGCTCTTGTCAAACAGGGCGGATTGTACTCAATTCAAAGCGCACTTGATAAAGGCGCCGATGTGAATACGATGGATTTACATGGCCAAACGGCCTTGATGATTGCTATCCTTTTTTCACAAGAGCATATTGTCGACCTGCTATTAGAGTATGGTGCAAATACGGCATTAAAGTCTGCAAAGGGAGACTCGGCGTTGAGCCTTGCTGCTTCCAGGGGCGCTGAAAGGATTGTCCGGACGTTGCTGGTTCGCGGAGCAGAAGTTGATGGACGCAAGAATCTTGGAAACACGGCACTATCTCAGGCAGCAGAGTGGGGGCATGAGAATGTCGTTCGATTGCTGTTCAATGCGGGTGCGGATATCAACGGGCTTTCTCATACCGGGGATACTGCTCTTTCGCAAGCTGCTATGAATGGTCATGTGGATATTGCTCGGTTCTTGTTAGACAATGGGGCTATACCAGATCATACCGCCTACCCGCGGAAGACCGCTCTTTTTAAGGCTGTTGAACAGAATAGGCCGGAGGTGGTGAGGGTGTTATTGCAGCGTGGAGCGGACCCTCATCTTCAGGAGTCTATTCGAGCCTGGACGCCGTTGACATTGGCTGCTATGCATGGGAGGACGGAGATACTTGCTATGCTCAACTATAAGACAGCTGTTACACCCTACCGATACCAATACTGAGGGAAAGCACTCGTTTCAAGCGTGTTTTTATGGATTTGATAGCGTCAAAGTTTAGCGTGTGGTTTTTGCTTCAGTTGTGCCTGGCATGTACTTGCGAAGATATCCATTTAGTTCACAATCGAGTTAGTCCGTTGAACCCGATTTCATGTAGATAGTACATTTCCTGACGTTGTGATAAAATATTTAGATTGTCGGCGATCAGGGCACCTGGTATTGATTCCCATTTGACACCAGTAATGTATGTCCAGAGCGACAGCAAGCGGCCAAGCGCCAGAAGGAAGTATGAACAGGCAATATGCAATGAAGATCATGTTCAGAAGCAAAGACATAGCTCTTATCGTCGTCAGTGAAAGCAGGAAGATATATGCGCAAGGCATAAATAACGAAGAATCGCTCAAATGAAGTAAATCAAATCTATATGTTCAACTCTGGCGTTTAAAGCTGTCTCCAAGAGCAACGCCGACAAGACTCTGTGGCTCACCGCCAAAGCTAGTACCGCTGTTGCTTGTAGGAGAGCCAGCACCGGAGACGGGGCCAGAGATAGGACTTTGTGCGGCATCACGGTCCCGCTTCACGCGGAAATAACCCAGCTTTGCGAATCGGCTGAGATGAGACCAGAAATGTCGCCCAGCTGGGTGTGCTCCAATACGTTCCAGTAAATCGCATGTTGCCTCACGTACAACCTGATCCGGATGGAAAAGACCCATGCTGAGGTAGAACAGGCCAGCCTGGTTCTCCGGGGCAGCTGCTAGCAGTTGACAAATGCCAGCATAGTCCTTTACTGCATGAGCAAGGGCAAGGTAGATAGCACCGGCTTCCGCATGAGATAGTTTCAAAGACCGTAGTCGGTCGTGGTGATGATTCAAGTCAGGCCGCTGAATAGGGCGCGCAGGCCAGTACTTGGCTGCGATGTCCTGAATATAAGAATAATATGACCGGGTATTTCGCCAGCCCTCGATTCGGGATACAGATGCTGAAAGCTCACGTTGCTTAGCAACTTCATCCTGCCATACATATCCGTGACCCCGAAGGGATGATGGGTCCAAGGCATCTGTTTGTTGGCCCGTAGGACTGTCGGGGGAAAGCTCCTCGCCAGGGCCAATGATATAGAGATTAGAAGCTCCATAGACAGCTTCCTCGAAGGCCGCAGAGACTCGGACAAATTTCATGATGTAGGCACACCACTTCGCCCGGATTGCATTCTCACCATGACGTTGGCTGATGCTGCGCAAGATATCCTCCATGAACAAAGTGTCTCCGGTGGGATCATGATTGGCATTGGAAGCCTGGTTAGGCAAAAGAGAATTCTGTTGTTGGAAAAACAGGAGACCCTCTGTTACAGGAGCAGGCTCAACGTGACTGGAAATCTTCATTCTGCCCGTTGGTAAGTCGCATAGCACATCCCACCATTCTGGGTGATTCGCAAAAGTCGGGTTTGTAACACCAGCAATAAAACCGGGAACATTGAGAAGATCATCAATCTTGGTGAGGTCAGTATAAGGGAAGGCATGGCGGGTGAATCCCCTCAGAACTCCACCAGACGCAAGTGCGCAGGCTGCCAGGACTGCTTCGGCTACTTCCCCTGACGGGCGGTTGTGTCCCAGGAAGACCACCCGTTTCTGGGTAAGAATTGCATTGACGAGGACAATAATCGGATGGGTGAGCGGGCCACTGGTGGTCAAGTGAGGATGGCTCGGGAAAGGTTGAGGAGACGTAGCATGAGGCCCGGCGAAAGTCTGGATGAGCTTGACGAGGGAGAAGTCACCCACTGTCTCGGGCCAAATGACTGTAGGAATTTTAACAGGGATGGGTATGTCGTTATAGACCACTTTCGACTCGAACTCGTGGGTATCTCGGGGGAGGACGTATCGACTCATTTTCTTTGGCGAAGGGGGAACATCTCCATTTTCCATCTCCTCCTCTTCCCGCTGGCGAACCATTTGCTCAAACTTCTCAATAAACATTTCTTTTGTGTTGCTGGACTGCAAGATGTGGCGTTCCAAGAGGGACATTTTGGGCATTAACGAGAGGTCCATGGAGTTAACAGCATCGTACAGGGAAGCGAGGGTCTCGGGATAGGGTGATTTGAAGTAGTCTTCAAGCGCGAGGAGTAGAAGTGGCTAAAAATGTCAGTTTTGGGCTTGAAGTATTGTACCGGAGACGTACCTTGTATATGTGGAGAAACGAATGCCTTGTACAAATAGCCATCGCCTTCACCACTGCACCTCTGGGTTTTTGTCAGTATCTGCATGCCGCTCCATGGATGAATTGACCTACCTCCGAACTGTATTATCCTGCTTGGTATTTACCAAGTTCAGAACATACATCAAGGGTGGACCCTCTCCGCCCTCCTCGTCGTCACTGCTGTCCTCATCCGAGGCCGGCTGCTCTTCCTGAAGATGGGCGGCTTCCTCGTTTGCATGATATTTTGACTTGCGTTTCTTCTTTTTCTTTCCATCCTCTGTCTCTTCCTCTTCTTCACCGCTAGTGTCCTTATGCAAGAAGAAAATTGTCCAGTCCTGGCTTCGCACGTGCGTTTGGTCGGGCAGCATTAGCTCTGCCAGCATGCTCTCGTCACCACTGATCGCTGCCGGATACTGATGCTCCATGATCGGACCCCGATCAATGTGGAAAGACGCCACCAGGATATACTCCACATGGCGCTCCGGCGAGTCTAGCGGGTATTGTGACTTGCATCGGCGCTGCTTATACCCCGCCGAATTCTCGGTTGATGTGCGTCGAAAGGACATCTGGGAGCCGCTTGGCGAGCGGCCCACAAATGAGGGTGAAGGAGAAAGTCGAGGAAGGCCATTGGTCTTTGCATTAGAGGTGGACAGGGAGTCGTTTGACGGTCGATACGGCAGCGTTGTGGCCATCTTCGGAGGGGCAATTAATTGAGACAGGAGCTCCAGGCTAGGCGATGGGATTGAATGGCATGCCTGGTCTAAGCAGGCCTGAACTGCAAGGGTAATGAGAAAAAAAGTGACTGATCAAGGAGTCGGAAAAAGTGTGTGCTGCAAGCCAATCACTGCAGGCCCGAGCGACGGTTCAGGGGTCGATGCTCAGAAAACGGAGGATCTCCACAGCGGGGGCGATAGGCGATAACAGCTGCAGTATACATGATGTCGAATTACAAGGAAGTCTGGTCGAATAAGATTTACATTGATGAGAATAGTGTATCTAATCAGTCAAATCGATCCATCTGATCCATCAGAATAAGTTGAGAGCTCCAAACCTTAAGAAATTCCTTCTATGAGTGTTGATACACAGCTCCGCACGTGCCTTGACCGGGCCGACTATGTTGCCGGGGCATTGTTTACTTACTTTCGTCACTCCGATCTCCGCACTACTGAGATCACAGCTATTCAATCAACGATGGTATGACCCAAAGAAAAATCAAAATAACGGATATTGGCTAATGAAACTGAAGGCAAATAATCCAACTTTCAAACCTTCACCGCTATCTTTTGGTGGGCAGAGGGCATCGCCTTTTCGGCGACCGTCCACGCCCAACTCCCCGCCCTCAGCAAGTCGCCCGGCGACCCCAGGGAGTTCCCCCAGCCGAGGGTACACTCCGATGGTGTCGCCGAGTAAGTTGAACCAGACATACACTGTGGAAGATAGGGAATCTGTTTCCCCACGGGCGGAACCGATCCCGCAACCAAAATTCACTCGTGAACTTCCTCCTTCTCCCACCAAGGGAGCACAGTCACCAGGATATACGTCGCCAATTGCGGATAGATCGAGTGGGATTGCGCTGGCGAACACGGATGCCTCCTCGAAAATACCGCCAGCTCAGCTAAGGGAGATTCGGGAGGCATTTCAGGTTCTTGATAGAGATAACGATGGACTGGTCAACAAAGATGACGTCGCTGATGTTTTGACAAACTTAGGTATTTTGGAAAAACCCAAAATCCGACCAAAGACAAACTGCAGTCACTGACACAATGTTCTTTGCTAGGTCAAGACGCAAGTCACTCCACCCTTTCGCGATTCTTCCCGCCCGGAGCTGAACAAAAGATCAACTTTGCGACCTTTCTGAATACCTTGTCTCAGTTAATGTCCCCGATGTCTTCATCCCAGGAACTTCTCAACGCCCTAGCAGCATTTGACGATGATGACAACGGCCAGATTGACGTCGCAGAATTACGTGATGCCTTGTTACATACGGCGCCAGAAGATGGCGGGGTCCCATTGACAGAGCGACAGATTGATGAGGTCCTCAGCGGGTTTACTGGGAGGCGCGCGTTTGGAGGTCGGGGCGCAAAATCTGGTGGAATGGGTAAGAGAGCCGAGGTTTTCCAGTACCATGACTTTGTTCGCAGCATAGTTGGAGGAGACAATGGGAACAATGGAAGGCGGGAGACAGGCACCGCTCCAGCTTGAAATGCATGATGCGTAATGCGGGCGTTGGCGGTGTTTACTTGGTTTCTATACTCCGTATTCGCGCGGGCGCTCTAGCCAAGCCCGTGTTTATGAATCTATATTTTAAATCGGTCATGCAATATGTACCAATCAGATTGAGAATTGAAATGTTTCAGATCTAAGCAAATACGTAGCTGATTGGTGTATTGACGCGTGCGCTCAAGATTTCTTCAACGGCAGAAAATCACCTCCAGCCACCGCGGCAACTTGACTTCCTTCCCAGCCCGTTACACAACCGCCACTCGGTGCGTGTAGTGCCTATCAAATGCACTCACAGCCTTAAAATGGCTCACAGTCACGCTTCCTGGGCCTTCGATGGCCCTGCCGAGGCTCCGCCATCGCCGCGGACCATGCGCACGCTGCGGAAGATCCGATCGCATCAAGTCCTAACGACCTCGAGCGCCTTAATTGCACAAACCCAATCCTCTCAGTCTTCAGGGGCTCGCGACGCTGAGAATGGAACAGCTGTAGCCCTCGACAATGCTACCGTGCGAACACCTGCGCATCGTCGAGCCCGATCTAATAGTGACGCAGCTGCTCGCATGGCAGCTCTGACGGCGCCGGTTCCAACACGACGCCCACCCCGGAAGACTGGGTCAGGAATAGGGATCAAGAGATCGCCATTGGAAACCTTTTTACGCGATGGGCCACAGAATGGACAAGGTCGAGAAGGGCTACAGGAACTGAAGTTACTCATTCTTTCATGCAGAGTGGATGCAGATGGAGATGGCATGGTAAGATCCTTGTTCACTGCTCTAATGCTTGTCTAACTATATCGCAGTCGCCTTACCGGATCTACCTATGGCTTGTCCTGCTTGAAATTCCCCCTGTTCCCACCGACGAATACCTTGGCTTCATTCACCGCGGTCGATCCCCAGCATACGCCAAAATCCGCAATGACACATTCCGCACTCTAGCCACCGATCCTTTGTTTAAACGCCGCGTCACCGAAGCCAGCTTGATTAGATTGCTGAATGCTGTGGCATGGAAACTGCACGACTCGAAAACAAAACGAAAGTCTCGGCCTTCCTCCAGAAGACGCGAGATGGAGCTTCTAGTGAATACGCCACCGAGAATCGACGAGGAACCCGAAGATCCAGGCTCTGCGAATAGCCCGCCTGTCAATGACTCTGCAATCTACGTTCAAGGGATGAATGTCCTCTGCGCCCCCTTTCTGTATGCAGCCCGCAGCGAGGTCGAAGCCTTTGCTCTATTCCACTTCTTTGTCACTAAAGAATGCCCGGGCTATATTCGCGGTGCTATGGATGGAGTACATAGGGGTCTTCGATTGGTTGACAGATGCCTAGAGATTGTGGAGCCTAAACTTGCTGCCCACCTCTTCTCCAAGGGAATGTATGCAGAGCTTTATGCCTTCCCATCTGTCCTCACGCTCTGTGCTTGTACACCACCCCTTCCTGAGGTTCTTCATCTTTGGGATTTCCTCTTTGCCTATGGATCCCACTTGAACATCGTTTGTATTGTGGCCCAGTTAGTCCGGATGCGAGATACGCTTCTTGCAAGTGATAAGTGAGTACTGAAATCCGCATACCCGACCCGACTGGTGGAGCTAATAAGTGGAATAGTCCAAACAAAATTCTTCGAAATCTTCCCCCTCTCAATGCCAAGGAGATCATCGCTCTGACGGTGCTCTTGGTTCAGAGGATTCCCTCTGATCTATATGCCGAAATGGTCACCCATGCGAAATGATTACTCGACTGTCTCTTGCACTTCATTGTATTTTTGTTGTGATTTTATGATTCTGGGTTATGGCGTTGGTGCGTTTGCTACTGTTTATGCAGCGGATGAGGCATGAGATACGATAATTGTATCACCACGACGTCTTAGGAAATGTTTTGACAATGAAATGATGATTCTACATGATTCAATATCCTATTTATCGGCAGCTTTCAAGGTTCTGAGACTCGTCACTGTTTTCTTTTGCTATTTGTGTATGTGTTGAGCTTCTAGTAAGCAGCGAATATAGAGTTAACCCGCCTCCCGAGAATCGACGAGTTACTACGAATGCATTAACAATTCGGCATCCAGCCTTGCAACAAAGCTAAGGTTAGTGGTGCACATGCGGTAGATCCCGGCGGCAGTTGCTGTAAGTTTATCGAGCATTGATCCCCAAGCACCAACGCCCTCACGCAAGACAGAGTTTAGCTGAAATAAACAACATTTCCCTTCTAGGCGAAACTATTCAGCAACATAAAGACAATCTCCAAATGATGGATATTCCACATGGCTATCAATGCGCCATTTGGCAATTCGTCCACCCTCGAGTTTCTCATATTCCAATTAGAGCTAAAAACATCTAGAAACTACAATTTTCAAGGAAGAAACACGAATAATTTCGATGGATTGTAGCAAATCAGTTTGCGAATACTCTTACCTAAACAATGCGACCAATGATTGGAGCAGAGGGGCTTCATCTTTCAAATGCTGTCCAGCGGGTTCAACTGCAGGTTGGTGCGCAGGGTCATACCCGGGCTGCACTTAACATACTTGACATTTTCCAAGATTTCAAAGCTGTCGCAATATACCTAGCTCGATATAGGGGTTCAATGGTGAAAAATTAGGTGGCTAATTAACGTAAGAGATTTTGAATGATTTGATCTCTACGCGGACTCGATATCCATCAATCTCCGTAGGACCACACGTAGTCACGATATGTCGAGCTCCACCAAGATCGAAACCAACAAACTCCATTCAATAAGTCAACATAATAGATTACACCCATAGCAATACCATCCATGCAGCGAACCGATCAACCAATCCCCAAGTCTAGGTAGGTGCCGACGTCGACAACAACTCTAATGACGGATTCTGGCCCGATCCATCGACAACAAGCGGCTTACAAAGATCCACACTCTTGGCCACACTCTCCTCACCAACCTTGACAGACTTGGACCCCATTTTCTTCGAGATGAGTTCCAGTAGATCTGGATCCGAAGGCCCCATAGACCCATGCCAGCTTCCACTACGTGTGATGGTAGGTCTGGTATCCATCTTCACGCGAATCTGCGAGCCCATGAATAGCATATTGTTGAACATCGTCACAGCCCGCTTCGCCTCTTCGACACTGTGCATAATCGCCGACCCATGCGTCTGCGCTTCATTCGACTTCGCGTCCGAGGTTACGACCACATTACACTGTTCCACCTTTCCGGCGCCCTGGAGCAGATTCTCGAGGTCGGAGACTGTGGTTATTGTGGGAAGATTCTTGATGCACAATGCTCGTTGGGCGAGATCGCTTGTCGGGGTGATGGTTGAGTCCTTGGTCCAGGCTTTGCGCGGGTGCGCGGGGGAGTACTCGCCCATGGTTGTTGACTCTGGGAGTTGCTGGATAGGCGACATTGGGTACATGGGGTATATGGGCATCATGTTCCAGGCTGGAGAGTCAAATGTAGTGCAGTGCATCATTGGCGAGGGCGGGAAGCATTGCATTGGCTGGGCGTGGGGGTCTGGCATCATGGGAAGGAATTGCTGCGGACCCATTGGCATTGGGCTCATCATGTGTCCGAAGTCACATGGATATGAGTAGGTTGTATTAGGCGACTGGACGGATCTAATAGATGTTAATGTTTGCGCAGAATATCTGCAGTTCCTGAGAACTTACTCGGGCGAGATTGGCGATGGCGGCATGGCTATACTACCCGACCGAGGTGGGGTTGAATGACCGGACATGTAGGCCTGTATCACAGCTGGTGGGCTCCTGGTAGGGCCAGCAATGGGCTTCGTAGGAGCACTGGTGCGCGCTAGCGTAACAACCAAGCTTTGGCCTTCCCATCCGTTGGTTGATAACCGGTCTGCATATCGGTCAGTATCACGCACCAGACTTGAATAAACCTGGAGGCACCTACGATAAGTCCGCCACGCTTCATCTTCATTCTTGACGATGATTTGTCCCAGTCCAGTGGGGAAACCATGGCTGTCATCGTACACCACGGCCTGTCGGATGTGTTGCGCCGTTTGGCGCACCAGGTCTTTCAGTTCTTGCCAGCGACAGTGCGCGGGAATCTGAAACCAGTCAGGAACGGCTGATGTAGACATTGGGGGAGACTTACTCCCTGAAGAAACACGACGAATTCATCGTCTGACCTGCGCGATCTCGGACTGCGTCCTTTCTCTCGGCCCAGGAACGGCATTGTATATAGCTCAGAATATCAGATTTTTTGATTTCGGATGGAGACAGCTCGTTTGACCGATTATTAAGAGTAGTCGAGGTATTGATGCGCCTAGAGTTGTCTCTACTAATTTTCGATAGTAGATGTTGCAACCGCCGATCTCGTGTCCGACCAGGATGGTTCGGTCGGGGCTGAAACTAGAATAATGGCCTTGTGTATCTGCAAGTAGCTTCCCTCAATTAGCTTGAGACCATTGGAGATCGATGATCGTGAACAGGAATTGGTTGTAAATCAAGCTTGATTGAGTCTCATGTGTATCGACATCACCAAGCATGAAGTCAAGACATTCGAATGTTTCTGGGGCACGGATACGCAAGGCACTCGACATACCTAACTTTTGCGACGTCAATGCAGGTGAACAATGCACGGAAAGAATACAGTCCACGAGCTGGATCGTTCGACTATTATATGAGTCTCGATGTGAGGAGAGAAAAGGAAAGGTGTTTGGATGTTTCACAGAGAAATCTCATCGTGGATAATTCATGGAGCGACTAGTGAATAAATTGGAGCGTTGCTAATAATGGGAATTCTGCACAAGCCGGGAGGCGAGACCCAGAGCTGCAGCAGGCAGCACTAGCCAATAATAGTCAGGAAGTATGGAGAACGCTTGACTGTGATGCTGCGATATGTCATTTCTGTAGCGACGAAGCCCGAGCTCAGCTCCCTTCCGGCCGCCAAATGCAATAAATCATGCCTCCCGTACCACCCCGCTGGTAAGAGTTCCCAGGAACAGGAATATACACTTGTCATCTTGCTTTTTCTATTTCCCTGGATGGGTGGCCCTAGTCTGTTATAGGCCGGTTCAATGACTAATTGTTGAAAGCTAGAAGTCGCACACCCGTGGAGTGCACGGAACACAAGAAGATCAACTAGATGGAGCGCTTAGCATGTTTGGAGTTACACCGCTAGATCTGATCGGACAATGTATCCAAAGGTTCATGAAGGTGGAGTCTTCAAGGCGGAGCGGGCCATACCGTATCAATCACATTGACTTTTGCAGGGAATCCCGTCTCGAGGTGGAGATCAGGTGTCATCAGTCAGATCCGATCCGATGAACACCCTTAGCGCGAGGAAAGAAAATTCAAAGATCGACGGGGCCGATTTTGCCTAACCTGAGCAATCAACAAATGCACGCCATCCGGGCCGTGTCCAATGGATGAAGATCGCCAATCAATATGTTTACGGGAGCACCGAAGGTTCCTGCAGGTCTATGATCGTGGCTGGCTGTAAGATGCGGGTAGAGTCCAGTCTATTGACGGTGACCCTATTCCCCACATGAATTCCTCGTCATTCCGGCTCTGCAGAGCCTGGAAGCCCTACTGATGATAAGACAACGGCATCCCCTGGTGGCGAGGTCAAGGGTCTGTCACACTGCAGCTCTCCCAGTGCTCATTTTTATTTTTTTTTCTCGCGCTTTGTCGGGCCCGAGATGGCGTAATTTGGCGCAAGGCCTGCGGATCCGCCGAGAGATCGACATGGGTGCTTCGTGTGCTGATCTGACGATCTGAGGCACCCCTCTTCAGGGACAGGTTAGGGCGAAGGGTTCAAGTGTGTGACACTATAAAGTATATCTTTCACTCTTTCAAGTTTTGGTCAAGTGACAGGTATGGAAGTCAGAATGTTGAACACGCGACCGTGGGAACCTTGGGAACATAGAGTAGCATTGGAAGGGGTGGAGCACTGGGCTGAATGGTGAAGTGTGGCGTTTCCTGAACAGGAAATGCATCTAATTCGAGTCAACTGGTCTTAAACGCTTAAGTTCTAGTAAGCTAGTAAGCTAGTAGGCCTTATTAACTAGGTCTCGGGTCTAGAGCATGTGCACTTGAAATTCAAATCATGTTTTACGCTCTAATTCACAGGTCGCAAATGTCGCAAATGATCGCTCAGAAACAGCATGCAAAATACCAGGCTTCAACATGTATGCAATGCAGCAGTATATGATACAGCACAATGCCGAGGTTCCCAGGACCTCGACTCCTGCTTCCCCGTTCCCCCCCCCCTTTTTCCAGATACATGCACCTGCACTTTAAAGGAGTGCATGGTTGAGTTGCTCGTGTACGATATATCAGGACAAATTGATCATTCGATCGGAGAAATAAATCAATGTCTGCGACCGGAGTGCGCGGAAATGGCTGTGTTCCGCACATGCCCTTCCACGAGGGTCAGCCGGTCGAGTCGAAATGGAAGGTCATCAAGGCGACCGTAAAATATCGGATTCATTGTTCATAGTGAACAGTAGAGGAGACAGGCCAGTTGTGGTTGGTTCGGTAGAGTCCAAAGTTGGGTTGATATCATTCCAGATGAGTTTGAGGTTCGGTTTATAGTCGTGTCCGTGGAATGATCATCACCGGACAAATCCGACCTTCGAAGCACATCGATTACAATAGTAGGAGTTCATGCCGAACTGTACTGCGCCGCTAGACTGGGTCCCCACGCTGAGAGATTGTTGACAGCGGGAGCAACGGACAATATCGAGGGTGATGGGGGATGAGACGGTAGGACCGGGCATACCGGTTGAGATTGCAAGTGGTGCATCCATGATGGTTTGTTTGGATGGAAAGAAACGAGGAGCGGAAAGGGGTTTTATGTTTACTCATGAGGGCATCCCTTTTTAGGGCCCCAGTAGTTTAATCCGGTAAAACCCCCAAATACCACTAGAGCAGCCACAACCATAACCCATTGAAATCCGGTTTTCCAGGGAATGTCATACAATTTATTCACCTGGTCACAAGTTCACAAGTTCTTCTAAAGTCATTGGCGTCATCCTTATCTAACGTTAATCAAAGCTTTGTGATCTCTGACAATCCACGTTTGATCGGCGCCGCTTATCTGACCATATAGTGTTGACCCATGCCCGGAGTTTGGAATAGAATACGGGGATTTCGATGATTTCACTCATCCCCGATTTATTCCTTCACCTCCATCCTCCTCTGCACGGTGTTGTCATGGCGGGTCGAAAAACAACGCATGGCGCCCAACGGGGGCACCACGGCTAGCACCTTGTCTGCGATCTAGCGAATGGTGAGAAGAGGAGGGGCAACTAGCCTGCCGATAGAGTGCGTTCAAGCCGTGGGCTTGCGTAGATCCTAGCCCGATTCGGTAAAACGCAAAGACTTGCCATTTCGTAATTCAGCGGTCGACGTCATCTAGCTGGAGACGCACTTCCGATGGTCCTGTAACGGAGTTACAGATCTCGATCTAGAGAGAATCCATGGAACTGGGGAGAAAAGGAAATCGGATATCTCATGTGAGCCGCGGAACCAATATAGATGTTTGCTTTACTTCAATAGTGGATTACTTAAGGATCTTCGTTGTGGCTCAGCTATCGATTTTCCAGTGATATATCCCGTGCGGAACATGGAAACGCTCATGAAACCCTGGAAGAATTCTCCGTGTCAATTGAACGATTAGATTGGTGGGAGGATTTGATGGGGAGTGATGTCGTCGTATTGGAGTCAACGCATTGACCCACCGGTTGATTCCGACTCCCGTTTGTTTGGGGATCGACACGACCCGGCCTTCTAAGCAATCCGACATATCAGGGAGTGACACGCAATGTGGCTTTGAATCAACATGCCCATTCCAACCCGTTCGGCCTCCTTACGAGAGCCCCGTCAGGTAAATACCCGGCAGATTGGGATACCGCTTCATGCCAATGGCTAAATTGCTGCAGACCTCCCACATCGCTCGTCTCGCGCCCGGAGCCAAGGCACCCGCCCGTCCCACAGCTACCGAGACCACGAAAGATACCGTTATCTCCAATCGGGCTCGAACGCTTCTGCCTCAGCGCAGTAACCCCCTGCGCGACGATGGCGCGACCAGCCGACTCCCACCGCCTGAGAGACGGCCTCGAGAGACATCACCCAAGAGACCGATAAGCGAAAAGCAAAGTTCTACCCCGACGGCGACACCCCTGAGCGCCACGGCTTCTGCTCGTCGCCAGAGTCTCATACGCCCTGTTACTTTGAAAACATCTACTCGCAATGTCTCAGTCCCATCAAAGACCACGACGCCTACCTTTACGCCGCCATCCCCAAGGAAACCGTCGATGCGCTCGCCGACGCAATCCTCCACCCCCAGACCCCCTTCTCCAAAGAAGGCAGAGATGCCACCGCCCCCTCGTCCGGCTCGATCCTCTTCGCTGAGACAACCAGTGAGAATCGATCCAACGGCGACTGCGAGAGGCCATGCGCGGCACCGCAGTCAGATTATCCCCCCAAACACAAAGCCAATCCAACCAGATGCGGCTCCGAAACCCCGTTCAGGCTTTTCCACCTATCAACAGCAATATTCGCCGAAGAAGCCGATGAAGCCTCCCACCCCTACTCCAGGAGAGACACCTGCGTCGAGTGGTCTCATTCCGACGACCTGGCCAGACATTGCCGCTTTACAGACGGAGTTGCTTCAGTTAAGCCTCTTCCATTCAGGCGCCCTGGAAAGACATGCCGAATGGAAAGCCGAATCGGAATCACAATTAAGGATGAAGTATGATGCCGTCGCGGGCCAATACCGGTCTACACAAAAAGACGAGAAGATGCGCCAATACAAGCTCAACGTACAAGCGCTGGAATCCTGGTTACAAAACTGTCGCGACCACAATGGACAGCAAGGATTTCCAGAACAAATTCAGATCCTGTCTCAGGTTTTGCAGGAAATATCGGATTTGACCGGCACCGCAACCGGACGTTATGCTCGTGTTGTCGCCACGTTTGAAGACTGGTTTGACCGTGCAGAGGACATCCGGGGCCGTCGCGAGACCTCTAGAGTTCTCGATGGGATCGATTTCATCGACCCGTTGGACCGAACTTGGAAGGAAGAAGTACAAGGCTTGCAGGCCAAGCTAGAGCTATGCGCGCGGCAGCTTCAGACATTGGATATCTTGGGCTTTGGGGAGGTTGAGCGCCTGGAGCAGTCGGCTCTCACCCGAATCGCTCAGGGTATCGTGGAATACATCCAACTCCTGATGCAGGAAATCCGCGCCATGCGCACGGTTGAAACCGAGATGATCCATTCTGAACAGGAGACCGTGGGTCGGTTTGCGACACAACTGACCTCGATTCCAACGGGCGATACAAGGACACGGGTTGGAGTCTGGAAAGCTTAGTATACTGTGTACCACTACTTGTAGCAGGCTGACATGTAATGAATATGTAATTCATAATGATACAATAGTCTCTTATTCAAGACTTGCATAAATCTTTATTTATGCTGCCTGGGACGGCCCGAACTACATCGCAAAGTTCTCTCTGCTAATTTGACCTTCGGAGTAATGATTAACTCCGCCGCGGGGACTGTATGAAGAACGTTGATTTCGACCACAATCAACTCATTTTATTGGTCAACCCGGCCGGTCGAAAGAGCGATGCCATGGACATGAAAACAGCACAGCCTGACAACCTGGAAGCCTCACTGGTTATACCAGGGGCTAGTGCATCAAGATTATACCATGTGATCACACGTATCATATTCCCAGGTCAAGGCCAAAACAAACTTCACTTCCACGTCAGTGCGACTCCCACAATGGAGCCCCTCCCGCCGCTGCCTAAAGTCCGATTATCATCTATCCATCGTTTGAATTGTCTTATCCACCTCTGCATTTTCAAAATCCTAGCAATTCTTTATTTCACATTCCGCAGAATCTACAATTCTACACCTGCGTCACGACCTGAATTCGTTAGATGCTATCCCTGCCGGCCGAGTCTGGGATGCCGCTTTTTCATCCCGCCAACGTATAGAAGTGGACAGAATCTAGCGCTATACATTGACATCCACGGCGGCGGCTTTGCTTTCTGCGATGCAACCGTTGATGATGAGTTCTGCTCGTCTTGGGCCGCGCGGACAGGGATGATGGTCGCAAGCTTAAACTACCGCAAGGCTCCACTGCATCCGTTTCCGACTCCAACGTACGATCTCGCTAGTATTATTAAGGCGATACTTAGTGATGTGACTCTCCCTATTGACCACTCGCGCATTGTTATGGGTGGATTCAGTGCCGGTGGGAATCTCGCGTTGTCCGTATCCCAATTACCCGGTTTCAAGGGAATTGTCAAGGCGGTCATCTCCTATTATCCCATTCTCGACTTTGGTCAGCCCCCAAATGAGAAGTTAGATGCAAGGCCGTGTCAAGATGGACCAAGGGATAGTCTGGAAAAGTCGTCCTGGTGGCTCGATTGGGGATATGTCTCCGTCGGCCAAGATAGACGTGATCCCCTGCTAAGTCCCTACTATGCAAAGAAAAAGGATCTTCCCCCGAATATTTACATGGTCGGTGCGCAGTGGGATATGTTGCGACTAGAAGCTCAAGAGATGATTCATTATCTAGCAGGACTTGAGAGCAAGGAGGACCACGAAGAGCCGTTTGAGAAGGGGGGCTACAAATGGACTCTTGCGTTGGGATGCCCTCATGGCTTTACTCATCCCAACAGAAAACGCTACTCAGAGGTGAGTAGGTTGAAACGGGAGGCTGACGTGATCTATGGGGAAGCGCATCAATGGTTGAAGAAAAGAGCCCTCGCTTAAGACGAGGCTCTATTTATTCTTTGACAGAAGATCAGAGTAGCATCAGGCCGGTTGATACTTATCCGCCCATGTGTGATTGTGATAATATTGAAGAGCAGGCTACCTAAAAGCTACATTATCGGTTTGGGGAGAGCTGTTCATAGTGTATTCTAGCACTGTACACTTTGAAAGATATGGCTTTCTTCTCCCACATTCCTTCTCGATATACTCCTAAAATCGTGACTAGTCTCATGAATCAAGATTTTGATTGATGAGATTATTGTAATTAACCCGCTTGTTTACCTAACAAGCTAGTCTGAAGCCTACATACCTAGGTAGCAGGTCAACGGGGTCACAAAAGCTTTGGGTATTTGATTGGGTGAGCACAGTAAAGCTTCAAGTATATAAAATGAGTTCTCATTCAAAGTATACGTAGGTATCAAAGTACGGCAAATCTTTCACGAATCGAACAAATTACTGCAACCATAGGGCACCCGAAGCATATGCTAAGAAATTCTGCCTTCAAGTCAGGTAGCAATGGAGACAATCCACTAATCAAGCCATGTTTTCAAAAGGGCTCCATCCTCCTTCTACCATGTCCACGGTCCGCTTTGTGGCTTCATCAAGGTCCTCCTTGGGCAGTGCGAGAGCCTCGTTCGCCACCATGAGTGTAGAGGCATAGTCACTCTTGTCATTGTCCGCCCGAAATACATTTCCGTACAGCATCTTTGCAAAACCGGTGAAGACACCATTGGCAAGTTCTTCGGCACCATCCTTGATGCGCTTGGAAATGGGCTCATATCTGATCTCCCAGTCAGAGTCCACCGTGCCAAGTACTCTGTTCAGACTATCCAACATGTCGCGCTGGGAGACTTGGAAGCTGTAGATATGGACTCCCTTCTTGAAGTCCGTCAGGCTTGGGCTGCTCCCGGACTCCGGCAGACTGAACAAAGCGGCGAATGCACGACCACACTGGTCCCACGTGCTGACCGTGACGGTACGCTTGCCGTCATCGAAGAAGGTGACTTTGCGATCCTTGATCGTGAAGCCGAACCACTGCTCACCAGTCGCCAGACTCCACTCGTACCAGAATCCACAACAAAAAGGGACTGCCAACGACACACCGTTATTGGCATCGCCAATTCGATCGACGACGAGCTTATCATAAGGACCGGTGGCACTCGCAGAGTCCACTGGGTATCCAAAGGTGTTGGGCATGACATAAGTGACGCCAGCCTTTCCGGCAGCGGCGGCGATTTTCGCATGCAAGTCGCTCGGTGCCTGAACCCCAAGGGTGATAGCAAGGAACTGTTGGCCCTTGAGGGCATTTACAATCGAGACTTCATCATCGTAGTTGACTCTGATGACGTCTACTCCCTCGGGGAGCGTGCCTTTGCTGTCCTCTCGTACGAGGGCAGTGACGTTGTGCTTTCCGGTCTCCGCTAGGGCCTTGGCGAATGCACCGCCAATGCGACCAGTAGCCTGTATCAAGTTAGTATGAGTGTTAGGACTGGGGGCGTTCAGTATGTAAGTTCACATACACCAACAATTGCAACGTTCTTGATGGGTTCGGTCGACATGATGAGGCAGTCACAAGGGTTAGAAATGTAAGTTTTGATCAAGATAGGAGCCACAAGTAGAGTGAAAGGACTGAATGCTGGTTCTCTGGGCCATTCAAGGACATCAAGCTTTTATTTATAGGTTTCTTGAGCATCATGGACTTTACGTTGTTACAGCGAGCGGAGCTAAGGCCCGGAGATATGGCAGAAAACGAACGGAGATTGGAGCGCGACCCATGGATTCTACCAGATTCATTTTCACGCTAACCTCCATTCGTATTCTATCCAACTTTAACTGGAAGGTTGTTTTTGTCTCTCGGGGGTCTGCCACAGCATTTAGCTCATGATCAATGAAACGTGTGCTGTCATTTTGGGAGCTTCTTGAAGTCTCCCGGAGTTAGTCTATTGCCGGGCTTAACACCTCAAATTATACTGTACGTACTTAGTGTGAAAAAGTTGAATGCTAAGTTTGATTCATGAATTAGAGCCAATGTGCTAAAATATGCCAGAATCTGGCAATGGCCAGGTGGATATACTTCCATAGTTTAACAAGGCTCGTTTCCTGCACGAGGTCAAAATACCAAGGCTTCTTTCAAGCCAGATTGCGTGTTCGCTCCATCAAAGCCATCCTAGCTATCAAAATAAAAGTCTAGGCGCTTATTTCCCTCATCAGAAGTAGTCTCCAAATAGGCGGCCCTCTCTTCTTGGTTCATTCTATCCCACTGCGCCTTCTTCCAACGGTTCCTGCTAACATAATAGACCTTAGCAAGGGCGTATGCTATAATAGTAGCGACATTGATTGCGATCAGTTGGCTGTTGCCTCGGCGATATAGGGGCTTATCGTCGGATCGGTAGATGTTTGAAGAAGCGATCCCAGAAAGCTGGATCATTATGTTAAACAGAGCGGCACTGACAGCTCTGGTTCGAACGGAGTTACTCAAGCGGGAGCACCATCCCACTTGCGCAGCCTGTGGATTAGGCCAGCCCAACAGAACAAACGTGACACCATATAGGCCCCAGTTGGACAGTGTTCCCGCTGACGTATACAAGACGATGAGGAGCGGAAGGGACCATAGCTGGGCAAGGAGTCCCACAAGGGAAATTTGTTTCACGCGCACACTTAGTTCAGTAATCAATAGCAGATTTATCGCTGCGAAGACAGTCACGGGGATTGACAGGAGCGTTGTCTGGAAAGTCGTAAATCCGATGCCGGTAAGCGAAAGGGTAAGGTATGTCTTCGGAGGGGACGTGGGAATTTCGAAAAGGATTCCAAGAACGTAGATGGGCCATAGATCAAAGTCCTTCAAACTCTGCCAGAGCATACCGAGGGTAAGTGCTTGTCGATTATGCATATCGCCTTTGGAAGGATCGTCGCGTAGGACGCGATTGACAATGATGGACTCCTCTCGCTCATTGAAAATCCCCTTTGGATTCCACCATGTCTTGGTTTGCGTTGGACCGGGTACCAAGAAGAGGAAACTCAGAAACCCGATGACAAGACTAATGAGCGCCTCAATTAAAAACAACCACCTCCAGCCTTCGCGCCCATCTACACCACGCATGTGCAATACACCATACGCAATGAAAGACGCAATGACACCGGATATGGAGTCAGTAAACCAAAACAATGCAAGCCGGAATGGCATTTCAGTTTTTGTGTAGAAGTAGGACAGGTAGAGAATGGAGTCCGGGATGAACCCCCCATAAAGAATCCGAGTAAGAAGCGGCAAGCGAAGAAACCAGCCCGATTCTGCATAAAGAATTGTCCACCTGAGGCTAGGCTCCAAAGGATGATTTGAACAGGGATCCACCGATCCGGTCCAAGTCTCTTCCCAATCATCTGGGATGGAATCTCCGCAATCAAGAATCCAATACGGTACATGTTTTGCGCGTTGTTATAGTCGTCGGTTGTCAAGTTCAGATCGTCAAGTAGATTATCGGCAGCGGCATTTCCCAAATTACCTCTGTCGAGATTAAGACCGAAGAACATGACTAGAATCCAGAGGAGAATTCTCCAGTCGGTCTTTCGCCTGACCCGGGCTTCTTCGGCGTATGTCCATCTTACCTGTGGATCGAAGCGGTGCAGATTCTCGTATCCAGGATGCGGCGCGTAGAACTTTCCCAACACTGGATCATCGAACACGCTGCGAGCTGTAGCGGTGGCATCGGGGTCATTCTTGGTGTGGTGTCGGCGAAAGAATGAAAACAGTGACTGAGATGACTGGTCAGGCTCAGCTTCTGCTAGGTTCACAAACCCCCCTTGTTTGAAGGTATCTTCCTCAATGGACCGCGCTCCGGCAGGTGCTGCAACTGCTAGAGAAGAACTGTTCTCCATTTGAACAAAAGGGCCAAAGTCGATCACTGATATGAAAACAAATATGGGAGTATGTTTCCTTTTCTTTATCATTCTTCTAACTATACCACTATTTAAGTCTCAACTACAGGCTCGGCTAATATTAACCGTTACCACACGCGTGATTCAGAGAAATGATGGTGTCATAACATAAACTTGATGCGATACTAATGTCAAGGCATTTGTAACTAGGGTATTTAGATTCATACCATTCAGAATGGGTAATCAGCGATGTGTTGATTGTGTTCCTTTGTTACAACCTGGCTTGTTCGTATTAGTCACTTTCGAAATATTCGCCATGCAAGTGCGGATGGCATCAGTTTTTACACACCAATCAAGATAGCGAGGCATTATATGCATTCATCTAAATTCGTCCCCTGACCTTAGCCTAATCCAAGCGTTCAACGATCTGGTAGCCTAACAGGAAGGACATTGGTGGAAGATTCTCGATCACCCGTCAACTATTTGAGCGATGAGGATTCAGCTTGCTAGTGGGCAACTCTGGCGGTTCTTTCCTATCACACCGGTTCTTTGAAATGAAAATGAGGCTTTATAGCGAATATAGCTCATCTGCGAAAGCATGCCTAGTGGAATAGAAATTCTGTCACCATCAAGTGAAAAGTGCTCCAGCAAGACTATCACCGCTATATGAGTGTCGTCGCACTAGTCGCCATGATGTTTGTCACTTTCTTGTAGTCCTGTTTTGCTCACTTTTGTTCCCTTGACCATGGGCCTTGGCAGCCCGCATTATGCCTTCTTCCAACTTATTTGGTTCGATCTGAGTGTCCCAGTCAGTACTAGCTTAGCGTTGGCTTCATGCTCGTGGGGAGAATGTAGGGTTAGGGCTTCCTTCGCGAAGTATCTCTTGAAGCTTCAGTCACTCGATGCAATTATTGGGAATGCAAGTTGAATGCGAGTAGGGGCCATGATATATCAATTTAAACATGATTGACCCAGAGACTACTATGAAGAGATGCGGTTCTAAAACAGATCTCTAAATCTCAATATTATTAGTAGTGGTAGTGGTTCCTCATGGCCATGGAATCAAGAAACGGATCCCGAGACTACAATCTACGAGACTCTGGATTTGATTAGATAGTATTGGATTATGTGCGCGAACTTGTTCATTTGATGCATCATCTTGATTTCATGACCCATGAATCAATTGTCGCAGCGACCTATAGTATGGCTAAGTTGTTTATGCGTTCGCTCGAAATAGGCAACACTTAAAGACGGTAAATATGCCACAGAGTACTCTGACAAATCTTGTCAGAAGTATGCTTTAACAATTGCTTATTCATCATAAGAAGCAGAGTGACGAATGACGATCCTGCGACGCCGTGCTTAGGTCAAGCAATAATTACCCGACATCAGAGCACCTCATTTAGGGAGAGAATGACGCTCTTTACCCTGAGATCACATCACTTTTCGGGGCTTAACCACTTGGACCTAGGCCTTTTTGCCAAGCAAACATGATGATAATTAATCCACCACTGCTTGATTTTGCTTTGTTCGCAACGACAACAGTATTCCCGAGCGGGGTCAAAGTGCATCACAACTTGACCCCTCAACTTTCAACTCTGAAGTCACTTCTCATGTGCCTTTTCTCTTCCTCACTGAAATTCCTATTGCCATGAATGGACACAAGAATGTGCTTCTGCTAATAGCAGATGACCTCGGAAAACAACTGAGCTGCTACGGTGCAAAAAGTATCCTTACACCTAATATTGATCGGCTTGCGGGTGAGGCCACTCAGTTTGATTATGCATTTGCAAGTACTGCCTCGTGTAGTGGAAGTCGCTCTGTCATATATACCGGTCTTCATACTCATCAAAATGGACAATATGGACTCGCCAGTCATCGGCATCATTTCGTCACATTTGATCACGTCGAAACTCTGCCACATTTATTGAACCAGACTGGTCACCAGACGGGGGTTTTGGGCAAGATTCATGTTGGACCATCGAATGTTTACCCTTGGAAAGTGACAAAGGAAAGCACCACCCGTGATGTTGCATTGATTGCCGACCAGGCCAGGTCTTTCCTCCTTGATGTCAAGCAGAGTCAACAGCCTTTCAGTCTGACGGTTGGGTTCCACGATCCCCATCGTGATCAAACACGGGGTGGATTTGGCAATGATGCGGAATACGATTCTCGGATCACTAAAGGAAACTATATTGCGGAAAACGTCGAAGTTCCATCATTCATTACCGATTCCAATGGAGCTCGCTCGGAATTGGCTGAGTATTATAACTCGATACATCGCCTCGATCAAGGCGTGGGAATGATCTTGGATGCGTTGGATGGTTCTGGTCTAGCTCAGTCCACTCTCGTCATTTTCGTCAGCGACAACGGCCCGCCGTTCATCAATTCCAAGACCACGCTGTTTGATGCTGGAGTCCGACTTCCCTTGATTATTAGGAGTCCAGGGTCTTCATCAACTGTCAGTACAAATATGGTATCGTATATCGATATTCTTCCCACCATCTTAGATTTTGTCAATCACCCAGGAGTGAAAGACCCCGCAGGCAAGCGTCTCGGACGTTCACTTCTTCCTCTGCTTGGAAATTCAGCCGAGTTGCCAGAATTTGATCATGTCTTTGGTTCTCACACATTTCACGAAGTAACAAACTATTGGCCAACACGTTTTATCCGAGACCGACAATATAAGTACCACCGGAATTTAGCTTGGCGTCTGGACTTCCCATTTGCGGCTGACTTGTACGGGTCACTTTCATGGGAAGATATCCGAAATTCAACGGAAAAGGAGATCATGATCGGTGGCCGAAGACTGAAAGATTATTTCTTTCGCGCGCCTGAGGAGCTGTATGATTTGGAAAATGACCCAGATGAGGTGAAAAACTTGGTGAAGGAGCCTGAGTATGCAGAGATATCAGATAGTCTGAGATCGAGGCTGGAGAAATGGCAACGTCGAACCGAGGACCCTTGGCTGTATCGAGATGGGGTATCATTATGGTTCATACGAAATCACATAAAAAATGGGTTAAAGGTCCCCGATAGGTTGGACTTTGATCAGAATGAACCAGGAAACAAACAGAGTGGATTCGTTAAGGAAACACGTTGGGGGGAGGATGTTCAAGAATAAAACCGGTTTCCCGCCTTCAAGCTTTCAAGTTGAATAAAGATCCTTTATTTTCACAGTTGGTCTTTTACAGTACTAAGTCAAACTGTATGTTCTATCCAGTGTTCAGCGCATAGCCCGCTCATTCGGGTTCAGAAGCTGCTCATATGCCTGCCCATGCCCGTGGGCAGTTGACGGCGTAGGCTCGGGTCCCATATTAGCCCCAAGTTCCATTTGGTTCCCAGGACCCCTTGTATCACGATTTCCAACTTCCTGTGCCATATCCAACCCGAACTTTATGGCGCGAAGGATTTCCATCGGATTGAAGAGCCCAATCCATGCCCGCACACCCAAGGGTCCTCCCTCATATCCATGTGATATGCTGACTTCGGATGGTGTCTGGTAATTACCTGCTACGGATTCCTGTACTTTGGGGTCATAGACTCTACTCCCGTGTGTGAGTTTGTATGGTCCCACGTTGTACGCGTAATAGAAAAAAATCGAGAATGGTACCATCTGCAAGCAGATGACAAGGTTAGGAATTCCAATATTGACATCAGCGTAGCTCAATGTTGATGTGGATTCGAGGACATTGGTCGAGCGCAGGATAGTGAAAATAATCTGAAAGTATAAATTAGTATATTCATGCATGCAATTGCCAATAACTGGCTTTCTTGCTTACTCTTTCGAGGAATGTCAGACCGACGATCAATTTGAATGCCAGTAGCTTCGAAAGAGGGCGATGACTGGCCAGGTGAGACTTCAGATTTCGGTAGAAGCTAAGGACTGACATAACAGCGAATGCGATCGAGACCGAAGTGATAATTGTCAACTGATAGTATTCATTAACTTGCAACCTCCCGGTGAGTCCATTGGCTTAGGTTTCGGCTTACCCAAAGATGCGCAAAGTAGACTTTGTTACTATCAAGACAATAGACACCAGCAACCTGAGTAAAGTCGGTGGCAAGGCTCGTTAGCAGTGCAACAACTGGGTATTGGAAAATTGCAATCCATTGTTTCTGCGATTGTATCAGACACGGTAAACCTAAGGGAGGTAAACAAGCCCTTTTTTCTATCGAAGTACTTACTCTGAACCATTCCAATCCTGTCATTGATGTCTTGTTTTGCTTCTTTTGCGGTGGCTGAAAGGCAATAAAGAACACGTCCAGATCGGATCGACTATCGCTCGCGATAAATTCGCACAACAGAAGAAAGAATGATCCTAACGCGACCGCCTGGAATAGTTCCAACCAAGGCGAGAGGTAAACAAAGGCATGTGGATAGCAAATAGAGAGGAAGGATGTTATCGTATAGAGAGGTATAAGGAAGCAGATTTTGAGTATTCTATCTCACGTCAGCGTGGCTTGATGATTGATAAGAGGTCTCGTACTTGATTTGCTCTCTTGGCTTGCTTAGATGAATGGCATGCCAGAACATCAAACTGAATATTGCAATACAAACGAATGCTGTACAAGCTCCAGATATGATCATGTTGAGGCGATAAAAGGACATATTTGCAAGTATATCTCGTTCAGCAACTATGCACGTGATCAGCAAACATGTATGCTATGTGAGATGCGATACGATGCTTTGCCTCCGTACAAGCATTAGGGGTATATACCAATAGCATATGACTTAGGCATAGGGCATGTATGGTTGCTTTTCCCATCATTACTGAAAAGTCCCATTTTGACTGGATTGATCCACTGGTTATAAAACAGAAGTGAAGAATAGGGTCGATGTTGAAATGTAATGAGAGAAGAACTTATGGAGCAGATCCTAATAACACCTTAATCAGAAAAGGGGTCTGCTCCCTTTAAATATCCGTCGGTGAGGGTCCATGAAACTGGACTTTCCCAAGGCACAACAGCATAGCCCAATTACAATATCGATGAGCCCGACAGCTGAACATCCTGATCTCCTCACAGGGCGAATACTACCCCAAATAGGTTAGCCTCGCATGGGAGATCCCAATGCGGTTAGCATGCTTATATTAACTTTATCCGCCCAAGTATCAGCTAAGACGAAGGGCAGGAAGTATCACTTTAAAATTAGCCCATTGCGTCTGACCAAAAGCTGAATCGAAAGAAATTGCCAGGTTGGGAGGATCCGTGGTTTACTTGGCGGATTGCGACTTACTGCTCAAAACATACAGTGTTGCCTCGATTTCCGAGGTCATGGGATGCATTTTCTTAGATGAAGTTCTGGTCCAGGCACAGCCACTCTTTCTAATCCGCCTGGTCGGCTTCTCGGTCCAGATCCAGCTCGAAATTTTCCAAGCTTATTTTTGCGTCTAAATTCACGTCATAATAAGAAAAAAAATTAGAAACGTAAAGCTTTTTATTTATACTAATGGGTTTACTATCGATTTGATGGGATAGAACGAACCCATGGCCTGCCTGATCCCCACTTCGTGCGCAATTCTTCTCAGGGTCAGGCTTGCCGTCTGCTTAGCCTCAGACCCTATTGCCGGCGACGCAAGTATCATCCTCAAAGGCCACATCACCCTAAGAGACTCTGCCCAGCTTGGGGTGAAGTTGCCGTTATCTGGGAGAAGACATGGCAAGGTGCTCAAGATGCGGACCGCTCTATGCCGTGATTCAGCGGAGATGATTTCTTGCAAATTCGCAACGTGTGCGGCAGAGCTTTCAGAAATATCTGTTCGACCCATAATATTGATCAAAAGGGCTAAAGCGATCGAGTGCACACGAAGTATACAGGCATCGACATGATTGCGAATTCGCAGCTGCCCGCTTTGGCTTCTTTCAATATTATCCATGCTGCTTTCTGCAGAAAAGGGTATACCGTTGTCAGAGGGGGTCTTCAATAATATGTTGCGGTGGCCGCCGGCATAAAATAGACCATCGATAGCTGCAAATTTGCCGGCTGTGGATGTAGCTAAATGAAATGATGAATTCGCCACCCAACAGGCTCGTGCAACCTCATCTCCGTAGAAAAGTGACGGGACGAAGGACAATTGCTTTGTATCAATCCGCGATTGAATGTTGTTCAGCCATTCCTTAGACTCTGGGGCTGGGTCCGTGATGGATCTGAAGGATTGAATTTGCTTTTTGAAGATTAGCGGAGCCTTGATGAGGGAATTAAGACTGCTGACGAACAATAAAATGATAGGCAATGTGGAACAGTTGGCAGCCTGTAGATGTCTCGAACTGTTGGGAGCCTCTTGATCTCAATAAGTGCCCAAGGGCCCTGCTGTGAATGTCCCAATTGACGGGCCCCCCGTAAGAACCGCAATCGCCACGCATGAGCTTATTCAATGTGAGAGGGAGTTGACTTGATTTAGGATGCAGAGTGCCCACCTCGTACAAACATGAAAACCAAACTGCTAGCAGGGTCGAATCTTCCCTTTGACGGGAAGGGTGTGATAGATCCGCCCTCAAACTGCGTAACGTTTTCCCATAGAGAGATTTATGCACGATTGCCGATTCGCGTGAATTAGTTCGATTTGCCAGATAAACATGTCCCACTGCATGGGCTACTAGAGAGAGTGTAGACTCCGCCTTGGAGTTGCCCAGCAGGATCGGCAGACATTCCAATGATCCATTTGTGCGGCCCCCGTGTGCAGTCGGAAAGGAAAACTGATTCACAAGCAATGGCACGATGTGAATATCCCATGATTCTTTGATCTCTCGGGAGGGATTGAGAGTCAGCTCATACTTTGAGTGCAGGACCTCATCAGAACGACGATCATTCGCTTTGGTATGCCGCCAGGGCTCCGGCCGGTGTTCCCGAGCGACCAGGGATGCATGCTCAATGCCTTTGCTGGCTGGCTGCCGCCGTGATCGGCTTTCTCTATTGACGTAAGACTTTGGTGTTTGGATATGAAACGAAATTTTGGGATTATTTAAGTCTCGATAACCGCAAGGTCGACCAACTTTCTGACATCGGCGACAAGACGGACGAAGGAGATCGCACTTTTTCCGTTAGCAATGGCTGTTCACATCTCTGCTAATTCTTAATCGAGCGCACCTTCACCCGCCGTTGTCGACACGTTTCACAGTCTCGGCTCGGCAAGCCGGTGTTCACCATGTTGAGTATGGGTCCACCGTCCTTGTAGCTCGGTGGGTCAAATATGCTTGTCAGTCGCCAACGTAGTGCGTCATACAAGCCAGGCCGCCTCTTTAGCAATTGTCTTGGTGATAGTCGATACTTTCTGGATGTGACTGATGGCAATCTCAAGAAAGACGCTGCCTACAAGATAATTTCTACAGGGGACTTTCTTGACGCTCATCGTAGCTAAATGGGGCCGAGTGAGGCTGAGCCACCGTCAGCCTCACCCATTCAGGTAAGCATCGCGAAGTATTGATGCCTTAATCCACAGGCTGAAAGGTCAACTACTGGACCCAGTGATTGGCCACAACTAATTGTGAAGGGTAAGTAACCAAGACAGGGGCTGTATATACCAAGGGCAAGATGGGCCCATATGTCTAGATTCACTAGCATTTAAGGAAAGGTATCATCGATTTACTCCAAGATTCTTCAAAAATTCGTGAAAAGTTGCCAACCGCCAAACACATAACGGGTGTAGTCCTCTTTGCATTCTCATGACCACTGCACATAACTTTCACTATCAGATTGACCCTGAAACAAAGAACGAAACGATATCCAATCGAAGTCATCCATTCCGCCTGCGACATCTATTGTATCTCCATTGTCGTCATATGGCTGACATGATAAAAGTTGGGACGCATCGAACGAGAGGCCATATGTGTCTTCAATCTCTGGCAGAGCCCACATTGAAGTTCTTCGGACCATTGAGTGGGGTTTTGGGTCAGGTCCAATCTCAAAGAAGTCAAGATTCACCGGGATTGATGGCATATCGTGCGCTTCATGGCTGCTTCGCTTTAGAGGATTGATCTGGTGCCCAGTATTGAGCTCTTCAATGGATGATTCATTTCCAAGAGTTAATTCCTCATCGCTTGACTTCATGGCAGATTTGCCTGCCCATGAATGATTATCATCCGATATAATTGATCTTGGGTCCATAGAGTCCAACCCTTCATTCCCCCGCGATTGTGGTGAAAATGTGTGTGACTTGTCGTTCAATGACCACGGGAGACGAGACATTGAAGATTGATATGAAATTCCTCGCACAAGCTCTGGGAGAGAGTTCTCGTATGGTAGGCGGCCCACAGAGAGGCTGTAGTCCACAGATGTCGAAATCAGAAGATAAGCACGAGGGCATAGAATGAAGGCGTCTAGCCAATTCCTGGCTCTGCTTTGGTCAGGTGAAAGCCAGTGCTTGAAAATATTACTTCTGTGCACGTTATCACATCCCAAAGAGTCATATATCTCACCCGTTTTGCGCTTTGTCGACGAAACGTCTGTGGGAAGAAAGAAGTTCTGGGTAGTCAAATACGCTAGCTGGAGGATATGATTGGTTCCAGCTGCAACAAAGTCCGTCACATCATATAAGCTTTCTGAATGTCGAATGATCTTTTTCAAGGAATCCAATCGCCTTTGCCTAGATGCTGTTTCGGCTCGTGAGGGTGAAAGTTTCAAGTCTATGGCGGCTAAAACGAGTGGCATCCCCACATACGCGAGACTGCCGCCAGAGAAGGTGTTATTGGGTTGTTCGGCACGCAAAGATATTTGAGTTAACCTACACGCTCAGAGGCAGATTATCCACATGGCCAGTAAGACTGAAATATTCCATAATTCGTGACAATCCATCTATCCCACCCTTAAGATCTCTTCCAACGCTCATCAGTGCCTGCTGATACCTGTGGGATGGAAGGGCCGGATACTCTTCTATTAAAAGAGCCACATATTGAGCGAGATCTACTCTAGCCGCGCTATTAAATATTGCATGTTAGCCGCCATCAAGATATTAATAAAGCACAGAGAAGCCATGGTCCTCTTACTGGTAATACATGAATGTCATATTTTTTAGTGCAGCGGATGGATGGGGACATCGATTGTCTCTGGGATCTGGAGGATATTTTGCTTGAGAGTGCCATTGAACTAACGAATCTTTGATCTTGTTTAAGGTGACCATTTGGCTTTCAAATTCTTCCTTGCTGTATGACGCCGTAGGGGTCAATCGAGGGCTGAAAATCAATGTAACGAGGTCTGTCAAAAGAATTGCCAATGTGCATTGCTCTTGAAGGGCCGACAGAAATATCGACTTCGTATGGTAGTCGTAAACTTCTGAATGGTGCATCTCGTCCTCGAAATCATGCTCTCGGAGCCAATCTCGACAGCCATGAAGGTTAATTGAGGTCACTTGCGGACGTCGACGGAGACCAATGCATAGGCTCCTGTCCCTGAGTAATATCGACCACCACAATCTCTTTTTCATAGAATCACTGACATGATCCTCCACAAGGGATGGTTGAGCATCAATGAGCATGGCATTCTCAATACAGCTCGTCAGCCATAGGCTTCCTGCTAAAGGTGCAATGGCCGAAGTATGATGTGTAAGTAAAATAGCTCCCTGCGCCTTTGCCGATGGCTTCATCTCGACTTTGAGATCAAACAGTAGCTAATTGGCAATTCATTTTAATCACCAAACGAAGCAGAAATTGAGGGGGAAATGTTATACCTTTGCTCTGTTGTACAGCTGTTTCCGCGCGTCCCGCTTGTCAACAAACCCACATTCATATAAAGCATCAAGGCTCACAAACTATGCAAACTCGAGATGAGATTATATCCTCCTTCCTTACTCGTGGTAAACAGGTTCATCTTACCGGGGATATGGCAAAAACGAGAGCCTGGAAGACTAGTAAAGATATTTTCTCCGTTGAATCCCCCCCAAAGGCACGCCAGAATTGCGCTTCATCAAGTACTGGAAGCATAGGGTGAATTTTTTTAAAATAATTCTCTAGAAGCTTCTTCGTCGTGTGATGGCTCGGTATATTCAAAGAGCCTTTTATGAAGAGGTAGTTAATGTCTTCTGATGGTAAGCATTTCAGGTTTTGAGTGCACAAGAAGCCGTGCCTATCGATATCGATAATGGCGACGTGGGCAGATATAGAAGCCTGTTCAGAAGGCGGATTTTCAGTGCCGGTGAAGTGGTATGAGTGATCTAGCTGCCCAACTTGAGCTTGAGCGAAATATTCCACTCCGTCGTGTGGTCCATCGTGTGGGGTAAGACCAGTTGGTAGTTCTTCGGGAGACGTGAATTCGTGAGGAGGCTTTGATATTGATCTTGCTTGCAGATTAGTTTCGAATTGCTCTTCAAGCCGAAAGCTCGAATAACTTACTGCTTTGGGAGATTCCGTCGCAGAACACAGTCCGTTCGACAATCTTGGCGGCAGCGAGTACAAGGGGAACCGGAGATTGATGCATCACAACGTACCTTGGAGAGAGTCAGCGCCACTAGAAATGAGTCCAACGTTGATCATACCTTGCGGTGATGACACCATGAACAAGCCGTGGGTGCTCTGCGAGTCCGTCGTAACATCGATTCCGAGATGAGGCGGAAGGTAAGGCGATTGTCCACAGGGGCCTCCTTGGAATTGTATACAAGACAACAGGAAGTCCGGTTGAAAATGCACTTTGTAAAGCAGTGGGACATTGGGATCTCATGAAAAAGTTACTCAAATACTACCAAGGTGGCCCAGGGGAGCATCACCTGATTTGTGCACAAAAATATGAATTTAGAGTTGCGGGTCATGCTAACTAGTGAAGTGACAACACTGTCCGGTATGGCTTCTCTTAGACTCTTCAGGCTTTAGAAATAGTTCCTCTATAGTATTTTGTTCATCCTTTTTATTATTTTCTGTCGATTTTGCTTCTCTGCTGAAATTCTCTTCGCTGGTGGGTACGCTTGTGCCTGCCACATAGCGAGTTAAGAAATTAATTTCGACGATTCATCGTGGGGTCGAATGACAGAGGCAAGAGGAATGCCAAGTACAGTGATGAAAGGCATGAACAAAGGCTTTGAATATCATGATCACCGTTGTCAACCCCATGTGCCCCCCCAGAATTGCGGGGTTCCGCACATGGTTTACCGCGGAACTCGGTTACATTGTGGCCAGGACTATTTCCACGCTCTATGAAACAACGCACAGGCACATTCCTGCAGAACATGTAGCCAACCTGGCGGGGTCGATTTTGAAAGTAGAAGACGCGATCCACGTCAGTCAGCAGAAGCCATGCACATTGCATACAGTTTATTCAAGCACTTGAAATTCTCCACCAATCATGACCCAAATTCCACTTCCATCAGAAAAATACCTTGAACTTACCGATCTCTCATCATGAGCAAAAAAAAGTCCTACTGGAAGAACTCTCAGTGGAGAAAAGACTCAAAGCCACTCTGTACAATATAGATGACTGCCATGCCGCAATTCGCGGGCAAATCTCGGATTAAAAGTCCAACGCTTCGCTGTTATCCGTGGCATTCGGCACCACGATGATTTCGCCCACTTGTTACGCGGCGTCGTACCGGAGTTCACTCGTGCACTCAACGCGCGTGCAATTATGAGCGGAGTGATCCCGGATATGAACGACTCCCCTGAGATACCCTATTGCATCTGGTATCCGGAACCGCCGTCCCAGGAGACCCTTCGAAATTTGGTGAAGCGTTATCCCGACATGATTTATCACGCTGCTCGCTCCTGTGCCGTGGCGGGATACTCTGATCTTTACTCGCAGCTTCAGGTTCTCCCCGAGATTCATGTTGCTGCCGAGGCTCGCGACGCTAGCCTAGCAAGGAAGAACAGAGGCAGCGAGGCAATATACCAGCAAATAAAGACAACCTGATTCTATCAGCTGCATATAGAGGTGACGTGGATCGAAATGTACGCCTACGACGCCCACAGATGATCGAACAAGAATTCCACGCTATTGTATTGGGGATATACAATCACCCCCTGTGGGCGCGATGGTGGAGCACACAGGTGCCGGAGGTCCCTGATAAAAGTGAGGACGTATCTCTAAGGCGCGCAATAAATGCTCGACGCATCATCAGCGACGATATCACTTGTATCACGCCAAGAACTCCGGAATCGCTGGTACCTCCCAGAATCTGGTGGCCTAGTGTTGCTTCTCCAGTGACCTACGTGCGTCTCGCGCAGAAAAGGCCTGATATGCTCGGATCCTGTCTACGAGCTTGTATTGTCGCTGATTACGAAGATGCGTGGGATGAAATTCTGATTGGGTCACCTAATGGCCCAAATGATTCCAAAATTACTCGAATTTCCGAAGTCGTCAGATCGCAGATCTACGCCGAGGCTAAAGGTTCATCCAATCCGCACTACCTCGACGACATAAATTCGCTTGGAACAGCTAGGGTGGAAAAGCTTGAAGCCGATATGTACTACTTGGATGACATGCGTACTGCGAGATGGATGTATTCGCCACGCTCGACTGCCCAGAGAGTTGTAATAAAAATTAAGCCCTTCGCGTTGACAACGGGGGAGAGGGGCTCGGATGGGATTCCGAGAGAGCCGAGTAACCTGGGATTAACAATCTCTGGCATGGATGCAGTTGGCTTGGATAATAAGACATGGGAGCAGGAAAGTTTCATTGAGGTCGAAGATATGTACAACATCCTTGATGCCAGAGACCTTTCAACATAGTACATGAAATACAGCAACTGGCTTGCTTCTCGTCCGCTGATAAGACCTTGGAATCTCCTAAGGTTCAAGTGGAAAATACGGATACCAAACAGTATACAGCAAAGAAAGTGGGGCTGGAGGTCGCTTCACACGACGATGCAGTAAGCCAGTCCGAACCCCATGCCGAAGCTGCAGCAAAGCTTGTGCAAGTTCAATTCTACCATGCTGGGGAAAGAATGCTACCATTGCCTTTTGGTATTCTAATGGCGTTCCTTTGGGCGCCTATATTAGCTCCGCCATAGAGAACACTAAAGAAAAGGGCATTCTTGCATCTTTCCTCGAAAGCTCAGCAAGGGGGGACCCGGCACTTCTGGTTCTATAATGCAGGTTTGTGACGATACTCGCTCAGCAGCATATACTGTCGGTGTTGTATCTGAGGCGGACTCAGACAAAAAAGAAGCTTGGTCTGTTGTTCAAGAAATTCTCGCCATCTGGAACAGTGATGAGCGTGTTCAAGGCTACAAGAATAGTCGCATGTCGCAAATTACTGTTGGCGGAATTATACGCCCGAATGAGAACAGCTCCCATGGTAGCGTTCATGGATCATTACAACAAAGAATGCGGGGCAGCCTAATACTGTGGATGTAGACAGATCAGTCACAAGTGCACGTTTAGGCCATTGAATTGAAGAAGTTATAATAGCTATAGTAGTAGTTTTTGATCAATGTGATTTAGGGGAATATTGAGATAATCGAACTTTTGTGGGCCAAATCCAACAAAAAGCTTCAAACCCTGGATTGATATTCTGTGTCTTAGTATACAAGACAGCCCGAACCCTTGTAATTAAAAGCTCTATCGATCCCAGACCAAAACAGTATTGTCTGCGAACCGAAAATTTCAATATCAAACGACCGAACAAAGCACCCGGGAGGACACCACCCAGCCTATTTCCTTCTAAGCCATATCACCAAGTCTTCGTCGCATATCCTTCAAATAGTACCGCATAGGAAGGGTTCGAATCACGCGGGGAAGATGGGGGTATGTTACCTTGGTGAGCCCCATCAGAAACCGGTAGGACCCTCTCCGTATCTTAGTTGACTTCAGGCCGTAGGCTTCGCGAATTCTTGGAGGCAGCATCTCAGTAGTAGTGAGACGGACCAAGGGAAGAACAGCGCGGACTGCAATAGGTGCCTTCTTGTTTCGCAGTAGATCTTGGACCACATGTTTTGCATCATCGGTGATTTCAACTGTCGCAATCTTATCATCCCAGTATTGCCAGAAGGCTACACGAGATGGGGGCCACATCCCGGCAGGGACACGAAGAGATGTGGCCAAGATCGAATATTCTTGGTATATCGCATCAGATGTGTCTTTGTCCATGTCTCCAAAGACTCTTTGATAAAGATCAGTGCCAACTGCATAAAGTGTCGCTGCTACCCATAACTGCAGGCTGGGGTCGTTGGCGGAATAGTCTGGCCCAATGACGGGGGCATGGGCTCGATGAACCATCTCTATGATTGCCTTTTTCTCATCTCGAGTGCCGTATGTCATGCAGTAAATATATGTCATTGTGGTGCGAAGACGGTCAAGTGGTCGGGACGCGAAGTCGCTGTGCTTATGGACGCCCTTCCCGACACCGGGCTCAGCCACCTGTAGCAGGATAGCGGCTGCGCCCCCTGCGAGTAGAAGACCTTCTTGTACAATTTTCTGTATGCTGTGTGGCTCGTCCAGTGCATTTAAAAAGCTTGGGTCTGTCAGATTATCGCTTTTCTCGTTCAATGTTGTCGAGGGGGGCACCTTCGGGGGCCGTGTCCCCCTTTGTGGGCGAAATCTCTGGTTTCTCGCTCATGGCTTGCATTAATGTATCAATGATCAAAAGCGGCGGCAATTCAGGAAATGTGTAATTGCAGCGATATGAGGATCTATATGGCAAGATTGGAGTCCACAGTTAATGTATATGGATCAAGCTGGCTTTAAAATGACTACGTAAGTTCAAGATTGTCATATATTATCTATCACAATTGTGATATGATAGGCTTTCATGTGCCTTCTCAGGGGTAGGTTATTGCTTTATGTGGACCGCGGATCGGACAGTTACTGATTATGAATGCTTTTTCCAATAAACTGAGCTGGCTCCCTCGACCCTTGACGGCATCTTCCCTTGAGCGCGGTTTAAGGTCCTCCAGTGGGCTGATATAATTACATAGTGTGCTGACAGTAACAGTGGGGTATGCAAACTTTGGCATTGTTTCCTGGGCTATATACTCACTTGACTTCTATGCTCGAGCCGTCATAGCTCCTGAGCTACGAGGAGGGGAAATAGTAAATATCAGCACCCAGAGAAGCAAGTATATCAGTGTAACAAGCAAATAGAATTAGGCAAAGTATACCAGTTCGACATCTGCACTGGAGCACTCTCAAGGCATCCCGAGGTTTGTTCCTTGTGAAACATTGATCGCGAATACAGAATGAGCCCTGGAAAGAGATACGACTTTGTCATTGGAGCTGAGAGAGACTTTTCCACATGTTTGGAAATGTACAATGTAATTAATTTCGATGCAGCATTCTTTGTGGACGATGAGTGGTCCACTGGAGAGATGAGGGTAGTGCGAGCTAAACTAGTTAACATGGACGTCGATTATGGTGCTGCTACCTCGTAGCTGTCATCATGGTCCTTATCATATTCTTCCAGTATTATGAGTGTGGGGTCCACAAATTCAAAGCAGAGGTTGTACGAATTCTGTGAAGCTATTTTCAATAAACGCTGCACCGTGTCGAGGAAAATGGAAATGAATTGGGCATATGGAAGAGATCGAGGCGCCTTTCACACTGAACAATACCATAGACTTGGATAATGAGAGGGACCGTGAACATAGACACGCAATCGATAACCTCTCATGAAGAATAGATAAGATTGAGATTGAAAGGATCCGCTAGATTGAGTTCCTATTTATTTAAAGCTTCGGCTTGATGACTCCAGTCTCGATCTCCTTCTTCGCATCATCTCTGAGGACTCGTTTGAGGATTTTTCCGCTCGGGTTCTTTGCAATGGATCCGACAAACTTCACTCCTCCGGTCAACGCCTTGAATCGTGCAAGTCGCTCTAGAACATATTTCTGGACATCATGCTCCGTGATCTTCTCTCCTGCATTTCCAGGACGTCGCACTACATAAGCACGGGGGAACTCGGTATCGGCGTTCGGGAAGGTTATGCCGATCACTGCCGCATCGACGATCTGGGGGTGTGACAGAAGAACAGCTTCAAGCTCAGGTGGTGCGACCTGGAAGCCCCTTACTTTGATAAGCTCCTTCTTGCGGTCGACTATGTACCATTTTCGAGTCGTCTTATCGCAGTACGCAATGTCTCCTGTTTTATACCAACCGTCTGAGTCGAAAGACTGTGCGTTGGCTTCGGGGTTCTTGTAGTACCCTGGGGTGACTGTCGATCCCCGAACACACAGCTCTCCACGAACACCGTAGGCGGAAATATTGTTACCGTCATCATCAATGAGCCTGAGACAATATTTATAAGTAAGTTCACTCAAGAAACAGTTTTAGTGGTCCATACTTTGCCTCCAAGTTTGGAATAAGTCTCCCTACCGACCTAAGTGATTCATGAGGGTTAAGTTACCGCTTTTGACGTATCGGCACACATAGGCTTACCCGGTATCATCATGTTCGGGGTATGGGAACATCGTCGCAACGCATGATGTTTCTGTCATACCCCATACTTGCGTGAAAGGGCTACCATCAGCCATCATTGAGCGGAAACGAGCCTGGAGTTCTTTGTCCAAGGGGGCAGCTCCACACGCCGCGCCCTGAACCTTTTTCAGGAAGGGTCTCTTCTTGGAGATAGGAGACATCAGAACGGCGATGACGATAGGAGGCACCATCGCAAGATCGGTGACGTTATATTTTTCGACGTTGGACAAGAACTCTTCCAGGTTAAATCGCCGCATCATATAAGCCTCTTGTCCTGCCTTCAAAGTGGAGATATGGGTCACCGGGGCAGCTGAGGCATGGAAGACAGGAAGTGCAATGATTCGCGAAAGCTAGGCTGAAGTTAGCCAACGATTATTCGAAACTTCCACATGCGCCTTAGTCACTGGAACTGAGGAATTCGATTACCGGATACGGGCGAGGGTGGAGATCAACTGCGAGCTCATGTTGAGCAATCAGATTATAGTGAGTAATCATGACAGCCTTTGGCAGACCTGTAGTTCCGCTGCTAAAAAGTCTCGCGGCCGTAGTCGCCTCTGCTGTTTTCAAGTCATTGAAACGCACCCAGTCTTCTTCGCCATGTTTCATCAGGGTCTTCCATGATTTTTGGCCAGGTGGGACGATTTGCGCGACGTTGTCAAAGATCCAAACATTCTCACTTGAGATTCCGACTAGCTTGGCTGCCGAGAGAAGATTGTCCAAGATTTCCGACTCTGAGATCAGAAACTTGCACTCGGCAGCTCTGACATGATGCGCAAGTTCGGTTGGTGTGTACGATGGATTCGAGCCAGTATATACTCCACCTGCACCAATGATGGCGAGAACAAGGATACTGTAGTTGATCTAAGGGAGCCACTATTAGTCTCGAGGGGTTATCCTTGTACTGAACTCGGCCCATCAAACTTGCGTCATTGAAAGAGTGGATGAGAACGCAATCCCCTTTGCGAAGGCCAGCAGCTCGCAGGCCAGCAATCAGCTTTCTGATCGTGCTGCGGGCCTGATTACATGAGATCGAACGACTTGGGCTTTTTGCATCAATATAAATCTAGTTTTAGACCCAGAGGTCAGTCTCTGCCTCTTGGGTAAAGAGCAATGTCTGGGATTTTACAGGTTTGTTTTGATCATAGGGTGGGTCATCAAATATGTAAGACAGCAGGTCTTTGGTGGGGAGCAACACACGCTCAGCCGGCTCGAAAATCATGATGGCTCGATCGTGCTGGGGGCAAAAATAATATGTATAATAATGTATAATAAAACGGGTACAGCACGAGAATAAGGAAGCCTTAAATGGGGACAGGGCGCAAATGGCACTGTGTGATGATGAATTGCACGGCTTCCCCTCAGCGCAAGGAGCTCGGAACTCGGTTGGAGGTGAACAAGGATCAGCCTAGACTTTCACAATGTGATTGTCTCCACCAATCGTTCAAAGTACAACTGCTCGTATCCCCATTTATTCCCTCACAACCTCTTACCTAATCCAGAATATCTCCACTTCACGTTTCCCCGCTCGGCTCCACCTGGCAGAGCTGCAGGACAAACTCATCTCCCATCCCAACCGGTCTTCCACATCTGCCCTCCAATACTCCAATACAGTGGAAGAACGATAAGCCGCTCCAGATCTTATTTAATATATTACAAGTAGCATGCCAACTTAGAACTTCGATTTCACTGGGAAATAAATGACGTCACACCGCCCTTGCTCTAGATTCATGTCACTGCGCAGAAGATGCATTCAAAACTCCAAGAGTTTTCCAATGTCCAAGAGTTTGATTGAAATTGAAATAAGATTCACTATGCACGACTTGTAGCGCAGTCTTGACATCGGGAAGATCCAGGTATACATCGCCGGAACATTATTTCCTACAACATGAGCCGAAGCACATATCGGCCGCTGTGTGACTATTAGCAGGTTCTCGACATGTTGGCAAGGTAAGGACTCACGGTTAAATCGTTCGGGTTCTCGAGACCGCTTGGGATTCGAATGATCGTCTTTTCTACCTAGACGTATCAGTCCAAACGTCTCGATCAAGTTTTCATTTTATCGTACAACATTGGAAGTGGAAGACATACCGGGGCACTAAAGTGATATCGGATTCACTATCCGATCTGAGTTCTTGACTTCTTTTCCCCCGTGAAAAGATATCGGCAAACCGGAAACGCCATCGGGTGCTGTCAGAATCTCCCATGCTGAAGCCGCTTTGGTATTTGGAATGTGGTTCTGGGAAGGGGATCGCCTTCCAAATTAGTAGGTGTAGCCCGTCGAGAAATGATGCTAGGTAGTATAAGGATATTCAAAACATTGTGATGTACAAAGTATGCTAGGCTTCTGATCTTTTATATGTCTCGCAAAAGGTCGGCGACCATCAGTCACTTATTTCCAATCCTTGATTATGTTTTCAAGTTCTCTCTCCTCTGGAGATAAGTGTTGAGTACCATTGGGCTTCAATTGTGGAATCCGCTATAGTGTCACCAAGTTGGCCGATCGTGGGCGATATTGGTTTGAAGCTGAAAGACTCGGTCATTCTAACATGGTAATGGACTGGACTTAGAAATTTGGATTGGGGACCGGCGGCCGGATAGGAGACTGCCATTGGCTGGGAATATATCCCCATCTTCAACCAGCCAATCGGAAGGCTTGGCTCATTTGAAAGGAGCCACTATCTCGGCCATCTCGGCCAACTTCGCCGCTCGGCCAACTATGTTCTACTCCACTTCGACTATTATCTTAAAACCCCTGCTTGCCTATATACGCGCGTTGTTTTCGCCGATCCCTGCGAAAAATCTTCATATCAAACATGTCATATCCTGCTCCCGCTCGCCCATACCGATCAAAGCGTCATCGGCCGTGTGACCAATGCCGAGGTCGGAAACTGGGATGTCAAATCGATAACGGACTTCCATGTCAGCGTTGCCGGGCTTCGAAGCTGGATTGTACCTTTGATGCTCCTCCACCGAAGCGAGTGCGTCTCTCGCAGTCCCTGTCCTTGGCCGACCCAAGCGTTGAGGAGTTGTCGGCGACGGCCCACAGTGATGTAGGCGTCTTGGGCCGAGATGCCTCACAAGAAGTCCCGCTGAGCACCGCCGAGCCAGTATTTCCCTCGCTGGAGTTTGATCAAGTCAATGTTGCATCACCAGCATCCGGAATACTACTTGCCGGTCGGCCGCCGACTCAGTTTGTACAGAGCATTGACAAACTTGACCAAGGGTATGCGCAATTGTTTGGTGCTTCCTCTGAGTCGGACCCATGGCTTCTTAGACATTGTCGGTTCGATGATTCTGGTATGAAGTACTTTTACAAGGTTCACTATCGTAATGCTGGAGGAGTACCAACGGCTCAACGAATACCGGTGCATTTTATGATCACTTCCCCAGAACTTTCAACTGCGATCAAACAAGAAACAAATGCCGGCCTTTGTGAAGAGGCACGTGAAACACGTGAAAGGCTGGACAATCTAGTGCCACCAGAGTATGGAAGAAGATTAGTCGCACTGTGGGTGATACCATCCATCTAGTTCAAAACTCTGACTAACAGCTCTCATAGATTCGTCAAATATGTGTTTCCTGCATTACCAGTGATCTCACGCTCTCAATTAGGGTTGAAAACGGCTTCAAGTCAGCTGCCAGAACAAGCAGCTCTGGCGAAGGTGCCGGTCCACCTTCTGGCAGCTATTTATGCTTCTGCGTTTCCCTTCGTTGCGCATGATGATTATTTATGCGTCCTGAACACCTACCATGCGTCTCCGATCAAAAAGCTATGGCGCATGGTATATGAGCTTTTGACAGTGGAGATACATAGTCCTCGCCTTGCAGTCCTCCAAGCTGCGCTACTGTACATTCAACAACAACCTATGGATGAAGCTCGATATACGACCGCCGATACCCCGTTCGTATGGTCCTTTGTGGGTCAGATCGTTGGCCTAGCCTGCAGTCTCGGAGTACACATTGAATGTCGCATGTGGGGCATACCGGCATGGGAAAAGCGATTACGCCGTCGGCTGTGGTGGGCTGTCTATGCCGAAGATAAATGGCGAAGCTTGTTGATGGGACGTCCCCCTTATCTCTATCCGGCCGAATGGGATGTGAGTGATCTAGACGAAGGTGATTTTCTTATCGGTCCGAGACAGGGCTTCTCTACGCTGGCCTGCGATATCGATATACCTTTCCGATTTCTAGTAAATCTTGCTCGGATCGCAGAGGAAATACAGGGAACATTTTAGTAAGTTACGTCAAAACTCGGGACCACAGGAACAAAGGACTGATTCTTTTCCAGCACCCTTCGAGCATCTCAGGTATTGAACGCGGACTTTGATACTTCGATTGCTTTGGGGAGAGAGCTTTTAGAGAAACTCAACTCATGGTACTCCTCCCTACCAGAGACATTCCGCTTACCAAATTGGAGCAAATCTGTCCATGGTCAGGCCCCTTACCCTACATCTATTCATTTTGCATACCTTCTACTGGTTGTTTACGTTTATCGTGCCATGCTCCGACCAATGGCACGCTCGTCGGACCCACCCATGATATTCGATTTAGAAGAGATGGCTGCTACGTCCCCCTTGCCGGTCGATGACCCATCTCTCGACTTTGCAGACCTCTCAGGACTGGATGCTATACCCGATATTTCTATACCAGATGTGTCCGATACCAGCGAAATTACCTTGCATGCAGCAGAGAAATGTGCAACAATTCTGGTCAATTTTACGCGGCGCCTCACTCCTAGTGACTTTACTGGATTTTGGTACTCCTGTGAGTTTTTGCCTTCCCCGTGCCCTCTCATATAAGGGTTTGAAGTGCTGATATTCTCAGGGTCTCGTATTGGCTTTGCAACAGTTTCAAACTTCCTGATGCTCTTGCTAGTACAGGCCCCCAACATGGCCCATGCGATGCGAGGAAAGTTCTTAGTCGAATCTTGGTTACAAGTACTGCGATGTCAAAGTCCAAGCTTTCCACTTGTAAAACTAGGACTTGCACGCCTTGATGCATTACAGTGGGGTGGCCTTGCTGATACTTTCATGCTCCCGCCCCATGTTCAAGATATTGCTACAAACGCAAATGCCAGCCCTGATCTAACATAAACCTAACCGCTAAGCCGGACTAGATTCCCCCACTGCACATATTTGAAACACGACCCAACATTGGACACCCGAAGTGTTGAGATTCGGTTTGTCCTCCTGTAGTTCCGTGAATATAACCCTTTCCCTCTATTTCTCTGTTCTATATTGATAATTCGCATTCTACCTCGGGGAAATTTACCTTGAGCCTGACCAGCTATCATATTGACTCAACCATAAGCCTCCCCTATCTCTGCTGGGCACAGTTCCGAGGTATCGGTAGGTGGCGCAGGCCCCACCATCTTGGAGGCATGTTCTCACGCCCATGCATAAAGCGGGGATTCTGACTCGGCAGTTCGGCAACCTATGTGATAATTCTGCAATACCACTCTGACTTCCTCAACAATATCATATAAGACCGACTGATAAACTTACATCCATTGAGGTGCAGATCGCCCTAGAGCAATACCTCGTCAAAATGGGGACCCCTCAGACGATCGATATTAAGACCTATGCCGACTCCACGGGAGTCTTCGAAACACGACCACTGGTGAACGAGAGTGTATTGAAAGCGACCGAACTCTTAAATATCAATCACCAAAATTATCACATATACATTCATAATCTAGGACTACATAGTATGCAAGCGGATGTCACCGAAAAAACAACCTACTTATCAAACTTTTCGTTAGATCATATCCTCCATCATCTCTTAGCTATCCTCTCATTAGGGGGTACTGCAGAACAACTCTCCCAGGCATATGTTCTTGCCGTTGACTCCCAAAGATCCACGCGCCCCCCTGATGTTCGCGTCGTATCTGATTTCGCCGACCCGGAAAAATTCAAGTTGTTCCTGGGTAAAGGGAAGTATTATGATGACTACTTCGCCTATTTCCAGAATGAGATTTCTGAGAATGGAGTTCCGAGCACTGTCACTGAATTTCTCTTCAAGGGTGACGAGAGAGCCGAAGATATGCTGCAACGGTTCTTCAGCGGTGAGTTTTGACGGACCGCCAATGGTATACAGCATTTATTTTTTTTAGGATTCTTACACTCCCCCATCCATTTAGCATATGCGATGGAATTCGACCAGCCACTGGTCGTGGCGGAGGCCCTCGCTCTGACGGCCATTCACGACTGTTCGTTCGGTCAAATCTTAGCCCAGATCGAGCAAGTCGCCCGGCATTCTCCTATCAACGAGAGCCTGATCAACCTACAGAGAGGAATATATGACAATGTGAAGCTTCGACAAGCCATGGACTACGCGCATGGTGTATCCCAAATCCGAGACGGCTTGCTGGTGAACGCGAAACCTCAATTTATGAGCCTGATGAGTGCGTGGAAAGTTCAACCCCATGAACTCGAGGAGAAAACTGCAGAATCGCTGAACTCTACCCGTACGGATACCCTGACCTATACATTTGATGCAGCTCTGACGTGAACCAGTATACTGGACAGCCCTTGCTCAGCGACCTGAAAAGCAGATTCGATTTGACTTTTTCCTCATGCATTCTATCACGGCTGGATCTCTTTGGCCGGTATTTAACAGCGTGTCCTGGATTACCTCCGAAACCAAATGCCGACTATTAGAATGGAAAGGTCGCGCAGATTTAATGCTTTACTGCCAATCGGGAGCTCCCAGTATAAAGACCGATGAGTTGACATGCTACCAACCACGATCCCCCTCCGGGTGGTCTGAGATTTTCCGACGGGCCTGCGATTACAAGGACGACGGACATTTGGTAAAATTCATCAGAGGGATCGCCACGGCTGAGCAGCTTGCCAGACCTTTTCCTGCAAAGACACATTTTATGCTCAAGACGACCGACCACTTTCTCAGGATTGCTCATATGGGTAAGTGTTTCTGCTTATCATCCGGGGTGTACTGTGTTAATCCCCCTTCCAGTGATTGATTCTGCAGAACAATTCAATTTCGAGTCAGTCGAACAGGAAGTCGAGATGATCTGTGCCAAATATGAATACCCTCGTATTATGTCGACCGAAATCCAGCGGGTCACAGCCCGCTGGCCGCGCCATGTGGGGTTCGAGGAGTCTTGGTTCCATGTGCCCGCACGCAAACCCAGGACTTCTGCTCGCTTTTGACAATAGTTGGGTTACATAGCGAATGGATATTTGGCACTCGAACTCGGAAAAGTATAAATTCATAATATACAGCTCTGAATCAATCAAATTTTTTTTTTTCTTTTTTGCTACCTTGTTGTGCAACAATGCACCGATCTTCACGCTTTCCCCACAATCGGACTTCATCCCGCCATGCCACGCCAACAATGATTGTTTTGATAAAGAATGTAACGCTGCCATTGGAGATCGATGGGCTGTGCCCCTTGCTTCAACCATTAAAGATGAAGCTCCCCGCTTCGTCAAGATCTGCAATGTCGCACTACCATGATTCGGCACACCTTTCTCCTTGCTGCGGTTGCTGCGGCCTTGCAAGCTCTTCCGCCAGTCGAATTCGTGCCGGCTCAGATCGATCAGACCTTGTACAGAGATGAAGGATTCTCATTAAAAACGGCCGACAGGATTGTTTATGTCCAGGATGACTTCGCGTCGTGGACCGATAAGAATGGGCTCACGTTGATCCCTCCGTCCGTCGACCAATTCGCGCAAACCTTTCGTGATGATCTTGAAGAGTTGACCAATGCTTCTTGGAGCTACCAAACTGTGAAAAAGTTCCCAAATGGCGCGTCCGGTGTTTTCCTTGGGCGTTCAAAGAGTTCAGCAAGCCGATTCACATACGAAGATGGCACAGTAACGGAGGAAGGGTACGAGCTTGTGGTTGAAAAGGGGCGTGTATCCATCTATGGGTCCGGAGCACGAGGGATGTGGTGGGGAACACGCTCTTTTCTCCAGCAGATTCTTCTCAATGATACACTCTCGCCTGGTCGCGTGACTGATGCACCCGCGTATCCAACGCGTGGAATGATGCTCGATGCGGGACGCAAGTGGTACTCGTTGGATTATTTGAAGGAGCTCTGCACCTACGCTTCATTTTTCAAACTCTCCGAGTTCCACTATCATGCGACGGACAACTTCCCTCTCAGTCGTGGCCCGAACGTTACCTGGACAGATGTCTATTCCCAGTTTGCCTTGCGACCAGAAAATCCCGAGCTACTGCCCCTGGTGCAACGCATGAACGAGACACTGGCTCGGTCGGAGTTTGAGGACTTTCAACAACACTGTGCTCGCCGAGGGGTTACTGTCATTCCTGAAATTGAAAGTCCTGGTCACTGTCTGTCCGTCACGAAATGGAAGCCCGAGCTTGCCTTAGATAGCAAAGACCTTCTCAACCTCACGCATCCCGAGACCCTTCCTCTTGTGAAATCCATTTGGTCGCAGTTTCTGCCATGGTTTCATACGAAAGAGGTTCACATCGGTGCTGATGAGTATGATTCCACTCTGGCAGATGACTACGTCCGCTTCGTCAACGAGATGTCCGACTTTATATACGAAACTCACGGGAAGAAAATTCGCATCTGGGGCACGTATGAGCCTAGCACGCTTTTAATCGACAAAAACATTACCGTTCAGCACTGGCAATATGGCCAATCAGACCCGCTCGCACTGGCACAAGAGGGATATCAGATCATTAATTCTGAAGATTGGTGGGCCTATCTTTCGCTGAAAAACAACCATATACCTATCACACCAGCACCGTATCCTCAATTCTTTAATAACAACCGAGTATTGAACTTTGGCGACGTTGAGGACTGGCAGTGGACGCCGAAGCTGTTTAATCCCGTCAACACCACGGAGCAACCGGCCAAGAATGCAGTTCGCGGTGCCATCCTCGCCGCATGGAATGATAATGGGCCCGATGCGACTACACAGTTGGAGGCTTATTACGCTATTCGAAATGGAATTCCGGTCGTCGCATCTCGTGCATGGTCCGGGAACCGAGGGCCGCTTCTGGAACCGTCGACCCTAGACGAATCTATCTCTATTCTCACCGCTAATGCGGTGTCGCAGAACCTTGATCGACAAATTGCAGGTTACAAGGGTCCATCGGGGGCACAATTCTCATGGTCTCAACCTGCCCACGCTGCGCAGCAACACCAGATAGGTCTCGGGAGCAAAGGAATGAACTACACACTAGAGCTACATATCAATGGTCCATTTTCTCTACACTCTGATGACGCAACCCTTTCTTTATCAGCAGAAGGCGAACTGGTCTTTTCTACAGACGGCTGGCCCTATCCTCTTCGCTCCGTTGCAGAGACTGATGGATTTGATCCCGCAGAGCCCGGACGGATCTGGGTGAACAGTACAGAGTCCTCGCACCAGATCGTGAATGTTCCGCAGAAGGCTCAAATCACTATAACAACCGATCAATATGAAGGTAGTCGAGTTTGGATCGATGGTCAATTTGTCGGACGCTTCGAGGTGTTTGTGTATGGTGGCAAAAACCAAGCACTCTCATGGAGTCAGATGGCATTCGTCGCACCGCTTGAGTATGTTCGTGGGGCTGGTTTGCAAAAGCTAGACCTGCGGTGAGCATACCCATTACTCCAACTTTTTTTTTTTTTCCTTTCTGATATACGGACCATAATGTTCCAGTCCTCCGTGATACGAGGTGGTCAATTTTGGAACAGGCGCCCTCTTTCAACTTCAGACAATGTTGAGCTATTTAGGAACTTTAAAGTTGTAGACACATTTGAAGCTTTGTTCATTACAGGTTCCGTTCGTCATAGAGTCTTGCCCTTGGCCGTAAGTAGCATCGGCGAGGGCGGAACAATTTCGAGTGAAGAAAATAAAAGTTTCACTCGCGTTTTCTCAAATTCGGTGATTTATATTTATTTTCAAAAATTTCACTTGTTCTTTACACCCAGAATGCTATATGAGAGGCTTGACTTGATAGATGGTGACGGGGAAATTGCATCCCAAGTGACCCCGACGGTGTCGTCCTCTTCCGAGAGCATTGAGAGTTTGTCATCCAATCCACACTGTGTCAAGAACTTTTTTTATAAGATGGAGTGTGAAGAAATCAGAACTTCAGCTGAAATGACCGCTCTATTTTCCGAGACATTACCAGGTGAGTAGCTGATACTGGTCCACAAGTCAGGCCAATAACCAACAAAATAGACCACGAAAATAAATCCGCTGGAATCGCTGAAATTGAAAGCTTGCAGAGTGTGCATAAAGAAATCGCAAAGCGACTGGACTATTACGAAGCAGTTGCAAAAAAGGCGCGAGAGGCAGAACACCTTTCCAATGTGAAGCTTCGCCGACAAGGCGAGCTTCTGCAAGATGCTCTAAAATCGGCGGATGCGGCGCTAACGCAGAATACTGATCTCAGGCTTAGGCTTGATAGCCTTGAAATTATGCTAAAGGATTTGAGTGACGAGGAAGTGAATAAGACAACAAATCGATTATACGACGATCTTGAAGATTGGATTAAACGACACTATGGAGCTTTGCAGCCAGTCTACCCAGAAGTAGAACCAGACGCGGACTTGGATCAACCACAGGAGTTTTGGTTTAGCATATATGGGTTTTTATCACAGCAGATTTTCCATATCATCCTAAGTCGCTTTATGGTTGGCACGGGCAGTCCGGGAATGAACCATGCGCTTCGCATGCTTGATGAGAAGGTACAAAAAATATGTATGTCTACCATTTACCGTAGCACAGTGTGATGGTCTGATCCTCTAACCACTCAGCAAAGACCCCAGAAATATCGGCCAATATTGGCGTGCTGGTACAAGTAGTGCAGCCCTGATGCTTGCAAGGCCTGAGCTGGAAGCCACAATCGGCCAAATTGTTGAATCTACTGAGGCACGATATTTGCATCGTGCGATGCCCGGAACGCTTTCAACTCGGAGTGGGGAACTAAAAGATCTGTTGTGGAAATTTGTGAACTGGAAAGGACGATTGGAACGTCAAAGTGTCCAATTCTACTTCTGGTGGGTTATGCCCAGATTGCCACTTCGAACCGAATACATGTTCAATCTCACTGGGGATGACTTTCCAAATGCTACTGTCAATCGCAGTTTATCGCCAGCCCTTTACAGGCTGACACCGGGTGATTCTGAGCCCACACTTGTACGCCGGGCAGTAGTACAAGTTACCGATGGTTCCTCGATCACTTCCAACATGGTGTGAATCAATAACCATCTTATAATGCGAGACCGTGGATTTAATGCTTCAGATGACAATGAAAAATGGTTACTGTATGGAGATATCAAGTCTAGCTAGTCCACGCCTTGCAATTTCATTCAGTTGATAATGACCCGCTTAGACACCGTCCTCGAAACCATCGCCTCCAGCCTCAGTATCCAGCTTTACGGACTCCATCAATCCACAAACCTCGAACAATTTCTTTGGTCCAAGTCCTTCTGGTGTTCCGACAACTCCTTCAGTCTTCAGACGCAAGAATGCTGCTCTGATTCCCATGTACGCAGGGATGATCGACGCGAAGGAGAAAATCATGATTCGGAATCCCATTTCCTCCGCCTCCTTGGTCGTGACAACGGGGGACGCTCCGTTTTCCACCATATTGAGCAGAAGTGGCCACGGGGCAAGATCCTGGACAGCTTGATGCATTTGCTCCCTTGTGGTGAACCCCTCGAGTAGACCCACATCGGCGCCGATATCGCGGGCTGCCTTGAGACGAACAATACACTCGTCATATCCGTGTTGTTGTAGGGCGTCGGTTCGGGCAATGAGGACAATATCAGAATGCAGGCGGTCCTTGGTCAACTTCGCGGCCCGAATTCTTTGCAGGTACTCATCCACGGAAACTACCCGCTTGCCGGCAAGATGGCCACAACGCTTGTTTGAGATCTGGTCCTCGATGTGGAAACCTGCAACACCTGCTTGGATGTATTGCTGAACTGCCTTGGCTACCATCAATGGGCCTGTACACCTTTGTTAGCAAGGCATTTTGGTTTTGTGATACTATCTTTCCTTTCTCATACCTCCATAGCCTGTGTCCATGTCTGCAATTAGGGGAGCTCCAAATGGGTCGAGATTGGCAATCATCTCCGCATTGGTTTTCATGTCGTGAAGTTGAGCAAGTCCAAGATCGGCCATTCCGAGTCGAGATGCTGTAGTTCCAGCTCCGGTCTGTAGCCAAGATTAGTCTGTATGATCTGGTAGAAGCGACAAGGAGGCCCTTACCATGTACATTCCCTTGAAGCCCAGCTCCATCGCAATGCGAGCCGAAAGGCCATCGTAGACGCCGGGACACACGATCATATCTTTGGTGTCCTTGAGCATCCGTCGTAGCTTGGATGCCGCAGGGATAACGTAGAGGGAGACAGAGGGTTCCTGTCTCATGCCGTTCACCTCATAGTAGCCATCCTTCTCAACGGTGATTGTGATAGTCATGATGAAAGTGTGGAATATTACCAAATGACTGATTGATGATAGAATAACTATAAATCGAGGCAAACCCGCATCTTTATACCTCTTCCCCCACTCCTCGGGCAAAACCGTCCCACGAGGAAAGGGACATTCGGGTCGGAAAATGTCCAGATCAATGGGACCAACATCATCACACGGGCGATTAGCAGGTCTTGGTATCTTGGGGATGCAACATCTCACCGTATGCCAAGACACGACATGCTTTATCTCTCATTCTTGGGTCGTACCAACTCGAAATCACGATGCGAATGACCTTAATGACCACAGGCTCCACAGGACCTGGACAATCAGTACTCTCGATTTCCACGGACAGTCGGAGGAACTGCTGAGTATGGACATATCGATCGCCACGTTTTGCAGAATGAAGAAATACCATGCAGGGGCCAGGGATCTTGATAACGAATGCGTGTGACGCGGTTGCCAAGAAAAGGTGTACCCCTTCGGACTTTGGCCATATTCAATATAATTCCCCACCTCCATTATCAATTTCCTGTCGCTTGGCGCCTGATGCGCTGATGCATATGCATGTGTGCCATCCTTTCTGACTTGCATGGTGGGTTCTTACTCACACTACGGAATGCCTACCGTTGGCCTGTTCCGTTTGCCCGCTTTCGCCGCTTTTGACTGGAAGTCTGCCGAGTGGAGTATTGCTAAAATCGATGTGTAATGGCTCGTTCAGGTAGTAGGGTAGCAGGCTGGTGCGCCAGTCAACATTTCCTAGGCTTTTTTAGACAGAGTGCTATCTCAGTCGAGATGATGGACCGTTATCTTTTCAATCCCTGCAAGCATACCAATGTATTTGACTGAGGTGTGGTGTTAATCTATTGTCTCTATCGAACCTTTAGTATATTATCGGCACTTGGTAGCAAATAGTACAGCCGAATGAGCTGCAGGGACTACTGTACAATCGACTTGCTACGCCATAGAATTGCGTATCCCATCTAATATATCGACTGCTTTAGCTTCTCCTAAAATGGACTAGTTGCGCTATCGGTAAAAGTCAAACTTAGGCCTTTCTTTCACAGCTACTTTGAACTGACCGTATAGGTAAAGCCTATGGAGCGAATGAATTCATTCGATCCTACCTTCAAAATCTATGGGGGTTTCCTCCATCCTCCCCCATCTTTCAACGTCCTTCTCCGAAGAGGAAAAGATTCACCGACGGCATGGAATTCAAGGACGAAGCCGCTGGATACATTTTCCCCGGGCTCGGACCTCATTGATGTCAAGTTCATGATAAAGTCCTCGGCTTCCGAGCTTGTGACCTTGCAGCGATAGTATATGCAGACTAGTTGGAACTGGAAAGGGTAATTCAAGCGCCGAGATACACAAGACAAGGGTTATTGCGCCTTGCTGAAGCGAGATACGCCAAGCACAAAGCTAATGTCGGGCAGAAGACATTCCGAACCGAATGAAGACATTGTATGCATAGTGGTGCGTAAGAATATGGACAGAGGTCATCATTAAGGTCGGAGTATAGCATGTAGGGGTGCGCTCGGGGTTCTGCAAGTTGCTCTAGAAGGAAAGGATCACACCGGTGGTGTCAGAACCCCCTCAATCCCAGATGCCGATATGCGTCTTATTGGAGGCGATGTTTGAAATTTAATCGGCTTTGCACTCTGGCGCCCTCTTGGCGCATTTCAGGTTTACGGATATGGAGATCATGCAGCCCTGAATGAAGAAAATTGGAGACTGGGGAGGTGCAAGCCGCGAATCATTGCCACTTTCAGGTCACATCATATTACCCACACCATCGAAAGCCCCAAGTATTGCTCAAGAAGTTCAAATTTAGGCTGCCCCTGATCTTCTCCACCCGTTATTTAGCCGAATTTCGGCAGGCTTGGCCCCCGTCGACCCGTATTTGGTGGATCTCGACTTCAATGGGAAATTGAGCCGAGACTAAAGATCATTTAGACCATAGACCATAAAGTTCGTACTCGCGGAATCCGAGATCCTTTGCAATGGCACCTTTCCATACCAGTGGACCTGTCAATTAAATCATTGGACTGATACGGTCGAGAGGGCGAGGAAGATAAGGCCCACGGGTCTGGACCCACAAAACATGCATATTCTACCATGACAACACCAAGAGATCAACGGAGAATTCCATGCATGACTCGTATTTCCAATATGGTAAGGCTGGCCTGGAATGTCACTGTCCACATCAGTTCAATCTTCAATACAAATCACTATGAAGTATTTTGGTGTTCGAACTGTTCAAGATTCAAACCAAGTCTAAGCCACAATTCCTTAAAGCAGCGTCGGGCCGAATCGGCCAAGTACCTGTGCAGAAACATAATCTGGATCTCTGGAGAGATTCGGCCTTCCGGGACGCTATAAATTAATTGCCTCCGTCTCACTCGGGGATCAAGAACACCCCTGTTCGCCAAGTTCTCTTCTCGGGACCATCATTCGGGAGATCAGCAACCCCCGCCCCTAAAGAAAAGGCTATGTGGCCCACTGAAATCCCGCAGTTTTTAGCCATTCCAGTGATAGATAGCGCCTTAGCTTCATCCACTCACACTACGCATCAATTGCCTTATCATGTACTTTCTCGGCCCTCCCCCAGACCTCTAGAGAAGGCAGAGCAATTGTTCCAACAATGGGAGTTCCCGGATTCTTCCAACGCCACAACTGACTCTCATTCCCAGATCATGAAACTGAATAAATTGGCGCCAAGTTTCTCGGCATGGCAGAAATTCATCCCGATTTATCTTGGCGGCTTTCTAGGCATTGGATCGAGGTGAAGAGAACCGCTCGGCGTAAGCCACAACTATATTGCTATGTTACACTCAAGGTGCGGAAGTCGTTGGTGGGTGGGGAAGGCCTAGTATTCAGAGGTGAATCCTTCCTCGCGATTTGCCAGTAGGCGTTTTTGTTTTCTACCTTGGCCTGCATCTTGAAATAAGTTGCGTTTAGCCAAGTAAGAGGGGTTGAGATTATGTTCCAGTTGTTGGGACTTACCTAATCCTTCATCGTCGTGATCCACGAACGCAAACAATAGCGAGGAATCCCCTGCCATTTCTACTCCCAAATAGCATATCCTGCCCCCTTTGCACATAATGGAACAAGATAATGGCCGTGCGGCAGGAGTTACACGTTTCTTAAGACAAGAAGTCGTGTCACGACATGCCGACCTGCTCTTGTTCACCTGCTGCTTGACCTCTGGTCTGGTGGATAGCACAATCTACAACGGTGCGAACTCCTTGTTTACCTGACTAGCTTCCATAACTAACTCAATCAGCTTACGCAACATTTGTCTCAATGCAAACCGGTATTTCTCTGTTCTCTTCACACTCGTAACAGTCCTGGCGGAAATCGTACTTACTGGCCGGGTATGACATAGGAAACACCATCTTCGTTGGCCTAGGAACATCAAACCAGAATTCACGCCCATATGGCTGGGCCCGCTCGCTCACATCGATTGGATGCTTTGTCTTGGGTGCCTTTTTCTTTGCGCGGCTTAACCAGTGGATTGGGGCACACAGACGGGGATCGCTGATGCTATCTTTCTTTATCCAAGCCAGTCTGATCATGATTACCGCAGTTCTGGTGCAAGCTGGTGTGGTCTCCAGCGCCATGGAATCGAGCCAGCTGCAAAGTACAACAAAGTGGGACTCTGAGGTGCCAATCGTTCTCCTCAGCTTCCAGTCTGCGGGCCAGATCGTCGCGAGTCGAGCTCTGGGATACAACGAAATTCCTACGGTGGTGATCACAAGCCTTTTGTGTGACCTGATGTCGGATCCGAAGCTGTTCTTACTGCGGAACGAAAAACGGGACCGGCGCCTCGCGGCCTTTATCCTCACTCTGCTTGGGGCTATCGTTGGAGGCTGGGTTACTAAAGCCACTCAGCAGATCTCGCCTGTGTTATGGCTGGCAGCTGGAATTAAGTTTTCAGTGGCATTATGCTGGGGTTTTTGGAAGAGCAAATCATAAACTGCGTTACACGTAGGTAGAGTTTCAAGATTCAATACATTCTGGTCAATCTTTTCGGGGCCTGGAGTTCTATGCCGGCCGGAGTTCCTCTTATCACTTTCCCCTCACCCGAAAGCCTAAGTACGTCCGGAATTTCCTATCTAGGGGGACTCTCTTATCTAAGCTGAAGCTGTGGATAGAGGGTGCATCTTATGGAACACGTTCTTCGGGTCGTACGTGGCTTTGACTGTTTGTAAACGCTGGAGATTCTCGCCGTAAATATTTGAAACCACCGAGTCTCCAGCTAGGGTTTGGTAAGCATCAAATAGAACCATCTATGGGACGTTTGAAAGCACTTACGCTCGGCATAGTTGATATATTGTGGTACTTCTGCCTGGCGACCCTTAGTCTTCGCGTCCAATTCAGTCTTCCATTTGGCTTGGATCTGACGCGCCCAAGCGCGATGTTCTTTGTCTTTCGTCTCATCGGTCCATCGAAGGCAGATGATTCCGTTCTGAGTTGTGTTGCGGCTTGCTAGCGCAGTTGCTGAAGAGGGAATTTCGCAAATTTTGCGCATGTCCATGAATTCAAGAATGATAGCAGATTTCATCAAGTCGCTGTCGCTCTGGATCTTGGCCACGAAGTCTTCAAATACGGTCCGTACAAAGCTCAGGTCCATCGGTGGCTCATAGAAGATTCCTTTGAAAGATTTCCGGTCCCCGTATGTGGCTTGAGGGTTCTGGAGGGTGTTCACCATAGAATAGGGCATCGTATCCAAAGCGTTAATGGCAGGGCCCAGGTTGATGAGTCCAGTAAACCGTGCCAAGCCCTCTTCACGGCTGCCATTGTAGAAACAAATCACGACGATGACCGGACCTGATCCATCTGGAGCATGGGTGAGGAAACACATGGCCCCGGAACGGGAGTCAGGATTTGCGAGGCTGGTATTGAGTTGCTCGAACACCCGTTCGAGCTTATCAGGAGTAAATCCCAAAACTCCCGAAAATACCATTTCTGCTTGGTTATACGCTTGGTAGGTGAAATCAACGACAACACCAAAGTTGTAGCCCGCCCCGCGTAAACCCCAAAACAGCTCAGGGTGGTCGGATTTGGATGCTGTCACAAGCGTCCCATCAGCCAGCACAACCCGCGCAGAGAGAAGATTGTCAATTGTGAGACCGTACTGCCCACTCAGCCACCCATATCCACCTCCGAGAGTCAGTCCACCAACTCCCGTGTGATTCACAGTTCCCCCGACCGTTGCCAGTCCATGGGCCGCACCCGCTTCGTCAACTTCCTTCCATGTCGCGCCGCCCTGGGCAGTAATTGTCTTACTGGAGAAGTCAATTGTGACTTGAGTCATACGCGACAGGTCAATGACCAGACCTCCGTCACTGGAACTGGTACCAGCCGTGGAATGACCGCCCCCCTTCACGGCGACTTCAATGTCATGCTCCTGTGCCCACAACAATGCGATACTGATATCGGCTGGATCAACTGGCTGAACAACGACACCCTAGTTTCAGTCAGCTTATTGGCTTTCGTGCCACGCTCCTTTCTTCCTTACCGCGGGTTTTATGCCAGTGTCCGACCACCGAGTCAGGCTTTCCTGATAACCATCCGAGTCCGGGGTCAATACTGAGGCTGTATCCAGCCGGCTGCGAAGAGCCTTGATCCCTGCATCGCCGAGTTTCGTCATTGGCGGAGTTTTGAACAGCTATGTGTAATCCTCAGGGTTCGATCTGCGGAGTCTTGGGTGGAGCGGGGTGGGACACAAATCGGAATCGCGGGGTATGTGCTCCGCGTTTGGTGACAAAACAAATGAGGCATTGCTGGCCTTGGCACCTTCATTTCCAAGATAGCTTCAGTGTAACTGAGAGAGCATTTGTTTAATGAGTAAATATTGACGTATTTAGTTGTTGTTTCACAGGTGGCTATGTGAACTTTGAGCTATGAAGGCTGTGAACGGAAACCTGCATTGGTTATCGGGAGATATATTTGATAGACCAGGTGCCCTTTAGCACCTCAGCCTACCCTTCTCCATGTGTTCCAGAGTATGAGATACTATATTTCTATCCACGGATGATTCCAGGGGTGTTAATGTCCACTTCCGGACTAATTTGCCACCGAGCTCTCCAACCTCGGGCTTTGGTTCGTCTCAGGCTATATATAGTCTTTTCATTTTTCTATCGTTCCAATCGTCCCAATCCATGCCTCCACTCATCACACCCACAATTTGTTAGCATCAAGGCTAAAGTGAGCGAATCTTAAACAAGCTACGTTATCCAATGCTCTTCTGATTTCCAGCTAGTATTCAGATGGATACTTTTTAGCCGATTGGGTGGGCTTCCAGCCATACTTCCATGTCCTTTGTTCTCCTACTGGCTCATTAAAAATGCTAAAGACGCTCACAGGAACCTGTATAAGGACGATTCGCTTCGCTATAGATTCTTGTGACTACCTAGTTCCAAGGCTGATTATCTATTTCACGGTTAGGGTGAAACTTGGAAGCACTTGCTAGAAATGCATCAAAGAAAGAACCCTTTCAGTTATATACTTCTGTCGCTTCTCTAGGTATCGCCAAATGAATCATTCCAAACTCTGCTGAGAGTACTTGGCATAGAGCTCCGGGTACCACTGCTGCCCGACATCGGGGTGGCTCAAGATGCGATTTCTCAGGTGAGCCTCACCGAACTAGGATCGGTTAAAACTGACACTCTATAGGAATGGAAGACCTACACAAGAATACAGTGGAGACAGGAATTCACTGGGAACATCGACTGCCCGCTTCTTCTGATCATCTGACACAGGAATGCAACGCACAATATGAGCTGCGGACTCGTTAAGCTGATCAAGAGTCAAATCTAATCGCACACCCAAAAAGAACGGAATGCTATATCGAGTTTTTGATGTCGGCGCCTAGTGAAAATTGGATTTAGCATAATGCCCATCTGGTTGAGACCGAATTCATACAATGACTCGATGTGTAGTAGCCGCACAAATTCCTCCAGTGATTGCTTCAAATCCTTGTTGAATGTTTATCACCAGACTTCCCTCTTCCGGAGGAACATCAATCCACTCGCCGTCTTTATTCAAGACCTGCAGTCCACCGGTATCGTCCTGGGAAAGGAACGTGAACAGACCAGCAGAATCCTTATGAGGTCCAACCCCTTGGGAATTAGCGGTTGACGGTGGGTACTTTACAAACTTTAACCGGCTCATGTTGCCCTTAAAGTCATCAAAGGTATCGGTGGGTAGGGACAAACATTCCGCCACTAAATGCATGAATCCTTGTGCCAAACTATCAATTTGGCAGATATAATCCTCAACAAGGCGTTGCGAGCCGGGTTGATCTGGGTACTATACCAATTGTCAGCCATCGCCTCCCTAGCTGACTTGTATTGTTAGATACCTGATTTGGCCCTTCCAATCGTTGCCAAAATGGATCTCCCTTGGCCCATTCTTTCACTCCTGGTGTTCCGAAATCAAATTGCTTGCCATGTCAGTGGAACTCGAGGCTTTACGCATAAAGTGATACTTACCTCGCGAAGATCGGTCTTGGAGGCCGTTGTCTCAGCTCCGAGACGGGTGTAGCCGAGGAATGAGGGTGAATGTATCATATTACAATTTTCTTTCACCCCCGTGGGCAAATTAAAGAGGCGCGGAAGGGCCTCATGGGTGCGTTGAATAATACTCTTATTTTGTCAGTACGGAGTCCGATCATTTGCAAGATTGTCATACTTCCAGGCCAGTGTTCGTCAAGTAGAGGAAGCCGACCACAAATATAGCCTCTTTCAATTTGGCCAGTTCATCTGACTTCGTTCTGGGGTCAGTCAAGCGAGCAAAGTCAACCGCTGGTACAGATGAAAATGTTCCCACCATGATCAGACCATGGATCAGAATCAGCTTTGAAAGTGTGAGAGTGTTAGGAAGAATTCATGAGCCTCGGATTGGGTGACGGTTTCCCCGCATCGAAGGCGACGCATTACTCAGCCATTTGTATACCCAACCGATAGAGAAAAAGAAATGACACTAGTCACCATTTCATATAAGCCAAGCAGATGAAGTGTAATTTATGTGTATATTAAGAAACTATCTAAAGGTATCATCCAAAATACAGAGGCTTCTCAGACACCACCCATGCAACCTAGCCGAACACCATAACCGTCCCAGAAATGCGGAGCCTCCACTTCATGCAGTGTGCTCTTTTAAAAATGAATGCAAGCTCACCAAGTCGTCACTCGGCGCAGGAGTAGGAAGAGTAATCTGAGCTGCGTCAAATTCCCACGCAGCCTCGCGTTCATCTCGGTGACTTCGGAGATATAGCGGCATCATCCATTCTTTGAGACGACTCTCCAGCATACCCATGTCCCGATTCCGCTCCCACATGCGCCCGGACTCTTTGAATGCATGGTTGATCTTTTCGCGACGGAGGCCTTCGTACGCATCGAAAACCTCGGACAAAGGCTCGGATCGATAGCGGGCCAGCAAGCGTGCGAATAATATGGCATCGTCCAGCGCGTATGCGGCGGACTCATCCCGTGGAGGCATCTATGGTATGATTGTTAGGCACTGTAGCTTTGCACAAAAAATGGTGGTGATGGGACACATACCGCGTGGGCTGCATCGCCGAGCAGGATCACGCGATTCAAGCACCATCGTCCTCCGGGCCGAACTTGATAAACTGGATAGAGCATCCAGTCCGCTTTGCTGGCCACCATCTCTCGGATACAACGGATTGAAGATTTTGAAAAGCGGTCCTGCATCTGTCGTCGCAAAGCACTTCGAATCCGGTTTTGAGTTGCCCAGTCTTGACCCGGCTCGAGCTTGTGGTAGCTCAAGTCTTCCTGACTGAACTGTACAATAGCAGCTGCGAATATTTGCTCCCGATTCCGATCACAGTAGGTCGTCAGAATGGATCCATGCCGTGAATAATTCATCGCTGATGAGCGGAAATGAATGGGCGAAGAAATGGTTTGTGACGGGATAGTGGTTTGTAAGAACGATATGCCTGTATATTGGGAAGGGCAGTTAGGATCGACCCAACGGGTTCGAACTGCGGAGTGAACGCCATCACATCCGATGACAAGATCTCCAATTGCCTTGGATCCATCTTGAAAGCGTACCACGGCTTTTCCTTCTTGCTCTTCTCCACCAACTACTTTTTTCCCAAAGACGATATCAATATTGCGCGTTCTCTCTACCACCGTTATCATCGCAATGGAGAGCATGATTCGCATGACCCTGCGGCCTTTGTACCCTCCAAATCCATTCCCTTCTTGATCGACAAAATCAATCGATCCAACGGAGCGACCGGAACGCATAGAATAGAACTCGATGGCATCTACTTCCGCTCCACCCTCGGCACCCATGCGATCAAGTTCCTCTAAAACCCCCAGCTGTGCCAGATGACGCTGGGCCACGGGCGTCAGATTGATCGCACCGCCGGATGTAGACAGGATTTCATGTCTCTCGTAAATCGTGATAGTGAGGTTGGGGACGAATGGAGCCAGCTCCCGGGAGAGGGCAAGAGCACAAGCGATACCCGCGATACCCGCCCCAACGATGATGATGTTGTGTGGTAACGAATCCATTTCGCTCTGCCTTTGGTCATATAGCGTTGAATTTCCTCTGTGTCGATCTCGAATGTCCCCAATCCCGGATCGATTTATTGTGTGACTGGGGTGGCGAATGTGGTCTTCAAATCTTCATGTACTAGGCGTGGACAGATATGTATATAAAAACCATCTTCTAGTTAGCATGAATATCCATGCCCAACGATCGACACGGTAGATGCCCCTTCATCCACACGGGTAATTAGCAGATATATATAACTGACCCAGAAATCAGAGCAAAACAAGGTTTCCTCGGCCGGAGTAGGGGATCTTTCGGCATTTAAACCAAGATTTATCCATGGAACCGTTGTGGAGCTCCGCGATGGCTTTTTCTCACCCACGTCAGGACTGATGGATCATAAATTTCCAGCTAACTTGGACTAGTAAACATGCCCGGGAATGCGCGGGTGAGCACGATTGGATCGAGGGGTTCAGGGGCTGAACTTTGCGGTCAAGGTCCGATGAGGCACAAGAAATCGGACATGCACAGCAAGAGAAAAAAACTTTTTCTACTTTTTCTAAAACCGTTGAACATGACGGGTAGCTCTTCCGAGACTAGAGGCGTTACTCGGTCCGTCTCTTACCGTTGGAGTCCCACCAGTTCCACCTTTCCCTAACAGAGTATTGGTCCCCGTGAGTTGGACAAGAGAACGGACTACACAATCCGTCTCCGCTTAGTTCATCGCGTAGCGAAGTCGGGAGGCATGAGTCCCGCTAATTTTGATTGATCAAAGAAAAAAAAAAGTAAAAAATGTGACCCGAGCGTAGTGGTTTCTTTCATAGCCTGCAACCTGCAGGGTGACCCACGCCACCGCTGACGAAAACCCCTGCGACACCCCTGCAAAACCTTGAACGTGATATAAATGGACCGAAATATGTCGCTATAAAGACGATTTCGGTCGCCCCATGCCAATTAGAGCCTCGTGCATCTGACAGTTGAGTTCATGGGCTTGCTTTTGGGCTTGCGACAGGCCGAACCAGACTTCCTAGCGAACATCAGTGGAGCTCACAGGCTAAATGAAACGCCCGGTTCCTCTCCCCCTACTATGGACACTCTCGAGCTGGGGGACTAGCCTGTAGTTGGCCACATTTAATATGTGTAACGCGGCTCGGTAAGCTCGGTCTCCGTTTCCCCACTAGCGGCTTCGCGGGACGCCGAGGGACCGTGGATTTCAAGTTCCAGAGCACGAAAAGGGAGCACAGTGCGCAGATCACTGCTATTTTGATATTAGCAAGGGCCTGCAGAATTGAAACAGTGGGGGGGGGGGGGGGGATGCGAAACGAACCCAACGCGCAATTCATCGCATAATATCCTCTTCGCTCGCTTAGCGTTCCCGACAATATGGCTCCGACAAATGTCCCAAGCGTTGAACTCAATCGAGTGACAAACACCGCTCTAGTATGTCCTTCGCGAGAGTCGAATATTTCCGGATGCTCATCCTCGAGCTCACAAACGGCACCTGGAGAAGTTAGCACCGTTGGGCATGGGATGGTGTTTACTCACTGGTGGCTTCCATCATGCCAACCCCGTTCAACAAGGACATGGAAATACCAGCACCCATCACACTCCCGACGTACAGCAAGATGTCTCGAATTTCGCCATTTGCCCAAGAAAACTGCTCGTCACCGGGAATACCCATCAGCCATAGCATGATGGCCAGCGTAGCAAAGCCAAAGGTGGTTGGGTGGCGCGTGCCTATTCGTTTCTTTAACCACGCGACAGGAACACCGAGAACTGCGTTGGGCCCTTGAATTGCCGCGAAGAGAAGGCCTGTTGGAAAACTTCCCCACTGGAAAATGTGGCAAACGTGCAGCGGCAGGGTGGCACTGAAGCTTGATGACACAACTGCGTAACAGATACTACTGACGATGCCTCCGACATATCGGGCATTTGTGAACAGGTGTACATATAAGTCCAGGTCGATCATTTTGTATGGCAGACCTTGCAACTCGGCGACATTTCCCGCCACAGCCGTTGGTAATAACGGGCTCTCTTCATCAACTGCAGGTGCCTCGCTCGCACATTCGTCGGTCGGCATCACCTTTGAATCCCCATGTGGCTGTGGTGTGTCAACCATCAAAGATTGGAGTCCAATGCCAATCACACTCGCAATAAATGCACAGTTCCAAGCCCCCCAGTACCCCACCAACTGCAGAAGCGCACCGGCGATCAGAGGTGCAGCCGTTGTGCCGACCGCGAGGGAAACTGATATGATGCTATTTATCTTATCCAAGTCTCCCAGTGATACCTTTCGTGATAAACTGGACAACCCAAGAACACCTACACTTGCATTGGCGACCGCCTGCACAAAGCGACCGGAGAAAAGTAGCATTACTGTCGTCCTGTTAGCCAGGTAACACGGGTGAGGGGTTCAGTCATACATGAATCAGCAGAGGCAATCATCATAGAGCCAAGCAACTCGCCTACCAGGCCAGCAAGCAGCCACTTATCATTTTGGAAACGGTCAGCATGGTGGTGGATGAGTGGGCTGACTATGAACGACACCAGTGCGCTCTCGGCCAGCAAAGCCAGACTGGCGTTCTGGATCAGTTCGGGGTCCAGTTGAAGGCGATCCTCGAGCATCGCAGGGAGAATGGAAACCATAAAGTCATGCAAAAACATGTCTGCCTAGGTCAGTCTGTTCCTACCAATCCACCCTTCCAAGCGCTTTACCTGTCAACATCGTCATTGCTACTGCTACCAGTACGAATTTCTGTGAGGACCTCCACCCGTAACCCCAGGGCCGATCTTTAGCTTTGGAGTCCAACATATTTGAACAATCGCTTGATTTTTTCGGTTTTAGAAGGATTGTCTGGGCTGAGACGCGGGAATGAGGAAAAGCCAGTTCAGATATCTCAATCCTTCGCTTAGCCCTTGAGATCATGCCGTGACACTGTTGGGGCTTGGACAATTATTTACTATTGGACAAATGCGTCAAAAATCTGCAAGACCCAATGAGAAAAAGCAACAAGGGTCAGTTTTCAATAGCGTTGATGGGGCAGATCCCGAAGAAGACACGATCGGCCCAGCCCATGTACTGTAGATCGCGATCGCGATCCACATGCGTTTTTCCACAGCGTATTCTGGAAGGACCAACATTTATTTCCTTTGAGATGCTATGACGTGGATTACCATTATGACAGTTCTTTTTTTATTTTCTTATTTTTTTTCCTTCTTGCGGGTGAAGGTTGACTAAGTGACAATTATACGGTTACACTGTCGTTATCTCAGAATTGTAGTGTTAAACGCAAGGTACTCCGTACACCTTGCATCTTTTGATCACATGAGCTTGTATGATATCATGGTGGATTGAACTGTACGTTTGCGAAGTGCTCCATACAGCAAATCTAAAGAAGTACCAAGTATTGCTTGCAAGATACACATCGAATCAAGGTGAAGGATACCATTCGGGATGTACTAGTGGGAAGGTCCCTGCAGCTACACGTGAGTAACCTAATATGGAGTGTTGAATGTGGCATGAACATCATTCCTGTTTCTTTAGCTCGGCAGATATCCCCGCAATATGCTGCGTTTCCTCTGGGGAAAACCTCTGTCATAATGCGCGTGGTCGGCTTTTCTCGGCTTATCGCGATTGCAGTAAAGGTCAATTTTGATATTGACCATGTGGAACTCTTGGCTAAGATCTATTGAACGATTTATGGGTGGGTTATGAATAGGGGCTATCGACTCAATAGCACTATAGAAGCACTATAGAAGCGCAGCCAAAAGAGCCGGAAATCATAGCTCCGTCTCGAGTTGAGTCTTAATGAGTACGATAGCATATCTCCTCAAGACCAGAAGATTCTATGGTACCTGAGATCCACCGGCATGCTCCGATACTTAATTGTTCATAATCTTGATGATAAGCAATGGGGGATAAGGGCCCACCAAGATTACAACGGACCAGTCACGGGCATGCGGAAGATAGACGGGTTATCAGGTACGGTCGAGTCGATGGAGCTTGACCGATTGAACGCCAATCAGAGCTGCAATTGCCCTGGGCGACCAAATCTCGGTTTGGTCGCATGTTGATCCCTTCCAGACTGGGTATGCAGCATCTCCACTCGCGGATCATAGCCTTGCATAGCGTGAAAAACGCGACAGAAGATAAATCTTGCATGATTAACTTTTACTATTTATTCTTTCGTTTCTCCGCGTCTGTCGGCACAATTCAGTGGTAAAAACGGTACACAAGATGTTGGCTCCGCAAACTGGTCTTATTGCGTCGCTGCTGCTGGCTGGCAGCGCCTTGTGTGCTGCTGCCTCGGTGCCACATGCTCAACACGAGGAATCTCACCACGAGAAAATCGCTCCAAAGGTGTTCATCGTGTCAATGGTATGTGGATATGGAACCAAGATCTAAGAAATTACACTAATCGTGACGTAGTTTGCACCCGAAGCCGAGATTTGGTGGAACATTCCTGAATTCGACATCCTTGCGCACAATATCACCGTCCCTGGTCTCTCGCCCATCTACCCTGATGTTCACTGCACTGAAGATTTCGAGATCTGCCAATTGATCACCGGCGAATCTGAGATCAATGCCGCTACCACCGTCACCTCCGTCGCATTCTCCTCTCTGTTCAATCTCACCCAGACGTACTTCTTTATCGCGGGCATTGCAGGTGTCAACCCCGAACGAGCAACTCTTGGCTCCGCTACATTTGCACGATACGCGGTTCAGGTTGCTTTGCAATATGAGATCGACATCCGCGAGCTGCCCAGCACCTACAAGACCGGGTACTTCCCTCTGGGGGCTGACTTCCCTGACCAATATCCAACCAGCATCTACGGCACTGAGGTCTTCGAGGTGAACGATGATCTCCGCCACATCGCTGCCAAGTTTGCCCGCCGGGGTAACTTGACCGACTCGACTGAGGCCAAGGCCTACCGCGCACACTACAACACTACCAACGGACAGTACACGGCCGCCACTCTGCCCCCCTCTATTGTGGAGTGTGACGTCGCAACTTCGGATGTTTACTACAGCGGCAACATCCTTGGCCATGCATTCGCCAACACCACCAAGCTGTTCACCAATGGCACTGGTGATTACTGTACCAGTGCCCAGGAGGACAACGCTACCCTCGAGGCTCTTATGCGTGCTGCCGTCCACAAGCTGACTGACTTCTCTCGCATCATTGTCATGCGTACTGCCTCGGACTTTGATCGTCCCTACCCCGGATCCTCGGCCACTTACAACCTGCTCTACTCTGACGCCGGTGGTTATACCCCTGCCATCGCAAACATCTACCGCGCCGGAATTCACGTTGTGGAGGGCATTCTGGGTAACTGGGAGACTACCTTCGCTGGTGGTGTTGAAGCTTCCAACTACATTGGTGATATCTTCGGTACTCTTGGTGGCCAGCCTGATTTCGGTCCTGGGCGCGCCGAGGCTCTTGTCAACAGTGGAGCTTACAAGAAGCGCAGTCTTCGTCGCTAGTAATGGTTCGCGACTCTGTTGTATAAAAATCGATGTGTAGTAGGCAGTTGGCCTGTTGTATATACTGCATCCTGTTGATGTGACGTCATTATCAGCTAACTTTGATGTACAAATTTCACAATCATGCCGTCAAACTTCTTGAAAGAGTTGAGGAGAAGTCAGAGTTGAAGTAGTGGACGTAGTTAAGTTAGTCAACAGTTTGATACTCGCTGACCAAGCAAAATGATGAGTCGGTGAGTGACGTTCTGCCATGCCGATGTTACCCCTCACTATAACATCCACTTGTAGACTAATGTTGTGGTGCACTGTATCTTACAATTCTTTGTCATTATGAAATCTGTAATCCAATCGCAGAAAACTGCCCTGATCACCGGGGCTGCCTCGGGTGTTGGGTTTGCCATAGCAAAGCTCTGCCGAAGCAAGGGCATGCATCTTGCCTTGCTGGATATTGATCAGGACAACTTGGCAAAGACGAAAAAGGTCCTGGCTGACCTTGACTCTTCTCTCAAAACAGAGGCATACACATTCGATGTCGCCGACGCTGCGGCGTGGAAAGAAAAGGCCGCAGGGATAAATGAGATCTTCCCCGACATTGACCTGGTGGTGCTAAATGCGGGGAAAGCCTATAAGCCCCAGGAATCCTCTCCAAGTCGCCTTAAACAATGGCTGGATGGAGAATACTGGCGAAAGGTTGGCAAGCATCTCTAAAATTTTTCTTAATGCTCGACTAATAAGCTCAGACTCTTGACACGAATGTTTACGGCCCCCTCAACGGGTTAGAAGTTCTTCTCCCTCTGCTGCTCTCGTCGAAATACCAAACACCCAAGTCCATTGTTGTGACAGGCTCCAAACAAGGCATTACGAACCCGCCTGGTGGAGGTAATCCGGCATACAATGCGTCCAAGGCCGCAATCAAGAGTCTGACCGAGCATCTCGCCTACGACCTACGGTCTGATCCGACTACTGCCCATATCTCCGTCCACCTCTTGATTCCGGGCTGGACTTGGACTGGACTCATGGGGAATGTCGGCCCAACCAATGAAAAGGAAATCAGGAAGCCAGAGGGCGCTTGGTATCCAAGTCAAGTCGCAACAGAGTTGTTGGAAGGTCTGGAAAAGGGGTCATTCTATATTATCTGTCCCGATGGTGAGACTGATCGTGCCCTGGATCAAGCGCGTATGAAATGGGGTGGTGAAGATGCCGTTGAGGGTAGACCGGCACTATCACGTTGGGAGAATAGTTGGAAGGGTCGTGCTGAAGCAGCGATCCACGCAGATGCGGAGGTGCGTCGAGGTTGAATATATATCCCCGGTGGGTACAAATTTGATCGATATAGATTACTGCCAGGTCCCGAGGACCCAATTAAAAGTTCCACTATTCATGGATACATTTATATACTATCTTGCTGCAAATGCATCTCTAGTTGGATTTATTCTCGACTTGTGGGGACGTGCGGCTGATTGGGTAGAAGACTTCGTGAGGTCAGTGATGCAACCCTACGCACCGCATTTGGATAGACTGAGGCCCAGATCTTGAACTCGGTCTTTCCTATGCAACATCCACAATGCGAACAAGAAAAAAGTCAGAGTCGATGATGAGTATTTCGCAGCGTGGAAAACGTCTTCCATGACCCTGGTCGGAATGCTGGCCCTCGCGCTTCCAACCTCGGCAAACATCCAATCCGAGAGCTTTCCCCGCGACTGGACCGCTTGGACCCTGAGTCTAAGATGCAACCGTCAATTCTATAGTCGATCGACTCCCCTTTCCCGTGTCATTGTGCGGAGAAGCGTGGGGGTGACATGTCGATGCAACATTCTTCTTATCTAATGAGCAAGGGGTGCCTGCGCTCCAGCGCTTGATAACGATCATCGCCCTCGAAGTTCTTCACACCCACAGGCGTGGAAACGAGTCTTTGCATACACCGTTTACTAGCATATACTCGCCTACGATCTTATTATGATGACGCGTTCCCCGCAGCCATCGTCGATGGACGATATCGCCAAGACAGCCTCGTTCAAGGCTGTGGACGACGACCCCAGCAATTTACAGGGATACGCGTCCGCTCCCGGGATAGTTGATGAAGTCACTCGTGTAGTGGACCACAAAGCTGAGCGGCGCCTCTGCCGACGATTCGACTTTCGTTTACTGCCGATTTTAGCAGTTATGTGTAGGTTTGCTATTCAATAAGGCGCTCGGACCTCATTAACAATGGCTAGACCTGTTCAATGCGCTTGACAAGGGAAATCTGGGAAATGCAGAGACCGCTGGGATGGCCGAGGGTGAGATTATCAGATTGATCTAGTTTTCGCCGAATGCTAACCAACCTTCCAGACCTTCACTTCAAGCCTAACCAGTACAATCTTCTGTTGTCAATCTTCTTTATACCATTCGTGATCTTCGCGCCGCCATTTTCAATGCTTGGAAAGAAGTTTAGTCCCGCGCGTGTGCTACCAATCCTGATGTTTTCCTTTGGTTGTTTCACCATGCTCTCATCTGCTGCGCACAACTTTGGCGGCCTCTTCGCTTTACGGTGGTTCTTGGGCATGTCCGAAGCAGCATTCTTCCCATTGGTGATCTACTACTTGACCACCTTCTACCGACGTGGTGAACTAGCGCGTCGCCTGGCTATTTTCTACGCTGCCTCTAACATCGCGAACGCCTTCTCCGGATTGATCGCATTTGGCGTGTTCCAAATCAAGGGATCGAGTATTCCAAACTGGCGTTATCTGTTCATTATAGAAGGCGCCGTCACCGTGGTCTTCGCAACTTTTGCCTTCTTTTATTTACCCAAAAGTGCCGCCGAGGCAAAATTCCTTTCCGAAGAGGAGAAAGCGTTGGCATTCCATCGCATCCAAGTCGATTCGAGTGCGGTGGTTAACGAGAAATTCAGTCTACGCGAAGCTATTGTCATTTTCAAGCACCCCACCACATATGTTTTTCTGTGTATTGAAATTTGTCTCGGTGTTCCGTTGCAAGGTGTTGCTCTGTTCATGCCGCAAATTGTCGCACGTCTGGGCTATCCGACTGTGAAAACAAACCTCTACACAGTGGCACCAAACGTGACAGGTGCAGTTATGCTTCTCGTCCTAGCTTTTCTCTCTGATTGGACACGGTTGCGATCCCCATTTATCGTCCTCGGCTTCCTACTCACCTTTTCCGGATTTATGATATACGCGTCGATCGACGACGTCCATAGCGAGCTGCAGGTGGCTTACTTCGCCACCTTCATGATGACTTGGGGTACATCAGCACCGTCAGTAATGCTGAGTACATGGTATAACAACAACATCGCACACGAGGGTCGCCGTGTGTTGCTCACCAGTATCGGTGTCCCATTAGCCAACCTCATGGGACTGGTAGGCAGCAATGTCTTCCGTGAGCAAGATGCGCCCAAGTACATGCCCGCATTAATTACGGTGGCAGCCTTCGGCGCGACGGGTGCCTGTCTAGCAGGTCTGCTGGCATTGTACATGTGGCTGGATAATAAGCGGCGCGATCGGCGCGATGGAGTGACGATTCGAGCCCGGGATATTCCTACCGAGCGAATGCGAGACGGTCCTGCCTCGCCCGAGTTCCGTTGGTTTCTATAACATGATTGAATATGTACGTATTATTGAAATCATGAAATTGTGTATACCTGTCTTTTTGTATCAATAGGGGACTATTCCGCGCGGGGAAGTCCCGCGGAACGATATAACGTGGGGATGCGCCTATCTCTCTCGAACTCGCGACTGGACGAATCTTGCATATTGACGCAGTTCTTGGGCTAGGTAGCCCTCCGAGTACCCCGCACATCCCTCCATCATGCATGCTTATTGGATTCGGCTAATTATGCACACCGAAATCAATGCGAAACTTGCTGCAATTTCAACGTGACTACGTGTGACCGCACATGAAAAGAGGGGTCAGGATAAGGACCTACAGGTGGACCTTTATGCCTTTGAGAGCTGCATCTGCTTTTCTTTTCTCACCCTCAAATCCCCCTTCAAACACAAACAAAATTAGAATAACCTCACAATGTCCGCTGCACAAGACTACATGGACTGCGTCGAGCGCCACAAAGCTACAGCCCTTCGGCCTGTGACTAGACACATCACCGGCCACAATGCAGAAGGAAAAGCTATCCTGCACTCTTCGATTGAAGTGCCTCGCTCCTACCACAGCCATGTTGCTTCGGGCCAGTCTTACCCAATGTCCTTCAGTGTTGCCTACACGACCTCGCAGTTCCCGCCAGATCTGAATAATGACGCCGACCTGGAAGCCCATAATAAGCTCATCGCGTCAGGAAATCTGGGCTTGGTGAACCCCGGTGGCTCGGTCTTCCGCATTGTGGACTTTGCGCCCAATAGCCCGGGCGCCGTTCACCGGACCCAAAGTCTTGATTATGGGATCGTTTTGGAAGGTCAGGTTGAGATGCTTTTGGAGGAAGGGGAGCCGGTCCTGTTGCAGCGAGGGGATCATGCTATTCAACGTGCTACCATGCATGGCTGGCGGAATCCGAGTACGACTGAGTGGGCACGGATGGCATTTGTGCTGCAGGACTGTAAGCCACTGACGGTGGGTGAGACTCGTCTGAAGGAGGACTTGGGTTCTATAGCGGGCGCCATTAATTCGAGTGGAAATGACCAGTGAAATGCAATACATGTTTAGGATTCAGATACTATCTGCTGTCCTAAGACTGGACTTTGATGACCACTTTTCCAAAATGACTGCCACTTTCTAAGAACTTGAAAGCCTCCTTAGCCTCAGCGAAGGAAAACACCTGATGAACCACCGGGTGAACCTGGTTCTTCTCGTAGAATCGAATCATTTCTTCAAACCGATCCTTGGGGCCGTTTATGATGCCTTTGAGGGTCACTGTGCGTCGCAGAGCCAATAAGTTCACATTGAGCCGATCATCGGCTGCATCTACTTTGCCCGACACGTAGCCAATACAGTCGATCAGGCCACCAAACGCAATGCAGTCAAAGCTCTTTCTCAGTGTTTGCGCTCCGCCGGTCTCAAGAATAATGTCGGCGCCATGGTTCTCCGTGAATCTCATTACCTCTGCTTCCCAGTTCGGAGTGGTGAGGTAGTTGATTGTAAAGTCGGCACCTAGCTTTTTGGCTCGATCTAACTTTGCATCGGATGAGGATGTGATGATCGCTAGAATATCAGCGCTAAGAAGTCCGTCCACTTATTGGAATTGTAAGCATGAAATACCTTTAGCCCCAGAAGCCTTGGCGATTTGTAATCCTGCTATGGCTACACCCCCAGTCCCCTGGAGCAGGATGTACTCGTCCTTGCCGCCATTAAGTCCCATTGGTCGCATACCATTGATAGACATCCAGGCCGTCAGTGCGGCGATTGTCAATGTGCATGCTTCCTCATCAGACATGAATGCAGGAGCTAAGACCAATCCATGTGCGGGGAAGATGCGGTGAGTAGCGAGGACGCCATCCAAAGGGAGGCCCAGACTTCCTGCAAGCTGATTCTCCGTCACTTGGCCAGTTTGGTGCTCGGGTAGAAACGTGGACAGAACACGGTTGCCTATGGCCCATTGTGATACGTCGGGTCCGACGGCGATGATGGTGCCGCACATATCCGAACACGGCACGATGGTGGCGTCTTGCTCGGCGGTTTTGTGGTGCTTATATTCACCCTTTGTCACTAATAGATATAAGACTAAATTTGTTTTGTTCGGGGGGAGGGGGGTCTCACCTTCAACGTCTCGATAGTTGAGCGAGACTGCGTTAATCTTGACCAGTACCTCGCCCGGGCCGGGTGATGGCATCGAGTCTTCTATCTGACGAAGGCTATCCAAGCCTTGGAGAGGCGTGATCCATTTTTGAACGCTCATGATTAGACGTTCCGAATGGTCTTAGAAGCAATTGAATCTTTCCACTGGGGTTTCCGCACTTGAAACTCTCTGTCTGATCGGCCAAAGTGGAAGTCGCCGAGTTGGAGAAATGGCAAGCTTAGTCATGTCCATGGGGCTTCAACCACGGGAGTTTCATCTCGTCTTTCAACTTTTGTTCTTTCCCTCGCAGGTCAGTCATGTATCTCTCTAGGTGCTTATAGAACAGTCGGACTCTGCACTTGGACACAGTTCATGATGACCCCATGCACACTTTGGCAGCCACCCTCCCCAAAGCAGAGACGCGCATGCAAAGCTTATAGCGGGGCAGTGGAGAATACGTTAACTCCGGACAAACTCCGAAAACATAAATGCCTCGTCACTTGCACGTTTTCTTGATATCCCCCATTCTCTTGTCAACTTGGCATCATGGCGGACGGCCCTTCATCTCCTAGAGCTGACATTCCAGGTTTGTGACTTTAACACCAGTAATTTGCCAATGCGATATGCTAACGCATTGATAGCACATTTCTTACATTCGTCCATGTCAGGTGATGCTTCGCGTCTTCCACAGACTATCGCCCATCGAGGGTATAAAGGTCACTACCCGGAAAACACGATATATGCAATCGATAAAGCCATTGCGGCAGGCACTCATGCTCTTGAGCTTGATTTGCACATCAGCCGGGATGGAGTAATCGTTTTGTCACATGTGAGTGTTGCTGTTTCGAGCCGACTTGTGAGAAGCATGCTCATTATAGACAGGATGCATTGCTACAACGCTGCTTTGGCGTTAAGAAGAAGGTTTTCGACTGCGACTGGGACTATTTGCAGACTCTTCGTACAGTCGAAGCTCCGCATGAGCCGATGCCCCGACTAGTTGATGTTCTGGAATATTTGCGACAACCAGGGCGTGAGCATATTTGGGTTTTATTGGACATAAAAGTATGTTCAAGATTACCTATCGATCAGTCTGAAAGGACCCACCGTAGCTGACCGTTGCTAGCTTAACAATGATCCCACCGTCATCATGCAGGGTATCGCCAAGGCCGTCGAATCAGTACCCATCCCAGCCATAGGTCCAGACTGGCATCGACGTATTGTTCTCGGCTGCTGGTCAGCCAGATATCTGACGCCTCGTGCAAAGTATCTACCTCGCTATGAAATGGCATTGATCTGTGTCGACTTTAGCTACGCTCGCCAATTCCTGCAGGTACCTCGCATCTCATTCAATATCCACCAGAAGAGCTTGATGGGCCCACTAGGCCGTGGGTTCTTGGAGGAAGCGCGTGCGGCACGTCGGAAGGTTTATCTGTGGACTGTCAACGCTCCCAATTTAATGCGGTGGGGCATTCGACACAAAGTCGATGGTATCATCACAGACGACCCGGCGCGATTCCAGAAAGTTTGTGAGGAGTGGGAGCTGGATCAGAAGAAGGGACATCTGGCCTCACTTGACCCTAAGGCTGATCGCTTGACGTTTAGACAGCGGGTAGAGGTCTTGCTAGTGGCGTTTTATGTTTTGACGTTTGGCTGGTTCCTTAAGAGAAAGTATCTTCCAACGGTGGAGCATGTACAGTTCGAGGAGCGGAAGATGACCTAACGGAGTAGATGATCTGGATCAATTGGGTCGGTGATAATATCATTTCGGGTTCCTCCAATTAGGCATTATGTCCACCCAAATTTTACAAATAAATTAATGACACGCCACCGACCAAACACCAACCCCATGAGGCTAAATGAAGATATGCCGACATGCTCTGACCGAACACGGAAACCCGTTGGTCCAAATCTCAGCGCCGGAAAATGACAGGGGTGAATGAGCAGGTTTATAGGTCAATTGTTACATTGAAAAAAAAAAGGCAAATCCTGGATGCAAAACGAATGACAAACGCCAGGTCGGCGGTAGCCGGAAATGAAATGCGTCAGAGTCAGATAAGGGTATAGCGCAGCCTAAAAAACAAGGGTAATTCCAGGGGATGAAAAGGCGTCAAACTTAGGGAAAATGGAAAAGAAGATAAAAGGGGCCCAGCTATAGGCAAGATATCCCAGTGGACGGCACCGGGCAGGTCAGGGAATGAGGTCCAGAAATCTTTCTTTTAAAACATCATGAGCTTAGTCGTTCGTCGCTCAGGGAAGCGTCCGGCACCACCCGGAGGGAAGCGCGGGCCGGGACGTAGACCCTGGTTGTGTGTAGGAGGATGCGGATAACCACCCTGGGGAGGGTATCCCGCAGATTGAGCCAGGGGTGAGGAGCCGACCGTGGGTCGCCGACGACCGGGTGATGGGGGATGGTAGGTTACTGCTGCGCGCCGCGCATCTCGTTCGCAGTACACACCTCCGTTCCACTCAAAGTAATCGCCTTTCAGGAGCACATGGCACGTACGACACTGCAAACAATCGGGGTGGAAGCGACGGCGCTCGGGTCGATTCTGGTTCCGCTCAACAGTCTCCAGATATTGACCTTCAATTCCGCAGTGGCAGGTAGAGCAAAGAGATCCGTTACGCTCGTGGTAGTGTTGTGCGCAGTACGGGCGGTTGTTCAGAACATAGAAATCGGCCGTTGGGAAAGGCGAGGAACATTCGAAGCAAACGAAACAACCGCGGTGGTATCGTCCTGTCAAACGGCCGTCTGAAGAAGAGATCGACTTTCCTGTGATTTCCTCGCCACACCCTTTGCATTGGCCCTTGCTCCGCGATGTAGACCGAGTTGAGGGCCGAGGAATAGGTGCCGTTGCCGACCGTTGCACTGGCTTGGGCGAGAGTGGCGTTTGAGGTTCGGGTTTCTTGGGCTCTTCAAGATTGCCGGGTGCTTGCGATTCCTGGGGGATCAACTTTGGGTATTGATTCTCTCGTCTCTCCGCAATCAACGACAAATTGCCATGGTGAATAGCTGGATCGGTGGGGGAATCAGGACTAAAGAATGCGGCGGGGATAGTGGGAACATCATCCATCGTGCTACGCAGCCGGCCCGGCACTTCCAAGATGGTCTGTCGTGTTCGTGCAGGCAACTCCTCGACCAAGGGACCAAGGTTGAGAGGATCTCCAGGCTTATATCGGTTGAGACTCGCCTCGGATGGAAGGCTGGACATGGAGCTTCCACTGCGGGTCTCAGATCGTGAAGAGTCAGATGATATAGAGCTCTCTGCTTCGGGCATATGATCATCTAAACCCAGAGCTCGTGCGAAGCTTGTGATGGACAGAGCGCTCTCACTTGCATCGGAATTCTTTCTCGGGGCATCGCATGGAGACTCCGCAGCGGCAGGATGTAAATGATTTTGCGGAGGTGTGTTGAAATCATGATCAGGACTGCCTTTAGACAGGTCCGTGGGAGATCGCTCTTCAGGCAAATCGTGCAAGGCCTTAGATCCTGCTGGGAGATCGAAGTCGAATCCACTATAAGTTTCCCCAGGTCGATCACTGCGATTTGATGAACGTATCGGCACCTGTAGGTCTTGGGGGAAGGAGGTCTTTTTGGGAGTACGAAGTGGTGCAGGTGGCAGCGGCGGCGTCTCATCTATAAAAGTCCGAAGCCCCCGTGAGAAGCTATTTGTTGAGGATCTTGCCGTCGAACTTCCATAACGAGTGCTTGCCAAAGAGGTACGATAGCTACTATGGCTTGCTAGAGAATCTCCCCGTTGATGACTGAACTCCATGGTCTCAGCAGCTGGTGGGAGGGGGCTCGGCGGAAGTTGTATATTTTCCGGTACCAGATCCAGGCCAAGCCCTGGTCGTGGGGACGGGGTTGCCGTAGATCGCGATGGTGCTTCACCTAACAATCCCGGGGTCGAGATACGAGTCGGCGCCCGGTTTCCTGGCATGGGAAATGCAAAGACCGAGTCTAGGTTAATCACAGATTCATCATCCGGTGATACCTGCTCGCGGGGAGATGGTTGAAAGGGCGAGCGAGGCGCCGAAACTGATAGCGGTGACGGTGCATGCCCAATACTGCTGGCTGGCGTCGGTATGTTTGGTTGAAGGAAGGCACGATCTGCCCTAGTTGTTAGTGACCTGTTCGAAACATGCTTCTCTAGTCACATACTTGCGATCGATGGGTCAATCCGCGGCGGAGCCCCAGACCGACCGGATTTGACAGCCATGGCAGCCGTCAATCGGTCTGGGGAGTCGAACCCCGCGGAGGGGGGCGGTGATGGTGGTGCAATAGGGGCTGGTCGCGTGTCAGCCATGACTTTATATGATTTAGATATGAACGCCTTACCATGAAAGACCGGGGCACACACATGGTCCCCCATCGCGAAGATCTCAACATTGTTCCCACAACTGGAGCATTTAATAGTGGGCAAGAAGCCCATATCCATCGCCATTTTCTATTTCAGACCTGATGGTCATGGGAATTGCGGGACAACCCCAGCTTCATCCCTGGGAACTATTTGCGGGGATGTTAAGAGTAGGATGATAGGAAGGAATATGGTTTTCTGGAAGAATAGGATTGATTTGAAGTGACCTGGTGAAGTGGAGGGAAATTGGGGGGACGATCGCCTATCGCAGTGATGAGTGGGAAGCGGGAACCAGTCAGTGTCCCCATGCACCGCGCTAGTCACGTAGCGGCTCCAGTGCGGATGGAAGGACTCGTAAGTCGTTCAGGGGCAAAAAAAAAAAACAGTGGTCTTTTTCAATGCATACTTTCTTAATTTCCTCATGTTTTGCTTACTCCATCTGTCTTGTTCCACTGAATCCACAGAGTCCACAGGTTGATGCAATCTTTAGATTGTTTTGTGCTACATGTAAAGGGGAAGTACGTCCTTTACATCCCCCCATGAACACCTGTGGCTATATGATCCGATTGTCATCTCCATTGGCTGATCTATATAGTTCAGGGGTAAAAAAGTAAAATGCAAAACAGCTCTTCTCATGGCGTATTTGGGTACGCGTTTTGTGTACATCTCTGAACAAAAGGGTCCGAGGATCCACGGACTGGTTCCACTGCCCATGCTCCTCGATGTCCAATCATGCTTCAATCTGAAATCCATGCAGGATCGGTGGAGCCACTAACACCACAATTCCAAGGAGGTAAACCGTAAACTGCAAACCCCCCCGATCTAGATCGAAGGACGCTGACGTGCCAACACTCGCCCCCAATCAGAAAACTCCGTGATTTGTTTTTTTCAGAGGCATTGCATTGATCATCGCCTGAGTCCCTCTAATCTCTCTAAAAAAAGAAATGAGTCTGTCACGGTGTCACCGACACCATCAAAATGTGCTCTGATCGGCTGCTTACAGTTTCCGCACCTCCAGCTCAGCGTTAGTTTCCCTCTCATGCAGGTCGGAAACGAGGGGTTTGTTTTGGGCCCGAGGAACGCCGCTTACGTACGGGAGCCGTAAAGATGAGAGAACCTGCCATTCAAACATTTTCAAACATTCTCCTAGCAAATTTCTGCTGACTCCCTGGAGCCTTGGATCCGTTCATGCCATGTCCCATGTTTCGCGAAGTTGACGCTCTAGGAAATGGGTTGGCCAGCCGTGCCGATCGGAGGTTTTGGTCAAAACTTGGATTAACCGATTCTGTTCCTGTCGATCTGTGAATCGATCACCACCTGCGCCCGTTAGCTTTCTCTCTAGCTTTCTCTCCTTTCTCTGGTTAATGCACTGACAGAGATGAATCGCCATGCATCCCACAACCATCGCAGGAGGGACAGAAGAGTTAGATAGCGCCACACCACACACGGTCCACACCCCCTTACGGATTTGGGACTAGGTCATGCATCAGCGTTTAAGGTTCACCCTGACGTCCTACAAGTCACTCACATCGGCCTCCTCCACTAATCGCCTTCGCATAGGCCCAAAGGTCGGGATACCAGGGTTGTGCACTGAGAGGAGAACCCGGGCCAGTTCGTTATATTGGTTTCCGATCGCTAGAGATAGGTCAGAGTTTCGTGGAGCACTAGAGAGGCCATTGCGTCGGGAAACCTACCATGCCAGGGAGAGCTAAAACGAATATCAGGAAACGCAACACCTACCTCAACCTCCTCGCCTACAAAATAAGGGTCGAAGGATGCTGGTCGCCCGGCGCTCCATTCATCAGTTTGCTTTCGTAGATTGTCATGCTCAGCCACTGAGCGTAGGCCCGTGCCAAACGAGAAGAGGAGAACATCTGCGCAGTGGGCGATCGCTTGGTTGGCCCAGGCACAGTCTCCAGCATCCGGCCCCAGTGCGGAAAATAGAGAGTGGAGAGAACTGAGATCGATATCCGGAGCCTGTTGCAGGCTCAGTGCATTATAAATTTCCTGGCGAAGTCCACTCCAGTAGACAGCTTGCCGTAAGCTTGGAGTGGTCGTAGCGGACGGGGAGGACCCTGAATGAAAGCCTTGGTTCCAAAGGAATGGCCTCGGAGATCAGACCCAGCCAGTGGGACTATGGGTTGTGATCGTCGTTAACGGAGTGGACTTTTGAAAACGTCGCGGTGGGGAGCTCCACTCACCATCGAACTCCTCTAACAGTCGGAGAATCACGGTCGCAGCCAGCAGATCATCATTCATGGTGACCCCATGGTTATCTAACGCTGGAATCAACGTCTTGAGGCACGCTTGGTAGTAGCGATCTGATACAAATGTGTCGAAGGCAGTAGTGCAACTTAAGTGACGGGCGGACAATGCCATGATCGCGTTAAACAAGGTATCACAATAACGTGCGCGATAGGGTATATGAACAGCAAAATGCTGTTGCCGGTCGGTGCAGTCGAACTAGAAGTCAAATGATTAGACGGCAAGCGACCATCGCAAGCACCAGTATGGCTCACAAATGATGAAATTTGATCCACGAAATGCATCAAGAGGGATGCCTCTTCTGGGTCTCTCAATGGCCAAGAACGCGTCCTGGCCTCTGAGTCTGAATTCCTTCTGATTTGCCCATAATTGGAATACTCATATCGATCGGCTTCAAGTCGATGGTTGGATATATGTCCTACTTCCTGCACACCTGGCTCGGGAAGCGCGGATATCTCTGGGCTGGAAATTTTATTGCGATCGGCAAAGGAATCCTCGTTCTCAGATTCAACATCGATAACAGATAGATTCACCGTTTCATCTAGCTCTCCATTTCCCGATTCCAGTACAAAGTCCACTAGGATCACGATGTCAGACCGCGGTCCATGCCAGCGTAGTTGGGACCAACCTCGAGGTGGCGGTCTAAGCCAGACCTGATTAGGTGGGAACCGAGTCCTATGCTCTCGACCTCTCGCATGGCGGAATTGCGCCTGTTTTTGGTCTCGTGCACACGCGCGCCCTGTTCGCGCACATCGACCGCATTGTGGGAGAGTCCCGTCACCTGTTCAGGTCAGGAAAAGTAGGCATGAAGTAAGCGAGAGAGATCACATTTATGATGAAGTAGCCGGCATGGGTCACTGTTAGGTTATAAGTATTTATCTTGGTTCCTAGTGGTCTTCTTACCAGCATTGGGACTTTCTTGCTGCTATCATGGTTGGGGGTCGAGGTGGAAGCGGGGAAGGTCTTTTAACTGTGGATTTTGCGTGTGGAGAACCACAGAACACACCGACTTGGGAAACAGACTTTCAAATCCATATGCTTTCCTATTATATGAGAAAGCTATGTAAGTTCAGGCGCATCATATTATCCAGGGTCCATCATGTAATTGTTCTCTATAGCATCATATGCCTGATATTCTCAACTCCCCGCTGTGCTCATTAATCATCTTCATACACACACTTTCGAAATCGTATTTCCTTTGTTCTGTAATACCTTGGACTTGAAGGTGATTCACGGATAAATAGACAGCTAGAGAAAGGGCGCGAATGATTGTGTAAAAATTACCATTCTCAAGGTTGATAGACCTCTCGATTAGAGTAGTCACGCTAATCGGCGGTCTTGTGAGGTGCACATGTAGCTATACGTATAGGTCTCTTTTGAAGTTCCTAGTCCAAATTAATGTATTATGGCAAAGATAGATGGGGAAGCCAAGTTTAAAGTCACGACTCTCTGGCATAAGCTGACTTCCTGTTCTAAGGGAAGCGAAGCTCCAGCTCTGCTAGGGCGATCATTCCTTTCCACCAGCCAAAGAAAGCCACCTGCATGCTTAATATAACCACATTATACATAATTATTCTCTCCAGATTTTCCTTCCATGTCCTAGCCTATGTATGCCCATCCGGTTCCTCCGCGAAAATACTACAGCAATGAAAACAATTTCCTCCTCGAGCAGAGTTGGAACTTTGCGGTACAGTATACTGCAATGTGCTGACTTGAAGGCAGTCAAGCTACCATCCAACCAGGCATTCGAGTGTCTGAAGCTCTTTGAGCTGTCGTGGGCTGATCGGAATCAACTCGAGGATCGAGCTTATTTGCGATTTTGGAGTTATGCGGGCCGGTCACCTTATCACAACACTGATCTTTGGCTGTGGCATGAGTTGTAGTTAGATACTGTGCTGCAATGAATATGAGGGGAAATATCCCCGAACCTCCGTCCTTGTACTCCCCCAAGCTAGTGTCACCAATGTTCACAACATCCTTCTTCGTAATGTTTGCTGGTTTTTTTCTTTTAGTACGCTAATGTATAGACTGTTTGGACTGAGACACAGCATACTTACGGTTGATCTGATCAGGATGTGTGCCTTGTTGTCTTAGTTTTTCCGAATTTTGACGTCTTTTGATTGAGTCACTCTGGGGCAAAATATTTTGATTCATATTGGATTCCCTGTCTTTGGAGCACTGTTTGATGTAACCGAAGACCTACTCACAATAAAACTGCCAATTTATTTGTAGTTGTTGACAAGCCTTTGCTTATGTGCATTTTTCTAAACCACGTATGACGTATGGTGCATTTCGTCATAATTGCATGATAGCGTCGTGTGGCAATTGACGACCATGATTTCCTTCAATTCAATTATCGAAATCGAATCGTCGACAATACTTAGTCACAAGTTTTGTTCTTGAATTCACATAGGCAAACTCAATTTACTATTTATTGGGTATTGATGCTACTATATAGTTAGTATTCACGTTGTAGAGTGGTGGTTTTCGTTAGATACAAATGCGCTGGGCTCTTCTATGCGCCCACGCACCCGGTCGCTTGTGTTGGGTTCTTCTGAGCCGTGAACCTGCTTGCTACACTTGGCTTCTACCGCCAGGTAAATCAATAGTGATATATAGCAGGCATGATAAGGTTTCATTTATTCGATCTGAGTATCACCACTTGATTTATCTTCTCAAACAAGTCATTTGTCCGATATGGCTTGTGGATGATATCATCCATACCGGCGTCCAACATCTCTATTTGTTGAGTCGCTCTCACGTTTGCAGTGACACCGAGGATCGGGATACTTGCTGTGCTCTCTCGACCAAGATTGCGTATTGCGATAGTCGCGGACTTCCCATCCATAACGGGCATTTCTTGATCCATGAGAATGCAGTCAAAATCATCACTCTGAACACTCTCTAATGCTTCTTGACCATTCGTCGCTTCCGTAACATGGAATCCCAACGATCGCAGCTTCCGAGAAACAATTTGCCGATTGATTATATTATCCTCTACAACGAGAACATGTCGAGCTTCTCTCGTATCGGATTTCCCGCCAATCGCTTTGGAGGCCCCGAGGCTCCTTGAAGACTCGTCCACTTTGAAATTGGGGCGAACATTTTGGCATCGACTCGCAGAGGGCTCACCAGGCTCAGCCTGGTTGGTTATTTCCAAGGTATGCAGGTATTTTTCATCACTGGCAGCTTCAGGTGAGATTTCCGCAATGTGAGTGACAATGGGATCTTCTGGGATTTTGGGTGACTTCGTCCGGTTATTTACACCAGTCACATCGTTGCTCAGCGCTTGAATCCCGCCACATAAGTGGTCAATTTCGGACTGCTCATGATTAGGCAGATCAAGACTAGATGGCTCAACGTCCCGCCGGACCCGGAAGAAGAATCCAAATGTGCTTCCATTCCCTTCTTTTGAGCCGACGCCGATTTCTCCGCCGTGAAGGTGACAGAGCTTTCTGCTCACATTGAGGCCAAGACCAGAGCCACCGTACACGCTCTCAGTCCTAGGAGTTGCTTGATTGAAGCGCTCAAAGAGCCGTTTTTGAGCGTGGTCACTAATGCCAATTCCAGTATCCTTCACAGCAACCATCACATACGCGACTTGGCCCTCTCCCCACTCGGGTGTGGTGGTGGCATCTAAGCGACGCACATGTTCGCCGGATTCAAAAAAGACGACATTAGGAGGGTAAGAGGGTGGCCGCTTCGTGGAAGCGCCCATGGAGACTCTGATCTCTCTCTTACTGTGCGCTTTTGCAGTGAACTTGATAGCATTGGAAACCAGGTTGATGAGAACCTGGCCCATTCGACTTAAATCGGCTAACACCCAATCAATCCCGCAGTCTGCGTAAGAATTGTCAAGCTTGTATTCAAACTGTATGTCTTGCTTCCGAAGCTCTGGCCGAAATATAGACAGTGTCTGCGCGAAGTGTCGTTTTGGTTGATCTTTTCGCGGTGACAAGGTCAACATTGATGCGTCTAGCTTTGAGAACGTAAGGACATCGTCGACAATTTTCTTTTGATGTGCAATGCAGAGGCTTATTGTTTCTGCTGCTTGTGCAATATTTGCCACGGGTAGGCCTTCGATTTCCTTATCCTTCACTGCTTCGAGAATATCCTCCGTGCAATGAAGAATAGCAGAAAGAGGATTTCGGACTTCGTGGCTGATCATATCAATGAAACGTTCCTGCTGTTGCTTACGCTCTTGTGCTTCTCGTGCAATGTCCATTTGCAGCAGCTCGGCCATCTTTTCTTGAGTAATGTCTGCGATAGTGCAGATAAAGCCGCCGTCGCTTAGATTGAGCCGGTGTGTATCAGCGTCATCTAATGGAGCCAGCATCAGAACACGCCACAGAGGAATTTGGCTGCGCGTGCGGAACTCGATACGCAGAGCATGCTTAGAATGTAAAGTTTCCAGATAGGCAGTGACTACCCGGTCAAAATCTTCTGGGTGGATGGATTGTGACCAGCATTCGAATGATTTAGCGCTGCAGCAGGTCATAAGCTCCCGGAAACGCCGGTTCACCATGATTGACTCATCATTCTGATTGAGAATCGCCACGCCGGTCGGTAACATATCAGCAAGGTCTTGTGCAGAGAAACACCCATCTGGAACAGAAGCCATGTTCATCTCGTATATGCCTTCGATGGTGAACCTCCTGTTTTGGGAAGAGAGGTAGTATCGAGTTGGTGAGCATATGTCTTGGCCACCAGCTGAATGGCAATCGGTGGAGTGAACTGATCAGAGAAGTACATTTGAAAAATGTATCTCTCACATCTAAGCGATTGGGCGTTTACTTTTCTGATACTTGAAAACAAGCAACTTGATTTCACCGCGACAAATGGGACTTGGGCGTCCATGATGTCACCGAGGTCGTCTCTTGACGCGGACTAATATTTCTCCTTGCCCTACAAGTTACAACTATCTTATCGCCGTAGGAAGCGATGGCAGTGTTGGCGCTGATTTGATCGCAGCCATATTTATTTGAAATGTAATCGAAGACTTGTTTTGATCCGTGCGCTCGCGGGCCTGCTTTACGGAATTATTCTCATAGTTTTTCAGGTCGCACCGATTGCGTCAACACAGCGATGCTCTGGGACCTACGCAAGCCCCGCACAATATTGCCATTCCTATCTCCAACGCAACACAGTCAGTTTGGTTCGCGTCTGCATTTGCGAAATCTGCCGGATTACTCTTTTTCTTTCCCGTTCACAATCCTACGTTCACTATACAGCCCTCAAGTTAACTATGAGGAATGAAAGATGATCGCCGACACTTCTTCATTCTCGTCTTTCATGCCATGTCACAATTGTCGAGTCTCTAATTTTCCGGAAGTATGAACGCGATTGATACTTCACATTCCATAGATTGCCTTCCCCTACAAAGCTAGATAGATCTATTCACTGGAGCCAAGTTGCGCATTACTGCTGATCAGCGTGACTTGAAAAAGACTCCAGGACGAATACAGGTTAACAGATCAAAAACCCCTGATCCCTTCGAATTCTAATAGATCACCTGATAGCGGGGTATTCTTGCTATAATCATGGCGAATGCCATTTCGCACAGTATAACTCTAGATCCCGTGATCCAATGTGCTACACTTCCCTGTTCCAACCCGTGCCCTTCAGCTGCCAATCATGTGATGCGATTGTAGTACTGTACTGTACACATTTGACAAGTACCATGAAACACCGCCTTACGCAATCCGAGATATGAGAAAAACGACGTGATCGAAAGAATGGCCAAACAAAAACAAGGCCAAAAACATACTCTAAAATTACCCACAATTAAGTTGACTTAGATAAGACTATTGCTTTGCCGAGACTCATTCCAACCTTAAAATCAGTCATAATTTCCCGGATGCTTACGTGTTCCCAATCTTGGTCTGGGTCGATACGGCCTTGCTCAAAAGCAACATCAATGCTCAAGTCGCCGAACTGAAAATAACCAAAATTGTCACCCTTCCAAAATTCGTGTTTCTGTTTGATTTCTTCATGAGTGCTTTTCCGTCGTTAGCAGAAAAGAGAAACTTCGGCGACCGGTACTAACTTGACAGTCCCCATGTCTGTGGCGCCGATTGCCACGAAAAGGACATCGCTTTCGATACAACACACCTCGTGTCCTCAGTCAGGATGTCCACGGAGCTATACAGCGCCACGCGGTCTACTTGAATGTAGTGTCCTGGGATTTGTTTGTAGCATTTGACTCTTCTCTCGACTGGGACATGATATATGTGGTAGTCTTAGGGACTTGTTCTAAAAGTGGCGACTGAGCTGTCTTGTTACAATGCTTTTGGATTTTGAGAAGTTCCAGAAAGATGCCTGCGTACCTAGGTAGGTGACTCCCCAGTACTCGCCAGACTGCTCTCTTATCATGTCCTCTTTCCGCTTAATGAACATGGGAATTTTGGCAGGGGCTATAGGAGATGAAGGCATTGTCAATGTATAATCTAGGTCACTGTATTCAAAAAGAGAGGAGCCAAAATTGCATGATTAGCAAAAGCAAACACACGGCGCTCTTTCGAATGTTGATTCCAGCCGTGGGGATAGTCAAAAAGCTTTCGGCGAAGTGAATGCCCGAATACGAACAATGTAAAGCCACCCCCGGTGGAACGACTGAATGCACGGGTAGTGGGTACTAAGGTTTAATGACAGTGACGTGTCTGCAACTCTTACAGACCAATGGCGATTCTAGGCAGGTATCAGATCCCTTCGATTGCCTACTGTATACAGATTTGTAGCCCGGGAGACTCTGACCCGTCTTACCAGTTACCGTATGGTATAATCAATGCAGGAGCCCCGAAAGTCATCCAAAGCAAAGCCATGTCATTAAAAGGCATTTGTGGATTGTGAAATGCAACATAATTTGAAATTGGTGCGAAGAAGTCGAGCCTGAATTTTAGTTTTTCGTGGAAGGATTATTTATACCGTACCGTTCCTTATGATTCAACCTCGCATGCTGGTCAGCTGCAGGTCTCACCGTAATGGCTGGGGGAATCAGCCGCCTGGTTTGGTTGTGACAGGCCTTCGGCCAGAACCCTTGACCTTTTAAGAAGTCGGAACGGGACTTTGTGACATTCATCCGGTTTCAATCCTCCTAGTCCATAGTTGCCAAAGATGCGAAGGATGCAAGATTCAAGTGAATTTGACGTTCTTGTGATTGGGGCCGGTAATGGCCATATCTCCGCTTCGCATTGCATTGTATAACTCCGCTAATACACATGCTAAATCAGGTATCTCCGGCATTTTTGCAGCCAAGTTTTGGCTGGATATGCATCCCGAGTCTCGATTGATTATTCTAGACAAGGACAACTGCGTTGGGGGTACTTGGAATGCGCGTGAGTTATGCGTCTGGTTCCATCCAGGATGGCTCCACTGACGTCCTATCTTTCAATACTAGGGCGTGGCTACGATTCGTTTTGGACTCAGTTTACAATCGGAATGGCGGAATTTTCGGACCAGCCCATGCCACGACCACCGGATGAGGATGTCTATCTCGAGTTCTTCAAAGCAAAGCACATGACAAAATACCTCGACAACTATGTTGACTTGCATAGCTATGAAGGTCGGACTTTACGCGATAGAATCAAATTCTCCATCGAAGTACAGTCACTAATTAAGCTCGAAAGCGGATGGGCCGTAGTGACCAAGCCAGGAGAGGATCCAAAGCAGCATACGTTCAGAACCACCAAATTGATTGTTGCGAGTGGCCTCACTTCGATTCCGAATATGCCTTCCCTGCTAGGAATAGACAATTTTCTTGGCCAAGTCCTCCACCAGGACGGTTTTGGCTCGTCTGACGTCCTGACGTCGCCTGATATCAACAAGATCACCGTTCTGGGCGCCGGGAAGTCATCTGGCGACATGGTTTACGAAGCAGCCAAAGCCGGCAAGACGGTATCATGGGTTCTCAAAGCCACAGATACGACTGGGCCAGGGTTCTTCCTCTCCCCCAAAGGAGTCGGTCCATATAAAAACGCATTCGAGATTGGCATGACTCGATTGGCTGCAAATTTCACTCCCTCTTTCATGAACGGACCGAATTGGTGGACAAAGCTTCTTCATTCCTCTTCATACGGGGCGGGTCTGATGACGGGCTTCTGGAATTCCGTCGACGCCAAAGCTCGGACAGAGGCGAATTTTCAGAGAGAGAGCCTGCAAAACTTTGACAAATTATCCCCACACTCACCGTAAGCGCTTTCTACCCTCTGCGTGCTAATTGATCAATCTACCTCTGACTCAAACAGAATCTTCTGGCAAAATTGCACAGGTGGCCTCCTCAATCACCCGGACTTCTTCGACACCATCGCACACAAAGTTCGCATTTATGTTGGCGATGTTGACTACCTTGAGAAGTCCATGCTATGCCTCAAAACTGGCGAAAGGATTCCTACAGACGCTTTACTCTGTGGCACAGGCTGGCATCCTTCACTCCAGTTCTTTACTGAGGAACAATGCACTGAGTTTGGTCTACCCCACTTGCTAACACGTGAGGATCCGAGTTACAAGAGACACTGGGCTGCAATAGAAGCCGAAGCAGACGCTAAAGTCCTCAACATCTTCCCACAGCTTTCCAAACCACCCCCCGTCTTTTGTAAGCCCACTACAAAGACCCCATACAGACTATATCGACACATGGCCCCTCTGTTCGAGTCTGGCGTTGCCAGTAGAGACCGCTCTGTAGTCTTTATTGGTCAAGTCGTGGTGGGCAACTATTTTCCTGTTGTGGAATGCCAATCAATGTGGGTGACAGCCTACCTTGACGGAATACTGGAGTTACCAACCCTGGAGGAACAAGAAAAAGATGTTGCCCTTTTCACGACGTGGTGTCAGCGTCGATATCTTAGTAATGGGCAGCGTGGAAATAACATGACTTTCGAGCTGGTCGGATACATAGATACCTTGTTAAAGGACCTGGGTCTCTGCAGTCACCGCACAGGATGGTTCAAGGATACATTTTTCCCTATCTGGGCCAAAGACTTTAGAGGCTTGAAAACAGAGTTCAAAAGCAAGTACGGGTACAGATAGGCTGTACATGGGTCACGTCTCGCAGCAAGATTGGATATTCATCATCTTATTCTCATGTGGTTACTGTGACCCCCCACAACGGAGGCCTAATCGATCTCCTCGAAACGACTGAAATGGACCAGACTGGCCTGATCACTTCAGTTCTTCTGACTGGTATATAGCATCAATCACACCCTCCAACTTCTAGTCAATTAAGAGGTCATGTTGAGAGAGCAGACTTAAAACGGTTTAGATTCTGACGCGATGTTCAATTTAGTAATTGGTAATTAATAAAGTCCATGCACTATCTTTCAATGATGGAATTTTCCTCCCAATTACAATGGCATTCAACAACTTGAAGAATGTGAGAAGGCGATTTTACCACCGGAACGAATCGCTCAAGTAGAATCAATAAGAATGATGCTCAAATACGTGTTCTCGAAAAGCTAGAGAAGGAATTTGATCTGATTTGCTGAGATTCAATCAAATTCTTGATTTTGTGCTTCAGAACTGAATGAGCAGAGTATCCTATGATAGAAATCAGATATAATGAATTTTAAATGATAGTTTCACATATCTTTACCTATTTCATAAGAGTTTTCGCAGGGTGTAAATGGGTATATGGCTTATAATCATATAATGTGACTGTGTATGGATGTCGGTACCGTACGAAGAGACCACTTTATGGAGTCGCTCAACACTGTTATCGTAATGAAGATGAATAAGAAAGGCCGCGCTAGAACTCAGATGCCAATGTTTGTTTCATTCACGATAGTCTCTTCCTATCAGGATGATTTTTTGCGATTTAACATAATCTATATTAGAACCCCACTGAAGATGGAGATATCTTCACCCTTCCCCGCGCCGATCTAGGCGCACAGACCACTTGGGCAATCATCGCGCGTCAAATTCCCTCTTCCATCCTTATCGGGGTATTGATCGACAGGAATGGCGACACCAACACCTTAAGGCCGTTCAAAAGAGACGTTCCCTCGTCGCGTTGAAGCTGCATTTCGCAAATGTCTACCGGGGTACCGCCGACTTCATTGCAATAGCCCAATGAAATGAAACGGTAACTTGGATCGGACCGAGTGTACTGCATCTTGAAGTATATAATATGTGACGAAGTTCCTCCTCTCCCTTTTAACAGTTACTTGTCACCATGATATCTATCAGACAAACCAAACTGATTCGGCCACCTCCCGGTACCGATCACCTCCAAATCCGGGTCGGTAGCACGAATTATCTCTATGCGGTCACGGCCTTTGTGTCCCTTGGAGCCTTTCTTTTTGGATACGACCAAGGGGTAATGGGTGTGATCGTAGCGGATCAACGATGGATTGATCTGATGCAACCGAAGAACTCGTGTACGTGAACTGGCAACTTGCATTATGAGCACTAAGCTGAAGTTGAATCAGGGGTTACTGGCATGGTTGTTTCCTTATACGATGTTGGATGCTTTTTTGGGGCCATGTCACTCGGATACCTTGCAGATCCAATTGGACGTGAGCGGACCCTGGCGGTTGCTTGCTTTGTTTTCATCGTTGGCGCTGTCCTCCAAGCGTCATCATACTCAATTACACAGATCGTAAGGCCTCACCCCTGCTTCCTTGCTGCTATGTGGCTCATACTGATTGTACAGACAATCGGTCGAGTGATTCTAGGATATGGCGTGGGCGCATGCGCTGGTGGTGTTCCTCTCTACGTGGCCGAGCTTTCTCCACCGGATATCCGCGGCCGAATTGTCGCCATTGAACAAATGATTCTGTGCCTGGGAGAGCTGGTTGCATTCTGGATGAACTATGGGATTAATTTCCTTGAAACAGGTGACTGGTGGCGCATTCCATTAGCCATTCAAATATTACCAGCCGTGATTCTTGCTCTCGGGTGCTGGTTCTGGCTTCCTCCCAGTCCCCGATGGTTGGTCAGTCAAGACCGAAAAGAGTGTGCAAAAGAGGTTCTCACAAGACTTCACGGATCCGAGGCAGCTGATCTTGAATTGTTGGAGATTCAGGCTTCGATTGATTTTGAGCACACTGTCAGCAAGGCGACTTGGAAAGACATGTTCACCAAGCCCGTGTTGCGAGTAACTCTTTTGGGAATGGGCGTCCAATTCCTCCAGCAGATTACAGGGACTAACTCTATTCTCTACTACACCGTGAGGAATATCATCACTGCAAATCAGGGTGTTTACTGACTATACTTCCAGCCATCTTTATTCAAACGCGGAGGAATTAAGGACCCGCGCACCGCAAACCTTGCAACGGGAGGCGTGGGTATTGTGTTATTTGTCTTCTCTTGGGTGCCAATCTTTTACTTTGATCGATTGGGCCGGAAGACTTGGCTGCAGATTGGAACCGTCGGAATGATGGGGGCCATGATCGGAATCACAGTGCTGCAGTGGTACGCCGAGCACCACCCGGATGACAGCGCAAATTATACCATCATCGTATTCCCATATCTGTTCTATATGTTTTTCAATATTAGTTGGGGCGTTGGGTCATGGACGTATGCGGCCGAGATCTTCCCCGGCTCTATGCGGGCAAAGGGCAATGCTCTCACCACCGCATCACTTTGGGCGGCGTGCTACATTGTGGCACAGGCAAGTCCACCTATCGGTGATGCTATTGGCTGGGGGTTGTACATCATATACTCTGCCATCTGTGTCATTGCTTTCTTCTTCGTGCGATACTGTCTAGGTCAGTTGTTTTTCTTTTCGAAGACTCGCACAAACTGACATAATTAATTTACACAGTGGAAACTCGGGGGCGGTCACTCGAGGAGATGTCCCGACTATTCGGTATCGAAACCAGGTTGGCCGAGCGCAGTGCCGTCAATAAGATGGCCATCGAAGAACACGTGGAGAACGTGGGTTCGTCCTCTCGCGGCTAATGCCCTACAAAGGTGAATTCATGAACCCAAGATAGAAAAGCCAAGGCGATCTCAGGCCAAAGCATCGAGGAACTTGGATTAGAGTGGGGTTGGTATCAACACTGATTGGATTAGGAACACTATTCAGATAGCAACTATTTCTATGTTACTTTTACAGGGAAGTTTGGCTAATATGGATGCCTACGTTAATATTAGATGCTACAGAATGAACTGAAGAAAAATGTGCCATTTACTATACGCCGCTAGAGAGCTCATAACCTCGAGGATCATACTATTTGGATGAAACTATATGGATGAAACGTATGATTCCGTTCTCGCTAACGTCAAAGTGCGGTGTGGGCAGGGTGGGGCAGGATGTAGACCGCTTGCTTTTCCCCTTGTTTTAGCCCCGCGCAGGTGCCGACTCTCGGCATGTGCAGAGGCACGGATCACTCCCTGGTGTGAGACCGAGGGGTAGTTGATGATCTGAGCAACTGACATTTCAGTACCACAATGAAATCCAAGCTATTTGACGCAAGAGAGCAGGCCAACCTTGGGAGGGGCCAGGCACCGGAACAAAGACGACCAAGTATGCTCTCCCGTCTCCCGGTTGGCGAGGCCATTGGCCCATGGGGACTGGCCCATGTAGCTTTATCGGACATAAACGGATCCCACTTTTTTTTTTTTTTAGCTGTATTTTTCTCTATTTTTTGTTTCTTCCTTGATTGCTTTATCCTTTTTCAGGCGAGCATATACACTCTCTACAGGCAAGATCACTAGTGCCCAACCACTCAACACTGAAACTTGTCTCAAGAGAGTTTAGTTCGGAGGGATTGGCGAAAGTAAAGTAAAGTCAAAAAAAAAAATTGGAAAAAAGCTCGAATCCACAAAAAAAAGGGGGGGAAATAGTGCAAATTGAATGGAAATCAGGAGAACTCCGGGGCTCACGAGAACCCCGGAGCCCGGCGGAGTCTCACGTGCGGGCCATACTATTTAATTCCAAGTCAACCGTCCCTCCTTCCTCTTTCCCCAACAATCCAAGTACCACTTTCCCCTTTTCTACCGTTACGGTTCGTATAAGCCTTATCAATAGGTTCGATCACATCTCGCCGAGACGTGATCACATACTACCGGCACCATTTTCTCCACACACCTCAACTCGTAAGTCTCACGACTGTGGAGCACATCCATAGACTCCAATTGCAGAATTGCAGCTTTGGAACAAATGATTGACACCTTCTCTTTCTTCAGGCGCCACCACCCGTTCAACGGCCGACGCACCTCCAGCCGCGGAGGAGCACCGGATCAACCACTTTACACTCAGTAAAGCTTCCGCGCTCCATAGTTTCCCCTCAAGTTCACTCTCTTCAATTCCGTGAACGCAATGGCTCCTCACGCTAGCTCGGATGGCGCCAATGGCTCTGTGAACGGGTCGGCTCGTCAAGACTCCCCGTTGTTTACCGTCCAGTCGCCCAATGTCCAGTACACGGCCGACGAGATCAAGAGTCAGTATGCCTACCAGACCACCGAGGTCACTCGTACTGCCGACAACAAGCTGGTGGCCACCCCCAAGGCTACCAACTACCACTTCAAGGTGGACCGTAAGGTCGGCAAGGTCGGTATGATGCTGGTCGGTTGGGGTGGAAACAACGGTTCCACCGTCACCGCTGGTATTCTTGCCAACCGCCGCGGCCTATCGTGGGATACCCGCGAGGGTCAGCAGTCCGCCAATTACTATGGCTCCATTGTCATGAGCTCGACCGTCAAGCTGGGTTCAGATGCCAAGACTGGCGAGGAGATCAACATCCCCTTCCGCGATTTGCTTCCCATGGTCCACCCTGACGATCTGGCCATTGGTGGTTGGGACATCAGCAGCCTGAACCTCGCTGCGTCCATGGACCGTGCCCAGGTGCTCGAGCCTAGTCTCAAGTCCATGGTCCGCAAGGAGATGGCTGAGATGACCCCCCTGCCCAGTATTTACTACCCAGATTTCATTGCCGCCAACCAGGAGGACCGTGCCGACAACGTCCTTGAGGGTACCAAGGCCTGTTGGGCACATGTCGAGAAGATCCAGCAGGATATTCGGTAAGTCTGAAACTGTAAACATGGCTCCTAGGTATATTTTACTAATGCTGGATAAAGTGACTTCAAGGCTCAGAATGGTCTGGACAAGGTCGTTATTATGTGGACCGCCAACACCGAGCGCTACGCCGATATCATCCCTGGTGTCAATGACACTGCAGAGAACCTGATCAACTCGATCAAGACCGGTCATGCTGAGGTTGCTCCGTCCACCGTCTTTGCTGTGGCCGCTATTCTGGAGGGTAACGTTCCGTTCATCAACGGTTCGCCCCAGAACACCTTTGTCCCCGGTGCCCTTCAGCTTGCTGAGCAACACGGTGCCTTCATTGGCGGTGACGACTTCAAGTCCGGCCAGACCAAGATGAAGTCCGCTTTGGTCGACTTCTTGATCAACGCCGGTATCAAGCTCACCTCCATTGCCAGCTACAACCACCTGGGCAACAACGATGGCAAGAACCTGAGCTCGCAGAAGCAGTTCCGCTCCAAGGAGATCTCCAAGTCCAACGTCGTCGACGATATGGTTGCCGCTAATCACATCCTGTACGAGAAGGACGAGCATCCCGACCACACTGTCGTCATCAAGTATATGCCTGCTGTCGGTGACAACAAGCGTGCTCTTGATGAGTACTACGCCGAGATCTTCATGGGTGGCCACCAGACCATCAGCTTGTTCAACATTTGTGAGGACTCGCTCCTGGCCTCGCCCCTAATCCTCGACCTAGTCATCCTGGCAGAGATGATGACTCGTGTCAGCTGGAAGACCGGTGCCGAAGGCGCCGAGTACAAGGGTTTCCACAGCGTGCTCAGCATTCTCAGCTACATGCTGAAGGCTCCTCTGACCCCGGCGGGTACCCCCGTCGTCAACGCCCTTGGCAAGCAACGCTCGGCTTTGATTAACATCTTCCGTGCATGCGTTGGTCTCCAGCCTGAGTCTGAGATGACCCTTGAGCACAAGCTTTTCTAAGTTTAGTTCTCTGAACTGCCTGTTAATGCCTTTGGCTATCTGCTAGCTATCCAACTTTAGTCGCTCCTTCATCAATACAAGAACGAAATAATCGTATCGGCCACTCAGTCACTATTTTCACTGTAGGAGTATGTGCAGTAATACGTATTGACCGTATAGTCTCGCGCTTTGTTTATGAATCTCTATCTATTCCTTAGTCGCACCAAGTTCAGAGTACGCGTTCAAGGCCAGCTGGCCACCTAAGTGTGCATACAGCACATTGCTGCCCTGGATTTCTCCACGCTTTATCATATCCACCATACCCGCAAAACTCTTGCCTTCGTAAACTGGATCAGTGATGAAAGCCTCCATTCGAGCGGCATACTCGATCGCATCCCATGTCTGACGATCGGGGATGCCATAGATCCCAGCATGATATCGGTCATCCAGAATAACGTCTGCGTCCGTAATATCATCCGCAGTTAGACCAATCTTGCTAGCGGTGTTACGAGCAATGCGAAGAACCTGTTCGCGCGTAGCATCGACAGTTGCAGAGGCATCGATACCAATGATCTTCCGCTTGGGGTCTGTCGGGTGCAAACGCTCCAGAAGCTTGAAGCCCGCAATCATACCCGCAAAGGTAGAACCCGTCACAGCGCAGACAAGAACAGTATCAAAGAAAACACCCTGCTCCTGCTCCTGTTCCCGAACCTCAAATGCCCACCGTGCGAAACCCAATCCACCGAGCGGGTGATCCGACGCTCCAGCCGGGATATAATAAGGCTTCTCGCCTTTGGCCTTAGACTCCTCGACAACCGCCTGCGCAGTATTCTTGTGCTCAATGCCGAATCCAGAGGGATCCAATCGTACATCTGCGCCCATCAGACGGGACAATTGAATATTGCCTACAGAATCGTACCCCTTGTCCGTCCAGTCGACCCAGTGCTCCTGAACCAGACGAGCCTTCATACCCGTCCGCGCAGCGACGGCCGCGACCTGGCGGGTATGGTTGCTCTGGACACCTCCGATGGAGACAAGAGTGTCGCATCCCTGAGCCTGCGCGTCCGCCAAGAGGTACTCCAACTTGCGGGTCTTATTGCCTCCGTATGCGTAAGCGGAATTTAGGTCATCCCGCTTGGCATAGATGGCCACTGGAGGGTAGGTGCTAGTACGGGCGAGATCGGCGCTGATGCGGGGAAGAGGATGGATTGGCGAGGGGCCGAGCAGAAGGGGAGTCCGTGCGATGGAGGCGAAGGGCTCGGGGAGGGTGAGAGTCGCTTTGGTCATGATTGCGAATTACGAGGGTTGGAGAATTGGAGATGTTGTATGAAACGCGGGCGAATGTTTCTGAGATTTGCTCGATTGGGTTAGGACGAATGAGTCCTTTCAACTGAGAGATGGGTTGGAAAGTATAGAGGGTAGAAGTTGATCATTTACACAAGTCAAAATGAAGACATAAGTAGAGAGGATAAACTATTTATACAATTCATCCTCTCGCTCTCTCCTTCCAATGTTCGCACTTAGTCCGGACATCGTCCGTTAATTCATGGCATCATGTAGGCCAGCACCGTGAAGATCACTCCATCAGGGGTATCCCTATCTAGGACCGCGATGCTCATTGCGGGAGAATACCGACATCGGGCAGCTTATCGACTTGCTGCGGAGAAAAGGTGGAGAACGCGGACTCTGCCCGCCTCGACTCGACTGGCTGTGAGATATGGTATCTAGCCAAGATCGCCGAAGTGGGGATCGAGGGGAAGATGGTATCATCTACGATGCCGAATATAAGCGATTCTGGCCATGAGATATGAAACAAATCTAGGATGATCTGACCACGATCTGCAAACAGTGTACTGTTAGTTTTGGTGGGCTGTTGTGCTAAGCAACATGTAACACCCACAAGGTGCTGCGGGGTGAGGACCTTGGATGTTGTTCTCAGCCCTACAAAGTCATTTGAAACCCCTGGAAATGGGAAAGACCTCGGGAGCACTTTTACTGGTTTGTGAGGAACAATGCTTGCATACCACAAAGAAAATCATATTTCACATCAGATCTTTTGACAATCGACTATTTAACAAATTTATTTCATATCCACGACACAGCGGACACAGTCACCCTGCTTCATCTGCTCGAAGGCAGTGTTGATGTTGGAGAGAGGCTCGCGGTGAGTGATGAACTCATCAACCTTCAGCTCGCCGTTCAGGTAGTCGTCAACCAGACCAGGGAGTTGAGTACGGCCCTTGATACCACCGAATGCACATCCCTTCCATACACGACCGGTGACCAATTGGAATGCTGTGAAAGGAGAAACATTAGCGGAGAAATTCGAGGAATAGAACGGGTCTCAGGCAATGACTTACGCCGAGTGGAAATTTCCTGGCCAGCGGCGGCCACACCGATAACAATGCTCTCACCCCAACCCTTGTGGCAGGCCTCAAGAGCAGCGCGCATGACGCCGACGTTACCTGTGCAGTCAAAGGTGTAGTCGCAGCCGCCGTCAGTCATCTCAATTAGGTGCTCCTGGATCGTCTTGCCAGAGAGCTTGGTGGGGTTAACGAAGTGGGTGGCACCGAACTTGCGGGCCCAGGCCTCCTTGCCGTCGTTGACATCGACAGCAATAATCATACCAGCCTTGTTCTTGACGGCACCCTGCATGACGGACAGACCAACACAGCCAGCACCGAAGACAGCCACGTTGGAGCCTGCCTCGACCTTGGCAGTCACGACAGCAGCACCGTAACCGGTGGTGATACCACAGCCGAGCAGACAGGAGCGGTCGGTGGAAATCTTAGGGGTGACAGCGACAACGGAGATATCGGCGACGACAGTGTATTGGGAGAAGGTGGAGGTACCCATGAAGTGCAGCAAATCCTTGCCGCGAGCCCGGAAACGCGAAGTTCCATCAGGCATGACACCCTTACCCTGAGTGGCACGAATCTTACCACACAGGTTGGTCTTGCCGGACTTGCAGAACTTGCACTCACGGCATTCCGGGGTGCTAGGATAGTCAGCTTTCGGGTCTCCACAGCTCAATGACACCAGTACAGAGAAGAACCTACTAGAGAGCGACGACGTAGTCGCCAACCTTGACGGAAGTTACACCCTCGCCCACGGACTCCACAACACCGGCACCCTCGTGACCCAGGACGACGGGGAAAGCACCCTCAGGATCCTTGCCAGAAAGAGTGTAGGCATCTAATTGGTGTCAACTCTTGTCATTCTCTTCCCTCGCATAGCGGAGTGTATATAGGGGCTTACCAGTGTGGCAGACACCGGTGTGGTGAATCTGAATGCGAACCTCACCAGCGCGAGGAGGAAGGACCTCGATGTCCTCGACGGAGAGGGGCTCACCAGCACCCCAGGCAACCGCAGCCTGTCAATTTGGATCAGTTTCTTTATCTTTCTTTTTCTTTCTTTCTTTTTCTTTCTTTCTTTTTCTTTCTTTCTTTTTCGAGAGCTTCAATCCTCGTCTAGCGGAAATTGGTGGTGTTCCAGCGCGGGGGATAGACGACGTCATTATTGGCGGGGTTGCATAGAAGTTCTTACCTTGCAAGTGATGGTCTGCCATGAATGAAATATTTAGCTTCATGAACGCGATATGATCAATGTTGATCAGAGAAATAGGGAAATTTACCTGTCCTACTGTGCTAGCCATAGTGTATGTTGTCGAGTAATTGAAACCTACCCAACTTGATCGGCGTTAATAGATTGACAGCGATGGTGGGGGGAAGGTCAATACGAACAATGATGGTTGACAAGGAAGAAAAGGAAAAGATGGGTTTTTGAAGGGAAAGTTCGCGAGAGGAGTGGAGCCGGCAACGTGAGGGGAGTGGGGGTGGCAGGTGAAGAGGAGAAGATGAGGAGGATGAGGGGCGCTTCTCGAACATCCCGGTCTCCAACGGGTATTGGGCCCGATGCCGGGCAATGACGGGGGACTTTCTTAATGATCTTCCACGGGGGGCCCGGGTCAATCAGCCGATGACGGCACGATGGGCTGAAACCCGCAGCATCTACAGATCCATCTAGACATGACATTAGATAGTACGAAGACTCACAGCTTATCTATGTTCCGAGTCGGGAACCGAAAGAGGCAAAGTTTTCCGGCAATTGGGGCGATTACATATGCAAGAATCTCCCCATATACCCAATCGGAATCCTGGGACACTATAGATGCCTCACATTTAGTATGGGGTTTGCTCAGAATTAGCAATAGGGAAAATTTGAGTCACATCCACTGCGGCGATGCCACATTTTTATATTTTGGGGAATCTGGGATGGGAGAATTCGCTTTCATTCCCGGTCCATCCCGCCCCGGAATTCACTATGGTACATGAAGAAAGCCAAGCTGGTTGAATGTCAGTGGTCTGCAGTGACCATACGAGGCTCATCAATCCGAACTGGCTTCTATCAGAAATGGGAGGTTTTCTGGAGCACTTTCACGGGTGGCTCCTAACCCTGCCCACCCGAGGCGTGTTTCTCGGATGTCTCGTCCAGCCCAGCCATTCTTAATCGACGCGTTCCTTTACTGGGGGCCCATCTGGCCACTCTGCATCATCGCAGCATTCTGCTCCTGGAAACGCTCTTGCAAGCGGGCTGAGCTCTTCAGGTGCTTGTCGACACAGCGCATGACACACTGCTCCTCACGGTTGATGAGAGACTTGGTGGTAAAGTCGTTCACGCAGTCATCGAAGCAGCGCTGGACCATCTTGGAGTACATCTAGCGAGGGCATCGAGTCAGTCGGAAAGGATTGAACGTTTGTGAAAGTGGAAAGAGGATAGCGTGATTTCTCGCAGGCTGTGGATTGGGGGTGGGGGTTGGTAACCCTTCCACTGATAGCACTAATTGGAGGGGATGATAAGTCGATGGAATTGGCACGTACGGTCATAAACTCCTTCAGCTGCTTGCGCTCCATGCGGTTCTGGAACTCGCGCTGCTCTGCTGCGTTGAGGCTAGAGATCCGATCAGCTTCAAATCCTCTCTGAAACCACGACAAGCTGACAGTGTGGCTGGAAATCAAAACAAGAGCAATTTAGAACATACCCTTCCATTATGTGATGATTTGAAACGTAAAAGACAATTTTTGAGGTGAGGATATCGAGATGAGATCAGATGTTGATGGTTCGTGATGCCGGAACACGCCTGCAAGCTCCGAAGCTGTTTCTTTCGGGCCGCAAGTATAATGATCCGAACTACCGGGACGTCGACACGTGATCTGTCTCACGTGATCGGCGCCCGAAAGGGAACGGCCCAGACACCTGAAAAGCCTGGAACGGTCACCTGACTTGGGGGACCGTTTGCGGCGCCAAATGATTCGATTCAACCGAATTTCTCTGGTTTCCGTAGATCCTCCTGTTTAATTACAGATTGGATATATTCTATAACCCATGATAATTTCGTTTATCTTCCTCTAAGAATAGATCCCATATGGGTTTTCTCATTGGTGGTTAATTCAGACTGGTGCCTGACTCCACACCAAAGGTACCTCCCCCAGTATGCCGCCTACCGAGCGAGTCCAGGTACCTGGATCCGGGCACAGCCAGACCCCTAAATTAGAACATCGAATATCTTTTTTTGAAAAGTCCAGACTATTCCACGGAATGTAGGATGAAAACATCATTCAATTCAATTTTGCAACTCATCCATCTCATCCATTGTACCGATATGCTTCAAAATTCTTTTCGCGCCGTCCATGAATCATCCATCGACCGACCGCCTTAATCTATATACAAAGTGACAGCCGACCCTGACCCAGTTTAACCCAGTTTCATCCCCGGCCTCGAACCTTGGGTCTGCATGAGATGACTCGACATATTCAATTTCTCTAAAATCCGTTTCCCTTCTTTCAACTCGGCCTCATCAATATACTCGAATACTAGACCCTCCGCCCCATCCACGGACAGAGAGGGCGTGGGTGCTGAAGAAACCGAGGAGCCCACAACGCCCTTGGCTCGTGCTCATCCTCCCCTCCCCCATTATTGTGATTCGACTCGAACCCTTTCCTTCCCCTTGTCCATCCCTTCATCCTTCCCCTTCGATTAATTATTCTCGGGCCCGTTCCTCCCCTATATCCCTGCCATTCCACCCTTCGCTCCTGTCTCGTTTCCTCTTGGGCCCAGCCCCAGTATTTCTCACGGGCGGTGACGTGCACGTTGGCATTCCCGCGATTCCCCCCCTCCAAACCGTTCGTTGAAAGTCCTCGAATCTCGAACCACCCGGAAATCTCGCTCACAAAGTGAGTATCGCCCGCGCTGACGCTTTTGATTACCCGGGCCTCACCATGGTGACCGGCAAATCGCAACCGGGCGTCGAGCCGGTCCAACTGCCCGCGACATCCCCCGAGCCCGTGGGCGCCACCTCCCCACCGTCCAAGCGAGACCTGGCATCGTGGTGGAGACAGTTCAAACGAAACACAAGAAAAGATGAGCTGAAAGGTACGTCGGCCATTTCGGAATCTCCAGCCTCGTATGCGTATCGGCAACTTCAGGGACTCCCGCATCATGTCGCATCCTGCGTTATCGGTTCACGGCGGCTCGTCAATCTCCACCCCTTAGGCATCCCACCCCGGGCGCCTGGAGATAAACGGAAAACCTGCTGTGGCCGCAAGGAGCGACTCATTTACCTGATGAAATTGCGTTTTGCATGCATATGAGTCTGCTGCGAAAATCCGTCAGCTAACACTATGCGAAATAGAACCACCGCGAGGCATCTTTGGCGTCCCGCTAAACGAAAGCATCAAGTATGCGAATGTGGCAATCTCCCTCACCAACGAACATGGCGAGAATTTCATATATGGATATGTCCCGATTGTCGTGGCCAAGTGTGGCGTCTTTCTTAAAGAAAAAGGTGCGTGGAACAATCAAACTCTTTCCCATTTCGTGCGTTTGCGCTGACTGTCTGGATCTCAGCTACGGATGTGGAAGGAATTTTCCGACTCAATGGATCTGCGAAGCGCATCAAGGATCTGCAGGAGCTATTCGACTCCCCCGAACGATACGGAAAGGGTCTGGACTGGGACGGATATACAGTTCACGATGCGGCGAACGTGTTGCGTCGGTACTTGAACCAGTTGCCGGAGCCTATTGTCCCACTTGAGTTCTATGGGCGCTTCCGAGAGCCTTTGCGAGCGTACCAGAAGCAGGTCCAAGCCGAGACTCAGACGACCGATACAGAGATGTTCGACCATGCAAATGCCGTTAAGACCTACCAGAATCTAATCATCGAGCTACCCCCGTTGAACAAGCAGTTATTGCTGTACATTCTGGATCTCCTTGCGGTTTTCGCCTCCAAGTCAGAACAGAACCGCATGACTTCGGCCAACCTGTCTGCGATTTTCCAGCCGGGTATGCTGTCTCACCCACAACACGATATGTCGCCTGAAGAGTACAAGCTCAGCCAGGATGTCTTGATCTTCCTAATTGAGAACCAGGATCATTTCTTGGTGGGCATGAATGGCACCAAAGCTGATGAACAGACTATAAAAGAGGTTCAGGCTGGGGTTCAGCCCAAGATCATCATCCCTACTGCCCAGCCTACCACCGGCACGAAATCACCTAACTCAACAATCCGGCGATCCGCCTCAAGCGCCAGCGGGAGTACAGAGGGTCACCGCAAGATAGGTTCACTGCGCCGCAATGCTTCTGTCTCATCTCGCAATTCACGGGCGTCGCGTGTATCTAACACGGTCCCCAGCCCCGGCACTCCTACCTCCATGTCAGGCAGCATTCACCGCAGCAATACCCTTCCTTCCAAAATGGGCCCTGTCGTTGCCTCTGCACGATACGCACGGGCAGGTGAGAGCGGGTCGGCCAACCCATCCACACTCTCAGTTTCCCACGCCAGCTCTCGCTCGGCGAGTCGAGAACCATCTCTGCGTGAGGAGTCTGAACCGAAGCCAGACCAAAGAAATGACAGCCAGCCTGCGTCTGCGTCATCGACCGGTTCAGCCTACGTTCACACCTCCACGCATGGCCCTATTCCCCACGCGGCTGCGGCGCGTCTTAGTATCAGCGACCTTCCTCACCCGCATGAAAATCTCGATACACCAACCTCACCCCCCGTCAACCTCATGTTTTGCCCCCTCAAGTTGTTACACCAACTCGTGAACGCAAGCTCTCCAGTCTTTTTGCCAAGTCTCCACCTCCAGATCGCGATAACAGAGAAGCACGGCAGCCAAATCGCTTACGCAAGAAGCGAATTCCAGGAAGTGCAAGCATCAGTGCACAAAGTTCCACAAATTCCTTACATGGACCATCCTATGAGCCACCGCTTGAGTCCTCGGAATCGAGGCTCGGAAGGCCGTCCGTGGATTTGACAGTTGGAGAAGCCACACCGAAACCTCCTAACACCGCAACTCTCAATAACCCTGATTGCCCATCAGAATCTCACTCTATGTTGGCTGAGGGCACTGCGCATCCGAATCACACCGACACATCCTTGCGACCGCATCAATCACGGACACCATCCATGAACTCGAGATCCTCATTCACTGATGCGTCTGACTTAGAACAAAATGATGATGTTAGCCGTGCCGAGCGCCGAGATAATCGCCGCAGCTGGCGCTTTAATCGTTCTGCAAAGCGCAGTAGCGAACAGGTCGGCCTTGGCCTTGCATCTCCACCTCTTGGGGCCACTCATCCTGAATTCCAGCAAAGTACCAGCTCGATCGGCAGTGGCGCCCATCAGAGTAACGACCCTTCTAGTCAGCCCCTCAGCTTGGATGCTGGTATCCAAGCCAATTCCGTGTCTAGTGCTGAACCAGAGAAGAAAAGTTTGTTTGGAAAATTCAAAGCCAAGGTGGCCCAAGTGCGCGATGGCGGCCATGATCGTGAGCGGGTCAAGAGCCCTTACCGCTCCGACAGTGAACCATCCACGGCCAGCCAACCACTTTCTCCCACGATTAACCACACAAATGGCAATCCAACGATAGAGGTTCCAAGTGAACTACCAAAGGACGACCCATTACGCTCCCCAACATCACCTTTGCCAGGGGCAGGTCTACCGCCTCCAATTCCTGAAGAACCACATAGCCCAGAGGTGGCATCGGCTGCCGCCGTTGTCAATCCTCCAATGGAAGATCCAGCGACAGTTCCAGAGACCACAAAGCCAGAGGGCACCCATGAACCAGCCCAAGAGACTCCCGCGAAAGAGACATCCGCTTGAAATATGTGGAGCTTTCCGGGTTTATTGTTATGTTTAGATATGTCTGTTTTGTCTGATATCCTGTACTTGCTTCCATCAGCCTTCTCATGAATAACCTTACGATTGATTTTTCTCAGACAGTGCCTTTATCAGGGCTGTAGGTCATATTTTGGCCCCAGGGAGTTTAGTGTTTAGCTGGCGCTTGCTGATTTAAGCCTCTGGTATATTCCAGCGGCTGTTTGATGTGTTTTCATTGTGATTTTGGAGCCATGCAAGGTCCTGATAGCTATTGCTGTGTCCTCCTTGATTCCACTTATCTCTATATCAACTTTTGGCTTTGCAATTACTTCCAGTTGTCACACTACTATGCGATATGACAGTATGTATGCTTGTGTGATATCCAAGCCCAGTGGCCATCCTTCCGTCTTTAATCTCCCGGGCATAAGTGTTTGGTGTTGAAATTCCCAAAGTAGGATTAGCATGGAAAGTGAAGCTCCACAGAGTTTGCCCGTCTTGCTCGTTTTGTCTTGTATTATTTTTGTTTACGATATTAAGCCAGGCTCAGTCTGAACAATTTGAAAATGTAATCCTAGTAGCCGCAGATCGGGCAATGGCCTGAAGTAGTGGGCAAAAGTAAAGTCCATTCATTGATGCCTGAATTATTGGGCAGTAAGCGCCCATGCAATCAAGGCAAACAAACCCTCGACCCTTTTATCCGCGCGAACCGGGAGCTTCATAGACACAAGGAGCAAGGAAAGAAAGAGTAAGTCACCGGAAGCAACGGCGAGGTTCAATACGCCATGGCCTCTCACTCCCACGTGTCTTCAATCAACCAAGCTGGCTCGCCATCTCAGGCCCTTGTTGAAAAACCCTCTGCGCCGCCCATCAACATCCTCCCCTCCAAACTAGCGCAGGCCTACTCATATGCGCACCCCATTATTCTCTTAACACTGTGTGCTGCTCGTTTCGAAGCATTGGTGGCTGATCCAGTTCAGGAGCTCCTTGCTGATCTTCCCTGGTTGGCTCTGCTCCAGCTTTTCTATGTGTTACTCTGTCTTCCACCCGCCGCATCACCCTCGGCGGACAGCTTCTCTGGTGATGCAAAGGCAACACGCTCCCGCTCAGGCAAACCTGGCTATCGCCGAAAGAACTCTGGCAAGAATTTCTGGGCTGCAGTGTGGGCTAAGTTGATGGTATGCGCACCGATTGTCTACAATCAATTATTCTGGAGTCCCAATGTATTGACAATACCACGGTAGCCTGCCTGCCTCTCGCTAGGTCTCACCTTCCTTGCAACACCGATAATCGCTGCGCTTCTCGTCATGTTCGGCGCCCCGCTCACCACCCACAACTACGAAACTGTGCTCTGTGCAGCCCACATGGCACTCCTCTCCGCTTCTCAATTGGCGTACGTCCACGGCGTTGATGGTTCCATATGGAAGGAGGTTTGGGGTATCGCTCGACCAGCGGATACAGTCTGGGGCAGTGCTCTCGGCACAGGCTTGGGCGCTTGGTTCGGTGCTATTCCCATCCCTCTGGATTGGGACCGCCCATGGCAAGCGTTCCCCATTACCATCTTGGCTGGCGCATACGTTGGCTATGCGCTCGGCGCATTGCTCTCCCGGACACCCCTGCTCTATGGTAAACGCATCCAATTTTCCTCCGAGTCGGAAGAAGAAGGTGAGAAGAAGACCAACTAAAGGCTATGGGGTGTTACCCCGGAAAGGAAGGTGAATTCTACTGGATCACATTCTATTCCATACAACGCCGGGTCCGCAAAATCACATGTATTATTATTTGGATATACACACTTCGCTTTCGGAATTTAATCGGTCAATGCATATTTTCTCGTCAAGGCCTCCAGAACAGTATATACAGTCTGCAGCGTATTTATTACAGCTTGCTAGATTCTTTGAAGCTCTCATGTCTGCCAAACCATTTGCTGGATTTGATGGCGCCTTGATATGCTTCTTTGGAAATGACTTTGCGCCCCTCGGTAGATTCATAAGATAGAGCTTCGTAAAAGAGTTGGATTCATATGCGCTATAGTAGCAGGACCAACGATCGGTCTTGAGACACAAAGCAGGGAAGGCAATGAGCTGCCTTGCGATCTCCAATGACTGGTTTAGCGGCTCTCCTTGGAAATTACACAGCTTGCAAGACCCACGGCGAGCGCCTCCTGAGCCCCGACTGGCCGGCCGGTGAGGATCATACCCATTGTACGACCGAGACTAACAATGGCTTGGAGTCGGACTATTGCCCTATCACTTAGTGGAGCTCCCCAGCGTCGGCAGACCACGTCAAAGACTGTATCCTTCTCAAAGACGCGAAGATCCGCCAACAGACTAAGCTTTAGCCCGCCTGTTACGGCATGGCCTATAATTGCACGAATGGCAGGCTTCTGGACAATCAGCCGGGAGGGACATATGGGACCTAAGCTGTATCCGTTGACGGCTTGCAGGTCATCACTAGCCCTGGATATCATCATGCTTCTGATCATTTGGTGTAAAAATGCTTCTGCGCAGAACGTTGTACTACCGGCACCAGTCAAGATATATACCATCTGCATGGCATCAGCTTCAACCCTTAGAATAGCATTGTAGAGACATTCCGCAGTCATAGGGTCTACTGCATTCTTTTCTCTGTGATCAATTGATTGAGATGATAGTGATACCTGAGTGAGGCGTAGTACAGTATCAGTCAAACATCCCATCAGGCGGGAACAATGAAGTTTAAGAAAAAAAGCCACTGCCTCGGCTCGACCCCACACTTTGATCTTCTCCAACCACCTACGATCTACACCATGTCAAGTGCGTGCATTATCTGCCATAAGCGCAAGGTAACATATTGATAGGCCTCTACCGCCGTGTTATTGGTTACTAACGGCTACAGGTACGGTGCGACTTCGCGACCCACAACCCCTGTACCAATTGCGTCAGATCCCAAGTGGAGTGCAAGTGAGCGGACAATGCCGCCCGTTAAAATGTTTATCAGCTGATTCCATATAGACCATATACGAGAAAGCGCAAGAGATTCACCAACAGTCTGTCGCCGGGACGCAATGCACCGGCTTCGGGATCCGTGAGTCGGCGCAGCTCAAATTTGCCGACGGACCCGCCCTTTCAAGGCGATGTCGCAAGCCTATCTTTGAGAGATGCGCACGGGGATGCTACCGTCCCCAACAATGAGACTTTGATATCCATTGAGAATAATGTGACCGAACCTTTCATCAAAGAGGAGAGCTATCGCGGTCGGGGTGAGTACCTAGGCGGTAGTGTTCCATTCGATGAAAATATGGTCAAACCTGGCCATGAGGCAACATACACCAGCCCGAAAGCCTCTGCGGCGGACCTGCAGATGTTACGCGAGCAAGGGGCATTCGAGCTCCCCCCAATATCCATTCAAAAACAGTTGATGGATAGCTTCAATAAGTATTGTGCTCCGTGGACGCCCGTTGTTGATCCGAAATGGCTCGATGAGAAAACGCCACCGTCTATGCTCCTGCTGCAATCCATTTTCTTAGCAGGAAGCAGGGTTTCTAAAGCACACCTGGACTACGGATCAAGTGAGGTCTTCTACCGACGCGCAAAATTGCTCTTCTTTTTTGGTGGAGGTCATGGATCACTGATCTCCATTGTGGCTGCCTGCCTCTTGCACTGGTATAACCCTGTTGGGCCTGAGGATGTTTCAACCGATACCAGTGGATTCTGGATACGGACTGCGGGGGCAATGGCTTTCCAAATTGGATTACACAAGGAGCCGTCGCTAAATGCTAAAGATCGGGGGCTTCGTCGGCGATTATGGTGGTCCCTGGTGGTAAGCGTGTGACTGGCCGGAATAATGCCCAAATGTACTAATGATGCCAGATTCGAGATAATGTCATTTCCGTCGGAGTGGGAAGACCGCGCACAATCAATCTACGCGACAGCGACGTCCTACCTCCGTCGATGAAAGATTTTCCGAAGAAGGATTTTCAAGCACAGCTCTTTTTAGCATACTGCACAATATCATGTCTTCTGGGCGATACTGTCGAGTGCTGTCTACGACGAGAGATTTCCCGACAACGACGCGTCGATCTTGAAAATGCTGTGTATAGATGGGCCAAACAGGTCATCCCAAAATTGCACTCCTCGGCAACGATTCAAGAAGATGTAATGACCTGTCAGCTCGAAGTCAAGCAACTATTGGTGATGTACTTTGTTGGATTAACGATCCTGCACCGTTCGCCGACACCAAACAGTGTTCCACCTGCTGCATCTCTGGTCGCATCGTCATTTATTGCGGGTATCTACGAAGACTTTCTCCTACGAGATGAACTACGCTATCTTGGCCCAGTGTTCGCATTCTATCCGCTCTGCGCAGGCCTCTCCCTCCTGTCCTGTTGTCGTTATCCGCAACTACAAAGTACCGCCGAGCATGAAATGACCGTCATGAAGCTTTCACTCCAGAAACTATCAGAGAGATGGCTCTCGGCGGTCGGCCCACTGAGAGCTTTGAACAAATTGACCGAAAAAGTCCGAGAGCTAGAACCCTTCGATGGTACACCTACTCTAGACTTTGACACCACGGCTTTTTTTGAGGGATTTGACGTTAAGATGTGCAAGCAGTGGCGATTAGTTGAACAAGCTTCCGACTCGGACACCACCAATGCCACCACGACGACATGTACATTAGCCGAGGTGCAAGACCCGGAAGCCGCGCTTCCGGCGTTTGAGGCGCGACCGGACGAAACAGTCGAGAATTATGCTTCCCCGACATTAGACACTGGAATGGAGCTTTTTGGTACCGACTGGGAAGGCTCTGGGTTCGATTGGAGTGGTTCTTGGTTGCTTAATGTATAGATGGCGTGCTGGCAATGTATATGTAGACTTGTGAAATTTCCGAGATCCTGGAACATTGTTTTGGAGTTCAAGGATGACCAGAATACCCTTTCTTGCGACAAAGGTGGATCGAATGAGCTTTCCACCTTTGAAATCACCTTATTGGCCCAGATTTGCCCGTGATATCAAGATAGTAAACACTTGTAGACTTTCACACGTGACCATCATGAGGGGTTTCGCGATTATCCGCAAAGGTCACGACATCCCGAGGGCTAATCACTTAAACCCTCAGCGGCATGGCTTGTGCGACGTAGACCGTTCTCTGATTTTGATCAAAAGCCACGCGTGAGCCTTATCGACATCCGACTTTTCCAATGGAGGGCGACCGATTCAAGGTCCGGAAACGCAGTCCCAAAGCCTGTAGACGCTGCCATCGTCGGAAACAAAGATGTGTCGGGTATCCGATCTGCACGAACTGTGAGAGTGCGAAATCGACATGTACGAGATCAGACACACCAACTTTCCAACCTGCATCCGAAAGATATCATGGATTGTCCAAGGATGCCTTGTTCGACAGAATCGAGGAACTCGAAGCCCAATTAAACGCAGTCTCCAGACCCGCCCACGAACAAGCCCAACAGTTCCCTTGTGAAAGTCCAGAGCCACTCCCCTTCCACTACTTGCCCGAAGTAGGCCATTTGTTTGATGTGATGGAGTATTTGACGACGGGGCAGATGTCAGGCCGGACACCGATCAGGTCATTTTTGTCCCCGGGCACTTTGATCGCCAAAGAGATGGACCAGATCTTTGACAGCACGGTATTAGAAAGCGATAATTCGGGCAATACCGAAGTAGAGCCCGAATGGCCTACCGATGATACCCAGCCAGCCGCACCGGTCGACAAAGAAGGGTTGAAGTACATCCAAATCTACATGGAGACGATGCATAACCATATGCCGTACCTGGACAGCGAGGAGATATATCAGATGCATAGCAAAAGATTTCAGCCTATAGCGCCCACGCGCTCCGCACGTTGGAAGTCTTCTAAATTGTTTATGGTTTATGCTATCGGAGCAGCGACTTGCAGAGTGACAGAAAACCAGCCTAGTATTACCGCAAGTGATCTCTTCCGCACGGCCTTGCGTCTTAAACCTTCAGTCACCGAGCTTCGCTCCCTTCAGAGCATTGAAGCAATGATGTTATTGATAATGTACAACCTACGCATACCGAACAGCTCCAACATATGGTATATGATTGGGCTGGCCATGCGGACCGCCATTGATCTTGGACTACACAGAGAAGAAAACTATCTTCATTTGAAACCCGATGAGGCGCAGAGCAGGCGACGGGTGTTTTGGAGCGTTTACGTCATGGATCGAAGTATTGCACGGCTTCTCGATCGACCATTCAATATTGCTGAACATGATATCGATGTCGGATTGCCCTTTGACTACCAGGAACCTCATCAAAACGATCCCAATGATAGGAAAGAATACGGAAGATCAGATATCAGAACCAGCATTGCGGCTTTTATTCCCGTCATTAGACTGATCCGCTTAAAGTCGCAGATTCAAACCAGAGTTCATAGAGTTGACAAAGAAGTCTCATTGTTGATGCCCGAAATCAATCCTTTATTCTTTGCTTTGGAAGAATATAGACGTTCTCTGCAATCGGATCTCTCTCCTATCGACCATGACTGGATCAATATGCATTGGAATAATGGCATTTTGATTCTGATCCAGCCTTTCCTTCGGGAACTTCCTTCCGATCATGAATTAATTCGTACCTGCATGAGAGCATCTGGGCAGACATGTCAGGTATTCAAAGCTTTGCACCAAAAAGGCTACCTTGGGTTTGGATATTTCCTCGTTAGCACCTTGTTCAAAGCTGGCTTGACATTATGGTGAGCGTTGGACCTGTGACTTTGTGCTTTAGGTCTTCACTGACATTAGACCTGCAGTTATTGTTTGTTTCGATCCTCACAGCCTTGCTCGGTTGATGTAGCCAATGATCTGGGTGCATGCTCCTCAGTTTTGTTTGCTATAGCAGAGCGCAACAAGCAATTGGAAAAGTATAGAGATACATGGGAAGCCATTCTTGCGAAGGTCATGGAACATCTCGAGAAAGTCTCATCTTCCAACGAAACACATCAAAATATCATACATCAACCTAGCCCATCACATTCCTTTACTCCTTTAACAATGGATGGTTCCGGCGCTGGATCCATCGTCAATTGCGCGGATCTTTCGTTTCTAAACCATCCGGACTGGGCCCGTGGCCAGAAACACCAAGGCCATTGGACTGTTTCACCAGTGAATGGATTGATGAGTGAAGGATCGTCTTCTTCCCACCCCCATGAATTGTTCAGTGCGCTTAAGGACCTTTATCCTGAGTGGCAAGAAGATACGAGGCAGTCCTGTGGGCCAAAATACGCGTTCAAATTTGATGAAATCATGTCTGGAAGCTTTATGGAAGAGAGAAGACCCAAATTGCCTGTCTTTGAAGATGTACTGGGAAATCCGGATTGAAATTCATTCAATATGCATGTATTACTTCCATAAATGACTGAAAGGCTATTCCAATCTTCATGTGTAAGAAGACCACATGTGCATTGGCATGTGTAGGTACACCGCTCTATAGCCTGCCTCTGTGATCATTGGCTACCTCAATATCATAGAACTTTCTGAAATGTTCTAAACATCCAGGATTTGCGACAGTGCTGCTGATAGTCTTAGGCAACTGCCCAGATGAGAGTATTTGTTTCACCAAAGTCTCGACTTTTTTGCCATTGACTGTCATAGGAACCTCCTTGACCCCGATCACGAATCGAGGAACATGTTTGCTGCTCAGCCCTTTGCGAATGGCGTTTTTTATTTCAAGGACAAGCTGAGCTGTGAAGAATTGTTTGGGCTGCATCACCACGAACAGGAAGACTGCCTCATCAGAATCATGTGGTCTGCGTCTACCGACACACACGGTGGCGGAAATCACCTTGTTAAATGGAGCGCACTCTGTAATAGAATAAATGTCGGACGATCCAAATCGAATTCCCTGGGGATTCAGAACACCGTCACTGCATAATTAGTCAGTGTAAGATTTGCATTGAGGTGATAAGATGGTTCCTTCCTACCTTCTACCATGTATCTGCCAGCCCTTGGTCACAGGATTGTAACTTGCCCAATCGTGCTGAGCCCAACAGTTCGGGAACTTGTCAAAATATGTACTCTTGTATTTTGATCCGTCATCATCCCCCCAGAAGAACACGGGCATAGAAGGGAAAGGCTTGCGACAGACGAACTCGCCATGTCGACCGGTATGCTTGATTGACTCGCCCGTAATGGGATCTGCAACATCCACGTCCTGCCCCAACATAGGTAATTGAATCTCCCCCGGATAGAGAGGGCCAGCCGGATCAGTGCCGATCCAAGAGGTCACCAAGTCCGTTCCACCAGTCACGCTTGTGAGGTGAACGTGTGAAGGAAACGTCCGATAGAACCAGTGATATTGGTCCGCACCCAAATGGGAGCCTCCCGTCTGTACCATTCTAAGAGAGGAAAGATCAAACTCGGCCTTTGCGATGCATCGGGTCATCTCAAGCTCCTGTAGGTAGCGAGGTGAGCAGCCCCAATATGTCACACGATAGTCCTCTGCAATCTTTGCCATGCCCTTTGCTGTTGGCCATAACGGCGATCCGTCGTATAAAATGAGGGTTGGTCCCACTGACAAATGGCCAATCATGATATTCCATAGTACCCAAGAGGTACTGCTGTATTGGAAAACGACATCATCGGACGTCAGTGAGTTGTGGAGCACAGATGTTTTCTTATGTTGTAAGATCACACCGTGGCTATGGACAAGACATTTTGGCTGACCAGTGGTCCCACTTGTATACAGGATGTAAAGCGGATGAGAGAAAGGTAGTCTTTCGAAGTGGAGAGCGTCTCCTGGTTGTGAGCTCGATAGAAACTCCCCAAGGGTTGGAAACCCGCCTTCATCGGCTCCTGTTATGGGAATCAGGAAGACTTGAGGCTTAGCTTCCATAGCCTGGACAATATTCCGAATCTTTTGGACGTTGGATTGCATTTTTGCTTTATAAGTAGACTCAGCGTCCGCAAAGAGTACATTAGGAGTAACTTGTTGCAATCGTGATACACAGCCCTTGTGACGGTTAGAACTGGATTGGGGTCTGTAGTGTGAAAGCGCTTACCTCCTCTCCCAAATCCGGTGCAATGCTTGTCCAAATAGCACCAATGCTTGCCGTCGCCAGGAATAAACCAACAGACCATACGCTGGTTGAAATAATGGCGGCTACTCGATCTCCCTTTCGTACACCTATTTGTAACAGAGCACTTCTCGCCTTTCGGACATTTTCACAGAGTAAACCCCATGTCCAAACTTCTCGGTCCAGGCCTTGATCCTCGCGAATTCCAATCAATGCAGTCTTGTCTCGGTCTCTGCCGGTAAGAACATTCTCAGCATAGTTCACCGTGGTACCACGGAAGAATTCCGGGACATTCTCCATTGGCACCGTGCTATCAAATGCTCTGTTTATGGTTGCTGGTAGAGAAGGAATGATTCCGGTGTAGGCATGGAGATCTGTCCAGAAATCCTGCAGGTTATGGACCGACCATTGGTGCAGTTCTTGGGATGAATTCAACTTTTGTCTAAATTTCAGATTGATATGCGCACGATAAATGTTCATTGGAATTTGGTGTTGCGGGACAGTCGGGGTCCAAATGGGACTGAGGCCATCTTTTGTCGAGAGACTCATTGTTTTCAAGTTGTTGAGCTTTCACGGATTTATCAAAAAAGGATAAATCAAACCATAAGGTGACTTGAGAAGTTGATAGTCACTAAATATGGTCTTTAAAGGTGGATCTGTATTGCCTTCCCCGCACGACTAGACATTCGGCGATGTTCATTGTCGGTCATATTCGGTGATATTGGTCTGTCGGCAATAGACACGCAACCCCGCATGCGGATGCCTAGGTAAGAAGAATAGGGTTATGATTTATAAGATTATATGGTAGTATCTTCATCTTATGAACTGAATTTATGATCTTGCCATATTGGCATCCCTTTCATACCTTTGTCAAAATGTGTCAATCACCATCAACGGTAGATACAGGCTTTATCCTCGTGCCAACCTTGCTCGAAAATCCAGCAACCTCTGATCGAGTCTTTCAGCGTATTTTGGAATGTGAGTGCTCCATCTACCGTTGCACTCATTACTAACTCTCTCAGGGCATCTTCCGCAGGATCAACTTTCGAAGATTGTCCCCAACTTGACCAGATTCGGGTCTGATGCAATCTCCAAGGAGATGAATTCGCATATTGGAAACGCCGAAATGCAGGAACCATACATTAAAATGCGTAATGTGTGGGGGGCTCGATATGATGTGGATCGCTTGGTGACGAGCACCGGTTGGAAGGAGCTGGGGAAATGGGGAATTAAGCAAGGGCGAGTCCTATTACGATTATTTACCCCTTTCAAGACTTGAGCTGAAGTGAACTCCCATAGTGTTGTGGGTCTTGGATATGAGGAAGAATTCGGATCGCATCGTCGAATTGTTCAGCACGCATTGTGAGTGTTATAGGACTTGGGATGTGTTGATGTGTGTGCTTGCTCACGGTTCAGCAACTATATCTTCTCTGCATCATCTGCTGCATATTCATGCCCTGTTTCCATGACATCTGGTGCAGCACGATTGGTTCGAAGTCAGCTAGCTAGCGTGCCTGTAGACCATCCATTCCACGAGCTCTATGCACGTCTCATTGCCCGCGAGAACAACTGGATTTCAGCCCAATGGATGACCGAGCGACCAGGAGGGAGCGATGTACGCAACAGCGAGACCATCGCGATATATTCACCCCCCACAACTAAAAGTGGTCGGTTTGGCAGTATAGCAGAGGGTGACTATCTGCTATCGGGCTTCAAATTCTTTTGCAGTGCCACAGATTGCAATATCGTTTTGCTGCTTGCCAAAACAGAGTCAGGCGAACTGTCGCTATTCGTGGCTCCGACTGTGAAGATGATCGTCGATACCGACGGAACGACCAGGGAGGTTTCCAATGGAATCCGTATTCACCGACTGAAGAAAAAGATGGGGACCAAGGAACTCCCCACCGCAGAAGTTGAACTTCAAAATGTGCGCGCGCACATGATGGGCCCGAAAGATCGTGGCATCGCAACGATTGCTCTTCTGCTGAACGTTACGCGTACACACAATTTTGTCACCGCGCTATCCTGCCTACGACGTGCACTGGACATCGCGAAATCATTTGCCCGCGCTCGAACTACTATCGACCAGCCGCTGTGGACGTTCCCGATGCATTTGAATGTTTTGGCTCAGTTGGAGGTTAAGCACCGTGGATGGATGCAGCTCGCTTTCTTCACTTCGTCCCTTCTTAGCTACGTGGACAATGGTTTTCCTAGAGAAGCACCGGGAATATTATCCGTCTTGGGAGAATCTCCTGAAACTGCAATTGTTGTACTGCGCGCGTTCACATCAACTGCGAAGGCCGTTATCTGCAAATCTTCCACCTTGGCCTTTCAAGAATGCCAGGAAGCGATGGGAGGAGTTGGCTATATTGGTGAGCTCAACTTCATGCACAAATGTTTCATTACCTAATACTTTAAACTCTTTTTTAGACGAGCCCGAGGAGCCCGAATTCAACGTTAGTAGACTGTGGCGTGACACCGCGAGCAATAGTGTCTGGGAAGGAACCACCAATGTACTCGCCAGTGAAACTGTTCGACACCTGACAAAAGGTAATAACCTGAACTTGTTCGATAATTGGATTATCAGCTCCATTGATCAAGTTTGCGACAATGTATTCCACACAACTCTATCGAACGTTTGGAATCAGCTCAGGGCAAAACTGGCTGCCGGTCAAAGTGATTACGGATTGCCAGCTGTGCTCGGTGTTGGCCGCCAAATAATATTCACCCTTGCATGGCTGGTATGTGGCATATTGCTCGCGTTAGATGCTCAGCGGGACGATGATGAAGTTGCTCGTGAAGTCGCCCGGAGGTGGGTGATTGATGGACAGGGCGTGCCTGGAGAGTTCGCTTTTACACATCTGATTTATCAACGTTCGACCTCGGGCTTGGATAGAAGACCTACCGATAAGGAGCATACGGAGTGGGACTGTCGTGTAGTTTGGGGCATTGAGCTTCCCGCCGATGCCTCTATGGGATATCGATTGTCCAAGATTTGAATGCAACTCGGAAGGGCAACATCGTGTATCAAGAATTCTTTTCTTTATGGGATTTTCATCTTTCTTGAAAATAGCGGTTCTTGGAAAACTTCGGTCTCAATTATCTGCCTCACAGTAGGCCTAACCTATCAAATTTTTACAGTCCTAGGCTTCGAGTTCATGTCCAAAATATTTCTCCTCTGAGTACAAACACTGGAATCATCAGTTAGAACGCTAAACATCCTGTGAATTTTCTCTTTCTAAATATGAGTATGATGTTGAGACATGATAGGAATATCACTTCTTTAATTGAAATACAGTACTCAAAGCTTCGAAGCCGTCTTTTGTAAGGAGCGATGACCAAGTGCACGGTGTGCTGGTAGCTCCACCCCCCACGCAATCCTGCAGTCCCATTCAAGGTGCTCATCACCATTAGGAGTAACACCTTGAGCCATAACGATATCATGAAACACCATATCACCAACCCCACCCTCAGCACTAAGGATCCAGCGCCGAGCAATCTCCATACTTACTGGATTATGATCACGTTCACTGTCCAAAGCCAAGAGTGTGCCGCACAATACCCAGGCCAGAGTAAACATGTAGCGACGAGCATCTGACAGAATGAAAGTGGGAGACTGATCCTCGGTGCTGAATCGCTCTCTCAAGGCAGACCACGCAGTACTCAATTTTTCGCGTAAATTCACAGCCTGAATTAAGGCCAGAGTACGATCAAGCCACACAGTTAAAACACCCAAGTTGTCGGCCTTCAGCAAAAACCGAGCCACTTCGCTCGCCAGCACATTTGTCGTCCCCTCCCAAATGGAGTTCACTGAGGTATTGCGCAAGATCCGTGATATGTTGAATTCAGGCTCATCGGGCTCATCCATGTATCCCACACCACCCATAGCTTCTTGGCATTCCTGAATGCCTGCAACAGCCATTTTGCTAACTACTGCTTTAGTAGTGGCTGTAAGCGTACGGAAGACAACGTTTGCCTCCTTGCCAGGGTGGGGTAGATGAGAAAGTTCAGACGGTTTGGATTGTTGGTTCTCAACCATGTCCATGATCGCAATGGTAAAGAAGGCGAGATTCATGCCACTGCGGTGCTTCACCTCCAGATCTGCCAGAAGCCGTAGGTGCATAGGGATCAACCACAGAGGTTCACCGACCGTAGATCTGGCTCGGGCAAAACTCTTGGTAATGCTAATAGCGCGGCGCCAGCCAGAGAGGGAACCAACAAAGGTATGGATGCGCGTAACGTTAAGAAGAGGGGCAATAGTGACAATTCCCTGGTCCAACTCGCCAACGAGATGGGCGCGCATATCTTTCAATTCAAGCTCGGCAGTCGGTAGCTCTTTCGTTCCTAATTTGTTCTTCAAGCGATGAATTCTCACTCCGTTGGAGATCTGTCGAGGTGTCCCGTCATGGTCAACGACTGTTCGTCGAAGCGGAGCCAAAAAAGTGCTCAACTTGCCTGATGGGGACTTGGCAAGCAAAAGGGCCACATTGGCATCGGTGGCAGAGGAGAAGAATTTGAACCCGCTAATTAAAAAGTCTCCATCTCCGAGGGGATCCGAGACCGAAGACTTTGGTAGCGGAGAGTATGTAGCCCAGGTTTCAGTATTCTGGACATCGCTGCCACCAGCCCTCTCTGTCATCCATTGACCCGAGGTCCAGTGGTCTTCATCCTCTGAGATTAGGCCCTTGAATACTGCATGGAATGGGTGTGCCGATGGCAATCCGCCGATCTTTGAAGAAAGGATGAAAGCAGCCCCGTCCGTCATGCTGATGGGACAGGAGTAAAGTCCCGACGATGGCGCGTAGAGATAGTTCCTGTAGACGGTCAGAAGACTAAGACCTTGCTTTGTATTAGACATCAATCCTTACAGTGCATATTGAACTGTTCTTCTGTGCATCCCCAGGGCAGGGTCATATCCTGCTGAAACAACTTTGCGCCTAGCTCCCCAGTGTCCGAGTTGCTTCCAACCCTCAGTCGTGATAAGGCGGTCATAGTCATATCGCTTGCCCCAGACGTTGTGACTTTTCACGTAAGGTTGATTTCGCTCCGCATCTGCAGTCCACTCTCGGACTTGCTCGGACACCGCTTCACCACCGAGCTGGGTAAATTTTGGTTCTACTGACTGCAATATCGCAGATGGAACATACCCTGTGGTGTTGTCAGAAAATATAAAGCCCATAAACTAGAGGTAGACTTACATTCCAACGCCCGCTTTAGACTAGGGTCTGACGCATAAGTGTTTTCTAGTGGAGCCGGCTCCGTGATATATCCATTATCTGCCGTCGCCGGCTGAGGCGGGGACTGTGACATATTCTGTTGAGTGAAATTCAGAGTTGTTAGGTGTAGAGATTAATCTGGGGTAAGATCGATATGACAGGAGATGAGGGGCGTTGCGAAACCTTGTTCCCCCATGGACCTCGGCTGCGCTGTTTCCCGTGAAACCACCGAGAACGAGGATGTTAGCTACCCTGGAATCCCCGAGGTCGAGGTCAGACTGATGATAACCCATCGCTTCGTTAACAAATCCATACTATCGGACTCACCTTAAAGCTATAGGGAACATGAGATAGAGTTGTGTTGTAAATAATTATGTTGTTTGATTTTCGACCTGTCATTTTGGGTATTATATAATGACAACACTGTGTACATCCCCGTTTCACATATCATGCAAAGTGTTGTATCCAGTTTCAATCAGGCTTCGTGGGCCACGAGAGTCAGAGCAGATGTTCCAGTAGAACAAACCTCCCAGTTTCGTCGTTGTCACCAGTTGTGCCTTTTGCTGGACCGTTGCGGGGACGTCATACGTGACAAATCCACCATCTCCACCCACGCAATACGCAGCCCCGGCTTGGTTGTCCAGAACCTCCTGAGATCCGGGGCGAGGAAGATCACGATAATCAAATACACCATCTTCTCCGCCACAGCCAGTATACCCCTGGCCCGGTCCATTGCTTCCAAGAAATGAGCGCCCGTATGTTGGTATGCCAAGAATGAGCTTTCGTGAGGGAACTCCTTGTGACAAGACATAAGAGACTGCCAGGTAACACGAAGTGGGCGTGCCATAGAGCTGGGCTTGATGACCAGTCTCGGCGATCCAAGGTCCAGAGAAATCATAAGCCATGAGGTTGATCATGTCAAGGTGCTTTTCAGCCTCGAACAAGTCGATATTTTGAAGTGCCCACTGTCCTGCTGGGAGACAAGTGGCCAGAACGTATCGAGGAGCGGGCAAGACCTGTCGCAGGCGAGCGAGAAGGCGAACATAGTCTTTACCCTGCTTGGAGTCGGCGGGGTGTTCCCAATCAACTAGATAATCGAATCCAGGCGTTAGCTCCCCAATGCGAAGGCTCATCTACAAGCAGGTCGTAGCAGAGGAGCTGAAAACATCAACTCACCATCAATGCCATCTAGTCCGTACTCATCCACCAACTCACGGGCTGTGCGCACAAAGGTGTCCACCTTAGAACGACTGTGGGCAACTGCAGCGAAGTTTTCGCTACCCTTTCCACCACCGCCGATAGACAGAATAACTCTCATTTGGGAGTATTGTTGTTTTAATTGAACGAATGCTCGTAAGCAGCCCTCTGTGCCGTCCACCGGCATCTGGGTATCAGCCCACTCATCGCTCAGCTATCTCCGCTTTCTCGTTAGCGTCAAACCAAATCAAAGCAGAACACAGTTGAAGCCCAGGCAGCTTCTACTGGTGATATGACATACATAGACCGTGCCATCGTCTTTCACCCTGCAAGGGTACCAGATCGAGATTAGCGTATCGTTTATCTTTACGTCTTATCGATAATGATTGGCTGATCACATACCAAGCAAAAGCGTAGAAAACGTGCGAAATAAAGCCCAATCTCAAGGACGAGGGAGGTTGCTTTCGGTAAATCCGCCAATTTGGGTAGTATGCAGCATTTGTGTACAAGGGCACCTCGTACGTGCTGGAAGAATCAGAAATGGCGGGGTCAGCCCCAGTCACGGGCCGCCGGCGAAAGAAGTTGGTAGCAGCGGAGAACATCGTCTCCTTTCCAACCTAGGGTCATGCAAATCTGAAAAGAAGAAGACCAGTCAAGAACAAACGAGAAATGAAAGAGAACAGAGACAAGGTCGAGCCGGGTCCATTGAAGTAATAAAAAGGCCAGGAAACTTCGCTGCCCTGTGTGTTGCCTGTTCGGGAAGGGGTCACGTGGAGAGTTGTTGGTTATGCAACTCGCACGATTGGATCACTGGTTCTCAGCAAGTTTGAAATTGAGATTCGCACTGCACGTAACTTAAGAGTGGAGGCTCCCTGATTTTCCCCACCATGTATTCAGTCGATCCGCATCACCTGGATGCAAAGAGACTCATGGTGCGGGGGTTGGGCTAGTGCAGGCCAGAGAACTCTCTCATTAGCAGGTTAAGGATCTCCATAGCAGGAACCAATCGATAGACACTAGGACCAAGGCGAATCTGGCAAGTGCTCACTCGAGATCTCACACTCGGTGTACCCCCCTACTGGTGCTCTTACTAGACCGGTTCTAGATGGCCCTGTCCACATATGACGTGCGGTGAGATTCATCTTCCCTGTCAGCGTGATCAGGCGACCTCCAATTTGTCGGGCACGTGGATCCAGTATAAGAGATTTTGCGGATCAGGGCGCTAGATCTGCACTATTCATTCTCCATTTCCCCTGGGCTGAGAAAGACAACGCGGAATCGCGGATACTGCGTCAATATCGTGGAAGATGCCCTTTATGGATTCCGTGATCGGGGCTTTCTAACAGTGAGGTGGGACCTAGACCGTGAACGCCACGGTAGTCCGACGATGTTTGCTTTTTCCATTTTTTTTTTTCCAACTCGGATCGCGTGCAGTGGAAAATGATTGGTCAAGACTGTCTAGGATGAGGCGGTGCTCCGGGGAATGCGCCAGCCCCTGCTTCCCCGCGAAATGTTTCATGCAAGTGACATGTCACCTGAAAGGCAACAAATCGACTGCGAACAATTGTAAGCATGCCTATGCTGACACGAAGCGCCCCCCTATCTTTTCTGCTTTAACATCAGCATTCATGATTAGTATCTACTTTGAATGCCTAGGCCTCCAAAATATAAGGCCAGCCCCTCCTTTTCTCCATGTGCGACCGCCCATTTCCTTGTACAATCGAACAGATGCTCCCTTGAGACCTACGGCTTTGGCTATGCAAATTAATCACTATAGAGGGAGTACTTTCTTGTACGTGGCCACACTCAACCCTGTAATCTACACCAACGAATATATGTAGACATACGAGTTCACCAGCCGCAGGTGATACCCCAGCCTAGCCAACTATAATCTTGTACACAATCCAGCAGCTGACGTGCAGGCAAACCAGCTGGAAGTGGCAGCATATGAAGACCCTCAAACAAAAAGTATGCTTAGTATTGGCCACCGGCATGTTAAAATATCATTGGAAGTCCTGCTACCTCTGCATCTTTCTAAACTAGAGATAACAGATTAACAGCAGCAATTGTGTCATTATAACGCCGAACCATGCCCGGGTACGCAGACTTTACGGTTCCTGCAACAGACTGCTTCTTCCTTGTCTAATGGATCTTTCTCCAGGGCTGCTTAGAAGGCTGCTGAAGATCCTCATCGCAGTCCCTCTCTCGATTCTCTCTTCATTCGATACCGAAGTGATATCAAATCGCTTCCATGGTTCAGCCAGGACATGTCTCTGAATGATATGAGACTCTCAGGTGCAATGATTCAGAGTCTAGATTGTTTTATTGATGCAATTTCCGAAGCTGTGCTGATCGCACAAGCGTCATCGTGACGTTCCCCTCTCTCCTGGTCATTCTTTATGCTTTGCAAAGATTTGATCTACGTATCTTGCGACGAGTTCGTTACTTGGATCTTGAGGCCAAGTCGCCCCTTTTTCTCCAGCATCCTTGAGACACTCTATAAAATTGCTACAATCGGAGCATTTGGCTGGCAGGGAACTTTCCGTCAGGGTCGATGAAAAGCGTATCGACGAGTCGCAAAACCGTGTTATCTGATGTACTCCATCCAATGCTGACTTAGTCTTGTTATTAGCCTCTTGGCTATGGGGATCGTTGTGATCCTTGTAACTTTGGCTGTTGAACTACGGAGCACATCTGGTGGCCCTCTTGGCGTTGCACTAAACAACGTCTCTGCAACTAGCGCTAATTTGGCATATGTCATTCAAGCCTGGACGTCCCTTGGAAAAATCAATATGGACATTGGCTCAATTGAAAGGCTTTGAATCAGAAACACCGTCTGAGCACCGCGTGTTCTATTTCTCACGTTGTCTGGCCATCTGCATCAATGATCAAATCTATTGATATCACAATGAGCTATGGGTAGGTTGAATTGACTGCCTCTTGATTGTCCTGTATATTCATTGCTTGGATATATATGTATGCTAATATAGTGATGAGGATCAGTGCAAAGTCCGTGATACATGACATCAACCTCAAATTTCCTCTGGAGCTGAGATAGGCATATGTGGACGTCCAGCCTAGTAATTTCGGCCCCAACTTTGTCCTTGCCCAAATCATAATCGTTTGATAAAATAAAGAAACAGAGAATGGGTACTGTATTCTGCCCACGGGTGTCGAGCGATTATATAGTGGGAAAGACTTCCTCATCTTAGGTCTGCTACGACTGAACGAGATAGCAAAAGGAAGGATATTGATCGACAACATCGACATCAGTCCAGTTCCGAGAGAGATCATTCGACGTCAGGTAGTCGCATTATCACAGGACCCACTGCCCAGGTGGTCTTGTTGGGGCTAATTTGCTTAAATCTCGATCCATTGCAAAATCATACTGACAAGGCCTTTACTTTTGTGCTTTCTGACGTGGGAATGCTGACATGGTTGCTGTTTCAAGGATCAAGCCTGGATTGCCTTACCAAGAAGAAGACAATTTCGTCTGGTCAGCAGCAACTCATCGCGTTTGCGCGAGTCTTGTTGAATCCATCTCCTATGCTGCTGCTTGACAAAATTACTTCCATGGTGTGTAGGCGGAGGCGACAATCATGGATTTGATCCGAGACTTTCCGAGACAGTACTGTCGTCGCAGTGGCCCATGGACTCAACACGATCGTTGATTTTGATCTGGTTTTTTTTTTCTTTCGTGGATCACGGGCCTGATTTCGAATCCGGGAAACTCATTGAGCTTCTTCAGTATCCAGAAAGCTCTTACAAAGCTTTACGGATGAAACAGCTACAGGAAATACATGCGGAAGAGCTTTCACGGAGTATTGGCTAATTCGAGCCGCATTTTGTCAATAATAACAAGTCATCACGTATTTCGCACCTAAAAGCAATCTTGGAATACGGTAGGTATTTAGCAATATCTAGAACCAAATAGTGAAGCACGTTTTCTAATGACACAATTGGTTCTACAAGACCGATCTGTTGGTTTCTTTGTCTATTTGCAGTGCTGATATAGCTGCCACAGCCATCGATTGCACACACTCCAGCTAAGAGATCAGGTAAGTGTCGGAATAGGTAAAATCACTCAATGTATTCCCATAAAGCATAGTGGCGGTTACATGGTTACGTTAGATAAATGGAACCTGCGGGAAATGTGGATCATTACTAAGCGGGAATCAGCGCAACAGCTTGGAGTCTTTTGACATATAGGCTTCTTCCCCACACAAGTCTTCGTGAAGCTGCCACTACTGCCCAAATTGCTATAGCACCTGTTACGAGCACACAACTACTCTCTAACAGCTTATTTTGGCGCTGTTCACTCAGTCAAATTCACCATGACAGCCGACGTGCGCAGCGCCGCCGCAGGCATTCTATCCGCGGAGCCTACGCGTGACCCAAGCTACGATGACTTTTCCTTCACCCCCTTCCTACGAAAAAGCTTTGGATTTGGCCTTGCTAGCGACGTGCCTGTCTGCAAGGCATACGGTGAGGGACATTGCCCGCTGGGCCCAGCCTGCCCAGACCGACATCCGACCCCTTCTCGCGTCACTACGTCCACTACCACCGCCTCCGGCCTGGCCCCGTCTACGACCCACGGGTCTTTGGTGTGCAAACATTTTCTCAAGGGTCTCTGCAAGAAGGGCGTGAAGTGCGAGTATCTGCACGAGTACAATCTTCGTCGTATGCCCGAATGTCAATCCTTCTCACGGTCCGGTTACTGTCCCAACGGTGATGATTGTTTATACCAGCACGTTCGGGAGGAAGCCCGACTTCCGCCTTGTGAACACTATGATCGAGGATTTTGCGAGCTTGGACCTCTTTGCGCCAAGCGCCACGTTCGACGTCGTCTCTGCCTATTCTACCTGGCCGGATTTTGCCCAGAAGGCAAAGCATGTCCAGATGCGCATCCTCGGTGGCCGGAAAATCTGCCTCGTCCTACGATTCGAACGGAAAAAACGGAAGAAGAACTCGAGCATGAGCGAACACTCATTCGGGAAGAGCAGGAGCGTGAGAAAGAAAGAGAGCGCGAATGGCGTAGTGAACGTGGACGTGGCGGTGGATTCATGCGAGGGCGGTATCGCGGACGAGGTAGGGGCTGACGCTGGGGTCAAAAACAAGCCACATTCTGCGGGCTTACAATGTTGCATTTGCATGGTGTGAGGGTCATTTTATTTCAATTTTTTCGTTTTGTTGCCATCTTCGATTGTTTCGTTTCAGTGTTAGCAGTCCTGAAGATCTGGACTGATTTCAAGTGTACTAAAGATACCCCCGGTTATATAATGGCAGATCTTCGGACCAACGTTCTAACTTAATCTGATTGTAGGACCCTGTAGTTTAGCGTGCATGGCCCACTAGAGATGATTGGTCAGTCCCTGTATGTCCGTTCTCAGGTCGTATCGCCCTCCATAGTATTAACTTGGCGTTCTCGAAATTCAAAAAAAAAAAAAAAAAAAATTATCCGCATCATGGAGAGGGGACTCCATGACATCATGGAAAGGTATTTCTAGAAAAGAGAGCGAAACTTCGACCCTCATGGAGTTGATCAGCAGAGAACCACGCAAAGTCTGCAAGTTTGCGGATTCCGCGCTGATTCAACAATGCATAATCAACCTCATCGAGATTGATTATTGTGCCATTTGTCAGAAATCGGTCAGACTCGACAAAAGCCCGTAATGCCGAGTGGGGCTGGATTGACCAATGATCGTCGTCTTTGCTCTGTCATCTATGACTGATCGGGTTGTGAGTAGCTTTGCTTTACTGCTAATTGGTACCTCTTCCGCCATAGTGTATTTTATGGCGCAGAAGGTACCGCTGGGGCTTCCCTTGGACGCGGGGTTGCTCATATAAAGCTTTCCTATCCCCCCCCCCTTCATTTTCATTTTCCATCCATACCTTCTCCCATTAATTCTCAGTGTTCTCAACAAACATACTTCACAATGGCTCCCAAAATCGCTATCGTCTTCGTACGTCCCCCGAATGCTTCAATGGCTTTCTCCGGACCAAACTTACTGACCCCACCTCCGAACAGTACTCCCTCTATGGCCACATCCAGAAGCTGGCCGAGGCTGAGCAGAAGGGTATTGAGGCCGCTGGTGGCAAGGCCGACATCTACCAGTATGCGATAGTCTGACGAGCACAATTTCCCTCTGTTGCCCACTAATCAATCGCTTTCTAGGATCGGTGAGACTCTCTCCGAGGAGATTCTGACCAAGATGCACGCCCCTGCCAAGTCCAGCTACCCCGTTTGCGAGCCCAACGACCTTTTGCAATACGATGCCGTTCTGTTCGGTATCCCTACTCGCTACGGTAACTTCCCTGCTCAGTGGAAGACCTTCTGGGATGCCACTGGTTCCATCTGGGCCACTGGTGGTTACTGGGGCAAGTACGCTGGTCTTTTCATTTCCACCGGTACTCTCGGTGGTGGCCAGGAGTCGACTGCCATCTCCACCATGAGCACCCTGACTCACCACGGTTTCGTCTACGTTCCCCTGGGCTACAAGCACACCTTTGCCCAGCTGGCTAACCTGGAGGAGATCCACGGTGGAAGCCCCTGGGGTGCTGGTACCTTCGCTGTAAGCATTCTTTATACATTGATTTTCTCTTGCCCCAGAACACACGGCTAACGACTTGTTTTAGGGTGCCGACGGTTCCCGCCAGCCCACTGCTCTCGAGCTGTCCATTGCCGAGGCTCAGGGCAAGGCCTTCTACGAGACTGTTGCCAAGGCCCACCAGTGACTGCATGGTAGTGGCGAGTCGAAGCCCGAGACCTCGACCCCTGCTGCGGGGGATGCTGCGAAGAAGACTGCGCAGCCCTCCCAGGGGCAGCAGGGCACCCAGCCTGCAGTGAAAGAAAAGAGCAATGAAGGACCATGTGGATTGCCCAAGAAATGCAATGTCATGTAATTGGAGACTTGGTTCCTTTCTGTATTCCTTTCTTTCTCTGTCGTTTCTGGGGGGCGTTTTAAAGGGCGTTTCATATTATGATAATGACATGGATCTATGACACTTCTTTTTCTGAAGAAATGTCTAGCTTTAGAAGAACATTTGTTCGTCACATTGAACTTCCACGCGGAAATATGAGTAGTTCTTTTGTGTATGCCTATTCAGTCTGTAAAATTTCATTTCATCCAATTCTTGTACTCTTCTAGCTTTCATGTTCTTGAATGTCACAGTAAGTACGTCGTAGGCATTAGAGAATATAGATAACATTGTTCATTTAATTCATTCACAACATAAATGTTGATATTGTAATCGTATTACGAATGTTACTAGCATGTTCTGCCATTTTGTGCGGGGATTATGGTTCTCTGATAACCGTACCGCCTGCGGGCTGTGACGTGACATGCAGGACAAGCTCCAAGAACAGCTAAGCTGGACCTGCTTCCCACAACTTTCTTCAACCTACTACTCTCCTTCAACGCGTCTCCATCCTTTTATTCTTCATTACTCACTTCGATAAGACATGCCTACCCAACCAATCCTTTTACGATTTGAAAGTCGAAACGGCCAGTTTCGAATCACCGCTAGGCCGGACGACCTCTTTCCCACTCTGCAACAAAAGGTGCCATACCCTTTTTCTCTTTGTAGATACGGATACTAACCAGATTGCTGTCAATTCAGATTCTTGAGCATCTTCCGTCAGAAATAGACCCAACATCTATCTCCCTCTCCAATAAGCCGATAGGTACTGGTGGGGAAGAACGACAACTTCAGGCCCTGGACGGCGTTCCGATCGGTCAAGTTGGCCTTAAGTAAGTGGCGATAACTTATTCAAAGGTCTGAATATAGCCCACTTACATATATGACCGTGTCTAGACATGGCGATAAGCTTTTTGTTGGATATCAAGACCGCGCTACATCGCAAAATGGCCCCTCCAACGGACACACGTCAACACCAACTGAACGTCGACTAAATGGCACCTCGGTTCCCCAAGAGCAAACCATCCCGATTCGCGCACAGCCCACCTCATCAAATGTCAATATCAAGAACCCCTGGGACGTTGTCAAGCAGTCACCGCTGGACAACTTACTGGATAAGAAGGATGGCAAGATTAAACGAAGTCAGGACCTCCGGATGTGCAAACATGGTCCTCGGGGAATGTGTGACTACTGCATGCCTATAGAGCCATATGATGCAAATTATCTGGCAGAGAAGAAGATAAAACATCTCTCGTTCCACTCATACCTGCGCAAAATCAACGCCGCTACCAACAAACCCGAAGCTGGAAGTTCATTCATGCCCCCACTCAGCGAGCCCTTTTACCGGGTGCGACACGACTGTCCATCGGGACACGCTGCATGGCCTGAAGGAATTTGCAGCAAGTGCCAGCCCAGCGCGATCAGCTTACAACCCCAGGAATTCCGTATGGTTGACCACGTTGAATTCTCGACCCCCGACTTGATCAACTCGTTGCTGGATTTCTGGCGTGAATCTGGAGCTCAGCGGCTAGGATTTCTTTATGGAACATACGAAGAATATGAGGAAGTGCCACTGGGCGTCAAAGCGGTCGTGCAAGCAATCTATGAGCCACCGCAGGTGGGTGAGGTAGACGGTGTCACTCTTCATGATTGGCATAATGAGAAGGAAGTGGACGAAGTGGCTCGTATGTGTGGCCTGCAGAAAGTCGGTGTTATTTTCACAGATCTCCTTGACGCCGGACAAGGGGACGGTTCTGTGGTGTGTAAGCGACACATTGACTCTTACTATCTCTCCTCCCTGGAGATCGCGTTTGCTTCGCGCCTACAGGCTCAAAACCCCAAAGCAACCAAATGGAGTCGCTCGGGCCGCTTTGGCTCCGACTTCGTGACCTGCGTGCTAACTGGTGATGAGACTGGAGCAATTGCTGTGAGCTCGTACCAGGCCAGTGTTTCAGCAGTGGAGATGGTGCGAGCCAACATTGTCGAACCTTCGGCAGATCCCTCTGTGATGCTAGTCCAGTCGGAGGAAGACGAAGATGTTGGCAGCAAGACACGTTATATCCCAGAAGTCTTTTTCCGTCGCATCAACGAGTATGGTGCAAGTGTACAGGAAAACGCCAAACCCAGTTTTCCTGTTGAGTTCCTTTTAGTGACACTCACCCATGGTTTCCCTACCGAATCCACACCCGTTTTCACGAATAGCCGCTTTCCCATCGCGAACCGCGAAATCATCGGACAGAGCCAGGAGTTGCGACATGTGGCTGAGAAGCTCATGTCCCATGGAGATCCCGACAAAGCGATCCAGGGCATATCGGATTTCCATATCCTGTGCTTCCTCCACGGGCTATCTACATTTAATAAGGTCAGTTTCATATCAGGAAGATTCACGATAAGTACTAAACGCCTCCGGGATAACAGGACGAAGAAAGCCTTCTCTGCCGAGTTGCCACGACCCACTCCCCTGCCGATGGAATGCAGCTGCTGAATACCCCCGGGTGGGCAACCTTGATGACAATTCTTCAAGAGAGTGGTGAGCGGCCCCCCAAGCGCCCCTGGCCCACGGCGGTCGACCTCAAACGGCGGCCCCTCTCGTCCGCCGTTGATTCCCCTCGCTCCATGTCCCCCAAGTCCGACGGTGAACAGCTTGCTAAAAGGTTCAAGGGAACTAGGCTAGAATAACTGATTTTTTCATCTTCGCTATTCGGTCTCTTTACTATACCACCCTTGCTCGATTACGGCTCGTCCCGTCCACCAGGGGACTTCCGGCCACCAAGGCCGAAATTTGCGAAACGAAGCAAGCTTGCAGAAGCCTCCTCATTCCTCCCGGATTCGATCAAGCCCCCGACTGTGCCGATGTGTATGAGAGGGGTAGAAATGTGAGAGACGGGCGGATGGTAGCGTGGTGGTATTTGCAAATCTTTACCATATCGACTGCTCCCTATGATGGAATAATAGATTGATAGCTCTAGGAGTCCATAATACCCGGGGACCTTCACCCTTTTCGGCGAAATGAGTAGCAGACCAATGCCCAAGCTTAGCACGTAGATAGTCCCAAATCTACAGACTTCAACGAGTTTGCAAACACTGCAATGATACAGCGCTGGAGGTGATCTGTTGCTATGATTCCTTAACATGCATACCTCAGGTTACAAAGCCCTTCGCCTTGGTATGATCTAGGTAGGATAGATAGAACCACTGCGACAAGATGGTCCCACCCAGAGTTGACTATGGCATCCCTTAGTCAACGGCCTTCTTTACAAAGCCCGTAGACGCCTGTTGGGATGAGGTTGACCAATACAGTACGGTGTGTGTATACCTCATAATACCACCACATACCCAACTCTTAGGTTAGGATTTCGAAATATCATCAAAAATCGTATTCCACAATCTATTATTACAAGAAATATAAGATCATCGATCATTGCGGCCCAGACAGAAAGAATGCTCAGAACACGTCATTATAAAAATCGTTTCACTCGGCCTGGGATGTCTTGCTTTCCTTCACAATATCCCGCAGTCTCTGTTCCAGAACGTTCCGCCCTTCCGCATCCGCCCATACCTCATGCGGAGCATTATGAACAACATCCCAAGATAGAAGCTTCTTCGTAATATGAGAAAGATCCTCTTGGCGCTCTGCCCACTTTGGATCACCGCGAACCTCTAGCCCTGAGCTCACCACAACCACTGGAGTGGCCCCCATTTGGATATGGCGAGCAGACTGTACCTCGGCTGCTGTCATCGAGACGGCGACAAGACTTTCTTGTAGCTTGGCTTTGATGAACTTGTCAGATTGGTAGGCAGACCGCCCGATTACCCGATCCTCGCGGGTGCGGCCACGCACCAGAGCGCCCGCCAGGCGATCAAGCCCCAGTGGAGACACAACGCCGCGAAGCCACAAGAAGAAGCCCCGACTTGACTTTCCAAGGTCATCTAAGTAGTCTTCATGCAGGGGATCGATTAGGAAAATGCCGTTCACTTCGAGAAGATGGCGACTTGCAAAAAGCCGAGAATATAGACTGCCGACCCCAGCAGAGACGACAACCCATGGGCCAGATTCATCTGCCAAAGCCAAGGCCTCAGAGAAGGCATCTACAGCCATTCCTGCCGAATGCGGCGAAGGAGCATTGTCTGACCAGCCTAGCCCTGGTCGGTCCCAATAGCAATATCGACTTATAACCCCATGACGGTATGCATCGTCAATGAACGGTTGCAATCCGTGTTCAACTGGTCCATAGTCACCCTCAAGCAAGATAGTTGGTTCATCCGCACTTTCCGTGGTGCGATTTCCCACACATGCCAGATGAACTTGGTACGTGTCACCATGGACAGAGTAACGCTGACCAGCAGGCTCAAGCGAGGCATCACGTGAACGGAGAGTCAGCGTAGCAGTGAACAAGACTGCGGCGATGGTCAAGATAGCCAGGACAACCATCTCGACCAGAACAGCCAGCCACTCTCGAAGCGAACGCCGGGTCTCTTCACGGCCGGTAAGTCTCTCTTCTTCTTCCCGTTTGCCCCAGGCCACAGCTCGGTTTTGAATGACTTGATACAGAGAGATGAACGACGCCCAGGCCACGGATGCGATACCCACCCAGCCTTCTTCAAGTCGAATCCGTGGCACGACTAGAATCACAATCATATTCACCAGAAGTAGGACGGTCAAAATGCTTCCCCATATGGTCATTGGCTTGGAAGGCACTGCAAAGAAAAGCAAGCCGAGCACCAAGTATCCCGTTGTGAGAGTAATATACGAGAATGCAAAAAAACCCGAGCCCCGAGCGTGCATCAGTGGCGGACTAACGAAGATGGACACCAACAGAAATGTCCACCATACGAAGCTGATGGCTAAGGCTAGCAGGGATACGGCACGTAAAGCACGGACGCTCCAAATATTATAAGGTGATACCTTATGTCTCACGTTAGATCTGCATACATCATGGCTTCTGATTAAAAAAAATAACTTACAGCTGGATCGTCAGGGCTCAGATAGCCCTGGCCGTTCTCTGGTGGTAACAACCTTGTGCGCTCGGTTGCTTGAGGTGTTGGATCACCCGCATTCTGGTCTTCTTCATGCTCGGGGCCTTGATGAGACTGCCCTGCACGGTTATTTTTATGTCCCCATATTGAAGCCATCTTTAATACCTGTCCGCGGTTTCGGATTTATTATGGATGAAAGATTTGACCCGCCGAAACTCCATAGTTGTAGGGGATCACCCCAACCTTATTATGACGTCATACATTCAACCTGTCCAAGTCTGAACAGGGAAACGGGCATTGGACAAAGGGTGGCTCAAGTCGTCATTCCAGCCTTTACTCTCCTCTGTCATCGCCTTGAATCCGCCGTGCTTCCTACGGTAAGAAAGCTTTCCCTTGAAAATGCTGCGCCATGGCCTTGGAGTGGGAACCTAACTTCAAGTTGCCTGTTCCTGCTACCAAGATTACTTTCCAATCTGCAGTGAGTACAATTTCCCGTGATATGGAATTGTCTCTAGGTGCATTTTGATGGTCCTCCTATCCCGGAGAATCGAGGAAACAACACCAATCAGGACTCGAAAATCAGATGACAAAAGACCGCTTGTTCGGGTGGGGATTCTTTGGAGATAGAAAATATTTGAATAGCATTCTCCCGATGTAGAGCCCTGAAGACCATTGTAAAGGTTTTGATGTATAAAATTCACGTGTAATAGTTATAACTTACGATAATTTATAGGCTATCAGTCTTCAACTGGGCCCGGTTCTTAGTCAGCATGGCCGTGCTCTCATAATGGAATGCATCGTCCGGTCTATATCCTTGTCAATATTCAAGGAAGTAGGAAGTGATACATACCCCACTGAATATTTCGTGCATTACCAACTCGACTTGAACTGCATTGTGTGGCTGAAACGTCCTACCAATAACCGAGTTCGCGTTGACTTCGTCGGGTCGCCCCCCGCACCCCCCGATGAGCGAGCTCCAGAGGTCCTTCGCCAGATCTAAATTGGCCATGTTGCCTCCAGAGGTACCAACGACAGACCCAATTGGTATACCCGAGAGCCGAGATGAGGATAACTCTTCGGCTTCCTCGTTGTCATCCACAGGCACACTGGTCCCGTCCCCAACAAGGCATCTATTCGCTCGAACAAGAAATCCGTTGGTCTACCTTTCAGCTCTGTATTTACTCTGTGTTTACTCTTTTTTTGTCTTTACTTTGTTTTTGCACGGTGCTTGGACAACTTCAATGTGTTGAGGCTTTTGGAGTTTAGAGCAAAACGTCTTGACTGGTCTGGCTAACATTGATCTCCAGACAGTCAACTCAATCACTGGATTGGACGGACTTCTTTGACCAGGAGCTATTCTTACCTCAGGAAGGAGATAAGGTTCATATCATCCATCATGTTTACCTGACTCCGCCGAGTCACTCGGGTCCACTTTTCGTGATGCATCACGGCGCAGGGTCCTCTGGCCTCTCATTCGCGACATGCGCGGGGGAGATCCGGAAAATCCTTCCGAATGCTGGAGTCCTATCCATTGATGCGAGAGGACATGGCCGTACACTGATGACCGCTAATCTCGCAGATCTTGATAATCAAAATCCTTCCATCGCTACAGCTGCCCAGGATGAAGCTGATGGTCAGATTGAGCTGGACTTGAGTCTTCAAACCTTGAGCAAGGACCTCGTTCATGCGATTCGCAAGACCCAAGAGCGAATGAAATGGGAACAACTGCCAGAGATTGTCCTTGTGGGTCACAGTCTTGGCGGTGCTGTCATTACCGATGTCGCAAAGAATGGTGAACTGGGCTCTAAAGTTTTAGCGCATGCGGTGTTGGATGTTGTTGAGGGTGAGTTTTTTGCTTGGAAAGTACGAATTCTCTGGATTTAACGGATATGTAGGCTCTGCTATGGATGCCCTCCAAAGCATGGAAAAATACCTCCTTACACGGCCAACCCGATTTCCCTCACTGGAGTCAGGAATTGAATGGCAGTACGCACCCCGTTCTCTTCAGTCTTCATGTTCGGTCTAGACGAATCACTAAATCATGCGATTTGCAGCACGCGATCCCGGACGATTCGAAACTCCGCCTCAGCTCGGGCTTCCGTCCCTTCTTTGATATATGAAGAAGGCCACCCTGCTGATCCCTCCAGGCCTTGGGTCTGGCGCACCAATCTATCCGCAACCAAACCGTTCTGGGAAAATTGGTTTATTGGCCTGAGCAAGAAGTTTCTCGACGCGCGGGGAGGAAAGCTCTTACTCCTGGCAGGGACAGATAGGCTTGATAAAGAACTCATGATCGGACAGATGCAAGGTAATTGTCTGCGCTTTTACCCTGCAGCGGAGTCCATACTTACTTGCTTGACAGGAAAATACCAACTCCAAGTCTTCCCTGAAGCAGGCCACTTTGTGCAAGAGGATCAACCGGCCAAGACGGCGCAGGTACTGGCGGACTTCTATAAACGAAATGATCGCAGTGCCCTGGTGCTGCCGCCAAAGGTAGCAGATATGCAAGCCGCCGCTGCGATGAAGAAAGGGACCGGCGCTTCCATCAATAGACAATTTAAGTAGATATCAATATGATGGCTAGTCATAATATCGCGGAATGAATAGATGATCAAGGTGGCATTGCATACTCGAGAGGCAATGAGGTCGCCTGGGCTATAGTGTTATCATGTTATTCAAGCTAGCCCTCTGGGGTCCGTTCAATATGAATGATGGAGATGAAGTGTTCTTCAAGATAGGTCTAGCAGGCAGTGTACCAATTGCATCTAGCTGTTTGACTGGCGACTAGCGAGCAGGTAATCATAATACTTGAATTTTTGTAATGGCCTAGGTAGTAGACAGTCACAGAAGCCGGAAGAGGCTGCATATCGCTCTAACTTAGGAAATAACTTGCAAGCCCTAGTTGGGATAAAGACCACATTTGAAGGTCAATCATACAGAAGTTGACAACCGTTAGGTGCCGTGGTAAGATATGCAAGAGCTTTTGAACAATAACAATAGAGAAATCTGCACCGTCGTCAACCATGAACGCCACCGAAATTTCGCAAGAGACAATGAAATATTTGGTCTCGAAAAAGGGAAAGATCAGGCAAATTAAAGAGAATATGCAGTGAAAAACCGGGGGTATTTGTGCCGAATGAAATGGGTATGTGGAACGACGAAACCGCATGGTCGATAAGATCTCGAGATGCGCATTCTAGGGAAGGTAGGCACCTCCAGCAACAACCAGGTTCATGTTGGTGAACTTGACTTTATACACTGCGGTCTTCTTGGTCGGGAAGGCGCTGATCTGATCAGGAGTCACCACGACATCCTTGCCTTTCTTCTTCTTGCTCTGAGCCGCGGTCCCCGCTGGGGCATTGCTGGGATCGATCTTGGCAGTACCAGAGCCTTCACCAGCCACCCGAGTTTGATTTGCATCTTGTGGGCCAGTCACGTCCCAAATCCGGACAGTTCCATCCGCGCCACCCGAAACCAAGACGGTTGACTCGACACTCCAGCTGAGAGACCAGATCCCACCCTTTCCGTGTCCCCGCATGCGCTTCAGCAGTCGACCAGGAGCCAGATCCCACAGGAAGATCGACCCTTGATCATCGGCAGAGGCAAGGATCTTCCCGTCGCGGCTACACTCCATGGCGGTAATGTTTCCAGTATGACCGGTAAACATGCGCACAGCGTTTCCGGTAGTGACGGCCCACATCCGGACCGTGTGATCACAGCTAGCAGTGAAGATGTATGCGGAGTTGGGGTGGAAGCATACGCGATCCACATCCTGCTCGTGGCCGACAAAGATGCGCTGCTGACGGATATGATCCGTAACCCACAGGCGGGCCGTCCGATCAGATCCACCTGAAACGAAATAGTGACCAAATGGTCCCCAGCACAGGTCCCAGACGGGTCGATCATGACCCTTGTAAACAACCATGCATTGCCATGTATCGAGAGACCAAAGTCGAATGGTCTTGTCTGCAGAAGACGAGAGTAAGAAACGGGAATTGGTAGGCACGTAGTCATCAGGATCCACGTTCTCGGCGCGTGTAGCTGCGGGTTGGAAGGCTACCGCATAGACAGGGCCAGAATGGCCAATTAAACGACGGGAGTTGGCAGGGGGCTGATCATCCATTTCAGGGTAAGCTGCTTCGATATTCTTGCCATCAAGAGTCCAGACACGAATATATGATTGTTCAAAGCCAGCAGCCACAAGAATATTATCGTCGGAGAAGTCCAGACAGTTTGCCCTGCGGATCTGTCAGTATATCATATATATCAAGTTGAGGCTAGGGGGCTCACCCATCATAAGTGTTGTGGAAAGTGAACATGCACACGCTAACACCAGGGCCCACGCCCCCAGTGCGGCCTTCAATCTTGTAGCGATCGCGGTTTTCCTTGACTTTCATGACCTCCATGCGCACGTCCCGGGCAGTTGATGGGGGGAAAGGGATATCAGCGCGGGTGGGCGCCTCGTCGTCTTCCTCCTTCTTGATCATCTGGTCGAACTCTTGAACAAGAGTATTACGCCCGGGGATAGGAGCCTCCTTGGCATCCTCGTCAGCGAGTTCCGCACGCACATCTTCTTCCAACGCTGGCTCCATCGGCATCTTTCCGAGGCGAAGTCGTGGCAGAGTACCCGCCATGGCTGGATTGTCACCAGTGTAAGCCGAGCCGGGATGATGACCGGGAATGCCCTCGTCCTCGGCAGGGAATGACTGGCCTGCTCCAATCTGGCCGAGCATCGTAGCAAAACTGAACCTATCATCGGCGGCGCGATCCATGGTCTTGACAGTGCAGAAGCTGCTCAGAATTGCGTTCATTACCGATCCTCCTTCTTTTTCCTTGCTTTCTAGGAACTGCAGAAGATTGGTGTATGCGGGGTTGCTGAGAACAACGCGATACTTGTTGGTGCGATAGAGCTTGGCGACTGAGTTAGCCTGAACATGCTCTGGGAGACTGATGGGTTCAAAGACACGGATGTCATCCGTATGTTCTGGCAAGAACATGTTCTTGTTTGTCTCGAAGAATTGCTTCGCGTCTTGTGGGTAGAATGAGGTGATCATGTTCAGAAAGGAGTAAACAAAGAGTGGCCACAGCACCCGACGGAGTTCCGGCTACATTGCTGTCAGTGGGATCTTAATGAGAGGACTCGAATGTTACTAACCTTGTACAGATCGAGGTTTTCCTCAACCCATGTCTTCAGAAGATCTTAATTGAGCGTGAGAATGCATTCATGTAATGTAGCAGTGCTGGAGACTACTTACCAAATCCCTGCTTAAACTTAGGGCGAGCATCTTCTCCAAGAGGAGGGAGAGGACGGCCATCAATCTCTTGATTGGCCGATTCCATCCGGAGCATGGCTTCTGTACGGCTGTAGCCTTTCTTGGCTAAGTAATCGATGACCTGCATAGAATCATCCAGTCAGCTAAGCAACTCAGACGTGACAAAAACTATGAAACAGACAGTCTCGCTTCCACAGCGATTTTCAGCCAAGAAGGTGGTCAGAGTAGACTGGAATTCGTTCGGCCCCACGGTCAGATTGGCCTGCACCTTCTCGGACAGCGAGGGCTCGGCCTCAACAGCATTCTGATTGCTTGAAGCTACAGCAGAGCCTCCCTTGACCTTGGGCATGTCCGGGTGGCCTTTCTTTCGGATTTTCCGAGGCATGGCTTGGCGAGGAGACGATAAACGAATGATGGATGTGGAGGAATGGGAACGAAGACGAGAAATGGAAGACAATATCAACGGGGGATGAGAGAAACATGAAGAGAGGAACGTGAAGGTCGAAGATCTGAGCGCGTCAAACCACGAAGCCAGACAGTTCCCTAACCGGACAAGAGTGTGGCCATAAGACACACTTCATCTCTTTCGAGCCATATATGCTTCGTTTACAAACGAAGCTTCACTCCGTATAGGAAAGACCACGTTCGTCACTAGCGCAATCTCATAGAAAGCACACTGTCTGAAAGGGGCCTGATTCAATGGGATTGAAGGCCATATCCCAAAACAGATAATGCATATAGACAAAACATATGAAAATAGACATAACGAAATCAATGGGCTTCAATCGTCGCAGGGAAAAGTATCAGAAGTACTCCCACTTTCGGGCAAGGGTAGACTGCTGATTGTAATATACGAGATGTTACTCACAATTTGGTTCAAATTCTGTTGCGACATGGCACCACTCTGCGGGGGAGGTGGGCCTGGAGTCGGCGGAGGATGCACTGGTGGGCCGGACAAAGGTTGCTGGGAGTTCATGGGCATCCCACTGCCATTTGCACCAGGGCCCATACTGCCGCTGCGCGGCACAGGGCTAGGGGCGCCGCCAGGCGCAGACATGGTGGCTAATTAAGGTTGGGTACCAGTGGAAGACGGGTAGAAGAGGAGCTGTGCCTCGGACAGGATATGTATAGCTATAAATTGCGTGAACGGGATGACAAAACACGTGAAGGAGATGAAGAGGTACAACAACGGGGAGTGATTTTGATATCTCAATGGATCGTGACGCCGCATCTGGCACTATTTCACCGCCTTCCCGTGTCCCCCACGTGATGCTTCCGTCAATGGCTTCATTTGACGTGCAATCAACCGTTTACTACAACTTAGACCTTCCTGCAAATAGGCAATTACGCCCAAATTCTCAGCGGAGGTATTCAGCAAAGAATCATGGACTCAACACAGACTCATAACTTTACCTCTGCGGATCGTATCCGACAACTGAATGATATTGACCAGGTATACTCAAGCTTCCCTGAGCTCGAGGTTGGCATACTAACCAGGAGAGTTCAAGGATGTCGCAAAACTGATACACTCTGCTGGGCTTGGAATCCAAGCTCTAACGAATGCGAAGCCGGACTCGTCTTCACCTGCCCACAGCGGCTCTCTCGAATCACACAAGACCCAGTTCAAAGAAGCCACCGCACAGTACTTCGCCCTCCTATCCTCCATTGACGTGCGCCTTCGACGCCAGGTCTACGCTCTGGAAGAAGCAGCAGTGTTGGGACCTGAAACGAGCTCTCGCACAGGCGATGCGAGTGGCACAGGCGCCGGTGGCGCTGGGACTAGCGCTGGATCGGGCGCCGCCGCCAACCCTCTCGACATCAGTTGGCTAAACAGTCGGAAGGACACTGTCGGGAAAGATAAGGAGGCAGAGTTATGGGCATCGGCACGGCAGTTTGTTGAGCAATTGAACGGGCCTCCGGGTTCGCAGCGCGAAGAAAATCCCAGCGGTAATGCAGAGCAGATGCAGGTCGATTAATTCAGTGTGTATCCGTTTTTAAAGTTCGAGAAAAGAGTCGGGCTGGATTTGTGATTTATTTTGATACCCCCAATGACCAAATTATGAAGGCAGGAGAGATGATGCAACAGCATAGCAGCAATATTCGCTCCCGTTGGAAGAGCTCTTACTACATGAATATGGAACCGAGCTTAATTGATATCTGACTGCAGAGCGGGTAGATGATATTGACGAGAATAAAGCTATGCAAAGACAACAAAAATGAAATTGATAAGACGTTTGCCATGGGCTCCCAGAGCCATTCATGGTGTCGAGATTGCAAAGCAAGTTTCTATTTCTGCATAGACTTTATCATCTCCAGTTGTGTTGCGCGGTCCCGATTTGTCTCCGAAAGCGGTGCAAGGCCTAGTAGATGATCACATTAGCACAGGGTTGCAGCAATTATACAGAGGACCACTTACTCCGAAGCTCACCCACGACATCCTTGGCCTTACCAAAGTAAACCTCCTCTAATTGGTAACAGTCAAGTCAGCCAACAAACACCATTATCCTTCAAACAAAACGTACGTAGCAAGTTTCGCATCTTTAACTCCATATCCTCCACTAGTCTTCCTACATTCGCAACATGGCTGGCATCCGAGTCCACGGGTAGATCCACTTCAACCTGGCGAGTCATGTTGCCGCTCAGGTCCATCTCGCCGAGGGCCGCGCTTTCGTTAGACAGGTGGAGGATGACTGTGCTGGTCAATTTATAGTGGGACATGCGAGCCCGATCGGTGGCTTCGAAGACGTGGATACTGTCCCACGCGCCCGAGCTCTGGGAACCAGGCGTTACCCCTGGGATATGATTTCATTAGCTCCTGTCCATTTGGCAAGTGTCTCTACCGCCATCCAAGGAAGAAGATACCTTTTTTCAAGAGGATCACCCCAGCAAATCCATCATCCAGATCCCAAAAGTACACACTTCCGACACCGCCCTCGTAGTAGAGCTCCCGGTAAACATCAAAGGCGTCATTGGCAGCGACTTCCAGCTTGCGCACCCGCTCACTGGGGACAGTGCCATCCTCCAGCGGAGGGTCAAATTCATTGCTCCATGGTGACCGGTAGCTATCTCCGTCGCGGTTGTAGTCACAGAGGAGGTAGTCCCGGTTGGATTGCTTGCATTGGCGGATCTCCAAAGGCTGGTCAACAGAGGAGAGAAGATCTTCGGTGAGATCAGGCACGATCTTTGTGATAGCTTGGAGGTTGGCCTTAGTATCGCGCGGGCTCAGGCGCCGAAGGAGGTCGCTAAAAAGAAGTGGTCAGCTCGGTGCACCTGGGGCGGGGTTGCTGTTGGGGATCGAATTGCGGATCAACTCGGGGTGTCAATTGTAGATTATGAGAGGGTTTGAGGCAGATGAAAGATGATGCACATAGTACTTACAGCGCGCTGTCAAACTGTGCATCAGCCATGGTTGGGAAGGGGATGGCGGGGGGTGTTGGTCTATCGATGATGCTCGCGGATGTTGATGAGAGGAGGTGCGTGCGCCCTGTTGAGTCGGGCGTTGCAGTTAGCGATCTATATCAGGTGGGTCCACTTGAACATTCGACGTTGACGCGAGAAAACGTCTGTAGACTCCGTATGATTAAGATGAAATTATCTTGGAGCTAGGTACTGAGATCCCACTAGACACATTACAGAACCTGTGAAGATTGTCATGTTTTACTGCCGAGCCTATCTGTGCAACTGTTGCTATGCTCAGTATCATTGATATATTTTCCCCAGATCACCACTCGGGCACATGTGCAAATCAGGATGAATCTTGTTATCCAACTATTGTAATAAACCTTGATATGTAATTCCAAGCCAAATTGGTACACGTACCTAAATTATTGTGGATTTGAAACACACTTGGCCTTGTAAAGATATATACGTTAACGTTAAATGTGGCGTACCTGGACCCTTGACGTCTATAGATACACAACCCTTCATTAGTAAGATAGTGTTGGCAATGTTAATGAAAGTTGTATCACCTTTCCAAGCTCACAGTGATATCCTTGAATTCACATAATGACCCCTTGCGCGACACACTATGATTAGCTCAGTTGAGACGGATTCACTCCCCCTTGAAAAAAATCCACGCCCTTGATTCTCCAAGCAAGGTGGATGTCATAAAATCAAGCAATACAGATAGTGTGAGACAGATTAAATGAGTAATCTCTTTCTTTGGCGGGGAAATTCAATCTGAATGAATACTACAGGGATTCAATGTTGTAGCAGTAAAACACCTTAGTATTTAACGTCGCGCTGTTGACAATTCAGCTCCCTCTACCTCTTCCCTCTTCCTCTTCCTCTTCTCCATACACTCTTTACATTCCCGCAGTCGTTATCTTTTGTTTTCAACTTTTCATCTACTCAAATAATCATCGTTCTTCACGTCCCTCATTCCGACATGAAGCTGATTCTCATCGTCTTTTGTACCCTGCTGGCTCTCGTAGCTGCAGTGGACACAGATACCCAGCTCCAGTGTGCCCGCAAGTGTAAGTTTGTTTTAGTTTATCAAGTTAGCGACAGGTCTCTTCTGACCTTCCGTTCCTTAGGCGATCCCCGCGACAGCTGCTGCATCGCCAAGTGTTACCAGACGCCTTGCCCCAATGACAGTCAGGTTGAAGATACCCACAACTGTATCGCCGCCTGCCCCCAAGGCACTGGCACGCCGGCCGATACCCAGAAATTTGCCGACTGTGAGAAGCGTTGCATCGACACTCACTACATGGCTACTGCCAATGCCGCTGCTGTGACGACTTTCTCCAGCACCACTACTTCTAGCACTATTATTTCCGGCACCACTGTTTCTGGCACCACTGTCTCTACTACCACTACCTCTGGTAAACCAGCTTCTGACACCACTGTTTCTGGCAATCACACCATTCAGACTGATGCCACTACCCACTCAGACAGTACATGTACGTAAAAAACCTGTCCAGAATTTAGAAACTCAAGAAAGCTCACATTTAGTCTTGCAGCCTCCGAGGAAAGTGATTCCGCCAGTGGTTCGTCTAGCCACACGAGTGCTGCGCACACTAACGCGGCTGCCAATATCAACCTGTGTGCTTCGAGCGTCGGGATTCTTGGCATAATGCTCGCCGCCTTTGTTCTGTGAGCATTTTCAAAACAACCTTGCCTTGACTTGTTCATCTCCTAGTCCTTAGCTGTGCCCTTGTATGCGTTTGACTCTGTATTTCAGCATGTATGATACTCTTCTGTGACTACACGTAACCACAAGGACCAGCAATGAGATGTCATCAACTTAGCTTTTGTTCTAGGTTCAAAGCATAGTGAGGTGCAAGACGCGAACAAACCAAAGTGCAAGTCGGGTCGATGAACCATCTTCAAATTGTGCAGATCATACCCCACACCCCGCATAGAGCTACATGCAAGGCTGTTGGAGTTGAATATGCACCGCGTCCGCAGGGTCTATGCAGGGGATGTAGATAAGTCCTGCAGATAAGCCGTCGAGCCCACTTCACCGCCAACGCCAACGCGTAGGCTTGTTTAGGGAAAATTGACTTTCCTCTCCACATCGCCTGCGGGGACCAGGGACAATCGAACCATCGAAGGCGTCAATTCAACCCATCAAAGACCATGGCAACAACTCCCAGCATGTCGGAGACTAGCCCGCAATTTGAGAGCCTATACAACGAAATGTCCACCTTTGTGGACACTTGCATGTCGGGCCATGACCCTTCCCACAACCCGCCCCATGTTCACCGAGTGGTCAAACTGGCCGTCAAAATTCTTGATGCAGAACGCCAGCTAGACCCAGAAGTACAGTACTCCGGCGCAGTGGTGAAACTTGCTGCTCTGCTCCATGATATCGGAGATCGAAAGTATTTGCCAAACATGTCAACGGACACAGCCAAGGGAGCGTCGTTGGATCCGAAGACAATGGTCGAACATGCGCTATTGCAGCGTGGCGCACCCGCAGACCTAGCTTCTAGAGTGCAGACCATCGTCTCACATGTATCTTATTCCACAGAATGCAAGGATCCCTCTGTGATCAGGCGCCTGATCGATCAGGGGTTGGTGGAGCTGGCCATCGTACAGGATGCCGATCGATTGGACGCGATAGGGGCCATTGGCATCGGGCGATGTTTTACTTTTTTGGGTGCGCAGGGAAGGAAATTTGCTGGAGAAGGGGGCTGGATCATGGATAATGCGATTGAGCATTTCGGTGATAAGTTGATGAAGATAGAGGGCATGATGAAGACAGCAACGGGCAGGAAGATGGCTTGTGCGCGGACAGAGAGATTGAGGGTCTTTGAGGAATGGTGGACAGAGGAGATGAAGGATTCATCTTAAAAAGTAGGACACAGGGGAAAGACTTGTCTATGTTGAATATGGACCCTCGAAGGAGACCGAGTTTATATTGATGTGCATAGCTAATCCCGACCTAGAAAGAGTGATAGGCCATGGCAAAGAAACCAGAACCTGGGACCAGAACCAGAAAGTAGAGAGCAGAAAGGCACATTCCCACGTCAAACGATCACAAATCCTCCAGTCTATCAAAATGCAGTCACAATAAGTACAAGTTTGGGTATTTGGGTTTCTGTGTGAGCAAGTGTAAAATCTCAAAAAGGCCACGGAGCGAAAAGGCAGACGATCCAGATTTCGGTATCCATCTGATGCAATCTGATGACGCAACACAGGGAAAGGAAAAAAAAACATAGAAGCAGTAACTCCTTGTAGATCTCAAACGCCATAAGCGGGAAGTACAAAGTTCTAAATCATTAAAAAAAAAGGAATAAAGGAAGAGAGGAGATTGAGAAACAAAGAAATTGAGATCAGACTCGGTCTCGAGCAAAGTCCAGAACCTCACAGTCATCCTCAAAGAAGCCATCATCGGCCTTCAGGGGAGCTGATGCTTTCTTCTTTCGGCGAGTGGTAATGACTACCTCCTCGACGTGACCGGTACTGTTGGTCAAACTGATGAGATTCTCTATATCACCACCAGCACCAAATGAATGTCCATGGACAGCAGAGTCGTCTTCTTCATCGTCCGCATTGTCATCGCCGCTATTGCTGTACGATCTCACATGTACTTTAGCAGTTGGAATTTCGCCTCCAAAAACCCACTGTTCACCAGGGCCAGCCATGGTCGGATCCGCCTCAGTACCATGGGATGAATAGACATGTAGGCCAACCCGCTGATCGGTATGGAAAGGTTGATATGGTGTGTTCGTCTCAATCTCCGCTTGAGAGAGGGGCTGACAGAAAAGCCTGTTCGTGCTAGAGGGATGTGCGCTAGCAGAGGGCAAAAGAAGTGTTGCCTTGACAGCTAGCTCCGGATCGTATGATTTAAGAGGAGCTGGTCCACAGAGCGTTTGCAGACTAGCAGGTAACTTGTATTGCCTCTCTTTGCCACCAATCACAGAGTGAAACTGACGGTTCTTATGATTAGTCGGACCTCGCTTGAGGCGATACAATTTGAAATTCCCATCATCCACCAATCCCAGGTAGATTATACCCTTGTTACAGATCCAAACCACACGAGACGGAGCTGGATCTCGTGCAAGCCCTGTCAGATGAAGTCGGTTTTCCCCCACATGTCGAAGGGTGTGAACGGTACCAGTGGCCGCAGCCCCCATAGATTTGCTGAGTCCGGCTGCAACTACCTTCCCGCCTTTGATGCCAGCTGCGGTTGGCAAAGCAAATCCGCTGATGTTTGGGAACGCAGTGCCGCTAGTTGAAGGGACACGCCCTCGAACAGCTGAGAAAAAGGGTTGAGTCTTCCCTCCGACCAGTTTCATGGCTGCTGATAACGGATTTCCACCAGTCACTTGTCCCGATATCTCGTCATTCATTGGATCAATGGTCGGAGACTTTTTGAGTACAGGGCGAACTCGGCGGAAAGGAGGCCATTGAAACGCACTTCGAGGGAGGTCGAACACATGAATAGTCCCCTTACGCGTAATTATGGCTAATCGATCACCCACTGGTGCAGTCCATATCACATCGACAATGCTTGATGTGGTCAAGCGAGCGTATCGTGCTACTTGACGCACTTTCGGGCTTTGATCAGCTAGATCATCAGCCATGAACGCCATTGCTCGACAGTTCTTCAGCTGCATGAGATCCCAGACGTATTGGACATCACCCTTCTTACTAGCGGTGAATAGCATAAGTCCATTAGGTGATAGGGAGAGAAAGCTGCAGCCGTTCGGCGCCTGAAAGGTTGCCACAGGGTGTAGGGTGGCCGTCTTCAGGTCCATGCCATCATCAAAACGCTGCAGATCAATGATAGAGACTGCGTCAGGAGCAGGAGAGGCAGTCGATTGGTTATCCTGAGCATGCGTTGGTGGGAAAACTCCATATCCCGAGGCAGGAGAATCTGTGCCCCGACTCGGGCGTTGAGGAGGCGTTCCAGTGGAATTCTGGTTATTCCAGTATGTGTTCCATGCTTGCATTCCTTGATCTCCCATCCAGCGAGCCCCTTTGACAAGCTCTTGCGTGACACCTCTGGCAACCTTGTCAAGAAAGCTTTCGCCTTCGCCAATATCCGTCGCGCAATTCGCGGAGGGCATAGTAGGAGGACTGCGAGTCTCAAGTCCCTGAGCTCGGCCGTGTATCACATTTGCAGGGACTATTCCTTGAATAGATCCCCTGTACGAGGAGCATGGGGGGACAATTGCAAGCCATCTCCCTTGTAAGGCTATAATAGGACGCTCAGACAACGATGTCCGGGGCAGGTCATTATGAGAGCCATCCGGATCGGTTGAGCTAGAAGATGTGGAGTATCGCCGGCTTTCCCCAGTCTGTATATTTGTCCAGGTTTTCCCCAAGCACTGATAGGACCCCGAGGAAGTTTGCCTGTACACATAAACTTCCCCACTGACACCAGAAGCTACAATAACATGATTTCCACTAGTCATGAGCTTCAAACTACCCACAGGCGAGGGTGCCAAGGAAGGAAGACCGGGAATATTCTCCAAAGACGGTACATGTTTGCCTGCAAATAGGGTTGCAACATGATCCCCAGACCGGAGAGAATATACTTCCACTCGAGTTTGATAGAACAGAATATCCTCTCGAGGGAGACGTCTGTCACTTGAAGGGCCCCGTATCATGGACGGAGGCACTTCATTGATCTCAGAGCCCGCAGAGGAGACACGACCTTCTTCGTCATTCGGTGCCAGTGGCCCATGGACAACGACGACCACGTGAGCCTGGGAAGATGCAGGTGACTCCAATGGGGGGTGACTGGCCACGATCTTTGCCTCGAGAACCCGACCATTGAGACCAGTGATCTGCCCAATAAGCCGTGTCCGATGGTCCTCGATCGCCTGAACTTCCACTACACTATCTGTTCCTACCACCAGAACATTCAAGGCACCGCGTGATGCCTTTGACAGATTGGGAAGAGTATCAAATCCACAGAACGAGTAAGCTCCATCCGTCACGGGCCGGGTGTGGGAAGGAATGTCGATTTCGGGTGCGCCATAGAAATGGGCCTGGGGCAGGTGAGGTGGGGGCGCAAGATTACTCATTGGACTGCCATAAGACTGACTCTTGCGTCTATCCATAGACTGGTGTCGGGATTGCATATTGCTTCGGTACCCACTACTGTAGCTGAATGGTCGAAGTCGCGTCGGGGGAGATGCCGAAGAAGGTTGGCTAAAGCCACCACGTTCTTGGATAGTGGGGAAGTTGAGAGAGGATTCATGAGGAACCTCACCATCCATCAGATCCGTTGGAGGGCTTTTACCAAAGGGAACCGATTTGGCCCATGTGTCGGTGCGGCTGGTGAGATCGGTGTCGGCGGTGTCTCCTATTGACCCGAGCACGTCGAGGACGGGCGATGTCACGGTGGGTGGTACATGGTGCTCCAGAGAGGGATCTGGAAAAGAAGATGCCTCTACCGGTGGAATATCCGAGGGTTGAACCCTGAAGTAGCACGTCAGCGTTATTAAGAGGGTCAACTTAGGGGAATTGAAAGGGTCACATACACGTCGTCTGGAGGGGTCTCAGTCTCTGTCACGGCCCTGGCCGCGGCCTTAGCCTTCTTGCTATTTTTCTTCTTTTTGCCTTTACTACCACTTGACTCATGCTCTGGAATGATGCGAGTTTGATCAGGAGTAAAGGATGTTTCGTCTTCTAGCGACCGGCTCTGCTGTCGGATCAAATCGTCAGGTGCGGCCGGGGGCATTCAACTGGAGTGTGCCTCAAGGAGACACTGGACGTTTCAGAGCACAGAAAGCCGCTCTCAAGACCTGTGAGGAGGTCTGAGAACGGAGAATGACCGGTCTGTTGCCGATCGTGCAGTGAGAGACAAGCTAGAAAGGACAAAAGGAGGGATTCAGTGCTAGGTGCCGACAATTAGCGCTGTTCACAGTCATTCTGTTGTACTTTTTGGCGGCACTAGGAGGTAAAGAAATAGCGGCTTCATGCGGGATGGGACTATATCGCACTCACCTAGCCAGTTACTCTGCGTGGATGACAGCGAGTTGATCGAGGTTCGGAGGTTGTCTGGAGGAACCGAGGCGTATCTAGAGCGGAGTTCACTCTGGATACGCGGGGAAGCTGATAAGAGCGATATGTGTGGACAACGAACACAGCACTCACTGGGGATAGATCCAGTCAGTGCCCGAGGAAAGAGTTAAAACAAGTTTATAACGCGTATAATTCGATCCCAAGTTGGGTGTAGAAAGAAGAGACAAGAACGACGAAAGCGGGGGAAGTAAACGCGGTGCCTGAGTCAGAACCGTGACCAAATGACCCCTCAGCTGTTCAGCCGGGCGACCCAGGTGGCCCCCTTTCAACCATGACTATTAATTGCAACTCAAATCCAAGGTTATTGCCATTAAACTTCGGTCATGATTGACTACATCCTTATCTAAGCAATGGCCACTGTGAATCCATGGAACTCGTCATTGCCCCCGATCATAGCCGTGATACCTGAAATTCAAGGGATGGACAGCTAAAGCCGGTATGTTATGGTGGGGCATCGGGGAACTGGGGGGTCACGGGGCTCAGTGACGCGGATTTTAACCTTGGGAAGATGTTGCTGACGCTGATCATTTATGCGATCGTTCCTGTTTGACCGATCACGCCCCGGAGATAACCATGAGCGCCACATTTTGCCTCAGCTCTGTTCGTCATACCGGAAACAGACATAGGGGATCTCTCGGGGACATGGAGGAACACAAAAGTCAAAAAGGAGCAACAGTTGTTTTGATTGTTCTATTAGATTGGACGAGGCTGCAATAGCAGTGGGTGGTGATACAGAGCCCATGTGGGGCCGATAGTGGTAGATGGAGATTCCCCTGACCATTCCCAATTGTAGCTCAAGTCTTCTTCTTTGCAGCAGCCTTGGCCTTGGCGGCCTTCTTCTTGTTGCTGTTGATCATCACAATGCCTATGAAGGTGCCCACCACGGCAGAACCTAACAAGGCCAGGATAACTGGGATACGGATGGCCCAAACACGGGGAGGGAAGAGGTCGTGGAGAGGGTGCCCGGGGTCAACGAAGGGCTTTTGACATGATCAGGGTAATTAGTATGGAACAGATGCATGTTGCTTCAGGGTTAAATAAACATACCATCAACAGAGTCCATGCGGTATAGTAAAGAAAGATTGCAGTAGCAGCCAAAAGCATGGCGGAACCCACGAGTTGGCCCAGCTATGGCTCGTGGTTAGTTGATGAAATGCAAGTATGAAGCTCAGTCAAACATACCATTGTTATCAAAGGAGTGGTCGCTTGAAATGAAAGCTCAGGTTTCCAAGGGAAGAGAGTGAGAGCCCTGGAGGTGATCGCTTGTTGATGCCAGGAGCTCCACGTTAGGTCTCAATGGCGCGACTTGGCCTCCGTGCACGTGACCCAAGAGCTTTCACTTTGGGAACGATCCGAGTAAAGACAAGATCATTCAACCCCAGTTCTCTCCCCGCGAGGTCTTTCTCACCTCAACTATCCGAACTTTTTCCTCGGACATTTCTGAGGCTCTGACCATGGACGACCCCGGTGTTCTCCAGTCGGCTGTGCGAGTGCCCACTCCTCCCCCGGGCGCGTTGTCACCCAGCGCAGCTTCGCGAAAGCGTTCGCCGCCTTCGAGATCTCCCCCCCCGAACCGTCGTCGCTCTCCACCAGGGGATTTTTCCAAAGAAGATGCTGGTATCACCGGAGTCGAATCGGCACGTGCGATCGAGCGGGAGCGTCAGCTTGCTGATCGGGTCCGCGAACATGAACAGCAGGAAGCTGCCCGCAAGCCATTGACCGAGGAAGAGAAACAAGCCTCCGCAAAGGCCGAGTACGAGAAACTGCTCAACATGCGATCGGGTGGTACCTATATTCCCCCGGCGCGTCTCCGTGCACTGCAGGCCCAGATCACGGACAAGACCAGCAAGGAGTACCAGCGCATGGCATGGGAGGCCCTGAAGAAATCGATCAACGGTCTCATCAACAAGGTCAATGTGTCCAATATCAAGTACATTGTGCCGGAACTCTTTGGAGAGAATTTGGTCCGAGGTCGAGGTCTATTCTGCCGCTCTATAATGAAGGCGCAGGCGGCTAGTTTGCCCTTCACCCCCATCTACGCGGCAATGACCGCTATCGTCAATACCAAGCTGCCCCAGGTGGGAGACTTACTACTATCTCGGTTGATCATTCAATTCCGCAAAGCCTTCAAGCGAAATGACAAAGCGGTCTGTATTTCATCGACTACCTTTATCGCGCACCTCTGCAACACCCAAGTTGCACACGAGATGCTTGCTGCTCAGATCCTTCTTCTCCTCCTCCACAAGCCCACAGATGATAGCGTGGAAATCGCAGTGGGGCTGACTCGAGAAGTTGGCCATCATTTGGAAGAAATGAACCCCCCGATTGCGCTCGCCGTCTTTGACCAGTTCCGCAACATCCTCCACGAAGCCGATATCGACAAGCGAGTGCAATACATGATTGAGGTGCTCTTCCAGGTACGCAAAGACCGCTACAAAGACAACCCTGCGGTGAAGGAAGAGCTCGATTTGGTGGAAGAGGAGGATCAAATTACACATCGTCTTGGTTTGGATGATGAAATTGAATCACAAGATACCCTCAACATTTTCAAGTTTGACCCGGAGTGGGAAAAACACGAGGAAGCCTACAAGAAGCTAAAGGCGGAAATCCTTGGTGAAGACAGCGACGAGGATGAGGACGAGCAAAACGACGATGACGAGAGCTCGGAAGAGGAATCGGACGCGGAGGAACAGAAAATGGACATCAAGGACCAGAGCAACACGGACTTGGTCAATCTGCGCCGGACGATCTATTTGACCATCATGTCCAGTATCGACTTCGAAGAATGCTGTCACAAGCTGATGAAGATCAACCTTCCGGCGGGACTGGAGCCGGAACTACCCTCCATGATCATCGAGTGCTGCTCCCAAGAACGCACATTCTCCAAGTTCTACGGCCTGATTGGTGAGAGATTTGCCAAGATTAATCGACTGTGGTCGGACCTCTTTGAGGCTGCCTTCGCCAAGTACTACGACACCATTCATCGGTACGAGACAAACCGTCTTCGCAACATTGCACGATTCTTCGGACATATGATCGGCAATGACGCTATTGGGTGGCATGTTCTGTCTGTTGTTCATATGAATGAGGAGGAGACCACTTCAAGTAGTCGGATTTTCATCAAGATTCTGTTCCAAGACCTGGCGGAGCACATGGGCTTGCCGACTCTGCAGTCTCGTTTCCGCGATGAGATTTTGCGGCCAAGCTTCGAAGGCTTGTTCCCGACTGATAACCCCCGATACACTCGCTTCTCAATCAACTACTTCACTAGTATCGGCATGGGTGTTTTGACGGAGGATATGCGGGAACATCTCAAGAATGCCCCGAAACCTGCATTGCCCGCGTTACCAGCTGGTAGATCTCCATCCCGCACGCCGTCTGTTCGCTCCCACCCAGCATCATGCTCGACATGTACCCCACGCTCATCCCGATCCCCCTCTCGCTCTCGCTCCCGCTCATACTCTTATTCCCGATCTCCTTCCCGGGACCGGGGCCGCTCTTACTCTCGTTCTATTACACCATCGTCCCGTGACCGAAGCAACACACCCTCTCGGTCTCGATCCCGATCCCGATCCCCACCTCGTCGTAGCCGCCGCCATGGGTCTGACAGTCGGTCCCGGACGCCATCTGATCGTTCACGTTCCGTCTCGCGTACACCTCCTCGGCGTACGCGAGCACGCTCCGTGTCTCGTACTCCCAGTCGTAGCCCCTATAGGGCCCGGCGCTCCGTTTCTCGCTCTGTCACACCGCCGCGACGTGGACGCAGCTACTCGCGATCAGTTTCCCGTTCGGTGACGCCTAATCGAGCCCCGGCATCAAAGGCTGCTACACGGTCGTCTGTATCTGTATCATCTCGCCGAGTACGAGACCAATCTTCTCACGTGGCATCGCACACTTCCACCAGACGTAGAGATGATTCGCGCCCCAGACAAAACTGTTCCCAGACTCCCCCCCCGACGCCGCTAAGTGATGGATCAGCAAGATGGGGGTTGGAATCCATCTACCCACACAGGGAGCAAAAGAACTCAATGTTAATTCACGATTTTTCGCAATTGGTGGTTTAGATAATTGGGCTGGAGAGGTCTAGACTACATGAAAAACTCATAACGGCTGTATTTTATCTATTCATTACATTCTCATTGGCCCCTTCCGCGATAATCCACGAATACCATGCACACGTTCACAAATTTAGTCAATCAAGTCTATTGGGTATCTCAACATAATCCACCTTCAGTCTGTCTATATACGCCTAACGACCCATTCAAATCTCATGCGCCTCCCACACACACCGGTTACAACGACAATTTCCGCCCAAGGCACCAGACGCCCACTCTCTTCGCTTTTCAACCGGCAGCCCAATGTCACAGTAGTGATTCAATATCTCCGCATCCTTCGCAATGCCCCCGGCTTTGGCGTCCTTCATCTCCACACACCCATCAGCATTAGTTCTCGTCCAGACCGCAGTTTCCTCGTCATTCCGTGCTCGGAAAGTGATCTCTCCACCCCATTCCCACTGCACATTGGGATCACAAGAGTGGTTTGCCAGACACCAGAGTGGATGCACGGCACACAGCTCAGGACCGCCATCCCACGTCGACAGCCGACCAGAAGCAGTGCCCCGGAACTTGGCATACAGGGTATTGAGAACCCAGGTGTCATAACGCGAGAGCGACTCATAGGGATCTATTTCCATCTCCTCGAGGAAGCGCATGGGCTGGAGAATGTTAAGTTGGAATGAGAAGGGAAGAGACGCCTCTTCAGACCCAGATTGGTCGATATGCTCGATATCCAAATCGTGGAAATCACCCCAGATATATTTTACTTCAGGGAGATCCAATGCATGCATGTCCTGTGTCGCAGACATAGCGAGCGCACGGCCAAGCAGAAGCAGATACAAGCAGTCTGCTTTATCCTTCGGGTCAGGGATATCCTTCCCAATAGACTCCAGACCATCTTCCAGGCCACAGATTGCACCATGATATACCCTTTGTGCGGTGTCGTGGCACACCTGGCTACAAAAGATGGTATCCGCGCAGCCTTCTTCACATGCGACGGGAGGCTCGGCAGCCGCGAGGTCAGGTAGAGGCGCATTGCACGCATCACACAGATCATCGTGAAGACGGTTCGTAGCAGTCAGGAGCGATGACTCGCGTAGAATAATCTCGTCCACGGCGATGTCTTCTTTGGCGAATAGACCTAATTGCACCGAGACCTCAGTGTCGTCTTCAGCAGAGGCACCATGAAGTGCCGGTAACGCCACAGCGCGAACTTCACATTTGGGTGCCACGTCTGCCAGCCTTTTGTTGAGAAACTCCAATTCCTCGGGAGCGCAACGGTCCGGCTCATGTGTATTCCAGGGATAGAGGACGCGACGAGCAAAGCCCTGCGCTGGGAGAATGGCTGAGTCAATGGAATCCAGATCCACCTCCATATCTTTATTGGTCCTGGCACGAGTTTGGAAGACCTTCTTCACATGATCCATTTGATCATGCAAGACGGTGGAAGCGGTGGAGACATTCACCATGTCAGCGTCCAGATCACCGAGCAGTCCGATGCCGCGCACGCCGAACTCATAAGCATCGCGGTAGCAGCCACAGCGCACCAGACTACAAACCAGAACCGCATAGACCTCTCCAATGAGATTATTGTATTCTTCCTGTGTCACCAGGACGGTGCTCGAATCTTCATCTTCATCTTCATCTTCATCTTCATCTTCACCTTCATCCTCCCCGCTTCCCTCGCTGGTCTTCTTGACCTCATCCCGAGTAACAATGTCTTCGAGAGCGGTGTCGATCTTGCGTTTGGCATGGAATTCGCACCCATCAGGATCTACAACCGACTCCAACAACGAGAGTGCGCGATAGGCGTCAGCAGCGGCTAGATCGGGGAAGCCAAGTTGCTCATGGATGCAGGCTCGTTCAAGATAGAGGTGCGGGTTATGCGGGTCTTCGTAGAGCTGCGCAGTTTTCTCTGCTCGGGCTTGTAGTGAATTGGCCATTGTAAATTGAGTAGTGGCGCAAGGGTTCTTGAACAAAATCTCGGAGCAGAATTTCTACGTGGGGCATCCGTCCCAAGGTTTCGGTGGGTCCGCGGGGAAAGCCCTACTGACGAATTCACATAGTTTCAATCCGAAGGAGTAATGTTTGAATCTGAGCATAGTATGCACTTTTGCTCGCCAAATAAAATACTTCCAATCATATTCTAAATGTGCACTGCACATGTCTACAGCCTTTCCAATATTCCACGTTTCATTGGACCAGGGTGAAGATCATCCTCGAAAAATAATAAATAACATTCTTATGTTGGTTGTCCTTAAAATAATCCCACTGAAATAAATATATAAACCCTTTGCGCCAATTGCATGCAACCCTTCGAGCAATCTGTTAAAAATCAACAGTAATAAACGAAAAGAAAATAAAAAGAAACGAATTAAAATACGTGAATGGTTGAAAAGTTGGAGAAAACTCAACTTTCCACATCACATTACCTGCCACAATGTTAGCCATCCCATTCAACACACATCATCACACCGGGCCTGAAAGGAAAAAAGTACAACGCACCAGGCAGTTCTCGTCAAGAACAACGGTGGCACCTTCACCACCTTCTCCACCCATACCCTCGATACCCTCTCCGAGACTCTGGCGGCCTCGAAGGGTGGCCGCAAGTCGAGTGAGCATGCTTCTCTATAGACAGTGATCAGTGTCATTTCATATGCCTGATAAATCTCACATACAGTAATGTAAGCTTCGCTCATACCACCTCGGCGGTCAACATCATTCTGGCTTATGATACGATAGCTGTCATGAAGACGCTTGCGACTCGACAATCCTCCGAGATTGTGCACGGTTGAGCCCAGAACATTCGCAGGGTTATCAGGGTCTAGAATGTTGATGCCTTGCTTGGCTTGCTCCTGAGCATTTCGATCTGGGTTGAAAATTTTGATAGTGCTGTCGATGCCGGACACAGCCATAGTAGGCTCATATGGGTGGCCTGTACTGGTCAATAAGGAGCCTCATGTTTGGAAATGATCACAACTCACCTTGTACGACATTGACAACCTCACTGTCTCCTTCCAATATGTTCACCAGATTGCCCGTCTTTCGATCCCACATGAACACATGGCCGGAGTCGCTGCCACTTACCACGTATTCGTCGTTCAACCCGAAAAAGTTGACGTCCTTGACAGTTTTGATATTACAATGCCCCCGATAAACCTTTGTGTGCGATGAGCATGGGGTGTCGATTTCAACATTTCTTCGACGTCCCTTACGGCCCCCAGAACGCAGAGAAACAGGGATTTCAGTGTCGAAATCTTCTTCGCTCCCATCATCAAAACCGAAGTTCCATCCATCTGGCCCTTCTTGGTCGGCCTCATCCTGATCACTCCCATCGGAATCACTTATCTCCCCATTGACGCTCTCCGTTTCGTCAGCAGAGGACCCTGACGAGGAAAGGGCTCCCCCGGAGTCACCTTGCTGATCGTCGCGCGAGGACGTCTCATTTCTCCTAGAATTGACGTTTCGGCTTGACAGGGAAGTGCTTACGAGATTGATGGATCGAACCCGTTCTTCTGGCTCATCAGGATCAATATCTTCTTGGGTTTCCTCCAGGTATCTTTCCAGCTCTAGGTCACTGTCTGTTTCGTCTACCTCGGGTTGTAGTCCACCGAAAGCACGATTGACAAAGGCATAGTTGACGCGTTTCCCAGTTGTCATTAAAATGCCCCTTCCGACCCGAAAAATCCAAAATCTGGAGGCAGAGGCCCGGTCAAGAGATCTAACTTGGGAGGACGAATTAGACACACGACGTTTGTCAATGCGAGCAGCAGTTGTCCCAAGGTTCTCTAGTGGCAGCTTGACGGCATTTCCAAAGGCAACTACTGCTGCACGATGGGTTGGAAATAATATGCGGGTCCTGTCGTGTTCATATGGGGAAGCATCCACATTGATAACCGGCGAATCTCCGGCGAGGGCATGCAGATATGGGATGAGAATTGTTTCAATCGCACCCTCGGTACCATCTACTGGGATAGGAAATCGTCCATTTTGTCTCCGATGGCATGATCCTCGCTTGAATCCGGCTAATAGCTCTTGTCGGCCTCCGTGTAGCCAAAGCAAGATAGCCTTCAGAAAATCATAGCCGAACTGCGATTCCGGCTCAATGGATTCATCTTCACTTGGCGCGGGAGTAATTTTCTGGAAATCTCGATATGTATCCAAGTCGTTCACTTCGGAGGTAGTCGATGGGGTTTTCAGGATAAAGGCTAGAGTACCAGCGGCCTGAATGAATCTCCATGATTCTTGGCGGTGACGACGGAGGGTCTGTTGAAGAAGGACAGTGTCATGAGATGGATTCATGGGATACCTCCACCCCCGGATGATAGAGTCCATTTGAGGCAGCACGGTACATGCGATCGACAATGCAGACCCAAAAGACTCAGAATAAGCCGCGAGATCATGTTGATCGGACTCCGCTGCCTCTCGTATCGTTTCTTCAAGTGAAAACATAGCCTGTCGGAGCTTCACCATCGATTTGGAAATGTCTCTGCTTAACCGCTGCGCCTCATTCAAGACCGAGTACCTTGCACGTTCCATCAGGTTTTCGGGGGACTCCTCTTCTGACATTCCGGGAATAGGGATATCCGATGACTCGCCATTCTCAAACCGAACCCTCAACGTGTTGGGATCATTGGATCGACGTCGAGAATGATGACGGTCGCCACTTTCTTGGGAAGACATCGACATGGGCTTTGGGCGCTTACGTTTCCGATCGCGCGATCCATTTTTAAAACTTTTCTTTGCAGGTTTTGACAACGAGCTCTTCTCAGGCGAGGCGTCCTGAGCATCAGGGCTTTGAATGAGATCGAAGCTGTAAATGTGGTCTCCCGACCAGCTGACCACCATTTCGTCGGGGTTCGCATCACTGATTTTACAAGCGGTGATATGTCCCTCGTCGAGATCGCGCATGCGATGCTTGCCACGAGGCGCAAACCGTCGAACACATCGAGTGGCTTTCCCCATTACTTCATCGTCGTGCGTACCGGCGCTCGGAGTCGACCGGCTAGGAGTACCTCTTTCCATTACCATGTCGCGACCGAGCATACGCCGATCGTGAAGGAAGCAGTGCACGTGGGCACCACCAAGGGCAATGTAGTGTGGCTGAGAAGGAGAGCATGAAATTGTGTTGAGATCTAGGCTGAAGTTCTTGTAGGAGATGAGGGGCGGAGGGACATTCGAGTCATCGTGTTCGCGGCCAGGCCTATAGGCCATGAAGCCCTGGCCACCATTCGGCGGAGGGTATGCGGAAGTCGGCTGACGCAAATCCCACTGTCGGACCTCACCATCTTCTGAACATGTTAGAAATAGGTAAGGGGAGGACTCGACAACAATCCGCTTTACGCGGTCGGCATGACTCCGGTAGACCCTAGCATTGGTGTTGCCTTCATTCAGATATCGGGCCCCTTCGAAGAAGTTGTTGAAGCGGCGGCTGCGGGCTGAGGCCGCGAATGCGGAGGTGTTAGAGATGTTGCCACTGCTGCTGGAGTATTCGATGTCGAAAACGCGCACCTGGGAATCGCCGGCACAGGTGACTAAGGTTCGATCGTTCGAATGCGGCATGAACTTGACGGAGAAGATGTTGGCCTTGTGGCCTGTATGCACGGTAGTGCTCAGCGCAAAGGGAGCATCGGATGATTCGGGTTGATAGGAGTAGATATTCATATGTTGGTCATCCGAGCCCGAGGCTAAGAGACGTCCTGAACGGGACCAACTGCGACCGTTATTAGAAGCAATCCGGCAAGAGGGAAGCAGACCCGCCTAGTATGTCGGACCAATATGTGCGAGTACAATGAGAAACATACCTGAGGGCATTCACGCAGCCAGTGTGTCCACCAAGCTCGTTCACAATGTCAAGATCGCTGACCCACTCCTTGGAACCGTAAATGTCCCGGAGCCCGGCACGGGCAGATAAGTCCCCGCATTCCCGGCGCCAGAGGCGGTTGTAGAGCGAATCTCTCATGATGGTGATCACTGTGATTGCCCAGGATGAAACTTTGACTAGGGGCGACTGGCGATCATCCTGAGCCGCAGTAGCCGAGGAAGACTGGCGTTACAGCTCGCGTTTTTCTTTTTTCTTTTCTTGGCGATGAATCAGTAGATGACGTCAGGAGCGGGATGAGCGATAGGAACGTCGCGCCGATGATGGAACTGGGGTGCGAGATCCGGAGGATGGGATGAATATATGACCAAGTGAGGGGGAAGTCCAGGAATTAAGAAATTAAGGAACTAACGAGCTAAGGAACCTAAATTAACTTAGGAGGATGAGAACCTGTTTCATTCGGTACTTTGTGTCCATGACCGGCCTAGGCTGGCTGACTCATCTACTCGACCCACTTTACCCCATAGTTATACCAAGTGCAATCGGTAAATCCTTGCAACTGTTCTTTACGAGTAAACGTTATCAAGAGATGCCAATTTACTAAGTTCAACCAATAGAACGTTCTGTCGCTAATGGGTACTGGGTATGATTGCTCGCTCTTGATCTTCAAATACTAACCACTGGGTTTCTCGCCCTGACTCTTCGCCTGGAAAGCGTTAAGCCATATACATGCCGTGTGGAAATAAATGGAAGCTGTGGCTTATACTCGCTGGTAGCTATGTAATTGCCCATCTCATAGCTCCGTCTGAAGCTTGCTAACACACGCAAGGACCTGTTCGCGGCGCCACGGACGAGGGCCTCCGAATTTGGTGAGAGGCCACGTACAGTCCAGATGACCAACTGTGATAATTGAACATGCCCGTTTCTTTGAGATCTTCGGCCCACGGTTCAATGGGCCACTTGTAGCCCTTTTCATGGACATGAACGAATCCCGCCTTCTCAATCGAGGCGCACATGGTGTTCGGAGTGTCGATCGGGCGACCAGATCGTTCCGCGCAGCCAAAGATAACGATTCCGATAATACCTGCCATCAGGAAATATCCGCCATGTCACTAAGCCAATATTCGTGGTAGTGATGAATAGCGTTTGGGAGGACTTGTCGGATGAGCATAGTCCAGAAACCATTGCCAGTCCCGATATCCCCGGGTATTTAATTCCACGTGAGTACAAGGCTACTGCAGTTTCAGAAGCGAGATTCGGATTTTTCTATACCTTTGCATACTGCCCTATGGGTGTCCGAAGTAAGGTGTTAGGTTTGTCTGCATCCAAAGCGCTAGCAAGGGCGTGACTAGTCTTGTTAGGTTAATTGGGTGAATAGAGTGATGGATTGCTCACCCAGCTTCTAAGCTCTCAAAGTGGAGCTCGATGGCGGGGTTCCTAAAGGATGATTAGTTCCATAGTGGACTAGTGGACTTTTTCCCACTTCACCAGTATCGATCAGTATTGATTTTCCCTCACAATTTGATACCGTCGTTCATTTACAAGGAGTCATATAAATCGAAAATATGACGGCGGTTGTTTCGATATGTAAATAAAAATGGGTTCGAAAGGGCCGTTCAAATATTTTACTTTTGCAAGGTCTTGGAAGGTTAAATATTGAATATGGGGCCTCCTTGAACCTCATCATTATTCTCGCATATATTCAGGTTGGTACTCCACCATGTCATCACCGATTCTCGAGCCCACAGACCTTCGGCGCTATTGTTTCCTATTTTCTTACCTCGTTCAGTTGTGCTACGTCCTCCGTCACCTGGTGTAATAACAAACTACATCGTCATTACGAAGTGCTTTGTCCGTTATTCCAAGCATCCTCATTAGATCAGGAAAAGTGACGCAACGGCTCTTGTTTCCACACCCCTTTCCACTTTAGATCAGTTTCACCTTGCATTGACATTTCTAGCCCCTGGCGGGTTCTACCTACTCCTGTTAGTAGAGTCAAAGAACCTTTCCGACGTGAATGGCGCGGACATGTATATTCAATGGCAATGTGGACAAGTTTAATGAAGGAATGTAAATAATTATGCAGCCTGTGCACTGGTCATCAAACAGCCATCAATCGTCAAATCAGGGAACAGTTAAGGCTTTCCATGATCATGTCCATAGGTACAACCCAACCAGTGACCTTGGGACTAATCTTGGTTGGGATTTGGGCAGGTTAGTGCTATCTTTGACTGAAGATAATATGATATCAACTATGTCGAAATATCGCTTTTTTTGTCCCAATAGCCTTCGAAGTCTAGGTTCATATTGTCGGCGAGTGGACGAGGAGGTAATTAGACCTTTCCAGAGAACGAAAATATAGCCCTAAAGGTTATTTTTATTAGCGTCTTCGTATCACAAAGCGGGGCGTTCCGAGCCATGGAACGTAAGAAAAAGCTTGCAGATTCGGAGGCAGCCGGATATGTTTGCTGATCTATATTAAGCATATGTTTGTTGTCTAATACCGGATTGAGCACAATGTGCTGGAATGCCATTGCAACCAGAGAAGGCCAAACAGAGCTGTATTGACTTTTGAACAAATTTAAGGTGGGTCTTTATGTCAATAAGTCTCATTAAGTCGCCATAGAGCTACCTGCTATTGGAGCTTTGCCCACTGTCTGATAGTGAAAGACTCCGGTCAAGTAGTCCGGATGTATACAGATATTTCGTGGATTTATGCCTTCACATCCGGACCACACTTTTGTTATACAAAAGCCGGGCTTGAAACTCGGCATATGTTTCGACAAATTTATGTATACGATAAAAACTTTATTTAAATGACACTCTTAGCGTACCAGACACAAAGCAATTATGCAGCTCGACGCCTGCCAATTGAATGCCTCAGTAGGCGATAGGCGCCCACACTCATGTGCCACTAGGGGGCAATCCCTTATTCCTGAAAAATTCACAGCGTGTATTGGCGGCTCGTAATCTGGATCGGCTTTCGATAGCGCGGTACTGCGAAAACACTACACTGCACTAGTAGCATGTGTTGACAAGGCGTCCGTCAGTGCGTAAATCTCAGCAAATAGGGGGGTTGTATTATTCCCGAAGACCTGCGTCTTAATCTTAGCGATGCCGACCTATCCCGTATCAGGTTAGATAACGTGGGTCCGGCCCGCTGTATCGCCAATCGAGCGGGTTTCGCGGACACTTGAATCTTGCCCTCGTGCAGCTGCATGATTTGGCTCGGACCCCTGGCTTTCAGAATTCTTTCCTTCTCAAATACTTTCTTATTTCCATATTAATTAATCACCATGATGGGTCAATGTCAGGCTCGCTCAATTCCACAACTGTTGTACATTACCCGGCGAAAGACTCAAAGTCTCCAGAATGAGCACCCCGATGCCCCTCGAGGGTCGAGGCCTGGCTATCTTTGTCATCTCGGCCATTTTCATGTTCATTACGATTGTGACAGTCTCATTAAGATGCTTTGTCCGTTCATTCATTGTCCGGGCCTTTGGTTGGGATGATGTCCTCATGCTCGTTGCACTGGTAAATAAAGCGATCCCTCGAAAAATCATGTGACGGAATTAATCTAATGCCCACCCAGGCACTATTCATTGTATTGGCAATATGCTGCATGATTGGAACAGCGAATGGAGTTGGTCATACAAACTTACAATTCGCAGAACTCGCAAGCACCGAGGTTTTCGTAAGAGCGCTTATGGTAAGTCATCATGGTGTTGAATGGAATGATAGTGACTAAATCTGGTTTCTTCAAAGTGGTGGTGGCTTAGTCAAGTCTTTTACATCTGGGCGTCCGGCGTCGCCAAAGTCTCAATCGCCGTTGCACTGCTTCGGTTGACAGTGAAGAAGGTGCATCGCATCATTCTTTGGGGAACAATCTCTTTGACCATTATAATCGGTCTAATATTTTGGCTCGTTTTAATCTTCGAATGCCACCCGATCTCCTTTTTCTGGACTCAAGCGGACGGAAAGCACACCGGGAGCTGTTTACCAGTGAAGACATTGCTCGATGTTGCATATGTCTACAGCGCTTTCACAATCGTATGCGATTTCACTCTTGGCTTCCTACCCGTCTTCTTAGTCTGGGAACTACAGATGAACCGCAGGACGAAAACTGCGGTTGGAGGTATTCTCAGCTTGGGAGCTATGTACGTGCTTTGGGAAAATCGCGATCTAAACGGAGACGAACAATCTAACAAACATCAGTGCGAGTGTAGCCGTCATCATTCGACTACCCTTCCTTCATCACTATGCCGACACTAATTTCCTATGTAAGTTCCAATTACTGCAGGATGTGAAATGGAAAGAGGCAGGCTTGGGGAGGGGGTGAATCAATCTAACATGTCACTAGACTCCACTTATCAAATCGCCATCTGGACTATCATCGAAACCGGTCTTGGCATCACCGCAGGTAGCCTCACTACCCTTCGCCCTCTATTCCGCTGGCTCCTCGATGGGAGCATGTCCTACGGCCGGAACGGGCATACCCCGGAACGAAGCTCAGGACGGTATCGTCTATCTAGCTTCAGGCATGATGGCGCGAAACATTCTCAGGATCCCAACCTTTGGCGTCCCGACACCGATGCCAATACCAAAACTCTGGTGGAAATTGCATCCTCACCTCGGTCACAGGTATCTAGCGATGCCAACAGTAGCCAGGAAGCTTTGAACCCCGGGCCGAATCCATTGGGTCAACGGAGTGGGGGCGTCACAGTTGAGCGTAGTTTTGTGCAGGTGGTCTCGGACCGAGAATCATAGCAGAGTAACTTATGAGAAAATATTTGTCTATTATAATTTGATCATTTTATGAGTGACTAGTGACCAGTCCTTCATCTAGCATTAGTGTAACCCTCTGATCTCTGTTCTTCGCTTTCGGCCTTGACGCTGGCCGACGGGTCCTCTCCCTGATGCCCTGTTTTCCTTTTTCTTTTCTTTCTGAGATGTCAGAAAAGGAGGGAAAACGCTTGCACTGGGGGTATGGCCATTCAGGCTGTTTGCCATTATGCCCAAAAACATGTTCGATATCACTGAGAGATAATGAATTATGTTAGATATAGGAGGGCTCAAGAACATTAATGCATCAGCCAAGAAACTAAGGCGTCAATTCAAAATGTTATTGCAAGTATCCCTGTGGTCATTTTAGCTACTTGGAAAAACCCGATCCACATACGAACATTCGTACTTGGGTCATGATGCCGTTACGAAAATGTAACCCACACACTCTGTTATCAAGAGACTTATAGAAGATAAAAACACATAAATCAGAAAGGGCTAACCGGAAGTCTGCGTAGATTTTCCACCAGTGTTGCTAATATCCAATTGAGATAGTTTATAGGCAGGGTGATAATTGCCAGGGTCGGAGTTGTTGGTTGTCCCATCCCAACAATATCGCTGAAAGCACGCGGTACAGCTTGACGGGACAGGAGTACTGGTTTGCTCCAGACTCCGACTCAAGATCGCACAGCCCAAGCAGATTGGCCAATCGGAATCGACAGTACCGTTACCCAGCGTGGCAATGTCGTAGCCGTTCTCGATAATAGCGTTGCGCTCGGTAGTGTTGTACTGCAGGTCGAACGTGGACACATTGGAGTGATAGATATATGGTGCGTTCGGGATGTAAATGACTAACGGCGCGGAGCCAGAGATGTTCGAGCTGTTGCAGCCGAAGAAAGTCGGTCGGTTATTCAACCCCAGATTGATGAACGTGTTCTGATCTGGCACATATGGGAATGCCAGGCCACTGGTATGACCTAGCGAGCTCAGGCTGCGTTCGTACGTGGCGACCATAGCGGTGCCATTGGGCCAGCGTGTGTTCGTGTCAGCAGATGAGTCAATCGCCAGAATCACGTTCAATTCACGCTTCGACTGCAGCAAGGGCTCCAAGGGAATATTTTGAAGGTCCTCTCCACCATCCACTAAAGTCAAAAGGGCAGAAGTAGCGTACTCTGACTGATTTGTGTATAGATAGAATGGATTAGGCTCATATACGGCGATATCTTGATTCGCCTCCCCGATCGAGTTCAGAATCCGGCTGATGGAGTTTTTCAGTATCTGAGGCACCTCAGTGCCATTGATCAATAAGAACGCTTGGTTAAAGAGTGAGGATGATGTCCCCATTAAGAAACCTGCATTATCGAACCCACGGACGCATTTTTGGTTCATGGGAAGCGTTCCAGCAGAAAAGTTTGACCCAAGAAATTCTAAGGGCACAAACGCCTCCAAGGGCGGATTGAAGGTCCCGAATTCCCAAGGGCTGAATTCAAACACAGTTGTGTTCTTGGAAATCAGGATCTCTCCAGGCGCTCTCCCATCAGCAATGATGATGGGCATGGGCATACTTGCGCTCTGAAAGTCCATGCTTTGGGCAATAGATGACCAGGTATATTCCACACCACCCTCGGTTGCATTGATCAATTGGTAGGCGATAGACCGACCCCTGGTTACCAGATAAGTAGGAATATCTTCAAGGACTGTCCCCCAGACGGGCCTTACTTACCAGTAGTCGGTGATAGAGGTGTTGTAACCAGCTTCTAGTTTGCCATCCACTGCATTTAATATCTGCGAGAAGTACTTAGACGTCCTAACTGCAAAATCGGAACTCTGCGTCGGGCCAACAAGAATTGAATCTTGAAAGAGCCACACCGTTTGGCTGTCTCGCAGGGATGTGACATCCGTATAATTGTTCAGATATATGGACCCAACCAGCCAACTGCCCCCGCTGAGCCCGGCAAGGTATGTGGCCGATTGCAAAACGCCCCCTAGGTGACCCTGAAAGCTCGCGTTGGCCGTTCTAGAGTCAAAAGCCTGTAAGGCGCCACCCCCGTTCATAAGCGCTCTATAGCCGCCTCCGGAAACGGCTATCCCGATGTTAGGGAGTGCGGATGAGTTGGAGGCATGCTTCTCAATGTAGGAGGATGCGTTGAAGGAGTTGAAGTCCAGCCGGCCCAGGAACTCCATCATCGCGTTCACGGTCACATTTCGGCGCTGTTTCAGCCATGCGGTCTCGTTGGATGACAGGCTTGATCCATTGCGGATGAATGGTCTCCTCATGGAACAGGGTTCCTCCCGGGGCGAATACCCATTAGGTGCATTGGGAAGCACCTGTCTCTGAAATAATGAAGATTCAGGGCTGATAGAGTCTCGCTCCAAGCTTCCAGCTGCTCCGTGCAGAATATCTGCTTTATCTGGCGAATCAGAAGCTGCGACTGTCTGTATGAGTGGCCGAAGCCATGCAAGTACCATAAAGAGCAGCTTCCATGTCGCCAAAATATCCATGACAGTGGAAGAAAACGTGATCTAGAAATCCTAGGCCAAGTGTAATCTGATTGAGCTTTATAGATGGCACTGAGAAGTCGCTCCTCGAGTATTTAGCATGATCCACTGTGAGACATTCATCGCACTGATCTGATGAAAGCAATTATACCATCGCCAGGCACACCTAGATAGGTCTAAAATTATCGGAAAGTCATGATGTCAAAGTCGGAGAGTGGGACGAATAAACGGACTCGGTGCTCGAGGCCGTCCACGGGTGGGATTCTAAGTTAGCCGGCTATGTTTTTAGCAGCCAAAATGGCAGGTCTACTAGGTGGCAACGCTCGAGGCCACGGCAGAGGCAAGAGAAAAGAGATCACATAGTACTAGCTTACTTACGTAGCGAGCTGTAAAAATGACGCAGACAGAACAATATAGCTTTGTGGGTGTGTCTTGGACAGATAAAGAGAACAAAAGAGAGCAGCGCTAATCCACACTATAGAGGCCAATCACCTAAATTTCACTGTGGGGTTTTATAATAGGATGAATTATGTAATTTCGGTTCATAATGGATTTCGGTTCATAATGCGCCGCTTTTAGAACTATTGAATACTTTCAGCCTTTAAGTGCAACGCAGATCATTCAATGGCTAATTATTAAACAATTAGATGCAGGATTCGCACATTTCTTGACTTAATATGACGATGCTACAACTATGTTGTTTTCTCTTACCATTTCCGGGCGCCGCAAGAAGACATGCGAGGTGCACTTGAATAAACCGCCCGACCAATCGAATGCTGCCAGTGACTTTTTCTTTCCTTACACTGCTCATATGCAAGCACAAACTTAGGGAAAGTATAGTCTTGAAACTTGGTATACATGATTTGTTTCACGATTTATTGATTGAATGACGAATAAAATTACTGATCAATAATGAGAAACAGCATGCCGAAAACACAATACTATAGGGTACGAAACTCATGCAACAAGTAGGGTTTTATACAACAAGCGACTTAAAGGGTATATGCACGAAAGAATAATGTATTATTTTTGAATTTTGAGCCTTTATTAAGCTGTTAAGCGAAAAGTGGGAAACCTTTCCATGGGGTTGAGAGTACAACGCTAGCTGCGGGGCTAGGCAGAATGATTTTCATGGCTGACTACCCGCAGCCATCGATATATGGCTAAGCTTCGAAAATCCCTTGGCTCTTCCTTGGCTTACTACAATCATCACAATGGCTTCAAGGTCTCAGTCCACCGAATTTGTTCCGCACGAGGTTATTCTTGGGAATGCATCCTCCCCTTTCTCGCCCAGCCATGAGAACGTTACTTGGGTCAAACGCGACCGCGCGTTCCCAGTGAAGCGGTGCCTCTCGGCGTGGAGATGTACACACAAATGTTGCAACTCTCGTCCGTGGTCGAAAAGAGCATTTTTCTGCCGAGTAGTAAATCGTCCATTCTGGCCATTTGTGATGATTCTGTAGGGTTCCTGATTTGTTCTTTGTTCCTTAGGAGACTGCAGCACAACTGACTATCCTAAGAACCGAGGCCTGCTCAACCTTTTTTTCCTAGCCTGGTGCGGCCTGGTCTACTTATTCCCAGACGATCTGGACTTTACTCTTGACGCATGGGTTTTGCCGAGGGGTCGACCATCTATTTTCTCTCACTGGAAGACTCATGGGGTAACTCCAGTCGCCTGCTATTCCCACAATGACTACTGGCGTCAAGTTTCGTTGCACTCTACCCTTGCTGCTGGCTGTATTAGCGTCGAAGCCGACGTTTACTTATCACAAAACGAGCTTCTTGTTGGACATTCGCGCCACACGTTGGCTCGAGGGCAAATTTATCTGCTTTGTACCTCGACCCACTTCTGAAGATGCTTCAGGAGTACAACACAGGGTCAATCGACCTTTCTTCGGATAGAAATATGGTCCAAGGTGATGTTGCAGGAGTGTTTGCCAAGGATCCCTCACAGAGCTTGATCCTTCTCATCGACTTCAAACTTGAAGGCGAGCACATATGGCCTCATCTCGTTCAATATCTTGAGCCGCTTCGTGAAGTAGGATACCTGACTCATTTTAACGGTTCCTCTGTCGTGCAGCGGCCGATATCTATTGTCGCGTCTGGTGATGCGCCCTTCCATCGCATTTTGGAACGGAATACGTCTCGCGATATTTTCTTTGATGCTCCCCTCGGCGAATTATCGCATGTATCGCCAGATTTACCTACAGCCAAATCTATATATAATATCAGCAACAGCTATTATGCGTCTGCCAATTTCAAAGAAGAGATCGGGTCTATCAGAGGGAACCAGTTCTGCCAAGCCCAGCTAGCCAAGATTCGCCATCAAATGAGAGTAGCACATGAGCATGGTCTGAAAGTGCGATACTGGGGCACACCGAGCTGGCCGCGTGGGCTGCATAATCACGTTTGGCATATTCTTGTGCGGGAAGGTGTGGACGTTATCAATTTCGATGATTTGAGGGACGCGACACAACAAGACTGGAGGAAGCATCGCACCTGGTTGAATTGACTAGAATAAAAAGTAATTATAAGTGTATACCGACTCTGATGATTATACATTAGATTTTACTATTCTAAGAAGTAGATTGTGACCTTCACATCCACCACGAAACGATATATTATCTAAATTTCCGGCAAGCATTAATTCATTGGCAAGCTCTGGGACGAGTTTGAGAAGAAGGAAGAAAGTGAACACGTCAGGATTCGCAACGACTCGTCGGTAGACAAAGCCCAATTCCGGCTGCAGGGCTCACAAAAGACGGGGAAGGCATTGCTGGTGCTGCTAACTTCATTTCACACCGCTACTCTCCAACAGCAGCCCATTATCTCCGCAAACCTTGAAGACAAGACTAAGCAGATGTGTCATGATGTAAAGGGCAAAAGCCCAGAAGCGTTACTCCTCCTAGTCTCTGAACAAAAGGTAAATTTTGAGGGTGGGTTTTTGAATGCATTTTGCAGCCTTGCAAGTTTATCGCAGATGTTTTCAAAAAGAAAGCAGGATAACTCCACCAGGAGAAGAACCACTTATTTTTATGCCATTTTCTATATGGCTGAATACTTATTTAATGCTCATTAATTCTGGATGTCCTTAACTTTCTTGGCTAAGAGAGAGATGGTGATCTCAAAGGACGAAATTATATAAAGTCGGCCTTCAAGATTGAACAACGGAGACCATGACTATCCGCAGAAAAACAGGCCCTTATACACAATATAGATGGGTCTCCAGAGTCGATGAGGACAAACATCGGTGTATATATACATAAACCTAACGAGCGATGCTCACTATGAGTAGTTAGCACAGCGTATTAATTAGGCTTTTAGTCAGCTTTAAGTGTATGTTATTCTCATTATCCTTAGCTGCATATACAAGCAGAAGCCATACTATCATTATGACATAGTACGGGACTACAGATTAATCCCATACCTAGGTATTGATAAGAATGTTTCATATGTCATTCATGAACAGTGGTTCCATATTTAGTTCGGTATCCAAAGTTAGTGATCAAAAGGCCCCAACCCCTTCTAGGTATTTGATGGCCTGTCGTGTCACAAGGCTATATGAACGTGCCCATTACTCAAGCACTCCGCCAACCAAGCATACAACTTTAGAAACCTACGAGGTAGTGGCATCCAGAAGCCGCCCTCCTTCTCACAGGGCTATTTTTGAAGAATAGCCATGCCCTGCGATCGTTTCCCAGCACCCAACTTTTCCAGCAAGAAATGCTGAATCTGATGGCCCTCAAAGGAATCGACTACTGTGATTGCCGCAGGGATAGTACCGTTGCCAGGAGAAAGGGCATAAACAAAACGACCAGAAACTTGAAGGTCCGTGAGCCCGAGGTCACCATTTTTCAAGTCCAACATCGACATGATCGCCGAACCATCTTTACTAATCTCAATCAGTCGGTTGACTGCGGCATCAGTCACAAAGAAACTCTTCCTCGCCTTTGAATAGGCGACCCAACAGGTCGCCCCTTGGCCCATGATGGTGACCTTGTGTTTTAAAGATAACTTTTCGGTTGTGTGGTTGAGGCTGAGCAGTGTGGTCCCAAAGGATGCGTCCGTAATGAAGAGATCAGAGGTAAGAGGAACATTGACGCCACCGAAAAGCACAGCAGTTCCTGGGGGCGAGCTTCGTATATCGCCGTCTTCAAAAATAGATGAGCGTGTATCTTTGAAAGGCAGAACAGAAATGAAGCCTGTTTTGTTCGTACTAGGGTCTCCTTTGACGGTGGTGATTAAACGAAACTCATCCGTAGCGAAGAAGACTTGAGCTACCGTATTCGTTGGGCCTATAGGAGGGGTGGTTTGATCAAGGTCAAATTCAACGACCTGCTTCATCTGGCCCAGTCCCATTTGGGTGAATACAGCACAAGACGTGCCGGACTTGGCCCCTGTATACCCGACGCATGCCATGCTGTGCTTCACTGACGCTCCAACAGTCACGGGGAACTCCCCAGGAATTTTAGCAGGCTCTCCGATCATAGTCAAATTTGTTGCATCGTTTGGGTTGATTTTGAACATGGTCAGAGTATTTGACCCAGCGTTTACAGCGAAAAGATACTAATAAAAGCAGTCAGTTTTGAACTCGAAAAAGCCCCGTCGTACTATGGAAATACACTTACATCGCCGCTCACAATCACCGATCCTTGCGATGAAAGTGCGTCCGGGGCTGCAGGTTTTTTGGTGGTACTGTCTATGCCGGCACCTCCTTTGCCACCCGAGGAAGTGATCATACCGCCGTAGAGTTTCCCATCACGTCCGATCGGAATGGAGATAACGCTGTTTTCTTGCTCATTTGATTGAAAATACACTGCTTTTCCAGAAGGCCATCCTTTGTAGGGGTCTCCAGGGCACGCTTCGATGATGTTAGCCTTGGTACACTCGACGAGAAGTGTCATTAATAGGCAGAGGGAGTTCAAGGTAAAAAGCATGGTGGTTGAGAGTTGAGAGTATAAAAAACTGTAACCGTGAAATCCGAGTCGGCAAAGAAAATTGGTATGTATTTCCAAGGTATCATTAGATTGGGTCCTAAAGACGCGGCTTATATATTTCCCTCCCACGCTCCCAAAAACCAAAAGCTATTGTCATCTTTCCTGGACTAGATAGATCTAGGAAATAATGATAGTGTCAACATAGCGAAGCCTTGGGATACGAGTCGGCACTACCCGGAAAAGCTAAATAGTGATTCCGTCAACAATCCATGGATGCAACCCTTTAAAATCAACTTTGGAGTAGATGAGACCTGTGTTGAAACCAAGGTCACGCTAGACCGAAAGAGGAAGAATGATTGGGTCAACAATCCACTATAAGCGAAGCTTGTACAAATGAGGTCTAGCGTCAGAGTTAAAATAGCTGCTAGCCTGACTGATTGCCGCCCTTGATTACGGAAGACAAGTGGATCCAGGGAACCCTTACGTGACCCCTGGGCTGTCCGCTTATTTTCTTCTCTAAGATACACTCGTTGTCCTTCATACATTGAACCTGTGATCGGCCCATATCAACCATCGAATCCACAATGAAGAAGGTGTTTACTTTCCTTCCTGGCCATCGCAACGACGGAGCAAATCGCGATTCGGGTATTCTAATAATTGGTTCCTACAGCGGAGGAACATTGTCGATAGTCATAGAAACCCGCTGACTTTGGATTGTAGCCGATGGTCTTGGGAGTGTCTCTAAACGGCGAGAACAACTCCGGAAAGCGCAACGGTACGGGAGAGAATGGATTCATTTCACAGTCACTCAAAACGCTCATATCTAATAGTACACACCGTCAGCGCAAGCATCAATATTTCAAGAGCCTAGAAAGTGAAGTCTTACGTCTACGTGCCAGTGAAGTGAGCTTACTTGCTCGAGTTCAAACCTTAAGCGATCACGTCAACCAACTTCAAAGAACTCTTGGGCGACATGGGCTTTCTGAAGTCGCTGCACTCAGCGGTACACTGAAAACAACTAATGGCGGTGGGCTAGACTTGGCCATGAACAAAGACTCAATTCAAGATTATGAACAGCTGAAAAGTGGGGTGACCTCAAGAGAGCTCCCAGCGGGTATAGATTTTGATTTGGCGGATCCGTCATCGCATCTAATCAGCCAAGACCACTTGGATCACGTCATGTCGGACCACTCACCAAAGGTCCACACTGAACTCATTGAACCAACTAGCATTCAAAATCTCGATCTACTTTCCGGTCCACAAGTTGTCACTTCTCAATCAAACTATATACAATCTAGATGCACCGGCCTACTATTTAATCCAGACATGGCTGACATGGGGATGGAATTCGTCATGGCGTGAGTACTACTACCTTCTTGTTCTTATCTGTACATGTCTTTCTCACATTGATGCAGACTTGAACACCCCTGTCGTCCTCATCTGGAGCTTCATTTAGACAAGCCCAATGGCCATGCTCTCCTCACATCGGCCACCCTCATTGCCCCACACCATCAGCAACATTTCCCGCTCACAGCTTCAAACCAAACCCAACAGTGCCACACTGCACAAAACCCGCACACTATCTTCGAGAAACTACTAGCCTTGTCTGGACAACTCGTTGTCGAGGATGAACTTAGCCCAATTCAAGCTTGGTACTATATCCTTCAACAATCCTGGGCAAGCAAGCTCGGTCCTAGAAAGCTTAGGAAGCTGAGTGCCTCGCTTTTGAAGCTTATCGAATGCCACGGGTATGTGATCTTCATGAAAGTGACGTAATTTGATTCTTGAAGTGTCACTAAGGTGTTCGTCTAGGTTCGGTGCTGTGATGCAAAAAACGGCATTTGATAATATTCTACTCCAAAGTATCTCAAGGTTAGACTTGGATTAGCTTGGTTAACAAGAGATATAATAAGAAGGTCCTCAGCAAACTACCCATGTATCAGGATTGATAGAAATGAGTGAGCATCTACATGTCTATCTAATGATAGGTATTCCACAAGGTATCTCAATCTTACTTCAACACAATGTGGCTGCCATGTGGCGCGAGATTATGGAGGTCTGCCAGAGCAAATCAAGTCTAATTGCGGATGAGCTTCTGACGGTAAAGCATTTTGATGCACATGATTCTTGGATTCACGCCAAGGCACCTAAGTGCGGGCGGCAGGCCTTGGAATTCGAGCCTCATGATGATGGGAGCCGTTGTGCGTAATTGTCGGGAAACAGGCCCCAAGTAGCGAGCTCTTTCCTCACGCGACAATGCTCCCAAGTTCAAATACTGTCGAAGGTTCTGTATGCTCGGGGTGCAAACAATCTCCTGGCTTGCGCTAGTTGCATTGGTATTTGACATAGTAAGATGGATTATGAACGGGCAGCTATTCTAACCCATCAGTTCAATATTACAATGCTTGATAAATCCAAAAGGAAGAACGATGGGAGATCGACGCCTAATGCTTTGTTGTCGATCAGCAGATGAGAACTTTTGGAATGGCATCATAATAGCTGTAATCAAGCTTGAAGACCATTTCCCGGAGTTGACTTAGGGAGCAGCATTCCATGCAGGAAGACCCTGCCATGGAAATACGAATCAAAAAACAAATCGCCCTAACAGGTCTCAACGACCGAAGGGAGGTAGGTGAGCTCTCGAATAACAAGCATGACTTGAACCTACTGGAAGAGCATTTCAGGCGGCACCGGTCGACGGCGATGGGCATGTCTAGCCCCGATCACCGCTATGGCATCCGATGAAGTCCTCATCAGAGCGCTTAATCATTCTTTGTCACGATATGAACCACAGACACAGAGTGAAGGATTTAGCTTTCGTGAGACTCCAGGTTTTTTGCTTGTATTTTTACAGCACCCGCATCAAATTTGCTTAGCTGTTTGAATGTGGTTTGTTGATCAAAATGGTGTCTTCATATATGACCTACCTCATCAGCAAACAATCAGATTCAATCAAGAACGACGGCGATAATCAAATCATGTTGATCCATAGCATCTCAAAGATGAAAAAAACAAAAGATGGAGATGGCTATTCATCGTAGAGGGGTGCGCAACAGCTGGCATTAGTCTCATCGTGCATTGGACAGTTCTTGACTACCCTCATCGCAGCCGAGGTCTGTCGTTGGAAGAGCAAGGCTTGGCCCAGAATCGTCTCATTCATGACGGAATGGCCGATCCAACGAGTACACCAGGGCAAAATATGTCTATATTCCATTCCTTCCTTAAAGCACTTTTAAGCTGGCAAATTTGGTTGCTCACACCCGCTTATATGACCATAATCGGTGCGCTTGCAATCTCATATTTCTATCCCACTTTGATCATCGGGATGGGATACAACTCCACTACCTCCCAATATATGACCGCTCCTCTGTATCTGGTTTCACTCATGGTGGCAGTACCTGTCTGCATATATGCTGATCGAAAACCGCAGCACAGAGCCAAGTTGTTGGTGGCAGATCTAATAGCGGGCCTAGTTTTCTTTGCCCTCACGGCAGGAATTCAAAACTACGCCGCGCGTTATGTTTTCTTGTGCTTCATCAACATGGCAATTTGGACAGGAAATGCCCTTGGCCTATCATTTGCAACTACTGCGTTCGCAAGCGTCAAGCGAGATACTCGCGCTATCATGCTTGCCATGATGAACGGCATCGCTGGTTTGGCGCAACTGTATGGGAGTGCCCTCTTTCCAGATCAAGACGCGCCAGAGTATCTGGTCGGCCTCACCGTATTTGCGGCCACATTTGCTGTTGGAGCTGTATCATATAGGGTAGCAGATGTGTTATTCCGACGTTATCCGTACAAGGACTAGAGAGTTGTATACCTGGAGAGTCTCGTAAAAAAACTTCGGAAAGTTTGTTTCACTCTGACAATACTATGACGTTAACCAAGATAACCAAGGAAGGAATTGGCACCGAGAATCTATTGAAGGGAATTGACTACTTCTCCTCTCTATTCTCCGGTGTCTTCGGGGAGACGGGCATTTCCCCGCCCCACCTGTGCACCCAACTTGGGCTAGATCGATAGAAAGGAACTCAACGAGAAGCTGTGGTATAAATGGTAGTGACTTCAATCAGCTTAATATCCCGTAGACCTTTTTATCCATATTTCGCAGCCATTGAGTCTCACTCCGCTCTCAAAATGCATCAAATCCAACTTGATCCAAACATTCTCCGCGGTCTTGCTTCCCGAACAGCGATCATCACGGGAGGTGCAGGAGGAATTGGCGCAGCCACTGCGAAGATCTTCAATCAGCACGGTGCCAATGTTGTCATAGCAGATATTCCTGCCCTCGAGGACAAGGCCAACGCAATTATCGCGTCATTTCTTGCGCTTCACGGGCTCTCTTCGTCCCTGTGGAAATCTTGAACTGGGAAGACATGAAGACCCTATTTAAACGCACCGTTCAGACTTTCGGGATGGTTCATACTGTGGTGGCTAACGCTGGCACTATGGAATCATCGGAGGTTCTGAATTTAGAAGACGTGGATAGTGAAGGAGATCTGCGGGAGTCTAATGAAGCTTTCAAAGTTATTGATGTGAACTTGAAAGGAACGCTTAACAGTATGTCTTTAGAACCATGGTCAGACTGGATACTGACTGTGATTCTAGCTTTGCGGCTTGCTATGCACCATATGAAATCTTCTTCCACGCCCGATGATATACTGCCGTCTATCATATTAGTGGCTTCAACATCAGGTTATATGGGCGGAACGGGCGTTTCGGCGTACGTTTCCTCGAAACATGGAGTCATTGGGCTGTTACGTGGTTCTCAGCCAGCTGCACAAAGATATGGTATTTCTGTCAAAGCAATTGCCCCATTTTTCACACCGACACGGATGACAGCTGGCTTTGCAGAAAGGTGGCGCAACGTTGGTCTTGAAGAAAACACGCCAGAGATGGTAGGGAGTGTGATCGCTCAGTCTGCCTTAGATGACACGAAAAGTGGAAGCTGTATCTTAGTACTTCACTCCTTCATTGGGCATGTTGTTGTCCTCTAACTAATAGGCTACAGATCGCAGGAGGATTTTTGAGAGAACTGGAATTTACAAGAACAGACATGATGAGCAAGTGGCTGGGACAGGACTTGGTTGATTTCATGCGTAAGGCGTTTCAATTTATTACAAGTATCGGCGGGTATCAATTGCCACAAACAAGCGACTAGATAGGCATTGTCAACAGGACCTGGCAACGAAAACTGTTGCAACTTAGAGATAACATCATTACTTGGTAAAGCATAGTGTTTCTAGTTGATACACTCCTTTATTTCGCAGTCATATGTATTCGCCCTGGTGGCTTTTTTGCGCTCTCAACTCCGCCCTAGATACTTGTAATCATATAGAACGACCCCTTAAATACCCCCTTTTTCGATCCTTCTGTTGCTCATGATTAACATGGATCTTAGTCGCCCTGTTTCAGTCAATACCACGACATCTCTTGATACTGCTGGTACCAAAGCTGCCTGCGCTTTCGGCCTCGTGCTATCCACGCTAGACCTGCAGGGGCCACAGGGGCACTGACTGTGGCTGTTTCAATGGGCCCATCACTTCGCCTCGGCTAATGGCAAGGGTCTACAGGACTAGGCTACAGAGTTGAGGAAGCATTTGTAGCAATACAAGATACGAGGACGAGCTACATGTTAGGAGAGGGGCCAAAGTTTGTAACAGTTCGGTATCTTCCAAGTATCCGTTACTGGTGCTGCCTAACCTTACTGACTAATTACCATATATTTTGACAAATTTGTGACTTGCATCTTTTTCTACATTTCTTACTAGTTTACTTATCGATTTTGATTATGTAAATAATGAAGTCTCATGGTGAAGTTGAATCATGGCCCCCATACGCTCATACTATACAGTTACGGTATATAGGGTTGTTATTTGCTCGGCATAGTAAAGTAATAGAGTTTGATCAATTAATCTCGGCCGAAGCTAGGCCCTCTCTAGTTTTAAAACCTGTGTGGGTCTAGACTAGCGTCTTGTCGTGGGAACAATGTAACACCACTATCGAGAAATAGGTTAAAGGTCGCACTGAGCGATTCTGAGCTCACCTTCACTTTAAGTTACGAGAGTTCGATGACTATCCCTACGAGGCTACGTTGTAAACCACGCTTTAGAACTAAATACGTATAACTTCCTTTATGAAATATGAATACCTGACCTTACTCTAGTAAAGGGAAAAATAGCTAATAATATAATGACATAATACCCTATTCATTAATTGGAATAATCCATTATGGAACAATGTAGCTACTTTTTGCTATTACCCGTGACGTTTCCAGTGATGGGTGGCAAGCGGATCATCGAGCAGGGAGCTTTTGTTTTCTTTGCACATTCCCATCGGGTAGCTCTACAGGTCTCAGGATGCTAGCCTTTCTCACATCGTGGCTGCTTCGAAGGCATCGAATCTATCTATCAATCTTCCTGTTTAGTCTACTCGTGTTCGGTCTTGGCCACTTTGCCAATAGACCGCGATACGCTTCCTCTCTAGACGTGCCGTTATCATTTATCGATGTACAGCAACGCTATCATTCATGGACGACTAGGACCTTTTTCCCGCCGCTTGAGGATTCGGGAGACAGCGATTTGACAGTGCTTGACTTATACGCGGGGTTTCCCGCTCACCTTTTACATCACATCTAATTCATTCTTAAAAGAGGCACTGGCGAGCCTAAGAAGAACAAAGCCCATCTTGCCTCCGTTACCTCCTACAAAACCAACCTCATCATTTTTTCCGATTATGAAAAAATTATTGGTCAGCATCATTTCATTGAGGTTCCCGAAGATCTCCCGTCGACCTATGCCATTAATAATCCAGACTTTGCGGCTTACAATGCCTAGAAGTTGGCTCATTCACAAGATGGTTCGGTCAGGTATTCGCAGGACAGTTGGCGACTCGACCAGTTCAAACTTTTGCCTACGGTTGAGAAGGCGTATGAGATGCGCGCGAACGCCGATTAGTATGTCTGTATCGAAGCCGACACTTATTACTTCTGGGATACATTGTTCCGTATCCTCGATAAGCTCGACCCATCTATAATAAATTACATGGGATTACCGGTTCCGGGAGCTGAAGAACAATATGTCGCGTATGGCGGCGCAGGTTTTGTGCTGGTGAGTGGCGTAATGAAGCGCTTAAACGAAGGTTTCAGCAGTGAATCTCGCCTCAGTTTTCATTTCCAGTATATGGCAAAGAAAGACTGCTGTGACGATGCAGTGCTTGCTTATGCGATAATGGAAAATATCGGAGTGAAACTGGAAGGGCTTTATCCTACATTTGCAGGTGACGAGCTCGGGGCCCTTAAAGTGAACAGAGAGAGATGATGTATACCACCACTTCCACTTCATAAAATGTCGCCAAAGCAGCTAACAGTGCTGTGGAAATGGGAGCGAACGCGACCATACAATGAGGTATTTATCATGCCCCTGCCAACGACGTGTCCACTACTAACGCTATTAGGAACGTTTTTTTTCCTCCAGCCTCCTTGCATATACTCATTCCCGTCTACGCGATGGGCCTACCGTAAAGCTCTAGGACAACTACTCGGATGTTCCTCAACCAGAAGGGTCCCATGCTCATGATTTCACTACAGTGTGTAGTGCTACCCATGGTACGGACCCAGAGTGCTTGCAGTTCTCATATACATCCAAAACGTGCAGGTTTGGGAATTGGATACAGATGGGGAAGCAGATGCCTGACAGCGAGGGTTTCATATCCGTTTGGGATGTCAAAAAGATGTCAAACCTAGGTTCAGGCCAGATATGGATATCAGTGACTCATGCACGCAGACGTTTTGGCTTCAGCCAACCATCATTAGCGAGCATGCAACGAAGAATGTACATGAAGATAACGTGTATTTTACGTACGTTGATTGACAATCTACACCACTTTGATGGGGATAAAAACACCTGAATCAGCTCGCACATAATATATTCAGCAACGTTCCGTAGAACACATGTTTTTGAAGGTTCGGCCGGTACCAAATTACTTGAAGTCAGCAAGGTGCTACTCTAATGAATACAGCTGCATGAATGTCAGAATTCTATGCCCTGAGGATTGCCAGTGATCTAAGTCGTCCAAAGAGGATCTGTCTCTGCCTAGTCGCCTTGAATTTGGTGCTATAGAGTAGCAAGTTGATTCAGTTGTTGATGGCTGTATAACGCTGTTCCTGGGGGGAAAGGGGAGGGATACTGGATAGATAGCCCAGAAACAGAAAGGGGAGGCACAATATATGTGTGATCTTATCTGAGAAATAAGAAGCGCGGATAAAAAGCAGACAGTACATCACTACATAGACAACACAATAGCCTGTAGTTGATCAGCCACAACCTTGAGAAATTTGGACCTCTTTACGAAAGCCTGAAACACAAATATGATGACCACACCGGTTTCTTCAAACAAAAGATGAAATCGCGAGAGCAGTGTATGAAACATGGACGGTAGAGCAAATCCTGCGGAATCGCTACATTCCAGTAATAACTCGATTGCTGAACTGGGTTACTTCCTCGTCCTTGAAAAGGGCTTTTAGAAGCAGTCCTCGACATCTTGTTTCGAGCGTGAGTTCATGAGAAGGGCGACAATTAGACCGTAAAGGCCTTATAGAGAATTAGCATCTTATTCTTCATTTCTGGAAAATATAGTCGCGTTCTTACCAAGCACTTCAGAGAAGATGAGTATCAGAATCATACCAACATACAGCTTTGGCTGCTGAGCTGTTCCACGAACGCCAGCATCGCCGACGATGCCAATAGAAAATCTAGACACATAATAGAAAATTTAGCTATGGCTAGAATCTTGTCCTGGTATAACTTACCCAGCTGCCAAGCCAGCAAGACCGACCGAGAGACCTGCGCCAAGCTGGATAAAGCCTGTATATAAAGCGAGGTTCTGCTGCAAATCGTTTGCGATAAGGACGGAAACGACTAGACCATAGATGGCAATAATACCAGCCATCACGACAGGGACAATATCTGTTTAATAGCATTTGAAGTCAGCTGTGAGTCGAGTCCAAGAAAAGTCAATTTTCTTAATGTAACCTCATCCAGAATTACATATGACTTACTCTTCACAATCAAGTCAGGTTGCAGGATGGCCATCGAGCAGACGCCGACGCCGGCCTTAGCAGTTCCGTATGCAGCGCCGAAATTCGTGACGACAATGGCGCAGACGCAACCCATCGCGCTAAAGAATGGCTAGGAGTATCATAATTAGAGGGGGTGAACTGAATCCGATGTCTAGGTTGCCACGTTCAAAGCAGCCACGAGAAAGGTGAGCTCACAGAATAGGCAGGACTAAGAGAAGGAGTTTAGTACAGATTATATGTGGGACGTTAAGAGTGAAAATGAACAGATTCTGATCGAGATGGATACAATGGAAGTGCCAGGGGTCCATGAGCTTTACATACCATAATTCCGACGTCATTTTGCTGATTTACTTAGTAATTTGGCGCAGATACGTCGGGAGGGATGTCAAAAGAATCCCAAGAATCAGATCTCAAGAGATGGATTTTTTCACGTTACTTCAAGTACATGAATAGAAGAGGAAGACTTGGCAAAACCTCATGCACAGAGACGGAACTTACTAGGCCTAGTTTGCCTAGGAAAGGCTTCTAAGTCAGAAGGTTTGTCACAACAAAAGTACTGTATGGAGTATCATACTAAATACACCTCCGTTTGGAGATAGCCGGAGCTTCTTCAGCGAAATTTGCCTAGGGGATAAGCGCTAGTGCTGTTCTATTATATTGGAATCCACTGTCGCTCTGGGGGGATTGCCTGATGCCTAGAACCGATGTATCAGGAAATCAGCCAAAGATACCGTGTAATCTATCTAAGTGGGCCTAGCTTAGGCTTCAGCAAATAGGTTCCCATTTCAGAATTCCAGGGCCCACCCCACCCCAAAAACTCCATGCCCCTATTGGGGTCCCTATTAGGCCCCAATAGGGGCGCCATTTTCAGTAAGGTTAGCGTGGATACCTGATTTTCGATATGGGCATTTATAAGCACGAACCTATAATAACCACAACTTAGAATATATTTAGAATAACATTAATGAGAGGGTAGCAATTTATAGATTCTAGAATATCTTTACAAATTTTTCTATTAGCCACCTATAGCTCTTACTAGTAAACACTAACCTTCTGACTTTTTAGTAGTTTACTAGGACTTATAGAAGGTAGCTAAAGAAGCGCTAACCTAACATAGCTAAAACTTCTTACCCTCCTTTTCTAATACTATACTATAGTATTTTATTATACTTAACTCTAATATCTTTCTCTATAGGGGTATAACAATAGTCAGGTCTTTATACCACTCATTATTAAGAAGCAGAACCTTTATATAGACTCTGTGGAACCGGTCAAGGCCATTTTAAAGGAAATGCTTATTGGACGATTCAGAACCGAAGGGGCTACACTATCTCATTTATACCCTGTCATGATGTTCAGGCTTTGCCAAGATTTCTACAATCATGTACCAGAACCCGAACCTGAAACCCCATCAACTATTCACAGCCTGAAGTATTTGGGGCTAAAGAGGATTCTATAGCTTCCTGGGGATCTTTGCACCGATTGCCAAGTTGGAAAATGCATTTCCACGACGACATACGCGATATTCTAGCTCTTGATTTGTAGGATAACCCAGCTGCTGCACTCGGATGAGAACATCAACTGTTGTTTAAGATACCCAATCTTAATAAAGAAGCTTGCACTCCCAAGATGATGCATCGTTAGGGTCACCAAGTCCACGGTATTTAGCCTGCTGCGGGTGTGGACAAATCGGACGCTGGCGCGTGATCTCATCTTCGGTTGTAAAGTTGGAATACGCAGTCCCGATGATATATTCCGGCGCCGTGCCATTCTCAACCCAATTCATGAGGGCATATAGGATATCGTGTTGGGCGTCTTCGTAGCCAGGGACTGAATGTTGTCCATTATTTGTCATGGAGATTCCAGCAATGAAGTATGGCGCGTTCACGTAGTCCGCGGTGTCTGTACAATGTCTGCCGCGCCGCATCGTCAGCTAGAACAGTAAGCGAGGAGTTTGAAGATGACAAACCCCATGCCAGGAATAGCAAAAAAGCGATAATGATCGTCAAGCTTGATTCCCTTCGGCGTGACCGCTCGATCGATATGATCACGCAGGTAAAAGCTCGCACCTGTAGCGATTCCGCCATCACTTAGACCGTGGTAATGGATGAGCTTCTTTCCCGCGTTGAAAAATGGACTCATGTCATAATTTGTCGCATCTGCATCCCCTACATTAAGTCGTTCCGATAACTCTACTACTTGTTCGCCGTAGTCTTGCCAGTTCCAGCTTGGTCCAAGTCCGAGCGTGTACTGTATATAGCCAACTCCGATGACATTCGGAGCACCACCGTCGATGTTGAGATCCCAAAAGTGCTCGGAGCCTCGCAGCCAATGAGGAAAGATCAACGAGGAGTCTGTGCCCATGTAATCGTTGGTAATGGTGTCGAGAGTCGCGAGCTGGGCGGCCGTCAAACATCCAGCCGCGGTGGAGTTGGTAATGTTCTGAGAACAGAGGAGAGTTTCGGGGTTGAAGTTGCACCCGTATGGATCTGAGATAATAGTCTAGGGGAAAGTCAGATTCCCTGAAAAGAAGTGAAAATATGCAAAAGAGAGAGTTTACATCAATCAGCCCATCCTGGCCATCACATTGCTTCAAAACCTCCATTCCAATGGTGTCAAACATTGAAACTGGAATCATAGACGCATTTGAGATATAGTTAACATATCCAAGCCATGCTTGCCAGACCTGTTGGTGAGACTTGATCCAATTGATAGTTAGCAATTATGCGATTGATGAAGATGTGAGACACCAACAGTCCACCATGCAGGCGCACCAGCAATAACTCCGTCGAAATCATCGGGAAACATCTCTACCTCCTTGATCCCTTGTCGACCACCTGTCTGAATATTAGAAATGCCTTTTTCCTTCCTAGTGCCTCTCCTTCCTTACCAGTACTGCAACCCTGGTAGTAGTTATAAGACGGTTTGGCGTCGTAAAAAGATTCGACAATAGCCTTGCCATGAACTACACTCTCATGCAATGCCTTCCAACCCCAATTAGTCTGACTCTGAGAATTCTGATAAGACCATGAGGCCTCCGTACTGGTGCTATTATGTCCTGTATCAGTAGAGATTGTCGCATGGCCGTATCGAACTCCAGTTCCCTGCGTACGCAGTCTCATTAGTTTGATTTTACCGTCAAAGCTCGAACTTCCCGCTCATACCATATCCAACCAATTCACGCCTCCAGCAAGACCACCGTTTCCCACCGTCCTATAGACCTCTGTCAGAGAATATCCACACTCTTAATTTAAGCGACACCAACATTGTTCGACCATTCCACTTCTTGGGAAGGAACAGTCCAAACCCATATGTAGCGTTTGAATTATTTCCAGGAACCGTCGCTCCAATTGCACACAGCTCAGGGAGTTTAGTGGGATTAGTGGGCCATCCTGTGTCTGCTGCTGGGACGGTGAATGTTCCATTTTCATGGATCATTTGAGCGAATGAAAGACTGACGCCCGTAGGCATCATGGCAGAAACGGCATCAAAGGTACAGTTCACAGCTTGAGAAGCTGCGACCGCACTAATGAGGCTGATGGAGGTGATTGAGAGTAGATATTTGTTCCCCATTATAATCGCTGTGGGTGCTGAAAATCAACATGGCATGGAAAAGGGTTGACACTCCTTATATAGATCAGTGTTAGGCCGATGTGGGACATACAAACGGTCATACCGGTTGGTTATTAATTCTCTACCCAGGATCGCCTCAGTTAATGGGGATCGCTGACGATCGAGCCCCGTTCAGGCATGAAAGTCCGAGTGTTCAAAGTTCGGATGCAAGATTCCCGGGGAAGATCTTACAAATTGCATGGTTTCGCTATCTCCGACGCACATGCCACCTTCAGATATTTAACTCCAAGCTCATATGTAGCCATGAGCTATTATAAAGAATGGGAACTCATCCCCAAACTTGGTTCTAGACATGGATTGGAGTACAAGTAGCTGGTAACACAGTAGTAAAGGCTTCAAGCACTTTACACAATGAAGCCGGTCCCCGGTGACAAAACAGCAGTCCTCACAAGCGAAGTCACACACCTATTTACTATCATCATGGATATTAATTCTTGTACTGGTCATTTTGGCCGAGCAGTAAACTACTGGTCCAATAGAGTTTGAAACCGGGATGCATGTGGGGATGACTGCCAAAACTATGCAAACCCCGCATTCATGCACAGTGGGGATTACATTAATATGTACATCCCCATGAAGTTTGCCAAAAGCTTGCTTTTTCAGAAGGTATCTCGGACCTCCATCAAAGGCTGCCATAATTTAGTCGGTCGCCAAGGAAGTTTACTTTTGTTAGTGCTCGAGGCTGGAGTAAATCTAGAGAAGACGAGGGAGAAAAGAAGAATAGACTTCCGTAAAACCTAAGTTAGCCTTATACTGTGGTTCTGGTAGGCTCGTGGGCGCACGAGCCTAGACCTATGGGCTTGATTAGGCTTAATCAGGTTCCGTGCGGGCCTGGAACTGGCCCGTACGCGCCCGTAGAGAACCTCTAATATATATATTGTGGAATCCTAGAGTCTTCTGTCGAAGACTCTGGCTTATACCTTTTGGTCTAATGGAATAACCACGTGATCCATAACACGCGTTATCTCATCACTATAGTATTTAAATATACTTAATCCTAATATATTTCTTTATATCCTAATTAGTCTATTTTATATATACCTATCGCTTATAGTACGTGTCTATTAGTATTATAAGAGAAAATATAGTTACTAATTTTCTAAGATAGAAATAATAGGATACCTTAGATATCCTAAAATAGTACTAGATTTAGTATCTAGATTAAAAGTAAGTTCTAGGTAAGTCTAGAGCTAGTCTATAATAAAGAGATATTAAGGATAAGATTATTATAAATCACTTACTTAGCTTTTACTTTCTCTATATTAAGAAAGAAGAAGAATCTCTCTCTCTTAATTATTTCCTTCCTTAAGAATTAGTTCTAAAACTAATATAATCTATATTACCTTAGATTCTAAATCTATACTATATTAGTACTATTTTCTAATCAGTTAAGATATCTCTTACTATCTTCTTAGATAGCCCTTTTACTTCTTATACTTAATCAGATAATATACTATTATATATATATTTTACTATAGTATAACATCGTTATTAGGGTATAATATTAGGATATACTAATATAGTACCTAATCCTACCTAATCTACTCCTAAACAGTACCTATATGACTCGTTTAACTAGGGTTCTACCCTATGATATATGTAACTATCGTACTTAATAAATACGTTAATTCCTTAAGGATTAGTTTCTATTTATCCTATATTAGAATTATATATAATATCTTAAACCCTATCTAGTTTCTATAATCTTATCTATTAGTCCTTAGATATATAAAAGGGCTTTCTATAAATAATCCTTTATTATCTAATCTTAGATTAAGCTTCTAAAAGTAAAATTATCTTAAAGACTATATAAGAAAGGTTTATCTTAGTCTAAGAGGAAACCCTATCCTATATTGGTCAGTTGAGAGCGGGGTAAGTCAGTAGTAGCTGGGAATTTCAAACCTGACTTCTAGGCTTACCAGCCTCTTCACCATATTCAACACTCTGTATTACAATAATCTATTTGTACATTTCGCTTTTACTGGTAAGTGAGGACTGTAAGCTGGACGTCGGTCCTTTGAATAGATGTGATATTGACCCCATTGACAGTCACGAACTCCACTGTCATCCCAATGGATTTTTCACAACTTCCGGACATCAGTGAGTTTCTCGTCACGCCAGATAACCCTCCACGGGATGATCTAGAAGGGATAGACTATGTACGATGTGCAGCTCTACATAACTACTTGATCCACTATACCTGGCTCGCTGAAGGGCGCACCCTGCAAACTCTGAAAGACCAAAGCAGCAACTTTTTCACGTCCTCCGGGGCTGAGGCTCAGGCTGAAGCTCTTCGTCCAAGGCTTCATTCGTCAGTAGTATCTTTCCTTGATAATGCCCTGGTATTGCCCTATGAGAAAATGGAGGATTATCTCCCACTCTCTGTCTTTGCATGGGCCATTGAATCTCCAACCAGACTTATCGAGGAATTTCAAGGGGATCTTCACGACCAGCCGGTTAACAGCTTGGTGCGATTGTACAATGCCGACACGCCCATATCGACTCTAGGGGACGATGGCGCCGTTATCTACCACCAACACTTCAATCGCGTCGCGCTCTTCATGAGTGCCGATGACTTCGACCTCGCGTTTCCAGTTCAGGAGCATCCAGAAATTTGGACCTCACTAGAGACAATGCTCTCCCATTGGATCGACTTAATTCGTCTTGGGAAAGTGGTGGCTTCCCCTAATAAAGAACCAGCCTTATTCGAAATCGAGAAGGTCGGGCCCTGGGAGTGGCGGCCATATAGCGAGGCCCAGGTTACTTCGTGTGTCGCCGAGTGGGATCGGCTGTGTCAAGCTATCGAGGCGCGTATCACGCAGGTGCTAAATGCACCATCATTAATCGACGAGACTTGTGCGACCGGCCCAGAAACCCTAGCTACATCTATTGTCCTGGACGCCGCTTTACTACCTAACCCTTCTTTTGCGCGTTCCTTTTTGACGCGAGCGAGACGGCCCTGGTTCAAATCCATCGCTCCGGGCCTTCTTCTACCCCCAGTCGACCCATCTGCATTTGTTGCAACGCAACCATTCGCCGTATTACCCCGCTCTGAGTACACCGTACCGCCAGTTTGCCTTTTCCCCGCCGATACCAGAGACCAGCGTCCCGTCCACCTCAAGAGAATAACAAGCCCATGGCTATTAGAGCCCTTTTATTCAAGTTCCACCCAGACATGCAACCCATCTCATGTCTCTGCAGGCCTGTATAGTGAGGGAGTGGAGAGAAACTATTATGATATGGCCGAGGAGGGATTTCGGTTATTGCTCCCGTTCACCTTCAATGATGGTTTTACCAGGAGTGCATACGCACGACAAAGCGATATGAGGGCTGTTGACAGGAACGGCGCTGGAGAGCTTTTTCAACATGGATTCAAACCTTTTGGTGGTGCTTACGGACGGCCACAACGACTGGAGCGTTTGCTGGATCGTTGGCGCAAGCTGGTTGAAGATGGGGTTTGGTCTGTTGGACCGGAAGGGGTGAAGGGTACTATTGATACTTTCAAGGACGCTGAAACCGACCAGTGGAAGGATTGTTTTATCCCTCCCACATGGTAGGTGTCCTACATATAGTGCCATCTCGTCTTCAATCTGTGAGCACCTCATATGTCCAGTAAACATTGCAGCACTTGGGAGGATTTCTGTGATATATTCTGCTATGTAGTGGGAATGAAGGTGTTGGGCCTAAAATATGTATGTGAATGTTGGAAAAGGAGGGACATTAATAGAATGTCACGAGAAACATTTGAACACATGTGCATGCGACGAGAATAACGCACGAGCGATCTTCCTAATCCGACTCGGAGTCAATTCATGTTCATTCAAAACTGTTTATTTACAAATTCAGTCCCCACCCTTCAATTATGTTCCCCTTTTACCCTGTCAACCAGGCTGAGAGCTGCTCAAGGCGAGGACATCAATCCCAAAGAATGACATCTGGAAAGCTCGACTGACCTGTTGAACACAATCAATAAGGGTGCACATACGGCGCGGGAGTCACCGTGCTCAAAACGCCTGCCGATCTTGTCTCAGACCCAGTCGTACTCGCAGTGAGCGCATGCGTAGGTCGGGACTCGCTGCCTGCCGGACCACCCGTCGTAATAGTGAAAGTGGTGGGATCAACAGTCACCCTGTCCGGATCAGAGCTTTTAATTAGTTCCCTCGTCCACGACCCTGCACCTTGGTCGACCATATACATATCAACAACATTACCATGCTCGTCCAAAATAATACGCACTTCTGCGCGTGGGTCGCCATCCTTGTAGATGGTGTTGCATGTCCGTCCGTTAATAGGCCTGCCGTCCAGATCGACAAAGAGGAGATTTTCATAGTCAAGGTCGAGAATGGCATCTTTCTTTGCCATTTCTAAGTTATCTGAGGTCGGCGTGGCAGACGCCGGCTGGGTCGCTATCATCCTCATACAATGTGTCGTTTCCGACAAAGTCTCTTTAGAAGACTGATGGTTGAGAGTCAAACGGTTGGTATTGAGCGCTGGCTATCGGGGCTGGATTGACGTCCTAGGACTGTCGAAGCCATCCATACGCATTACCATATATACTTATTATCATATTCCTATTAGCGATACATTGACTTAGTAGTGAATTTAGGGGAGGGAAATATATAGGTCATCATTAAGAACGCGTAAGCTATGATTTATAGGCGTGGAGGTACTAATAACTCTACCTTAGTTAGTATAAGTATATATAGTCTATACTATAGTGGTTAAATATACTTAACCCTAATATATTTCTTAATATCTTAATTAGTCTATTTTACGTATACCTATTACCTATAGTATATATCTATTAGCCTATAAACCTTATTTAAATCCTTAAGCTCTTAGTAGTCGCGAGTCTATTATTCTTAATATATTTAGACTAGAAATAAATTAAAAAATAATATAAAAAGGGCGGGAATAATAAGACTTTACTAAAAGCTAAATATATTATTTAGAGATTAGAAATATATTTAGGAGTAAATACTTCTATAGTATAATCTATTATAACTCTTATATCTAGAATATCTATAGATATAGATATATTATAAATATTAACTTATTAATAATTTTTATACTATTTATAGATTTATTAGATACTATATTAAGAAAGGAATAGATAACTCTTATATTTATATCTATATATTATAATATAAACTTATCTAGGTAGCTATATTTTTAGGGGCTTCTTCTAATTATATTAATAAGCTAATCCTTATCTTCTAAAATATCCCTAAATTAATAATCTAGACTCTAGTCCTTTATTATATTATATTTCTTAGTATTTCTTCTTCTTAGTATTTCTTCTTCTTAGTATTTCTTCTTTTATTAATTTCTTATTATTTCCTTCTTATATACTATTATTATAAATTTAACTAAAGAACTCTTTATATTTAATACTAATTATAGATTCTAGATCTATAAGATCTATTAATATCTAGTAGAAGCTTATAGTATTATATACTATTTAATTATAAAGTATAAATAGTATCCTTTCTCTTTTACTAAAGTATAATAAATAATAATTTATACTAAGGTCTATGGCCTAGTGAATTCGATGGTTTGGACTCGCAGCTACTTTAGACCATAAGCCCGTGTTTTCCGCGACTATATAATAGCTTCTTAAAGAACGTTGTGTCCTAATTTAAAGTCGGCACCGTTTCTTTCTCCTCTTCACGGCGACGCTGTTCTCTTACTAGTCTAGAGCAGATACGATCACGTAGCACTCCATAACCGCTCTTGGCGATCTAGGCATTATCGACCACGAAGCAACCTCTAGCGACGGGCATCTATGGGGTTATTAAGTTTGTCAGCACCCTGTTGTTTGCCGTGGTGATTATAGGGTTTATCGGTCGCGATAACCGCTTAGGACTGGAATCAGCCTACAGATCCTAATTTTGGCCTTTATCGGTACGTGCCTAGAAGCCACTAAGGATATAACAACCGACGAATTAATGCGTCGTCCAACGCGGAGCCAGCCTCAACGGCAGTCATCGGGGCCATCTACCAATACGCTCTTATCAAAGTAATGGCTGGCTTAGTATTGTATACCTAATCGGTCTTACAAGACCTTTTCTACCCGCACCCGGTCCCTAAAAATATCTAACCTATCAGTGTTGCACTGGGCGTTTTATTCCGCTGCTATAAGGCGATGCCGACAGTGAAGATCTGAAGATTTTATTGATAATCTGGCTATTTGAAAATTGATTGTGATATCATGATTCATGAATATGACAATGTTAGATCCCTTTATTTACAGCCTTACTTTAGTGCGACGTGTAAAGGGGTTCACGGGTAGTTTCGGGGAGGAAATAAGTAAGAAATAAAATTAATTATTCGATCCACATGGTGGGGAAAGTGGGGAAAGATCACTTTGCTTATAGAAAATGCATCTGCGTTGTTCACAGGCTGAAGTCTTAGAAATCTAATTTTACCACACAACTATTGTTTATGAAACCAAGGTTCACGCGATGCTATAGATAAGCTAAGGAGTATTCGGAGCCATGGCGCAGGAAGGTGGAGAGTTTTTGGCAAAGTCCCGTACGACAACTCCAGCCAAGTATAGTATCGGTCACACCATCTATGTCCGGATGAGTTCAAGTGAATTCCCAGCCGTAAATAGCCTATTGTGGAGAATTTTGTCAGCTGTATGAGGTATATTAGCTACATAGCTGGGATATGAACTGACACAATTGACGAATTATGCTTCCAAGCGATACCCAGTCGTATAATCCTATGTGGAGGGGGAACGGTATCATTCCTTGAAGATATGTTAGCCAAATGGAAGCAAAGGTCATTTTTCTTAACCAGAAAAGCACAATGGAAAGAGAGAATCTTAGATGCATTCGAGGAAAAGTAGAGGAGGTTAAAGGTCTACTTTAAATATTCATCTTCGAATATAAGTAAAAGGATTGATACTCCCACCACCCCTTTACTACTACGTCTTGAATTGGAAGAGATTGAGCTTCCTATCTATTCGCGTGAGTATAAACTGTAGACAGAGACCAAGAATCAAAATACAAGAAGACTACAGTTGGGAATTACGTGGGACTTTTGCCCCCACTTCTTTTCCCCTGCCCCAGATTCTCCGGGTTTTAACCGAAAGCTAGCCGAAACTAGCGGTAAAATTGAGATTTAGTAACAGGATTGGCTGGAACTAACACGTACAGACATGTTAACTTGATTTGATAGCTCCATGACCCGCCGCCGTGCGCCAACACTTCGGAACAATAATGATCCCCCGGATGCGGAGATGCGGGGTAGTACGTACATACCGAGCAATGTGAAGTGCTGGACCTCGTTCCCTAAGTCCCTTGAACTTGTCAACTTGCCATCATGGCATCTCTGGCTGACTTTGGGCAACGTCAGCCCACAGAGAGGTCCAACTCACCCTCATTTCAACAATCAAAGGTTTGAAGATCACATCCATGCACTCACCTCCTCTCACCCATAGACGTAGAGATGTTGATTGGCTTTACAGATCTTTCACGCGGGGAATAGCAAGAAATGTCGCCATCGACGCGAGTCGCGGTTTGTCTCTAGGAGACTTAAGTCCGCACACCGGCACTGGTGAGTGTTTTTGTCCAGATGTAAAGCAGCTGATGTTTTCTTTGTTCTGATCAATATTTGCAGGTCCTATTTTGGGCCAAGTATCTCGGGGGTCGACAATGCCAATGCATCACCTTGGTATGGGGTAACAGCTGACCGGTTGTTGGATCTCGTAGGTGGAGAAGCATGTAACATACAATCCTACTGTTCTGGCGACATTGAGACAGGAAGAAGCCCCAGCCAACCATTTAGTGACACCGCGGAAAACATGGATCTAGGCTTTGACCTCTATAACGCGTCCTGTTATGATGCTGCAATTCACTTGGCAGATCACTGCGTTTCCATCATCACAGGGTTGGGCTCTGCTCTGCAAATCTATTTACTCGACCAATTTTGGATCCACTTCAATTCGTGTATACCTGTTGTGCACCAAGCAACTTTTCTCACTAGCCTCGAAGAAGCATACGGAGACTTCTGCTCACCGGAGCTTCATCTCGCAGTCCTCGCTATGGGTCTTCGACGCGCAGATCACAAGCGTTCAGATGTCCTGCAGCTTTTCCTTCCCAACTGGGATTCTATTCTGCACAAAAAGCTCAGATTGGTCATAGATAATCTATCTACACGGAAAGAGCGGCAGAGTATCACATATGCCCAAGCTGTCATCATTCTTGCTCAACTCGAGTGGGAGCGAGGACGAGACCACACAGCAAGACTTCACTTGAGTAGGTTTCATCGAACACATGGCCAGGAATTCAATATTCATAGCTTGCAGGTAATGCTGTCACCATGATAGCAGAAATTCGGAACCTTAGACATGAACTTGATATGGCAATTTCAGACGATGAAATCATAGCTCAACGTATTGCCTTGCGAGCGGTTAGTCTTATTGATAGGTGAGTATTAACCCCTACAGTTCGGGAATACTTCGTGTTAAGACTTTTCACTCTTCAAGTCATACGGTCCTGTTCAACCACAACTTCAACACCATTCTGGACGATCGGTCTAGTATCTCGAACTTTGCTACGGTTCACCGTCTTCGCATTAACCCACAGTCATCAACGCAGACGCAGGATCTCAGTTCACAGATCTTCAACGCACACCTAGAGCTGATGAGCATTACTACGAATGGGATAGAGCAGCTGCAATCGCAACAGACCCGCTCTACCGATAACCCTTTTTTCCGGCTAACAGCACTACACAATCGGCTACAGAGCTGGTATAGAAGCCTCCCGAATTATCTAAGCTTGAACTATCAGACAAAACAGTCTTCACCTCCAAGTCTATTTATTCTTCAGTAGGCACATCCTCATCCACGGTTTCACCCAAAAGAGTGGAAAGAAACCCCCTCCCAAAAGGAGATAAGATATAGGGGACAGCTAACAGAATTATGCTTGCAGCCAACAATTTCACGCTATTCTAATACTGTTATATCGTCCTTATTCGCTCCAGAAGTCATTAGCGAGCATTATGGTCCGCTTCAAGGATGTCAACATCGACCAGCTATCCGAAGAAATTCACAATATTCTGCTTACGAACGCGATGCAAATAGCGGATCTCATCTTGGAGTCACGCAAACGGTTCAAACTCGGTGCTATTTTTCCCTTGTCGGTTCAGCAAGGAGCCCTTGCAGCCGGCGTTCTTTTGACCATGTCACGCGTAGCGGGCAATTGTATAAGAGATTCGAGTCTCCGATACCTTCAATATCTTCAACAATTTTTCAGTGAAATGTCTGCGATAAATGGACCAGCTGAAAGGTTAGATCGGACTTTGCAGGATCTCACAGCAACATCGAGCAGCTGCGACCGCCCTACGCAGAGACGCACGCAGAGCGTAGATATTACGAATTCAGGAAGACCCGGGACAGAAACCTCAATTGGTGGCCCCAATGATACTCTGTGTCTCCACAGAAGTGACGACAATGGACAAGGGAGCCTCCCCGGATGTGCAGCAGACCAGCAAGGTACCACCGCTGCTTATGCATATACAAAGGATAATGGTGCCCCGAAAAGTGGCATTCCTGATGACCTTGATCCAACGACAGATTTGGAGCACAGGACAGTACCGCCGCCTCCTGTCACCAATACTTCTATCAATATCCGCTCTCTCAGCCAATCATCTGACCGATGTATCAACGCAATGGAATCAGAGAGTATGCCGTCCTCGCACGCTGTCGACAGAGGTCTCAACCACCTAACGCCTGTTGATATATCATTGGAAGAAGGGGGGTTATTTGTCCCTCAGTTGCCCCTCGGTACAGAAAATCTAAGCTTACCCGGAGCTGGTCCTGACTCGGACTCCTGGAACCAGGATGATGTTAGCGTGTCCTGGTTAGAAACATTCAAGACACTCAAAGAAGTGAATGAGCGACCTGTATCCCAGAAGATGGTTGCCAACGAGTTTGGTGATGTGATGGGGTGTATCTTTAAACTGTGGTGATTTGATCTAGATGTATAATCTCATTGATGAGCGCAGTACAACTTTACTGAGTCTATATTTAACCCCGAGGTCTACCGTTTTCTCTTTTCACCCCCGCCCAAGCAATCTTACTCTTTCCGCATATGATCATTTGCGTAGACTTTATTCCACCATATCCATGGTTATATATATATATATACGTCTGTGGCGGTCAACTGTCTCAGCTCTCTGGAGAAATATGAGACACATTGAGCCCCCCTGAGCCGCTGGGGGAGACTCCTTGATTGAAATGGGGCAATCCGAAACCGAATACATCATAGCTGGGTATATCATCGAAGCACGATTGCCAGAAGGTCTCGTTGGTCTCTATGAGAGGAGAAAATTCCAACCCACAAGCTTCTTGGATCTCCGCAGCTATGGGGGGCAAATTCCGCGGCATCGTCAGAGTTGGGCCAACCCTGGGCTCACCAAGTTGCTGGACGACTTTCCCTGGGTTTTGGGCTATGAAATGCCTTATACCCGCTGTTTGCTGCTGCTGCTGCTGCTCCTCAGAGACAGATAGATCAGCCTCATGCTGTTCAGCTGCTCTCAGATACTCCAACGCTTCAGCCTCGGTCCCATAAGCGCCCCCCAGAGAAAGCAAAAACCGTCTGCACTCCTGGATACCCTGGATAGCAGCACGTTTGACAGCCTCATTTGGTGACTTGGTATCAAGTAGATGTATTAGGACAGCCGCAACAGCGCTGCCGACGGCCGTCGTCGATGAGTATGATGACAGGCCGGACTGGTAAAGACCTCGATTGATGCATGTCAGCTCCCAGGCGGCATGACGAAGTATGCTCTGGGACGAATCCTGCAGCTTCCCGTATATATTGCACCAGGTCGAGATAGGGGATAGGGCTTTGAGGCGGTATAGTGCACTGAGTGCTACATAGTAAACGACATGGACGGTGGCTCTGTGCACGATCAGGCTACAGCCCTGCTGGGTATTCTGCTGGTTTGAGATTACGCCATGGGATTCATAGCGCAGGTCAAGAGGTATTTCATTGTACCATCTGGCGAAATCTTCTACGCAGCGGTCGAGGCGGATAGATGGGGATGGAGGAGAGTACTCGTGATAATCCTCTCGATTACTGCCTTCCACCTGTTGGCGGATTTTGAAAGTCGTGGTTAGGAAACGAGAAATACAGACACACAGCTTCATGTGTTCTATACACAGTCTGGCCAATGCATTATGTATGGCAGGGTCCTCGAGAGCACTGAGACGTTGCATCACCTTGGGTAGATGGATACCAGCCGAGACACGTATATTATGGTCGAAATCATTCAGTGTAAGCATTGCAACATCGTAGAAGGTTATCCTCGCTGGACGTCCTAATGCTAAAGCAATCTTCTGTTCGCGAGCAAAAATGCACCACCACACCCGGCGGCGAAGATGCTGCTCAGGCGGATCAAAACGCGACTCGTCAGGCTCGAGGTGTAATCCGATTGAGTGGGCCAGGGAAATGGCAGTGCCTGCCCAGTACCATGGACCTTTTTTCTCCTTTCCCGGATACCAAGTACTCATGAGTACTGCGGCCTGGACGGAGGTGAATGTGTCTGGCTCTGTATTGCAGTCGAAGAGGACCTAGAGAGCTTGTTAGCTCCTTGAAAGTCGAGATTATTAAGCAAAGAGCAAGAAACGTAGTCTCACTTTAGCCTGATTGAAGAATGCACGACGAGCTGATTGTTTGCAATCAAAACCTTCTTGTCTGATGATCTCATTCTCCACAAATGTCACCCCAGAGCACATGACGGCTTGGAGCAGAAGAAGGCTTATTGGTCTTTTGCCATTGTTCTCATTGGCTAAGATCGATAAAACCTGGGCTTTGTCCAGCAATGGCAGGAGTGGATGTGTGAACTCGAGGTACCGTGCGAGACAAACATCGCGGAAGGTATCGGTAGGCAGAGAGAAAGCATTTTTCTCATAGAGATATCGCAGATCAGCTTGGTCCAAGCTTGTGGGAAGAGGTCTGATAAAGCTCGGTAAATTTGGACAAACGATGTCATCCGTCGGGTTCATTGTTAAACGGTGTGAGGATGGGGCAAGCCTCTCCCTTGCTATTCCGGCATGGTCGCTATTTGAAGGGTATGGTGGGTGATTTTCCAAGATTGTATGACATTTACGACAGTGCTGGCTGTTCTCTTGTGAGTCTATCTCGGGGGCACTTTGTCTGCTTTGTCCTGGCGACGCGACAGTAGAGGTACCTGACTTGCTAGCTTTTGGTACTCTGTTTCATCAGGGCGTAGATCAGCTACAACGATCTTTCCAGTGTCCATTTCGCCTCCAATGCATACCTATGGCGCTTGCTTCGCGGGATAATACACTCCAGCGAATCCAAGTGGCAGTTCGTACAGGGAGGTCCATTGCGTACCACGTCGCACCGAACTTTGCGAGACCGGCACAACGTACAGGCTCGACCGGCGCGCTTTTTGACCCTTCCATCAATAGCTCCAGGCTTCTCCATACTGAAGTGACGTCCTGGATGAGTGTTGCTTAACACAGGGCTCGGGTTGTTCGTGGGGTTTCCCCCGCAGTTCGATGGTGCGGGGCTCAACGCAGTGAACAGACAAGGGCCCAAAGCGCTGCTTAGTGCCGATGTGCTATAGTGTTCAACAGTATTTAAAATTTGATAACCGCGGCTATCTAACAAAGCCGACACTATCCCACGTCTGCTGTGGAGCATAGGAGCCCAGTTAGATAGCCGAAACGAATCAATTGTCTTCTTGACTGGGACCTTGGGAGAGGAAACAGCCGGTACCGTGATGGAGTTTCCCAGGAAAGGAGGGGTCTCTGGGGCCCCATATATGCCGCGTGATTTGTGAGGATGATATACTGGGTCATTTCATTTCTATTTTCAATACCTTGGTAGAGGAAACTATCGCCACATTATGGTTTCATCGATAGAGGACGTTGCTACAAAGTCAGAGCATGAGGAGACGCTCTCTGCGCTCGAGGTAGACGTCGATGTATCCGACCAGTGCCAGGTGAATCGGACCAAAAGGAAGATAGATCTTAGGATCTGCATTGTTCTGGGGGTGATGTATACCGCCTCATTAATTGATCGTGTCAATTTACCTGTGAGTACCTCCTCTCTCTGGAATCTCTCTGCAACCTTTGGAAACGTCGGCTCAGAAGAACAGAATGCGTATGTCCATTTCAAGTCACTGTCATCGAGATACCAAATCTGATCATCGAAAGTTATGTCGCTGGGATGAGAACAGATCTCGACCTCCAAGGCAATGCTTATGTGAGTCAGTGGCAGGTCCTGATGGCATTCAAAAATAGCTTACTTAAACCTTATACTCCAAGTCCCTCTTAATCCTCCTCTTCTTCCCGTTCTATATATTGTTTCAGCCACCAATGACTGTGATTGCTCGGAAACTCCGCCCGCGCCGCTTTTTAAGCGGCATTGTGACTGCCTGGGGTTTGGTAATTGTCGGACATGGCCTTGTTCAAAGCTGGCGATCTATGCTTGCTTTGCGGTGCTTGTTGGGAATCTTTGAGGCAGGCTTCTTCTCCAGTTGCGTGCATCTGTTGAGTTCTTGGTACATCAGAGGTAATCTGAACTCTGAAAGAAAATGAACCACGAGGTTTAACTTGCTCATCAGCTGAGGTCGCAAAACGAAACGCCGCCTTTTATCTCCTGGGGTCCTTTATTGCAGGCTTCGGCGGTATCCTGGCGTATGGTGTAGGCCAACTCAAACCAAAAATGCTCTTCGAATGCTAAGGGTGTAACAGTTGTCAAAAATGGATGGAGTCGGTGGTCACGCAGGCTGGCGATGGATATTCCTTTTGGAGGGCATTATCACCATTGCTTTTGCTCTCATAGCCTACTTTCTCATCGTCGATTTCCCGGAGGACGCTCAAAAATCCTGGAAATTCCTCCAAGAAGATGAAATAAAAGCAGTCATCGATCGACTTAACAGAGACCGACAGGACGTCACAACATCTCCCTTTAAACTGGGCTCATATTTGAGGAACGCATTAGACTGGAAGATCTGGTTCTTTGCTGCTAACTTTGGTCTCTCCTCAGTGGTCACATACAGTGTCGCTTACTTCCTTCCTATTGTCCTACGTGAAGGACTTGGGTTTTCTGAGGCAGCGTCTCAGTGTCTGAGTACTCCAGTAAGACTCTACTCAGTCAAGTGGACAAAAGTACATGGCTAACCGAAGTATGTCAGTGTTATGTCTTTGCATCAATTCTTGGATTTTCTGAGAGTATCATATCTGACAGAATCGGGCTTCGAACACCGTTTCTTCTCTTCAACTGTGTTATCGAAGTGATCGGAGTTGTTGTCTTGGGTTACGCAAAACCAAGTGGCGTCAGATATTTCGGAGCGTTCCTCATTATTGCGGGAGCCAACTCAAATATTCCACTGTCTTTGACATACCAGGCAAATAACATCCGAGGCGTGTGGAAACGCGCCTTCTGCTCAGCAACTATCGTTGGTGCTGGAGGTATCGGTGGTATCATTGGTTCCTTGACCTTTCGAGACCAAGATGCCCCAACATACAGGTGAGCCCTTATGCATGAGGCTTAATTCCTGTACCGCATACTGATTAACTTCAAGACCGGGCTTATACACCTGTATCACTGCTGCATGCGTGACATTTATCTCTGTCTGCACCACATCGACATATTTCTTTGTCCAGAACAAGAAGCAGAAGGAAGGGAAAGTCGTGATCGAGGGCTTAGAGGGCTTTAGGTACACATATTGACGGATAGCCCATTTTCCGGGTCCAAAGGTGCGCGGTCTTAGCAGTGTTGTCAAGTTGTGCTATATAAATATACGAGATTCGCAGCTCTGTTCGCCCTATTCAAATCAGCATTCTCTTGAATGTTTATATCAAGAAGTCCGCCAATTGCGGGATAAAATATGGTTCCAATCCTTAGCAAAATAGGAGTTAACAGCAGACAACATCAGATTTTTGATGTCTCCTGCTGGGCTCCATCTCAATTGGATCTACAGGTGGACTGTCGGGAGCAGTGTCTATAGTCTCTACCGGTGAGGCAGGGAGATGTTCAAACAACATAGATTGCAGGATACGGGCTCGAACAGAGCCTCTTGATAACCCTGGTTTGAATTTACGTTTCAGTACATTCAAGTTTACTGATCCACGAATCGGGACCGTTCCTCTTTCCACATTCACATGCAGTAGCACAATGAAGGCCAAAGAAGACTACGGAAAGGTGATAATGGGCAGATACATTCAGCAAAGTAAATTCTTCCCCTTTTGATGCTCTTTCTCGTGCTGGTGGATTGCTCCATGCCCAGTGAGCTACAATGAGAAGTGAACTAAAGATCCACCAAAAATAGTTGATATAACCAGAAATAGCCCTCTAAGTTCAAGTACAGCAAAATAATTAAATACCAGTCAAAGTTGTTAGGTCAGCTGACCATGGCATTCATATCCTCTCTCTCTCTATAGACTTAGACTCTTCTTCTCTCCATACCACACTTTACATAACATTCTGATACGCACGTCCGTACGTTCGTAGAAAGTAATGAGTGCATCATCAATAAATTGAACGGAGGTGACGACAAATCAACATTTGAAGTTTGGCGCACTCAGCCATCGGTAAGGCCCTCACAGCTTTCCTCTCACTTCCAAGGCGCCATTGTCAATCTTTGGTTCGTTTTCCAATTCCACGAGTAACATGCCTTCTGCGACATCCTCCTCCCCATTCTCCATCTCATATGTCCATTGGACCTTGCCTGCTCGAGGACTCCTCACTTCCAACTCCATCTTCATCTGCTTGACAAATGCTAGAACCTGATTGTAGGCAACTACCTCTCCAGGCTCAACCAAAACTTCGATGAGCTTTCCTGATAGGGGAAGAATCACATGCTTTGGGTTCTTTGGGTCCCCTCGGCGGTGTGACGATGAGACCAGCGCCGATGCTGCGGTAGAAGTCGTATTGAGTTGCATCCGAAAAGGAACCGGGGTTTTCGAGGACGGTGTCGTATATTCAATCTCAGCGGCAAGGGAAGTAGGAAATCCATTGTGTAGAACCTTGGAAAGGCGCAAATGATGTTTTTCCGGGTGGTTGGATGAATTTTCTTCAAGAGGTTCTAGTGTAAGGGACCATGCATCACCTTTGCGGAATAACAAGCTGGAAGACGGCATATTACTATACACCATAGACTGTTGCGAAGGGCCACCTAGTCCCTCCTGTTCTCGGATCATCTTCGAAACGCTTTCCCCTAGTTGAAGCACTTCAGGAAGCTTTGATCCAAGCCACTGCGTGTCGATTTTCCCCGCCATGAAATCGTCATGAGCGACAACTCCTTGCAAAAGGTTTATATTAGTCTTGACACCGTTTATTCTTGTGTCAGCCAACACGCGTTGAGCTTTTCTGACGGTTGCTTCCCAGGTAGATGCACTGACAATGATCTTGGCCAGCAGGTTATCAAAGTTAGGACCAACAACCAGTGCATTCGAGCCGGAGATGTTGATATTAGTGTCCAACCGGATACCGTGTCCACTAGGAACAATTAAGCCAGTCACTTTACCAATGCTCAAAGCAAAATTATTACCTGGGTCCTCGGCACATAGGCGGAGCTGCACTGAGAAGCTATTCGTAGGTGGAGGCTCTCTTGCGCTGACTTCAGATCCGAGACCTAAATCATCTAGCAAGTGACCCTGAGCTAGCAGGAGCTGTGTTTGCACAAGGTCAATGCCACTGATGGATTCCGTAATGGTGTGTTCAACTTGAAGGCGTGGATTAACTTCGAGGAAATAGTATTCTCCTCGTAGTTCACTGACAAGAAACTCGAAAGTCCCAAGTGATCGGTATCGAATCTCACGTGCCATTATTAGTGCCGAATTGATAACTTGGTTGATCAAGCCTCTGCCTTGTGCCAATGCTGGAGCACATTCCACTACCTTCTGAAATCGTCGCTGGACACTGCAATCTCTCTCCCATAAATGTCGGACTTGGCCTGCGCCATCGCCAATGATTTGGACCTCAATATGATGGAATCCATCCACTGCAGCTTTCTCAACAAATACTCTCCGGGAAGGCGACTCGCTAATCGCACGTTCAATGCTATTATCTAGCTCATGGTACTCGCGCACGAGGCGAATTCCTCGGCCGCCGCCTCCGTCAATAGCTTTGATCATAACTGGGAAACCGACCTCTCTAGCAAAGCTTCGTGCTTGTTCAATATCGGCGGTAGGCTGGGACATAGCTTTTAAGACCGGGACACCGCATTGTTCCGCTAGTTTTTTGGCCTGAAGTTTATCGCCAGTACGGGCAAGATTCTCCCAACCAGGCCCTATTACGGTGACCCCAGCTTCATGCCACATACGGTGCGCAAAGTCGGCGCTTTCACTAAGGAACCCATATCCCGGGTGCACGGAATCAATAGAGTGTTCCCGAGCAAGATCTATAAGAAGTGGTATATCAAGGTAGGACGATGCCGATAAGATTTGGATTGTATGATGCGGTCGTGCTAGATCACAATGCGACCGGTCATCCGCTGTGTAGAGGGCGAATGTCTCGACTGGATCAGGTAGCTCCCGAGCAGCATGCAGAATGCGAACGGCAATTTCACCTCTTTAATACGATCAATCAGCCACTTGACGAGTCTTGTATTCACTAGGGTGTCACACCTGTTTGCGACCAACAGCCGTCTGATAGGCCGCGAGTACGGAGAGGTCAACATCGAAGGGTTTAGAAGCAGGGGCGGAAATAGAAATGGGAATAGATAGTTGAGACGATAATAGCCGCGCAAGCATAAGTATTATAAAAGTCAGGAATTATATACGATTGAAGCATTTGTATTACTTCCCGTCCACCTTTCTCTGTGCCCCTCGGCCCTCGGGAATGTTCCCATTCCCGATTATATGAGTCCAGAAGTAATTGTGATGGTTTCTCAATAGCTTGTCTATGAGGCCCGAGGCCCTCGGGAATGTAACAACCCCTTCTGCGGACAAACAGTCGCCTCCCAGTTAAAAGCCAATGTCAATGAAAATGAAGTCCTAGGAAGATCTAACAATTACCCTCAAGCAATTTGACAGAGAGTAAAATTAGGATATGGCGAAGCACGATGACGCGTTCCTGCCAGAAGGAAGCAGCAAAGACCAAGCCACCGAGCGGCTGAACCAGGTGTCGTCGCACATATCACCATCGACCGCCAAACCACAAGTGATAAAACCAAAATTCAAGGCTACGGCTTCCCATCTCCAATCAGACTACTCTGATGTTTTATCACAAATCGCCACCCTTCGCGCAATTGCCGCGAAGCCGGACCCTGATCACCGTGGATATGTGCGACAGAAACAAGCCGGAAAGCTGTGGGTGCGAGAACGCATAGAGCAGCTGCTCGACCCCAACACTTTCCAAGAAATAGGTTCTATCTCTGGGACAGTGATATGGGAGAAGGTTGGGCCCATGCAGGAAAAGCCGGTTTCGTTTGTACCGAGCAATAACGTCCAGGGCTTGGGTATGCTCCAGGGCAGAAAGGTTTTACTTACAGCCGATGACTTTAGTATCCGGTCGGGGCACGCAGATGGCGCAAGTGCTGGGAAGTCGGCGTATATTGAGAAATTGGCGGTTGCGCTAAGAGTTCCCGTCGTCAAGCTAGTAGACGGCAGCTCCGGCGGAGGCAGCGTGACGACAATCCGTAAGGAAGGATGGAGTTATCTTCCCCACGTGGCTCAGTTCAAGCCAGCGATACAGCAACTAAATATGGGAATTCCTAATCTCGGTGCAGTTGTCGGACCGGCTGTACGTTAGCCAGACCTATTTATCCTACCAGCGTGCCGCTAATAATTACCTTAGATTGGCCTTGGCGCCGCAAGGGTAGTCTCCTGTCACTTCTCCGTTATGGCAGCAGATATTGGCTCGCTCTTCAATGCCGGCCCTAAAGTCGTGGAGGGCGCAACTTTCGAGGAGGGGCTTAACTTCCAGGACTTGGGAGGACCAATGGTCCACTGCACAAACGGCACTATCGATAACCTAGCTACCAACGAAGCCGAATGTTATGAGCAACTACGTAGGGTCTTGAGCTACCTTCCCAACTCCGGTAGCGAAGCACCTCCCGTGGTTCCTTGTCATGACCCCGAAGACAGGGAAGATGTCGGATTGCGGAACATAATTCCACGGCGACAAGCACGGACGTATAATCCGTACACTATTATTCAGTCTGTGGTCGATCAGAACTCATGGTTCGAGATTGGGGCCCTATGGGGTCGAACCGCTATCAATGGGCTCGCACGAATCGGCGGACATCCTATCGGTGTGGTCTCACTCAACTGCGAAGTGAATGGCGGTGCACTAGATGCGGCTGGCAGCCAGAAACTGACGCGGCTATTGAAGCTATGCGATGTCATGAACCTGCCCGTTCTGCAATTTCTGGATGTCCGTAAGTATTATATCTATTATCAAAACCTGTGGATTTGCTCTAACTCGATCATATAGCGGGCTATGCTATAGGTACCGTCGCCGAGCGCACCGCCACTATGCGATGGGGGTGGAGCTTGCCAAGGCATATTACAGCACCACGGTACCAGTCTTCAACGTTGTGACGCGGCGCGTTTTTGGCGTGGCCGGTGGCGTCATGCTCGGGTGTCGCGATCCTGTTATGCAGGTTGCATGGCCGTCCGGGCAATGGGGTTCACTCCCCCTGGACGGCGGAATCGAGGTCGGGCATCGACATGAGCTTCGTGAGGCAGAGAATGTAGGCAAGAAGGAGGAACGGTATAAGGAGTTGGAGGAGGAGTATCTGCGTCTGATGAATCCGGTGCGGACAGCGAACGCGTTTGGGGTGGAGGAAATCATTGACCCGAAGGATACTAGACGGGTTTGCTGTGCATGGGTGTCGCATGTTTATCAGGTACTTATGCAAGAGCGCCTGGCAAACAGAGCGTGTGGGAATATCCGACCTTCATTTGCTTGATTTTGTGAATAGGAACTATATAAATGCTTTGAAGGCCCTTCCAATCATTTGACTGGGTGCTTATTGAACCAAATTCAACCTACTTATTCTTTTTCTCTTCCTCGCATCCCCTAGCTTTGCTGGATGTCAGAACGAGGCGGCAGTAAAACAGATGTGGATCCTACAAGAACCAGAATCTATCTTCAAAATCATGCGTAGGTTCTCTTGACTTGTGTATCACTTGAAGTCTTGGGATTTTCACAAACACTTTCCAGAACTTGAAAACCATCCCGCCGGCCCCACTGATTTTTTACTTGACGATGTTCCAGCAATCAAGCTACCGTCTAGCGGTTGGAAATATTGGATTATCGGAAATTGAACTATCATACGACAAACACTTCAATTGGCAGTACCTCGCGTAGAATCACCACAATTGTAATTGTATCCTGGTGTGAAATTTTTCTTCGGTGAATACCTCCGCTTATCTAGTACAGCCGTCCGAAGTAGCCTGATGATTGTTTCATAACAAGCTCGGCCGACTGCGTAGATAGCCGCGGCTATACACTACGGGCCTTCCCCTCTTCGGAAAATCGAGCGGCCGTTTGCTAGATAAATCCCACACAATGAACCCGTAGAGCTGTATAGTCACGCCATCAATCTATAATTTAATCTTACATCCGGACAATGGACATATTGCCTAATGCCATACTGGGGGGTGTCGCCTTAACGGCGCTTGCCATGTACATGGATGCGAAATACTCGGTGAGCAGCGACCTTGCTCAAATTCGAAGTGTACGACAAGGCCAAAAGTTTGCCCAGAGCCTATTTGAAAGACATGGGCAAGATGACTGGTCGTTCTACCATATCGTACACGCCTCTCATGCAGTACAAGATACAGTTGGGGCCGACGAAGCGCTCCAGTTCGAAGGGAGAAGCTGGTCATACAACGAGTTTAGACGGGAGATCGGACGTGTAGCAGAGGCATTGAGCCATGCCGGTATCACCAACCGAACGGTGGTATGTCTTTTTATGGACAACTCGCCCGAGTTCATCTTCACCTGGTGGGCGTTGTTCAAAATCGGGGCCATTCCAGCCCCGATTAACACCAAATTCAAAGCCGAGCATATCAGACACTGTGCCAGCCTTTGCGAAGCCTCATTCCTCATTTGTACCACGGAGCTTTGGGGCGTGATTCGAGAGGCATATCATGGTCTCCATGATAGCGCTCCCAGTCATCGCCAAACAACCATCATCTACGACGCGGGAACCTATGTTTCTCCGCTAGAATCTTTACCAGATGGGGTTTTGTATTGGGTCCATGACAAGTTCCCTCCCGCCAATCCTGGGACTGATGATTACCCAAAGTCCCAGAGACCTAAAATTGGTCTTACGATGCCGGTGCAATATCTGTTTACTTCCGGGACAACAGGCCTACCTAAAGCCGTATGCTATCCCGCTGGCTTTTGCCTAATGCTCTCCAACCACGCTAGATGGCCTGGCATGTTTAAAACCCGTCGAAGATTTTACATCTGCCTACCTATGTTTCATGGAACAGCACAGTAAGTATACACACTAGCATGATCGACGTTCCATTATATTTATCTGATTATGCTCGTACAGAGTAGCAGCAATGCCTGCGACATTGACTACGTTCGGCACTGTGATTCTCGCTCGTCGATTCTCTCGTCGCGAGTTCTGGGCTGATTGTCGGAAATACAACGTGAATGCAATCTTATATATTGGGGAAATGCTTCGATACCTGGTCCAGTCCCCGCCGGACCCCAACTTCCCGGATGAAAAGGACCATAACGTCACTCTAGCATTTGGGCTAGGTCTCGCACCAACTGCCTGGAAGGCTTTCCGCGAGCGGTTTGGTGTGGACTGGATTGTAGAATATTATAGCGCGACGGAGTCGACAACATCACTGACCAACTCTACCCGGAATAATGCAGGAAATGGCAAGGTCGCCCACTGGGGTCCACTGATGAGGCGCTTCGGACAAGATGCATTCTATATTGTGAAGGCGGATCTGGTCTCTGGGGAAATTCTTCGAGATCCGAAGACTGGGTTCTGTATTCAGGCTGAGACAGACGAGCTCGGGGAAGCGATCTGCCGCATCAAGTCTCCAATCCACCGGAAGCATGACTATATCGGCGATGGCGGTGCTGAGGCTACAGAGAAAAAAGACGCTATGGGATGTGTTTAACAAAGGCGACGAATTTTTCCGGCTGGGCGATGCACTCTTTATGGACACTGACGGGTATATCTCGTTCTCCGATCGCCTCGGGGATACCTATCGGGTCAAGGGTCATAATATATCCACGACGGAAGTTGAAAATTGTCTCAGCCGCCATCCTGACATCGCATCGGTTAATGTCTATGCCATTCCTATGAACCAATACGGATACGAAGGGCAATTGGGCTGTGCGGCCATTGAGTTTCATGCAGGGTCATGCGACCGTGCGGACAAGATCCTCAGTGGGCTCGAACAATGGATGATGAGCTCTGAGCACGGCATCCCGGGATATGCTATCCCACGGTTTTTGCGCGTCATCGGGAACCGCTCCGACGAAGCGCTTGATGCAGGCTCCAGTCATGGAAAAGAAACAGAGCGGGTGTCGACCATAATGAAGAAGGTAAAGATTGCGCTCCGCGGTGAAGGATTTACGCCTGTTGGACGTAAAGATCAGATGTACTGGATTGAGAAAGAAGGATCTGGTTATGTTCCGCTAGTTGATGCCACTGCGCAGTCACTTCGGATGGGGCAGTTCCGGTTGTAGCATAATATAATAAGAGATTCTGCTTGAAGGGGGTAGTAAAAATTCGTTCAGGTCGGCGACGTCGAGGCGTTACAAATCGAGAGATTGCTCTTTCCTATACTGTAGTGGTTAATTATATATAACTCTAAAATATTTCTCTATATCCTGATTAGTCCGTTTTATATGTCCCCCTCTAGATTTCCGCTTTTAATCTTTAAGCTCTTATACTGTAGTGGTTAAATTAGGCTTCGGCAAATGGTGTGGTGCCCATGGTGTGGTATGGTGTGGGCCCAAAAATGGTGCACCATTTGACTTTGAAATGGGCCCGGAAAACCATGGTGCACCATTTGGGCCCATTTTTTTTGGGCATAAATTTATGTGTATTTTTCATAAAATATGCAGAAATTTTGGTTTTAGAGGAGTAAAATACCACTTTAAATACCTCATATATTATATATAGGTAATATAAAGTCAGCTTTTTAAAGGTATGATTCGTATAAACTCTATGGCTCTACCTTATTTTTCTTTGATTTTTTATCATTTTTTAAAAATAATAAAGGGTGGTTGGGGCGAAGACGTATATATAGTGGTAAAGCTGCATATTCCATATATATATATCTCCCCTATTAGCACGGTAAATCAATCACTTTAAAAATTACCACTTTATACCACATCTAGCTACCCTAAGTATAGGGTGACCTAGGGTATTATAGTATAATAAGCTTATATTAACCTATATTATATATAATTATAATAGATATAGTAGAAGGGTAGAGAAATAGTAGTTACTATATATATATGAACTAGAATAGACGTAATCAAAAAAAGGTCTTAGTAAAAAACAGGCAGAAATTAGGCAGAAATCAGGCCAAATCAGGCTAGATCAGGCTAAATAAGGCATCTACGCTAAACCTCGTAAAAAAAGGTAGGCCTATGGTGCACTATATAGTACACTATATAGGCCTATGAATTTTATAGTATAGTGTGGGCCCTAGAAAAAAAAAATAGTGCACTATTTACTAAAGCCTAGGTTAAATACACTCGACCCTAATATATTTCTTAATATCCTGATTAGTCTATTTTGCGTATATCTATAGGCTTCGGCACTTAGGGTTAGGGTTGGGGTTAGGGTAGGGTGGTTAGGGTGATCTCCGTGCCGAACGTCACGCAGAGGTTGTTTTCGCTGCCAGCGATATCACCCCTCTATTGAAACCTCTAGCTCTTCTGATTTCGTCCGTAAAGCGCTCTCCAGAGACTCCGGATCCCGTGCTAGACTATGATGATGCCACCTTGTCTTTGTTCCGTGATGCCTGGTTCAATATCGCCATTCACGGCATTACGCTCCAATTCCAGTGTCTTCCACGAACATCACAATGAACTTCGTTTGCTAGCGTCATTCTCCACCTCTTGTGGCGGAGGATGGATGGAGTTACTCGAGAGCGACGTCGAACTCAATACCGTGCTAAGGAGAGGCACCGGCCCCCAGCGAGTATTGGAGCAAAAGCGAACTTTGATTTCAGAGCTGGCTGGCCGCGAAAACGACGTGAAACGCTTGGATTACCCCGAGCCGTCTTCCTAAACGCCGTATTGTTAGTCGAAAGTCTCCGTGCATCCTCGGGATTGCACTAAGATCCTCCAGTACTTCCGTGATCCTTCTCTAGCCACGCCCGAAATGGTTGTCTGCATGAATTCCGTCGCCGAGAAAACCGTGACTTGTTATCTTTCACGTACCTTGTCGGAAGAATATGACGACTTTTCGGCGCCGTACCTTTCAAAGCAGTTGGCCGCCTACCTCTTCAGCCTGCTGCCACCGCATCGAGCGTGTGCAGAGCATTGCCACGATATGTACGGATAAGATCATCAGTCAATGTCCCTCTGCGCTCTGCGAGAAGCATTCTCTTTTCGCTTTGCTTGAGATCCTGACTGTGATGTGGACATCTTGCCTGCAAGGAGAACTAGATGAGTTTGAGTGGAAGCCAACTCTGGTCTCACCTATGGGAATTGTTAAGGTTGGTTGCCTGATAACTATGCGCTCAGAGAAAAGTGACATTGGACCGATTCCTTGTGCGAGAGCTCGAACATGGGTGACTGCGGTCTTGAATATTGCGCCACTTGATATCAAGGGCCTACTTCGAACATACCTTTCGGAGTATGATGATGATGGCTATGGCCATATTGCCTTAGGTCGTTCCTTTGCTATTGAAATGGGCTCCCTGATACCGCAGAGTGATCCACGACTAGGATCCATTGGGGGGTTACAATGCACGTGATGTCAACATCGCTTCGGACTTCATGGCTCTTTACGACTCGTCAAATACCGTCGCCCCGAGGCGCCTTCATCGATTGTTCCGGAACATGGATTCCAGCATCAGCGATAGTCCGAGAATTGAAGCAATCACTGAATCTGAGTCCGCTGGTGATATCGACCACTCCTTATCTGCTCTCTTTAGACATGATATGAATGGAGAGAAATCCCCTTAATTGAGGTCAAGGATGTTCTGCGGCAAGCAGCGGGTCTAATTTGTAGCAGCAAGCCTCTTTATCAGTCGTTCACTACCTGGTGGCCTTGCCATTTCAAATCTTCCTGAAATAATCAAATTGGGTGTCAATCTCTGTGGCTTGGTGTCATCCACGAGAACCTAATATCGAGCCACGCATCCTAGCAGAGGTGGTGGAAGCCTGGGAAAGAAGTATTAACCGCCGAAAGGGATTGTTTGATACATCCTTTGAATATACCGATCCGCTACATACCCAGATAGAATTGCTGCCAACAGACAAAGCATTGATGCTCCAGAAGCAAGCCGCGCAGAACACACTTTCGCCACATTTGCGCGTTCTGCAGTTTTCGAAAGTCATTTCAACGCCATCCGCCTCGGCAATCTGCAGGACCAGCAGTTGTTCGGCCGCTTGATTAGCAGTACGGTTGTTGGTCTTTCAAAGACCCAGTGTCATCCTCTGGCTCGAGAGATCCATTTCCGCATCGTCCTCTTCGGTTTGAGCGTCTTGAAACACTTTGGCCGCGGAACCCCTTTGCATCTTGGAAGCTTAAAGAGACAAATCCTGTCTGCCGCGCTGAGCTGGTTTAGACATCCACCCAGATGGTCCTTTGGCGGTAACCGACTACAGGATCAAAGCCGAAGACAAAATCCTTGATGTTGTCTCTACTTTGCGAAGCGTTGCAGACATAGCTAGCCAGTCCCATGGGGCATACAAGTCTCTTCAAGCCAAGCAGGAGTTGACGCAGATTCTCATCGAATGAAGGTCGCGTCTTCGCGTTTGGCTGTTTCCTTGGAGCCTGAGCGGAAACATCACATGCCATCGCTTGGAGGCAAGCACACTACAGACGTATGTTCTG